GTCGTTATGTAATCCAATATTAGTCTGCAACTGGCAAGCAGATTTAGTACAGCTTAGCCTAATATCTATATGGCTGCCCGACGATATATAGCAACAGCTATTTTCTAGAAAAGCTTTTCTAACTTGGCCATAAGAAGTGAAATCAACCGACTCTCTGGTAATGCATGGAGTATGAGATCTCCGAAAATAATGGCTGAACTGTCTCAATTATAGTATTCTAGGCCAAGGGTACACTTGCAAGCCCTCATACTGTTGTTCTCTAAGATTATTATAAAAAGAGCTTCCAACACAACTCATCTATAGTGGAAGTCTATAACCATACAAATAAATAAGCTAAAACTTCGAGCACAAGCATTAATGAAAACTATATATATGATTTAAAACCTAACAGTGTTTAGTCTCGCTTAGTTTTAATGATTATCTACATATTCTCAGTCCTCATATATGTTTTGATTAAGATTAGACAATTTAGCGTGATCAATGTTCCATGTGCCTGAAAAACCGGAGTCCAGTGTCTCTAGATGAGTTCTATGCAAGAAATCTAATCAGTTGGATTCATTTAGTGCTTCATAGCACCAAATTTATCGTTTAACAGGTGGCCATGCGACAGCCCGACACTGTTATGTTCAAATCTTACATAAATCATGTGCTGTGTTGTCTTAAAACACATATGGGGGAGTTGGCTGTTGAATCGCTTATCTTCATGAGAGCTTATAAGTTCGAGTCCTCATCTCACAGATCTTGAAAAGTCTCATCCTTATAAGTGCCTTGGCCACTTGCCTCAGCAATTAGAGTTTTCGTATCTGATGATTGAGTGGTGGGCAATAGTGGTTAAATTCTGAGATATGTTAGGGACTATGAATGTACATAGTCCCCAAAAAGACTATATATGTCTCCTTATAAAGTAATCCCTGCAGTAATAGATAGGTATATTCAGTCATGTTTGATAAGAAATTTATATCAAGTCAAATCTAGTTATGCATGAGCCGCATACCTTTAAACTTAAGATGGAATGCATAACTGCAATGATATAGCTCGTTGGGCTCATTCCACATCAATGCCATAAACAACCAACCCTTGGCGTGCTCGCAGTTGAATTCTTGGCTAATAGGTCTGCTGAGGAATTTCTGATCTTATCCTGGATCCTATTCATGCAAATAAGAGCCAATGATTCTACACAAAAGTGGATGTCGGCACCATAATGAAAACTACATATGCCATTACAATATATCGTGAAGGTCTATCGAAATCGGTACTTTTGACTCAGCTGTACATAGCAAGGTTTGCGACCATTGACCCCCACTGAAACGACAATTATAGAGACAGCTGAGGCTGAAAAAAGTACTCAATGCTTGTAAGATATTTGCAGATGAGAAATCGGTTTGATTGACAATATCCTATGGTTGCAACCTTCAGTATGCATTACCTTACTACTGAGATTTGAGTCATGTATGAAGGTTTTTTTGATTTTTTTTGAGGATGAATTCAAGCTAAATGGACGTTCCCTGTATATGTCTATACATAGTATACTTAAATAGGAAGCAAGCAGCTTAACGAAACAAAGAAAAGCCTATACAATTTGCAAGAAATTCTAAGATATTACTATGGACAGATACCAGGACATTTATATCCCTCACTAATATAAGACGGAGTGCGCTGCTACATACATGCCCACTTTATTCAAATATGACAATAAATAACGTGGAATATTGCAGGACATAGTCTAAACAAACTCAAATTATATATTTGTACATTCAAAATCTTAGATATCATATCATATATGTGGAAGGGCTGAAGGTCTCCGATGTTCCGATCTAATCCAACTTTATATTATCGTATCAGTTTTTTAAAGCAAAAATTAAAGAACTACTGCGACCACTAGAAATTAGTAAGCAAGTTAACATAGGACTCGATACTTTCAATTGAATAGAATATATGATTGATCGTGTTTTCTCTCTATCTTGTGAACTGAAAGCAGGCTACCCTTTTAAAACCATTTTCCAATAGTTAGTCGCCGTTTATACCACGTCTTGGCTTCTACTAAAACAATCTCTTACTTTATAGATTCTTACACGTTGATTACATCTACCATGGTAAAATGACCGTATCTTATCACAGCGATGTGTATGGGCACGTAAGCAATTTTTGTATCTAGCTGATCAGTGATATTCACTTGAAATATGAGTATCTAATCAAACTCAAACACTTTATCTTTGGCGAGTACAGTAGCTATATTCAATTCATACATTTCAAGTGAACGAATATATTCAGACGAGTTCTGTGAGAAATACGCATTAATGCTGAAGGTCGTTAATTAAGTAGGCTAAAATCAACCAATGAATTTTCATGTCTAACCAATTTCAATTCAAGGAATTGACCTCACATTGGGAAGCAAAAACTAAACTAAACTAAACAGCTTTTGTTGCGAGCGCGTAATTCTTTAAGCTTCGCTGGTGACTCTAGTTCGAGATTTTCGGTATTTATTGACAGTTTATGCTTTCCTGTGTTATATGTTGAACCACATAGTTCTGACTTCAGTATAGAATGCATGATCACGTCAAAGCAACAGTAAACACTTTTGCTTTGAAGACCCTATAACTTAATCACCAGCTGAAAGAGCAGAGGAAAAATTAATCCCTGTAATGTTTTGTTGCCTCAATGCGTTCATGCCTTCTGTTCCATATTCTGACCGGCTCATGCTTCTGTTCAATAAACGCCGCAAAAGTGAATCCAACAAGGTCGAGCAAAGTGCTTCACAGTACGTGGAGCCGAAGTCTGTGCTACTGTAGCGGCAAATTGTGCTAGGAACGCTTGTGTAACCTTCTATATGAGCCGTTTTCCTCAAAGCTGGCTTGTTTTTTGAACTCCGGCAGTCCATCATCTGATGATTTCCTGAGCCACCTCTGTCTTTTTCTGAAAGCTGACTCCAGCCTGATCAAATCAATCCGAACTCCATCGCACTCGCATTCCATTCCCTGTTGATTTTTTTTTAGCACTTGCTCTGGCACTGAAATCTGATTCTAAGTAGAAACTGCTCTTTCCGTCTGTCTTTCATCCAGAAGCTGCTGGTTTCCAAGCAACTTTAGCATTTACTGACGGATAGTATATTCATTTGAATTTCTTTAGCCTCTTGCCAATTATCCTAGATCCCGTCTTCACCTGAAAATTTGCCAAGTCTTATGGCATAATTCATAATCAAGGAGGTGCAAGCTCAACAGACTACTCAATGCCGGTCTTATTGTTGATTTAATTTCCCATAAACAAGTTCTTGGCTTATGCCGGGTCTCTCTTTACTGCCATTAATTCAGACTCCTTGGTCAGTTGCAACTGGATTTGAAAGTATGAAGAAACATCGGATGGACGTCACATCATAGCTGTCCCTCTGAAGCATTGTATTTCAGAAGAAATTTTTATGATTCAACACCCTGCTTTGTCACCTATGAGAAATCCAAAGTCAGGTGGTGGACCTACGAAAGTTCTCATGGGCTCAAAAATGTTGGAATTTAGTATTGATAAGTGTAATGTCTACAGTCATTATACTTCCTTCAATAGTGTGACTAGGTATCAGATGGTTAATATCTTTGGTATACCTAATTCCCTCACTTATAAGTGGGGTATAGCATATCCTTATATATTATGTGGATAGTCTCATATGTGATTCAGATTTGTATCATTTGGATCTGATGCACATACTATGCATGTGCTAAATCACAAACCTTCATATTAGGATAAGCCGCACAGCCATGATATAATCTATGACTATCTTATCTCAACAAAAATAACTCTTTCTCAAGAGATGCTCTTTCGTATTTGCCGGACCACTTACAGTGGCAGTAAACTGATGTATTCCATAGATTTGAACAAACTCCACCTTCCAAATTCATAATCATCGCAAGATAGGAAAATGGTTAGGGCAGGCATGTACCGGTGAATCATACCCTAAACAATAGCTGACAAACATTTAACATCTCGGCTATCGAAGCACCAACTCCTTTCAACACATGGCCTAAGCATAGCTATTTGCATTCACCAGAAGTCGTCATTAGAGGGATCAAGTTACGCAACACTACATTGAACATCCTCGTAATACAAAAAAACAAGCCCATGTATGCAGGGCAGATTTTGCGTGGACGGTGTCAAGAAATTGAGGCTTCTAAATGGTGCAGCCATATCAAAAATCACTAGGTACCTACTCTCCTACCAACTAATCCTGATAGTTGTGATAAAGTCTTCTTATATTCTGATAAATCGAAAGTGATGCAGCTGGGGTACAACATGTCAGAAAAAGCTCTTCAAGAAGCAGAGGTAAGCTAAGCCTCCTAGCCTAGCCTGTCAGATAGTTTTTCGGAATCCATATAGTACTTCTAACACACCGAAAATGTTACAATTATTTGACTACTGAGACAAAAGGCCGCGGTGTTGCCTCAAAACCGATGGAGAGAATTCCTTTTTGATCATTTATTCAAGGAAGCTCACTGAATGATTCAAAACCAAAAAAGAGTTTTTCAAATATCTAGATAGGAACGAGTCATACACTCGGGTGCTTCTTTCAACTCCTTTACGTTTGATTGAGTTTTTGATATACCTTGTTGTAGTAGATGGCTACGATATCCTTTATTTTTTTGAGTGTCTCCAATTATATATGAAATCTACAGTGGCGATGACAGCAGTGAATTCAACCCGCAGGCTCAATGGTCAAAATATATCGTCAACTGCTTTTGAGGAGGGTTCTTACTGTTTGTGATATGAGGCAGCTACACTGCAAGAGCTCGTACGGATGGATTTCCATTACTCTACTATATTACACTCACAATACAACCTATTATTTTTGACGAGTGCTGTGACCTCTGTCACGTGATTGGGCTTACTTAAAAAATAAGTCAGATCCAATTCCTATTATCATTAGGTAATCAAGAGTAGTCAAAGCACTGCCTTATCCTATTAAATTTCTTGCGTAAAAATTCCGGCATTTTCTTAAGTGTATTAGCGCCACTTTCATCATGAACACTACGGATAAGCAGATTTCTGCTCTTATTGTCGGATTTTTAAAACAATGCCTTGAGTCCAACACAATTCCTGAGGATAACAAGGACTCAATAGAATTTGCAATTGAAAGCATAGGTGAGGCATTCGGCTTAGATTCCGCATTTTGTGAACAGGTCAGTGACGTCTTTGAGGGACAAAACCTTCGCAGTCTTATCTCTCTGCCTATAAGAAAGGCATCAAAAGCTGCAGAAGACGAGTCAGTTCCTGTTCACATCCACGAAGATGAGGCTAAGAATAAGGAAAAAGCTGAGTCATTGAAGCTTGAAGGTAATAGGGCCATGGCCGCTCGTAATTTCGAACAAGCAATTGAAAAATATACTGAGGCGTTAAATTTGTTTCCTTCAAATGCTGTGTACTTATCTAACCGTGCTGCAGCCTACTCGTCTTTTGGAAAACACGATTTAGCCTTGAAGGATGCACAAAAGGCCACCGAATTCGCGCCTAATTATGCTAAAGCATGGTCTCGTATGGGACTAGCGAAATATGCACTAGGAGACATTGAAGGGTCTATGAAAGCTTATGAACGTGGGTTAGAAGTCGAAGGTGATTCACCATCGGAAGCTATGAGAAAAGGTTTCGAAACTGCCAAAAAGAAGTACACTGAAACTTTAGTTGCATCATTAGGATCTGCAAACCGTGAATCGGAGTCCCAAACTTCTTCTAGTGGTGAGTCCCAGACAATGCCGGATATAACAAGTTTGGCTAATATGTTCGGTGGGTCTTCTGAAGGGTCACCCTCTAGCGGCAGTGATCTTGGAGGTATGGCCGGATTAATGAACAATCCCCAAATCATGCAAGCTGCACAAAGAATGATGCAAAACCCTGAGGCTATAAATGGTTTACTCAACAATCCGCAAATAAGGCAGATGGCTCAAAGCTTGGGTCTTGGCGGTGAGGGAGGTTTGGATGAGCTTATGAATAATCCTATGCTTCAAAATTTGGCGAATCAGTTTAGAAACTCAAACTCGGGTTAGTGGAGGAATAGAAGATTACGTACGTTCATTAAACAGAAAGCGTTCCATGTCAAGTTCGAGTCTGTTTTGCTGTGATTTGAGCATTTCAATTTGCCTTCTTGCAAATTGTTTGAACACAATAAGAAAGAATTGTTTCTTAAAAAGGTAGAAATTATTGAGCTCCATGTTGATAGACTCATAACTTGCTCTAAATTTGATTGCCAACCCGTTGATGTTATTCTTGATAGCGGCAAAGCACTCCTCAAGTTTTTCAGTTTGCATAATCCTGTTTTTCTCTGAGAATCTCGAAAGATCGAAGATTCCGAACATTGAGCTTTGCTTGTAGGGCAAGTTTATGGTAGAAGAGTGCCAAACATAATGATCATCTGCTGACTTGAGGTATGCATACCGACTTTCTACTAAGTATTTGTCTATGCTTTCCGCCAACTGACGAAGCTGAGTGCATGAAGTGGATGTAAATGATGAATGCTGTTGCGCTTTTTGTAGTAATTGGCGACAATGATTTTGTAGGTCACTCACCTGATTTAGTAAGGACAATATCCTTTTAATATACACGTCAAAAAAGCATTTCAGCTCTTCTTGAAGGTCTTTCGCTGAATAAAGGAAGAAACTTAGAGAGTCTAACAATTTCTCACCTGTTGCATTCTTGCTCATCGAAAGTATTGTGGCGCTAGTATTAAAAATGTCTTTAAACCCAGTAGATCTGTGTACAATGTGTCCGACTTCGTCAGAGGACTTCGTGCCATATGGTTTCCACAAGGACAGCCTTTCAACGTCGCTCCAAAGAATGCCCAATAACGCGTGTTGTCTGAAGAACATTTCGCATATTTTAAAGAACCTCGACAAATCGTTACCAGTAAGCTTGACGAAAGACTGAGCACTAAGCAGATCCTCACAGGTTAAAGTAAAAGAATTCTCTTGTTTAGCTGGACTTAATCGTTGCGAATGGTTTGAACTGCCCAACGAAGTTTTCTTACTCAGAAGTTTCCAAAGCTCATCATCAATTCCCCTCTCTTCGTTCATAGCGAGAGAAGCCAATAATAAATTGAGCTGTGAAGTTCGGTCATAATCCAACAGCTGACTCATATGCCCAAAGGAATGGTGCTGATTTGAAGTCTTTCTCAATTGTTCCAAAAATGAAAGCCTCACTTGGGGGAAATCATATGGCCGTGAAAGCTTGAGGGCAGCCAACATTTTCAAAATTTCTGATTGTGACGGACAAAATATCCAGCCTTTTGTTCCGAGCTGTTCTCCGACATAAGAAATAAGTACAAGTTAGCATCATTATCTGTGTCATATCTCCTGGTGATGATCACCGCACTTCTAATTGAGTGTTTCGGGCACAGAGTTCTTAAGAGTGACGCACTCATGACGGTCAAAAGTTTCAATCTGAATCTAAGCGAATTTGAGAAGTGCTCTGATTCTTGAAGCAATGAGTGCTGGAGCATTGAAGTCTTGATGTAATCAAAAGCCGTCAAATGATTTTTTGTATTCGCCTTCGAAATGTCGGTCCTTTCGTCATTCAGTAAATAATAAACGTTCCAAAATTTATTATACTTGATCGAGAACATGAGCGGTGTGAGATTCTGGGAATTTGGATAGTTCAAATCTAGCCCGCGAAATAGCTTCAAGAAATATCCTAATGTTCTTCCATCCTTAAATGAATGAAGTAGAGAATTATTCTTGGCATCCAAATGGTCTTTAAGATCAAATGATAAATTTTGTTTTGCGTACCACTCATAGACAGTACGCAGAACAGCCTCTAGCAAATCTTGGTAATCGGGATGATCATAGCAACGAACTATCGTAGCAAGAGGGGTTTGATGAAAACAATCAACCTGTCTCCAGTTTATATGTGTCCCAAGCGTTGGTACAAGGGGCTTGTAATACATCAAGTAATGTCCCAAGTTACGGCCCGAGTTATTCGGTTTCGAGCAGTAAATTTCGATCTCGGGTTCGGTTGCTTCGCTTATTATCTCAATAAGTTCCAATATCATCCTACTGTCACCCTCAATTAGAGCCAGCTGTAGCAGAGTGGACCCTGAATTGTCAGTATCAGTCAAAATAAAGTTCAAATCATAAACTTCATGAAGATCGATTAAAGTTTTGAAAACGGGCCAACTTCCGTGTTTTATTGCCATTATAAGGCAAGACTCGCCTTTCAAGTTTCTGGATCTAAGAGCTTTTCCTACAAGCGACTGAACCATTTCAGTTGTATTGACGTTACCGAGGTGGTGCTCCTGTAGTCCGTGGAGGTTTTTATGGAATGTCGCCCAACGTGGATCCTCCGCTGAAAGACAGATATTTTTCCAGAGCTTTTCATTAGCTCTGCATTGCCTTGACAGTGATTTAATGTTACAGTCGTCAGTTAAATAGCCAACGGCAGCTTCTATAGTAGAAATGACATATCCCGGGGTACCACTTTGAACTTTCTCCGGGGAAGGGTAATAGCTTTTGATATATTTCACTTGGCATTGCACATTAGTTACACCTGCAGTCCCCAACACCAGTATTACCAAGGATAATAGAGTATCTGCATCGATAATAAATCTGGAGTTTGATTCGCTCGGATCGTGTGATAGAGCATTTATGGCTCTCAATAAAACATTGAGCTTCCCTGAAGAAGTCATTGAATAATCCAGCATCTTGATCTCGCTGATGGCTTTAACAACGCGACCAAGCAAGAGTTGAATCAAGTCCGTATCCTCAACAACTGAATCGGGGAGACCAAGCTGTGATATGCTCATATACTGAAAAACTTCATAGCTAGCATTCAACAAATGGTCCGTAGGAGTGCTGCAAAGATCCAGAAAACGTGGCCATAATTTATCATATACATTCATTTCCACGTAATCATAGATTGCTTGATGAAGACTTTCCTCGTTGAATTTCTTGATCAGCATTGAATGAGTGGGACTAGGAAGGGACCTAACAATATCAACAGCTTTAGCTATGGTAGCCAAGAACAAAGACATTAACTCACCCTCGGTTCGAGCTTGAACAACATTAAAGCTCGAAAATAGTTCCCGAAACTTGGGTCCGATATGATCAGCCAGTGCCCCTGAATCCTTCATCAAATCGTTGAAATCCTCACAAATATCATCTTCAAGGATTCCATCTTTGCCTTTGACGATATCTTGGAAGCCGACTACTTTATCTGGACAAGTCTTGTTCCCGCTTGGAAAAACCAAGGGAGATTCTATGAAGCAAATTTGAAGCTTATAACCAGGATATAGGTATGATAAAGTGCTGTAAGTCAAACTTTCGGTGTAAACTTCGTTCTTTGGTGGCTCAATATCTTCATGTCTTGCGAGAGATTTGCCGTTTTGAAACAAGATCAAGCCATTATTCATAGTAGAAACTGATGTCTCGTTCCCCAATGACTTGCCCGTCTTCGTATCAATAACATGCGACTGAATGAATAAGCGGTCAGAGAATAAGGTGTCTAACACTTTAGTGTCGGATCCATTGATGAGCAAGAGCTTTTCGGTTTTTGGAAGAAGTATCACATATCGGTGAGGACTTGTCACCAATTTATCGATGATAGTTCTAATTTCAGAGTTTTCACTTAACTCACCATAATTGAACAGAACAGTCAAAAAGGGGTCAAGGAGATTCAAGTGCTTCCTTACAACATTCGTGTTCGAAGTCATTCCCTGATAAGTAACGTACTCATGAGAAAACAGTGTCAGCAAATGATACAAAGAGCGCAGATGTCGTAAAATTAACTCATTTTATTAGCTAATTACCCATGTTGCCTACTAGGATTATTGAAAAACAAAATCAGCTACGGCGACCCGATCTTAGTAGTTGGAGTGCTACTCATTTCGTTTGACTATTTAAGACTGAAAGGATGTCAAAGCTGTACCAAAAACGATAGTAGAGGCCTCATAAATTCAACACACAACTTGAGCGAGTATAAGGAATCGAAAAATCCATCATTGCTTTGCCCTGCTCCATCTCTCCTTCATAGAACAGTTCTCGAATCAGGCAGGCCTTGTAATTATCAAAAATAGTGCCTAGCTTAGCTAGATAATCACTTATCAACAAGGTTAGAGAAAATGGAAACCTTAGATCCGCAATAAATGGAGATTCCTACAGGGATAACTTTTTGCAATCAAGTATTGTAATGTAGACGACGAAAATATTCTGGTCATTCATAAGTGCATCTACCTACATGAATACTTCCTGATGATCGTCACACTGCCACTTATACAGGCTCTATGCGGTCCTCCCTTCGGGGAAAAGAAAAGTTAACCTTCTCGTCGTATTTAGGATATTTCGTTTCATGTAACTTAAATAAGTCCGAAAACTTGATGCTTGATACCAGTCAAGCTAAAAATTGCTACGTATTTCTTTCAGTCAGAATGTCATGGTCATTTGTGTACGAAACCCATTAACAAGTTTTGGTATTAGCAATGACAGGACAACCCTCCGAAGAGATTTTTACGAATGTCGTATTGTATCTTCTTCATATATCGTAGACCCCGTAGACCCTACTTTTAATTTTAAATGTTTTTTTTTTTTTAGTTATAATTTAAATCCAAGATGGCTAAAGGAAAGAACAAAGAAAGAGACAATGTCAGGAAAGAGTCGTCATCTCCAAAATACTCAAATAGAAGGAAACGTCAAGAAATCAAATATTCTGGTCAGTCTCAAATTAACAAGTTTCCTATCAAATTAGCAATGTGGGATTTTGATCATTGTGACCCAAAGAAATGCAGTGGTAAAAAATTAGAAAGGCTAGGCCTTATGAAAGATCTTCGAATAGGACAGAAATTCCAAGGTATTGTAGTGACTCCGAATGCCACTCAAGTAGTTAGCCCCAGTGATCGACCATTGGTTGAAGAAATTGGAATAGCAGTAGTTGAATGTTCGTGGGCTCGACTAGCGGAAATTCCATTTGGTAAGATAGGCGGGCGTAACGAAAGGCTTCTTCCTTACCTCCTTGCCGCTAATCCTGTAAATTATGGAAAACCAATGAAATTGAATTGCATGGAAGCCATAGCAGCTTGTCTTATTATTGTTGGACGCATGGATCTTGCTCAGGAGTTGCTACAGCGTTTTTCTTATGGAGCGGCGTTTGTAGCAATCAACCAAGAGCTTTTCGATATGTACCAAAAAGGATCGGATTCAAGCTCGATCCTTGAGATAGAAAAAAACTATCTTGACATAATGGAAAGAGAGAAGGAACAGAGAAAGGCGACAAAATCCACCCTTGATTGGTGGACGATGGGAAATCCCAACAGAAAGCGTCTGGACAATGAGAGTGATGACAACCTTGATAAATCTCAAGATGATAGGGTTGACCACGTTAGTGATGAGGACTTTGATAAAACTCAAGATGATGATGGTGTGGACGAAGCTCAAGAAGACGATGGGCAAGATCAAGACATAGAGAAAGAAGAAGACGAAGGGGTAAAAGTAAGTTTACTTACACCATTCTCAGTAAAACAAAACGAAACAGCTAGTTTGGAACAGAAAATTGGAAATATGCAATTGAATGAATAATCGCTCTTCCGTACTAATCTAAAAGGTACAGAGTTAATCACCATGTTTCCTGCACATAGTTACCTTTATCCTCAAGAGCAATCAAGTACCTATGTGCCTCATCTTCAGTCCAATGGTTCATTTCGGCAAATATGGCTTCAAGAGTCAATCTGACTTGCGTTGGCATCTTACCTGACGATCCACAGAGCAAGATTGATCCATTTTCTAGCACAATCAGTCTGTTTATCAGGTTTTTATTCTTGTATAACGTATCTTGAACATAACCGGAACCCTCTCGAGAAAAGGAAGGGAATACTAGCAACTTTTTTTCTCGCTCTAGTTGTGACCAAATTGGGCCATAGAGGTAGTCTTTATTCGAATACCTGTGGCCCGGGAATAGACACAGTGATCTAGAAGGGGCACGTACTATCGATTCTTCAATGACAGATTTGATAGGTGCAATCCCTGTTCCTGGACCAATCATCACTATGGGACGATCGTTCATAAGATTGTGGGCCATTTGGTTTTTAATTACCGAGCTGATAATTAGATCTCCAGAGTTCAAAGTCTTTACCCATCGAGTGCACACGCCTCTTCTAAGCCGACGAATGATGGTTCTGTATTCAACTATTGCAATAGTAAGCTCTATAATGGATTTGTCTGGCTTTGAAGAGATTGAAAACAATCTTGGTTTTAATTGAGGGATCAACTCAGGTAAATAATTCAAAGGGATTTTAAGGGACGAAAATTCTTGGAGGACCTCCAAAATTGATCTGCGAGGCCTATTGGCATAATCGTACAGTTGTTCACTTCCGTTTAGCTTAGAGAACTCTCTTAATTTATCCTGTTCCATTTGATCCGATGCGAAATGCCAAGCGAGTGAGAAAAAAGACCGCCTTGGAATAGACATAATATCTAAATGATGCATAATGAACGATTTGAGAGTGAGGTTTTGTATAAGGCCCCCTGGAGCTCTGAAAGGTCCGTCAATTTGCAGAGGGAAATCAGCAATGTTTGTCCATCCTTGTAATTCTATAAGTGCATTGACATCTTTCAAATCATTTGCCGGATACAAGGCCAATAAGTCCCCAGGCTCATACGATAGCATGCAATCAACGGACTTAAGTTTCAAAAGTCTTACATCTTGAAAATGGTCCTCTGTGGTCAGCCTTTTATTTTCAAGGACCATAAACTTCGTCACCATCTGAGAATGATGATCCATATGTCGCTCTATTGCATCCATCTTACTGCTTTTTTCTGTATCAAGAGCCTTGTTCTGTGTTAAGGGTTTCAATACAGTAGCAGGTTCAAGAAGCTCAGTTTCTGGGACTGGAAGTAAGTTGGTCGATAAAGGAAATTGAGCCTTGAGGCTGGACACCACTGTTTCCTCCCAAGCAATATAAAAAGGCTCAACTCCTTCGGGAGCCTGCTCATTCCCTTCGCCTCTCATGCAAAACTCCTTGGCACCGAGTTGTAGAAATCTAGCATGAATTTTGCGCACAGCTGAATTATACTTCGGATAAGAAGAGTCGCCCAGACCAAAACTTGAGATTCTTAAATGGGAGAAGAGATCCGAAGGTAGACGTTTCTTTAGCATGAACTTCCAAAACTTGCGACCATTTCGAGGAATTTCACCTTGGCCTGCAGTAGAGCATATTATTATGAGACAATTGATGTCAAGAAGTTCTTTGAGATCAAACTCATCTAAGGAGCAAACGGTCAAACTATATCTTTCGTATCTTAGTTTACGAGAAAGGCAGTAAGCATAGTCTTCTGAATTTCCCGTTTCTGATCCATAAAGAATTACTATAGGCTTTCTGTATCCCATCTTGATTAAAAAGACGGAAATTTATTTATATCACATCACGTCTTTTCGTAGGCTCTAATTGAAAAATAGCTGCTTCACCTTCGAGAAGCCTGTGACGCCGCACAATGGTTTTCAGTATTATTTACACTGTCTACCGAAGTTCTATATTATATGAAGACCTCAGTGCCTTCCTCACTTTCTCATCCAGCGCGTTCACTTCCTCAGTGACGAGTGATCTGTCCATCGACTGATAATTGACTCTATAACATTGTGACCTTTTTCCCGTCTTAGGATGCACAAATTCATCAATTAGCTTCACACTTTCGGCCAAATCACCTGCAATTTCACGAACAATTTCCATCAAATCGTTTTCATGAAGTGCAGAAGCTTCAGTGGTGTTTTCAGGAAGCCAAAATGATATATCCCTTACAGAGCCAGGATACTTGGAGTACGGTTTGAAGACCGAGATTTGGTTAGCTGAAAATTGTTTCTTGAACCTGTCATCTCTGGACCAGAAAAGTCTGATATCCGGAACGCCAAAAAGAAGCATTGCAATTCTGTCAAGACCTATTCCAAATGCCCAACCGATGCTATTTTTTATGCCAGACTTCAAAAGAACCTCGTTCTTAACAATTCCACAACCGCAGCACTCTAACCAGCTACCATTCCACCAGACTTCAATCTGCCAAGAAGGCGTAGTCCACGGAAATTTATCTTCTAACCATCTGACCCGAAGAGGCTCTTTGAAATTCGGTGCAATAGCTCCGTTCCCTGAGGCTGCTTTCTCAGCCTCAAGGAAAACCTGGCCAACCATAATTTCAATTGTTCTCTTTAAATGCAAGGTTACCAACTTTGTCTCCAGGTCTGACATGTGGTCTTGTTTGGGATTCCGCACCGCGTCAAATATTGGATTGTTATCTTCCACAATGATATCCAGCTTTGGAAGAGCAGCAATATCGGACTCGATCTGGGAAACTAAAGAATCTCCCGAAGATTTTCGAGACCATAAACGACCGCCTTCCAATTGGTGAAAAACCGGATAGTGGGTACGGTCGATTTCGTCTTTTCGATACACGTCTCCCGAAATGAAGTACCCAGGCGTCGTGCAGTTTTCAAAGCAAAAACGTTCGTGCGCCGAGGTGTGGGTCCGAAGCACAAGATCTTTATTAATATAGTATGTATCAGATCTTGATCTGCCCGGATGGTCCTCTGGAAATCCTAAAACATCAAAATTATCGTGTACGGACACAACGGGATCGAAGTCGTTGTAGAAGGTGTATCCGAGATTCTTGAATCGACTTTCAATCAGTTCTCTCAAAATCCCTATTGGGTGGTTTGAGTTTTTATGCAAATTCCTACCCACTAAAGACAAGATTCCTGGCCTAACATTTGTCCATTCGTCTACAACGTATGCTTTTCCATTGATAATTATCCCCGAATTCGCTTGTCAGTTAGTTCGTCCCGCGTGTATACCTACCCCGGGAAAAAACACGTGCTACAAAAGGGTTCGCAGCCTTACAGGCCCGCATTTTGATGACCATAGTGCTCATGAGAGAAGGGATCTTTTGCGTTGTAAAATTTAAAACCGATTTAAGTTACCCTCTCGAATTTGAAGTAAAACTTAATGGATTTCTGTTAGATTTTTCATTGGTATTCACTAATGTTGAGGTCATACCTTTCTTCTCAGGGTGGTTCAGGCCGCCTAGTAAATTTCATTACAGCCTCACCATGGAGATCTATTGTCCCACGGAGGTATGGACATGAATTTGCACCGCAATACAAGCATCTTAAGAAAAAGCAAAAGGGTAGAGTACCTGTCAGAACCGGTTGTTCGGACAAGGGGACAACATTGAAATTCGGCTCCTTTGGAATGAGATTGAAATCTGAGGGGACAAGGATAACGGCCGCACAATTGAGGGCTGCTGATAATGTACTGATGAAATTCGTGAAGAAAGAAAATGGAATATATTGGAAGCGTTTGTGTACAAACATTGCTGTCTGTATTAAGGGAAATGCAACTCGTATGGGAAAGGGAAAGGGTGCATTCGATCATTGGGCTGCAAGAGTTCCTACAGGAAAAGTTGTTTTTGAGGTTAGTGGAATGCACGAACAAAGTGCCAAGGATGCTCTTCGGAGAAGTTGCGAGAAGCTCCCGGGTGTTTGGGAATTCATCACTAGATCCGCCACGCCCCGCTTGGGCCTAAGATTGGTTGGAAAACTTGCAACGAGGACAAACTATTATGAGAAGCTGAGACATAACCCTACGAAAAAGTTTGCAAACGTGATGAAATCAAAAGAGCGTATATACCAACAATACAACGGGAGAAGCCAATGAACCTAGGATCAATGAAAATCCTTTGTATACAGGCTTTCAATCCATCATGAAACTCTTCTCCAAAATCACCATGACTTTTGTGATGAAACCCTCCAAGTGAAATATGTCTTTGGAACCTAAAGAAAGCCTTTCATCATATATCGTACTTGTCGAGATGACAGCTGTCCTTAGTTCTGCCTTATTTTTGAGGTCAAGGGTTCCAGTAAATTCCCATATGATAAGTGTGAGCTTTTTCAAGAGCAATTTTGCCGGAATAGCATGAGCCATCAACTCATATAAAATAGATCTCGCTTGTTGTAATCTTGATACGGATCGGTCTTTGCAAATGCTGGTGGCTAGTTCATGAAGGACATCAATCCAGTCAGGTCTTATGATGGGGGTGGTTATGCTGACGACATCATGATTCATATACATTGCTTCCATCATCATAATTGACATTCTTAGATTTCTTTCAGACGCATCAGATATTCTCTTGTATATTATGTTTCTTTGTTCACTGTCATCAGGAAAAGCTTTTCTCGCATGGTGCTCCTTCTTTAAAATCATCTCTAAAACTCCAGCGCATGCAGACGTGCTAGGAGAAGCAATCCTGATGGGCAATGTACGCGACTTGATTGGATCGATGATATTGGAAGTCGAATTACAGATTAGTATCAGCCTGATGTTTGCTGAATACTTCTCCATGGTCCTTCTCAATGCAGCTTGTGCATCTCTCGTAAGAAGCTCTGCTTCATTAATAATAACAACCTTGAATTTCTTGCCCATATTCTGTTCCCTTGCGTTTAGAGAGACTAAAGCATTTTCAAACTTGGAGAAATCAAGGCTTTCTATCTGGCCAATCTCCTTGAGCAAATCTTGTATTACAATTCGATCATTGTTACCCATGTCACTCGGGGTGATTTCTAAGTGGAAGGAGGACGATATGACATTGAACTCCAACTTTCTGCCCGAAGGCAAAATGAAAGTTTTCACATCGACCCTTAGTCTTCCGGTTCCAGCTCCATATAGTTCTCTCAGTGTTGCGAGAACTCGTGTCTTTTTCCCAGCACCGGGTGGCCCATACACCAAAAGATGGGGAAACTCTCCCGAACTTGCCATCACCTGCAGCTGTTTCGAAATTCTTGGATGAAAACTCAACTCACTGAGAGTTCTCGGTCTATATTTATCGGCCCAAAGAGACATCTTCTATAATTACTTTACTCAGTTGTCAAAGCTGAACGGGAACAACGCGTCGGCACATAAAAATCACATCGATTTTCGAAATCTGCAAGTGAGACAACCTTACACCGCTACTCAAAACTTAAGAAGAAACATTATAAAATTGATTGTCACTAGTCTATGATCAATCTGATATGAGTTTGAATCTCGTCCCCGACAACGACCTCTGTTTTGCATGTAAACGGGAAAAATTTAAATATAGATGTCCCAAATGTGGTTATAGAAGCTGTTCACTGTTATGTTTTAGAGAGCATAAGATTATGACCGATTGCTCTGGAACCAGTGATCTGACCTCAAATTCTGTCAGCTATAAAAGTAAAGACCAACTCTCTAGAGAAGATGTACAAAGAGATTACAATCTACTTCTTCGAATTTCGCGAAAAGTAGAGGTGGGTAAGCAGGAGGCGAGATGTTCGAAATTGTTGAATCGTAACAGCAAGCATTTGAATGACCGAACAAAGCGACAACGACGTTTTCTTCAAGCGTTCAGCTACTATGCGAGTAAGAGCGGAGTGCATATAATTGAGCTTCCTGAAGGCATGGTGCGTAAACGGTTGAACAGATCATATTATGATGCTCAGAGGGACGTTTGCTGCTGGACAATAGAATGGATCATTATCAACTCGCACTTTGATAAGATTGGAACGATACTTTCACATAATAATCACGAAAATGAGTCTTTAGCAAAACTGCTTCCGAATGACATTCATTCCAAGATGCAAAAAGAATTTTCTGCTCATCTTTCGTCTCCTGAACCAGCAACGGAAACCAGATCGCTGATCTCAATATCAGATAATGATCCTTTAGCTTCATTGCTGGGCGTAAAGGAAGAAGAGAAACAAATTGAAGTAAGCAAGCTCAATCTTCATTATTTCCTACGATCCGAAGTAGCGAGCGACGTTTTTATATCACTCCACGAAGATATGTCGCTCAAGACTATTCTGAAAAACAGGTCTGTCATTGAATACCCTACTATTTATCTGTCACTTGGACCCATCATCCAAGAGAAGATCATTGTAGAACCTTTCATGGAAAGAAATTCCGACGAAGATCGGGCCTGCCTTCCTATCGAAAAGGCGACATCCAGTGACGACGAACCTCCTGAGGAAACTTCGATCAGGCATCAACTGGATATGAAATAGCACTTTTTATTCTTCGCACTCAAAGGTTTATATTTGTATGAATCAATTATACACGTCTTCATTGTGTTGAAATGCAATTTCTTTCAAAAGTCTCTCAAGTGATGAGGCAGCTGATTTCAAATCAGAATCGCTATCGTCATCATTCATGATTTCAGTCACGCCCTCAAGGATTCCCTCATAATATAGTTCCATCAGCAATTTGCGACGATTAATCAAATCATGAGAGGAGTAATCCTCTAGATTAATGTTTGTTGTCTTTCGTGCAGAATGTTTTTGAAGGCATTCTTTGGACTTCGCCAACGTCACTTCCATGCATGTTGGTGGATTGAAAAATCTCATCAACTTCAAATTACCGTAAGGGTCTGCGCCACGGGGAATCATGTAAGCAGAAGTTGTCGAATGAATCTGTGATTTTTGGCTAATGAGAGTATTATCTGCGTTAGTTTCATACCTGTCTGCACTCATTGCACCAAGCTCTAAAAATTTGTTCAAAAGCTTAACTTGAAACAACCTTTGACGACTTTTGGTCGTTGTACTCTTTATAGAATTTAAGGTTGCAGTATTAGTCGTAACTCTAAAACTCGTAGACTGTGAAGTCAAATGTTGTGGTTCGCCACTCCTCCATCCTATCAAATGGATAAAATTTCGCAATATCTTACCCCAATGGTCTCGTACCACTACATTTGTCAGAAAAATGTGCTCGAAATCGATCAATATATCTAGAAACTTGACGCTATCGTTTCTTATCGATTGACTGATGTGGCTCATACCTGAAAGTACAAACAGTACAATAGATGATTGATGCAATACCAAGAGTTCTGTTTTTGTGCTGGCCAACTTTTTGAGGATAATCATGCAACGTTCTCTTACGAATTTGGACTCGTCTAGAATTAAAGGTTTGAGTTTGCTGACAAGCTGATCAAAAGGGAAATTATCACGGAAATCATGCCTTTCAATTTCCCTTTCAATCTGGACAAGAACTTCATGTCTCGATGACGATGAATGATGCTTTAAGAGCGATAGAAGTTTGACATATTCTGGGTCATCATTCTGGCCCGACAATAGCTGTGATTTGACACGAATACTTTTAGACTGGAATGCAGTGTTTGTCAAATTTGAGGACTTAGTCACGGTCTTTCCAACTTTCAGTCTTCTCTTATCAAAATCTTTTTGCTTTTTCGTCTTGTATTTAGGTGCCATCTTCGAGTTTTTTTTTTTGTTTTTGAGGAACGTTAAATTTTATTTTTGCTTTGATAACCTTTGCTTTGCATAAAATTTACTCCATTATCGAATAATTGAGACTATAAGGAAATAAGAAAAACGCTTTTCGCGATTTTCGTTATATACTTCGATACATGGAACACTTGAATATTTTGACTTTAAACGACGAACTTGAAGTAGAGGGAGGTTTGCTGAATTTGTCACTGGCAAACACGACAGATAATATTGTCGCGGAGAAAAATTCGGATGAGGATGTCTCCATGCATGATGTATCTTTTTACGAGGACCAAGAAGAAACAGGTGACATGGATGGTCAAATACCAAGCACCATTGATGTTCTTAAAGAACAATTGAAACAGTCGTCTAGCATTATTGATATTTTTCATCCAACCGAGTCGGGCGCTCGCTTAGCTCAATCAGGAAGGCACATTAATAAGATTCAGAGAAATGCAGATATCGAGATTAGAGGTGATTCAGATTTTCAGCATATTGAAGAATTTCCTTTGCGCTACGATGGGGCTTCATCAAAAACCACACAACGAACCCGAATCGAAAATGGGAACGAAAGTTTGCCTTTGGAAGCCAGGGCAAGAGGAACGAAACCTAATAACGTTCAAGTTCACAACCACTATTACTTTTCTTTCAGTTTGCCTCCAGTGGACTCTGAATTGCTTCCTGAACCATGGACACAGGAGTCAAAACCTTGCTTCAAAATACCATATTTACTCTTGACTTATCTACAAATATTTTTGAACACTTTGGCGGCATGTTACTGCCTGAAACTTGGCTATGAAGGAGTGCAAGGCATCAAGTTTGATATCGCAAGAGCGGTAAAACAAAAAATTCATGCTTCTTATTTTGAAATAGAAGCGTGCCGAAGAAAATATGTTGAGAATCATTGCGATCCCTATACTCGACTTCCAGCTTTACAGGAAACGTGCTTACAATGGGAAGCTTGCATGAATAGAAACCCATTCCTCTCAGTGTCCTATTCCAGTCTTTTAGCGGAGATTTTTGGAACCATTTTGAGCTCTTTTGCAGAGCCTTTAAATGTCAAAAGTTTCTCATTACTTTTCATGATCATGGGCTTTTGTTATTTGTCTAATTTTGGGTGCGGATTTCTGAGGTGTGGTACATACTACGGCTGGAATGATAAAGGCACCAACCTGGATGTCAAAGCGTTAAAGACACCCACGACGCGGTCAAGTTCCCAAAAAACTTCCAATCAAATTATTCTACCTGAATGCGCCGATGATACGCAAGACCACTGAAACTCAATATTAATTGTGGACTCAAACGTGGTAGTTTTGTGGGAACTAAAAAATGCATTTAGCAAATTAGTGCCAAATTCGTTGAGAATTTGAGGTGCAAAGGCGAACTAAAAGCCAGCCACGCTGCTGCATAAAAAATTGAAGCCCTTTGATTGATGCCTTTTGATTACTACATTGGGAAATAGCCAAATAGAAATACACTAAAATGATAATAAGCTAATGTTAATATTACATATATCTTGCTTTAAACTGTTTTCTTTTATCAGTTGCCGAAAAATCACCAAGATGGCTGGTCTCTATATACCGATTAATGATCTGCTCTCCTTAATTTGTCATGCCATAATTGTTGTCCCAAGTCTGGTATAAATTCACTCAGCTCGCTGGCACTCACATCATTCCGGCTCTGTTGAAATGAAATCATCCTGCTTTTTAATTTCTCTGTTTTTCGCAAGCCTCTTCTATAAAACACTTGCAGAGGAGGCGATTTTTCAAAGGGACGACAATTGTGTTGTGAACTTCCATACGGTTGTCAAGTATGAATTCGTGTATGCTAGCGGGGAAAAGTCAGATTCGTCTACCAAATCTCGTCCGGATTCCACTTCGAGCAGCAAAAACTTTGCTGATCCTCACAATACGCATATTTCTCAGGTTTTAAGTTCCTCATCTGATATGTCGCCGACTATAACTCCTCTTATCGAAACATCCACAAATGGACTTGGTCCGTCTTCGTCTGACCCTGAGACTCTGAAGTCGAGCTCGACCTTTTCAACGCTGTCAGAATCCAGCAGGGCTACTTTTGATATTAGTGCTGAATCCAACAGTGTGATAATATCGTCATCATCAACGGAAACCGCAGCAGTCACAAATTCTTATGTCTCTTCATCTACAGCAATCGCCACCCCATCATCATCATCATCATCGTCAGTGCTCACGTCTTCATCAACGTCATCGACATCATCAACAAGTTCGTCTGTATCCACTTCATCGCTATCATCCTTCGCCCAGACGTATTTGAATAGGCACAATCATTTCAGAGCCTTGCATGAAGATACTCCTAACCTAACATGGAATGAGGATGTAGCTGAAGTTGCACAAAAATACGCTGACGCTTACACATGCAATGGGGAATTGGTGCATTCAGGAAACTCTTTGGATGGCCAAAGTCTCGGTGAAAACTTAGCTTATGGCTACAATTTTGCTACCGCTGGTGCCGTTGATGCCTGGTATAGCGAGATTAATCAGTACAACTACGCAGATCCAGGATATTCAGAAGCTACGGGACATTTCACGCAGTTGATCTGGAAATCATCTACTGATGTTGGCTGCGCTTACAAATACTGCGGTTCTTACTTGGGCTATTACATCGTATGCAACTATTTGCCAACAGGTAATCTTGTGTTGAGCGGTGATCCAAGTTATTTCTTCAAACAAAATGTGATGCCTCTAAAATCATGATGTACATTACTACAAAACACCCTTGCGCGGAATATTCGCTCAATACAATAGACGTTTTTATTTGACACGTAAAAAATGTAATTTGCCAGAAAAAACCTTTACCGATTATCGGATACCAGATTATGTAAAGGTCATCTTTTACCAGCAGTATATAATATCAAGACTACGATTACAGTTAAATGATAAAAATGTTTAGGTGCTGCTTAAGTATATCGGCTAAAGGCATCCAGGCTTCCAATAAGTGTATGATTCGGTTCCTTTCACTAAAAACTGTTGGCACACCGAATGACAATGCGCTTAAGTTTGTTTCCACAGATTTCAAGTTTCTTCCAGGGTCTTTAAACACTGCTGTCGAGGTCAACGATCTTCCTGAGGCGTCGGAAAGATCTCCTTTAGCATCAGAGCTCTTCAAAGTTAACGGCGTGAAATCTCTACTTATTGGGCACAATTTTATCACTGTAAGTAAGGTTGATCCCGAGCTTTCTAATAATCCTGACTTGCATTGGGATAAGTTGTCTACAAAGGTGATGAATGTGATAACTAATGCTGTTGATTCCAATATTCCGGTTCTCAACCCCGAATACCTGAACGAAATAGTGAGATTGCAGGATGAAGCTCAAGAAGACGATGACGATGTAACCTATGAGATCAAAGAACTTATAAATACGAGAATCCGCCCAGCACTTCAGGATGATGGAGGTGATATTCATTTCAGATCGTTCGATCCAGAAACTGGAACGGTCTATCTTAAACTACAAGGTGCATGCAAATCCTGTTCTCTCAGTGAGGACACCTTGAAGAACGGCATTGAAAGTATGCTCAAACATTATATCCCCGAAGTGGAAGAGGTGAAAGCAGTTTTGGATCCTGAAGAAGAGATTGCTTTACAGGAGTTCGAGAAGCTGGAGAGAAAATTGAAACAACAGCAAACTTTATGATGAGAGCGAGGGCTCTTGCAAGATGCAGATATACGCTACTTATCCGCTTACCTCTGAGTTGTAATAATGATATCAGACACCAAAGTCAACAATTCACGAATCATATATGAGTATAGAGAAGATACGGGAAACATCGATTAACCGATATCCTTGAGCCCTATTCTATTCGCATAGCGTTCACATCTTTCAGCAAATTTGAAATCCAGTTGTGTAATGCCCTGAGCATCATGGGTAGTAAGGTGGATAGTGACTTTATTATATAGTGTAGTGACTTTAGGATGATGTCCACAGAGGTGCGCTCTTAGAGCAACTTTTGTCAAAAATGCCCAGGTATCCTCGAAGTTTTGAAATGTGTATTCTCTCTCAAGGAAATGCCTGGGGTCTAATACCCACTTGCGTAAACCCAATTGATCTTTAATCTGCAAAGCTTGTTCTAGGGACAATCTTGTCATTTTGGTTTTCAACATGGTCGAAATATATTCATGAAACTATAAGAGATTACTTTGCAGATTTAGAGAAAAAATTAATGAATAATCCTATCCAGTTGCCAATACGCATGGCATGGCGTCAGCAATTTATCTTCTTGATCTAGAGCTCAATATCATCATACAAAGAGAATACAAGAATGATCTCAACTCTCAATCGATTATAGAATACTTTAAGAAGGCTCAAGCAGGTTCTCAATGCCCCGTTGTGTCATTTAATGGCGCCCATTTTGCTTATACTAGATGTGACGATATATATCTCATGAGCCCCATTTTTGACAACTCGAATATAGCATGTCTCATCACTTTTTTATCAAAAACTGGAGTCTTATTGGGTCAATACATGAACCAAAGAATTACATCAGAATCTATTAAAGATAATTACATTCTTGTTTATGAACTTTTTGATGAGGTACTAGATTATGGGATTCCTCAACTAACAGACTTCAACATTTTGAAAGAATATATTAGTGCTAGTTCAGGTGGTGAAGCTATAAACTCCAGTATCTCTCGTACGCCCACTAACAACATTTCCTGGAGACCAAAGGGGATTTTCTACAGTAAGAACGAAATATTCATAAATTTCACGGAGAGCATTAAGTTTAAATACAACTTCAATACCAGGCATATTATGCTCAACACAATTGATGGAGAAGTTGAATGCAAGTGTTATTTAAGTGGAATGCCTATTTTGAAAATGGGGATGAATGAAACGTTCAGCAGAGACGACAAACTCGAAAGATTGGTATTCACTAACTTGAAATTTCATCAGTCGGTAAATCTCTCACATGTCCAGGACTTTATAACATTCGTGCCCCCTGATGGCACATTCAAGCTTTTTAGCTATAAAATCTCCAACACTATGCGACTGAAGCCTTTAATAATGATAAGGCCCAAATTCAAAGTCTTCAGAAAAAACGGCATTTGTAAATTACGCGTCAAGGTGGAAATCAAGACGAGCTTCAAAAGACGGTACTCACTTCGTGATGTGAAAATACACATTCCGTTGATGATTCCTTTGAGGCATCTAAAAGTCAACTTCAATGAGCCGTTGAAGTTTAAAACAAAATTGGGATCCGTTTCATACAATATAGAGAGAAATTGTATTTCATGGATGATTTCGAAACTGGAAGGCAATTCCAGAGGTGAAATGCAAAGTGAGATGAATCTTTTACATTATAAAACGATTGAAAAACAGCATAACACGAACTTTCATCTCCTCAAGCAAGACAAGAATGATCTGATATATTATGATTTGGAAGAAGAATTCAAAGTACTAGCCAACTCAAGCTCCTTTAATGCGAAGCAAGTTTCCTCAATAAATATAGAGTTTGATTTGATTTCAGCTCTTTACAGTGATCTCAAGGTTACTTACTTAAAGATTGAAGAACCTCAATTCAAATTTCAGAGTTTTCCTTGGGTGAAGTATACAGTGTCATGCCGAGACGAAGACTACTCATTTACGCTGAGTGATGATTTGTTCGAAATTGATTTAACTCCTGATGAGATAAAGGAAGTAGAAGATTCTCACAGTGGGCTGCAAAATAAAGTGACATCAGAATTGTCTTTCATAAATAACGACATACATTTAAAAAAGTTTCAAATATCAGGCAGTTCGCAATTGCAATCAGAAACTCATGGACGTATACTGGATTTTGAAGAGTATACACTTGAAGAAGATACTGTTAGCATTCGTACAGAACTTTCACCTTCACGCGACGGAACATCTTTCGAGGAACTTGAACAGAATGATTTGCCAAGGGATGATGGTACATATAATAAAACAACGGTTCTTGATAATCGTCAAAATTGATCGATGGATTGATCCATCATATAGCTGTTCCTATTGTTCAATGATACTTCAAACACGTACTGTCAATTCCGTATGCGCAACAAATAACTCGAGCCTTGAAAGTAGTTCAGCAAGGAGAGCGGCATGAAAAAATGACTTGACTTTGTAAATTGCCTTTACGGATCGATCCTCTCTTGTCGAGCTCAGATCACCTGCACGTATAGAAACGTTACTATAAAAATGTAACTACAACTAACTATTTTCCAAAAGATTATTGTCACTGTTCACAAAGAAAACCGTACATCACCCATCAATCAATCAATCTTTTTCTATGAGTGTACTATTTATAATTTTCTTTCCCTGAGAAGAAGCAATAATAATGGTGAAGTTTAGGAATTACGCACTTGATTTAGGATATCCAATCTACGGAGCAAAGTTTGTCAGCGACAAGATTTTGGTTGTTGCAGGAGGCGGAGGAGAGGGAAACAATGGAATTCCCAATAAAATTACAGCCCTTTTGATTCAGCCACAGAACTCCAAGAAGCCCATCAAACGGTACAGAGAACTGGTCCTGAATGAACAAGAGGATTGCCCGATGTCCCTAGATGCAAATAATAATCAGATCTTAGTTGGAATCAATGAAAATTCAGAGTCAATTAGGCGAGGAGTTAACAAACATCTGAGGAAGTTTAAATATCATAATGATCACTTGAAGTTTGTCGAGAGTTGTCAAATTCATCCAGGAAATAATCCTCAGCATTACCAAAAACTGACTAAAATGACTAAGGATGCTACACTGGGCGTTATCGCGATGAGCGATGAACCCTCATCTCTATATATTGTGGATATGTCGGGCGATCTTGAGGAAAAATTCAAAATTGTGACTGTTGGCGATGTGAAAGACATCAGCATTTCTCCTGACGGCAAAATGATGTGTTACATTACATCGAGCCATTTTGAAGCAATATCGACGGTGACTGGGAGGTCTATTTTCAAGAGTAAGATTAATTTTTGGATGTCAAAGATTGAATTTTATGATAACAATATGGTTATAATAGCAGGGTCTAGCAAAACTGGAGTGATGGTCGGGAAATTTTCGATTGCGAAATCTGCAGTGACGAAAACTACTCTTCTAGCGAAAGCTTTAAAAGGAGTAACCTCATTGGACACTAATAGTCAATGCGGTTTGATTGCTTTGGGAGGATCTGATTGTTCGGTCTTGCTGGTTAGATCGCATGATCTGAAGTTGCTGAAGAAGCTTGATAAAGTGCATGGTTTTGCAATTACGAGGGTTGTTTTCTCTGAAAATGGTGAGTACCTTGCATCGGTATCAGCGGCAAATACCGTGAATATCATAGAGCTACCCTCAAAGCTTGTTGAGTTGAAACCGTTGTACTTATCACTGTTTCAGGTTCTGTCCTCAATTATAGTTGCATGTTTGATAGCATTTGCTCTGCAATACCTCCATGTCAACGGATACATCCACCAAATACAGACGAAAGCAGTTGAATACTATAGGTCCAAACAATTAACGGACTCGTCACACTATTTCACAATCCAACCGATTGCTTCAAGTGAAGTGTTCCCTAAGGGACCGCTTTCCACTACCATATGCATGCCTAGCTCTTCCTATGTATCCAATTTGCCTACGGATAACTGGACAGAAGAAGCGCATAGAATCAGTGAACCACAGGATATGGAGACTAGTGAGTATACATTTCTGAAACCAGTTAAAACGCTCGCAAACAATATGCAAAACGTTTGTAGCAGTGTTACAAGGTCCTTGGAAACTAACGGCCACGAGAAGCAGATATCGTTGAAGACTGAACCTGAAATATCTGGGTATCAGAACATGGATTTCCTTACGACGTCTGGAGAAAGTGAATCAGAAGTTAAGAAAAGTACGAAGACACTGACAGTTGTTGAAACTGTCTTAGAGACCCAAACTTCTATTATTAGAAGCACTCAAATATCGACCTCAATTGCGACTGTCTTAACTACTGATGTGCAAAGTATAACTGAAATCGTCTATCTGACTCCGGACTTGAATGATCTTTCCATCAATGTTTCGAATTCAGTGCTTTCAACCAAATCAAAACCGAGAAACTGGGACTCAATTGTATCCGATTCCTATGTGAATTCAGATTTGAGGAATGCAGTCTCTGACGGGGAAGGAGAGCTGTCGTCTCCATCATCAAATATTGATCCCAATATTTACTCGACGGAGAGTATGAGTTTGACGAGTGTTCAAGATGCACCTCAGACATCAAAACATGGAACAGAAGAATTTTCTCACGATCCTTTTCCATCATTCCATAAGGGAATCAATAGGAACGAAGGAAACTCGGAAGAGAGATTGGTTACTTCCATATCTGATGAACATTTTGACGATCCAAAGATACAGTTGGATAATCCTGGACCACAAACGGATTCTGTTCAGTCGAATCTCCAGACTCTGAATCTCGTTCTCAGAGAAGGACAGGGCATCGGATACCAAAATAGAACTCCATCCGTCATCAATGATTATGCTACGAGCATGACTCATGAAGGAATTATGATAGTCAGACTAACCAGTTCGATGGCTCCGGAAATAACTGCAGATGTGAAACATTTTGCAAATTCTGCGATTAGTAAAACCGAAGACTATCAAGAGTCTTCGCAAGAGCCTGAAAAACTAGTTTTATTACTTGCTACACAAACGAAAACGCTAGATATTGGCGGAGGACGTCAGACAGAACTGGAATTATCTAAGAAACCCTACACGCTACATTCAGTTTTACCTAAGGCTCTCGAAAACGAGGATATAATATCGAATGATTTCCAAACCTGACCATTTCTAACTATGACCTATATAGTTTATGTATTTCAAGTAGCATAAAGTCAATTAGACTTCTCCAGTTCTTTTGCTGTTACAAGCCACTATCTTAAACTTATCGACATTCACTGTCTCGTTATCGTCAAATTTGATATTCACATCTTTTATCACAAAAGTCCAGACATCATCACAAAAGCGATATGTATGAAGATGGCCCTTAAAAGTAAGTTTTGACTTCACAGAATCTCTCAGATTATCTGAGGTGACTCTATCAAAGTTTGCTAGAACCTTCATCGCCAGCTGAGGTTGAATTCTTTGATCCCCAATTAAAGCATCCAGAGCATCTGTGAGCGAGGTTCCAATTCTTGATGTTAATAGGGATATGGGAAACTTTTGAACTTACGTGCTCCTTCTATAGAACTCATAATATGTGGGTGCATTCATATCAAGAGAATATCAAAACTAAGTAATTTTAAGTTGACTGAATGCAGCAGGTATGAGAAAATTCGGGGTGGATAGAGAATGATTACATAATAACAAATTTATACCTGCGAGAACTGTGGAATCGTTCATTATAGCATAGTCTATAGCCAAGCATATATGAGGAAAGTCGGTCTTGAGGTTAACTATAACTTGGCGTCAGGTTTAAATTGGATACGAGAAAACATGTTTTGAATACTCTAAGTCAGCAAGTATCTCGTATTGTGGCCGGATAAATCCAATCACTCGAAGTGAGAAGATTTCGCTGATCAGGAGCATGGGTGAAATTATGCCACATTCCGTGCAACAAAACTGACTCATTTTTAACTAGTCCTAAGAGATCAAGCTTGCTGATTCACAGCTAAGGATGTGGGGTTGGTCACGTAAGCAACAAATATATCTGTTCTCGATAGCCATTCTGACAAAATCATTACGTAATATTGAAGGGTCTAGATAAAGTATTGTCTAGTCATGTAATGAGATTCGCATCGCTCAGTCACGACTCAATTAGGGAAAACACTGTATAAAAAAATTGCACGACTGCTTGTGGGGGAAAGAGTCTGGCGATAGAACTATTTTCATGAGAGCCTATATTATATTGTAAGCAATTTAATTACCACATTCCAGCTGCAGTTCTCATACAATATGTACCAATTACGGCTATAATATCTAACTGGTGTTAAGTGAACGGAACAATCTCTTACAAGAAGTTCCTCTTTCGTACTTCAATCTCCTGAAAAATTCACATCATTCCAAACTATTGCTCATCTCGTAGCTAAAGTATCAGGAGCTGACTACGTTGCACTAAATGGTGGACACAATACAGGTTTGATTTCTTACGTAATACAGTGAAGGTTTTCGCTTGAACCTCCTTGACCGATAGAAAATATTATTTCAAAACTACCTAGTTAGTTGCGAAATTTGCAAATTTCCCTTCTTATGGCTGTTATATACTATAAGTTCAGGTCGCAACGTGATGACTTAATTTCGACGATCAAGTTTGATGGAACAGGGCTTACGGTGTTTGAGCTTAAACGAGAAATTATTTATGCTAATAAGCTGATCAATTCCACAGACACGGATATTTTATTATATCATGTTGAAGATCCAGATAAAGAGTATGAAGATGATAATGAAGTAATACAACGAGCATCAACAGTGCTAGTAAGAAGAACGTCAGGTGGCAAGAGAGGAAGAGGAAACATTTTGCGATATTTAGCAGGGAAACCAAGGATTGCGAAATCTCAAGTTCCCATTGCAGCCTCATCACCAGCACCAGCATCTGTGGTTCCTGCTAATGAAGATGACAGAATTAGACAGATGTTCAATCAACAGGATGATCAGTGGAATCAACAACAGGCCCTCATGGCCTCTGCGCAAAGGGTGGAAAGTAACAGGCAAAATTTGAAACTTGATGAAAACATTCCTGAATATTACATTTGTTACAAATGCGGTGAGAAAGGAAAACATCATATTAGAAACTGCCCAAAGAATAATGATCCTAACTGGGATGGAATCAGGATAAAGAAAACGACTGGAATACCTAAGTCCTATTTGCGGACTGTTGATAACCCGACTGATATCGTCAACGAACCTAATCAGAATTTCATGGTGAACGAAGAAGGAAAATACGTGGTCGCAGTTGCTGATAAGAAAGCATGGCAAAGATATCAAACCATTCAGCAATCAAGGCAAGCTGAAGATGATCTCCAGATTGAAGATCCTGAGCTGAGAGATTCTCATTCAGGTAAGCTTTGGAAAAGTCCTGTAAGAACCAAGTGCTGCAAACAACTGTACTCAAGACCCTATATTGAAGATATACTCATGGAGTCAGATTTCAAGTGTCCGCACTGTGGTCAAGAGGAAATATATCTTGATTCTCTTGAACCTGACGAGGAATTACAGCGAAAAGTAGACAATTACGTGAAACAGCTTAAGAGAAAAAATTACGCGGAAGAAGAGCCAAACAAACGGCAGCACCTGGCTACAATGATACCTACGATGATGCCATTCATGCCGTTTCCTGCCCCCATGTCTTTATCAACTAATAACAAGAAGTAATAATCAACTGTCACTGATTCATTTTTCACAAAAATTACTTTTCACCATCGCTATATGATATGACGGCCCACTTTCCACTCGAGCACCACAATTCTCCGTATTCGTTTCCTAGGCTTTTCCAGTACTGCGAGAGTTCTTCGTCCTTCCCAGGCGGCAAGCCTGCGCAAACATCTGCCTTACACGTCCTTAATGCAAGAATATGGATTTTTGAGCTTGCTAGTGCATCGATTGCTGTGGTAAACGGAGTATCTCTCGGCCAACGTCTGTCTCCGGTCAATTTTCTGTAATTCAGGTCACCTTTAACAATCACTAAACAGGAATTTTGAAAATACTTGTATAGATCGGCCCCTCCGTACTTAGTCTCCGAAGGGCTCAAATTCCAGTAATCTAGATCCACTGTCCAGAATTCCGAGTCTTGCAATTCAATCTTCCCTTGGTTTCTATAACTTTCAAGCTTTGAGATCAGGAAGTCGATTTCGAATCTGTGCTCATCGAATATAGATGAATCTTTTAAATCGTTGATCAAATTGTGATAATCCTTTATCATAGTATCACTCACCATCCATGGTCTACATTTACAATGCAAAACCACTTTATCGACGATTTTCGTGTCAAGTAACAGCAAGCTGAGCATCAAATCTGTGAACAACTCAAATCCTGCATTATCCAACACAAAATCGACTCGTCTTTTTGCCAATGGTAAAGAATGAAGACGGTTCCAAGCTTGAGGTAGATCGTTGCATAATATATTTTTTGAGGAATTTGCTCTCGCCTCTTTGCCTTGAACAGATTTGATATCATCTAAAGATGCGTTTGCTAGCAACGATAAGTCGGTAGCATTACCCCACAAGGAAACATCAACGAACTCTTCAAATAATAATTGCAAACTCTCCAAATCCAGCTCATTATCTTTTTTCTCCTGAATTTGGCTATTCAGCTGCTTATATCTAATGGCAAGCTCGTATATCCCAAGGGCTGATGACTTGAATGTTTCTCTCTTGAGCCTGTCAAATACATCAAATTCTAGCCACTTTGACTTGGTTTTGAAAATTGTATCCAGACGTCTGTAGAGGTAACACTCACAGAATAACCAAGGGCCAGTCAACCAAGTAACTTCTCCAATCTTTGACAAAGTTTCATTATAGGACTTCAATCCCGGAATGAAAAGGCTGGAAAAAGGCGTGAGACAGGAATTGGCTTGTATTTCTTCAACCAGTTGGATGATTTCCTGAACAATTTGGGCTCCTTCCGTTTTTGCGTCGATATCTTCTCTAATTGAGATTTCACGAGTCGTGTCATCGATTGCAGTGTGAAGAATTTTTGGCCATCTCGACCTGGCTGTCGAAAAGCCAAAGGAGTGTGGATCACTGTTATAATATGGAGGTGGAATGGTCATTTTAACCAAAAAAGTCGTGTTGCGAAGATCACAAAAATCTCACAAAAATGACCTACATAATAATTCTGATGAAAATCAAAACCCAATTAGGCAACTCTCCGACAATACTAACTAATACGGTAATTGGATTAGGCATTTATTTATCTGAGTCCTCAAATGAGTCTATGTCCCGATGGGTCAAATTCGAATATATCTATCTGATCAAGGTTCAATATTTCCTTCTCGTTGATGCAAGTTTGAAAGACCTCATTACATCTGTTGTTGATATCCCAAGCTCTTCAATCAAGAGCTCCCATCTATACTTTAGCCCAAAGCCATTCTCTCATGACACTGTACCATCCAAACTACATACTAGCGAGGTCGATCTGTTCTTGAGTTCAAGGGACGCCCGTTCTGCTCTGGTCAAATACAAGGACGTGCCAATTACCACTGCCAGCACATCCGGCTGCGGTGGCTAATATGTCACACCTTTCTCTCACCACCCTAGGGCTTTGTTCAATAAGTTGGAGTGAAACCCAAGAGGAGGTTTTTTGCATTTTCTGAATGGACTGTGTCTTCTTTTTCTGTTTGGTAACTGTAACATTAATTCCATTGTTGCCTCTCACGGTTACCTTTGATGATGTGATGAGTCTTGCAAATTTTGGACTTCCAGGCTCAATTTCAAAGCAATACCTGGTTTGGGGATCAGTTCTTGTCGCTAGTATCCGTTTCATGTACCACGGGTATTTGTACGCCTATACGTAAATTCCACTATATCGTACTGGGTACTCATGCGGAACAAATTGGTTACGTTTTGGTTGCCTGATTGATTAAGGTGAAGACCACGGTAGCAATTGATTCAATTGAGGTTCAAAATGCAGTCAAGCCTTGCTTTGACAATGGCTTCCAGTGATTCTTTCTGAACGAATAAAGTCATCAGATTATATAGGCCATGAGAGTACCTATGATGTCAACTGGTTTCATCACTTTACCATCAGCAAGGACAATTTTCAGCGCAATCGCGTTGTTCTTTAGCAGAACCAACGTGATTGCATTAGTCCTCGGGGCATGAATCCTAAGATTCCACCTATCATTGAGCAAGGACCAGGATCAGGCCCTAACATCAATTCATGGCCTTCTAGGAACTCATTGATTTTTATTCAACCAATACAAGGCAGAAGAACTACTACACCGAGATCTTCATTTATTTCAAAGTTTGATTTGATATATCCAGAATCGAGATATTCCTTCTTCATTTCTAATGCATTTGGCCTTAATAGAATCCAATTAAAAACTCGTACGTCAGGATCACTCAATTCGTGGTAAGCCTGCATACTCTTGGAAATTTGTAATCTATCGTTTGCGCGTATACAATATGTTATGATCTCTTATATACTTCGAAGGAACAAAGTTAGAAGAGTCACTCAATCCAATTCCAGGATCGCTAGACATGTATGTAGTAAGGGGCTCCTCCAAAAAATTGTTCCTTTTTTGTATACCGCGTTGTCTCTGAGTGACATACGTCGGAAGGTAGACAACCAACTGCTGTGATCGAGGAGCTTATTTTTTCTTCAATGATTGATGCGTAGTTCAAACCCTCTTTCATGTCCGCAATTCCATCTCCAAATTTTAGAAAGGAGCAGGTATCCCGAACTGAAATTTGCTCTCACCCTATAATATTTCCAGATAGAAATTATTTCCGGACAATACACATAAACGCTGGATTGAGATTCAAAATCTCCTCAGTATTTTGAGTATTAAGCTAAAATAAATAGAACGACTTAGAATGTGACTAGGCTGCATCGGCAGTGCCTCCATAGATTTTGTTCATTGTTTCTTGAGCTCCACTTCGCACAATCTTGTTACCGTCCGTGTCATTATCTATCGGAACTGACTTATTCTCTATTCGCTGTTGTTTCCAAAAAAGGGTTTCCGAGCCTCCCAAGGCCCCGATGCGCATTGTAGCTAGCAAATTTCTTGCTGCATTGGAGTGTTGATAAACTGCACCATTGAAGGCAGTGGTGGCATCTTTCCCATGTGCAGCTTTGATTAACGGCAATCCTCCTGGATGATCTTTTGCAAAGGGAGTGATATCATGAATGATCCCTGAAACTACCACTAGAAATCTGTTCTCAGATTTCTCAGCCAGTCTTCGAAATTCATCTGGCGAGAATACTGGTAACTTTTCAATGGGAATTCCCCAATTCAATTGCGAACGTTTGTTGTCAATTAGTTTCTGCTGCTGTTGAACATAGGACATTTCAACTGTCGAATTGGAAGTCTTCTTCAGACCTCTGACACAATGCAAACAACAGAGTAATTTTATTAGCCATCTAGTAGGATCAAATTCATACCAAACATTGCTATTCCGGTAATCCATAGGAAATTCATAGTGAAAATTCAAATTTCCCTCACCCAGTGTGATGAGATTAAGTAGCACGTTGTTTCTGGGGGACTTGCCATCATTGTATGGTCTAGTACCAATGGTATGACCAAAGGAGCTAGTTGCAAAGATAGAATGTTGGGCTAGAGCTGTTTTAAAAAATCCGGCATATATCAATCCACCGATATAATCATTCCAAAACCATCCGCAAATAAGGCTTGGTATCATGAGACCAACAGTTATAAATAGTAGAACATAATTATCTGCCTGCCACTTAACAACTTTCTTGTTAGGAAGCTCGTCGAGTTTACTCTCCCTGATGGCTCTGGAGACTTTGAGATTATGAATTATTATCATCCATCCACAATGACTAAATAGGAAACCCCTTCTAATATTGTGAGGATCTATATCGGAGACATCGCAGTATCTATGATGTGCACGATGAGACGAGCACCAATTTTTCGCAGAAGTTATTCCCGCTCCTGAGGCTAAGGCCGCTAAAACGAAAACCAGTTTTTCGCTTTCAATGTCAAATGAGCTGTGTGAGAGGTATCTATGATAGAGCACATTTACTGACATGAGCGTACAACAATGGAGAAATGCAGTAAAATAAAGTGTCTGCTTGTAGGGTCTAGCATTATACGAAAAACATAATATCAACCCAATGATCGGACAGAGGATGATCAGCGTGAAATTTTTCCAATGAATATGTCTATACCAATTTCTCAAAGTCCAGGATCTCTCTGAAATGTGCCTTCTAAGAATTGTTGATGCTGTATGGGTTGTCTGGATCTTTTTGATGGTTTTTTTGACTTTTGCGATTTGTCCTTGCCTACCGTATTCTTGAACATACTGAAGCGGAGAGTCTTGCTGGCTTGCAGTATCCCCCGAAACCAGGATGTTGTACTTTCTCAATTCAGACTCCGGGTACTCAGCTTCTGGAATCATTAGTGTATCTATTCGTGCACAGACAACGACCAAATAATTTTATAAAAATTAATCCTGATTGCCACTTTTGGTGCGACGACTAAACTTACCAGGGCATCGAGATTCAACTACAAGAAAAGAACTTTTAACAACAATTTCACTCGTCACTCTGTAGAAAAGCCACGCGAGTAGTAATTATTCATGTTAGTTACAACTCGTAAAACTTGATTCCGAGTTTTCTTCCTGACAAAACTCTAACACCAATTGTAATTCAGTCTTTTGTTTCCCTTCCGGAATAGGCTATTGTTTAGCATTGATATGCAGATCTGGCTTTGGAGAAATAACAGCGTCAATGAGAAGCTTGATAACATCCTCTTTCTTACTTTCACAAGTTTTCTTGATGTTTGCAAGCTCATCTTTAACCTGCTCTTCCGCCTCCATTTCAAGCTTTTGATTCGAGCCCTGAAATTCTTCTTCGTATTTCTTGAGCTCCGCCTCTTTCTTTAGCCTATACTGTTCAATTTCCTTCTGCGCATCAAATTTGGCATCCTTCAGTTTTTGTGCGCGATCTAGTTCGTTAGTCTATCATGTGATTGAAGACTAGTGGACTTACATTGTCTTGCCTGAGACACAATCTCCTGTGCTTCTTTTTCAGTCTGAAAAGTGACATTAGTTCAGGCAACATCTAACAATCGATACTTACTTTCAACAAACTCTGAATTCCGGACTACATTGTCGTTAGGCTCGGTCACTAAAAATGACTATGGCGGCCACTTACCATATCTCAATATTTGCTATTAGTCCAATGGTAGATAAAATGATCAAACCTGTAATCGTTGAAATTCTGTCTATAATAATAGTTCTTGTAATGTTTTTGTCCTTCCATAGTGCAGCCAATTTGTTCATTGCTCAAATGACCCTGATTTTATTTTGGCAGACACACTATCGTATGAGCCGCAATATATCCTGTCCATAGTCCGAGATAGTTCAGCGTACGCCACCAAACATTGGGTCTAGCTCAAGTTGAAGAGAGAAAACCTCGATCATGTTAGCAATATCTTAACTTTGCTGTCTACCGTGAAGTAGTGCGTCGGAAATCAAAGTCTTGAAAATACTCGTGCAATTTATCAGATGTGGTTCATTATTCTCCTGTGCGAAAACATCTCCAAACTATAACCACAGAAGTACTCGGGTATCATAGGAGCCTTGATCTAGAAAAAGAGCTCTGTTATCGTTCAAGTGTAGCTCAAGTACATGGGAGTTTTGAAGAATTGTGTGACAGGCCGAGCAGATGGGTTGATAACAATCACAAAACTGGGGTTCAAATGTTCACCTGTCGAGATACAGTGTAGTGCATTACTTAGACAAGATGAGAGACTGAAATATAGCGCCTCTTTATATTTTTGAGATAATTGTCAAGCTCTTTGATTGATGGTCTTCAGAGCTCTTGATCTCTTCATCGGATTCGTTCAATAATCTTTCGGTAATGATCTCAAATTTTATAATCAAATATAGTGCATGGGGGTTATGCACTCTTTTTTTTTGAAATATTTAATAACATAGGATGAATGTTGCCAGTTCCAAATTGGCCTATCCCCTTAATTTGCTCAAAAGATCTCAAAACAGCGATATTCCAAACAAGCGCAGACAAAGGAAAGATGACAGCAGAGATATTCATGCTCAAGTAGATATAGGATCAACCATCAATGAGCAAATAACACGAGTCAAAGAGTCAAATATTGGAAAATTAGTCCAAGGACCTCTAGATCCTATTTTTGGACAAAAAAGGGCATTTCCAATAGCTTTGGATTTGGAAACAATAGATGCTACTAAAGCTACAATTGACGTAAACTCTTATCTGGCTCTAGTTCGATTAGAAGCACAGCAGTTTGAAAGAAAAGGGTTCCACGTCGAAGCTTCTGAGGCAGAAAACCTAAGTTCTGATTTGAACTATCAACAAGCGCCCAGCGAAGCATCCTCTTTTGAGGTTGAACAGAGATGCTGGCCGATGGAATATTTGGAGGAATTCAAGTCTGCAAAAGAAACCTATCTCAACTATAGATCAAACCTAACAGAGCTCGATGCCGTTGATTTGCCACGGAATCAAAAAGAATGGAAGTACTTGATATTCAATAATGAACCCTCCTTTGATATTGTGGCCCAAATCGTAGAAGAAAATGTTAACATCAAATTAATAGTATACTTCACAAAATGGCTCAATCGGGATGTCAACGTTTATTTCGAGCAGTGGATCTTTCATATGCTATACGCTACCGACACTGTGATGACTTCATCAGATATATCGGTGGTGCGGGCTCTGGGAAATAAAGCCTTAAAGCAAATAAAAGGAGCGCTTGATGAACGCAATCAAGTGATAATGAAACGAGTTGTACTGATCATCGGAACTCTTTACGGACAAAGAGACTTATTGGAGTGTTGATATGTTCTGGAACTCTTCAAAATACTTTGATTATATTAAACTATTCAGGGTGTATCTAGTACAAGACTATTTGATGCTCAGCAGCTTGACGTCAAAGGTAAGCTCAGAATTTGGTGGAATGCCAGGAAGCTTTTTAGATCCATAAGCCATGGCTGCAGGAATTACAATTCTTCTTTCACCACCAACAGCCATACCAGCAACACCGAGGTCCCAACCTTTAATGACTTCACCTTTGCCTAAAGCAAAAACGAATGGCTTGCCTGAAGTGTTTTTGTCAAAAACTTTTCCGTTCTTCAATTTTCCGATGTATCTGACACCAACCTTTTGTCCCTTCTTGCAAACTGGCCCCGTACCGACAGTTCGATCCTCAATAGTCACACCACCCTGCAGAGTCTTAGTGGGAAACTTTTTCTTGTCCTCGGAATTGGAAGACTGCTTAGCCGGACCTGTAGGTCCTTGTTCAAGCTCTTTGTTGAATTTCACTGACTTATCTTTTTTAGCTTCTTTGGCTTCTCTGGAGTCCTTTTTGAGTTCTTTCTTCGATTTTTTGGACTCATTAACCTCTTTTGGCTCCCCTTCAGCTGGTCTCTTCTTCTCACCTTTACCAGCTTTCTGATCTTCCTCAACAAGCTCTTCGATCTTACCCTCAATATCATCAACACCTTCGAGATCGTCAAGATCAAAATCTTCACCCTCAATGATTTCGTCTTCGTCAGGGGTGAGATCGTACTCATCGCTATCGAAGTCTTCATCGTCCTCGGAACTGTCATCAGAATACTCATCCTCTTCTTGGTCATAAGGGTGCTCAACATAATTACCGGTTAAATGGATGGAATAAGAGCCAGTAACGACAAAATAAACTTCTTCATCTGGCAAAATAGTCAAGTCCAGAGTTTGCTGGAACTGGGTTTTTGGCGAAAGCGTGCAAATGATATGTTCTTCAATTGCATCATCATCTTCAATGTCATCGTTTTCTGATTCGCTTTGAGAGCTTTCTTCTGACTCCTCATCAGAATCGTCGCTTTTGTTCTCTGCTTCGCCCTCGCCTTCCTCGTCCTTTTCATCAATCTCCTGAATTTTGCCTTCATCTTCAGAATCATCTTCCGATCCTTGCTCACTATCATCGCTATCATCAAAGTTCTCCTCCTCAGAATCATAGTCATCGAGATTGATAGATTTTTTCAAAATTCTTAAAGTGGATGGTTCTTCCTTGTCATCGAAAGGTTCTGGGTTCACGGCTGCGAGGGTCAGTCTGACGGTGACTGGGAAATCTTCAGGCTGGCAAGGCTCTGGAGAAAATGGCTGCAGCTCCAAGTTGTATGATGCGAGTGGCAATAAAGAAGACATGGTGTAATTTTGATTCAGCTAACTCGCTTTCTACACTTTAAAATTTTTTTTTTTTTTTTTTTTCTTTTTGCGCAGATTTCGATTTTCTTTTCTTGTTCTTGTTGCTATTGTTAACACTGCACCTAAGGCTACGCGGCTGAATTAAATTTAAAATGTCCGGGCATTCTAGGAGAATCCATTGACGTCCTAATTACTACCTATAACCTTTAACTTATGTAATTCATTTGAAGCATAAATACGTAGCTCTCAACTCAGAACGCCATTGCATGTGGCTTGTCACCACTTTTCAAAGAGAAAGAAGACGCCAAATACTGTTTCAGAAATGGTATTTTCTTTATTTCAGTAATCAAAGCCTTATCAATGGATTTCTGGTCGGCTACTCTGTCACTTCTGATCTCTTTCTTCGCACTTTCACCAAAGAATTCTTTCTCGGATTTGTTTCCCTTTTCTGGTTTGTTGTCAAAATATGCGGAATCAAACTTGGAGAGATCAATGCCTGCAATGTCCACAGAAGTAGAGGTTGCAATAACATATCTGGCATTCACTCTTCTCAATGGAACACCATTGACTTTGAATGGTCCAGAGACGAGCAGAGTATTGTCGTCGAGGCTTTTCAGAAAAACAACTCTTTTCCCTCTGAATCTGCCAGCAAGCAAAATGAGGACAGCACCCGGTTTCAAGGTGGATCTCAACTTTTGCGTTCTAGCGGTCTTTCTTGACTTTTTGGCAACAGAAACTTGCTCCGCTGGGTACCACTTCTGGTTCTTCGTTGTTAGTTAGGGGAAATGACAGAGATATTGCTGACAGAAGATTCGTCTTCAATTTATCCTTTTGGAAATATCCATCCCTGGACAACGCTATTAACTAAACAGAGCATGTGGTTCATAGTGTCTTCTGAGAATATATAAGAACGTTTAATACCAAATGGTCCAATCCGTAGCAGACACTATGCGTTATTGTATCGGAAAATGACGATCTTTAATCTCAGCACCTCGCAACAAGAAGGTTCAGTACTTACAAGAGCCATTTTCTCTAATCTTATAGTCCGATCGAGTATATAGTTAGTATACAGTGAATCTATAAATTTTCACCCAAAGAAAATAGCCTGGATTTGCACCTAACACCAAATCAACTAACAATTTTCAGCAGTCTGACGCGACTTTCGACGGTAACATATAAAACACCTCACACCTATATAGAAAAGACAGTCACAAGTCGGTAATTTAATTGCAGGCTTCAAAAATTTGAATTGTCAGTCTATATTAGAGTTTGTTCAGGGATTCATTCATGTAAAAATTGTTTAAATCTTGCTCGTTACTTCTTCCATCAATATTGACAAATAGTGTACTCCAGAACTCGTCGTTCAGAGCCCAATATTGATACTCCAGATTCTCTGCCATGCTATCTTCACTAGTAGAGTAATTTAGCGCCGGTTGTATGTGTGGGGACAGTACTTCCTGCGATCCTATCACTGGAGACGGAAGATTTTGTCGGAACTGGGGGTTGGTTAATTGCGTAGTTGTTCCTGCTAAAGATGCGGCTGTGCCATCAGGGGCGTATTCCAACGATGCGCCAGAATTTCCATTTTGGTTGTATGTGTTGACTTTCTCTTTGGGGAGAGTAGCGGTGGAAATGTAGCTCATTTCGTGTGGGACGTTGGGAGAATTATCAGGAGGGTAATGAGAATTGGTGAAGGGACTTACGAATGCATGCTGTGTGGATTTGACACCAGATTTTTGACCCAGTTCTGACGGTAGCCTATTGTGCAGCAATGTTTTGTACGCAGATTGGCATTGCGATAGAAATGTCTGTGTGAACAAAGATAAAACCAATCGCATTTTATTCAGATAATGATTCCTAGGGTATTTCAAAGACGTCCGATAAACTAACGAGGCTAAACTTTTGACGACATTCATCGTGTCCTCTGTCATGCAACCATACTGACTCAAAACTGGAATACTGATGCTCAGATAGCGAATTCTCAACAACATACCTGCGGTAAAGATTATACGTGATGAGTGAAAGAATGGTTCCACTGTGATAGATTCTTCCTTCAGGTGCAAAAAGTGTTTGAGTGCTAAAACACACGATTCCGTAGAGCACTCAATCGCTTCTGCCAAATAATCTGGTAATTTCACAGATCCTAATTCTGCCATATTTGAGCTGAACATAGCCTGCAATGCTGGCTCATAAAGGTACGCCTGGACAGAAAAAAAGTATGACATCATTGAATGAAAAGATTGTTCATCATCTTTCGTGAAATCAATGATCTTTCCCTTGAGTGTATTAAGTTTTTTCCGGATCTCTTCTGTAATGTACTTGTTCATTCCGTAAGCTAATTCTATACCCGTTGGTTGTTCGACACTCGAATGGACCCCGTAGTGTATTTTCTCGAGAATGCAGTTGAGTCTAGAATAAATAGAAACCATGATGTAGCGCGGCTCCTTTGTTGCCTCCAAATCAATACAATATTGATCACAATATTCAGTCCATTGCACTGGCAACCTTTTTCTAAGAAATAATGAGATTGACACGGAATTGAAATATGTCAATAACAACAAACTCTTGCTCTCTAGATCTTCAGGATCTTCGAAAGCACAAGCGGCTTTTTTCTTCACAGCTCCTTCTTCTTTACTATAAAAGAAATAAGGCCTCCCAGTCATACCCAAATCGTGTAACATCGAGACGCAAAGACAATTTATCATGTGATATCTTCTATGTTGAAATAGTTCCGGGGGAATATACCATATGCACAAGAGTAATAAAGACTTTAGTAGCTCGAGACTTTTTTCTCCTATCAAAAGGATTTCACCAATTAGAGTTTCAAACACCAGCGTTTCGATACGCAACTGTAGCTCAAATGGTAGGTAACATGGCTCTTCATCCAATATTGTGGCAACATAAACACAAGATAAAAGCAGAAGCGGTTTCTTCTGTCGCATTGATGCAAGAGTGGTATCTCTAGGCATTTGCAAAATGGGACTTTTCGGAAGTATTTTGTCCAAGAACATCTGAAACAGCCTAGCACACTGTTCTTCTGTTAACAAGCCTCTAGTAATGATGTCGTTTTCACGATAGTTCAACTTTTCCTTACACATTCGAATTCTTTGCTCAGAAATATCGACTATGGCAGAAGTAGAACACAAGGATTGCTCTTTTGAAACACTCTCAAGAAACTTGATCTCCTTTTCAAATCGCTGAGCAGGAGACAATGTTTCAAACTTGTCAGTTGTTCTGTATGATTGTGAATTGGGGTTGACCGATGACTGTGGAGAGTGCAAAACCTGATGCTGAGAATCATCGTTCAAAACAGCTGGACTCATCATCATATGTTGTTGTTCGGCAATAGTTTTGGCTTGTTGATCAATAGTTTTGTTTTTTGATTCTAAGAGGTCCTGCAGTTCCGTCAATTTGGATTCTAAAAGCCGAACTTTGGAAATGGAGCCACCTGGTCCCGAAGGCTTCCTCTTTTTCCTGGACTGTGTCAGATCAAATTCGCAGATTCTATTTGCCTTGCGACACCGAACACAAGTACCCAGTTGATTCTTCGGATCACCAGGAACACATTTCACTTTTAGAGCATGGCACGCTTTACAGGCAACTGATCGCCGTTTGCCGAAACCTTCACTCTGTGACTTTGTTGATATCTGATTACCATGCTCAACGTCTGAGGAATATTTAGTAGTATCTGAGAAGATCGGACTTTCGGCAGCTACCGTATTATGTGAGGACATCATAAAATTAACGCTTGGCACTCAGGTTGGAATTCAGTTCTTGAAACTTGTATCTCAATGACAATTAATTTTCGGAGGATCAAATTGTACACAGCCCAATTTCGATAAGCGACTTCGAATAGTCGCGTCGATGGTTATGAAACTTGTCACCAGACGACGATTAAGTTTCTGGACAAATGGCTTGAAGACGAAGATAAATTCGAGATTCAATCATAGGTGTGAAAATGGACTCTTTGGGAAAAACATTGAATAATCTCTCTCTTTACGAGGTGAAAGCTTACGTTAGAAAGGCTCAAAATGCGGTGCTTAATTTGAGTGAGATGGAGGCCAAGGTTAGGGAAGCCACGAATAATGATCCTTGGGGTACACCAACAAGTGTCATGTCCGAAATTGCTAGAGGTACTTTCAGTTATCCTGAAAGAGAAGAGATTTGTGCAATGATATTTAGACGGTTTACTGAAAAGTCAGCACACGAATGGAGACAAATATACAAGGCATTACAACTCATGGAATACTTGGTGAAACACGGCTCTGAACGCTTTGTTGATGATGCAAGAGCCAATGTGAACTTGGTAAGCATGCTCAAGTCATTTCACTATATAGATTCAAAGGGAGTTGACCAGGGTATAAATGTTCGCAACAGAGCTAGGGAACTTTCAGCTTTACTCAACGATGAGTCCAAAATTCGTCAGGAAAGAAGAAAGGCCAAAGAAAATGCAAAGAAATTTGGAGCTGTTTCCTCTAACTCGGCCTATATGGGATCATCATCTTTGAGAAGGACAAATGCTGTCTCATCAAGTTATGACTATGACGAGGAGGATGCCGGTTACGCTGGAAGGGTTTTCGGCGATGGCGGAGTTTTTGGGCAAAGATTCGAAGAGCAAGCTCCGACTAACGCGTCGAAGAAATTTGAGGAGTACGATGTTGAGCATCACAGCAATTCCAGGAAAACAAGCAAGCCGTCTGTGCAAGCCTCAAGTGTTACAGCCAGCGCTCAACCTAAAGTTGACTTGTTTTCCTTTGACGACAAACCAGCTGCCACTTCAACTGCTGGTACCGTTCATGATGAAGAAGATGAGTTCGATGAATTTCAAAGTGCCTCTACTTCGGCGCAGGTTGTGCAGCCTCACAACAATCTCGCTGACCTTTTGAACGCATCATACGGTCAACAAGCTAACAATCCAGCAGCTTCCTTCCTTCAATCGCCTGCCGCAACACCTTATCCTCCGCAACTGTCTAACCACGTTGAACCGGCAATCACCAACCCAAAGAAAAACGATGATATATTTGGAAGTCTGTTATCGTCTGCCAAAACGAAGACGCATCTTCAGCCATCGACCTCTACGGCCAGTAAGCCATCCCCTTCTCCTGCAAAGTCTGCTGTCGAGAATGAACCTGGGCTCGTTTCATCCACATCTAAAGAAGAAGCCACTAGTCAAATTCCATCGAACGGTCAAGGGAATGGTGTTGTTGACTTGTTGTCCTTTTAATAGGCAGACTTCCTATAGGGTAGATATATTTAGTGGTGCACAGATGCCTGAAATAATTGCAAATAATTTCAGAAAGTAAAATACACTGTCGATGCCAATCTATTCGTTTTGGATATACGATAGACATTGTAATTGCATATTCAGTCGGGAATATGGAACAGGCTCTCAAGATCCATCCGGCAATGTCCTGAAATCAACCCCAAAAAGTAAGGGATCGGCACAATTTGCACCTAATCCAAGCTATGAAAACACGTCCTCTTTGCCAACCTCCTCTCAGTCCACACAAAACTCATCTATATCATCAGGAAGAGGACAAAGATTACTCTCGTCTGCATCAAATAATCACAAGGCCCAGGAACTCATACAAAAGGGCACTGTCAACGCTCAGAATAATAATAACACATCGAAACTTCTATTCGGTACACTTTTTTCCTTGAGAAAAATAGCTGGGTCGGTATGTACACCACAGACAGAGACACATCAGGAGGAAGAATTCAATACATCCAATCTCAATAGTTTCAACGCATTACAATCATTCCGTACGCTTAATTACAAATGCCATTACTACGAGACCATGAATGGATTGAGATTTGTTGTTGTGACGCATCCTGCGGCTCGTAGCTTACAATCATCTTTGATTGAGATTTACCATTCTATATATTTGCCTACAGTTGTCAGGAATCCACTGATGCCGGTTAATTATCGAGAGGATGAGGTTATTTCTAACGATCGTTTTGTCCGGGCAATAGATGAATACTGGGCGTCACTTGAGGAAACTCTGACGTGAAGATATACAAATCATCAACTACGAATATGTTTGCGTCAAGGATCTGACAAATTGCAGGTCCCACGTGCTCTATGTTGAGTAGCACATATGTTTCGCATTATCTCCGCGAAATATAGGTTGCCCAAGTTACCTGGGATACTTTAGAAATTTGCGCAACCTGCAATTGAATCAACTGAAATATTCTAGGTTTGTAAAATTGCTTAAATTCTGAAATTTAAAAATTGCAACCTTTGCCTTTGTTTTGAGGGTCCTGCGTGATGAGGCCCACAACATCTTACAGATCGAGTGGGTTGCTTGACTTTAAGCCTTGCAGACGCTCTCCTTTATCGGACGATGAAGGAGATCGATATTTCGCTGGCGAGCGGAGACACAAGCGCAGTAGAGAACATCCATCCACATGCTTAGATGCCAAATTTGATTCTTCCTCAGATGAAAACTCAGCCAAACGACATCGACGGCAGAGAAGTTACGCGTATTTTGAAAGCAGTGAAGAAGAAGACTACACTCAAATCACCAGTATACCTCCAGAATTGCTTAATAGGCTCAAGTCGTTTGCGCTGTTCGAGAACGCCCCGAAATCTTTTTTGACTGCCCTAGGGCGCTCATTGAAGCCAGTGCAGTATTGTCCACAAGAATACATCGTGAAGGCAGGTGAGCAAGCAAAGTCGATGTATTGGATCTTAAGAGGTACAGTGGGTGTGACATCCACAGACGGTGAAGCATTGTATGCAGAGCTAGCGGCAGGATCGTTTTTTGGCGAGATTGGTATTCTTTTTAACAGACCAAGAACCGCAACAGTGGTGGCCAGAACGAAAGTACTGTTAGGGGTCCTCACTAAAGGTGCATTAGGTGTTGTTCTATCAGACTATCCCACGATTGAACGTTTGATTAGAGATGAAGGTCAAGAACGGCTTGCAATGCAGCAGAAGCGAAAACAAAAAGGAAAGCCATCCACAAATTTTCTTTTCCAAAGACGTGAAAACTTACAAGTACCTTCGAAGTATAACAACGACTCGATTACCGCCTTTGAGAATGAACCTTCACCGGGTCCCGTTCTTCCGCCGACATCAGATGCTAACACACCAGTTTTGAAAACGCTTGATCCATTTGATCCCTCGCAAATATACATTGAGCAGCCATCAACGATTCTGACGGGAAGTATCGATAATTCTATTTCCGTGAGAGAATTCCTGAAGGGTCTACCAATTTTCAAATCTCTACCATTGGACGTGTTCCATGAACTTGCCCTCAAGGTAGAGATCAAAATTTTCGAACCAATGGAATATATATTCAAAAAGGGAGATGCTGGAAGAGACATCTACTTCGTTGTATTCGGAGAAGTTGAAGTGCTAGATGCTGAAAATGCTAGCCATATCGTTGTTGCAAGACTGGGAAGTGGTAAATACTTTGGTGAGATGTCATTCTTGTCTTCTCTGCGCGATGATCTCCCTTCCTCTACGACTGAGAACAGATCAGCCGATGTACGTGCAGTTTCCGAATCCGAAGTGCTTGTGGTGAAAGGCAACATCCTAGAGGATCTCTGTAAATGTTATCCGGTTGTTGCCGAAGACATGAAGTACACTGCATGGGAAAGATTGAAGAAAAAGGACTCTGTTGGGGAAATGATTCATTCTACGGACATAACAACTGGTGATCGAACGTATGCTTTTTCCTTGATTGGGGACAACAGAGAGAAGTTAATATCTCATAGTATCTCATGGAATCATGAAACATATGAATCAGAACCTCCAAGCTCTCTTGATTCTGTGATGACGCCATCTTACTTAGATTCGGTGAGCACAGCAGGATCACAAGACCTTGCGAGAATGGACAATCCGCCGTCTCCACCTTTGGTATCTGATAGGCTTTTGAAGCCTGAACAAACGACCATTCAGTGGAACGTTCCATCACTAAATCCAGTGTCAGGATCGCTTTACAGGTTTGGGAACTCTCTCAGACCTACCTTCCACTATATTCCTCATGATCATCGTTTACGACTATTAAACATCAACAATAGCCAGCGCCGGTCTTCTCTTCTATCTTCCGGTCCTTTTCCGGACTCCATCTTTATGAAGATATTCAAGTATCTGGATTTACCCGATTTGATGAGATTTGCGACAGTTTGCAAAAAATGGAAGCAACTCTTATACCTGGGACCAGAACTGATAAAGACGCTTGATCTTACTCCATGGAAACGAGATCTTTCAGACAATGCTCTTATCCAGATCACCAATTTCGTTGGACCACGCCCTGAAGAGATTAACGTTTCCAGTTGTTTCCATATCACGGATGCTGGGTTTTCCTATATGATTAACGAAATCGGAATAAGAGGGTGCATAAAGAAGCTCCATATGAGCAATAACTGGAATATCTCCGCTATGTCTATTATGGATCTGAGCATTGTCGCTAGGGAATTAGATTTAATCGACTTTTCAAACTGCCCAAAAGTTCGCGATGATGTCATTGAGAGGTTGATCACACCACAAGGGTCCAAGTATGGTTGTCCGAATTTGCAGACACTTAATCTGTCCTACTGTAAGTATTTGACAGATAGGACAATGTGCCAAATTGCGAAAAATGCCTCGCAACAATTAACATCGCTGAATCTTACTAGATGCACTACAATCACAGACGGTGGGTTCATGTTTTGGTCACAGACACGGTTTTCCAATCTGAGGGTGCTTGTATTACGAGATTGTACCTTTCTTTCAGATGCTGCTATATCCCATCTATCGGTTGCATGTCCCAATCTAGAAGAATTAGACCTCACCTTTTGTTGCGTTTTGACAGATAAGTCGCTTGCCATGTTATGTCTGAATTGCAGGTATTTGCGATCGTTGAATCTATCCTTCTGTGGGTCAGCAGTCAGTGATAACTCGCTAGCTTTTTTAGCTCGCCTTGCCTGTTTAGAAATTCTTTTTTTGAGGGGATGTATCAGGGTCACTCGCCAGGGAGTTGATAAGATCTTGTCAAATCTTCAAAATTTGAAGTTTTTGGATTTGAGTCAATGTCCGAGGGTGGATACGTACCAAGGCAAGGACGTAGAGCCATTCGAGAAGCAACCAGGATCCAGCAACGCTTACCTCCAGATTTCGCCATGCCGACGAATCATTCAAGTATCTTTATAATTAACGAATTAATGACTTCTGTATCTTAAAACATTCACGTCTAGTAGACAGATATGTAGTTATTTATTCTCTCTTTTTGATTTTGAGCAATACATTCCGCAATCCATGTTATATTTCTAATTTCTTGTTCTTTCGATCTGACGTAGGCCCATACGGTACTGATGGTAAATTGTTGGGTAAAGGCATCCTTACAGAGCCTCATCTCGTACTCATAGAAATGATCCTCGAGATTCTTGCCATTGGTGGTATCAAAAAAGTTGCGATACTCACCCAAGGAGGTAATGATCGTCTTTAAATTTTCGAGATCATCACTTTGAGCCATCTGATGCTGATAAGCGGTGTTAGATAGTTTTCCAAGCGCCGGCAAAAGCTTAAGCTTGTCGTCAGTTCCCAGTTCTGTATCAAGCGAATTGATGCAAATATTGATAGCTCTCTTATCAGCCTCGAAATTGATCAGCCTTTCCATGATTTCATCGGAAGGTGAAGGGAGTTTGGTTTTGCAAAACTGCATGAAGTCTTCCAAATAAGCTTTATAAAGGGTATTCTTGATGATTTCTATGTTCATGTCGTCCAAATCATCAACCGAGAGACAATTTTTAAAGTAAGGAGCTAATGGCGTGTCAATAAGTACAGTTTGATAGAGTGAATCAATATCCGTAGCAACCGAAAGAGTTGGTAATGTTTCAAACCATCCTAACGGATGACACCTCTCAAGAATTTCAGATCGATCCCTTTCATGGATAGTGCCCGTAATCATAAGAGCAACGTTGTCAATCATATAACCATAGGTTATAAAATCCATAAATTTCGCCAATGGTTCAGTCGCCTGTGACCTTATATATCTGAATTGCTCCACAAGCTTTTCATTCAGCTTCTCCTCGATAATAGTGGTTGACAGCGAGCCTGAGACATTTGAAAGAAAATTACCATAATCTGTGGCTGAAAGCTGCAGTTTCAAATCTTCCAATGAGTCGCACTGAGTGAGATTGATATACTGAGACGATTTAAGTAGGCCATCTCTGTATCCACGCACCAGACCTTCAATGAATCCGCTGTCAATATTGAAGAATAGACCTTCCATGACCTAACAATTGAGAAGCGAGTGCTGTTTTTTCTCTATGCTGCTGCATGAAAGTCAATCGGCCTCGTGCGGGCTCATAACCTTAGGTCGATCTTGAATTACAGGTAAGCAGAAAACATAATTTTGGACGCCCATGATGAGCGACTCAACGGAATTACTTTTGGAAACATTATGGGATGATCTTCCTCCAGAGGTCGAAAATCTTCTGGATAGTTCTGAGGCCTACAAAACCGAAGCGCTGAATTTTCTCACTAATTTGTTAAATCAGGATAGGTCAGAGACTTTACTTTCAACGAATGTGAAACCAAGCTCCGAAAGCGAACATCCGGGACACACTCTGATAGAACAAATTGCAGAACTAGAATCATCTCAACGAGTCATAGAATCGCAGGCTAAGAAATGTGTCTATTCAAACCTAAACAAGTCGTTAAAACTGAATAAGGTTTATAATGATTGTGTTTCTATGTTCAGAAATGATTTCAATGAATGCCGCGAATTTCTATCCACCAATTTCAGCAAAACAGAAGACGCTATGGACACTCAGCAAAAATCCGAAGAAAGCAATTGGAAAGACTTACTAAAAACTCAACATCAGTACTCCAAACATGAACAACTACAAGAAAATCGACAATCATCGTCTGTCATTTTGAGCAAGATGGATAATATCATGGACATTTTAGAGCTGCCTGCTCTCGCTAATGCTTGTGTGAAGACAGGTCATTATGCCGAGTGTGTAGAAATCGCATCACATGTGCGAAGACTGTCAATTAGGTATTCAGACATCGCTATCGTACAAAGGGTAGAGCATGATGTTCAACTCGAGATAAGAGAAATGGTGAATGGACTCATCCGTTTGCTAAATACTGATCTTCGCCAATCTTCGATCATAAAGATTGTCACTTATTTGAAGCGCATAGGACCGTTCCAGAAAAGGTTTAAAGAGCAGGAGGAGAACAAATTGGCTCAGGAAAAGGATACAGATCTGGTCAGTAACGAATTTCTGCAGAAGATCTTCCTAAAATCTCGTTACCAATTCATCTCGAATGAGCTCGATGTGCTGATTCCATTGAAGAAGAGCAACTCTATCGATAATTATTTAAAGCGAAGTGTTGAAGTAATCAGAGAGCACTGCTTTCAGACTGTCTTGACCTTTGAGTCTATATTTCCGAATGATAACAACAAGGCAGTCAAGAATCTCCTTTATTCTTTTATCAAATCTATAATATACCGTTTATGTGAAATATTGAAAGAGAATTGGAGCCAGGTTGGAGCTACAAATAAGGATGGATTACTTCTACAACTCATCTACTGCTCGCAAAGTCTCGGGAGAATTGGCGGAGATTTCAATGTCATAATTCTAGATCAGCTGAAAGACTTGATTGATAGAAAGAATTGGTGTGCTGTTTTAAGGAAACAACGTGAGCTGATCAAATCTTTGAGCAAAAACATTAACGAACCGAACGTTGACAAACCTATCGAGGTGTAAATAATAAAACGAATATTTAATAGTAAACGACGATCGACGCATGATGCACTGGGTGGTAAATTTTGTACCTCCAAAAGTCTCGCTTGTATTAGGCAGATGTACGGGTTTTATCCTGTACCGAAGTTTTTGTTAGCACTGCCGTGACGCACTATAATTTCACTTGGAATTGGAAAGTTAATGTTTTCATATCGGTGCTAGCTGAAATTACATTGAAGAAAATACACGTATTCCAATCCGATAACTAAGTTGCAATATCATTGAGTTGAGAGCATATTTCCACCAATTCTTTTGGACTCTTTGCATCAGAGAAAAGCTCATAGAAGACATTGCATCATCGTTTGCTATTCACAAAATAATGACTTCATCTGAGAAAAAGCCATTCATTAATGGTTCGAATACATCGGTGCTAGCCAGCAAAGCCCAATCGACGACCTCACAGCCCTACAAAGAGTTCCATGCTCCGGCTTCCGGAAAACTTGATTTTCCCTGGCAGAAAATTGGATCGTTTATCGATCCTCTGCACCCTCCCAGTATTGAAGAGTTGAAGGCCATAAACATGGATTCTGGTGACTACCTCATTCAAAATTACCTAAAAGACAAATATTACTCAGACTTCTATTACAATTGCTCCTTGATGGTAGGAACTTGCTTATTTGCGTGGCTTACAGCAAGATTGGGGGGTGGTTTGTTTTCGCTTGGTTTCGTCTTGATTTGCGCCTCCGCCTCATACAGAAATGAGTTCAGACGTTTCAATAGAAACCTGAGGGATGATATGTTGAGACTTAGTGCCGCCAAACATTTAGAGAACAAGGTTGAAACCATGGAATGGTTGAATAGTTTCCTGGCAAAATTCTGGGTGATTTACATGCCTGCCCTAAGTGAAATGGTCATCACCCAAGCAAACACTGTGCTTAAGGACGTGGCACCACCTCCGCCAATCGACAAACTGACATTGGATGAGTTTACTCTCGGTACAAAAGCACCCAAGGTTGATAGCATCAAGTCTTTCACCAAACTTGGTAAAGATGTCTGGCAGATGGACTGGGATTTTGGTTTTACTCCCAATGATACAGATGACATGACCAAGAATGAACTCAGGAAAAAGATTGACCCAAAAGTCGCTCTTGGAGTCAGAGTCGGTAAAGGTTTTGTGGGAGCCTCTCTTCCAATTTTGGTTGAAGATATGTCGTTCAAAGGTAAAATGAGAATTACGATGAAACTCAGCAACAACATGCCGCACATAAAGATTGTTTCGGTTTCGTTTCTGGAACCGCCTTCAATTGATTATGCTTTGAAGCCAGTCGGTGGTAACACTTTTGGTATTGACATCATGTCTATGATTCCTGGGTTATCTTCTTTTGTCAACAGTCTGATTCATGCAAATCTTGGACCAATGCTGTATGCTCCTAACTCGCTTGATATTGATGTCGAAGAGATCTTCGAAGGCATGTTGCCTGAGGCTATAGGTGTCCTCGCCGTCAACATAAGAGGTGCAGAATACTTCAAGAATTCCAATATTAGTCCATATGTCGAATTTTCGACCGATCAAGGCGCCGTTGATCCATATGTGACTGATATCAAAGCAAAAACCAATGCTCCGATCTTCAATGAAATGAAGTACCTTTTGGTCAATGATTTGAATCAGAAGCTCAACTTCAAGCTCTTGACATTTGATGAAGACGAGGTAGAGGAGCTTGGAACATCATCATTTGAGTTGCTTGATCTTATGCAGAAGGAGGTTCGAGAGAAGATCGAAAGCAAGTTGACTAAACAAAACAAGCGGGTCGGAAAGATTGTGTACGACTTGAAGTGGTTCCCAGTTTTGGAGGGTAAGACTTTGGATGATGGGACCAAGGAAGCTCCACCAGAATCTGAAGTTGGTATTTTCAAGTTTGTACTGCAATCTGCGAGAGATCTTGATACATCCAAATCAATGCTTGGTAAGCTATCCACCTTCACCGAAATTTATTTCGGTGCTGAGCTTGTCTCCACATCCAGAGTCGTCAAAAGTTCTAACGAGCCGGATTTCAAGGTTGTATTTGAAAAATTGGTCCACTCCAAGTCCACTACCCCTATTAAGATTCTAGTCAAGGACACTTCTTCTTACGGAACCCCTGTCATCGGACAATACGTTTCTTCTTCTTTGAACGATCTTATTTTCTGTACTCTTGAAGGGAAAGAGACCATTTCTCTGACCTCTGGAAAGGGGTACTTGCGGTTCAAGGCTGTTTGGAAACCACTGGCTGCTTTGGGTCTAGGTGAGGAAATTGCTTTCGTTCCTCCACTAGGAACTATCAGACTCAATATCAAGAAGTGCGAAAATCTTAAGAACTTGGAGACCTTTGGTAACATTGATCCTTACGTTAGGGTGCTTAGTGGTGGAAGAGTTGCTGCGCAAACTCCGGTTGTCAAGGACGAACTCAACCCTGTTTTTGACGAAGTTGTGTACATTCCTTTGATTTCTGAAAACCAAAAAATTGCGTTGGATTGCATGGATGTTGAAAAGTCGACTGATGACAGATTAGTTGGCTCTGCTTCAATTTCTCTCCAAAAATACATTAAAAGGAACGAGCATGGAAATTACCTTGCTTACGAAGGCTCTTCAAAACTGATTTCAAAACCACTCGTGTACAAAGAGAAAGAGCAAAGGGGTACAGTTTATTACTCGATCTCGTTCTATCCAACAATCCCAGTGTACTCGCAAAAAGAGCTGAAGGAGAAAAAGAGAGCGAAGGAAGTGGACAGAGAAGCCGAACTGGAGGAGTTAAACGAGCAAGCAAAAATGATGGAAGACTATAAAAAACACCCTAATGAGTATGAATGGTACTCGGATACCGAAGAAGAAGAAGTGGATGCCCATAAGAAAGAAATGACTTTCGAACAGTTGGTGTCTCACAACACGGGTGTATTGGGTATTAACATTATTTCAGGAAAGCTTTTCAGGCCTGACTGTTTTATTCAGTTTCTTTTGGATGACCGTGCCTTTCCTGATTATATCTCAAAAAAATCCCAAGGACGCCATATGGGAGCTGACGCTGGTAGTGCTTTCATTAGAGATCTGGATAATGCTACTGTCTTGCTTCGTATAACGACGAAGGAGAATGTCAGAAAAAAGACTGAAGTGGTTGCTCAGAAGGAATTCAAAGTCTACGATTTGCTCAACAGGGGCTTCAGAGAACCTACCACTCTTGACATCGACGGTAATTCCATTGAAGCCCAGTTTGAGTATGTACCTACTGCAATTCCGCCCGGAGTATCCGAATCTATGGATGATACTGGACTTTTGAGTTTGAATATTGTCCGGGCTGTCGGATTGATGGCTGCAGACAGAAACGGAAAATCTGATCCATTTGTCACCATAACCGTGAACGGTGTTCAAGTCTACAAAACTGAAAAGGTCAAGAAAACTTTGAATCCTGTTTTCAACGAGCAAGTCACGATTCCTGTCAAATCTAGAAGCAGGACTGAAGTGAAAGCTGTCGTTTATGATTGGGACGTCGCCGGCGATAATGATTTGCTCGGCTCGGCTCCAATGGACCTTACAAAACTCAAACCAAAAGAAAAAGTACCATTTGAAGTTCGTCTTGACACTCAAGGATCAGTTTTCTTCGAAGGTTACTTTGAACCAAAGTACATGAGACCTGAGCTTTCTGAAACTGGAGAGCTTGCAGGCTTTGCAGGTGTTCCATTGAAACTGGTTGGAGGCGCGGCTGGTTTCGTTGGTAGTGCGGGAGCAGGAGCTGTGGGTGCCGGTATGGGTGCCATGGGTGCAGGTGTTGGTGCTGTTGGCGCAGGAGTTGCAGGTGTGGGCTCCGTTGGCGGAGGGTTGATAAGAAAGTTTGGAGGAAAAAAGAAATCGTCAATGGACTTAAACAGGAACGGCAATGGTCAACATTCCCCAAACCAGATCAATGATGCACAGTCTGTTCAGTCCTTTAAGACAGGATCACAAGCTTCCTCTCCATTCAAATCCAGCCATCAAAGACAAAACTCCGACATGACTTCATTCACCTCGACGACGAAGGGAAGCAACACACTTCCCGGCAGAGTTACTGTCGTGGGACTAAGTGGTGCCAGTGACAAGGATCAATTGCAAGTCAAAGTGTTGCTGTTATCTTCATCGAAAAAGCGTGAAATTTACAAAACTAAGTCTCAAAAAGCGGACTCTACTGGACTCATTTCTTGGAGAGAGTCGGTACCATTCAAAGCCCCACAAGATGCAAAACTTTTATTCCAGGTAAAAACTCATCACACCTTTGGTAAGTCCACAGAGTACGGAGAAGCCCAGTTGGGCCTTGCTGAGGTAGTCGGCAATCCAAGCGACTTTAATCTCCCTGTGGCAAACGGTGAGTTAGTGGTCAACTTCAACTATGGCGCCAGCAACTAGAGGCAGTCGATCATTATTTTATGTATTAGCGAGTATTATAAGTCAATTCCTGTCGCACTGATATATTATCCGAGTAGTGGCAATAACATTCTTCTGGTAACTCACTTGTCGCTTTTGGGTTTCACTGCAACCTTGTTCTTAACTTTTTCCTCCTTCACAGGATTTTTTGGCATCGCAAAATTGGAACCTGGACGAGGATCATGGGGTCGGGCTATTTTACCAGCATTGTCATCATGATGCTTGAAGTAGATATAATTGTGTAGAGCCATGTATTCGAGCCTAAGATATCGAATCTGAATCCCCCTCCTTTACAAACTCCCCTCATGTCCATAGAGAATTTCTACTAATATATAATAAGAGGCCTCCATTATAAAAAAGTGGTTCGATTTACTTTTAATGCGCCTAGCTTATTATTTTGACGCGTTTAATTGCCGGAATCTTATTGTCGGTAAACACGATATTTGTTATGAACTTTTTACATTGCATTTAGCATGTCTATTTATGCTTAATCGATCACAAATACCTCGGCTTCAGGTACTTTCTGTTTTGTAGTCGGCCAACCAAGCGAGCAGAACAATCTGCGGATGAATTCCTGCCTAGATAGGCTATTTTCCTCACAACAGCATTGAATTATGAAGTGTTTTGGGCACAATAGTTTTCTGAATTGAATACGAAACATGTTCAGCTCCTCCGCGGTCACCTCAATTCTGACAAAATCGTCATCCTCGCACCTCGCATAATCATACAGGATATTATCATAGTCTTTTTTATGTTCATCCTCCTTCTCGTCCTCACCAATCAGCTCTAGGCCGGATGCATACTTGCGCAAACCTTTTATTGATGGGCGCCCAACGAGAGTCGAAGAAGGATCGCCTGACGATGGAGATCCAAACATGGTCAGTTTCTCTATTTGCTTCTTAGGAGTCCGTTTGAAAAGCTTAGACTTTTTTCGTTTTTTGATATTCAACGATGGTGTAAGATCCACCGTGAAAGACACATTCAATGATTCGTTGTTGCTCAAACCCTCTTCTTCAAAATCTGCCTCAGAGATTGTAAAATCTGAATCTCCAAGTTCCACGTATTCGACATCTTCGACCTGATGTGATGAATCAAAAATGTTGTCTTGATCGCTCAGCGACGTGTTTGTGTTGTACGATAGCCTATTTTTGCGTTCGAGCATTTCAGAGAACGAACTTCGGCGTCCAAAGGGCCCTTCCAAATCGTCAAAATTAGGGTGGGTCGTATTATATGTTTGCGGCCTGATAGGTAAAGCAGAAGCGCTTCTGATCACTTTCTTCAAGGTCTTTTTTGCGTTCAAAATATTGATCTCATCCGAGTATTCATAATCCAGCTGATCTTTGTAGATCGCAACGCCATCAGCTTCTTCGCGAGGTATGTGCTGAAGCAAGAAACCGATGTACGAGTGAAGTTTTTCATTCTGCAGTTCCAGAGATTTTATCTGGAAACTCATTCTTGTAAGCTCTTGTGAATGCTTCCTCTCTATGCTGTCTCGTTCGATATTATTAAGAACGAAATTGAAGCTTGTTTGTCGTTGGCTACTCTTTCTTGAGCCAACGACTGGATGCATGCCTAATTCCTGAAGTTCGTCAGCTAATGTTGCTTTAAGATCGTCCGTCACTAAATCTGAAGCCTCGTTCAGTCGAATCTCGGATGTGGAATCCATGCTCAATTCAGCCAGTAGTTCAGCGTATTCATCCTTGAGCTTTTCGTATCTTTCTTCGAGCTCACTAAATCTCAGCTTGCACATTTCAAGCTCCTCGATAATCAGAACCTTTGAATGCGCTTCTAATTGGTTTTCTTTTTCCAGGATTGTGATTTTGTTGGTCAGCCTATCCACTTCTAATTTACAGCGTGAGAGATCATCGACATGGAGCGATATGTTATCTGTCTGTATCTGCTCAAGTGACTTGTTGTTCTGTAGAAGGTTATGCAGTGTTTGATTCAGATGGTCGATTTTTTTCTCCAACTTTTCTCTCGTTTCCGTCCAATTTAAGTATTCTTTATCGTGTGTTTCCCTCTCCTGTTTCAGTTCGTTGGTAATCCTTTTGTTATCCATGGAAAGCGCATGGATTTGGCGCAAGTGCAGATCTAGTTGCTTCTCCTTGTCCATTAATTCGCTTTCCGCTCGTTCCAGATGACGAATGAGGTCGTTAATGCGGATGACGGAGTCCCCGTATAAACGTTCCAGTCTTTTGTAATCATTTCCACTCATCGCAATCTCAGGCTTCCAAACTCGAGCATGAGAATTGTCAAGTATATTTCCGATATCGTTTAGCGATGATTTATTCTTTTGTAAAGCGCCGTCTTCCGTTTGGCTGTAAATAGGCATGGATATATTTTTGTAGTCTGATGACTCCATTCTTTATTACACGGGCATCTATCACAATAAATAAGAGCTTAGTCACTGAATTTCCTTCCCTTCCTTCTCCCACCGATCTATAGACTTGCAACCCGATGAATGATTGACCTTGCTCTAGCTATTTTTCCTAAGGATCGTATAAAAATGTTTTTTGTTTATGTTTTTCTCAATAAAATATGGCGTGGGTGCAAGGAGTGTACCATATTATACCTTGAATATTCTATAAATGCGGATCTCTGGAGTACTTTGAGGATACCAAATTCCATCAAATCTCATAGGCTCCATAATCGTCCATTTCCATATTCTATCCTGAACTCCAAGATTGAGGAGCTTCTCCAATTCTTCTAAAGTAGTTTCGTTCCTGACGGTAGCAGCGATGTATGCATTCCGAACTAGCGTGGAGCCACGATTGTTTTGAGTCATTGATTCATAAATTACACTAACAAGATCGTCTAAAATGCTGCTGTCGTATGTGACATCTGCAGCTACTATGGTATCAATATTTGGATCAGGGAGCTCATCTTCGCCCCAAGATAGCTTAGATATTGAAATTTTGGGCGATCCGATTGGTATTTCGTTCAATTGCAAGTTGGACGGAAGGTTTTCTATCAACTGGGAGTCGCCGTCTGTTATGCATATTTTTTTCACTGTTGGATGATATTTATAGAGGGCCATGCCTACCAGCCCTGTTCCGCAACCGAGTTCCAAGACTGTCGCATCTGTAAGGTCACAGTGGTCAGAATTTAGCAGGTACTGCGTCAGGTAGAGAGACGCTTCCCATGTGCGTAATCCCGTAGTACCCAAACCTGATATTACATTCGGTGCTTCTCGAACTTTCAAGTCCATATCTCTGTTTCCAGATTTACACGACACGCAGTAAGATATCACTTCAGTGTCAGTGGCATTCAGTGGGACCGCCTGTAGAAGATCACTCAAATGTTCATACAAGTCGTCGTTGACTTCTTCGCCCTTCTCTTCTAGGAACAGAACGAGTTTCTCTAGGAACATTTTGCAGTAGTATGCATTTTGGGGCTCGATCTCCTTGAGGACTTTCAAGATTAAATCTTGATCTACGTTTTGAATAAGCTCAATCTGTATAACGGGCACTCGTTGACGTAACTGTCGAGCTATTCTCTCCATTGATTTACAAGCTAAAATTTTAACACTGCCTTGATTATTTGAATCTATACATTTAGTGTACCAAACACTCTGAGTCTCTTGACTCCGCCGTCGGGAATAATGGTGAGCTTCACGTGCGTAACTGGCTGGCTTGACTTAGACTCATATTCTTGTTCTTTGTCCGGCCCAACCTTAGTCTTGTCGACAAGATATGTCCATTTAGGGTCATCCACGGCGGGAGAGTAGTCCTCTGTATTGATGCCTTCAATTGTGATGAACTGGGGGAAATTACCCCTGTAATGAGCTGTATCAACAACCAACTTAGTGACATTGGTTTTGAACCCAAGCTTAATGATGGCCCAATCGGTATGACCGATAGTCCGCGATCTCTTGGTCTCCCAACCGTCCGACATATCATGGCCACGCCCTGGAAGCAGCAGGTTATCAGCAGAACCGAAATGCTGATCTGAAAATGCAACACACACACCTCCGTTATTTGCGCTGGCTGTATCAATTATGCTGTGGATATCTTGCGGGATTACTGGATAGACTGTTCCGTAAAGTCTAAATCTTGCGATTCCTCCATCAGGATACATCCTCAATCTCACATGTGTGTACTTTTTAGGTGTGATCTGCTCGCGCTTGAAAAAATGCCTTTGAGACGGACCACATTCCACTTTCTCAATGACTTCATCCCATTGAATGCCATCGAAGTTTGAGTCGTCAGTCAGGGTTGCGGCTTCGACGGATATGAAAGGAGCATGATTACCATTGAAAAATGCAGTATCGATCTCGCAGCCTATCAACGTTGCCGACGAAACACCCATTTTTATAATCACCCAGTCAGCTTCCTCTGGATTGTGTCTTCTGGTTTCCCAGCCATCGTACCAGGCACCAGCATATGTAAATCGAGTAGCATCTCTGATAGGTGCTTTAGGTTTGATAAGATTCTCTGCGGCTGCGAACCACTCGTCAGAACATGCCAGCACTCTTCCTCCAAGCTTCTCACCAACGACATCGGTATATCTTTGAACGATTTCGCTTTGAAACTCTGACTCGCTTAGGACACGGACCATTGGAATGATTCTTGAAGACGATTGATATATGTATTTAAACAAATCGCTCAGCGCTTTCGGAATTCTCCGAGGTTTTTGATATTTACACGAGGTATGCCTACATAGGTAAACCTGTAGATAATTAGCTAACGGAGAACCGGGGCAATCAGGGTTTCCAGCCGTCCAGTTGAAAGCCGTATTCACTGATCTGGGGTATCTCAAACAAATTTGGACTTGAATGAAGATTGCGCTCGATGAATTTCATGTAACCGTTTTTCCTTAGTAGTATGATAGTCTGGGTTCTAGTGCCATAGTAATCGTAGCCCGTGTCCGACTTCACTGGCGGTATGAATACACTTTTTGGGAACATATCGAATGCTTGAGAAAACGTGAGACCCTGCCATTGGCTTGACTCAGGGGTCGGCGTGGAAATCACTGTGAACAGGTTTTGAACTAGTAACTCCTCTGACCAGTTCTCTTTCACTGATGATTCAATAGTTTTCTCAAGAACATGTGTACCAATGTGCACTTTGGGCCATGGTTGCTCGAATTCAGAGTTCGACAGTCCCACGGTGGCTCGTCCTTTAAGAACGGTGTTTTTCTTGCTTGATCTATTCGAAAGTATGTGTAAAGGTTCGATACCCTCGGAATTGCTCGATCTTCTTAGCTCTCCAAACAGCAGCGAGAATCCTCCGACATGCTGAAAATTATGAGTTTGTTCTCCAACTAATTCCCCCCATATATCAGAAGGCTGTTTCGATTCGAGAAACATTACGGGTATGAGGCCCCTTGAGATTTGTCCAACAGGATCACCCGTGTTTGGTTCTCGGAAATTTACCAGCACAGCGACTTTTCCAGCCTTGTTTACCCCTATCCAGGTCCCATGCTCCTCTCGAGCAAGGTCTATAGGTCGTAATTGTGTCTGCGACTCATCTTTGAACGAGGCCAGTTCTGTTTTGCGACTGAAATATTCATCTCTGTTGGAGAGTAATATGAATGGATAGTCAGGATGCAATGACGAGGCTAGTAAAATGCACATCTCTAATCAGAAACAATAACGATGTCAAAAAAAAGTTCACGTTTTTACTCGCTAAGTCTATACTCCATGCGTATCTCAGGTGCTGCACTCTACGTGCTCAACTGAGTTGGATTCGACCCTATCAGCGCTTCGTTCGAGCAGATGTTCTTCAGTTCGGAAGATCTTGCCTCAACCCAAATAGTCATACTCCCCCGGCTTATCTGAAGAGTCATAAAGATAAGAGCACCACCAAATCGAATATATATAATATATGGAGCGCGGCCAGAAAAATTATTGCACCTAATAGAAACTCTCTTATGTTAGGACATCACATTAAGTCTCACTTCGTGCTAGATAAAGATAAGCGTTTTGTGAACCATGGGTCTTACGGTTCAGTTCCAAAAGCTGTCTGGTCCAAATATCAGGAAATGATGCTCAAGGACTTATCATTCCCGGATGAATTCACGATCAAAGAGCAGCAGAACTTGATGATAAGGTCTCTTAAAGTTCTAGGTGAATTTGTGAACACAAGTTTTGAGAACCTTGCACTTGTTCCTAATGCCACCTCAGGCATTTCTGTGGTTCTTAGGTCTCTCGATCTCAAAAAGGAAGACAAATTCCTTATCCCGTCGACGATTTATGGGGCCTGTGCAAACAACATTGACTATCTCTCCAAGCGAATTGGGTTCAAGGTGACAGTTCTAACTCTTGACTACCCTCTTGAAGATGAGGAAGTTCTCAGATTATATGAGGACGAGCTCAAAAGCGGTGAATATAAGTGTTGTTTCTTTGACGCAGTTACCTCGATGCCGGGGGTTAGAGTACCCTATGAAAAACTGGTGCAGCTCTCTAGAAAATATAAGGCATTGAGCATTGTTGATGGTGCGCATTCTGTTGGCCTTATTGAGCTAGATCTGGATACCGTGAAACCTGATTTTTATACATCAAATCTTCACAAATGGTTGTTCCTACCTCGAGGAGCAGCATTCTTGTATGTTGATCCTAAACATCAAGACCTCGTTCAGCCTTTGCCAATCAGCCATACTTATAAGGATTCCAAGTTTTACCAGAGATTTCTGTTCACTGCGAGCAATAACTATACGTCTTTCTTCTGCCTAGAGGAAGCACTCAAGTTCAGGCAGGAGATATGTGGCGGGGAGAAGAACATTCAAAACTACTGTTTCGGTCTAGCAAAGCAGGTGCTCAACACACTGGGTGGGCAGGACAAACTTGAAAACTCAACAGAAAGTTTGACCACAGCAATGGTAAATGTGAAGGTAGATGTATCGAGCGAATTATTGCAACATATTAAAGACCACTTTCAGGAGTTCAAAGAATATACCGCCAATGGCATGTTCGCCAGAAATAGCTTTGTGCCAGTAGCCTATACAACAACATCACTGTTTGTTAGGTACAGTTGCCAAGTTTACAATGAGCTAGAAGACTACATAATTGCACATTCGAAATTTCTTGAAGTGTTAAAGTCCTATGAACAAACAGTATTCACCAGATGATTCGTTGTGGGTCCGGTAAGTCGTCCCACTCAAACACGTAATTGAAATAGACTTGGAATAGAGACTTTGACCACCAGTAATTCCATAGACACTCTAATCCCAACCGTAACTGAGAATGGTCAGCCACTGGCCGAACTTGGAGTCTCCAGTACAACAGTGGTAGAATGAAATACCGCGGCTCGAACAATGGAGTCGGGGCGACAGTGAGAGCCACACAAATCACGAATGTGATGAATAGTACCGTCGAGTTGTTTCTGGTGAAAAGTTTGTATACGGTATAGGCAGAATAGTGATAAACGGGTAGAAGCAAGAATCTGGAGTACCAGGTTCTTAAAATAATCCTTCTCATGATATAAAATGTATAATGTCTGTTATCCGCGAGAATGAATGGATGCAAAAAAGTGAAGTTCTGCACAATGTAGAACATGATGAAAATCCAAAAGCTATTGAGTACCAAGTACTTTCTGCTGAGCAGCGTATCAAAGTAACCTCTAATAAATGTCGGACTGAGCCACAACGGGGCGGAAAAGCTGGTAATGAACGTAAAGCAGTAAAACATCTGACTTAGATGAGGAACAATAACATGGTTCTCCTTGTCGCCCATAGTTATACCTCCGTTACTGATAACAAAATTTATGAATGCGATGAGAACCATTGCGTAAGGAGTAACTATCCTCCAGTTAGCAAACGCCTTTCGGACAAAGACACCCATATCGTATTGCAAAATATTGCGATAGTTATCCTTTGCCAGCTTGTCCACGATAACGGCTAGTGCAAATGCTAGCCAGACTATGTTAGTTTGTCGGAACAATAGACTGATCGAGCCGATTAAACAGGACGTTGCGGCTGACGTCAAGGTGGGTTTCCAACAGGCTGTGACAACATATGACTGGACGACGAGGAGCGTAGACCAAATGTCGGTATAAAACAGAGAGTAATAAATTGTCAGCAATGGAGAGGAAAATAGAGACAGAGCTGAAAGACCAGGGTTGTGATATTTCTTGACGACGAGTGTGGTAATGATAAGGAGCACACCACCAACAAAATTGAGCAATCTTAAGTTAGCAATCGAGAGCTCCAATCCCGTGAGTCTGAGCCACCAAACTGCCAGATAATATAGACCCGGGGGCGTGGTGATCTTCGGATCCCATGAATCAAAGTTTCCATTCCAATACTCCTTTACTTGATTCACATGAAAGATCTCATCGATGAAAGTATAATTGACCAATTCATTTGCCTGGTCAAAGTATGGTTTGAAAATAGACACACCTATTGCTGCTAAAGCAACCTCAGGGACAATGTTCATTTGAATTGAGATCTATTTTTTTTTAAGCTTTTTCGAATTAAACAAAAATACTTGACGTAATGGCATTAAACATACAATGCTGTTAATCCTGTCCTTCATCATCCTGAGCGTTGTTGGATATCCTGAGCTGCAATCTAATGAAACCGCGGCGGTGCGGGCGATTGCTATGAGAACACAGAGGGATGTGATGAGAAATAACAGTATGTTGGACACTGCTGTTTACGGCATCGACCTCAACAAAATTGTTTTCGATCAATTTGGATACAATTCCTCATCGGTTCCTGTTTTCCAAGATATCCTATACACTGGAGTACAAGCTCTGGTTTTAGACCTTTACTACAACGAAGATCTGGAAGACTGGGGCCTGTGCGATCTGAGCCTGAATCAAACAAATTTGGGTTGCCAAGACCCAAACACTTTCAATATTTCAACTGTGGTGACATCAATAAATACCGTCTTGGAGAACACAAATACTGGAGTCAACAAGAACATATTCTTCTTGCTGTTGAATCTCTTTTCAACCTTCAATAAGGAGTCGAGGTTCCGCACAGGAATTGGGGTACTGTCATCCCCACTAGCAGGTCTCTTATACGCCAGCAGTCCAAGTCGCTTGGAAGAGCAAGATACTATCAACCTCAATAACTTTCTCTTTGGGGACAAATACAGAGTCATACCAGTGATCTTGTCCAATAATCTTTATGTCAACACTTCTTACAAACTAGACCCTGATCTTGATACGCTTTATAAAGCAAACACAAGTATTCCCATCACGTATACTGCAAACGACAATTTGATATGTTCGGAACCAAAATCGTTTCAATTTGCATACGACTCTCCAGCGAACCCGTACGATACCAAGTCATTCCACGATACCCTTGTCTGTGGTTATTCCCCTATTATCAGTCAGAGCACCCAAGATTTATCTCAGATATCAAGTTTGTTACCGTACAGTTTGTGGTCTTGGGATGCATTCCAACCAAATCTGACAATATCGTCGTCGCTGAAAAGAAAGAACGATTCCTCCAAAGCTAAGAAAGACACTTATTTGAACAGATGTGGCATAGTTACTCCCACAGGATGGAAGGCTACATCGTGCCATTTAAAGTTTCAAGTGGCATGCGCGGACCGCTCGGACTCTACGAAATTCCAGCTCACTTCTGAGAAATTCACCTATTTTGAAGCCGGTGCGGCATGCTTACAATTAGGTGGAGATTATGTTTTCACCGTTCCTTCTTCACCCTTGGAACAGCGCACCCTCATTAATCTTTTAGAGGGTAAAGAAGCAGCTTGGATTGACATGAACTCGCTCTCTAGCTCAAATTGCTGGGTCAATGGAGGACCAAATGCTGTCTGTCCATACCAACCTCTTGTTTCCAAGACCATCTTCAATGAGATGATGACTATTGCATGTGTGGTAGCTGTCATTATTTTTTTGCTTATTCTCATTGTTCATATGGACAGACTACTAGTGCATCGCAATAGAAGCCATTGGCGTCGACTGCTCAAACAGAAGCTGAAAAACGAATTCGAAGGGATTCCCTCGTGAATTTTTAGTGCTAATTGTGGCTACCTTATTATACAATCGAGATGTTGCGGCAGCTGGTGATAATCGACCGTTCATCTTATAATGTCGAAACCGCTATCAACCCCTTCTTCCAACTCGATGAGCTCGCTGCCAAAAAGCCCGCTATCATATTCGCCATTTGTCAGGTCATATTTTGAGTTCCAAATGGAATAGATACGGACAGACTGGTCGCTAATTGCAGTACAAATTGACTTCGAGTCATGGGAAGAAACTGCGCTCAATACCCGAATGTTAGATGTCGATGCCAGCTTGACTTGCAACTTCATTGATGGATACGAATAAACAGATATTAAAACAGGCTTTTCTGTATTATCACCAAATCCAAAGGTTGCAAGTATCTCCTTCCTCGATTTGGACCAAATCAAAGACGTAACTTGTCCCTTGGTCTGGATTTTGTCAAGTAAGGTGCCGGTGTTTGTGTGCCAGAATCGGATGTTCCTATCTTTGGATCCTCCCCCGGTTGCAAGTAAATGTGGCATCCATGGGCAATATGCGATGGCTTTGACAGCGGCTTGGTGAGGGAGACATGACTTTAGTATCGGTTTGTGCAGATTGCTGATATCCCAGATGGTGCAACAATTGTCGTTTCCGCCAATGGTCACTTGTTGCCTGTCCGGACTTACGTCGATACCACATATCTGTTGTTCATTGCATTTGAAAGAGCACCCTACTGTGAGTCGATATTGAGGTGAATTCTGCCCATTATCTACCTCAACCAACTCGTATAATGTGACTTCTCCTAGATCGTCCCCTGCAAAAAATGAACTTGTTTCTTTGATCCAGCAGATACAGCAAATGCCTGTGCTGGGTCTAAGAATTGATGTTGTATTGATCGTCCTTGCATTTTCAGAGTATATGATAACTCGTCCCGTTTTTGTTCCAACAGCCAATATGTCATCGTAACTATATGAAACGCATGAAATTACCTCTTCTATTGTCTGCAGTGGTGTTGTTCCAGTTTTGTTGCTCCATGTGTAAACCACAGTTCCCAAACCTACGGCGATCCGATCACTTTTTCTGCCCCAAGAAACTACATTGGCATAGAAATCGTTCCTGAGGCCCGGAGCATCCAAAACCTTGAATTTGACTTCTGTTTTAATTTTCTCTTTTGACGTGTTGCTCAAGCTGGGAGGGCTTGCTATCGTGCTACCGCCTATATCTGATTGGGGTGGCTGTTTATTCTCGATCATGTCCCCAACGGGTTTCTTTCTTAAATTGGACACTCTGGACGGTCTGAAATTCAGAATCCGCGACTTGATACGAAATCCCAAAGCTTTCGCAACACTTACTTTATGTAAATTGGCGTCCTCTTTTTGAAATGGTTCTGACTCTGATGCGTCGTTAACAGAGAGGTCGTCAAATCGCCTTGCAATATCATCTTCAGACAAGTTACCAGTTTGTCTTGTGGACGACTCTTGGTTGGATCTCAGTAGAAAGTTATCATCGCGAATCAGAAACGGGTTGTCGAAGAACCCATTTTCACCTGTTATTGGACTTGTTATCTCATTTTGCTTGTTGTGGAATCCCGAGGATTTGGTTATAATGCTTCGATAATACCCTTGATTTCCATTATCTTCTAGGGTTGAAATGAATCTGTCGGTAATGTTGTCGTAGTTTAGGTCATTTCTGGATGTATAGTTGTGGTTCCTGAAAGATTTTTGAGAGCCATACTTGCCCGTCTGTTTTAAGCTCATAATCGGGCGGTCGATGAGATAATGATGATAGGGGAGAAATAAAGCAACTGGGAAAGCGGCGAACAGCAAAGCGTAGTGGTTTATCTATAGAAATACGTTAGTTTTATGTAAAGATGTCACCTAGCGTTAGCGTTAACTGAATTAATTTTAGCGAGCGCATCAGAAAAAGGCAGTGCAACAAAAACCGTTTTGCCGAAAGAGGAATTCTTGTGGGGGGACTAGATACTGAAGCTTTCCGCATGGAAATTGAAACCGCAATTATTAGCCCAAAGTTGCACTTTGTTCACAAGACCAATAGGACCTGCACCAACAACCCATGTAGATTCGTCCAATTCACCTCCTCTTTCTTGGAATCGCTGCTGTCTATTTTTTATGAATTGCTCATTGAGGAAAAGCTCGTCCTGGGCATCCGAGCCCAATATATGGCCGTCGCTCTTTTGATAGTGTAATTTCTGGCCTTCATTTTCAATTGTAATCTCATTGCAACACACCGACTGCCCGTTGTGTATGTCTATCAAGGGGCCAATACACGAAGAGCCAGTGCACCAATTATAGTAATGGATGCCCAATCTTGGTCGTCCAAATTCAATCCGACAAGCTAAACCTTTGAGAATCCAGTAATCTGCCAAGTCGTCGTAGATACCAGAAGAAGATGAGTAAGGCAAGCTGAAGGAGTCGCGTTGTTGGAGAGAATCCGCAGGGAAGTCAAGAATTCCTGAATACAGCGAGGAGCTTTTAGGGACGATTGGTTCGGGGTTCCTGCACTTACCATCCAGATCCAAATCAACATTTTCGAACCTATCTTCATCCTCAGCCGAGTACCCAGACTTGAGTAGCTCAGCGTGATGGCGAAGAGGGATGTATCCAGCCCTGCTTTTCTGGGCTGAACTTTCATGAGCAAGAGCATCAATTTCGTTTGCCATCGCCTGATAGCTTACTTTGGATTGCATTAGAGGTGACTTTTCATGGTATTGCGGAAAGTATTTTCCATTGAGCACTTGTTCCTGGTTTGAGAGCTCAATCTGCCTGTTGAGACGATGAAGCTCCCTTATGGCTCTTTTGAAACTGTTGATCTCCTGTTGACTGTAGGACCCAGTGATGAAAATGTCGATGCAGTCGTCGTTCACTAATATATTCTGAAAGTAATCTAAGACCTTAAGGTCTTCGTGATCCCTGAGAACCCAGATGATCTTCACGGTGGCCCCGTTGTAGCTTAGTGTTCTCAGAATTGGGAGAGCAAAACTAATTGCAGATCCTCCAACAACTATCAAACATTTTTTGACTTTAGTATGGAAAAGGAGCGAGCGTGGATTAGCGTTTTTCATTGGCTTCAGGAAGCTCAAATGAGGTAGATATGCTCCTGTGATGAGATACTTCTTTTCGGATGACAAATCAAAACGTCCTTTTCTGACAATCATCTTCTGGCTTTCGTCAAATGGAAGAGTTGCAATTGTGAAAGGATGTTGAACTGGCATAAAAATGTGTCGCCAGATTTGTTTCAAATAATTAGACTCATCGAACTCGTTCATTCTCAAATGACAACCCGGAATTATTGACTTTACTGCCAGTGCTGATCCCGGAAAGCTCACGAGTAACAGGTTTGCAGAAAGCTGGGTCACCTCAATCGAGGAAACTTTGGAAATTCGAAATTTGAAGTACATTTGGTACACCAAGATTGCAACATTGATTGTCGTCAGATATGGAATAGGTGGTCTAACATGAACGTACAGCAGTAGTACCGCTGCCCAAGTGCAAATGTAATGAAATGCAAAAAACACGTTGTAGAGCTTCCGCCTCACTTTTGGAAGCGAGGTCACCAAAATCAGTATGAAACTAATAAGTGCGTAGATGCCATAAAGGTTGTCACGTTTCCGAATTTTGATCATAGTGTTGCGTTGCCAAAAAATCCAGATATACAGGATCGTGTGTATTATGCTTTGGAGAATAACCAAGCGAGAAAGCCATTTATGTATTGGGAGCAAGGTGAGATATAACGTATCTGGTAAAGGCGAGGGGCGAAGAGTTAGAAACAGGACTGTGGGTAGACAGTATGTTGCCACACGTCCTACTCTAGCAGCCAAAAATTGAATGTCGGAGTAAAGTTCGAGTGTCGATAGAACACCAAGAACAACTGTCCAAAACAGAATGGTTTTTATCACTTCCAGATGGAGTGTGAAGTAATTGTTTCTGAAACGGAGTATCTTGATTCGGCGAGCAACACTTCTGTAAATTTTCCATGTAATGGGTTTTGCTATTCGATTCCAGTAAGGAATCAGCAGAACAAGGATCATGGTAACGGCAAACGTGATATAACCATACTTGACTGTAATTTTCAATCTCAGCGCTTTGGTTTTCCCCGTCTGATCTTCGGGAAGGAGCCGAGGCATCCAATCCCAGGACATATATGCAATTGTTAATGAGGATTATCAAATAATACAGAAAAAGTATCTAGCTGTTCCAAAGTTGATCGAGATGTTATAAGGAAGGAAATTTATCTAATCGATCTTTAGTAATCATGGCATCCTTGCACTGCCTTCCATGAGGCTGAACAGTTTTCTTAAATTTAGCACAGCTGTTTTAGTCACGTGCGTTTTATAAGGTCTTTCAGACTCCTTGGACCGCAAATTTATTTCACCAGTGCTAAAATGGCAGAACTTTACTGAGAGAGCCCCCTCGCACCAAGTAAGTAGGCCCTGCGAATGTTTTTTTCTCCCCCGTGACGCCCGCGCGGTAACTAGGCGACGAGCCCCCGTGCAAGCCCCGAAGCTGCCCTAGTGGTGAATTTTTCATCTTTGAAAAAATTTTTAAAAAACCAGACCTGTATCTACAGCTAGTTTAACCTATACCTGTTCAAGATGGCTGACTTTTCTCTCACTCAGGAGGATCTGCAATTGTTGATTGCTGCCAACGCCCACTTGGGTTCTAAGAACACCAACGTTCACAACACCTCATACATCTACAAGACCAGACCAGATGGTGTTAACATCATCAACATTAACAAGACCTGGGAGAAGATTGTTCTCGCTGCAAGAATCATCGCTGCTATTCCAAACCCAGCCGATGTTGTTGCCGTTTCTTCTAGAATCTACGGCCAAAGAGCTGTCCTCAAGTTTGCTTCCCACACCGGGGCCACCGCCATTGCTGGTAGATTCACCCCAGGTTCCTTCACCAACTACATCACCAGATCGTTCAAAGAGCCAAGATTAATCATTGTGACAGATCCAAGAACCGATGCCCAGGCCATCAAGGAGTCCTCCTACGTTAACATCCCAGTCATCGCTTTGGTTGACTGTGATTCTCCAGCAGAGTACATCGATGTTGCTATCCCATGCAACAATAAGGGTAAGCATTCCACGGGTCTGATCTGGTGGTTGCTCGCCAGAGAGGTCTTGAGACTCAGAGGTACTCTCATCAATAGAGAAGAGCCATGGGCTGTTATGCCAGACTTGTACTTTTACAGAGACCCTGAAGAACCAACATACGAGCCTTCTGCCGCTGATGAGCTTGCTGACGAGCTTGCTGAGGCTGCTGCAGAAACGGGAGAGGCTGAGTGGACTGCTGAGCCAACCAACGCTGACTGGGCTCAATCCTCCTCTGCTGCTGACTGGGCTGCTGAGGGAGCTGAGCAGACCGAGAACTCTGAATCGTGGTAATTAAGATATGTCTCTATCTGTTAGCAAAAAGTTAAGTCAAGTAATACATACATTGGTTAACTTGCGTCGATCACCGACGGTGCATAGTAAAAATCCATTTTATTATTTTTGAACTGATTGATTGTCTTAGTTTATCTTATTACTCTGATATAGCCTCAAGTTGGTTCTCGAGAGCGTCCTTATCAAACTCCTGCTAGTGCTGTTCTTGTTGACGCTGGCTTTTGTCCTGTTATATCAAGTTGTCGTTGAATTCGTGACTAGTCCTGTCTTGTTGCCCAAAGAGCAGCACTAGCTCATGCAAAAGTCTATTGTCTCCTTTTTTTGGCCCACGGATTTGCTGAATCCTGTGTCTGACCACAATCTGGTTGTCGTTGGATACAAGCTCAATAGCCAAATAGTGGTGATTGACTATATTGAGTATTCAAACTTTAAAAAGCTCAACTTAAAAATCGAGAAAAACAACCTCTGTCTAGAGATTATCGGCATAGTCAACTTCCATCATTTGAACTATAGAAACTTCAAGTTTGATGATCGCACAAATAAGCCTGTCATGGAATCGCATGAGAACCTCATTCTTTTCAAGCCTCCCCTATCCAAAAAACTAGAATATTACTCCATTAACCCAATCTCCGTGGATATTTTCTGGACTGTGACGCCACAGGATGTGCTCCCTTGTTCTAGAACAGCACCTAACAAATTGGGCTTGCATTTTGGTACTCCATCGAAAACCAGAGACCTCGAAGATGTCATGAAATTCATCAATCTCACAGAGTATACAAGATACAAACTTTTACAATCCCACAAAACTAAAACTTCACTGTATACAGACACCATCGGTCATTGTATCAACTGGATTGGCTCCTTTGTGCTCCTTTTGTATTGTGCAGCTTTTCGACCTTTTTGCAAAATACTAATCAGCGTTTTAAGCTATCCGCTATGGTTCAATCCAGAAACCAAGACATATGTCACTCCATCAACTTGCAGCTTTGTACTTCACCAGCTCACCTTCAGAGCAAAGCAGTTTCACCACCTTCCTATACAATTTCAAAGGCTGCGAAACTCCAATTATGAAACCGAGAAGTTGTTAATAAAAGGGACTAGATTCTCTCCCAGTGAGTACATCAAATTCTACAATTCACTTTGGCTGATACTGGATGACTTGCTGATGGGTATTATAGTGTCAAATTTGTTGTCCAAATATCACAACCTATTGGTTCAGGGAACGAATGCACTGATCTTGAAATTTGAAGACTCGCTACTATACCTAGTCAAATGGCTCATGAATTTCCCTGGTGGCTTTAAGCTGAACAATGAACTTGCCGAATTCTTCGGAGAGCTCTTCATGTGGGTGCTGGACTTCTGGAATGAATATGTACTCCGAACAATCTTGAACAATTCGTCCACTATCATTCGAGCTATTACATTGCTAGTCAACTTTGGCGGACTTAGCATGCTCATTGCTTCCATTATGGACCTGCTAGATTTAATGAGTTTGCACTTGCGCTGTTTCTATTTTGCCTCAACTCGTGTGTTCAATTGGCAATGGCATATCATACAGTCTCTTTTTAGACTATTCTACGGGAAAAAGTACAATATTTTGAGGAATAGAATTGACTCGCATAACTATGAGTTTGACCAGTTGCTTTTCGGTATCATTATATTCACCCTTTTGGTCTACTTGTTGCCTACAGTGGTTGCGTTTTATTTGAACTTTGCAGTCAGTCGGCTTCTCACTCTCTTCCTTCATACTGCTCTGGAATTTGTTCTGGTCACGCTTAACCATCTACCAATAGTGGTTCTTCTTCTCAAAGCCAAACATAAAGAAAGACTGCCCGGAGGTGTTATTTTCGAGTGCCGAACTACAGTCAATGACACACACTATTTCCAGCTAATGGCCCGACCCCTGAGCTTGAAGGAAATCATCTATAGCCACATCAGGTCGATGATGATCTTCAATCTCAACAATCTCCAAGAGTTACAGCGCGATGGCTCCAAAGCTAACATTCAAGATGTCGTTAATCAATGGAACCATGTATCACTGGTCGGAGTACTTAAAAACATTGCATTGGGGAACTTCATACACAGCTTCGATTATAAAAGACTGTTTTAATGTATAAAGATAGGTAGCTTAATCGGTTAGCATTATGTACAGATTTACTTCCGCTTCTTCGTTGGAGCTTCCACTGGAGCCTTCAGCTTCTTTGGAGCGCCTTTTCCTCTCTTCCTCAACATTGTCACTCTTCTCTGTCTGTAATCTTCGTCTTCGTTGACGAGTCTAAAATCGTCCACCCGCCAGAGTTTGAAAATCTGGAACACGGTTGGGAAATCGGCAGGGCCGTAGTAGTTCGATATTATCTGACCTTTCAGTGGCTTTCTCAAAATTTGAGCTTCTGTTCTCAAACGTTCGGGATTGTATGTGGTTCTAAATATATCGCATTGCAATTTTGTTAACTCCTTTAGCTTTGCCAGTTTTGGCGGGTTGAATAGTCGACTCGCCATGTTCGAGAGAAGCACTGGCACCACGATTTTATTTTTCCAATTTTCAGCGGTCTATTTATTAGCACCGCCGCCTTGTGGCTTGTGTAAAATGTATCAGACTAAATCAATTTGGATCCTTCATCAATGAGCCATGCGCACTTGTTTAGTGAGCTGACAGCAATCACAAACAATTTGGATCTATTCATTCCACTAGGTGTTTTGTATCTGTATGGACGGCCTCCAATGCCGTCCAAAGGTCTAGAGGCCCCCGATGGCTGGAGCTGGCTGGAGCTGCCGTATCAAGGCGATCTGGAATTGCGGCCAGGTACAGGAATGAGCACAATTATGCACGACCTGCGCTATTTGAACTCTCGGGGCCATGTAAGGATGACATACAAGCCACTTAAAAGCGAAGTTTCAGTTATAAGACTCTACGTGCTGACTCAGGATGTCAACGGTTCGCAAGTGGTGCAGAAATTCAGATCTCTATACGCTCGTGGGGGCCGTGCAGACAGTTGGCATGCAAAAACGTACAAGGCTGTCATGCTAAACTTGATTAAAGTTTTAGATTACGATGAAGAGGCCTGGAGTCTTGCGACGGATTTCCAGCTGCTCAAGTACCTTAAAAGCCATAGCATTCTTCTGTTTCCCTTGATGAGCCAATTCAGAGCGTACAACTTATCAAACATAGGGAAGATGTGCTTGGACGAGCCCTTTGAACATCATCTGAAAAGGATGATAAATCGTTCGTCGTATATGAGATGTCGAGAAGAACCCAAGAAAGAAACAATCGAGGACCGACTCATCAGAATATACAGTCAAGTCAATTCACCTAATTTCGATTTAGAAGAACTGGATCCCGTGTCCAGAGAGACCATCAGTGAAATCTTGAATGGGAAGATTCCTGGGATGAAAAGTGACCTATATAATTATCAGAGACGGAGTCTTGCCAAGATGTACGAAAAGGAAGTCTCGATCAAATCGGTTCCCGTTCCCAATTTGATCGTACTTTCTCGAGGCAGCAAATCCTTTTATTTGGACATCCAAACACTGAACTTCATGGAAAATGCAACATGCTACCATACCCCTAGAGGAGGGATATTGGCGGAAGATATGGGTTTAGGAAAGACATGTATATGCTTAGCCCTTGTATGCCTTTCCAAGTACCAAATATCTGAAATTCCCCGGGAGAATCGCACGAGAGCCAGTCATAAACATATGCTGTCCCTTTTGGATATATGTGCCAAACACATCAACGAGCACTCTATAGAGTGGAAGCAGTTTTATCACGAGCTACCTCGTGCTTGCGTCCAGAAGTTAGAAGCCAACTTGGGATGCTTCGAGATATCGCAATTCAAAGTTCCCAACTATGTTACAAGAACGAGTCGAGATGTTGTCACTGAGACTAGAAAGCTCTTTGTGACATCCTCGTCATTGATCGTCGTTCCCGATAATTTATTCCATCAATGGAAAATCGAGATTCGAAAACATGTACAAGAGAACTACTTGAAAATACTGGAATTACAAGGACAGGCTGAGCTTCCTCAAAGCGTGGCTGAGCTTATCAGTAATGACATTGTTCTCATATCTCTAAACTACTTCTCAAGACAGTCTGAAAAACCAGACTCAATTTTAAGGTCAATATACTGGAAGAGGCTGATCATTGACGAAGGACATTCCATGAATTCCAGGTCCACACGAGCTGTGCTGCTAGCCAAGCAGCTGGCTGTCGAGCGCAAGTGGACTATCACAGGAACACCTACCCTTGGACTCACTAATCTACACGTGGAAGAAACAGAAGAGGACTATACAATCAAACGCAAATTCAACGCTAGAGACGATTTGGTGAAACTAGGTACTGTCGTGTCCAATTACCTAAAAGTTGAGCCTTGGAGTACAAACCCGAAGCTGTGGCTCAATAATGTAGTCAAACCTTTCGAAAATAACAGCTTGAACGGAGACCACCAGCTAATGCAAATACTGCAAAATTTGCTTGTGAGGCATTCTGTGAAAGATGTGGAATTTGACATCAAGCTCCCAAAACTAACGCACCAGCCGGTGTTTCTCAAGCCCTCGTTTTTTGATAAGTTGTCCATCAATTTATTCATAGCAGTTCTTGCGACAAACGCGGTTACCTCTGAGAGAACGGACAGGGACTACATGTTTCACCCGTCAAATAAAAGCATTTTGAGAAGACTGATAAATAACCTTCAAAAAGCCACTTTCTACTGGACGGGCTTTTCTATTCAGGACATTGAAAATCTGCTTAGCATTTGCAACTACGCATTGAATACTATCAAAAATAGGTATTCCAAAGAAGATGTCAAGCTGCTGCAGAGCTCTATCTATACGGCCAAAGTTGCGCTGAGTAACTCTCGATGGAGAACTAATTGCAGTGTTCACGAAATGAGCTATTTCGTTTCCAATTTGCCGTTGATGTTCCACAAAAACATGTCAGTTGCGAATTACGAGTACGAAGTAGACGATTTCCACAACCCAATAGGCGTTTATGGGTATCCGCAACTGCATTCTGTTCAGAAACTATTTTACAAAAACCGGCTCGTGAAAGAGAGTTTTCTGTTTGAAAGAATACTGGAGGAAAGCTCTAAAGAGTTCTGGGTCAAATATTGGAGATCCAACGATTCCAAGGAAAGTTGGAAGCGTGGACCATCAAGAGTTTCCAACCAGGACAGTATTGACTTGGACAGTGTTCGGCTAATAAACCACGAACCGAAGTGGAAAAACGAGTTTGACCCTGCAAAGGAAGAACTCGAGATAACTGCCAAACCCCAGAAGCGGACCACGAGACATCATTTTGAGTCTTTGAACCAGTCGCCACGAAAGAAGATCAAGTACATTCCTGAGGGTTGCAACACCCCTAGAACTCCAGAACCTTTGATACCGGAAGGAAACTTTGCGTCGCATCTGCGCCATGCTCGAATTTTGGGTACTGCATCTGTTAAGTTGTCGTATCTTACATCACGACTACTCGAGAACCAAACCTTAGGAATCAAATCGATCGTGTTTTACGAGTTCGAAAATAGCGCCTATTATCTCACTGAACTGCTTGACCTGTTGGGCATGAACTACCTCATGTACTCGACATATGTCAAGATAGCGGAGAGATCTAATAACTTGACAAAATTCGATCTGTGGGACACCTCCGTCAGTGGTGGTATTGTTCTGGTGATGGATGTGAAATTGGCATCACATGGATTGACAATCATATCTGCAACCAATGTATTTTTCATCAATCCAATCTGGAATAAAACAGTTGAAGCACAGGCAATCAAAAGATCTCACAGAATTGGACAAACCAGGGAGGTGTACGTCGAAACTCTGATATTAGACAATACAATCGAGAAGGAAATGTACTTGAAAAGAAGCCAGACAAAAGCGGACGAAACCAAAGAATTGATTGACAATACAGGAATGCAGGAATACATTATGCGTTTCGAGTTTCTTAAATTATTTGAGGACTTTCATGCGGAATACGAGCCAATTCGCTCTCCAACTCGTTATAAAATGGATCTGGGTGTGCAAAAGGATGATTATGATGACGGCTTGAAGCTGTTCGGTGTTGAGAGCACGATCCAAAATGGGATGAGGACCTGGAAGCTTCCTCTCTTCACCGAACAGAGTTTGGCACGTACCACAGAAAATGAGTCCAAAGTCAAAGACGAGCCAATTGATATCTTCAAGACAGACTTTGAAATGCAAAAAGAAAACGCTTCTTCCTGTAAGCTCCTGCAAAAGCTTAAAGGTCAACGAAAAACTGTCCGTTTTGGCTAATCATATAGAGAACGTAAGATTAGTGATCCGTCGATGGAGCCACTAACTAATTTGTCATTAACCGCATCCACATCCAGCACCGCCCCCAGATGTCCATCAAGCCGACTTTTTAATCTCCGGCTGGCGAAGTCCCACACGTACACATGAGCATCATTGGATCCACTAATGATGTATTCTTTGCCGTCAGATTTCTTGATTGATTTCAAACGTATCAAATAATCTTCTGCAGAAGCTTTAGATCCGTCAAAAACGTACGGCCGTGCCCGAAGTCCCTTTGTAAACAACCTCGAGTCGTAATATTTAATCGTGTTATCGACAGACTTGGAGACAAGGTAGGACTCGTCTGGAGACAACACAAGCGAGGTCACATTATTCGTCTGATTGCATTCTTCCCAGCAGAATGTGCCCCTTTTGCGTGCGTCGTAGCAGAACACTGTTGGCTCAATTCCTGCAAAATAGAACCTCTGGTCCCTCGCATCTATGGTAGCTGTAAGAACAGGATATTTGTGTTGGATGGTGTCAATTTCAAATCTCGACCGTGAGTCCCACAACTTCACTGATCCGTCATCTGAGCATGTCACAAGTATGTCGTTTTCCGAATTGGATATTTCATTGATACACATCTTATGGTGAAACGTCTTGATTTTCTTGTTTTTAGTGATATCAAGCACAGTTGCTGTCGAGTCAGCAGAAGCGACAAATACATGGTTTTCGTTGAGGTGAGACCATTTTATCGAGGTGATGGCTGACTTGGTTATAGTAGCCACATTGTAATCGTAGGGCAGCTCTTCCCTGATCAGCTCTGGCGAATCTGGGATCTTCCAAACTATCAAATTTCGATCCACTCCCCCAGAAGCCACGAGAGTCCCATCTTCATTAAATCTATTCGCAAGCACGGCGCCTTTGTGCCCAGTCAAGCGCAACACATAGGGGACGCCAATGCCGTTCTGGTGCACTACCAAAGACATTCGACTAGAACTAATTATTTTTCACCTGCAAAAAATAATTATCGACGCGACGATCTCCCCCGGATTTCGTTAGGTAGCCCTGTGTCTGGCCCCGGTGATGGCGGTATTAATTTTTCATTGGGCAATTGTCAGAGCCTTGCCATTAATTTATCGATTCAGAATCATGCTTTCCAGAAACGTCGCTTTTGCTTCCAGAACCAACAGATTGGCTCTTGCCAGACTCTACTCGGAGGGTTCCACAGGCTCTACCCGCAGTGATGGTTCCTCTGACGCTTTTACCGTAAGCATAGCAACACTCGCCTACTTTTTTACTAACTTCAATTAGAAACGGGAAAAGGCCCAAGAGGACTACTATATCAAGAAGCACCAGGCTGAGCAAATTGCTAAGCTCAGAGAACAATTGGCCAAGCAGAAGGAGCAACTCGACAACCTTGAGTCGTCGATGAAGAAAGACTAAGCCAAACAATTATTCCAACAGATTTATCTAGTACGTAACGTTATGAATACTTATTCTACACAGTATTAGTAGAACATTAGTTCAATTTAGGTCTCTTGACATTGTCAAGCGAGGCCTCCTCTTCGTCGACTGGACCTGGGCCATCATTGGCTTGAATTATTGGAGTCGAGATGTCAGCATGGAAGTCCTTGATTATCGAGTCCACATCGTCAATTGTGAGCGGTCTCACGTCTCCAAGCTTCTTGATCTTAGTGGTAACCTCCTTGACCTGGGCGTCCGACAGATTGAGGTTCAACTGTTCGACTCTGCTCTTGATAGCGTTCCATCCGGTCAATCTGTTGGCGAAATGGATGTAACGGGACAGACCAAAGTCAGATGGGTTGAGAATCTCATAGGTCGAAGGGTTGGCCAAGATGGCTTTGGCATGGATACCGGCTTTGTGGGTGAACGCGCAGAAACCGGTGATCGGGTTGTTGAACGGAATATTCACTTGCACAGCCTCAGCCACCAGATTCTCCAGGTCTCTCAATTTGTGCAGCTTGTACTTGGACATGACGTACTCCCGATCTGCAGCAATCATCCTGGCCATCAGACCACCTAATGGCGTGATACCGTTTCTCTCTCCAATGCCAAGAACAGAAACGTCGATGAGTTTTGCGCCTGCTTCCAAAGCCGTGTAGGCGTTGGCGATGGCACAGCCGGTGTCGTTGTGGAAATGGCATTCAATGTCACATGACACGACAGACTTCAGAGTCTTGACCAGCTCATACACCTGTCTTGGATTGGCACAGCCGACAGTGTCAGCAATACCAACTCTGTTCACACCGATCTTGTCAACAGTCTTGTAGATGTTGAGCAGGTCGACAATATCAGATCTGAATGAGTCCTCGGAGGAAAATCTGATCTCAATACCCTTGGACTTGACAAACTCAATCACTTCAACGGCAGACTTGGTGATGTAAGACATGTCCTTACCGTGAGAATACTGTCTCAGAAACTGAGAGGTTCCAATGACCACATCGACACCATCAACACCGGTCTCGACCGCAACCTTGGCATCGTCCATATGACATCTAATGTGAGTCAGGATCTTGGCCTTGAGCCCAAGTTTACAGATAGCCTCACAGTCGATTCTACTTTGCTCGGAGGCAACAGGAGAAGTCAGTTCGATGTAGTCGACACCAAAGTCATCCAAAGCCTTCGCGATTTCAATCTTTTTTTCCGTACTGAAGAAGGCGTTCGCAAACTGCTCGCCTTCTCTCAAGGTAGACTCGATCAACTGGAAAGATCTAACGTTCGAAAGAAAATCGCTGGGATTTGGTCCATAAGGATTTACCTGAACCTTCTTATGCTGTTCTTCAGAAACTTTTTGGTACTGCTCTGACATGTTAGTCATTAAAAATAGCTTCGGAACATACCTAGTGAGGACATATTGATAATCAATTATGTAGATAAAAAAACCGCCTCTTAAATTACTCAGAGATGAAATTTTATCATGAAAAAAATGACTACACGACCTGCCGAGTATAAATTTCTAAAGCAGGTATAATATGATGCTATGATAAATATTCATATCCCGTGCCTTCGCTGTCTCGTGCAAGATATTGCTCATCGATAAGCACCTCAATAGCTTTCTTGATGTCGGCCACAGTAGGCTTGAATCGATCAATCATCTTGTAAACTTCATTCGTAAGCTGCTCATGCTTGTAATGTTTTCTAGCTTTCATCACCCTCACGATAGAGGCTTTCAAAATACCGTGATGGCGCATCTGAATCTCGGTGTTGGTGTCCTTCTCCTCATTTCTTGAATCTGCTATCTTCACTCCTGATGCAAAATTCACTTTGATACGCTTAGATGTGTACTCCTTCACGATGGTGAAAGTCGTATGAGGCTTTGCAATAGCTTCCTCACCTGGAGGATTCTGTATCAGGAGCTTGTTCTTGACTAGAGGAGTAATGTTAGCTTTGAACACATCCACCGGAGCAGCAGTCGCTTCTAGCAACTCAGCAACGCTCAGCGTATCTGCTTCGTTGAATGGGTACAAAATCGCCATCTGGAAAAGCGTGACAGTGAACAAAAATGGAGGTTTCCCCGGCTTGGAAATGTTTGCTTTCAGCTCGACTTTGGACCGATTCCAAATCCAGCTCAGCTGCCGCCCAGGAAACTTCGACTGATATATAGAAGCGAACTTCTCTTGTGTGTTAATTAGCATTGGTGGCAGCAAAATAGACTCGTTGCTCTTATTGAAAATGGACTGCCAAGCACCAGAGTCCAAAATCCGGGGTTCCAAGTCAGAAACGTAGTCTTTCGGATTAGGCTCCAGCATAATCGTTTCTTTGTACAGCGTGCCAAGGTCCCTCGAAACTCTAATATCGTTGAACATGTTCGTGATTTTGTTTGTGTATTCTTGCGTGTTGGCCGATCTTAGCTTGCCGATGATCAATTCCTCCCTTTCACCATCTTCTGGCGTCATTGTCGAGCCCATTAATCTCTTGGAGAGGAACCTTCTATACCAAACCTCGAAACTTTCTTTATCGTCAATGAATTTGAAAACTGTCATGAGCTCGTCAACAGACATATCCTCAGGTTTCTTCCTAAGCATCTCGTCCGCATATTTAGCAAGAAGATCTGGTGTCTTGGACTTGGACTTGTCTTTAGGGGTGGCAATTGGGTTATAGTTTATGAAGGACTGACATGCGCTATCCAGGGCCTTCACAAATGCCTCGTTGTTTTCGAAAGATTCCTTTACCACATTTTGGAATTTGTGGTAAACTTTAAGAAGGGTTTGAATGTATATCTTTGCGTCCACATCATATGCAAGCCCTTTCTTTGGTTTTGACTTTCCATCTTCTTCCACAGCAGCACTCTGTTCCTTCTGTTGGGCCTCTAGCTGCAACTTGAGCTCTTCAACGGCATTAAGACCCTGCTGTCTGACGTACGCTTGGAATTGCTGCAAAAGTGGATCTATAGTCATTGGCACTCTCTTCAAAAGATGGTGCATTCTTCTGATATCTGAATATCTTTCTTGGTCAAGCAAAGGAGTTAACTCAGAGCGAATGACATCTGCATGATTGGTTATCAAGACTTCATTCAAACAGTCGTTTAGTGGTCTTCTGGTATGATCGTTTAGCTCTTCAAGCCTCTTCAGCTCTTCCTCTATTCTCTGCTCTGCTTTCACAAGGTAATTAACCACTCCGTACTCCTTGATGAAGTTTTGAGATTCCTCAGCGTAAAAATTGTATGTTTCCGTCAAGAAAGATTTCTCAAAATCGTTAATGTAGACAGATAGATTCTGTTTCTTCAAATCGTTCACGTCAAATCCTAAAAGAACAAAAGACTTGATGGCCACACTTAAGTTCCCAATAGATTCGATTTTGTTAAGTCGTTGATCACGAATCTGTTCCATGATCTCGGACATCAAAATGTCTAGATTTGTGTGAAATTTGTAGTCTCTCCAGGAAAGCAAACACAAACTGAGAATGTCGTATATCTCTCTGTGGCCGTCACCCCGTTCTTTGGTAACCCAATATCTATTAATATAGTCGAGGACATCGTTCAGCCGTGTGGATCCAATAAGGTATCTTTCCCAGGTTCTAATGTAGAATTGAAGAAAAGACTCTCCTTCCTTCTGTTTCAAGTTCTCCAGGTAGTGTTTCAAATACACCTTGAGTTTGGCATAGAGTTCTCCGCCAACCAGCCTCACAGAACCATCTCCAGGCCCCCCTCCAACGCTCGACGCAGCAGGTCTTCTAGAAGAGGCAGCAGTACAATAGTCGTAAACTTTGGTGTACGTCTGTGTGTACATGAATGAGTCAAGAGAGGAGTTCTTCTCGTCACCAAGAATCACATGAATAGCGGGCTCGATTTCCTTCCATGTTCGATCCAGAAATGAGTTTGACATATTTTAATGGACGGATATGTAGCGCAAACGTGAGCACAAATCAATCGATATTACAATAGGTCGCTAAGCAGAAAGTTGACAAGGTGGCGTACGTTATTATGGTCACGATAAAGCTACCGTTTTTCACTTGTCCCCTTTGTTGTTTGCCACAAATGTTTTTCCAAGTTGAAAAAAGAACTCGCGTGTAAGGGTAAAAAAATAGCCATACTAAAAAACGTAGCTGCGAACTTTTGATGCGGTATATATTATGCTAAGAAAGTCTTTGGTCATTTCTGTTGACCATTTGCACCACTCTGACGATGCTGATTGTAAACATTATACACCAAACGACCAGGATGATAAAGAGAAATGCGGCTAGAGTTCGTTGGCGACTGCACATCGACGATAGCAAGTTGCGGTTACTCACAACCGGGTGGTTGGCGGTGCACACCCATCGGGAATCATAAAGAGAGTTGAAGCTGAGAGCCAGGTTAGCAGAGGAAAATATCACAAATACCAGCTCGCACATAATCAGTCTCAATTTAGCTTGCGGATCCCTGAGTCCGAGCGGCTGAGATGTGAACTCATCGTAGCTGATATAGAACAGGTACATGATGGCCACGGACTGCACAACAATTGCCATTATTGTACTCGGTTGCTGCGAAACGTGGTCGGTGGTATCTAGGTGGTTATTCAAAACGAATATGCGAGCGGCCAGCCCCAAAGCAACACACGAAAGAAATAGGGTAAAAATTCTGAAAAAAAGCGGGATGTACGAGTTGTATATCAAGATGTCATTCAGTCGAGGCTTCCAGTCTTTCTTGTTCTCGGAAATCCAGTAGCCAGCCTTCGATCTATATTTGGTTTTCTGGTATGGTCCTGAATTGTTTCCATTCATGTCTCTGTCATGGAGTGCGGAATGCGGTGGGCCGTTGTACATGCGCTGTAACTTCTCCTCGCCTCTCCAATCTTGGTCCAATTTGTAGCTATCCAGAATGGACTCGGCGCCTGACTGGTCGAACTGATCCGGAGCATAGGCGTCAATGTTTTTGAAAGTAGAAATAAAACGACTCCAGTAAGTAGGGCTGTAGCAATTCTCATTGGGCTTTGGCTCAAGCGGAATCTGGCCTCGCTCAACACCGTCCAGAACGTACGGCGGAACTGGCTGGATTTTATGTTGGTAGTGTTTAGGGGTTTTCTGAAAGATGTCCGGACCGTTATTTAGACCGCTCGACATAGTGTTTGAGTTTACACCTGATCCAGAGCTAGGGGCGGGGTGATTATCAGTCATAGTGATAACCTTTGGATCGCTCCTCTTGAGGTCCGTCTCTGGCTCAGTAAATCAACCGTTTAGCTTGCCGTTGGAATGTCCTCTCCAACTAAGTTTAAGCACAAATTCTTGAAGTGGAGCCAGGAATTATATAGCCATCCTTACACCGCGACAATGACATTTGTGATGCGCTGAGTTCCATCACGGAAAGTCAATAGCAGATAGAGAAGACGTGCTGACAGATGCCAGCTGCTCAAAGCTCACTGTTTCTATTTGGTGAAAGGTTTGGCAGAAAGTTCAACCGGTTGAATTCGTACTGAAAGCTGTCATTCCATAACTTTAATAAACTTCAGATTTTAAAACGTGCCTGGTCCCTCAACTAAACTCTTAGAGGATTGTCTGAAACTCGTAGCATCATGGCAATCCCACTGGTTCACACGCATCAGTGGACAAGACAAAAAGGACACCTCCATGCTACTCGCCAGGAGGCTCACGATATGCTGACGTTGCAACCACGCTTACATAATCAGACAATTGATGGTAGCAATCTCTAATTATTTATCCACCTCAGAATAGTCAACCAAGTTTATTGAGCTCCGTTACCTATTCGAAAGCTCTCCTGAGGTACCAAGTATCATGACGACATTGATACGTAACACCAGGACGGTATATATTGGAATTCGTTCTTTTAGACCATACCATTCACTAGTGGAACGCATCAGATCGGAGGTTCAAGCTCATCCGATTTATATTGTCTGTTTACCTATCACGACCAAGAAATCATTCTTCTTCTGCCAGTATACTCCTAAGGTTCTCCCTGATGGCAAGGAAGGGCTGGACACAAAACTAGTCAATTGGGCGGCGAAAGCATGGCATAAACTCGAGAGGTCCGAAAACAGATTCAACAAATCAATTGTTTCTGTTATACATCGCCTTCTGAACGAAATACCGTGGATGGAGACGTGCTTCAGATCCATACCGTCGCAAACCAAAATCACTAGATATCTTAAAGATTACCAGAAACCAGACGAGAAGACAGAAAGGACATCGGACCAGGATCGCAAAGTGCATCCAGGACTGGTGACCCAATTAGACATTTCTCCCGAGGAATTAGAGCAAATCCCTTTATACTACCCGTCGTTATTGCTCTCTAGCGAGCAAATCACTAAGGAGCTTCGATCAGAGATCCAAAAAGGTCACGAGTACCATAAAAAGTACTTGTTTGTGAATCTCTTATTGCTGCCGCTAACCATTCCTTTTGCATTGATACCAGTGATACCCAACGTTCCTGGATTTTACCTTGCTTATCGATCGTACTGTCATTTGACGGCATTGAATGGGGTGAAGCATCTACGTTTTTTGTTGGACCTGAAAGGCGGCGAAGAGCATCATCTTCAGATGATTGGTTTACAAGACGCACACGATCTTTTCATTGAGTCCAAAGATGAGAGTACAAGAATCAGTGTGCTTGAACACATAAAGAAGGGAGATTTGAAAGAAAAGCTACTTCTCGATGAAGGCTCTATTACCAACATTTGCAAGGCTTTTGGAATTGAGAAGTTTGAGCCCAATCTGCATGTCGCGTTGTATCAGGAACGCAAAAGGCTGAGCCGGGAAGGCCTTGAGCGCTCTAGAGACTAGATCCGTATAACTAATACTATATATTTATGATCTTTGCACGTGACCGGAGCGGAGGGTTGTTTTAGAAAGTGAGCTTCGAACTTCTGGGAAAAAAAAATATCGAAGCTTGCGGGTTCATTATTCGAGAGCACACGACTACGTCGGCGAGGCTGGTCCACTATAAATATAAAACCTTTCAGCATTAGTTTTTTTATACCAAAAGTTATTATCCCAGGATGAGAGCTAAGTGGAGAAAGAAGAGAGTTAGAAGACTTAAGAGAAAGAGACGGAAGGTCAGAGCTAGATCCAAATAAGTAAATTGGCGGGCGGAGAATGGCAGGAGCAATGGCTGAACCGGTGACCGTCTCGAAGTCGTAATTAAGGTTGTCTCTTCGACCATTCGATATATGTGATTCTCCAGCATCTGGATATGCATTGAAAGTCTTTCCATTGTTTATATTTAGTGTGTCCGTTAATATACTTGAAACTGGATCCAACGTCGACTAGTAACAGCCGAAAAGCCAAGAAAACCAGGGGTCTTGGTCTGGCGACTCGTATTGGGTAAATCGAGATTGAGGTCCATCTGCACGATTTGTAGTCCGCCCCTTAGTCAATTCAGACATATGTCGGTCGACATCTAACGGGGATGCCGTTACTGTCCTCACGTCTTCATTTGGATGACGTCCGAAAATGACTGTGGTAGTCCCCATGCATCTAAAGGAATTCGAGTACTGAAAATCAGACGTCATATCGTCGAGGTCAAAAGAGCTATTTAGGTCTTGGATCCAGCGAAGGGTGGTAGATCCCAAAAGCTGTTCTGGTTGTCCACTATCAAATATTAGGGTGCCGTTTCTAACGCTGTCATTCTCTGGCGCTGTATCTTTTGTTGGTTCAACAATTTGTCTTTTAGCCAAATTTTCTTTCTGATATGGGTGGTTTCCATCCAATGCCAATGAGACATTGTTCTGGCTCGAAGTAGGTCTCCAGCGCACTAATCTGTCCTCCATCATTTCGATCAGCCAGTGAGAGGAAGGGAAAATTCGATTTGATTGTCGACGTATAACTTTTGACCTAAGAGTAGGAATCACCTCGGCAGGATCCAAAGAGTATGGCGGCTTATGCGTGGGGGAATCTTCAATTCTATAGGTACTCCAGAGAGAGCCAGAACTGGGGTCCATAAACTAGTGTGAATATGAAAGGAAGGTAAAATAAATATCCTCTGCCCTTTTTTTCTTAGGGGAGGCGTCGTGCACAACTCACAGCAACACTTTTTCATGGGTTTGGGACAAAACACCTTTCGATTTAAACAGAAGAGGTGATGTTCAATTGATCTATTCAATATAATATTGCAGAGTTTTGGATAATACATATTCTTAGAAAAGTAACAAACGCTATTACATAAAAGCCATTTGACAGCACATTATTTGGCACGCTCTCAAAACTGGAAATTCACTCCTACTGATAAACATACGATAGTTCACAATGGATTTGGATTCGGATATACAGATGGAAGATGCCGTCGAGCAAACACAACCAGAGGCCACAGGAAAGGAAGCGTCACTTTCTCAATTCCCGATAAACACGACCGACCCAACCACCCAGAGAAACATGCTGGATGGCTGGATAGAACAACTGAGCCAATGTAAACCATTGAGTGAAGAGTCTGTCAAACAGCTTTGTGCGATGGCTGTTGAGGTTGTGAAGAGTGAGGAGAACGTTCAACCGGTTCAGGTACCAGTCACCATTTGTGGAGATATTCACGGACAGTTCCATGATTTGATGGAACTGTTTAAGATTGGAGGCCCTTGCCCAGATACAAACTACTTGTTTATGGGGGACTATGTTGATAGAGGGTATTACTCAGTTGAGACGGTCAGCTATTTGGTGGCTATGAAAGTTAGGTACCCAAGAAGAATTACTATTCTTAGAGGAAATCACGAGTCGAGGCAAATTACACAGGTTTATGGATTTTATGACGAATGCTTTAGAAAATATGGTTCCGCTAATGTTTGGAAGATGTTCACCGACCTATTCGATTATTTCCCGATCACCGCATTGGTTGACAACTCCATTTTCTGTTTACACGGTGGCTTGTCGCCAATGATCGAGTCGATCGATCAGGTCAGGGAACTCAACAGAATTCAAGAGGTTCCGCACGAGGGACCTATGTGCGATCTGTTGTGGTCTGACCCTGACGATAGAGGAGGATGGGGAATTTCTCCTAGAGGTGCTGGTTTCACTTTTGGTCAGGACATATCCGAACAATTCAACCACACGAACGGGCTTTCGCTTATTGCTAGAGCTCATCAACTGGTGATGGAAGGTTACAGCTGGTCACATCAGGATTTGGTGGTTACCATATTTTCTGCACCAAACTACTGCTATAGATGTGGAAACCAGGCTGCAATTATGGAAGTTGACGAAAACCACAACAGAGACTTTTTGCAATACGATCCATCCGTTCGCCCTGGTGAGCCTACCGTGACCAGAAAAACTCCAGACTATTTCCTATGACGTGCTCTAACCATTACAGTTACTAAATTGGTTTATTTGTATCACCAACATTCATTATCATATTTCATTACGTGATTATTTCACAATTTGGAAGCTCCATGGAATAGTCAGGTGTACGGTTTTGTCGTCGTCTATGAATTTGGACACGGCATTGTAAGAGCCTCTTGCCAGTAGTCCGCTTGGAGCTTCAACCTCGTCAAACACCTTTTCGTAATAAGGTTTGTCAACTGTACATGGAGCAAATGATCCGAGTGGCTCATCCAGCTTGTCCACCGTGATTCCTGTCTTCTTAACAGCTTGAAGGTACCTTAAACCCGTGATAATCTCACCCTGAATCCGAAACTTGATCACCAGCTGGTAAATGCTTTTTTCCTTGATTTTGAAAGAGACCTTTGGATCTTTAACGTCCTCCAGCTCGACAACGACAGGAGGCTCGCCTCTAATATTGAGAGTCATCGAGAGAATCACCACTGTTCTCTTATCGCCTTCCTTGACAGGTAACAACTCTCCTGTATTCAGGCCAAGCGACCGCTTCCACTTGTTGAGCGACTCATCATTAGCGTCCAACTGCGCATACTCTTGGAGAGACTTTTTCTGGCCAACTTTGAAGCCAGGAATCTCTTCAGGAACCAATTCAGTGTCTGACATGTTTTATAAATAAAACAATATTTGGAGAAGTTTGGCAGATTCCTGTAGATCTAAAAATTCTGGACGTTTTTTTTAAGTTCGAGCATAATGTCGTTACCGCCTTGTCACATCTTGTGCCAATCAGATCTTAAAACACAGCGAAATGTTTTGGACACGCTGTTTGAGCCGTGTGACACGCTGGCAGATATTCTGATTCCAACAGTGTTTGGACGTTCCTTCTCCACATACAGCCATTTGATTGAGGCGTGCAGAGATCAACTGAATAGACTATATCTCGAGTACATTAATGACCGAAGTCTAGAGCCAACAATCGACGACATAGTCGCTTCACATCCAAGATTGGGCCCGCCTAAGGACGCGAAGGCAAAACTGTCCTCGCACTCATCCTCAGAACAGGCTCAACTAAATGCAGACCCTGAACTTGCACAGAAACTGGTGGAGCTTAATGACCGCTACGAAGCTACCTTCCCAGGACTCCGATTTGTTGTGTTTGTGAACGGAAGGTCAAGAGACGAGATAATGAAAATCATGAACGAGCGCATTGCCAGAAACGATATGGACGCCGAAATCAAAGAGGCCTTCGACGCCATGTGCGACATAGCTCTCGACAGGGCGACGAAAAACCAATCTAAATTGTAATACAGACTCACATGATATCGTCATGTTAGATCATATACATTAGTCGATGTGATGCAGTCGAGCTCGAATTCTCATTTGTCACCCCCGTTGCTCCATTTTTTGTGGCTTTTCTTCTCGCCATTTTGAGACGACCTGTAATACCCGTTGTTGTTGTCAGAGTACTTGTTTCTTCCATTGGAATACCGTCCACCGTTGCTGCCCGGCCCCATCTGGTAATACAAGCCCGGATGCGGAGGCGGATAGTAATATTGATACGAAGGCACCATCTGGACAGGAGGCATGGAGGCAGAAGCGGAGAGAGGTGTCGATGACGCGGAATTGGGCGAACTTTCAGCAGGCACCTGGGATGGTGGAATTGGGGCGATGGGTGCTTCCGGTGGAGTTGGCATAGCGTAGATATAAGGGTACGGTGGCATTCCCGAAGAAGGGTTAGGCGAATGCCCCTGCCCCTCGGAGGGCGATGCGCTCTTCATGTTGACGGGAGTAGACTCCATAGGTTGTCCTATCATCTGAGGCGGTGGCCCGTACAAATAATTATACGGAACAAATGGGTGATAGTAGCCGTACTCAGGCATTGGTGGATGCTGATATTTCTTTCTATTGCCGCGAGGCCTTGTGTCGGACTCCCCATCAACAAACCCATTGGACCCATCCATATTGCCGTGATCCACCCTATTTCTTTGTTTTCCGGACGATTTGTCGTCTTCCAGATGATGCCCGTTGCCGTTTTTGCTGTAGCCCGAGCTACCATTTTGGTGGCCTTCATCTTTGCCGTTCTTTTTGGGGGCTCTACCATTTTTGCCAGAAACAGGCTGCTCATCTTCCTGTTCACGTTCCAGACTCGAGCTGAAGTGCGATTTGTAGTTCTCGAAAATTTCCGAGACTCTTATCCTGTCGAGTTTCTCCATCGGGTCGAATTTGATATTTCTGAAATCTAGCGGCTTGATGTTGCCCTCATCGTCGAATGCAGCCGATTTCTTTGTTTCGTCGTCTGCGTTCACCAGTGACGTATTGATCTTGAACAAAACCATCGAATAGCCGTCGTTCGACAATATGTGCCCTAAATTATAGTACTCGGCTAATTTATGAGTCAGTAACCTGTAGTAGGAATTCAGCGGGGTCATTTTCCACGAATCGACGTTGGGCTTTACTATGAACTCGATGATCTCAGATTCCAGGTTGATGATGAACTTGCGGTCGTTGAGGTTGGATTGATTGTTTCTGCCATTCATGTTGAACAGTGACCTTACAAGTATCTCCGGTACGTCGTAGGCGTCAGACAGCTCTTTGATGATTCCTTGAGGAGTGGACGCCTTCAATTCTATTGGGCTGAAAGACTTCTTGAGAGTTGACGCCGAGGACGAAGTTAGTTCCGATTGGTCCTCAGCCATCCTGATCATATATTTGGGTGATGCTATCGATGACTTTATCTTTCGTGAGCCCAGTTCCAATGTCTCTGAAATTCCAGCTGTTCCGTCCCAATTCTGTCTGGTTCGCAGACGTTTGTATCCCAGTCCCCAGGAAGAAATCAGTAGTGGTACTTTGTTTTCTTTTCCTGTCTTAATTTTTTCCTGCGCTCTTGTCCCCCGCTAAAAACACGCGACAGGTTTTGTTGTGACGCTAGATTACCCGACATTATTCCCCGTACAGATACTCCATACATACGCTCCTTTCAGCACCCGAGCGCTGCGTGCGCAGTTTCTTTTGCGCTGGCAGCTCCTCTCGGCCGCTCGCCTTGTGCGCCGCCAGCTACGCTAATGCTTAGTGATAATTAAGGTAGCCTAATTTTTTTGGGCCCGAATTTGTCACCAGAGAAAAAAGCCCCAAAAGTGCACCTGGAATCACTCCGCACCGATTATTCCATCTTCACATCGCCCTGGCTGTCTCTGCTCTGACGGCGCTCTTTGATAAATTGCTCAATTTTGCTTTTCAGCTCTGTATCCTCAGCCACGTCTTCCAGCTTCAGCGGCGTGCGATTGAACGGATCTGTTGGATCATTCATTAAATGCGCCTTGAGAACAGACCGGTCCATGCTCACCTTGGACTGCGGAAGCTTCACGGGGTCCTTCATCAAGGTAAACATGAGCGGATCGAGGAATTCGTCCGGAATTTCGCCCAGTTCCAGCTCTTCCTCCTCGTCCTCAACCTTCACCTTCTCGGCTTTCTCGACGAAGCTGTTCAGCTTCGCACTAAATTCGACGTCGATCTTGCCCACCTTGTTGAGAATCTGGATCGCACGCTTGAAACATGCAGGACTAAACGACCTCGAGTCTCTGGCAACAGCCTCCACAAACTCCTGTCCGTCAGAGAGATTGATGAAAATCGAGCAAATGTGTAGCAGCAGCTCTGAAGGATTGAAGTGGTATGTTTCGGGATCCTGCACCCTCAACTCGTTGCATCTTGGCCCAACAAGGGCAACCAGGTTGTAGTTTAGCATACCAGCGAGTCTGTCCACAATTTCGACAATGTAAAAAGCCGAGGGAATCTCCTTCGTGAACAAATCGAACAATTGAATTGTCTTGTTGGAAAGCTGCACCAGTGACTTGGCCATCCTCTCACTTTCCTGCAGCTTCTTGTTCAGATCCTCATCGCTTTCTTCTGTGGCGGGTGGATTCCCCTTTTTGCGCGATGCTATCTCCCGCTGGCACGTTCCTATCGTGTGTAGGTGGTTCAAGGACTCGTCTAGCAAATACGTTGTGTCGTTGAGCATACGTGCAATGAGGCGCACAAAGAACTTCTGGTTCTTCGAGATGCGTCTCAAATCAGCTCTGTAGAAATCAAACTTCCACAATTGCTCTAGAATCATCGAAATGTGACATCTGGCATTGAACTTGTCGTAGAACTGGGAAGACGCGCCCGTTTTTTCGACCATCACATAGAAATCTAGCAGAGATATCAGCAGATTTTCTTTAACCAGATCGTTGTTGTTGAAGATATGGATCATGTATCCATCCATGTTGTTGGCCATAGGCAAAGAGCCAAAGAAAAGAACCTCTGTAAGCCTGGCCTTCAAATGTGGGTTGTTGACCAGTTCTGGACATCTGAGGATGATTATAGCAAACTCTATGAATTGATTTAGCTGTTTTTCGTTCTGCAGCATTGGATTGTTGCTAAATTTCGCAATATAATGGCAGTAATTCACGATGCCCTCGATAAATATTTCAGGGTAATACTTGAATGGCACGGGAGCAATGCTTCTCAGATACTCGACGTCGTCGAACTTGTCGACATCGTCATCAAACATATTGAATGGTATTTTCAGTGTGATGCTTGGATAGCTGTGAGTAGGCTCAATAAGCCTGATAAAGAACTTGATTGCTCCGTTGATCACATCGAAAATCTCAAGCTGCAACTCCCTGTTCAAAGAGCACATGTCAATGGACAGTTTCATCGACTTTAGTTTTTGAAGCTCTGTTTTCAAAGGCTTGAGTCTGGTATCAGCAAGCATCTTGGCTAACGGGTTTGCGTTATCAGTAGAGGTTTTTTGAAGCATTTCCTCCAATTTTGCGAGTTCCTGTGTAAGTTGTTTGACGTGGTTGGAAAGCCTTTCCGAGTTGATAATCATACCGCCAAAACCGTAGTGCAGATAGCTCAGCATCAAAAAGAAGCACTCAGATATAAAGTTTAGGGGTTCGTCGGAGAGACTATCTTCAGGGTAGTGTTCCTCATATTCTTGAATAGTGGAATTAATCTTGGTTTCCTCCTTCAAGTCCAAAAGTTTGTTGCGGCGACTTAGATAGTCCATTGATATCTTGTCGATCTTGATACCATCAGACAGAAACGGTTGCGAAAGCTTGACTAGAACCATGGTGATGCAAAACATAAAAGAGTCCGACGCTAGTTTCTTCGGATTGGCGTGCTCTCCTCTCCTCAGATGGTTCTTATTAACGATCTCTCCTAATAGTTTGAGAAACGCTGTACGACATGCTTCTCCGGATCTCACGATCTTGTCGCAAATTCCAAATAGCCTATTGATCAGAACTAGCTGCTCACTGTGAAGAGATTCGTGAATATTCTTGATTTGAGTTTTGGTGAGTCCTTCTGGATAATTGGAAATTGCAACCTCGGGTAGTAAAGCTGAAACTCTTAGCACAGGCCCAAGGACTGTCTTCAGCTCAAACTCGTTGGCCTTGAGACCTTCTGGATGGAATCCGTCCACTAAGTAGAGCTGTGAGGCAATCGTCTTGTTAGAGACTAATATCTGATAAACCGTCAAGATTTTGGAGTAATCGGTGTCTGTGGAGTAGTTAAGACCCAACAGCTGCTGAGACAGATGCGGAAGGAAAACATTGAGAAAGTCTAGAACGCTGTCATTGTCGATCGATCTGGATATGATGTCCATTAGGAAAGTATCGTACTTGTTGATGGAAGACCACAGTTGGCGAGCAATCACTTCCAGCTTGACTTCGTCAACATACATATCCGGGACCTGGAACAATAGGAGTGAGTAGCTTGAAGTCAGCCTGATTACTTCGTCGATAAGGTGTATCTTTGTCTCTTTGTTCGGCTCGTCGTTTTTAATCAATCTGCGGACACTTTTGGCCTTACTCCAACAATCGGCCAGGTACTCAAACGGAGTTTCGTATTTAGTGGAATCAATTCCCCTTTCGGTCAGAATATCCAGCAGAACGCTATCGATCGAGTCCAAGTTGAACTTTTGCATCTCCTGAGTCAGCGATTCAAGAAATGTAAACTTCAAGGCTTTTTGCTTGGACAATGTGGCCTGTAGAATAAACTCGAGTTTCGTGTTGATCCAGTCCTCGATCGACTCCGTTTGTCTCCTGTCTGGCGAGCAAGACCCGCCGACCGAAGGCTCGCGAGTGCTGGACGCCGACTTGTCTGAAGGTTTCGCGACAGATGGCGCGACAGGGTCGGGAGTCACTGGACTGGCAATTTTCTTCGGTTTTGGCTGCGACGGTTCGTTTGATAAGGCCGCAAGCCTGGCCAATCGCTTGGCACGAATCTGAAAAGTTAGCATGAACAGCAATTTTGGACAAGAAAGTCACGTACCTCTTCCGGATCACTCATTACTAGACCTCGAGCTTGAAACTAGTAATTTTTTTGTTTGCCACCATTTGGTGAAGATTCCGAGCGGTGCAAGGAGGTTGAGAGAAGTCTACAACGTACTTTTGCAGATTCTTTGCTATATGAGATTATCAAAGATATACATTACCACACCCAACAACATCGACTCGTTTAAGCCTTGACAGCGAACTTCTTGGCTGGGTAGGCAATAGACTGCTTTCTAGCCTTGTCGGTCTTCAGAGTCTTCTCGTACTTGGTGAGGGCTCTTCTCAGAGCTCTGGTCTTCTTTGGTCTGAGGTCCTTTGGAATGTACTTCTTGCCCTTGTAGAATTCCCTGACGGAGGCTCTTTGTTGCAAGTTGATCACAGTGAGAACTCTGGCAATATTCTTTCTGACGGTGTGGATTCTTGGGAGAGATGGTCTGGTCAACTTTTGGACCTTCAACTGGGCCAGCTCCTTCTTGTACTCCACCAGCTGCTCCTGCAGTTGTTCCTTGGACTTGGATCTAAGTTCGTAAGCTTTGACACCGGCCTAAGGGGTTAGTATTTGCGAATGTCTCATCAGACAAGGGGACTCTTCAATGCGTGCAAACAAAACCAGACAGAATTCGTGCTTGACCTGGCCAGCTTGACACCTGTCACCAGCGAAGTGTCTCCCGTGGCTATGATTCCTGTTGTTGGTCACATACCATTTCGTTTATTTAATGCTTTAAGACAAACTTGAAAAACGTTTGTAAAATTTTTCAAGGTCCTAGTTGCATGCAGGCCGCGTGGTGGCCCCGGTGGAGATTTGTGGTGAGTGGGAAAAATCCCGGCCGGGGAGTAACTGACACGCAGAACTGTTGACAGAGAAAAATTTGTGACTGCGAAATTGTCTAGTAGAGATCTCAGGTGCTTATGTAATCAGATAGACACCGCAAGAGGCGATCTGCTCATGATTAGGGATATACGGAGACGGCAAGGACACAGGCTTACCATCGCGGATTATACAGAGCTTGATTGGTAAGATTAGTAAGAAGAATACACAATTTAGATTGAGAACAGAAACTTACTTGGTGAACCAATGGATTCGAGACAGAGTTCACGGAGCAGTCTGTATCACTTGCAGCCTCAGTCTAAATCATTTAGTTACCATTTTTCAAGTTAGTAGACAGCCACTCGAGACCCTCGTACAGACCGTCACCGGAGGTGGCGCAAGTGGCTTGGATAAACCATGGTCTTGGTCTGATGGATTGCAGACCCAATTTCTCTGTGATCTCAGCAGCATTCATGGCGTTTGGTAAGTCTTGTTTGTTTGCGAAAACCAATAACAATGCATCTCTCAGCTCGTCCTCGTTCAGCATTCTTTGCAGTTCCTCTCTGGCCTCAGAGATACGGTCTCTGTCGTTGGAGTCGACAACGAAGATGATACCCTGTGTGTTCTGGAAGTAGTGTCTCCACAATGGTCTGATTTTATCCTGTCCACCAACGTCCCAGACGGTGAAGGAAATGTTCTTGTACTCCACGGTTTCGACATTAAAACCAATGGTTGGAATTGTGGTGACAATCTCGCCCAATTTCAACTTATATAGAATGGTGGTTTTTCCGGCAGCATCGAGACCCACCATCAAGATTCTCATTTCTTTGCGACCAAATAGGCCCTGGAGCAACTTCGAAATAGACAAACCCATCTTCACGCGTTAGTAGTGCTATTTGTGTTTGTGGCAACGGACTGTTATCGGTTTTGGGTCAGTGAAAAAATTCCAGATTCGAACGCCACGGAGACACAGCTGGGGGGTCGCGAACCTTGAAGGGGGGCTGACTGCCCGGTATTAAATTTTTCTGGCCCCTGCGGCTCGCGGGCGAAAAAAGTGACAACGAATCAAATTGGACAATAAGCTGGAAAGCTGTAGTGGCGCCTGAAACATCTTTATATATTCCACTTTCTATATTTCAATCATGTAGATATCCTCTAGAGGTCCCAATTCATATAACGCGAGGACCCGGTGTCGATCTTGGCGCGGCCTGACACGTCGCACCTAATTTTATTCCTGCCAGTCCACGTCCTCTGTTGATCCTGCCCATTGAAAACGAAGGTCCGACTGCACAAACTGCTGCATTGCACACTTACCGTTTATTATAACCGGTTCTAAACTTGTTCCTGTGTCCCAGATATAACAAATATTATATGGAAAGACTAGTTGGGTAAACAAAAGATACTGGATGTCTTTTTTCTCCCGAGACCTTTTTGATAAAGCAAGAAAAATCTTATATACATCTCTGCACCGAAACCTTACACCACACGACACGAGACGAAGCAAGACAGGTCGTTCTTATCATATTACGAATATATGGCCTAATTATGCAATGAGGATAGTAGGTCCAACTTGTGACGTTGGCAAGATTAGCGAAGATTGTGCAAACATAAAGAGTTTTTAGCGACCGATGTTGACTTTGCACGTGGAATATTTCTGCAATGCTCTCAAAAACACAGCGTAGGAAACTCCGTCATTGTCTGGCTCCCAGTACATCTCGCTCAGTCGTGTATGCCATGGGGGGTAGCCTTGTAAGTTCAGGTACGGCTGAAACAGGACAATCAGGTCTGGCTCTGGGCCAACCAGCTGCTGCAGCTCCTGATCAATGAATTTCATGTTGATGTCTTTGTAACTCAGTTCATGGTTCTTGGACAGCTGGGATATGACTTTGGTCAGTTCCACAATAGTGGGTCTTCCGTCTACCACGCTCAACAGACTGATTTCTATATCCGGTTTGTCCTCACCGTCACCGTATTCTCCATCATACGATCCAGCGTAGCTCATATTCAAGTGTGGAATTTTGATAAGGTAGGTGGGAACGTTACTGGTGCCAAAGTATGCCACGAGCTTGCGATGGATTGATCGACGCAGCTCTGGAACGTGTTTTTTCAGAACGCCGTGGTACTCGTAAATCGAAAAATTGGGGATTCCGGACGACAAGCACCAAGCAGTCAGCTCGGCGGCATCGTTGCAAAGACCCTCAACGCCGCCATTCTCCTCTTGTTCGGACTTGAAGTTCAAAATGGCAGACAGACGGTACGGGATTTTGGGGAGCTTGTTCACGTCGCTGTTGATCAGCGATGGGGTCCTGGACGGGTTGTAGGCCAGATTCAGGAACCTCAGCTTGAGCCTGTTGTAGGTATACTCGTAAAAGCGGTAAACCGACATGAGCAGGTACAAAAACACGAGGATCGAGTGGTAGATGTAGTAGGAAATAGGACCCGAGGCGCCTGAGCCCTCCCCTTCTCCCTTTGTCTGCGACCCCGACGACGTCAGGTTTCTGAGGAGATTGTAAAGCGTGGTGAAGAAGGTGTCTGAACTGTATGCTGGCACTGGGCTCCTATGATCAACATCGGTAGGAACCTCGCTCACGTCTTGTTGGCTTTGCTGAACCAGGTTGTAGACCAGCTCCTGGGACGCCTCAGTGGAGAACCCGTTCTCTGGCGATTGCGACCCTTCCAGCTCGGTGGTCTTCATTTCCAGGGACATTTGCTTGTCTTTGGAGAAGAATCAATGGCAAAACGTAAAATTATACACTCAAATATAAAGGGAAAGACACCCTCGCGCCTTGGGATGCGTCAGTTTTTAAGCCCTCCAGATAAAAATCAGATGGAAAATAAAATTATGAACATAAAAGTATTTTAGTGTCCACCGCTATGTACAGACTCTGCTGTTCCATCCAGACTGACGCCCAGGCTGCGGATTAGCCCCAGCAGATCCTCCTGGTTGGTGTAATTGTACTCTGTCTGGGGGCCCAGATACTCGCTCAAGTGCGGGTGGTAGAACTCGCTCTCGTCGTCTGTCGAATGGATCGAAGGAGGCACGTTGTTAGGCACATTCAAGATCTCTGTGGTCATGGCCACCGCGTTGGCCCTGTGCGACTCCGACTGGCGCGGAGAACCCTCGTCCTCCGTCATTTCTGTGTGCGGCTTGAAGTACATGGACTTGCGTGCGCTTTTGCACACCCTGAACAGCTCGTCGACCTCCTCCAAAAGCAGGCCCTTTGTTTCGTAGATGTAGAAGTAGGCGAATACCATGCCCGCGAAGTTGAGAGACCCCCATAGAAAGAAGATCTTGGGGCCCAGGGCGGCCGTGTGCTTGCCGGTGTCGACCAGGTAGGGCGTGCAGCAGGCAAAAATAAAATTCACGAGCCAGTTGGTAGCAGCGGTCAGTGCGACGGCTTTTTGCCGCACCGACAGACTGTACATTTCTCCAACAACGACCCAGGCGAGCGGGCCCCACGTGGAGGCGAAAAACGCGATGAAGAGACACACGAACGCGACAATCACCCTGTTGGCAATTTGAGAGTCAGCGGTCACGCCGACCGCGGCGATGACAAAATTCGACACAGTCATTCCACCGGCCCCAACAATGAGCAGCCATCTCCGGCCCCAAATCTCGACCGCGAGAATGCCTGGGATGGTGAACACCACGTTGACTGTGTAGGTGATAAACGAGATAAGATACGAGTTGGCTATTCCTGCGCGCACAAAATAGTTGACCCCGTAGTAGAAAATAAAATTAATTCCCGAGCACTGCTGCAGCGCCTGCAAAATCATGCCTGTGAGCATGCGGCGCAGCTGGCTGGCACGGCTGGGCGAGCTGCGGAAGCAGTCCATGATGCTTGTGGGGCCGAAGCTCATTTCGTAGTCGTGGCTGGCCTTGATCTCAATCAGCTCCTCGACCAGCGACTTGTCGTTTAGGGGCAGGCGGCGGAACCGCGAGAGAGCGTGGAGGGCGTCGTCGAGACGGTCTTTTTTGACGTAGAACCGCGGCGATTCGGGCAGCGAATACATTCCGACGCCCAAAACGACGCCCCAGATCAGCTGCAGGCCGATCGGGATGCGGTAGCAGCGGGCGTCGTCGATGGAGTGCGTTGCTTGGGTGATGGCGCTCGAAACAAGCAACCCCCACGTAATGGCCCACTGGTAAAACGAGATCACAGATCCTCTGATCCACTTGGGCGACACCTCGGCCTGGTAGAGCGGGATGATGGCCGATATCATGCCCACTCCGAAGCCGCTGACAAAGCGTCCAATGCACAGGAGCGGGATACCTTCCGAAATAAGCTGCAATATCGTCCCGAGCGAAAACATAATCGTGGACGACACCATGATACTCAGCCGTCGCCCCACACTGTCTGAGAGCACGGGCGCAAACAGCGAGCCCACAAACGTACCGATCGAAAGCACCGACGTGATAATCGATGACTGGCTGGCGCTGAACCCCCTGTGGTTGGGCGGGAACGTTCTCTTGACGTATTTCATCTCTAGAAGGCCGTTGATGATGCCTGTGTCATAGCCGTATAAAAAGCCCCCGATGGCCATCAGCAAACCAACGTAGACGGCCATGATGGATGACCAGTTCCGCTGGCGCTCGAGCTCGGTGCCATCTGGCGCCTCGTCTTTTTTTTCGTCCTCCACAGAAGGCTGTGCGGACTGGTCGTAGTCGGTGGTAGTGTAGGTATCTCGGACTCCAACACATTGAGCTGGTTCATGCAAACTCAGATCCCGCATTTCTAGCGGGAGCGAGGGATCTCGAACTTCTGTCGACATGGCCTTAATTTGGGCACTTGGAAGAACGCTCTTTCTAGCAAAATTGTGTCTTGCCAAGTTTCAATTTTATTATATTTTTTTTTTATGGGGAAAGGGAGAGCGGAGAGAAATTGGAAGAAATGAAACGGAAAAGACGCGTCGGTCGACGGCTCAAATTATTATCGTGGCAGTCAGTGTTCATTAACAACATCGTACAAAGAACCAAGCACCACCCTAAATCAGTGGATCATCCTGGAAAGGCCAAATCTAACGGAAAACATCTTGGACAGTCTGTTGTACTTCTTGTTCGGCTTGGCGTCGAGCGAGTCCAGAGTATCCACCGCGACCTCTGTCCGAGGAGTGGCAGAGTCCAGGGCAACAAACTCCTTAATCTCGCTGAGCTCGTAATCGCGTGGGCTGGCCTTCGACACCTCTAGCGTCGCGTCGCTTGAATTGGACGGCACCGTCTGTTCAGGGGCCTCGCCCGCCGTGTGTAGTAGATCGTCTGCCGAAAGACTGAGCGGACCCGCCACAGCTACCGGCGTAAGCGTCTCGCCCTGTTTTCTGCTGAGCGATGGCGAGCTCAGGTTGGAGTTGGCAAACCATCCCAGCGAGCGGTGTCTAAGCTTCTTGTCCACGGCGGAGTCTTGGGTATTTTGGTACTTCTCCACGGCAGAATCCGAGACAGAACGCTTTCCCGTGTCGTCAAGCGAGCCAGTCAGCACTTGCGACAGGTTTCTGGAGCTCAGAGCGTTGGAGAGAGAGCGGTAGCCGAAAAGTGAGCGTCTTTTCTGCTGCTTGTCCTCTGTCGCAGACCGGTTGCGCAGCTTAGGCATGACCAGCGATTCCTCCACCAGTGGAGAAGCCAGCGTCTCCTTGAGCTTTTGCTGGTTGTTGGTGACGAAGGCGCGCAGCTTGGCCGCGAGCTCGTCGTACGACGTGATCCAGTTTTGCAAGAGCCGCTCGTTGGCTTTGTAATTTTGTAGAAGATCGTCAGTGCTGGTAGTGGAGGCAAGCTGTGGTTGCAGATCGTCCACCTTAAAAAAACTCATCTGGAAGATCTTGGCAAGGTTCGAGGACGGCATCTTGGTGATGTCGCAGATGTCAGGCTGTGCCAGCTTGTTCAGAAAGGAGAGCAGATATATAAACAGATGTAAGTTGACCAGGGGCAGGCTTTCCAACGACTCCTTCTCCTTGTCTGTGTCCTCAACGCTCGTTGGGATGGTTTTGTAGGAACTGAGGCTGAACGCGTCCTCGGACTCTGTCTGCGAGGCCTCCTCCGTTGTCTGTGTAACGTCTTCAGCCTCGTCGAGAGCCGGAACCTCCTGCGGCGACTCGACCGCGTCTTTCAGAGACCTGCTTACATCCAGTGTGATGAGGCCGTCGGCGAGGTTGGAGAGCCATCTTTTCAGCACCATGGCGGCGTCGTACGCGTTGGGAGCGGTGTCCTCTGAATTATCGATGTTTTCGACGCGGCAGGTGCTGAAATCAAAGCCGTCAATTCCCTGCTCGCGGATCAGCGACTCGATCTTCTTGATCTTCTTGATCGAGCCGTTGATCCGAAAAATGCCCTGCTTCGGGCCCTGGCTCAGGATGAATTGGCAGCACTTGTGCACGAGCGTGGGCACCACCAGCGTCATGTCTGCGATTTCGAGCTGCACGCTCGACCTCTTGGCCTCGTTCTCCAGGCTGTGGCCGGCAGCCAGCGGCGTGGCCAACGGCGTGGCCAGGATCGAGCTTCTGCGACTGCCCGCTGAAACGTCCGCGGGCGCACCCACCTCAGAAAAAGAGGTATCCACGCTGAGCGCGGGCCCCGAGATGGAGAACCGCTTCAGGTTCCTGTCGCTGGTGAACGACTTGAACAGCGGCTTTCTGTAGCCTGGGCCCGGCTCGGGAACAGGGTTGTCCAGTTCGGACGCCATATGAAATGTCTCAGACAGGTTTGGGAAATTAGATAAACAAACAACCAGAAATACTCTGCGCGCAAAAATAAGCTCAAGTTGGTCAACTGTCTCCACACAAGAACGCAAGCGAAGATCAAAGTTGAGTCTAAGGAAACGGGCTAGTGAATTAGATCAACTTTGCATTCTGCTTCCTCCAACTCGGTAAACGCAAAACAACCAAACAAACCCCTGTCCGCCTCCTTTAGATCGTCGATTTGATGCGCGGTGCCATTGCGCCAGGGCCCGCGATTGTTGCACGCGTGTATTTGTGCAGCGCACGATTGGGAGCCATTGTTTCACATTCCCGCGTGGGGCCCGCGCTCTAGATTGGCAGCACCGTCGCAAGGACGGTCGTCGGGAGGGTTACCCGGCCGCCGACTGGAGCGGCCTTGCGCGATGGTTTTTCTTGTGCACAACACATTGCATGGGCCGTCGTAGCTACAACGCAACAGCACCCCACAGAGTCCAATCGTTGTCACTTGTTGAGCGTCTGGCCGTGCAATTATAACCGCAGCGCACAATGTCCGAAAACCTCTACTCTGCCGTTTATTCTGGCGTACCGGTGTACGAGTTTCTGAACCCCAAGTCGTCGGTGATGCGACGGAAAAAGGACGGCTGGATCAACGCGACGCACATCCTCAAGGTGGCGAATTTCCCGAAGGCGAAGCGGACGAGAATCCTGGAGCGCGACGTCCAGGTTGGCGTGCACGAGAAGGTGCAGGGGGGATACGGCAAGTACCAGGGCACGTGGGTTCCGATGGAGCGGGCCGTCGACATTGCGAACGAGTTTGGTGTCTACGACGAATTGAAGCCGCTGTTCGATTACCAGCCCCAGGACGGCGGGGGAACGCCGCCGCCGGCGCCCAAACACCACCATGCGTCAAGTGGCGCGGGAAAAAGAGGCCGTGTGAGCGCTAGAACGGCCTCTGAACCGCTTGCCACGCGGCGGAGCGACTTGCCAGCCAGGCCGCCCGAGCCGGCCGCCAGAAAGCGCACGCTGAAGCCGCCCAGGCCGCAGCCGCTGCGTGTCTCGCCGCCGCAGCCGTCCGAGTCCGAGTCCGAGTACGAGGACAGCGACACGGCGCCGCTGAGACGGCGCGGCAACGGGCTCCCGCCGCACAGAGGGTCCTCGCCGAGCGATTTCATGAGCGACGACGACATCGCGACCGCGCTGGAGCAGCAGCAGTACGCCGCGCACCGGCCGCAGGACGCGCACGCGCGCGCTCCGCCGTACATGGAGACCTTCTCGCCGTACACGAAGCACGAGCTGGACTCGCCGCAGTCGCGGGCCACGCCGCAGCGGAGCCAGCAGTGGTACGACGCGAAAAAGTCGTACACGCAGCAGCTGCTCGAGTACTTTCTGTCGACAGAGGACAACCTGACGGGAGACACAAAGATCCCGGACTTCATCCTCGACCCGAGCAGTCCTTTCGACGCCGACCAGGTCATCGACAAGGACGGCAACACGACGTTCCACTGGGCATGTGCCATGGGCGACCTGCGCATGTGCGAGGCCCTGCTGAACAGAGGATGCAACTACAGAGCCCTGAATAACGAGGGCCAGGTGCCGATCATGCGCAGCGTGCTGTACACGAACTCGTACTCGAGACGGACGTTTGCGAAGCTGCTGGATCTGCTGCGCGACTCGCTGCTCGACACCGACGAGCGCGGCCGCACGATCCTGCACCACATCGGGTTCTCAACAAACTCGGTCAACAACCTGCCAGCGGCGCGGTACTACACAGAAATCCTGCTGACCAAGATCGCCGAGACGGTGCAGCCCATGGAGAGAATCATCAACTTCATCAACCAGCAGGACATGGACGGCAACACGGCGCTGCACATCATGAGCCACCACAGCGCGAACAAGTGTATGCGCGTGCTGCTGGGCTACAACGCGCGGGTGGACATTCCCAACCACCGCAACGAGCAGGTGAGCGACTATCTGTACAACAACAGCGTGTTCGAGCCTGCGTCTGCGCAGTACTCGTTTATGGGCAGCACGGGCGCCTCGCAGCGGAACAACCTGGACTCGCTGTCGCAGATGAAGCCGTTCACGCCGTCGCTGAACCTGCACAACGCGGCGATGACGCAGTCGTACCTGAACGCGTCGAACTACCTGGCGATGCCGCACTACTCCGAGACGGCGATCCAGGTGAGCCAGAAATCGGGCGACATTATCGAGAAGCTGGGCGAGCTGTCGAACGCGTTCGACCAGGAGCTGCAGCAGCGCGACAGCGACATCAAGGAGCTGGGCATGATTCTGAGCCAGATGGACACGGACATCGCCAACACAGAAAAGGAGATCAGCGGGATTCTCAAGACGGTGCTGAAGCTGGACAAGGCGGAGACCGGCGACTTCGACGCCGCGCTGGCGCAGATGAGAGAGGAGCTCAAGTCTGCCGAGGCCGAGTACGCGGCGCGCACGCGCGCGCTCAAGAAGCTGATCGAGCGGTCGCAGGCGAAAGATCTGGCCACCGAGGTGCAGCAGTGCGAGACGGAGCGGTTGCGGCAGCTGAGCATCGAGAACGAGGGCGAGCTCAAGGCTGCCGAGCCGACGCCGGAGAATCTGCGGCTGGTGCTCACGCTCGTGGCTCTGCAGATGACGCGCAAGCACACGGTCGACGACCTGGTGAGTCTGTATGCGGACGCGTCGGAAAACACAGAGACGATCGCCAACTACCGGCGGCTGGTGTCGAAGCTGTCGAGCGTGCCGATCGACGAGGTCGACGAGAGTCTGAACGACATCGAGGAGTGCCTGAAAGCGGAGGAAAACGAGGAAGGGAAGTAGCTGTTTGCAGGACAGCTTCGTTTATGTATAGTATGTAGCATAATGTACAATAATTGCAGCCGAAAATAAATAAAAAAATAACATCATGAGCTCTGATTTTTTGTACGAGGAGACGTGTCGCGTGCCGGTTCTGAGCGACCCGTCGAAGACGCTGGCCCTGGTTCTTACCGTTCCGCCTGCCGTCCACGCGGACCATTTCACCCACGGCCTGGGTCCGGCGACCAACAGGCTCGCAGTGCTGTTGCACGGGCTGGGCTCGCACAAGAATTTCGGATTCAATCCGGGGCTTGCGAGTGCACTCAGCAGGGAGTACGGCCTGTACACGGCGCGGTTTGATTTTCGGGGCTGCGGCGACTCGTCGAAGTGCGGAAAAGACGGCCGGACGATCGACGAGGACGTGGAGGATCTGGACAGCGTGGTGGAGTATTTCCAGTCGGGCAGCTACCGGGGGGTCAAGCTGGCGGTCGAGCTGATCTGCGCGCACTCGCGCGGTGTTTTGGTGATGTTCAATTGGACGCTGCAGCGACAGCAGCTCGGCAAGCCGCTGGTATACACGTTGATCAACTGTAGCGGCCGATTTGACGGAAAAGGCCTGCAGGAGAGGGTGGAGCGCAACCACCCGGATTACAAGGAGAAGGGTGGGTACTATCTGTCCGGCTACGTGGAAGGAAAGTACAGGGACGTGTGGATTCCGACCAGCGAGGTGGTGAGCGCGTCGGCGCAGGATATGAATAAACTGAAGGGTCTGGATAAAATGGTGCAGGTTCTAAATATTTACGGGTCGGAAGACGAAGTGCTCCCGCCGAAGGACATGCACATGTACCACGAGGTTCTGGGACAACGCAGCGATCTGAGTGTTATTGAGCAGGCTGGCCATAACTTCTATGGTCTGAGGGTGTATGACGATATGGAAAGCACCGAGTACACGCTTGGAGACGGCACGGTGACAATAAATGGGACGATGTATCCGCTGCACCGCCGCAGAAAGGTGATCGACTACAGCGGCGAGCTTAGGCAGCGTGTTCTGGAGTGGCTTTCGCCGCAGCAGAGCTGCGAACGGTTCTACCGCAACACGCTCTACATCGACGCGGACACGCCACGCTGGGTCGAGGTGGAGGGGATCGCGAATTTCCGCGACCTCGGTGGCTGGTACGTGGGGGCAGCGGAAAGAGTGCGGCCCAGACTGATGTTCCGGTGCGCCAATCCGACCAACGTGACCGCAAAGGGGCGCAAGACGCTGGAACAGCTCAATATCCGCGCAATCTTCGATCTGCGGTCCGCAGAGGAGCGCGAGGAGTACGGACACCTGGAACTGGCACATGCCACCAACTTCCACGTTCCGGCGTTCGTCTCCAACCTGTCGCCGTCGCAGGCCACCAGCCACTACCTGCATTTGCTCACGTGCTGGTCGACGTATCTGCAGGTGTACAAGGACGTTCTGGAGACGGGCACGCGAGCGTTTCGAACGATTTTCGAGTACTTGAGAGACAACCCGGGCTGCCCGATCCTGTTCCATTGCACGGCGGGCAAGGACCGCACCGGGGTAGTGGGGATGCTGCTGCTGCTGCTGGCGGGCGTGGACCCGTGGATCATTGCACGCGAATACGAGTTGACGACGATCGGGCTGCGGCCGGACCACGAGCACATCCGGGCGAAGTTCTACACGGCGCTGGAGAAAATATCCGACACGCAGGTGAAGCAGCAGCTGTTCGAGACGGTTGCGCGGGGGAGGGCGAATTTCAGCGTGCACGAGGACGGGTTTAGGAACCTGATCAGCAGCCGGTACGAGGCCCTGCGCGCGACGATGGAGTGGGTGGACGAGAGGTACGGCGGCGTGGAGCGCTATCTGCGCGAGGAGGTGGGGGTGGAGGATCTGGAGCTGGTGCGGGCGCGGATCGTGCAGAACATGACATAACCCGGGCTGTGCAAAGGCGATACCATGCGCTCCTATACCGGCGCAAATTCTATTGTTCAGGCCTATTGAAAAATTAAAAATTTTCACCTCGAAGCTGGTTTTAGTCACCAGGCAATTTAAATGGTGGGGAAGTCCTGCAACTGGTAACTAATTATCTTGTTATATTCGCCAGATGTTCAAGAGAACCCTCGTATTGCTCGAGAAGAGCGCGGCGAAGCCGTACGCCAACATGCTCAGAGACCCGTCGATCAAGTACTCCCGGTTCCGGGGGGTCGATTTGCCAGACAGAACGTGGCCCAACAAGGTGATCACAAAAGCCCCACTGTGGCTGTCGACGGACCTCAGAGACGGCAACCAGTCCTTGCCCGACCCCATGTCTGTCGAGCAGAAAAAGGAGTATTTCCACAAGCTGATCGAGGTCGGCTTCAAAGAGATCGAGGTCGCGTTCCCGTCCGCGTCGCAGACAGATTTCGACTTCACCAGGTACGCCGTGGAGAACGCGCCGGCAGACGTGGCGATCCAGGCCCTGGTGCAGTCGCGCGAGCACCTGATCAGAAGAACCGTCGACTCGCTCAAGGGCGCCAAGAGAGCCATAGTGCACACTTACCTGGCCACGAGCGACCTGTTCAGAGACGTTGTTTTTGGCATGAGCCGTGAGGACGCCATTGCCAAGGCCGTGGAGACGGCCAAGCTGGTGAGATCGCTCACGAAAGACGACCCTGCGCTGCAGGACACGAAATGGTCGTACCAGTTTTCGCCAGAATGTTTCAGCGACACGCCGACCGAGTTTGCGCTCGAGATCTGCGAGGCAGTCAAGGCTGCGTGGGAGCCGACCGTCGACAACCCGATTATTTTCAACCTGCCCGCCACGGTGGAGGTTTCCGGCCCCCACATCTACGCGGACCAGGTTGAGTATTTCTCGAGAAATATATCCGACAGAGAAAAAGTGATCATCTCACTGCACTGCCACAACGACAGGGGCTGCGGAGTCGCTGCCACCGAGCTCGGCCTGCTTGCCGGTGCCGACAGGGTCGAGGGCTGCTTGTTCGGAAACGGAGAGAGAACCGGAAACGTCGACTTGGTGACCGTCGCGCTCAACATGTACACCGATGGTGTGTCGCCCGAGCTCGACTTCTCGGACTTGGAGTCCGTGATCGACGTTGTCGAGAAGGGCAACAAGATCCCTGTCCACTGCAGAGCTCCGTACGGCGGCTCGTTGGTTGTTTCAGCGTTCTCCGGCTCGCACCAGGACGCTATCAAGAAAGGATTTGCCAAACAGGCCGAGAGAGAGGCCAAGGGAGACATGAGATGGATGATTCCGTACCTGCCTTTGGACCCTAAGGATATTGGCAGGAACTACGAGGCCGTTATTAGAGTCAACTCGCAGTCGGGCAAGGGGGGAGCCGCCTGGGTCATTGAGAGATCTCTGGGCTTGGACCTTCCAAGAGAAATGCAGATCAACTTCTCGAAAGTTGTTCAGGACTCGGCCGATTCTTTGGGCAGAGAGCTCAAGTCCGAAGAGATTATTTCTCTGCTGCAAACCAGCTATAACATCGATAACTGCTCCAACTCGGCTCTGGTTTTGAAGGACTACAAGCTCGACAAGGAGTCTGAATTTGTGACCCACATCAAGGCACAGTTTGTGTACAACGGCAAGGAGGTGGAAGTGGAGGGCACCGGAAACGGTCCGATCTCATCGTTCGTGAACGCCGTGGCTCAGGCCGTGGGCCGCGACATCGAGCTACAGAAGTACGCCGAGCACGCCGTGGGCAAGGGTTCCGATACCAAGGCTGCCACCTACGTGTTGCTTTCCGTGGGCGAGGACTCGCAATGGGGTATCGGCATCCACGAGTCCATCACCCGGGCCTCGTTGAACTCGATCATTGCCTCGGTCAACAACCTCATCAGCAGCAAGCCGAAGACCTTGCACCTGAAGAGATCCACAGCATAAGTACGTTATTTATTTCTCAATTTCTGGTTATAATTGTCGCACTGTGAGGGGCGGCTCGAAAGTAGACTGCATGACTCAGCTCACGAACGGCTGGTTGCGCGCCGTGCAGCAAAGTACCGTGAAATGCTATTGATGAACTACGTAAGTGAGATTTTGACAGCCTCAAGTCTGTTCTATCCAAACCCCTTGTATCCGAACTCGCCTATAAAAGAAAAATTTTCACAAATTCCCAAACTCGTACCTAAACCATCTTATTAGACAGTACGATGAAAGCTTAGCACCATGTTTTTATGGTATACCCTATAGTTTCATTTCGTGATACAAGATGGTGAGAGTGACCTGTGCTAATAAGAACTCGTCTGGATACACTCAGTGTAGCGGAAAGAGGGGTGTCAGATAGCACAGACATATGTATTAGAATTAGCGCTCCTTTAACAACTTGTTTCTCTTCTCGCGCCTCTTGAGCCGCTCGACCTTCTTGGCGTGCATCACAGCGGCCAAACGCTCGTACCTCTCTTTTTCCTCTTTCTTAGCCCGTCTTTCCTTGATTCTCTCGATCTTGGCCCGTTTCTCGGCCTCCTTTTCCTCCTGTAGCTCCTTCAGCTTTGCTTTCAGCTGCTCGTCCTTGAGCCTCTGCTGCTGTTTCTTCTCCCAGGATCTGTGCATTCCGTTAGCCTTAAGACGGAACGCTTTTTTTTCCACTTTCCAGTCCTTGCCTGCGCGTTAGCGGAAAGGAACCTGTCGTAAGTCTACCTACCGCTCACTCTAGGCCCGCGGCCGGGATCCTTGGCCAGTAGTGCGCTTCCCTCTGTCTCTTTTGTCATATCCGGGAGGATCTATTTTAAGTTTTTTTTTTTGCAACTCCACAGCCGTATATGTTATTGGTGCACGGGTGTGGAAGCAGCTCTCACTTGCTTGCCCATTTGAAGAACCCGCAGTTGTACTCGTCTGGGGCGTCTGGCTCCGTCCCCTGTGGCGGCTCTGCCAGCCACGACACTGTGCGCGTTGCGCGCGGACAGCACCAAAACTTTTTTCCCTTATTTTTCTCCGTCTTGACCGTTCGCAGCGCGCACGGCTCGCTATGGCGGCACCGAGGAGCGGACGCGCCGGACTGGCCAAGCATTGCGGTGAAGTCGCGAGCGGAGAATTTCGATTTTGCCCTGTTGTCTTCGGCAGGCTGCGGAGACGAGCCAGACTTGAAGAAAAAGTCTGAAATAGAGAGCTGGTCCGGCCGGTCCCTGCGCGCCCGTTTGCGGGAGCTATAGCCGGGCGTTGCGCTGTCACTACCGTCCTCTCGTCCATCGTCTGCCGTCTCCTGAGGGCTCGGCGCCCTCTTGCGGAAGAACTTATCGATACTGCCTCTGGTATGCAGCCCGTAGAAGTTCTTGGCCTCAAACCAGTTGGATTTGGCCGCGCACTCTGCCGAGCGGTCTTCGTCCGGCGAAAACTCGAGGCCCGCCAGCTCAAAGTCGGCATGAACCGGACAGTGGTCGGATCCGTGCAGAAACGGCCAGATGTCGGCCTGACTGACCAGCGGCGCGAGGTGCGACGTAGCAAGGATCAGATCGATGCGGGAGCCAACGTTGAGCGGCCGGTTGCTCTTGAACGTGCTCCAGACTGTGTACATCTTGAGCCGGCGGCCCTGCTTCTCGCGCACGACGTCGTGCAGAATGTGCGTGCCGGTGTCCGGCCGCATCCCTGTGGTGTCCTTGACGTACTCGTTCACGAGCTCGCGATGGGGAGCAGAGTGCTTGAAAGCCAGCACCTGCTCCGCGTTGAGCGTCTCAAAGTCGCGGAAGTCTTGCGCTTTCACCAATCGGCGCTCCTTGAAGCCCTGCTTGACGGTATCGTCGCTGTCGATGAGATCGACGCACACGTTGATGTCGCCCATGACGACCACTTTTCTGCCCATAGCACGCAGATTGCGCGCCCGCTCAAAAAGACACCGCAGAAACAGCAACCGGAACCCCTCTCCCTCGTCGGTGCCAAGACTGTTGGCCGGACAGTAGACGCTGATCACGACGATGTTGAAGTTGAGCTCGATAATCACACACCTGCCCTCGCTATCGAGCTTGCGGAACTTGTCGTGCATGTTTTTGTGGTCGGGATAGCCACCAACGCACGTGTGCCGAAGGGCAGGGTCGTTGTACGCCTCTTTGAACGAGACGGTTTTTTTCCGGTGCGGCAAGACGCCTGTGATGCCCTCCTCGACACGGACCACCGTGAGGCACTTTTTCACGATCTCGGGCTCGTCGTCACGCGGCCGTCGCACGTAAACGGCCACCCCCGAGTACCCCTTCTTCGAGATGGGCACGCTGATGAAGCTGCGGTAGCCGTCAACATCCGCAATGCTCAGATCGACGTCCGGCCGCTGCACCTTGAGCTCCTGGAGCGTGATTACGTCGACGTTCATCATGTTCAGCATCTGAGAGTAGTTCGACACAAGCGTCCAGGGAAAATAGTTTTTGAGCGTCTTGATGCCATTGACGTTGAACGTGACAAGGCGCAGCGTCGTCGGCGTGAGCTTCGGCGGTATTCGGCCGTCCCCTGCCATGGCGATAAGAAGATCAAAAAATCAAATTAATTATTAAATTCAGCCAGATCAAACAAATAAAAAAATAAAAGCAATGTGCCATATAGCTTTACTCACTTAGGGTATAAATAGTCCATAGTCGATTCTAGTGCTACCAGCCCGGCAGCCGACAATGCCGCCGGGATAAACAAGCAAATCCATAGCACGCTGTGAGTTCAGGACTCGGCCTCTCTCTTGAAGATCACCTCGTTGCGGGACACCCTGTGCCAGGCCCAGCCGGCTTCGGCCTCGGCCTCTGGCGATGCCTCTCTCTTGAAAATCACCTCGTTTCGGTTCACTCTGTGCCAGCCCCATCCCGGCAAAGCATTAGCCTCGGGCAATGGCTCGGCCTCGGCCTCTGCAACAGGTGCAGCGTAGGCAACTGCAAGAATCATAGCGTAGAGAGCAGCACGGTTGAAGATCATGGTGGGTCGCTAGAAGTGACGATGTCAGTGCATAGCAAACAGGATCCAGACCGCCTTAAATACATGTGCTCGGTCAAGTTGGCCCTCGCCAAATCCCTATCGCCAATGCGTCCTCGTTTCACGTTTGTGCTATCGATAACATCGCCTGCGCGACACCACCGTCCTCTCGTCTGGCTTTTCACCTTTCACCTCCAAATCAGGAAGGTGCTCGACCCCGTACTATGCACAGCCCGGTTTCCATATCGGGACGTCAAAGGAGCCAGCTGGAGCGACGAGAAAATATATATGTGGTTCGGGAGCCAGTGCGGGTGCAAGCGACGGCGACCACCACAAACAGCTCAGGAACTTGACACGTCTGGCGCAGGCCATTATATTGCCTGATTGGTCAACCGGAGGTCGCGTTTCCCAAAGTGGACGTCCATATTGTTTCTCTGACACTGCGCAAGCTTCCAGCGGCCCTTGCTCGTCACAAAGCGTCGCTGCGCAGCGTGTGAATGCCCTTTACATAATGGGCAGAGGGCGCAGCTTGAAAACCACTTTCTTCCTGATGACGTCCACAAACTCGCACTTGCCCGCCTCGTCGACGTCGGTTTTGAGCAGTCCCAGCGGCGGGTCGATCGTCTCCACAGTCCCGACGAGACGCTGGGACGTGCTGACGTACAGCGTCGCTCTTTTCATATCCCTCTCGATCTCCAGTCTCCCGAACTTGACCGCGTCGCGTACAAGCAGCTCGCTATCCGCCACAAGGTCCGGATATGCGAATTTCGTGAACAGTTTCTCCTCCTGCTCGTTGAGACCCTGCGGTTTGCTTGGGGGCAGATTCAGTTCTCCTTGTATTTCGAGCAGCATCGAGCCCCACTTTGTGCACACTATGGAGGGCAGATCGTCCGGCACGGGCTGCGTGGGCGCTTTCACGCTGTCGGACGCCTTTTCGGTAGACACTCTTCGCGAGGGCATAACGCGTAAATCAAATAAATAAAATAAAACAAAATAAATAAAATCAGTGCATTTTTTTGATCATGCTATCGGTGTTCAGATCGAAAGGCTTCGACGCCACCAAATTCGAAAAAAGTCTCAAAGTGCTGTCCGGCAAAATCCTCAGCAAGGAAAAGGCTCTCCATCGCTACAGAAGCAACAAGTCGCACTACCAAAGGGCCGCCGTTCTCTACTTGTTTGCCATATACTCCAGTTACGCATTCTACCTGTACCTGTCCGCAGAGAGGCTTTCCAGAGGCCAATGGGCGCATCTCGCCGTTCCTCCAGCAGCGATAGTTCTAGTTTACATCGCAATTGGCCGCTTTTACAGCTACCTCATTAGCAACACCGAGCGCAAACTGGAAACACTCAAGGAGCAGCACCAGGAAAAAATCGCAGAGCTCAAGGAAAAGACGAATTTCGACAAAACACACGAACTGCTCAGCCGGTTCTCGAACGGCGAGGACCTGAAGGAGCTCGAGACCCAGGCGCAGGAGATCAACAGACAGAAACAGGAGTATTTGCAGCTCATTAAGGACGGAAAGGCGCCGAGTCTCGACTCGGCCTCCAAGGACACCAAGACCTTCTACGACCAGTTTTTCAACCTGCTGCTCGGCAGCGACGAGCTGGGCCCGGACACGCGGTACGCGCTCATTTGCAAGTCGTGTCTGCAGCACAACGGGCTGGCTCCCAAGGGAGTGGAGGCAGCGCAGGTGAAATACGTGTGTCCCAGGTGCGGCACGCTGAACGGCGAGCAGCCGGCGCAGGACGCAGAAAACCAGACAGAAACAGTAGACAAGACTACCTAATTTAATCAGATACCCACTCTATTTAAGAGGTCAGAGACATGATGGCGTTGACCATGTCCCCGTTGTGCTCCTTCAAGGCCTTCACAGCCTTGGCTCTGGAAACGTTGGTTTGCTCAACAATAATCTCGATATCGCCCGAGTCTAGGCCGGTCTCGTCGACCTCCTCGTCGTCGTCCTCGGCCGGAGCAGACTTGTCGGCCAACGAGGCGGCCTGCAGGTCTGCGGTGATCGATTCTGGGTCCTTTGGAGCGTCTCCTTCCTTGACGGCAGCAGCGGCCTGTTGGGCAGCCTCCTGAGCAGCAGCAGCCTCGGCGTATCTCTTGTTCAGGTCCTCAACCTTGGCCTCTCCAAACACAACGTACGAGCCGGCCGCGGATCTGTACACTTCTGGGTTGTCAATGGCCAGAATGAAGTTGCCCTTCTTTCTGAAGGTGACTCTGGTGATGCCCTTGACCTGCTTCAGGCCCAGCTTCAGGATCATCTGTCTGGCCTTCTTCTCGTTCTTGGACAGGACGTGGACCTCAGCTCCGTCCGGGATCTGTTCTTCGACGATTTCCTCAATTTTCTCCGATGCCATTTGTTGGTTGACTTGATGAAGAAAGAATTTGGAGAATTTTTCAGCGTCGAAGAAAACTCGCTGTGGTTATGAGCGCGAAACTTTCTGCGCAAAGCCGTGCACCAGACACAGAGACAGGGGTCCCGTCTGCGGCAGCACATCTCTCGCGAGCTGTCCTGCGCTCCCTTGCGGGCCCTCCGAGTGCCCCTGTCCGCCTCCCGCTCGCCTCTTTCTGTCTGCCGTCCAGCGACACTGCGTCGGCCCCCGTATGTTACATAAGCACAAGCCACAAAAAAGTTCAACTGTTACATAAACAAACAAGCCCCTATTCTGCTCCGTCCCACAGCCATCAAAGACGGCAGCCCGCTCGGTTATTGCAGACAGCTCACAGTTTGCACCACAATCCCGAGGCGTGATCCATTCGCATGATACTAGCTAAAATATTCTCTCGGAACTGAAAGCCAATTTACGCAGCACAAATAATCAATTCAGCTCAGTACCAGCTCTCGTTGCTAGAAACTAGCCGTTAATTTTACAAATGAGTGCCCAAAACGACAAAACACACTGGTGGCAGTGGCGATACAACAGAAAGTACGAGCCGCGCTCTGAGCAGCGCCGTATCTTCGTCAATCTGCCGCTTCCGGAAGACATGGTCGATCCCGAAACCAAGCTTCCGAGGACAAAGTACCCTAGAAACAAGATTCGGACCACCAAGTACACGCCGCTGTCGTTCCTGCCGAAGAACATATTCTTCCAGTTCACCAACATCGCCAACTCCTACTTCCTGTTCATTATTATCTTGGGAGCTTTCCAGATCTTTGGAGTGCAGAATCCTGCGATGCAGGCTGTGCCGCTCATTGTGATTGTCGTTCTGACGGCCATCAAGGACGCGTTCGAGGACTACAGGAGAGGCGTGTCCGACAAGGAGCTCAACAACTCGCGGATCCATCTGCTCATGGGGATGCACAACCCTAACGTCGCGGTGGACCACGTTGGGCCCTGGCGAAGGTTCAAGAAAGCGTGCACAAGAGCCACCAACTCTGCGTTTTACCTGTTATCCGGCCAGTCCAAGAAACGTGCACACATGAACGCCCTGCTGACGAGCGATCTGGAACGCGTGGTCACCGTCGGCTCGTCTCTGCCAGATACCCCTAGACCGTCGACGTCGACTGCCAGATCGAGGCGCGCCGCTATATCGCCGTTCCGTCCCAACACCGTGTCGAACCCCAACATCGCGCCTGCCATGTCGCACAGGTTCCAGAACAATTTCTGGAAAAACATCTCTGTCGGCGACATCATTAGAGTGAGAAACAACGAGGAAGTGCCTGCGGACGGCATTTTGCTGTCGACGAGCGACGAGTTTGGCGAGTGCTACATCGAGACAAAGAACCTGGACGGAGAGACCAATCTCAAGACTAAACACTCTCTGCTCTGCGGCGCCGGCCTGAGGCACGCGGCCGACTTCGAGAGAGTGCAGATGGTGGTCGAGACAGAGCCTCCCAACGCGAACTTGTACAAATTCAGAGGAGTGGTCAAATACACGGCGTACGAGTCAGAGTCCGACGCGCACGGACACGAGGCCCAGGAGCCAGTGACTTACGACAACGTGCTTTTACGAGGCTCGACCCTGAGAAATACAAAATGGGCTCTCTGCTGCGTGGTTGCCACGGGAAATGACACCAAAATCATGCTCAACTCGGGCATCACGCCCACCAAGAAGTCCAAGATGTCCAGCCAGCTGAACCTGTCAGTCATTATCAATTTCGTTGTGCTATTTGTCCTGTGTTTCATTTCCGGTCTGATCAACGGGCTGTTCTACGACCGAAAACACACCTCGTTCGACTACTTCGAGTACAAGCCGATGGCCGGCTGGAGCTCGGCGGCCAACGGCGTGGTGGCCTTCTTTGTCGCCGTCATCTTATACCAGACGCTGGTTCCTATTTCGCTCTACATTTCCATCGAGATCATCAAGACCGTGCAGGCGTACTTCATCTACGCGGACGTCAGAATGTACTATCCGCGACTGGACTTTCCCTGCACCCCGAAGTCGTGGAATATTTCCGACGATCTCGGCCAGATAGAGTACATTTTCAGCGACAAGACCGGTACCCTGACGCAGAACGTGATGGAGTTCAAAAAGTGCACCATTGCGGGCAAGTCGTACGGTCTCGCGTACACGGAAGCGCAGCAGGGGATGGACAAGCGTGCTGGTGCGAATGTGGTGGAGGAAGTTGAGAAGATGCGCAAGATCATCGCCCAGGATCGAAAAGACATGATTGAGCAGCTGGAGCAAATCGGCAACGACCAGTTTGACGCGGAAAAACTCACGTTTGTCTCGAGCGAGTTTCTGAAAGACGTCGGTCCGTCTGCCGACAGGGCGCGGAAGAATGCGAACGAGAACTTCATGCTTGTTCTCGCACTGTGTCATACGGTGATCACCGAAAAGGGCGAGGATGGGTACCTGGAGTTCAAAGCCGAGTCTCCTGACGAGGCAGCGTTGGTGGCCGTTGCCCGAGATCTGGGCATTGTTCTGCGGGACCGTACAAGGACGGGCCTTGTTGTGACGATGTACGATTCGAAGCGTCCGTTGGAGTACGAGCTTTTGGAGGTCATTCCGTTCAATTCCACGAGAAAAAGAATGTCGGTGGTTTTGCGCACCCCAGAAGGCCGCATCATGCTTTATTCCAAAGGTGCCGATAACGTCATCTACGAGAGACTGGATCCAAAGGCCGACCAGGAGATGCTCCGCCAAACAGCCATACATTTGAGCGAGTATGCGCAGGAAGGTCTGCGAACGCTGTGTATCGCGGAAAAAGAGATCAGCGAGAAGGAATTCAACGAATGGCACTCAAAATACAAAGAGGCCAGCGCGTCGATCGAAGCGGACAGAGAAGAGCGGATGGAGAGCCTGGCAGACGAGCTCGAGAAGGGGCTGACTCTGCTGGGAGGAACAGCCATCGAAGATCGTTTGCAGGACGGAGTGCCGGACTCGATCTCGACCCTCTCGAGAGCAGGAATCAAGCTGTGGGTGCTCACTGGTGACAAGGTGGAGACGGCAATTAATATTGGATTCTCGTGCAACCTGCTGGACAACGACATGGAGCTGCTGGTCATCAAGGCGGGCGAGGAGACATCCGAGAAGGAAGGACCGGCAGCATTGGTGCCGCGCTACTTGTCGGAGAAGTTTGGCATGGAGGGCACGAAGAAAGACCTTGCGCTCGCCAGAAAAAACCATTCGCCTCCTAGCGGCGACTACGCGATCATAGTCGACGGTGCTTCGCTGGAGGAGATTCTGGAAGACCCCGATCTAAAGCTGAAGTTCCTTCTGCTCTGCAAACAGTGCCGCTCTGTGCTCTGCTGCAGAGTGTCTCCTGCTCAGAAAGCGCAGGTTGTCATGATGGTCAAGGACACGCTGAAGGTGATGGCTCTGGCGATTGGCGACGGGGCCAACGACGTGGCCATGATCCAGGCCGCAAACGTGGGAGTCGGCATCGCCGGAGAGGAGGGCCGTCAGGCCGTCATGTCGAGCGACTACGCCATTGGCCAGTTCCGGTTCCTCGTCAGACTGCTGATCGTGCACGGACGCTGGTCGTACAAGCGGCTCGGAGAGATGATCACGTGCTTTTTCTACAAGAACGTCAACTTCGTGATGGCTCTCTTCTGGTACGGCATCTTCAACAACTTCGACGGCTCGTACCTGTACGAGTACACGTACCTGATGTTTTTCAACCTGGCCTTCACGTCGCTGCCCGTCATTTTCCTGGGGATTCTCGACCAGGACGTTCCTGCGCATGTGTCGCTGCTGAACCCGGAATTGTACCGCACGGGGATCCTTGGCAAGGAGTGGTCGCCGTTCCGTTTCCTGTACTACATGGCGGACGGTCTTTTCCAGTCGTTTATTGCGTTCTTCTTCCCGTGGTTCCTGTTTCGGACGGCCGCCTTTGTCAACCAAGAAGGCCTCAACGTGGACCATCGGTTCTGGGTCGGTGTTTTCTGCGCGCACATATCTGTGACCGCGTGCGACCTGTACGTGCTGCTGATGCAGAAACGATGGGATTGGCTGTCTGTGCTGATTGTGGGCCTTTCGATTCTGCTCATTTTTTTCTGGACTGGAGTCTGGACCTCGTCGCTTACCTCCAAGGAATTCTACAAGGCTGCCTCCAATTGCTACGGAACGGTGGCCTTCTGGTGCACGTTCTTTGTCGGCGTCCTGCTCTCGGTGCTGCCGCGCCTCACCTACGAGATATTCAATAGACTCTACAGACCCAAGGACATAGACATCATCAGAGAGTGCGTGGCCATGGGAGCCTACAGAAGCTACTCGGAAGACTACGACCCAACCGACGTCACGACCAACAAATCGGCCTCGGAATCGGCCTCTGGCACGTCCCAGTCGGACGGCGTCCTCACCGACGAAAAGAAGGACCTCGAGGCGGACGACTCGCTCGCTGCACGGCCAAGACGAAACACCATCAGAAATATGATCGGCAAGCTTGCCCCGGGCCACAAGTCGCCGCTCGAAACAATTAGACAGAACACGTTCGCCTCGGGCCAGGCGTCGCACAGGTCGTCGGCACAGATAATCCGCACCAGCCACGAGCTCGCGGGCATCACGTCCCCTGAGGCTCTCATGAGACTGCACACGAGAAATAGCCAGCTTTCCGCATAATTCTCTGGTGCGAGGTGTACTTGTATAGAAAAAAAGTCCTTTTATTCATTTTCTAATCAGGAGTGTACGGGATGGCGGACGCGAGCCCTGATACCCAGCCGGAAACGCGGCCCGAGTTCACCTTCGAAAATGTCCTGGCCGACATCAAGTTCGGCCTGGTGTCACTGTTCAACAACCCGGACTTTTCCATGCCAATTGCCGTCCTTCTGACCGTCGCAGAGTCGCTTGTTCTCAAGGCCGTGATCCACTTTGTCCCCTACACTGAGATCGACTACAGCACATACATGCAGCAGATCGGCCAAATCGAGGCCGGAGAGCTCGACTACGCCAAGATCAGCGGCGATACTGGCCCAATTGTGTATCCTGGCGGACATGTCTACATATTCTCCTGGATGAAGTGGTTCACCAACGGGATGGACAACGTGTACGCTGGCCAGCAGATTTTCAGGTATCTGTATCTGGCGACGTTTGTGCTGACGCTGGCGGCATATTTCCAGACGCGCGTGCGGTTCCAGCCGTACGTGCTCTATTTTCTGTGTCTGTCCAAACGGTTGCACTCGATCTACGTGCTGCGGCTGTTCAACGACTGCTTTGCCACGTTTTTCATGGTGGCCACCATTGTGGTTCTGCAGCAGGCGGCGGTTTTCCGGCGCAAAAAGAGCGTTCTCGGCGTGGCGCTCACCTTCTTCAGCGCACAGCTGCTCAGCTCCGCCGTCAGCGTCAAGATGAACGCTCTGCTCTACCTTCCGGGCTACCTGGTGGTGGTGTACATGATCCTGGGCGAGAACCTGCTGCACACGCTCGCGGTGGTTGGCTTCGGGTGTGCAGTGCAGGCAGGCATCAACTGGGACTTCCTGGTCGCGTCGGAGTCCACAAGAGCCCATTTTCTGCAGAGCGCTTTCGACTTCAGCCGTGCGTTCATGTATCGCTGGACGGTCAACTGGAAGTTTGTGCCGGAGGCCGTTTTCCGCAGCCGCGAGTTCCACACGTCGCTGCTGCTCGCGCACTCGGCCGCACTCGTGTTTTTCGCGGTGTACAAATGGACCGATAAATCTGTCACGGGAAAACCAGCCACCAGATTTATCAGGGACGCATTCGTTTTCTACAAATCCACCATCAGCCCCGGAAACGTGATACTCTCCCCAGAAAGCGGCAAGTACGTCTTCTGGGTGATGACGACGTCGAACCTGATCGGCGTCCTCTTCGCGCGGTCGCTGCACTACCAGTTCCTGGCCTGGTACATGTACTCGCTGCCGATGCTGCTGCAGCTGAGCGGGCTGCCGTGGTACGCACAGACGGCCCTCGTGGCAGTCCACGAGTGGTGCTGGAACGTGTACCCGAGCACGGCGGCCAGCTCTGCGGCGCTGGTGGCAGTGCTCGCGACAGTCGTTTTGTCGCAGCTCCGGTGTGGCTTCGGCAAACCGAAACAGGAATAAAATTTCTCGCACCACCCTGGCCGCGAATTTCGGCCGGTGCCCGAAATGGCTCCTGGGAAACTGTCAACATTTGCGGGTTACCCGGCCCGCGAACTTCTGGTGAAGGCTGTTGAACCATCCAAGTAGACAGAAAAATAGCTTTTTTTTTCCTAGTGGAGGTTGACCTGATTTCCGTGGGTGCTAATTGAAACTAGTGCAAACAGCTCGCAAACTAAGCCACACCTGTCCACGACGACAAAGCGGCGGTGTTAGATTAGAACTCGGTGACAGTACTGACAGCACCCGTTGTTTAACAGGAGACTTTTAGTGCCCAGTGTGTACAGACCCTAAATCTCCGACTTTGTTCAACAGACCCTCCCCTTTGCACCGCGGATTCGTGCGCTAACTCGGTCGCATCTTGTCAGGAAGATAATTGGACTTTCCAGCTGACGAAAATGAGCCAGAACGCTACTCCCCCGGCAACAGAAGGGCATACGTCAATAAACGATCAGCAGAGCAATTCCTCGTCAGGAACAAACAACACACAGCACCCGTCCTCGTCGTCGGTATCGTCTGTGCCGACCGTGTCGGATTCGACGGCCGTCAACTCCAGGGAGCTGCTCAACGCCTACGTCTACGACTTCATGCTCAAGTCTGGGTTCACGGCGACGGCGAGTGCGTTTTTCAAAGAGGCCAACATACCGGTGATCCACAGCGAGAAAAGACCGTCGAACTCGCCGTCCAGCTCCGCAACGGGCACCTCGGACCTGCCTGCGTCGTTCATGACCATGGACGCCCCGCAAGGCTTTCTGTACGAGTGGTGGCAGATCTTCTGGGACGTCTTCAACGCCCGCACCCAGCGCGGCGGAACCACAAACGCCACGCAGTACTACCACTACGTGAACCTCAAGCAGAAACAGGACCATCTGATGAGCCAGCAGGCCGCTGCCGTCGCAGCTGCCTCCACGGTCATCAACGGGAACAACGCCTCGATGACCGGCACGCCGGTGACTTCTGCAGCTCAGGATATCGGTGTCCTGATGCCCCAGCAGCAGCAGCAGCAGGCGCAAATGGCCCACCCACCGCAGCAGGTCCCGATGGCCCAACAGCAGCGGGTCAACGCTCGCATGCAACAGCCCCAGCAACAGCAGGGCCAGAACATGCCGATGCATCCTCAGGCGGCGGCCCAGGCCCAGATGAACACGCTCAGGCAGCAACAGATCGCGCAACAGGCCCAGGCTGCACAGGTGGCAGCACAGGCTGTTTCGCAGAGAGGGTCCCCGTCGAAACGCCAGAGGATGGACAATGCTGGGAACGGCAGTGCAACAGAGATCAACCAGAACTCGTCGCCCAACATAACCATGAGCTCTCAGCAGCAGCAACAGCAGCAGCAGCACCCGCCGATGCCAATGCCTCAGGGGGTGATGATCCCCAACCAGTTCGGTGTTCCGCAGCAGTACGCCATGTTTGCTGCCGCGCAGGCCGCCCAGCAGGGCCAGTCGCAACAAAAGTTCAACCAGTACATGATTCCAAACTTCCAGGGCCAGCCCCAGCAGCAGATGATGATGCACCAGCAGATGCACCAGCAGTCCGTGCACATGCAGCACGACCAGCAGCATCCTCCCCCTCCTCCGCCAAACGTGCCTCAGCACTCACAGACTTTCTCGAACCCTAATGACTTCTTCCACGAGATGCCCAAGCAGAACAATCCAGCAGCTACGAGGGTGAACGATACCGCTATCAAAGACTACGAAAAACAGCTCCGCCTGATGGAGTCGCAGAACCGCAGACGTTTGGACGTGCACCGCAACGCGCCGGACTCAAAGGACCCGAACTCCCCTGGCAGCACGCAGTTCACCGAGTATTCGGCCATGCTGGGCCAGATGCCGCCGCAGCACGCGGCCGCGTCGATCATGCAGCAGAGAGCGTCGCCGGCGACAAAGGTGTCTCCGACGACCAAATCGCCGGCCAACGGGGCAGGTCCGCCGGCCAACGGCAAGCAGAAGAAGGCTCCGCGCAAAGCGCGCAAAAACTCGTCCTCCGTCCCTGCCACGCCGCTGACTCCAGCCAACAACCAGCCAACCCCCCAGGCAAACATCCCTCCTACTCCACAGAACACCACTCCGCAGCAAACGCCGCAGTCGTCCACAGTCGCTGCTTCTCAAGTGATGGCTGGCAAAAAAGGAATCAAGCGAAAGAACAGCATCACCACTCCAACCATCAAGGAAGACGAGCCGTTCATCCTGTCGAGCACAGCAGGCAAGACCACAAACGGCTCGTCGCTCAACAAGGTCCAGGGACCTGCTTCTTCGTCTTCGTCGCACATGGGTTCTGATGTGCCAAGTTCTGCCGTCAACGACCAGGCCGCGTCAACCTTTTTGCATGACTTCTCCACCGCCTCTAATGACATCTTCGATTTCGACTCACTTCTCACGGCGGACCAGGAAAATGCTGGCAATTTGGGCCTCACAGAGGTCTTCAACTGGGGAGAGTCTGTCGGAACCGGCGATTTATAGAGCGTTTCAGCTTTTGTATCTTTTATTTCACTACCGGTGATGTGTTTACTTACTGTACATTACTTTCTCTTTGGCCGCTGCTTCACCTCTTCCTCCTTGCAGGGGTGCAGTCTCACCACGTTCGGGTAGTCTGGCCGGTTGAACTCGTGGCCCTTGCTCCAGTCGTAGCTCAATGCGTACGCAAAGATCGTTCCTGTGCGGTTGAACCCAACGACCGGAATCGTAGCGCCTAGCGACGGATAGCCCTTGAGTCTGTGCCGGGCGTCCTTGTCCCAGAAGTTGAACGTTCCATCCGAGCCGGCCGTCGCAAACGTCCCGTGCACAGGGTGGAACGCAATCGAGTTGAGAGAATATATGTTCACCTCCTTCGACGCCGTCTTCTGCTCTCTCTGGCACTTGAACGAGAACCCGAACTCCTTCTGCTGCAGCTCGTCCACGTACTGAATACCGCAGCGGCCCTCTATCGACCCCACGGCAAACCCGTCGCCCTTTGGATAGCACGCGATCGTTCTCGTTTGGTACTTCAGCGGCGACATGCTCTGTCTGAAGATTTTGTCCGGGTTGTTCAGGTCAATTGTCACGATATGGCGCTCTGCAGTGCCAACAACAAGCAGCTTCTGCGACGAGTCCATCGCGTACACGCGCTCCGGCATGTTGAGCGTGCAAATCGGGTTCTGCTGCCTCATGTCCCAGTACTTGATGGTCTTGTCCCACGACCCGCTCACAACACACTGGGTGTTGGCAGGCCCGCACTCCACGTACCGCACCACCCTCACCGTATCGTTGTGTAGTCCTATTGTCTGCTGCTGTTGAGACGCGAGATCAAACAGCCGCACCTGCTTGTCAGCTCCTCCACTGATCACCCTCGCACCGTCCAGAGAGAACCGCGTGCTCAGAACGGGGCCCTCGTGCTCATACAGCGCGCGCCCTTCGACCTGCCCTGTCCCCGTGTTGATCTCGTAGATTCTGTTTTTGCGGTCCCACGAAGTCACGGCCAGAAACTCAGCGACAGGCGAAAACGCAAGGTCCGAAATCGAGTCCTCTGGCCCATTGGGGACCACGATGTCATTCTGCAGGTCCTGGAGAGTTCCCGCCGACGTCACTGTCCCGGTTCCCGAAGACCCGCCTAGCGAGCCCGTGCCAAACGCTCCCAGTGGCCGAGTTCCAAAAGACATTTGTGTACTTGTTTGAGAGAAAAAATACTCTTCAAATAGACGGATTTTTCTGCTTACGTCGTACATTACGTAACATTCTAGTCAAGCTTCAACAGCCGCAGCTTCAACAGAGCATCGCTGATGCTGGTCTCCTCCTCGCCGAGCACGAAGCTCGACGTCTCCGCGTACGTCTCGACCGGTCTTCTGGTGGCCTTCAGCAGCACGCTTTGGTGGGCGGTGATGGCATCGGCCAGTCCGATTGGGTCCTTCTGGATATCCAGCTGCACAAGCACCTCGTCGGTCTGTTGCAAGTTGCACTTCTTTCTCAGTCTCTGGATTCTGTTGATCAGTTCTCTGACCAGACCCTCCGATTGCAACTCTGGGTACATGTTGATGTCCAGAATGACGAGCACGTCTCCCTCGGTTCTGACCTCCTGGCCGCCAGAAACTTTGTCTTCTGGCAGGCCTCTGAGCACAGCCAAATCCTCCTCCACAAGGTTGATACCTGCCACCTCGACCCTTCCGGTCTTGAGGAACTCCTTGACCTCGTCCGAGGACAGTCTAGGAAGAGCATCTTTGACCTTTTTGGCGTCCTTCTTGAGCTTTTTACCCAGCACCGGCCAGTCGGCGACGGCCTTGTACTCGACGCCGAATCTGTCTTCGTCGGACGTGATGACCAGGTCCCTGACATTCAGCTCCTCCTTGATGTAGCTTTGCAATGCCTTGACGTCCTCGAGGTAGCCTGGGTCGGAGTGCAGAACAACAAGCTCCTTCAACGGGGTCTTGAGCGAGATTGTCTTCTTTTCTCTGATATTTCTACCCAGGTCGATGATCTTCTGCATTCTGGACACGGCAAGCTCAATCTTCTCGTCGATCAGAGAGTCGTTGACGATCGGATACGACAAAAAGTGCACAGAGTCTGTGTTCTCGCCGTATTGCTTCAACGTTTGCTCCTCCAACAGCACCTTTATTCTGCCGTATATGTTCTCGGCCAGATACGGCGTGAACGGAGCCATGGCTCTCACGAGAGTGAAGAGCGCCTCGGTCAACGTGTTCATCGCCTTCAGACAGTCCTCGACGCCATTCTCTCCCTTAAGTCTCTTTCTGTTGAAACGAATGTACCAGTTAGTCAGCTCGTCGATCAAATTCAGCAGCTTAGGAACCACCGTGTACAGTCTGTACTCCTCCATCTCGACACGAATGAACTTGATCAGCGACTGGATCGACGCCAGCAGCCAGCGGTCCATGACGTTCTCGGATCTGGACTCTGGGTTGTACTTGAAGTCGATGCCCTCGTTCTTCTTGAGTAGGGCAACTTGTCCTTCCAAGAATTTGTACGAGTTCCACCATGGCAGCAAAACCTTGGAAACCACCTCCTTGACACCTTCCTCTTTGAATTTGAGAGTTTCGGCTCTCAGAACAGGCGAGTTGATCAAGTACAGTCTCAGGGCGTCGGCACCGTACGTATTGAGCACGTTCATTGGGTCTGGGTAGTTCTTCAGCCTTTTAGACATCTTCTTACCATCAGCAGCAAGAACAATACCGGAAACAATAACGTTCTGGTACGGAGCCTTGCCAAACAGATGGGTTCCCAGCACTGTCAAAGTGTAGAACCAGCCTCTGGTCTGGTCCAGACCCTCGGAAATGAAGTTCGCCGGGAATGCGCCCGTGAATCTCTCCTTGTCCTCGTCGAATGGATAGTGTTTCGAAGCGTACGGCATGGATCCAGATTCAAACCAGCAATCAAACACATCCTCAATTCTCTTGAGAGTGCCCTTACCCTTCTTTGAAGGAATGGTCAGATGGTCGATATTTTCTCTGTGTATGTCTGTGATGGAGTCATCGCCGGTCAATTCTTTCAGCTCAGCCAGAGAGCCAACACAGACAATCTCCTCAAGATCATCCGAAACCCACAGCGGCAATGGAGTACCCCAGTATCTCTTTCTGGAGACGTTCCAGTCTCTGGCGTTGGCTATCCAGTTGGAGAATCTCTTATCCTTGATGTTCGAAGGAACCCATCTGGTCTTGTCCACAGCCTCCAGCATCTGGGGAACGATGTCCTTGACTCTCACAAACCACGAAGGAACAGCTCTATAAAGAAGCGGGGTGTCCGATCTCCAGCAGAATGGGTAGCTGTGTCGGATCTGGGACGCAAGCAAAATCCGTCCGTTGGCTGTGAGGTGCTTGATGATCTCCTTATCGGCGTCCTTCACGTAGAGTCCAGCAAAGTCGGTCACTTCCTGAGTGAATCTTCCGTCGTCGTCGACAGGGTTAGGAGGAGGCAGGTCCTCGTTGATGATGCCTGCCTCGGTAGCAGCCTCGAAATCGACCTCACCGAAAGCCGGTGACTGGTGGACGATACCGGTACCGGAGTCGTCTGTGACAAAGGTGTTGCAGTACACCCTGAACCCAGTGTTCTTGAACTTGTCGTAGAAATAGTTGAACACCGGCTCGTACTTCCAGCCGTCCATCTCCTTACCGAGGATCTTGCCGACAATCTTGTACTTTGCGTCCTTAGGCTTCTTGTACAGATTCTTGATCAGACCTTCCAGCATGATGTAGGTGACGTCCTTCTCCTCGTCGTAGATCTTGGCATACTCAAAGTCGGGATGAACACAGATAGCAATGTTAGAAGGCAGGGTCCACGGAGTGGTAGTCCAGGCAACAAGAATAGTCTTTGGGTCGTCCTTCAACGGGAACCCAACAGTGACGGCTGGATCGTTGACCTCCTTATAGTTCAGTTGAGCCTCGAAGTTCGATAATGCGGTGGTCACACCCGTGGAGTACGGCATAACTCTATAACCTCTGTAGACCGCTCCCTTCTCGAAGAGCCGCTTGAAAGCCCACCACTCGGACTCCATGAACTCTGGATACAGCGTCTTGTAGTCGTTGTCGAAGTCGATCCATCTTCCGAGTCTGCCGATGGTTTTTCTCCACTCCTCGGCGTACGTCATCACGATCGACCGGCACTCCTCGTTGTACTTGGCAATGCCCATGTCCAGGACGTCTTGTTTGCACTTGATGCCCAGCTTCTTGTCGATCTCGTGCTCAACAGGCAGCCCGTGGGTGTCCCAGCCAAAGCGCCTTTCCACGTAGAAGCCGTTCATGGTGGCGTATCTTGGAACAATGTCCTTGATGGTGGAAGCGAGGATGTGGCCGTAATGGGGAGTTCCAGTTGCAAACGGAGGACCGTCGTAGAAGGCGAACTGCGGCTTCCCTTTAGTCAGCTCAAGAGACTTGTGGAACGCGTTGATCTCATCCCAGTAAGCCAAAACCTTCTCCTCCTCTCTTGGGAAGGAGAAAGACTGCGGTTCTTCCTCAGACATAGTGTGACTGAATCTTATTTTGAATCGCCAACGGGGAAAAATTTGTCAACGAGTGGCGCTGGTGGCGGTGAAGCTGGAGCGGAAAATTTTGGAGCTGAAAAAGATTGAACAATATTTCAGCCCATTATGTTTGGTCCGTTCAGAATGTCGCCCGTGGCGCTGGGCGGTTTGTTGTGGAAAAAGCCATGGAGGCTCTCGAGATTCCAGAAATACAGGCACAGAAAAAGAATGCAGCTTGTGGACTCCAACATCCAAGCCTTGTACGACGGATTGCAGGCCAACGGGATGTCGTCCAAGAGAGTGGAGCATCTGATGACCGAGTACCCGAAGGAGAGTGAAATGACGCCTAGGAACAAGTACACGGTCTTCAGCAAGTACGCGAGAAAATACAGAAAGGCAATCCACTTTGTGCCGAAATGGACCAAGATTCCTCTCAGAAAACAGCCTATCAATGTGTAGCCGTCATTCGGCCGCTCTCTATTGTACATATGATAAATACACTGCGCATGCTCATATATTATCCCAGATGTATTCCGAAATGAACATTTCGTCGTAGCCCTGATCGAGGTTCAGCACGTTTGTCTTTTGCGATTTCTTGTTGAGCACCAGCACCTGCTTGCTGTTGAAGTCGAGCTTGAGCCCCAGGCTTTCGTAGAGCTTCAGTTTTAGCGCCTTGCTGCGTTCCGAAACGTTCTTGTTTGCATCGGTCTCGATGCTGTGCTGCTCCAGCTCGGCCAGCTGGTTCTGGAGGTTCTCCAGTTTGACAAGATCTTGGTTATACTTCAACTTGAGCGCGTTCAGTTCCATATTAAGACTTGTGAGATGCTTCGCTATCGTGAATACGAGGTCCTCCACCTTGAGCAGTTCCTCCTTGACCTCCTTGGACTTCTGATTATTTTTCAGCTCTTCAATGGAGCTCTCAAAGTGCTCCAGCTCGCGCTGCAGCTCGTCCAGCTTAGCTTGATGTCTATCTAGCTCCTCTTGTCGCAGCGATTCTAGCTTTTTGAGATTATTATTGATTGTGTCTATGGCGGAGAGATCTTTCTGGATATCGAAGAAGCTGCGGATCTGCACTATAGGCAGACTGAGGCCAGGAAACTGCGTGCCCATCGATAAAACAAATAATAAACAAACAAAATTTATCTGGGGCCAACCCTTGCACCGCAAAGACTGGAGGGTGAGAAAAATACAAATTAATATTTTCGACCGATCAGCATGGACCGCAAGCGCGTAGAGGGGCTTCCTCCATGGATGCTCACGCCGAAAGAGGAAAAAGAGGTTTTTTTGAACTGGCGAGACAACGCGTGGAAGGCATGCGACCAGTTTGTGCAAGGTAAGTAGCCAGCATCACGCCACCGACTAATTCTAGACTTTGTGAAATGCGAGCATATGGCTGGCTACGGAGTGTGGTTCAAATGTCGCAAGCAATCCACCAAGATGAAAGAGTGCATAAAATCGCGGCAGAAGCAGGAGTATGTCGACGAGGAGAGAGATAAGTTTATCCGAAAGAAAATTGAATTTTTGAACAAGCAGCGGGAGGGGCAGCGGAGCGACAGAGCAGAGTGAACATCACCCAAAGCTCAAAATTCGAGAATCATGGGGTAAGAAAGAGGAGTAGTGTGACCCCGTTTGAAACCCAGTCATAGCTCGGTCATTGATAATCGTGAGGAGATGGAAAAAAATTGAGTTTTCCACCTGTTTTTTCTGCACTGCTGGAGAAGCAATTCAGCCCGGGCTGCAGCATGTCACGGCTGGTCACTGACGTATATAAGGAGTTGGCACCCTCGTACATAGCCAGTATCATTTTCTAAGATGTCATTTATCGACAGGTGGGTCTACAAGAACAAAACAAGACAAAGCGGTGTCAACAACACGGGCACCCAGTATAATCCAACCACTATCACTCCTCAGGAGCAATTCAAATCTTATCAGGGCCGCAGAAACTCCGACACACAGCCAAATTTGAAAAACGTGCCATACACTTACTTCCACAGAGACGAAGTCATCAACGTGCGTGGCGACGATGGCCAGCTGCACGGTATCCGTTCGACTACGGACGGCTACATTGACGATAAGAACCAGAAGCACATAGTGGGCAGCCTCCAGCCGGACACGTGGGTGGACCGAAAGGGCTCGATCGGTTCGATTGGCTCGATCGGCTCTGTGAGCAGCGAGATGAACGAATGAGCGGTCTATCTTTTCAAGATTCTACTCTACTATTGCTATTTAGTTTAAATTTATGGGAGCTTATTATAATGATGCTTGCCTAATTTTCGCGGTAGTGCCTCGGCTACGAGTTTTTTCTTAAGGGGCCCCATTAAGAGTAGGAATGCATAATCGTAATTCTATTTTTAAATATGGATCGGTTCAATCATCGACGGAGGTCGTCTGATTCAGAGGTTATTCCTCTGAATCGAGACAGAGACGTGCCTCAGATTGAGATCTCGACAGACTCGAATAACATCTCGAATATGCCGCCTCGAGAACGGTCTTCGTTGTACGATATTGACGATTCGAATTCTTTTTCCAAGTCACGGATCCTGCCCAAGCTCACTGTGCACACTGACCTGCGGTCTGAGGACGATCTTATGAACATTCTACAGCAGCCGTCGCCGCAAAAAGGCCACTCTCGCACCTTTGAGGCCTCCTCTTCCCCTGCAAGTTCGCGTTCCCTCAACGCCAGAGTCCCAGACAAGGACCGCATACCCTTTTTTTTAGACGAGGAAATGGACTATGATCTTTCTGAGGGCCTGAACCTGGCTTTGGCAGAGACTAGTGACCTGTGGATGCCTCTCAGTGACTCGTCAGACGCGTTCTCGGTTGACTCGAGCGTGCACATGCGAACGGGACACTCGCATGATCTCGAGTCTGGACTCGCAGATATCGAGATGGCAGATCTCAGTGGCAAGCTGGACGTGCCAGAATCTGCCAACACGTCGCGTTTCGACGTGACGTCTGGCCAATCAGGGAAAAGCCAGATGCAGCCGGTGACGCCTACTTCCCAGATATCGTCTGTTTTGCGAAACTTCTCGCGGCGACTCAACGCCCGGGGCGACGAACACGACGGCGAGATGGATCTCACCGACGACGTCGATCTGAGCGAGCGTCGGGATCTTCTGGAGGATGACCAGATGCACTGGGGGAAGTACTCGGATTATGAGGATGGTCCAGGGCGCTTCCCCCACTCAAAGAACAATCTTGTGGCCAGTCAGTCGCTGCAGACTACCGTGCTACTCCCCAGCGAGCAAGACGACGATTCGTTGCAGGAGACTCTTGAAGAAGAGACCCCTCGCCTGTATGGCAAGTCGCTCGGCATTTTTGGGCCCAACTCAAACTTTAGAATACGCTGTCTGCAAATCGCATGCAAACCTATCTGCGACCAAGTCATTGCGTCGCTTTTGATAATGCAGACAATCCTGCTGACCATCCAGCAGTGGTATGTCGAGGCAGGTTACGTTCACAACGGAGGGTGGACCTGGGTGGACTATATCTTGCATTTCCACTACATGGTGTACACGGCGGAGATAGTGGTCAAATCGGTGGCGTTTGGCTTTTTCGACGACTCGCAGATGTTCAAGGAGCTGAAGCTCGAGCAGAAAGAGAGCTTATTGCGCAAATACCTGCGGACTGCCCGCGAGAAGCTCCGTCTTACAGACCCAAAGGCAGAAGACCAGGACTATGCGCAGTCCCGGCCGCTGAGAACAGTGACTGTCCACGGAACGGGGTCAGAATCTGTCAAGCGAACTCGAGCGTTTCTGAGGTCCGACTGGCACAAGGTGGACTTTGTTTCCGTGGTGTCGTTTTGGATTTCGATGTTTTTGAGCATTAACAAACTAGATATAACGCATCAGTGCATGATTTTCAGGTCGCTCATGTGTCTCAAAATCCTGAGACTGCTCAACATCACGCACGGAACCCGGTTGATCCTCAAGTCGCTCCGCAAAGCCGGGCACCAAGCTTCAGATGCCACTATGGTTCTGTGTGTGTTTTGGCTGCTTTTTGCTATCATTGGAGTCCAGTCTTTCAAATCTTCTCTGAGAAGACACTGTGTCTGGACTAATCCTACCAACAACACGGACATATACGAGAACTCTATGCAGTTCTGTGGATCTTACCTGGATCCAACAACACTCAAGAAAAACCCATATATTCCTGGACAAAACAATCAGACATTTCCATATGTCAAGGGCTTTGCCTGTCCGGTGTACTCGAAATGTATCACGGGCGAGAACCCATACGGAAATACCATAAGTTTCGACAACATCTTTATCTCGATTCAAATGGTGTTTGTGGTCATAAGTGCCAACACTTTCTCAGACATCATGTACTACACCATGGACAGCGACGACATGGCTGCCTCGCTGTACTACATTTTTGCCATTCTGATTTTAGTGGTGTGGCTGTTGAGTCTGATCGTGGCCGTGATCATCAACTGCTACCGAGTTCACATCGAAGATATGAGAAAAGCACGGCAGTCGCGCAAGACGCGGATTTTAGCATGGGAGTTTGACTTCAGAGCAATGGATGCCGCCTACGAAGATTTTGTGACAAACCACAGCTACCTGCGGAAATTCTGTTCCCTGCGCTCCTTATTTAACATTCTGGTCATTGTGGACCTCATCAATAAAGCACTGGTCTTTCCGGATTTCAACGATCGGAGCTGGGCGAGATTGAGGGCCATGGAGCTGGGAGTCACTCTGTGTCTGTTCGCAGAAACTGCCATCAAAATGGCGCTTTTCGGCCGAAAGATCAAAGTCTATTTCTACTCGCTGAGAAACATAATTGACCTCTTGCTAGCAATCTCCACCATGGTGGTAGCAAACGTGAAACTGAATCCTCAAGGAGCAGCTTATGGGTGGACGTCAGTTCTATTTATTTTCAGGTTCTACAGACTGTTGGTCGCCAGGGGTCTACTCCACAACGCGTGGAAAGCCGTCTTCTCCAGTTTCTGGCCCTTCATCGACCTTGGCATCTTTTTCATCCTTTTGCTCTATTTGATGGGCATTATTTGCTCGCGTTTGTTTGAGGGACTCATTCCCGTTGACGAGTATCTGGACAGCGACCAGCTGATCATGTACAACCTGCCAAATGTGGTACTCTCACTTTATACCATCACCACCACTGAGAACTGGACAAGTATTTTGTATCTTGCCCAGCAGTGCAGCCGGAACACTTTCACGAAGGTGTGTGTTGCTGTGTATCTTATTGGCTGGTTCATCTTCTCCAACATGGTTGTTCTCAACATTTTCATAGCCATCATCACTCAGAATTTGGGTGTCAACGAGGCCAACAAAAAACGGATGCAAATCAAGCAGTTTTACCAAAAACTGGTCCGCGAACTGAACTCAAGCAAACATGTTGGTCTCTTTGACGACTTGAGAAGCCAGTGGTTCAGAAGCACGAGAAAGCGAGCCATCAGCACCTCACAGATGATAGAGCACATGAGTCAGATTCTGGAGAAAAGCAATATGAGCCCTGGCGATTTCTTGGAGAGTGAGAAAGAGATAAGAAAGGAGCAAGAGCAAGGCCTGTTCTCCAGATGCCTGAAGCTGCTGCGCAAATGGAAACCGTACGCTCGTCTGGAGGGCAGAATTACAGGGTCTCACTTTTTTGTTTGGCTCAGAGACTGGGTGATTTCTGCCACCACGTCTAAAGTCGATTTCTCGCTTGGATTCAACTACAAAGAGCTTGACGTAAACGCTGGCGGGAAAAGCTCGACTAGAGAGGTGTTCCGTCTTTTTGACGAAAGCAACCTAGATCCAGACAAGGAGCTCAAACAACGCGCGTATCTCGAGCAGCACGTGGAGTTCAACAGAACATTGCATTATTTCTACCCAAACCATCCTCTCCGCAGGTTTTGTCAACGGATAGTGTCTCCGGCGTATGGAAAAAGACTGGACGGAGTCGACCCACATCCGAAAGTCCGTGACGCTTTCTACGTCCTGATGTTCTTCGCTACAGTGTTAATTGTCGTTATGGCGTGCTACGTGACGCCCCTGTACAGGAAAGAGAATCTGTTTTATGAACATCCATGGAATTGGGCCACCGAAGTGGATTTAGTCTTCTCCATCTTGTTCACGCTCGAGTTCCTGATCAAAGTGATCGCCGACGGATTCGCCCGCACGCCAAACGCTTACCTGAGGTCTGCATGGGACGCTATTGACTTCGTCGTGCTGATTTCGTTTTGGATCACCACATTTGGGGAAATGTTCAGAGACTTCAATCTCGTGGTCATTGTCGGCGAAGCAAGAGCCCTGAGAGGACTCAGATTGCTCACCATCACCAGAAGATCAAAGGAGTACTTTAACTACGCTGTGATATCTGGAGCTCGCAAAATGCTGGGTGCAGTTCTGATCGCCATGACATTGCTGCTTCCGTTCTCTCTCTGGGGTCTACAGCTATTCGTCGGAAAGCTGGCCAAGTGCTCGGATAGCTCTTCGGACTACGACAACTGCATTTTAGAGTACTCCAACGAAGTCTTCAAATGGGAAGTTCTCTCTCCAAAGGCCTATGTGAACCCGTACCTCAACTTTGACGACTTTGGCAACTCTCTCTCATCTCTGTTCCAAATCATATCCCTGGAAGGTTGGACCGACCTGCTGCTGAACCTGATGAACATCACTGTGCGTGGCCAGCCGCCGAAAACATTTGCCAGTCCGGGAAATGGATTCTTCGTCATCATTTTCATCTTCTGCTCCATCGTCATCATTCTCAACCTGTTCGTCTCGGTTATCATCAACAATTACTCGGTGCAGACGGGAACAGCGTTTTTGAACGATAAACAGCGTGCCTGGTACGAGGTCAAGCGTGTGTTGAGCCACGTTCATCCTTCCAAACGGAAAGATGAATCGTCAATGAATAGCTTCCGCAAAGCGTACTACCATCTGGTGGTGAATAAGAATAGAACCTACACGCACATTGTGAATGGCTTCTATTTCTTGCATGTGCTTGGTTTGCTGGTGGAGTTTTACCCAGCGAATAGAGCCGAAAACAATTTTCGCTACGTCATCACTACTTTCTCGACCACGGGACTCGCGTGCGATACTGTGCTAACGCTCTACGCGCTGGGCCCTAGATTATTTGTCAGGAATGGCTGGAACATTTCGCGTCTTATCATTGTGGTTGGTGCCTGTGTGATGTCGGGGATTGCCTTCTTCGTTTCCAGACAATCCGTCTACGCCAACGTCAACAAGCTGTTCCTCGTGGGAGTGCTACTCTTGCTCATTCCAAGAGTGGAAACCTTCAACCAGCTTTTCAGATACGCGTCTGCCAGTCTTCCAACACTGCTGGCGCTGATATACACTTGGCTAGTCCTATTTTTGGTCTATGCCATTGCCCTGAACCAGGTTTTCGGGCTCACCAGACTGGGAGAGAACACGACAGGCAACTTGAATTGTCGTACAGTTACAAAATCGCTCATTATGCTGTTTAGAATGAGTTTTGGCGAAGGATGGAACTACATCATGGAAGATTTCCGGATAGGTTCACCGAACTGCTTCAGTGCTGCCAGTCGGTACAGCTCTGATTGCGGAGAAAATGTCTCTGCCCACATTTTGTTTTTCTCCTGGAACATTTTGTCGATGTACATTTTCCTCAACATTCTTATATCCGTGGTGATCAACAGTTTCAGCTATGTGTACAACTCGTCCGGACCTCACTCGCTGCTAACCAGAGAAGAGATCCGCAAATTCAAGAGGTCCTGGAGAGAGTTTGACCCCGATGGGTCTGGATTCATCGACCCGTCTCAACTGCAACCATTTTTGAGCAGCTTGGACGGAGTGCTGTCTTACAAAGTTTATCCCGAGAAATTCTCGATTCCAAATATCACTTCGCAGTGGATCACAAAGCACAGCAATGATCCGTATCAGCTGGAGTACGACTTTGAGAAATTGGACGAGATCATGGCGACAATCGATTTCCGCAAGGTGAAGGAACGAAGACGTCGGTACAATAGATTGATCATCGAGGCGTATCTCAAGATGGTGCAGACGAGCGATGGTCCAAAGATTGAATTCACCAAACTCTTACTCCAGATAGGATACTACTCGCGTTTCCAGGACAGCACATGTCTGACATTGGAGGATTTCGTCAAGAGATACGTTCTGATCCAAAAGATCAACAAGGTGGCCCGAAAACTGAAGATCGAGGCAACCATTCAAATGGTGTTGTCCCGGTTGAGACTGCTGATTGGAAACCTAAACCAAAGCAGCAATATACCGCTGCAAAGAATCAACCGTCGGGTGGCCACAGAGATTTTTGACCAGGACGATATTTATGGAACCCATGGAGACGATTATGACAATCCGTTTAACAATAATGAGCTATACAGAAGTGTTTCGGAAACCAGTTTGAATCCGTTCAACGACCCGTTCAGTGACCCCATAGAGGATGAACAAATTGTGCCGCCGGCCAGCAGGAGAAGCGAGAATCAGTATTATAGCTAGTCCACCTTGATGTCCAAGAGTCCTAGCTCTTCGTTCTGCTCGCGAGTTCTTTCAAACTCCTCCACCTTCATGTTTGGATCGTCGTCCGGAGCATACACGTTTTGGATGTACGAGGATGCCAATGGGTCCTCCATTATCACTGTGAACTTCATTTTTCCAGCGAGAGCGGTATCAAGCCTCTCGAAGAACTTCTCCCAGTTAGCTCTGGCCTCAGGAGTCATCGAGTCGGAAGTCTCCTGGAACACGCGGGAATGCAGCTCGTCTCTGACCTGGCGCAAAAGACCTTCCAACGTGGTGAACCTTCCGCCAAGCGTTCCCGGAGTGAGGTCCAGATTGAGCTCAGGAATCTTCAGTCCACAGGTTTCAGACTTGAGAATGTCTCTGGTCAGGTCTTCGGGATCGTCACAGAAGAGCGTCACACGCTTTCCGCGGTCGGGCACTGCGCCTCCCGTCTTGACCTCGTTAGATTTGTAGCCGCAACGTTCGCAGGTGGTAGACATAATAATCACGTCCTTGAAGTGAGGAATATTAACGACTTTCATATGAGTTTCGCACGGAGCGTAGCAAGAGGAGCATGTAGCGTGGAACACCTGCACCTCATTGGCAAAGTTCTCGATATCCGTCTCGTCAGACATGAATCCTGTAGCTCTGACTCTTTGAGACTGTTGTTCCTGCTGTTCCTGCTCGTGGGCAGCAACTTCGTCCGCAGACACCAAACCCAGCATCACGTTCTGCTGAGGTGTACGGTTATACTCGACAACAGACCATTTGTGCTGAGGCTCGCCCGGGACGTATTCGATCCAGGAGTTGCCCGACGGATCGTCAATCAAGAACGTCAATGGCAAACCAGTCTCTCCGTTGAGCACAGAGCGTATTTTGGCAAGGAATTGCTCGATCTTTTCGTATATTTCAGGCTGAACCTCTTTTCTCTGTGGCTGGTCCAATTCGAGGTCCTGCACCATCTCCGACAAAAGTCCTTCGACGGTAGTCAGCTGACCTCTCTTGGCAGGAATTTCAATGTCGAGCTCAATGAACTTACACGTGCAATATTCCGACTTGACAACCTGGCGGTTGAAGTCCTCCTTGTTTTCAATCTTGAGCATGTACCTGCTGCCTTTCTCGGCAATGGTGGAAGCCGATTGGATCTCTGAGTTCTTGAATCCGCAATGAGGACATTCGAAAGAGATCACCACGATCTCTCTGAAGTATGGAATCGAAGTGAGCAGCAGACGTGAAACTCCGGTCTCGTGGCAATTCATGCAAAGAGAATCGATTTCTTGGACAGGATGGCCCTGGGCGTCCTCAGCACCAGTCAGTCTGATGCCATCGTTGCCGTTCTCAGGAACCTGTTCGTGGTCAACTTCCTCTGCGGCTTGACCAACCGGCTGGAAGAACTCCTCTTTTTCTGCTTGCTGGTTTTCTCCCATGTGTAGTTTCGGTTTTTTTGAGTTGGTAGAATCTGGAGACTCGTTCCGCTTCATAAAACTATTAAAATAATTTTTTTGGTGATATGATTTTTTTCCGGATTATTCCTGATTGTTCCTAGAAGTCTCGTTAAGCAGACTCAATTAATCCTTCGTCCTGCAGACTTTTCACAAAAAACTTTCGCACCTTGTCGTCCACAGCCACATCCACAGGCAATTGCCCGTCCTTGTCCGCCACTCTAAAGTCTGCCCCTAGTTTCACCAACTTAAGTGCCAAATCGCCATGTCCTTCACTGAGCGCATGGTGGAGCGCGGTGAACCCGTAAATATCCTGAGCATTGAGCGGTGAATTGGCCTTTTTGATCAGCAGCTCGCAGATCTTCTCCGCCCCTATGGATGCAGCACGGTGCAATGGTAGCTGTGCCCGCTTGTCTTTTATCCTGGCGCTGGCTTTGCATTCCGTGACGAGGTACTCCACCACGTCGTGGTGGCCCTTACTCACAGCGTAAAACAGCCCCGTTTGGCCGCTGCTGGTGGCCAGATTGACATCTGGAGCAGGATCATGCTGCGCCAACAGCTTCACAATTTCCAGGTTCCCCACGGAGCAGGCAATGTGAAACGGCGTCCATCCGCTTTCGTCGGCCATCTCGTCTATATCGATCTCAAATTGACTTTTTGGAACAGCCAGCAGTCGTTTGACGATCTGCTCGTGCTGGAATGTACAGGCCCAATGGAGCGGAGTTCGCGAATCTTCGTCGCTTTGGAGCACCAGCCGTGGGTTCTGGTTCATGAGCCCGTCCACAATGAGCCCATTGCCCTCCTGTGCAGCCTTGTGAAGCTCAAATGACATAGTAACCTTTATTTTAATTAACGGAATAATGTGTCGTGTCTCACCCACTAAAATACCAGAAGGCAAATTCAAATTCTCTACTTTTAATAGCAAACCATGAACAACCAAGGGTGGGACAGATTTGCCCAGGATTTGCAGAAAAGAGCTCAGCAGATTGCAAAAAACCAGGGAAGCCGCAGACCACCTGGATCTCCGTTGGGCTTCTTTGCTGGCCTGGGAGGATTGCTTCTGCTGGGAGGAGGTGTGCTCTTATTTGACAATGCTCTGTACAATGTCAATGGTGGTGAACGGGCAGTGATCTACGACAGATTGAGCGGTGTCCGTCCTGACGTGGTCGGCGAAGGCACCCATATCAAGATTCCTTTCCTTCAATTTCCAACAATCTACGAGATCCGTGCCAAGCCAAGGAGCATTGCCTCGCTGACTGGTACGAAGGACCTGCAGATGGTGAACATCACGTGCAGAGTGCTTTCCAGACCGGAGGTGAGTGCGTTGCCTACCATTCACCGCACTTTGGGCCAAGACTACGACGAAAGGGTTCTTCCCTCGATTGTGAACGAGGTTCTGAAGGCGGTGGTGGCACAGTTTAATGCTGCACAGCTCATTACACAGAGAGAGAAGGTCTCGAGACTTGTTCGTGAGAACCTGATGAGAAGGGCGGCCAACTTCAACATCCTGCTGGACGACGTTTCTCTGACGGCGATGACGTTCTCTCCGGAGTTCTCGAGCGCTGTCGAGGCCAAACAGATTGCACAGCAGGACGCCCAGCGGGCGGCCTTCATCGTGGACAAGGCCATCCAGGAGAAACAGAGTCTGGTGGTGAAGTCGCAGGGAGACGCGAAGTCGGCGCAGCTGATCGGAGAGGCCATCAAGAAGTCCAAGGACTATGTCGAGCTCAAGAGACTGGACACAGCCAGGGAAATTGCCAGCATCTTGGCCAGATCTCCAAACAAGGTCATTCTGGATAACGAGGCGCTGCTCTTGAACACTGTGACCGACTCTAGAGTTACCAAGAAATAAGTTATTTAGCACTTTTCCTGTTTATAGCATCAACCTTTCTCGTCTTGGACCTGTGCTCTGTAATTTTTTTCGAGACCGGCGACAGGTGTGCGTCCGTCGGCGACGGGTGCGCCTTGAGCAGGTCTCTGTTGAACGCCAGCTTTGGCCGCGGCGGTGGGTACTGCATTGAGAAAAATCAGCATCTACGACCCTATTTATAATACCGTCTCTTACACGGCTGATTTTCCTGTCTCGAATTTGAATCAAATTCTTCTAGTCACTATATGCTCACGCAATCACATTTTTCAGCACCTCCTTGGATGAGACAACGCCCGCAAACTTGCTCTCGAGGTACTTGAGGAACGCCACAACCCTGTGCTGGGTCTCCTCGGAGTCGAACTGGTTCAGTCTCTCTATGTTCTCTTCTCTTCCCAGGGTCGACTCGTTAATCAATTTCTGCTTCTCCAGCTCTTTCAGGAACACCTGCTCGAAAATGTCCACCACCTGGGCGGTGGCGCTGAGAATTATCTCGTTGTTTTCCTCGTACAGTTTCAAAATCAGGTCGAAAATAGGCTTGTTCTCCTCGAGGCCAGTCTCCAGGGGCAGGTGGCTGAGCAGCGAGGGCACGATCACGTTGAGCGGGACGGCCTGCGGGTTCTTGAGCGCCATTCTGCTGACACAGCCGCACGCGTTGGCAATCGTCCTGTTGAGCGTGTCCTTGGTCTCGACGTCGTCGTCGTCGGTCTTGGAGGCCTCCTTGCCGGCCTTGCTGAGCAGCTTGGACAGCGAGCTGAGCGTGGCCGGGTAAGCAGGGGTCACGTCGACGGTGGCGTGCTCAATCAGGACGCCGACGCCGTACGCGGCGGAGCCACGCACCTCGGACGACTTGTCGTTGGCGAGCCTGTCGATGAACACCTCGAGCAGCTCCGTGGTGTACGGGTTTTCGCTCTTGAGGCCGTTGCAGATCTCGGCGAGGCAGCCGACCGTGGAGACGCGCTTGTTCTTGTTCTTGCACTTGACCTGGGCGAGGATGACGTCTTTGAACGAGCTGAAGATGCGGACAAAGTCGCCGCCGAAAGCGTCGGCCAGACTCACCAGCACCTCGAGCGCCGAGTCGTAGATCATGGCGTCGGTCTCTGTGGTGTCGACCTCGTCGCTCGGAACGTCCTCGTCGTCCTGCGTGAGACACAGGTGCTCGTTCTTGAGGATCAGCATCAGCTGCGTGCACAGAGACTCCAGCTGCGACGAGTCCGTGCCCTCCATGATGGCCAGCTTGCCGAGGGCCTTGGACTTGATGTACTCATACAGACAGTCGATGCACGTCATCACCATGTGCACGTCGAACTCGTCGGGCAGAATGCTGACGGTGATGCTGCGCACGTTTCTGATCAGCTCGAGCACTTTGTCGTTCTGGCCGTGCGCCTCGTACATGCAGTAGGTGACCTTCCAGAGCGTCGAGAGCGACGCCTCTCTGACGGCGTACGACTCGTCGATCTGCTCGCTGAGGATCTTGACGGTCTGGTCGACGAAGCTCGTGAAGCCGGCCTTGGTGCCGACGGCCAGCGAGCTGAGGGCCACGAGCGCGACCTCTTTCTCGACGGTGATGCCCGTGTGGACGTTCAGTTTCTCGGCCAGGTCTGCCTCGTCTGCGATTTCGTCGTCGGGACCAAAGTTGAAGTCGAACTCGTCCTGCTGCAGACAGTTGAAGATCTCCGGCACGATTCTGTCCAGGAACGGCGTGAACTGCTCGCCGTACACTTTGGCCATGTTGGAGATGAACGCAAAGCCGGACTCCCTGAGTCTGCCGTTCGCAGAGTGGATCGCGCTGTACGACGCGTCGATCAGAGGCTGTGCGTAGGGAGCAAACGCCTCTGAGCCCACGGCCCGCGCCATCGACGAGATGTTCTCGAACGTCTGTGCGCGCAGCTCGATGTCGTCCTCGGTCATGCCGTCGATGTGGTCCATGTTGGCGATGAACTTCTCCAGAAACTTGATCGACGGGTCGAAGTACGGCGTGAACGCCTTGCCGGCAGCATAGGCCACCGACCCGATCGCCGACACGATGCTCGATTTGAGCGACGACGACTGCGCGCCGTCGAGCATCTGGAACAGTTTGTTCATCAGCGGCTCTATGTACTGCTTGATGCTCTCGTTCGACATGTACTCGATCAGCGTGTCCAGCGCACAGGTGGCATACTTGTACACCATGATCTTGTTAGTCGAGTCGATGATGGAGATGATAGGGCTGAGCAGCAGCTCGTGGTACTCTGCAACCGTGTCCTTGAGCTCCTCGTTCAGCTGGGCGAGCGTGCGCAGCGCCGCAGCCTTGACGAGAATCGACCCGTCGTGCAGCCCGGCGATCACGAGCTGGATGATTTTCGGCAGCTGTGTCGATATGTAGTCCGGCGCACCCTCAACGGTGACGCCGATCGAGAGCAGGGCAGCTCTTCTCTCGTACTGGTTGCTCGAGCCCAGCAGCTGCGGAGCCAGCTCCAGGATCGGCTGGATGATCTGGCTCGACGGCAGGTTGATCGCCAGCTCGTTCAGAAGCCGCAGGGCCAGCGTGTGCGGCGACGCCTCCTCGTTCTCGTTCTCCTCGTCCTCCTTTTCGAGCTCTTCCTCGGCCTCCTCGTCCTCCTCGCTCGCAACACGCAGAGCGCACGTGGCCATCTGTCCGCCCAGCTTGGCCTGCGAGATCTTGGACTTTCTGTACGCAATGCACTGGGTCAGCGTTCTGAGCGCAAAACACCGGATCTCCTCGTCCAGGTCCTTGTTCATGGCCGTCTCGATCATCAGGTTGATGATGTCCACAAAGCTGTCGCCCAGTAGCTTTATGTCCAGCAGAACAAAGCTGTTGAACGCCGTGAAAAGCTCCTTTGTCCGCTCGGTGTCGGAAAACGAGAGAGAGTTTTTCAGCAGATGCACCATGCTTGGCAGTAGAGACCTGAACGAAGGTGCGAGCTTCTTTAGCAGTGTCTCGTCCTCCTCGATGTACGCAGAGATCACCTCCAGAGCAGAAACGGAGGTTACCTGGACGTCGAGAGAGGCCTGGTCCTGCAAAGTGGTGGCAAACAGGGACAGGAAGTCCTGAGAGTGCTCAAACCAGTCAGCAGGGAACGTCTCCAAAATACAGAAAATGATGAACACGGCCATCTCCCTGGTCTGCACGTCGGCGTCCTGGGCCCCTCCAACCAGTGATTGCAGCAGGGTCGGCCATTTATTATCGGGGATATCAATTTCGGCAATGGCAGCCACGATTCGAGCCGAGGAGTGTCTGATGTTCTTGGACTTGTATCCAAATGCAAACTTCAGCAGAGACTCTCTGATTTGAGATTTGAGGTTTTCATCGAGCGCCTCCCACTGTTTTGGAACCAGCTTCTTGGCCTCCACGGCGGCCAGCTGCTTGACACTGTCGTCGGCAGAATTTTGGAGCAGGTGGATCAAAGAAGGAAAGGCCAGAGAGTTGCTGTAGTACTGCGTCTTTAGGGCCTGTGTGGCATTCTTGATCGCGTTGTTGTCTGGCGACAAAATGTTTCTGAGTGTTTGTTCCAAACCACTCAAGAATTGGGCGTCCATGGTAGCTGGAGGTAAAAGTTGAAAACTGAATCAAAAAAAAAAAAAAAAAATTTTAGTGGGTGATACACGAACCTTAGGTTGCAGAAGCAGACTACTTGAGGAGTTGGTATTTACGGTTGGCAGCGAACAGCAGAGATAATACATTTTATGCATTGCCTATCCAAACGAATCTTGTCCAGGAAATCCCGGATATTTAGCGGGAAACGGGTCCAACTTATCTGTAGCTACCGCTGACGATTGCTTCCCCACGTAGTCTAGAAATATATATGCTGGATTATTAAATGTAAAACGCGGTAATGATGTATGTATATGAGTACTCTCACTCCTTTCTGACCGTAATTTGCCCTTATGGCCAAGTTGGTAAGGCGCCACACTAGTAATGTGGAGATCCTCAGTTCAAATCTGAGTGGGGGCACTTGTTTTATTTTCATTATTTTTTACTCGTGGTTCCAAGGCTATCCCTCTTTCAGACATGTCCCTATTAGTTTACGACCGTCGCACTTCGCGGTCGTACACCATAACTCTCTCAACCAACAATATAGTAAGATTCGGCAGAGTGCAAGCCCCAGAGATCTGTGCGAGCGAGTGCGTGGTAGACGATCCTCAGGTGAGCTCGACCCATTGCTTTATATGGAGCGTCTCCTTTGACGAATCGACAGTTCCATTGACATACATACAGGATATCTCACGTAATGGGACACTGATCAATGGGAAAAAACTCCAAAGAGGATTCACAATACTGAGCGATCAGGACCTGATTGAGATCGGTGACCATCTTAGCTTACGCTTCACAGGCGAGAGTTTTGAGGACAAAATGATATTAGAGGACCGCGACTGGAAAGTACTGTCTCAAGTGATTGGGAAGGGTACTTTTGGAAAAGTAAGTGGATACTGAATGTGTTCTAACTGCAGGTGCAACTTGCAACCAGAAGTTCAGCATTCTACGCTGTGAAGGTTCTCAATTGCACAACACCCACTAGTGAAAACCAGATCCTGACACAGATCAGCCACCCGAATATTATCAAAGTCCACGAGTGTATGGCATCCAACAGCAGTCTTCGGATCTACGAGGACTTGGCTACTGGAGGAGACCTATTTTCGTACATGGCAAAAGGTAACGACGTGCTCCGGCCGGTTGCAGAGACACAGGCGTTGCTAATTGTCTATCAGGTGCTCAAAGCTTTGGAATATCTTCACTCTCGCGAGATTGTTCACCGAGACCTGAAGCTGGACAACATTTTAATAAGAGGCGCCCCTGTTCGGTATCCGTACGTGGTTGTGGCTGATTTCGGGACCGCAAGACAACTCGATCGGCAAAGAACCAAACGGGCAGCCAGAAGAATGTTCACAATGGTAGGGACCCCGGAATACGCAGCACCAGAGATTGACCTCATGCAGTCGCGGAGCACCAAGGGATACACCAATAAGGTGGACGTATGGTCTCTAGGAGTGATTACGTACATTCTTCTCACCGGCGTCTCTCCATTCTACTCCCCTTGCGTTGAGAAAACCACCACCAAAGTCCTACAGGGAGACCTGCTACTCGAGATCAAAGAATGGAGCACGATCTCTCTCGAGGCAAAACAGTTCGTCAAAGGGTGCTTACGAGCCAGAGTGTTGCAAAGGCTGGACGTGGCAGGGTGTTTAGAGACAGACTGGATCAATAAGCGCTCGCGCAAAGAGTGGCTGGAGAAATGCTACCATACTATTTTGGGCCAATGAGTGAAGTGATGAAAAAAAATCCCGTATTGCCCTACCAATTGCAAAATTTTCGTGGGGGGCAAGATTCGATCCTAATGTCGAGGATAGCGCGGCACGGTAAAGAATTTTTTTTTGGAGGCCCGAATTTTTTGGTAGAGGTGCAAAAAGATTTTAGACTAATAATCAGTTGATCCGGCCCATTCGTCGTTGTTTCTGGTTGATTTGGCATACACTAATATTCTTGTATATCACGTTAAGGCACAAAGTCACGGTTACGATTGGCATAGAACAAAGCATTGCATCAATCATATTTATTTGTTGGAAGATTTGCCAATTTTCGCTTGCTTGATATGTTACCATCGCTCATAGTCCAAGATGTATAATTCTGCTTATAATCAACACCATTCATACTACCCAAACAAGTCCTCAGCACCGCCTCCTGCATCGCAATTTACGCAGTCCAGCCAGATGAACGGGCAATCAAATGGCCAGCACAACGCACAGTCCCCTCAACTTTGGATGGGTGATCTCGACCAAAGGTGGGACGAGACCACGATCAAACAGATCTGGTCTAGTGTTCTTGCCCCGCTTGGGATTTTGGTGCACTCTGTGAAGCTCATTAGAGACAAGCAGAGCATGAACCTCGAACTGGCAAATGCAGGCTACTGCTTCATTCGTTTCCATAATATGGAGGATTGCTACAGGGTACTTGAGCTATTCAATGGTAAGCCAATTCCAGGGACAAACAACGTCCGGTTTTTCAGACTGAACTGGTCTTCGGCCAACTCTTCAGGTGCCAATATTACTCCTTTCCAGCCTAAGGGACAGTCCGAGTATTCTATCTTTGTGGGCGATCTGCCTCAGACTGTGACTGAACAAAGTCTTTTGCAAGCCTTCCAAGCGAGGTATCCCTCGTGTTCTGGTGCCAAGGTTATGGTCGACCCTGCCACTGGACATCTGAAAGGTTACGGGTTTGTCAAGTTTTTGAACGAGACAGACCAGAAAAGAGCATTGATAGAGATGCAAGGTTATGTTTTGCTTGGAAGACCTATCAGGGTTTCGACAGCATCCAAATCCCAGGCAAACGGAGCTGCCAACAGTTTTCTTGCATCTGCTGCGCCATCTCAAGATGGTTCTGGTCAGCTGAAGGTCAACATTCCTTCTTTGCCCCAGCCAGCTCCTCTTCAATACTATAATGACCCTAACAACACCACCGTTTTCATTGGTGGACTGAACGTTCCAATTACAGAGATGCAATTACGAGTTCTCTTCTCAAGGTTTGGCGACATTAGCTACGTGAAGATTCCTGCGGGCAAAAATTGTGGATTTGTCCAGTTTTTCCACCGTGCTAGCGCAGAAATGGCCATCAGTGAGATGCAGGGCTATGATATTGGTGGTGGCTGTCGGATTAGAGTCAGCTGGGGCGCTCGTGCCGCACAGAGAAATTGGTTCGCCAAGCAGCTTGCCATGCAGCAGCAACCACCGCAGACACAACAGTTTCAACAGGCCAATTCGTACAACATGACCAATACCTTGGGACTCACTGGTACCAAATACAGCTTGCTCAACGACCTGCTCATTGACGGTGCTAGCACTCCTGCTACCAATGGCGGGGCATACAGTGGCTCCCTTCTGAACATTGACAGACTCTCAACCGAGCCCATTCCTTTCAGTCCACTCAACTCGTCGGGGACTTCTTTGACAAACAGCTTTGCCTCCGATGAACTCCGTTTGAATGAGTATTTTCTTGCTTCTAGACTCAACAACATGGAACAGCTAGACATAGCTTCTGGTCTTTTCAAACTTAATTGAGAGGAGAGACGGCCTTTTTTTTCGTTTTGTTACTTAGCATACATTCGTCAACGCATTTTTGTGCTTTCATTTGCTTCCTGTTCATTTTCTAACAACTGTTATGCATTTAGCTCATGTGGGGGAGATTAGAAAGTTAATAGTGAGATATTAGATGGTCAATATATACTTTGTATTCCAATAAATAGTAAAATAAATAAGATGATGATTCACTCAACTTGGTCGATCCGCGCCCTGTACAAGTCCTGCTCTCCCTCAGTGCCACCCAAGTCTTTGTAAAGGCCGCCATGTGGGTAGGATCGTGGAGTGGCCGGCCGTTCGGGCCATAGATCGAAGAACCAAATAGCAGTTGCGAAGGATCCTAGACCAGCAAACCAGCCAAGGAAATTGGCAATCGCGGTGGAGTCGCTGACCGGATTGATAAAATCTGGCGACCACATGTCAAGGTTGTCCTCAAATGGGTGCACTGGAGTGTCGAAATTTCGTCTGTTTTGCTGGTCGTCGTAAACCTGATAGGGATCTCTTTTTTGGGGCATCACGTAGTCTTTAGGGACCTTATAATCAGGGAAATCGGACAAGTTTGGCAAAAATTTGGGCATTTCGGAGTTGAATCTCACATGGACAATTGCTGGGACTCTTTTGGCCGGAACGGCCAATCTACTGAACATCTCTAAGTAAAGGAACTTTTACTCCACATTTACAAAAAAATAAAGACAGCCCAGTCCCGGGCGAGGAATGGCAGATTCTTTTTTTTTTTATTTTTTGAAGCATTTGCCAAAAACTAGAGAGAAAACTACATCTCTAATATATAAACCTATTCTGGACTAATATGCTACCGACTGAAAACGGCGGAGTGCCTAGCGGTAGTCGTTCGCAAACTTCCAGTAAGCGGCGGTCGGAGTCTTTTGACAGCCAATTGGATGACGGTGGTGCAAAACGAAGGAGCACGAGAGTGAAAGAGGTGCCCAATTATTCGCTTTCCAGACCTCGAAATTCACGAGCGCCTTCGGAAATCAACGCATCTGAATCAACTGTGCCTCCGTGCTTGAATTCAGGCGCAACGAAATACAATTTACCCAGCATAGACTCATCTCTCCCTATAGAAGAACAGAGGCAAATTGCGAAGTCAAACATGGCCAAGTTGGTAGTTCACAACGAATCTCTCGTACAGGAACTATACCATCTTGAGAACTTTACCTCGTTGGTATACTTTAAACCAGGCGACCCAAAACAACCCGACACATATGAACAGTATAAAGAAGAATTCTCATTATGGCCCAAAATCGATGAGGCCAAACTGGGCAGAAGGAGCCGCAGGCTCACCGAAAACAGCGACCCACTGAAAATTGAGATTGAAAAGATTATAGAGCGGGATCGCAGCGAGTCGGTCCCGCCCATAGAGTCGCTGGAAGCGAAGAAACCCGCAGCAAAGAAAATCAAGGAAGAGCCGATTAAGTCGGAACTTGAGCCCGAAATGGGCGATTTTGCCTTTGAAAGTGACAGCTCCGAAGTCTCTATTCCACCAGCGACGCCCACAAAAATCAGAAGGCTACGTCTCAAGGTGAACGTCAGGCCCCAGCTGGTAACGCACCCTTCCCATGTCACCTCGCCCAAGTTTGGAAGTTTAGAGGAGTTTTTGAGCTCCTACCGGTCTACGATCGAAGAGCCTAGTCGAGATCTATCGAACGAAGAGTACCAGGAGTACTTGAACGCACAGTACGAGCTGATCAACAAGATTCGCGAAGGCCTTGATTCGAAGCTTTTGACGCTTGATTTTAACGAAAACGTTTTCAGGGCTTTTCCTCAGGGTTCTCGAGAGCCAACCATGATAAAGAAAAATGCGCAGTACAGTTTGAATCATTACAAGCCGCCCACTGAGCCGTTCAGGTCGAGGAACGAGCTCACCCACTATGACCATCTGCTCGCTCAGGGTATCAGGTCATCGAAGCTGATTCACGATTTGCGAGCTTCGAGGATCTCGAGGTGTCGTCGTATCGCAGGAATGATCGAGTCGCACTTCAAAAAGCTCTCTCAGGAGCAGGAGAGGAAAGAGCGCGAATTTGAGAAGAAGATTGCCAAGCTGGCTAGAGATACAGCCAAGGAGGTAAAGAAAAAATGGCTGGTGGCTGTGAAAGCGTACAAAATTCTGGAGGAGCGGGAGAAAGAGCGAGAGCGTGCAGTGAAAAGCAAGGAGCAGCTTTCCAAGATTCTGGACCAGAGCACCAGGATGTTGGGTGCACAGGTCGGGAAACGAAGCGTGACTCCCTCGTCAAGACAGCAAAGTGTTGTCTCTGAGCAGTCTCAATCAGACAGCGACGATGAGTCAGATTTGGATGACGACGAAAACATGAGCTCGAGCAGCAGCGAGGACAATGCGGAGGAAGGAAATGGCCTGGTCAAAGATGACAGCAAGCTTACTGTCGAGGAGCTGCGTGAGAAATACAAGGATCTGGACAAATTGTCTGCCGAGCCAGATTCGGACGATGACTCTGAAGCAGAGGAGCCAGATACTCTGGCATCATTGTATGGAGTTGAATCTAATGGAGAACATAAGAAGATCAGTGTTGTTGACCAGCTTACCGATGAGCAGAAAAAGAAGCTTTTGGAGGAGTCGAGCAACCCCCTTCTGGACGAAAGCGAAGACACCGACATCTCCATGTCGGACTCATCAGAGTCTGAGTCATCGGAGGAAGAAGTTTCGTCAGATGACTCGCAGCCGGGACTGGCTTCTCTGTTTGGAAATAATATCAAAGAAGAGCCAGGAGAGGCAATCACGCCTCCTTCCTCGGACGAAATGGAGGTCGATGGCGAGAATCCTGCGATCCCGGACGTTCCCGTGCCTATCCTTTTGCGCGGAACACTGAGAGAGTACCAAAAGCAAGGCCTGAACTGGCTGGCCTCTTTATACAACACAGGAACCAACGGTATTCTCGCTGACGAAATGGGTCTGGGTAAGACTATTCAGACGATCTCGTTAATCTCGTACCTGGCGTGCGAAAAGAATATTTGGGGACCACATCTGATTGTCGTTCCGACGTCGGTGATGCTTAACTGGGAGATGGAGTTCAAACGGTTTGCGCCCGGATTCAAGGTGTTGACATACTATGGCAATCCCCAGCAAAGAAAGGAAAAGAGAAAGGGCTGGAATACGCCGGATACTTTCCACGTGTGCATCACGTCGTATCAACTGGTTGTTCAAGATCATTCTGTTTTCAGGAGAAAAAAATGGCGGTATATGATTCTTGATGAAGCACATAACATCAAAAACTTCCGTTCTCAAAGATGGAAGGCCCTATTGAACTTCAACACCGAAAACCGGTTACTGCTGACGGGTACACCTTTACAGAACAACATCATGGAGTTGTGGTCTCTGTTGTACTTTTTGATGCCATCTTCGAAGGCCGACCAGATGATGCCAGACGGATTTGCCAACTTAATGGATTTCCAGCAGTGGTTCGGACGGCCGGTGGACAAAATCATACAAGGAGGAGGATATGGTGGTGGACAGGAAGACGACGAGACAAAGGAGACAGTCAACAAGTTGCACCAGGTTTTGCGTCCATATCTTCTTAGAAGATTGAAGCAGGACGTTGAAAAACAGATGCCTGCTAAATATGAGCACATTGTTTACTGTCGTCTGTCTAAAAGACAGAGACTGCTCTATGACGATTTTATGAGTCGTGCTCAGACGAGGGAGACGCTGGCGAGCGGGAACTTCCTGAGCATTATTAATTGTCTGATGCAGCTGCGGAAAGTTTGCAACCATCCGGATCTGTTTGAAGTGAGACCTATTCTGACAAGTTTGGCGATGGAGAAGAACGTGGCTAGTAACTCTGATCTGAACGAGCTCATTATTCGCAAGCATTTGAGAAGGTCCCAAACGCCTAAGGTGGATCTTAATTTCTTAAACTTGACACCAGCGGAAGACTTCACTTGGAACTCTTTCAATGTTGAGAGCTTGAAAAAAGTGTCCGCCTCCAGACAGTTCGCGGAGGAGATCCAGAAACTGGAGGAAAACCTGAAACCAGTAGAGCCCAACTTCGAAAGCCTGACCCAGTACTACGAGCACCTCAAATACAAGGAGCATGCGGAATTGATCGACCTGTTCAAACAGAGGCTTTACGTGAACAACTTCAATTGCGAAAAGAATCCCATCTACTCCTCCAATCTCCTTGATTTGGTGAAGTTTGATAGATACTCGAAAGAAAATTTCAACCAGCTAGAGGAACTCAGACTTATTCAGTCCGTGAGCACGCGTGCAGAGACGATGAATGACACAATTGAGAAATACGCATTTGTCACGCCCAAAGTTGTTACACAGAACACACTCGACTTGGAGATCCCGGAGCGTATTCAAAACGAGATAAGACAGCTTAAACTTGATAACCCGTTCCACCAAGCCCAAACCAAGCTTGCCATCACATTCCCAGACAAGTCTCTGCTTCAATACGACTGTGGCAAATTGCAAAAACTTGCCAGTCTCCTGCAGGAGCTGATTCCAAAGGGGCACAGGGTGCTGATTTTCACACAAATGACAAAAGTGCTGGACATTCTGGAGAAATTTATGAACTACAATGGCTACAAGTACATGAGACTGGACGGTGCGACTAAGATCGAAGACAGACAGCTGCTGACGGAACGTTTCAACAAAGACCCGAAAATCAAGTGTTTCATTCTGAGTACGAGATCTGGTGGTCTGGGAATCAATCTTACGGGGGCAGACACAGTCATATTCTACGACTCCGACTGGAACCCTGCCATGGACAAACAGTGTCAGGACCGGTGTCACAGAATTGGACAGACGAGAGACGTGCACATCTACCGGTTTGTTTCGGAGTACACAATCGAGTCCAACATTTTGAAGAAAGCGAACCAGAAACGTCAGCTGGACAACGTTGTCATTCAGGAGGGAGATTTCACGACTGATTACTTCAGCAAGATCACAGTGAAAGATCTTTTCGGAGAAGACTCCGAGGATGCTCCGGGCGATGAGAAGCCGCTGATAGCGAACGATCAAGGAAAGTCAGAGAACGAGCTGGCAAAGGTTTTGGAACAAGCTGAGGACGCAGAAGACGCACAGGCTGCTGAGGTGGCCATGAAGGAGGTGAATCTGGATAATAACGATTTCACCGAGGACCAGAATGTTCTAGCAAGCACAAAGAGTCCAAGCGTTGTTGGCCAAACACGGCAAAACTCTGCCGAGCCGGACGACTTTGTGAAACGAATTGAGTCCAAGGAGGATGAAGAGGAGGACGAAGACGACGGTATTGGTCACATTGACGAGTACATGATCCGGTTTATTGCTGGAGGCTTCTATTTCGATTAAATGTATATTATGTAATATTATATGAGCCGCATGATGTCATTTCGCCGACCCCAGATTTTCTTCGCAGACAGCAAGCAAACCTGAAAAGTATAAATATCTCACCACCTGCTTCAAAATAATGGTCAACCATGACTGGACCATACAAGCTCTTCTACAAAGGACAAAGCAAGGATTTCGTTGTTTTCATTGACGACAAGGATGCCTACGAGAAATATGCTCATAAGAACGATCACTCTATACCATTAACTGATGTGGTGTCCAATTTTGATATCTACACCAACCAGATGGGTCAAGGATCATCCGGAAAACTAGAGAAGGCATCGCAGACAGACCTTAGCCTGGAGTTCGGCGAGGTCAAACACGCGGAGGACGTGCTACCAACAATCTTGCAAAAAGGAGAGATCCTAAACAGCACAGGCGTAGATCACAAAAAGTGGTCTTCCACGAATGACTCGAATGGCTTCAACGCAAGATAGATCAGGGCATTCTTTAACGATTCATTTCAATAGTACAAATAAATCAACGTGAATTCGTATTTTCGAGTTCAGACATGTTCGAATGCACGCTTAGTGACTTGAAGAGCTTCTTGAAGCTGAAGCTTTTTCTGATCGAGCCAGACCCCGAAATTGTGTGGTCGGCATAAGTTTCTGTATCTGTGCATACCGCTTCATCCTTTTCGTCTGTAGACCTCATGTTACCTAATGTGTGTGCCAAATTGCGCATCGATGCAGAAGTGGAAAGCCTCGTGCTGCCACGGCCTCCTCTCACGAGCGAGCTCGAACGCGGACCAGAGGATTGACAGTTTTGGTTGCCGACGGAAGAAATGGACGAGATTGACAACTTTTTCCGCAAACTGAAGTCGGAAATGCTGCGGGTGAGTGGGGCGGTAGTTTTTGGGATCTCAGACGCCCACAGATCACCCAAACTCTTCTCGACTCTGACTCTATCCTCCTTCTTGATTGTCACCACGACATTGTGGCTGGAATAGCGGTCTCTGCGCAGAGACTCATCCGGGTACGGTGTGTAGTGGTTGATGGAAAATTGGCGAACGCTCGCTTCAAGCGCAAAAAACTGACCGTGACTTTTCTCCCTAAATGGTGTGATGTCGTCAGGAATGAAACTTCTGAACCGGAACTTTTCAAGTTCACTTCTGTGCATTCTGTGTTTTCGTTTGAAAAAGGAGTACGCAAAGTCCTGGCTTCCAATGTTGACGCGCCATTTTGCTGACACCCCGCGTAGCTTCTCCAGCCACACCTGTTTCTCTGACTCCGACGGTAAGATCGCGACAATTTCAAACTGCTTGAAATTGTACTCAAATTGGATCTTAAAGCAGTGGGGATAGATTGTGAAGAGAAGTCCTTTGGCCCCCAAGTCACTGTCCTGGATATTGAAAATCGACGAAACAGGAATGATCATTTTGACACCCAACTGGCGGTGTTTATAGGGCCTCACAAGAACTAGATGCGAGTCACAAAGAATAGAACCGAAATATTCGTACTTGATTGTTTCTTGGTGGCTCCACACGGTTGCAAAAGCTGCCACGATAATGACGTCTCCCATATTGTCGAAGAAGTAAGGGTCGTCAGATATACGTTTGAGAGAACCGCACAGCATATTCTTGAGCTTCTGGCTAGCCAGCTCGATTTTTTCACACCTGCCCACATAGTTGTTAATCTGAGTGCACTTATCAGCGATATGCTTCACACACGATTCAAGTTTATTGTTCATTCCTGGGTCAATGTCACCTTTTGACTTCTGTAAAAGCGAATCCACTATCAATCTGTATCTGGATATCCTGTTCGTGGGCATCTGGACTAGCGAGATGAACCTGATGTCTAGCTGTTGCTGGAGAAAGTAGCTGGAAGCGACGTCTTGGTGCTCCACCATGTAATCGTTGTATATCACGATTGAGCTTGTGTTGTACTGATGAACGTTTTTAGCTTCTGCAAAGACAATGACCTTTGGAACGAGCTGACAGTAAGCACTGTACGTGGGGACGCTGATGGAATTGTCGTGGATCCAATCGATGATTTTCTCAAGGTAGCACAGATCTTCAGATTTGGGGACGTGGGTTTCAAACATGGGGGAGTGGATGGATAGTCTCGAAGTCTCGGCAGAGTTTCCGCTCTTGATCCATTCGTGGTATAGTGAGACCAGTCCTTTCAGGAATCGCGTGTGTTCTTGCAGCAGGCTATCGACGACTCTCGCGAAGTTTTCGAAAAATAGCGGAATCGGCTCGCTCGCGCCAAGATAGCTTACATACACCTCTTTCAGCACCTTCAACGATTTGACGTAGACCTCTTCTGTGTTTAATAACTCTTTTATTTGCTTCTGTCTGGTGAAGGATCTCTTAAAGGCAGAGGAAGACGTCTTTTTCACGGGAGTGACGGGTGTTAGAAGACAAGTTTCTGGGCCGCCCAAGCTCTCCATCTCAAGACCAGAGCTCGGGTCCAGAGGGGCTGAGGTGTTCATAGTAATAGACGAGGTCGAGTCAAATCGCAAATCTATGTAGTCCAGAGCTGCAAGCGGTTTGGAGTCATAGTTTTCCACCTCTGAGGTTGAGTCGTTAACCGACGCCAGCGTCAAGTTGTCACTCAGGTGTTTTTCCTTTTCCCCATTTGTCTCAGGCTTCGATGTATTTGTGTCCGCATCGATGAGCGACATGGATAATGGAAAACGAGATGTTCAGCGTCTAATAGGATACAATATTGACTGGAAAAATAATTCCTGCATTCCAGCTTCTTATACTTTTGCAAGCTGCCAAATGCAAAATACTTTGATTCGCATCTTAGCAGCCAAATATGATATAACAGGAACGACTGTGTGGGAAGTGACAGATCGCACTGGTTGCCCCTTTTTTTATTTTATTTTAGGGAGCCTCGGGCTGTGTTAAATTTCTGCATTGGCTCATAATTTCGACTAAGCAACAACAGTCATGTTGGGTCTGAAATTCGCCGCTAGAAACACTCCCCGCTTCCAGTCTCTGTTCTGGAGACCCTTCAGCGGGACGTCTTTTGTGCTAAAGAGCAAGGGCAAAAGCAAGTCCAATGACGAGGAAATAAACCCCTCCGCTATATTGCAAGACGTCGACACACAGTTCCAGTCTGTCTTGGATAAGTATAAGAAAAAGATCACAGAGATCAAACTGGGCAAGGCTGACCCCCAGATCTTCAACAAATTGAAAGTCAAAGTCGAAAATGGGACCGCCTTGTTCACAGACATCGCTCAGACCACACTGAAAGGAAAGTTTCTCACCATCACCGTTTTTGACCCCAAGAACAGCAAACGGATCATCAGCGCCATTTTGGGTGCCAACCTGAACCTGAATGCTGAGGAAGACCCGAAGAACCCGCAGCTTCTCAGAGTTGCTCTGCCGTCCACCACCAAGGACTTAAAAGAGAAACAGGCCAAGGAACTAAAAGAGAATTTCAACATCTTCAGGGCCAGTTCCGCAAGCATCCGTGCACACGTGCTCAAGGACCTCAAGAAGGTACGGGGATCTGCCGACACGCTCAGGAAGCTGCTGAGCGACATCGAGAAAACACACAAGAACCACATAGAAAGACTGACTCACGCGTACAAAGAGGCAGAAAAGAGCCTGAAATAAAATAGAGCTCTCACATAGGCAATACATATGTCTGCGTATTTATTAGTATGTCTATTCTACATCAGCTAGTGGCCAGGGTCCAGATGGCCTTGCACTTCTGCCACCAGCTGTGGTCGTACCCGCCCTGGTTCAGGGCCGCAACAAACTTCCATGCCTTTTTACCATTGGCGATAGGATAGTCAACCACACTTGGGATGCTGGTGGAAATCAGGCTCGTGCGGTCGTAGCACACGGACTTCTCGTTGCACAGGCCCCGTAGTCCCTCCTCGCCGCCAAACTTGCCGTATCCAGAGCCCTTGACACCGCCGAACGGAAGCTGGCACACGTAGAACGTGGCAAAGTCGTTGATCGCCACGTTTCCGACCTTGAGACGGTTTGTAAGCTCCTCGGCATGGTGAAAATCTGTGCTGAACACAGACGATCCGAGGCCGTAGCTTGTCGAGTTGGCCAGCTCCACAGCCTCGTCGTCGGAAGTGGCCCGCAGTATAGTCAGGACAGGGCCAAACACCTCGTTTGTGGCTAGTGTGCACCCCGGATCAACGTCCACAATAAGAGTCGGCATGAAATAATGGCCCTGCGGGTAGTTCGGGTGCACATAACGCTTCCCTCCCTGCAGCAGCCGGGCTCCTCTGTCGACAGCCTCCGAAATCCACCGCTCAAGCTCGTCAAACTTGGGTCCACCCATAATCAAGGCTCCCATGTCGATCTCCTCGCTCTGGTCGATATCTGAGCCAATGCGCAACTTGGCCACCTTATTTGACAGCGTCTCCACTAGCTTTTCGTAGTACTTTGCTTCGCCAGCCACAATCACCCGCTCTATCCCAATACAGTTCTGGCCCGCACTCTGGAACGTTCCTCTCATTAAAATGGACGCTATTTTATCGACCCCCTTCTTTTTCAGATAATCCTCGCAAATCACCACTGCGTCCTTGCCACCCAGCTCCACCACCACGGGCGTAAGCGCCTCGCCGGCTTTAGCCACAACCTTTTGGGCTACTGGCCTGGACCCAATAAATGTAAGATGCGAAAGTCCAGGATGGCCAGAAAACAGATCTCCGTCCTTTCCCCACACACAGACGAGCTGGACCAGGTTCTCGTCCACGCCACACACCTTGAGGGCCGCCTTAACCACAGATATATAGTACTCGGACGACCAGCGGACTCGCTCGCTGCATTTGACCACAATGGCATTACCGGTGAAAACGGCAGCAACTATAGGACCCAAAAGATTATGAAAGGGATAGTTCCACGAAACAAGGGCCCCGACAACACCCAGGGGCTCGTAGCGGACTTCTGCTTTTTTGTACTTCATGAACAGGCTGGAACTGCCCGGTCTGCTAGACGGTTGCAATGCACGTTCTCCATTGGCCAGGATCCAGTTGATCTTCTCGAGCGTGACCATGATCTCGCCCATCGACGCATCGACCATCGTTTTCCCTGAATCCCGGCACGCTACCCGCGCAATTGTCTCCTGGTTGCGCAGAATGAACTCGCACAGGGTCCTCAAGACCTTGCGTCGTTTCACGCCAAACTCGTGGTCGGAATAGAAACTTATCTGTGCATTCTTGGCCCTCTCCACGGCATCATCTATGTCTTGTTTCGTGTGGGCAGGAAACTTGCCCAGGAATTGAGACGTTGCGGGACAGTAGCAATAGATGTGTGCTGGATCATCCGGCTGATAGATGTCTGCAGGCGTAAGTCTCCGGCCCTTCCAGTTAGGCTTTGCCTCATCGGGGACCGGGACCTCAAACTTACTAGGTTTCTCGACCCGTTTGCGTGTCTTGCGCGCCAGAACCAAAAATATCGGGGCCAACCCGAGTAGCAACGATAGCGATATCTGTATCGGAAATATCGTGCCCCGGGCCTTTTGCTCGTTATAGTACTCGCTGGACGAATTAATCCAATGGTTTGCCAAGTCTGTCAAGTCCAGTGAGTGCAGTGTCTCGTTCAATTGCGAGAGCAGCACTGACAGGTTGGAAGCCATTCTGCAAAGGTGTTTATTTTTTGAACGAGAAAAAAAAGGAGCACACCCTTGGGAAGCACAGCCTGAAAATCAGAAACTTGTTGGCCTGGCTCCCCAACAGCGTTACTCTTCCTCGCTGACTTCGTCGTCCAGTCCCTCCAGCGCCTCGTCAAATTCCCTGTCAAACTCGAGGTCTTCCTCGGAGACGGCTGATTTCGGCGGATCGCGGTTTTCGGACTCTCGCCGTTTGATCTCCGGAAATGACTCCTGCGCTTTTGAGGGCTTCGACGAACGAGTCGATATGGTTCTTGTAGACGGTTCTCTTTTCTGCCTCGCCCTGGCCAGCGACGGCGCCGACAGAGGACGCGGCCGTGGTGCTGTAGCTGGTTTCCTTATCTTAGAAGCCTGCTCTTTTCTCACCTCGCCGCAGGCGTGTTGGCTCAACAGCGTCTTCATCCGCTGCTGCAGCTTCTCGGGCTCCCGCGACTTGCTCATTTTCACCACAGAGTCCAACCTCTCGAGACTAAACTCGCCTGCCGTCTCGTTGTAGATCAATACATGATCCGAGTGTCCGTGGCCAGCGGGCGGCCGCTTGCCTTCAAAAAACAGCTTGGACACACCGTCCTTGGCCGAGGACTCCAGAATATACTCGTCATCGAAGTTCAAGAGCATCGATTCGCCGCTTGAGTCCAGAGTGTCTGGACGAAAAGTGTCTACAATTAGCACGAACGCCAGCTCGCATACTTACACCTGATTCCAAAAAAGCGCTGCAGGTCGGCGTCTCCAAGCGCCTGGCCCACACGGAGGTCGTACTCGCCGTCTGGAATTTCGCAATTGTCCATTCTCCTAGCAATGTCACAGATATATTAATTCGGTGTGGGGATTATATAAGCGAGATCAGCGAATGGTGCTTTCGCTGAGCATTTTGATGCTGGTAAACCCAACGCCGAGCGAGCTGTCGATGTCGGAGCGCATGGCGTTCTCCGATAGCGGGCTGAACACCTTGAGCGAGCGCACATGCGAGTCTTTCCCGTTTTGGTGGTTGGAGAGAAAGCATATTTTTATGAGGTAGCATTTGAGCAGATTGTCGCTCCGAACCCCTTTGAAGAACACATGTTGCCAGCCAGAAGGCTCGAAGAACTCTTTGGACGAGACCTCCATCAAGTCGTGCTCGCCCGATCCCGCAAGAACGAGAATTTTCGACGGCGTGTACGACTCGTCCAGCTGATAATTAAAGTAGAAGGAGAGTCTTTGCACCGTCACTCTTTTTGTGAAGTGTATGGTGATGAAGTGCGGCTGCTGGCCGTCGGACTGCCAGTAGCTGAACGGCGAGTCCTCGCGCAGCTCCTTGATACCGTAGCCCTGCTTGTACGTCGAGACCCCCCACGCGGCAAGATTGCCGATGTCGATCAGTCCCAGATGTTCGAGCTTGCGTATTCCTGCGGTGAACAGTTCCTCCTCGTCGGACTTGGCCGCGTTGTTGAAATGGCTGTCTGTCTCGTAGTCGGAGCCGTGCACAGAGTCCTCCTCAAAACGCTCATCCTCAGACTCCTGCACGGGGTGTACAGAGCTGTCCGAGAAACGCGACATGGGAACAAAATGTTTATTCAGCTTTTTAATCTAGCAGCAGGTGTATTTTTTTTTGGGCAGTGCCAGATCGATCTGGTCGAACGCAAAATCGATCTGGTCGAAGTGCAACAGGATCTCGTGTCCGATCTCCGCACATTGCTGGAAAACACGCTCCACATCCTGGTACCGTCGCGCAGATGTCTCTAGAACGTCTGTTTTCGCGTCGCCAATCAGTCCTGCCGGCAGAGTCTGTGCAAACTCTACAGCCTGCCGCCGCGAGATCTGCTGCAGCGCGTGCTGGTCGGTCTTGTTGCCCACGATTAGAACCCGCAGCCGCTGGTTGTTGCAATGCTCCACGACCTTGTCCAGCCACTGCTGCAAACTGTAGAACGACTGCGCGTTGGTCACGTCGTAGACCAAAATAGCAATGTCCGCGCCGCGGTAGAACGCTCGCGTCATGGCGTTGAACCGTTCCTGTCCCGCCGTGTCCCAGATCTGCAACTGCAACTCGTCTCCAGCCCTGGTTTTGACAGCTTGCGACAGGAAATTCGCACCAATAGTGGCTCGGTAGCTGCTCGCAAAGTAGCGCTGCACATACTGCGCGCGCAGAGACGTCTTACCAACGCCTTGGTCTCCTAGTAAAACCACCTTGAGAGACCTTTCGGCCATGGCATACAAAAGAGAGTATTTTTCTACAAAACAATCGTCGATCGACGCGTCCAATTTATTATCATCCGTTATTTTCTACAAAACGCTCTAAGTCTATCATTCCTGCGAAGAAAGGTAGTGCTCCGCTTCGAGAGCAGCCATGCAGCCGGTTCCTGCAGAGGTGATGGCCTGTCTGTATATTTTATCTTGGACGTCACCCGCGGCAAAGACACCAGGGATGGACGTCTGGGCAGTTCCCGGCTTGGTCTTGATGTATCCAGTCTCATCGGTCTCGAGCTGGTTCTCAAAGATCTTGGTGGCCGGAGTGTGTCCGATGGCATAGAACAAACCGTTCACGGCCAGGGTGGACTCCTCGTTGGTCTTGACGTTCTTGATTTTGAGACCGTTCAAGAGCTTGCCGTCTCCCAGAGCCTCGAGCGAAACCGTGTTGAACAGAATTTCAAGCTTGTCGTTGTTCTTCACACGCTTCTGCATAATTGTCGAAGCTCTCAGGTGGTCCTTTCTCACAAGCAGATACACCTTGGATCCGTACTTGGTCAAAAACAAAGCCTCCTCACAGGCAGAGTCTCCACCACCAACAACAGCCAAAGGCTTGTTTCTGAAGATAGGAACTGCACCGTCGCAAACGGCGCAGGCAGAGATTCCCTGTTGCCAGTAAGTCTCCTCTCCTGGCAGATGGAGTCTCTTGGCAGAGGCACCGGTGGCAATCACAACGGCATCGGTGGTGATTGGCTCAGCATCCTCGTTGAACTCGGTCCATAGCTTGAACGGCCTCGAAGAGAAGTCGACCTTGGAAATGGTCTCTGTGATAATTTCAGTGCCGAATCTCTCAGACTGAGCTCTCATTTGCTCCATGAGCTTACTGCCGTTGATGCCCTCTGGGAATCCTGGGAAGTTCTCAATGTCGGTGGTGGTGGTCAATTGTCCTCCAGCAGCGATACCGTTGGCCATCATACCTTCGTACAACACCGGCTTCATCTCTGCACGAGCTAGATAGATAGCAGCGGTGTGGGCTGCTGGGCCAGAGCCAATGATTGTCACTTTGTTATGAACCATTCTTGTTTGCTTGATATAATGAAAGGATGTATTCAATCGTCTAAGAGAAAGGAACATGCAATAGTTTAAATATTTTTCACGTATTTCAAATATTTGTAATCCGCGAAACATCTAGATCGGCGGCGGTGCGTGGCGGTGCAATATTTTATCGGATGGCCCAGAGCACTCTATCAAATGATGTATTAGGTAATATTACAAACGTCTGTGGCCAGCACCGGTTGGTGCATGCGTAACGAGTGGGTTGTGCTGGCTGGCCCGTCAGTTTTCGCTAATCAGTTTTTTGCCCAGAACAAACTCCTTCACCTCTTTTCGACAGCAGATGGCCGGGTTCAAGACGACACTGCTCAGCCAGTATTCCAGAGACTTGCGCCGACTCTCCAGAAACGCAGGATCGAATCTGTCCTGAAACAGGCCGGATCGAGGAGGGAACTTGGGCAACTCTGTTTTTTCGGTGTACTTTTCGAGCTTGTTTCTCAGCTCGTCGAAATCGTTGTATCGCTTGCGGATCTTGAACCGAGCACCTCGGACCGTCTCGAACTCGATCGTCCACAACGCGTACTTCCCTCCGTTTATTCCCTGAATTATGGTTGGCTCTGCAATCGTACAGTTCGCACACCAGATCGAATCGCCAGCAAACAGCTGTTCGTCGGAGTTATTTTGCAGTGTGATTGGATGCGGCACCAATTTTGCCAGTTCGCCCAAATTCTGCTCCAAATGAGTGTGCTCATCTGACATGCCAAACTGATAGGTTAAAAAAAATAATTTGGGGTAATTTATTTGCATTACGATGGATCATATCAACAAATTGATACCGTTGTGGAAACAATTATATTATAAATGGAAGTCGCTGAGAACAATTCCGTTGAGAAAGAAGTTCTTTGTGGGTTACGACCTGACGGGGAATACCTATTGGGAGTTCTTTGTCGAGCGCAAGAAGGGGATTCGACCCCGCAGACTTTACCAGCCATATAAACCACGGGAGTTTATGGTCGACTACTACGAAAATGTCCCTGTCCAGTGGCTCCAGTGGCTCCGATTCACTCGGCTAAGGCCACCGACCCTGGAAGAACTGGTGGAAGATAAAATGAGAATAGAGAGAATACAGCAGCTGGCTCAGCTCAAAGACCAACAGTTACATTATAAAGAGCTAGAGAAGGACGAGGCCATAGGAAGAAGCATGGAAAAGGCGTTGAGAAACATCAGAAAATAATAGATTGCTATACATTCTCCAAGTTCTCCTTGTCGCGCTCCTTCCGAAGAGCATCTACCAACTTGCTGACTAACGCTGTGCCGTACTCGTCCAGGAGATTTTCGTCATGGCCAGGAAGCAGTTTGGTGGTTTTGTTCATCTGCCCGCGCAGACGGTCGGCTAAAGAAGGGTCGATCTCGCCGTCATCAAGGAGTCTCGACTGCAGCCTGCGCAAATCCATCACGATCTTCTCAGCTATGTCTGTTGCGGACTCGGGCTTAGGCTTGTCCAGCTTCATCCCGGCCAGACGAGAGCGGACGTTGGTAGTGGGCGAGACGTCTGATCGCGAGGAGACGGAGCGAGCTTGTTTAGCGGAGCACGTAGAGGGGGTGCGGGTGAAAGTTGGCGAGTCGTGGGCTGACAGCTTGGCAGCAGGGAGCATTGTGGAAGGAGACTTTGACGGCTTGTTTTGGATGCTGGGTTTCATCGGGGTGAGTTCCGGTCTGGAAATAATCTTCCTCACAACCTTAGCCGGCGACACCAGATCTTGAGTGTTGCTGGATGTGAGTGGCGACGAGAAAAGCGAGTCAGATCCGACGCCACTGCCGAGCGTCCAGCTGAACATGCACCCGTCGTGGCTTGCAGTCATAATAGTTTTCGAGTCGCTGTCAAATAGCAGACCGATGATGGTCTCGGAATGGCCCCATTGGGAGCTCAGCAATCTTCCATCTTTGAATTGGAATAGACGAATACATTTATCAGGAGACGAGGTGATCATCAGGCCGTCGTGAATCTCGAAGTTGTCTACCTGAAGTGGGTCGAAATTCTTGGTGAACAGTTTCATGGACCTGACGTATTCAAATGTGGTCAGGCTGTAAATGAGTATGTTTTTGTCATTTGTTGCGACAACAAGCTCCTCAGGGGTGACACCAAACGTCATGGCGGAATTTTTGATAGAGATGATTTTCTCCTGAACAAGAACAGGGCCCTCTTCCTTGATCTCAAGCTTGTGGACAGAGAGGGTGCGGTCAGAAGACAATGCAATAAGCATTTTTCTTGTAAATAGCATCTTAATAACATTTCCCTTGTGAACAGTCAGGGTTTGGAGCAGCGCCCAGCTCTCTGACCCTTTCTTCATGAATAACTGAATGGTTCTGTCGCGGGAACAAGATGCAGCAAATGCATACTTCTCAACCGTGAACAATACAATGTCATTGATGCTGGACTCATGAGCTCGCACCCTTTTTGATTCTCTGTATCCTTTAATGAAGTCTTCCCTCTTTTGCAGGAAAACCAGGGTGCCAAACCGATCACCTAACACGAGATCCTGGCCGCTGCAATCTAAAGCGCTCAGCGCATTATCAAGCAAATCTCCAGGAGGCAAAGTGATAGAATGAAGCAAGGTGAACTCTCTATTTTCCAAACGTTTCACTATACCATCTTTGGTCCAAAGAATAACTTCCCCATTGAAACAGCGCTTCAATCCGTTCAGATTTGAGGCTAGCGAGCTAATGAGGACTTTTGGGCTTCCTGTTTCCAACAGGTCCACGTAAAGAATCTGCTCGTCTTGCAGATATACCAGGGTCTCAGATTCGAACAACGGCTGCATTGCCATAATTCCCGATCGTTTGACGATCTTCGTTGGCGAACTTGGAGTTGGACGGATGGTATCGTTAATTGGAGCGGTGAAAACCTCGTTCAAAGGTATAATGTTGAGCTCCTTGCCGCCTATTATCACGTTCTCATGGATATGGTCGATTTTGAACTGGTTGGTATCGGATGGCAGTTGGTATATTTTGCGGAGAACAATGGACTCGTCCTCCAAGTTCATGATGCCCAGATCGCCCTGATCAGACATCACTATGAGCTCCGAGAAGTTGAGACAGTCAATGTCAATGAAATTCGAGTTGAGGAAGTTTTTAAGCAGCACATTTCTTCCCTTCAGAATTGTACCCGCCCGGGCTGCATCCTCTCTCCAGACCTTGATGTGGCGCAGTCCAACGGTGATGATGTGGTCGTCGTGCCAGAACAACTTGTTGACTATCGAGGAGCACTTGTTACTTCCCCTGAACACAAAGTGCTTATTGGTGAATTTCCACACTATCAGAAACCCGTCATTCACCAGTCCCAGAGAACACAGCTTTTTCGAGTCGGTGGAGAAACAAAGCGAGTTGATTCCAAACTGGTGTTCCTGGATGATGTACACTGGGCGACACGAGCAGTTTCTTGCAAGCGAATACACCAGGATCCGCGGTTGGTAGCCGACCTCTCCCACAGCAAGCAGCCTTTTGTCGGGAGAAACGGCAATGCAGTTTATAGACCTCACTTTGTTGGCCAGGGGGGACGAGCAGGCGTCATCGGACTTGCGGATCTTGAGATTTCGAAGGCTAGGAGACTCGTACACATTATCTCTTGGCTCCTCAGCGGTCAGGGGGCCATCACGGGAAACTACCTCTGGATCCCCGCCAAGCGGAAACCCGTACTCATCGAGTTTGGTTGACTTTGGTGTCACCGGCGCATTATTGGCACAAAAGAACTTCTGCCACTGTACCTTCAGCTCTTTGTCGACCTGGCACACCACAACGCCGCCGCTGGCCGTGTACGCAATATAGTCGTCCTGCGCAACAAATTGGGCGGGCGTCTCCGACGACGTACCGTAGATTTTTTCTATGCTGAGCTCGCTCATGATAGATCAACAATTGTTTATTTTTGTTTTTAGCTTCTATTTACCCTTACATAATCTACGCGTCAATGGAGTTGCCCCAGGACATAAAACATTTATATGTTCTCTGGATAGAGGAGGAGCTCCGGAAGCACCAGAATTCGGGCTCCAGACTAGCTTTCACGTACATGAGAGCTGTTCAGAGCGTGAAGCAGTGTCCGATGATGATTCGTCTGCCCTCACAGCTGAGGAGTCTCCGGTTTATAGGCGACAAGTTGGTGGCGACGATGCGCAAACGGCTGCAGGAGTACTGCGAGGAGTACGGGTACGAGATGCCAGACGAGCAGCAAGAAGAGGAACCGGAAAAAGCGGGGAGAAAACGGAGTTCTGAGAAAGACGGTGAGGGCACCAAAAAACGACGGCAACTGAAGTCCACGCGCAAGTACATTCCGCAACGCAACACAGGCGGCTACGCAATTCTATTGGCTCTGTATTTGCATGATCCGGGCTGTGACGGTCTAACGAAAGACGATATCATCAAGCATGCCGCACAGTACTGTTCGACCAGCTTCACTGCCAACCCCAGCACGGGACAGTTCTACTCTGCGTGGGGGAGCATCAAAACTCTAGAGAAGAACGAGTATGTGCAGTCACGCGGACACCCGGTGTACTATTTTCTGACGGAAAGCGGAGTGGAGGTGGCTCAAATCTTGAAAACGGTCGAGGAAGAGCAGAAAAACCAAAGTCAGGAGGGGGTCGACAGTTCGCCGATTTTACAGCGTACAGAGGACAGACAGATCGATGTGGAGCGAATAGACACGTGGCTACCTCCGTTGGCGAAAACACCTGGCATATCGGCGAATGTATTGAACGTCCCTCACGAAATATGGACCGGTGGAAGTTACGAGATAGAGCTGGTGCTGGATAACAGAGAAGTGCGGTCTCGCGAGGAGCGCGATTTCTTCTCTGAGCAGTTGCTCGGCCACGGAATTTCGACCTCTGTGCGTGCTCTGACAGTCGGCGATGGTGTCTGGGTGGCTCGTCATAAGGAGTCTGGTAAGGAAGCTGTTTTAGACTTCATTTTCGAGCGCAAAAGACTTGATGATTTTGCGTCCTCTATTAAGGACGGGCGGTTTTTCGAGCAAAAATCGCGTCTGCTAAGGACGGGCATCAGAACCATCTTTTACGTGGTGGAGGAACAAATGTCCAGCGACGTCTCTCGCTTTAGCGACGCTATCCAGACGTGCATCTCCATGTGCATCACAAACTCTCAATTTCATGTGAAAAGGACAAAAAACAGCGATGACACTGTTCTGACGCTTGCGTCCCTTTCCAAGAGGATCCAGAAATTCTATAAACACCAATCGCTGCTCGTTCTGGAACCTCGTGACCTAAAATCACAGCATGAGTATGGCCAGTTATTATCGCAGGTTTCCACCGATAACCCAGGATTTCAGTGCGTATACAACTTTATCACCTTCCAGTCACTGCTTTCAAAATCCAACATGGTATCGGTCAGAGAAATGTTCATAAGAATGCTCATGACTATCAAGGGTGTGTCCCTGGATAAAGCGATAGCCATCCAACTGCACTACGGAACCCCAAAAAACCTGATTGACAGCTACACAAACTGTACCGGCGACAAACCGCGTATGGTCCACGACGCCCTGAAAGACCAAGTTGGTAACCGCAAAATAGGGGCAGCCCTGAGCTCTAAGATCTACGAGGTCTGGGGAAAATAATAGTGACAACCGTGCACCAGAGCCTAAAAAAAATAACTCCAAAAAGCATTTATCAGACAACAAAACAAAAATATAGATATCTTATCTTTGAACCTGAAAAGCTACTCAGCAGGGCTCACGCACCGAAACAATTGGGAATACAAGAAAGACAGCAATATCGAAAATCGTGCTCACTTTTCTTAAGTGCATTTTGCAGAGTAAAACCTGTGCATACGAAGGTGTCGAATAACTAACTCATCGGCTGTTCAAGCTGAGCGGTATATGAAATAACGATCAATGTGGATAACGAAGACAAACCTGAAATATCGAACGAAGCAGAGAGTTCGGATCTCAGTGGTACTTGCATGTGCTGCATCTGTGCTTTTGTTCCTCGTGATACGATCTTTCTTCCTGGAAAGTGGTGAAAGGGTAGCAGGGAGCAATACAATTGCTGTGAGTGACGACATGGCCAAGAAAACTGCCAAGGAACTACTGGCCCAAGGAAAAAAAACTCACGAGAGTGTCCACGAAAACCTCAGCAGTGAGGAACGAGAGAAGATGCGTATTATCAACCAGCCGTCTCCTGATGACCCTAGAAGTCTCAGGTTGGAACTGGGCCACACATTTTTCAAGTCAGTGTTTAACGTGCTGGATAAAGGCATGCCAAGAGTGCCACCTCTCACGAAGTACAAGTCCCCGGAAAGAATATATCACGCAGGCTACGAAGTGATGGGTGATGGCCCGTCGTTGTCGAAAGAATATCTTTCCGGTTTTCTGCAGCTAAGTCGAAGTCAGATAAACTCGATGAAGAAGAGTCATTCCTTTGTCACGAGAAATCTCCCCGAGACGTACCCTATCGGCCTTTACTCCGGAAACGGAGTGGTGTACGTGGGAGGGGGAAAATTCAATTGGCTGGCTTTGCTTTCGATTAAAACCCTCAGGTCTGTCGGATCCAGGTTGCCTGTTGAAGTTTTGATTCCAAAATTGGACGAATTCGAAGTTGATTTGTGCACCACTATTTTCCCAGCTCTGGATGCCAAATGTATATACATGCCGAAGCAGTTGGGAGAGGAGATTAGTGGCAGATTCTCATTTTTCGGATACCAATACAAGGCTCTAGCATTGATGCTATCGAGCTTTGAAAACGTGCTGTTGCTAGACGCAGATAACACACCTTTGCATGCGCCGGACCACCTGTTCGAGACGGAGCCATTCGCTAGCACAGGTATGGTCATCTGGCCAGATTATTGGAAACGGTCCACTTCTCCTGCATTTTACGACATCGTCAACATTGAAATTGACGAGGGCCACCGGATCAGCTATGGGTTCCAAGAATACGGAAAACACACCGTTCCCAATTCCCCGCCAGACCAGGCCCCTCCATTGCACCAACTCAAGGGAGCGATCCCGGATCCTTCGAGTGAGTCTGGCCAACTCATGCTCTCCAAAAAGACGCACTCGAAGGTCATGCTTCTTGCACTGTACTACAACATGTATGGTCCAAACCATTACTATCCCCTTCTCTCGCAAGGATCTGATGGCGAGGGAGACAAGGAGACATTTATTGCTGCTGCCCATGTGCTGAGAAAGTCGTTTTACCAAGTCAAGAAAATCATCAAAAGTATTGGGAGATGGGTCGATGGCGAATTTACAGGAAGTGCGATGGGACAGTTCAACTGTCACGAGGATTATCAACTGTACAAAAAATACGAGAATACTCTTGAGCCCGTGGATGAAGTTCCCAAGCTGCTTTTCTTGCACTCCAACTTCCCTAAGCTCGATCCATGGTCTCTCAAAGTGGGCGGGGTCATCTACGACCCAGAAACACGTAAGCGCGAGCGACTCTATGGAACAGGGTATCTAGAAGCGCTGGGTTTTGATTTTGAACGGGTGCAATGGGAGAACATGAAATTTTACATCTGTGACCTTAATCTGCACCCAAAGCTTTTTTCTGACCGCAATATAGATCATGACGAGCTTTGCGCTGAAATCAAAGAGCATCTGGAATTCTTGAAAAGCACCACAGATTAATAGAAGCTAGTCATTATTCAAAAACGCTTAATTTTTCAAAATTTGTAGGAGATCGTTCCAATCGTCGATTTCAAGATATTTGACAAACTTGGCCTCTTTTTCGCTGATCTCATCGTTGATATTATACACCTTGTAGCCAAGCCGAGAAAGCGTCCTGCTGGCAGAGCCGCCCTTGATAATGATAGCTTTATCGCAGTAAATCATGCCTAGGACGTCTGTGGAGGAGTCGCCCACGTATATGGCACTATTATTCCCAACAAGTTCTTTCGTGAGTGTCAATTTATCGTAACCTGTGCGAATGTCTATGTCTGTGACGATGTTTCCTGTGCAAATATCGTTAGAATCGAATTCAAACTCGTTGACCAGTATCTGATCCGGCTGCTTTTTGAAGGACGCAAAATATTTGGCGATCATCAGTCCCGTCCAGTTAATACTCAGAACACTGAAATGTATATTAGTGTTGCATAGGTAGCTGTAGAAACTCTCAAAACCGGTTCTGATGGGAATTTTATTGACCAAATTCTCAAAAGTTGACTTTCCTATGCCTCGAAAAACAGCTAAACGAACCGCTTCATTGATCGAGCTTTTCTCGCTTTCTTTGATCGCTTTCTGGTACATTATCTCCCTCTCAAGACAGTCGCGCAAACTATATGGTTTCCCCGGTAACACTTGGTTCTGGAACCTGTTAAAGCTGTCCATGTAAAATTTAAAGAAATAGTCAAATCCATACTCTGCATCTTTCCCCAGGACATCGAAAACAACCGCAATGGTGTCTTTGGCTGTAATTGTGTCGTCCCAATCACTCACAATGCGCGATATGCCCTCAAAATGGCGTGCCAAATGCTGGTAATTTTGCACTTTATTCATGAGCGGTTTAATTGATACTATTCTCGGTAAATCAAAGTAAAAGTGGTTTCAGGTGTGATCTGTTTTATCTATTCTGCTCAACGTCAACATGTAACACATTGACTCTATCTACAATATATTTCTGTCGCCTATTTTTATCTTTACATACTAGTGCTCACCACCGGCTGTTTCCTCTATTAGGTCGTCTTTGGAACTCGTTGTAATACTGACCTTGATTTTGTCTCTGTCCGTAGCCTTGGTAATTGTTATAGCTCTGGTTGCTGTAGTTGTTGTAGCCACGGTTGTAGCCTTGATTGTAATTGTTATATCCCTGACTCTGGTAGTTGTTGTATCCCTGGTTCTGATAACTTGTTTGTGCCGGAGGTTGGTAGGCCTGACTTCGAGCCTGCTCCTGATACATGTGGATAAAACTCTTGTATCCGCCAACACGCATCGTATATATCGTGTCCCCGTGAGGACCAATGTGAGGCTTGTAGTCGATGTCGTTGCTGGCTTGGAAGTTCCTATTGTTTCTGTAAAACTTGTTGGAGCTGTATACGATCTGGTCCTTATCCTGCTGCGTCAAAAGTTTCAGATGAGGCCTATAACCTGCCAAGAGCATGGATTTGCTGTTCACCTTGGCTGGCAATCTATACTCCATGGCCAAATAAGAATCGTTCGAGATATCGAAATATTGATCTGTCGCCACGTCCAGCTCGTATTTGAGCGTGCCCTTGGGATCGAATTTGTCCATGATGAACACCTTTCCTGCCAATCCGGTTTTGTGAGCATGGATGTATGTTTCCTCCTTGTTTTTCGTTTCGTAAAACTTCAAGAACTTATCAAAGTACTTGTTTTTGCGACCTAGAAATAGCACCTCGTTGCGGTTGGTATTGCGCTCAATTTCATACTCGGTTAGCTCGGAGTACTTTTCGCGCACTGTCTTGAGCAAACGAGTCTCATCAATAAATGGAAGCAAACATATTCCCTGCCAGGCCATCTTGGCGCCGTTCATATCGATCTTGAAATCCGTAGGATAGAAATCAATGATTTCTGAATGAGGCTCAGACATCAGAGGTCTAAAAACTTCGGGTAGATTGTGACCTGAAGCAGCAGGAAGGACGCTCATCAATTGCTCGAATGGCCTAAAAGGTGTTCCCTGCTTGAATTCAACTTTGATGTCAGAAAGATTTGTGAAGTCAGCTGCAAAAGGTGCATAGTGGTAAGGATAATACCAGTTCCACGAAGGACACCCTTGGAAATAGTACAATAGCGCCCAAGAAATTCCCTCCACATAGCAGCGAACCATATCTTTTCTAATCCTCTCTATCTCTTCAGCATCGGTGGTCTCAAACTTCTGCTGGTAGTATCGCGTTTTGTAGCCCGGTTCCCAGAGCCGGATAGAGTCGGTAGTATCTATCACTTCCGCATCTGACTGCTCAGAGTCGGAGTTGAAGGCAGCCGAAGCTGATCTTTTTTTCTCAGAGACATCAATAGGTTCTTGCTCCTCAACCTCTGCTTCCTTGACAACGCTTACAGCACTAGCGTTGCCATTAGCCTCTGTGTTATTGAACAAAGCCTGCTTGAGGATATCTGCAACATTCTTGTTTGCAGCATTGGCTTTGGAAATAGTGCTGATGTTTTGGACGATCTCGCTATTGGTCATCTTTAATCCTCCAGCGGTTTCGCCCGTAGTTAAACTTGTCAGGGTCATATTCTGTGTTGGCATTATTGGTGCTTTTTCTTTGCCCTTGGTGACCGTTTTGAGCAGTTGGTTTTTCACAGCATTAGTCTGCTCGCGTTCCAGCTTACGCCGTTTGTCGTTCTCTTCTCTGCGTCTCTCACCTTCATACCGCTTACGGAAGATTTCGTCCTCTTTCTGGGCCAAATGACTCATCAGAGTTTCAACACCCTCCAGATTCAGCTTGCCATCGCAGGTCAAGTAATCCTTCATGGTTGGCAAGACACGTTTCCATATATCCACGAGGATGTCGATGCCGTTATCGCGAACGTCCAATGACGGTAAATGCGGCAAGAAATCGTTGCCAACAAAAAAACACATGAAAACCCAGTCGTCAATGGCACGTTCCAAATCGAAATTGAATGACAAGCGAGGAATGTTCAGTTCAACTTCAAGATATTCTCGTAGGACGCTCACATGAAGCCACAAAAACGGCTTTTTCTGATCTGCAGCCAAGAGTCGCTGTCGCGTGGCTTCATCCATGTTCATCTGATCGGCCAACTTCAGTTGTCTTTGGGCTTGGTCCTTTGCAAACACGTCCTCACGGAGAACTTTGAAATGAGGTTCATGCGTTGCCAGACCCAGGAAAATCAAATCGGCATCCAGTCCATAGATGCAGTGGGTGGTGTTCGGGTTGTATTCAGGGTCAGATCTCTGGGACCTGATAAAGTTCATGATCTTGTGCTCTCCTTCTCCGGGAACTGTGGCATCACTGATAATCACTTGCAAGCTGGCCCATCCAGGATCGTTGGCAAGCTTGTACGCCACCCAGTACCTAAGCGAACGTGCAAGTATGTCCATGAACGGTGTGCCGGGAGTAATCGAGTTCGAGTCCCACGATTTCTTTCCTTTGATAGCAAGGTCGATTTGCTCGCCTCGCATTTCTCTCTCGTGAATCTGCCGTTCCAACTCCTCCTGTGCCAGGGCCGCATCTCTGGCCGAACGGAACCGTCTAGACCGCTGCTGATTCATCTTTGCACGAGGAGCAACGCCGTCAACGGCGATCATGAGCAGTTTGCGCGGACGTGCCATATTGAGTACACGGTCTGTGTATCTGAAGATCTCTACCATCATCTCTGCTTCGGTTTCGGGAGGCGGTTTATTTTCTGGATGGGAACAAGGGTGGACGATACCGTTCATGTCCAGATACAGGTTATCCAGCTCTCCGTTAGGATTCGGATTGGAGTACTGGACGGGCTGTTCCACATCTCCCACCACTATGGGCTCTTCCTCTATAACCGGCGAGATAATTTTCGGGTATTTGCGCGAAAGCCATCTGAAAAGAGCAGGAACACCCATATTAACTGGTTTGTAATATTTTTTCAAAAATACATTTCAATTTATTCTTATGATTATCTCAGCCAGACAAATAAAGAGGGGACGACGATCGTATAGTGCCATGATCCGAATAAAAAATACAAAACGGCTGCTCAGCACTGCGAAATCGTCTTTCATACATGATTACTCCATCTTGCCCACCAGCATACAATACCGATTGCCGTCGAAAGAGCATCCTGCGTTGTCTGATAGTCATTCTAACATCATTCGATACATTCTGGAGATGGGAGACATTGAAGGTTTTGACTGGCAGAAAAACCTGCAGATGTTCCAGAAATATCCGATGATGACTGCGAAGAGACTCGAGAAGCGGACGAAAAGACCCTCGAACGTCAAAATGCTCTCTTCCGACTTCATCGAGGACTCGTTGTACAACCCGTCCTACGGCTATTTTGCGAAACAGGCCACGATTTTCCAGCATGACGAGCCTATCGTGTACAAAGAACTCAGTGGTCAGGACGAGTTCATGCAAAAATGGATTTCCGCGTATGATCAATACGACCAAAAAATGGTGCCCGTTCTGAAACAGAGCAAGGAGAATCACTTCCAATTGACGAAGCCGTCGCTGCAATTGTGGCACACTCCCACAGAGCTATTCCAGCCGTACTACGGCGAGGCGCTGGCGAGATATTTGCTGGTCAACTACAAGCTGAACCAGTACCCATACAACGATCTGACCATCTACGAAATAGGAGGAGGAAATGGAACGCTCATGACCAACATTCTAGATTTTATACAGAGAACACAGCCAGAGGTCTACGAGCGTACAAGATACAACATTGTGGAGATATCCTCGCGTTTGTTCGACAAGCAAATTAAGAACAAGAGTAAACATAGCCACAAGGTGCATCTCATCAACCAATCGGTGCTCGACTGGAACAAGCCTGTCATCGAGCCGTGTTTTGTTGTGGCGCTCGAAGTGTTTGACAATTTGGCGCACGACGTGGTTCGCTACGATATTAACACCCACCAGCCGTATCAGGGATACGTGTTGATCGATGAGAACAACGACTTCAAGGAGGTGTTTTCCCCTGAACTGAACCCATGGACCAAGCATTTTTTGAATCTGCGCGAACAGAGCAAATGCACAGTGTCATCGTTGAAAAACCATCCTCTAAACCAGCACAGGCTGTTGCAACAACTCAAAAATGCATTCTACCCCCTGAGAAATAATTTGTCGGATCCTGAATTTGTGCCAACCAGACTACTAAAACTATTTGAGATACTAAAAAAATACTTCCCCAACCACCAGCTGGTGTCGTCCGATTTTTCGACTTTTGACAACACTGTTCCGGGCTACTGTTCGCCGCTGGTCCAGACGATGCACAAAGACAGGATGGTCAATGTCGACAGCTACATGGTGAACCAGGGGTATTTTGACATCATGTTCCCTACTAATTTTGACGTGATGAGCGAACTGTACAGGTTGGTGGTTGGAAAGCTATGCAACACCAGCACCCACGCAGATTTTCTGAGCGTGTGGGCAGATACAGAGGTCACGACTACTAAAAGTGGAGAAAACCCGATGCTGGATCTATATTCGAACGCATCATTTCTGTACAGTTGATAAAAATCAAAATAGGCGAAGTTTTTTTTTTTTTTCTTGATTTTTTTCATGAATATGCACAATTACGTCTTACGAAGTAAAATTCTGTTATTGAAAATATGCATTACACTTTCAAGCCTTTTCTTTTAAAGGCTGAAGGGTAGCCTAAAAAGAGTTTTTTTTTGTCGTACGATCATTATGGAGAAAACTCTCTCTACCAAGGATACGACTGAGTTCAGGGACCTGTCTTCTCAGACGTCGTCCGACTCCACCAGCAAAGCTTTTTTCTCTGCTACCGATAACTACTTACCTCAGAGAAAACTGAAACCGAGACATGTGCAGCTCATAGCCATCGGAGGATCCATTGGAACAGGTTTGTTTGTCACGATCGGAACCGGACTGGTCCGTGGAGGTCCTGCCTCTCTTCTTATTGCCTTCACTTTCTGGACTGTCATTATTTTGATGCTAACAACGGCCATCGGGGAAATCGTGTGCTATTTGCCGACAGCATCTCCATTCATCGAAATGGCAGGACGTGCAGTGGACGAGGCCGCCGAGTTTGCAAGCGGATGGAACTTCTTCCTTGTGGAGGCATTTTACATCCCATTTGAGATCACAGCCTGCAACACGATGGTGCATTTCTGGAGAAGCGACTATTCCCCAGGCATTGCCTTTGCTATTCAAATTGTGCTTTACATTGCATTCAACATTTGGACTGTGAGATGGTTCGGAGAAAGCGAGTTTATTCTCTCGATCACCAAGCTGATATTGGCGGCTGGCCTGCTGCTTTTCACATTTATCGTGATGGTGGGAGGAAACCCTCAGCACGACGTGTTCGGCTTCCGGAATTTCAACATTTCACCGTTTGCAGAGTACGTCACGACCGGATCCCTTGGAAAATTTGAAGGATGGCTCGCAGCCTGGGCCAAAGCAGGCTTTGTGTGTGTTGGACCAGAATATCTCTCCATGGTTGCCGGAGAGGCCACTAACCCACGCAAGACCATGAGGACAGCTTTCAAGACAGTCATTTACAGACTGGCCATCTTCTACGTCGGGGGATCGCTGTCTGTCGGCATTCTGGTCGCCTGCAACAACCCGCAACTGATCGCATCTGTTACCACCGGAAAAACCGACGCTTCCGCATCGCCATACGTCATCGCCATTCAAAACCTCAACATTCGGATTCTACCGCATATCATCAACGTTGTGATCATCCTCAGTGCATTCTCTGCCGGCAACTCATACTATTACTGCGCATCTCGTCAACTCTATTCTCTCGCGAAGCGAGGATTTGCTCCACGGTTCCTTTGCTTGTGCAACGGCAACGGAATCCCTATTTTCTCTGTTGCCATCACCACTGTTTTCGCTCTCTTGTCTCTCTTGCAACTTGGAAAAAATTCTTCTGTTGTGCTCAACTGGATCGTCAATCTCTGCACCGGCGGGCAACTCATCAACTACGGCTGGATGACCATCACCTACATCGGCTTCTATAGGGCTCTGAAAGCACAGGGCTTCGACAGACGCGCCCTGCCATACAGATCATGGTTCCAGCCGTACTCGATCTATATTGTCACGTTCTTCGTATGGATCCAAATCTTTGTCATCGGATACACCGTCTTCCTGCCTGGCTGGTGGCAAGTGTCCGACTTCCTCTTCTACTACCTGATGATCTTTGTCAACATCGGACTGTTTGTTTTCTGGAAGCTTTTCAGACGCACCAAATTCATCAGATCAAAGGACGTCGACCTGGTGTCGGGCTTGGAAGAGGTCGAAGCCCACGAGAAGGCCATTGCGCTAGAGAAAGATACCCAGAGCGACAAATGGTACGACAAGGCGCTCTCGTGGATATTGTAGTTTGATTACAAATTCATAGATTTTTCTAGATAAGTGTTATCCTGTTTTTATTCCAGAAAAATCTGGGTCAAGATCTTGGCTGTGCTCGTTTAGTATAAAGCCCTGTGCCTGACGCCTTCAATCGACATTCTTCTTATCTATGCTTCTGATTTCTCCACCATATTGCGACTACTCCAACTGCCGTGTGTTCAGTGTTCAGCGTCGCGTGGCGCCCGCCATCCACAGACTTGAGGACGACGACAACTATTTTCTGGTGTTCGAACAGACGTGTCAGAGACCGTTTTTCGAGGAATACGAGTTTGAGGTCCGTGGCAGAAAGCTGCTTGTGAGCTGTGACAAGGACGACTTCTACAAAGTTTTCGACCTGCCCGACGACGCAGACTTGAGACGGGATATAGATATGCGCATGGTGAACGGCGCCCTGCTGGTAGCCATTCCTAAGAGGAGATCCATCAGAATCACCTTCAACACATTCGACGACTCGTTCACGGCGTCGCCTGTTTTTGTTTGCACAGGAAGACACAGCCGTTGTCAAAAGAAGCACACAGAGAGCTTCGCGGAGCCAGAGCAGCCGGAGCACGTGAAACGCATTCCTATCGAGACGCCGCAGGACGAGCGGAGGCAGACAGTGGTCGAGCCAAGTATGCCAAGCGAGCCAGTGGCGCACGGCGTGCCGAAGGAAATCAGTCGCCCAACGGCAGACCTGAAGAAGAACTATACCACCATGGAGCGCCACACGAGCCTCGCCCCAAAGACTTACTCGCCTACCGTTGAGGACGTCGCCGATGATGAGTTCGCTCAATGACCGAATGTTCAGCGTGTACATTACATTAATAACGAATTCATTTTGGTTTTCTATAAAAGCACCTAAACATTGAATTTCGTAGCAGCTAGCGTGTTACCGTTCCCGGCATAACATGGTCGTCAAGCACGATCTGGAACGCAGCGATGGACTCCGAAGTTTCGGCGCGACTAGACTGGTTGGAGATATCGGAAACAGTTCTGGATATCTCCGGCAACGTCATGGCCTGCACTGAAGAGTTCAACTGACTCGGAAAGTAGCTTTGCACATCTGCTATGTTGCTGCCTTCGATTGAAGACGACAGACCGTTTTCTGGCAATTCAATACGCGCATCCGTTGCCGGGAAGGGTTTAGCACGCAATTTCTGCACAGGGTTAATACGAATCATGGGGACAAAAAAAGGTCCCTCTTTGACTTTGAGGACTCGCCTGCTCGGAGGCAGGACGCAGTATTTCGACGTCAGCATCTTCTGAAACAAGCATCTTGCGCACTTTGACGAAGAACCCCAGCGAAAAGCCGTTTGCGATAGAGTATAATATGCCCATGTTGATAATCGTAGACATAAAATCAGGGACCCTTTCTTTTATGTACTAAAAATTTCTCCTCGGCCCGAAATTTCGGGCCTACTCAACACCGAGGGCGCAAACGAAAACGCAACACTGTTTTGCCTCACAATGATTGGCGTGGGCGACTCGCTGCTGAATATGCTGTCCTTGCGCCCGATGTAGTCGGCCATTTCGCGCTCGTCCATCGCGGAAGACTCGGCCGTCGAGATCGAGCTCCACTCGGAGGCCATGCTGTTGCCGTCGCTGTCGCCCGTGCTGACGTAATCAGACAGGATCGAGTCGAGCAGGCTTGCCCGGCGTGCGTGTGCTGGCTTGGCCAGCTGTGTGATGTCGAGCTTGAGCTGGATGCGCTTGGCAACGGTCGACCTGAGATAGCTCGTCCACAGCGCGACGAGGTCCTCGTGGCCCGGATCGATCAGGTTCTCCTTGCTTTTTCTGATAAGCCTGTCCATTTTAGCCTCTCTTTGCGACTTGGTGGTGCTGGACGCGCGAGACAGCTTCTGGACAGTGTTTGTGCGGTTTAGCGGTGGGGCCTCTGGACGGGCAGTTGGCAAGGAGACCGCAGTAGGCTCGGGTTTTCTGAGCTTCTTGCGGCCTCCAAAGACCCGCCGTTGACGAATGGTCCGCCATTTCTGGGCAGCGTGTCTCTTGCATTTGCGGATCAGCTGTCGGAGCATTGTGAGCCAGCCGACCTTGCGCTTGATGGCGTTAGATCTCTTAAGAGTGCCCGTGGAGTTGGCTGTTCGGGTGGTCAGCTGCCGGTGCAAAGACGGCTGTCTGGACGGCTCAAACGGGGCTACCGCGTTCTCAGAAGACGGGAGCGACTTGTTTAGAGCGATATTTGAGTGGCTGGATGCCGCGCTCTCGTAGCCCTCCCTGAGCTGCGGGAGCACCTGGCTGTTGCGAATATGCTGCGAACCGTCAACTTCACTCGTAGAAGTCAACGTGACACGGTTGCTGGAGCGCATGGAGGATCTGTAGCGCAGATACGGGTTATCAAAAACCGTGGTGGCACTGGACATGGTTTTTCTGTGTGTGTGCATAGCATGGACCGACTGGTCGTACCTTGAGGAGCTGACACTCTGGGTGTCGCTGATCAGCGCTCTCTGGTTGTCGATGAGCATTTCTGATGCCACAGTATCGTAGCTGGAGTCAGAATTGTTTGTAGGGTCAACCTCAATCATGGTAGAAATGGACGCAAAGCCTGTTCATCACTGCGTTATATACGCGGATGGCTGGTTTATGGCCTGGGCACAGCCAGGAAATAAAATGCAACGGTTTTTCCAACTTCTAATTTTTCCATTAATTTTTTGTTCACCAATTTAATCTATGTAAAATATCTTGGCTCGTCAAACACATGGAACCGGTGTTCGCGGACACCGTCGCCGTAGAATATTGACGGAAACCTCATGTCTGGTGGCACGTCCTTCTCGTCGATTCGCTTCTGCGAGTACGTCTCGTCGTAGTGTCCATTCACGGGTATCACAAACTTGCCGGCCTGCACCTCTGTGTCTGTGATGGTGCCCCTACTGATTCGGGCATAGCCTGTGCGTCTCATCTTCTTGTACAGAATGTACTCGCACCAACGATCGTCGTCGGTCGCGTCGATGTCGTGCATGCCTGATTTTTCGCTCACGTAGGTGTTGTAGTTGCCTTTGAGCGGATCTGTCACGAGGTAGCTCAGCAGAACCATTGGCCGCTCCGAGCTGCCCATGATGTCCGCCACAGCAAGACTCTGCAATCTGCGGTCCTCAACATCCTCCTCCTGCCCGGAATGGAACACCACCACGTCGATGAGTTCGCCGTAGCAGTCCAACGTAGCATGGATGGCCGGAGCCAGCTCACCAACTGGCGACGGGAGCAAGTGGTGGGTGGAGTTTAGAATGGGGAACTTGGACAGCAAAGCAGCTCCCCACGTATGTTTGTTGGGTCCTGGCCCAAAGTCGACGTACATCTCCAGCTCCTCTGCGAGTCTCTGAGTCAGGTCTCTGTTGCCCATAATAATTCTCTGGGTGTCAGACTCGAGCAAACCAACGACGTCCAGCTCGAGATCTTTGATCAAATCGCGCATACGGTGCTCGGACGCCCACATATCGTTGTCGAGACCAAAATGGATGGTCCAGATACCTGCTGTCATAAGTCTCGACTTCGGGTGGTACGGCTTTGGTTTCTCGAACTGGGAGCGAGCGAACGCAATCCAGCACGAGAGCAACGTCAGCAGCACCAGGTGGTTGGTCAGTTTTCTCAAAACAGAGCGCAGCTGTTTGCTGTTGATCTCAAGCGGCTGGTAGTCGTACACCAGCCCAACAATCATCAGGACGGACAGCCCTAGAACAATGTCAGACCTTTCACGCAACAACGGTCCGCCAGGAACAAAGGCATAAGCGACAACCCAAACATGCATCAGCGAGAGAATGATGGTGAAGAGGAAAGAAACGCAGAAAATGGATCCCAGAGAGGTGTGCTTCGAGACATGGTGGAAACACAACGGAGTTATGTAGCACAACCAGAATGCGTATCCCATTCCTCCAATATAACCGAGCCATCCATTGAACACGTACAGCACGACGGCGCCAAGCACACCGGCGTACGTGACTTTCTTGTAGCTATTATTTTTGTAGAGTCCAAAGAAAATACCTGCACACATGGTGATCAGGGTGAGAGCTCCATGGGGAACAGGGATAGGCCCGCGTATAGGATAGCCTTCCCAGTTCCAGAGAATGATGGTAGAGGAATCTGTGAGCATAGCGCTCATGGAGTAAATCAGCGAGCCGAAACCCATTGCGGTGAGCAAGAAGGAGGGTTTTTTTGCTCCCGTTTCCTTCTCGGAGAGTGGAGCAGCATTAGGCAGTTTGGTGAAAAGTGCAGAGACCACACCCACAACCAGACCCGTCAAGTTCCAGCCTCCAGTGTCCTTGTTCATGATTGGCCATATCGGGTTGTTAGTCCAAAATGCGAATTTTGCAATGGCTGACAATATGAGGCCTAGCACGAAGGTGGATGCGTAAGTTTTGATGGCCAGCGTGTCTTTTTGGTTCCCGAGCGTCCAGATGTCGCAACTCAGTGATATGGTGGCCAGACCGATGCCAGCAGCGGTACTAAGCAGTCTCGAAGCTGGGTCAGCGACCAAGTAGGAGCCCACGCCAAGAACACACGAAACCGCCTTAATGATCTGAGGATAAGCAGCCACCAGTTTTGAAATACCCGGGACAGAGAGAAGAATAGGAGAAAGCAGGGTCAGACAGGCAGCTTCGTAGCCCGAAATACCCATGTGCCACAGAGGAAAGTACCAGATCAACAGGAACAAAGATGAGTACATGGACCAGAAAATAAACGCGTTGATCACGTCAACTGTGAGCTGAAAAAGAGAGGCACCTTGCTGGGTAGGTTTAGCAAGCAGTTTTTGCTCCTTGGCAGAGATCGTGGATGTTTTGAAGCTCGTGGAGAACATAGTGGCATCTTTGGAGGTGGAAACAACCTCGATGGTGAGGTCTCTGAAGTCGCAGATCGACCAGGCGTCGAATCCGATATCCAGAAGAATTAGCGACCACTCGCAGTACGCGTAGTAGGAGTATGCTCCTGGAACCTTGTGCACCTTGTGCTGGATAAAAAGATAGATTAGCGGCACAAGCATGAAGAAAAAGGCATATGCCGTATACTTTCTGTTTCTTCTGATCTTGGAGCCGGCCGGTGACAGCTTGGTGACAGCCATGTCCCAGGGAATGGTTAGAATGATGTACGAGATCATGAAGATATCGTGGAAATCGTGGTCGTCAGTGGAGGTGATGTAGACCCATCCTCCACAAGTGACAGTTCGGATCACACCAGTCAAAAGGCCCAGCATCGGGTAGATCGAGTTCTGTCTGTAGAGCACAATGTAGCTGATGAAAAGCAGCAGAAACCTCGGCCCAGACGTGAGAGCAATCAGGATCTGGAACACAGACCGCTCTGGGTACCGGTCTCCGATGGTGGCAGACACGCTTGGGAACCACTCATCGGGGTAACCGTAGTGCTCGTTCTGGACGATCTTGTAGAAATGGAGCCAATAACCAACACCTAGAGCTGCCAAAAAGGCGGCCAAGGAGCACACCGTGTGAGCTATAGCAATGCACTGCGCGTTGAAGCTCAACAACGGCTGGGCAGTAGACGAGCTGGCCATTGCAAAACAAAGTTGGACACTTGAACAGAAAAACAAAAATGCTCCTGGATCGAGAAAAAGACGTACACCCTTGCACAGAACGAGTGCAATCAAATATTTTAGGGAATATCTACTTTTACCCCTCAAATATGGCAGGTAAGTCATCATCGGCCACGATCTAATGCCAGTCAAACCGTTCAAAAAAAGCCCAGACGTCTCATTCGACGATATCGACTACCGCGACCCGCTAGAGCTGAAGAAGGCGCAGGAGTCGCTTATGAGAGAGCAGTTCATCAAAGTGGAGGTGCTCAAGATCGTCAGAAAGGCTCTGGAGAACTGCTTCAGAGTCAACGGCCCCAACGCACACGAGGAGTGCCGCAACCTCGCCAACAGATACCTGGATCTGCTGCCGGAGAGTCGCGCACAGGGATTTTTGGGCTACCAACGCAACGACCCGTCGAAATAGCGGTCTGCCAATGCTGGTTAAATTGGCATTGCGTGAATCACCTTATTTATTCTATTTATTTATTAACCGTGTGGTTGTGCAAGCCCGCCTGCCCGTCTAATTTCCGAGATACGCAATCACCAGATTTGCTCGAATTAATTCGTGCTGCTGGAAAGCAAGCGTTTCGGGCGTCCATGGACGGTTTCGTGTCCATTGAACCAAGCGAGGCGTAGACCGAGTCGCCAGCAGGAAGCCTAAGGCCCCGGCCACTGCCGTCCGCGCACGTCTCGATCTCTTGCGGCTGTTCCGGAAAACACCCTTGCACCGCTTCGGAGAAGAGACGTGCTGCCACCACCTTGTATAAATAGTGTCATGACTCCCTAAAAGTTTCGGAAAACATCGTTTCGAATATTCTACAAAATAATGTCTCTTGCTAACAAGCTATCCGTCAAGGACCTCCAATTCACAGGTAAAAGAGTGTTCATCAGAGTGGACTTCAATGTTCCTCTTGATGGGGACAAGATCACCAACAACCAGAGAATTGTTGCTGCTTTGCCAACCATCAAGTACGTCTTGGATCAGAAGCCAAAGGTTGTCGTTTTGGCCTCCCACTTGGGCAGACCAAACGGTGAAGTCAACAAGAAATTCACTTTGAAGCCAGTTGCAGGCGAATTGGAGTCTTTGCTGGGTAAGAAGGTCACTTTCTTGCCAGACTGTGTTGGACCTGAGGTCGAGTCTGCTGTCAACGGTGCCACCGACGGCGCTGTCATTCTTCTGGAGAACTTGAGATTCCACATTGAGGAGGAGGGTTCGAAGAAGACGCCAGAAGGAAAGGTCAAGGCTTCGAAGGAGGACGTTGAGAAGTTCAGAAAGCATTTGACCGCCTTGGCTGACGTCTACGTCAACGACGCTTTTGGTACCGCCCACAGAGCTCACTCGTCCATGGTTGGCTTTGAGCTGAACGAAAGGGCTGCTGGTTTCCTGATGGCCAAGGAGCTGGAGTACTTTTCTAAGGCTCTGGAAAACCCAGTCAGACCATTCCTGGCCATTTTGGGCGGTGCCAAGGTGTCCGATAAGATCCAATTGATCGACAACTTGCTCGACAAGGTCGACATGCTGATCATTGGTGGTGGTATGGCCTTCACTTTCAACAAGATCATCAACAACATGAAGATCGGAAAGTCTCTATTTGACAAGGACGGTGCAGAGATTGTTCCTAAACTGGTCGAGAAGGCAAAGAAGAATGGCGTCGAGGTCATTCTTCCTGTTGACTTTGTCACCGCCGACAGCTTCTCTCCAGACGCCAAGACCGGATACGCTACTTTGGAGGAAGGTATTCCTGACGACTGGCAGGGACTGGACGCTGGCGAGAAGTCCAGCAAGCTTTACGCTGACGCCATTGCCAAGGCCAAGACCATTGTCTGGAACGGACCACCAGGTGTCTTTGAATTCGAGAAGTTTGCCAATGGAACCAAGTCCATGCTGGAGGCTTGCGTCAAGAGTGCCCAGGCTGGAAACACCGTCATCATTGGAGGTGGTGACACTGCCACAGTTGCCAAGAAGTTTGGTGGAGCAGACAAGCTGTCTCACGTTTCTACTGGTGGAGGTGCTTCTCTGGAGCTTCTGGAGGGTAAGGAGTTGCCAGGTGTGGTTGCTTTGGGAAACAAGGCATAAACATTAAATTTATATATTGAGTGAGTGAAAAAAATAAAATCTAATATAAACAATGGATCGAGGGGGTAAGCGAATGCCATTGAGCGAAATTACCGGCAAGTTGAGTCTCAACAGGCGGCCGGCTCGTGTGTTGAAACCCAACCAGCTGATGGTGCGGCCTTCCAAAAACGCCAATCGCACGATCAACGTGGCAAGCCTCACCAGATCGTATGTTCACAAGGAGACACAAACACGCACGAAATCCAGCATTGACGAGATCACGCGCCAGATCAGTCTACGACATCGGTCTCCCGGTTACGAAGGGGCCCCTGCGCGCCGCAGCGGCACGTTTTCCGGGGTTCTGACCGATCAGCTCAACGATTATCTGACAAATATACACTCTGGGAACGCAGTTTTGGGATACGACCAGCCGCTTTCGAAGGAGCGATTGCCAACCGTCACGGTTTCGCGCTTAAACGAGATTTCTCCGCGGCTGAGGCTCGTCGAGATCGACCACGACCGAGTGGTGGCTTTGGCGTGTTTCAAGCCCGTATTCAACGTCAGGCTCAAGGAGAGCGATCGCGTGCATCTAGGGTCCGCATTTTACGATATTTGGTTTGAGGGAACCACAATCAAATGCTATTATCGTTGGTATAAAGTCATGAGACATTAGTTTCCGGCCTTGGCCAGAACCGCGTCCAGCTCGCTCTTGTGCGCGGAGGCGTCGAATGATGGCCACAGTTTCAGGTACGGAAGGTAATTGTCCACAAAATCCAGACATTGGGCTGGCGTGCCCTTTATAGACAGGAACTTGAGTGCAGCCTGGACAGGAACAAAGTCTTCGCGTTGTAGTGCCGCTTCGAGCACTTTTTTCATATAAACCCAGTTTCCGCGGTTGGCGAAGATGGTGAGGAACAACAGGTCCATTTTCGTGACGAACGCAGCGTCCCTACGCTTTTGGTATAGCTTGTGGCACAGATTGTACAGCCTGTTGACCATCGGAGAATATCTGAAGTGGACGTCGGAGTCCTGTGCCGTGGAGGCAAGCGTGACAAAGCCATCAGCATCGATCTGCGACCCGGCGACCACCAGCACGGGCAACAGCTCCTGTACGTCTTTTTCTGTGAGCACAGGGCTGAACGTCTCGATAATGGAAAAAATACGAGCATATCGTTTTTCGAACACCGCTGCGTCTATTTCGAGTCCTTCGTGGAACTCGGCCGACTGCAGCACGACCTCGATCAGCTTGGATATTTCTCTGGCGGTCACGAGTCGGCCGTTGGCCTGTTTGGACTTGAGATGGTTCTCCAGACGGTCCAATGGACAGCTCGCAGGGTCTGCGAGATGCTGCTCTTTCAGCTGCTCGAAACGGGCCGCTGTCTCTGTGCCGGAGCTGCTAGAAAATTGGGAGATTTGCGTGAGGACTTGCAAAGCAGTCGTTGGTTTTCGCATCGTGTGCATGAACCTGAAGCCCGAAAAAATGCTATCGTCCTCGACTGCCTGCGGCTTGTTTTCGTACTTTGTCTTGTCCTTGGCCCACAGAGCCTCAAGATTCATGGCCGCGCGTCTCTCGGACGTCATGAAGTGCACAAAGATGTTGTCCTTCTTGCAGTCCACCATCACCCAGGTGTTGGGTTCCGCGCCATAGTCGTTCATCGCATAGCTGGGGCCCTTCTTCCCTCTCTTGAGCAGCCTGCGCCGGAACTTGGCCAGTTGGCCCGTCGTGAGCAGCCCCTCGTGCGTCGACAGGCTCTTAAGCTGGTGCTTGACGTAGAAGTTGAGCTCAAAGGTGGCCTTTTGCAGATGCTTCGGGCTCTTGCCCGTGGCTATGATCATGAAGTCGGCGACCTCCTGGGCGCCCTCGTTGGAGGCCTGCTCGCCGTCTGAGCCGCGCAGGTCGAACACCTCAATGTCGGTCATTCCGAGCTTCTGCGCCACAAACTCCAGCAGCGGCTGCAGAGTGTCTGGCGAGTTGGCAGGAAGCTCGGGGATCCGGGTCTGGTTGAGCACGGCGGGTGCCTGTGGCGTCTGGCGCAGATACCACGGCGTGTCGGCCGAGTTCAGGCGCACGCCGAAGCGGGCGCGCGGACGGCAGAGTGTCGGGAGGGCCCTTCGAGCACAGACCAGTAGCATAGTTGTGTTTGATTTTTTATATTTTTCACTCTTTGCGGTATACGTGTGTGCCGCACACGACCTTCATATCTGAAAAAAATAAAGCAGTACGATAGTGACAAGACAAAAATACTCATCTTGCCACTGTCTCGCACGGGCTACCTCTTTAATTCAAGCTCGGAACACTCCCCACACCCAGAGACTGTCTTCCATTTGCATGGAAAAAGAGCCGGCCACTGCGGACGATCATCAGAACAAACCACACACTCGTATGTCAAACCAGGATCCTGCTGTGGATAAAGTGGCAGACATGGACCCCGGGTCTGGGTCCGGGCCAGGCACAAACTCGAGCGGCCAATTTGCGTACGAGTACTCCAACTGGCGCGACAACGGCGAGTTCAACTTCTACACAGACAACAATCTCCAGCTTGACATGGGCACACAGCAGCCGTTTGTGCATACGTCACAGTCCAACATGATGTCGCCGGCCAACGCGGGGTCGGTGATCACGCCGGCGTCGCCGGCCGAGTACGTGATGCATCTCCAGCAGTACCAAAATATGATGCTGGAACAAGGGATAAAGGCAGAGAACGGAAATAATGGCCCGGCGGCTGGCGCAAGCGCCGCCTCTGTGGCTCCTGGCGGGCCGCCGGGCTCTGCAAGCGGGTCTGGCCAGTTTATGCCGTTCATGCCGCCGTTCATGAACCCGCAGGCCCTGATGGGCCAGTACTCGGGCGCCGTGCCAGGGCCCTACCCCATGCAGCCGATGCCTATCGCGTATCCTGTGCCCGCGAAAAGCGAGCCGCCGCAGCCACGCACCAAGGTCAAGCCGTGCGACCACTGTAGGCGGCGCAAAATCAAGTGCGTGATGGTGCCGGACTCCAACACGTGCAAGATGTGCCAGAATAAAGGGATGAAGTGCACATTCATAGATGCCGGCACGGGCGGCACGAAACGCTCGTTCTCGAGCCCGGAAAACGACGCCAAACGCCACAAGTTCGAGGACCCGTCCATCGTGCCGCCGCCAAACGTGCCGCTGCGCGAAACGCTGCCGATCAAGGACTATGCCACCATGCAGGGCCACTCGCTGCTGAAGAAAACGCTCAGCCTGCAGTACCCGCGCTCGAGCTTCTACGTGGGGCCCACGTCGATCTACGACAAGCTGTTCCTCGAGAACGTTGTGCTGGACAAGATCGACCAGTTCCAGCTCAACAAGGCCTACTCGATCCGCAAAGTCGCCAACGATGTCCAGTTCACGCTGCGTGACGACTTCTCCGAGGATTTGTACGAAAAGTCCGAATGGGACGTCGACAGCGTCGAGCGGTACGTTGCGCCGCACGGCCAGAAGCTCATCGACCTGTATTTCCGCACCGTTCACCCGTCGTTTCCAATACTGCACAAAAAAGTCGTTCTGGAGAAGTACTCCCGCACGCACCGCGAGTTTGGCGCCCCGCTGCTTGCCGCGCTCTACTGTCTGGCCATCCAATGGTGGGACTACGACCCGCACCTGTCGCAGTTCCCCAAGCCCAACGTGGTGTCGCTGCACAAGTTTGCACTCAAGACGTTCTCGGACGTTATCCAGCGGCCCAAGCTCAGTGCCGTGCAGGCGGGCCTGCTGCTGCTGCAGTGCCGCTCGAGCGGGTCGCAGGACAATAACTGGCTGCTGTGTTCGCAGGTGGTGGCTTTGGCAGAGGAGCTGGGACTGGGACTGGACTGTGCCAACTGGAGGCTCCCGCGCTGGGAACGAGGACTGCGCAAGCGGCTCGCATGGGCCGTGTACGTCCAGGACAAGTGGTCGTCGCTCGTGGAGTCGCGGCCGAGCCACATTATCGAGGGCAAGAACTGGCAGGTCCAAATGGTAGCCAGCGAGGACTTCCCCGACAAGGGCGACGCAGACCAGCAGAAAGACGGCTCTGCGGACTACGAGAACGGAGAGGCGCTGTTCCGGCAGCTGATCACGCTGAGCCAGATTCTGAGCGAGATTCTGGACGCGTTCTACACCATGCACAGCATGGAGACGGTGACGACGATCGACGAGGTGTTGAAGCTGGCCAAGCCGCTACAGCTGAAGCTCAGGAACTGGTACCACTCGCTGCCGGAAACGCTGCAGATGAACACGCTCAAGCCGCGAAAGTTCAACTCAAATGGCTACTTGCAACTGGCATACTTTGCGACGGAAATCACCTTGCACCGTCGTATTATTTCCGCTCTCCACGCCCAGAAAGACGAGTGCCAGCCAGAGCTGGTGCGAGTTTGTCGCTCGGCCGCACAGGCGCGTCTGACGGCGTCGATCGAGTTCACACGCAATCTCAAGCCCGAACACATCCAGTCGTTCTGGCAGTCGGCAGCAGTCAACAACTTCGCGCTGATCGGCATTTTTGCTACCATTTTGTACGTCACCAGCGACTCCACAGAGGAAGCCAACGGCTTCAAGCAGCAGCTTTTCGACTACCGTTGGATCCTCAAAATCAACAGCAAGAGCTTCGACATAGCCGGAGAGGCCCTGTCGAAGATCGACGGACTGATCAAAAACATACCGGGCCTGATGGGCGAATACAAAGACCCGTCCACGGCGGTCCCCGTGGAGACAGAGGCGGACGGCGAGTCGCAGTCGGAGACTTCCCAAAGCGAACGGAGCGACAGGGCCGCCGATCAGAACGACAAATAGCATGCGGGGCCTTGTAAACGTTCCTATGTACATTAGCATCCGGCTAAAATAACTATCATAAATTATTTAGTAGCTTCATAAGAAACTCTTCACCTCGACGTCCTCCTTGCTCTGCTGAGCGCGCTTCTTGGTTCCGCGAACTCCCGTGAACTCGCTCTTCGGAAGCCCGAAATACTCAAAGCGCTCGTTCAGAACGGCCAGCTCGCTCTCCACGTCCTCGACCCGCATGTTCCCTTTCTTGAGCTCCGCAATGATGTGCTCGAACTTCTTGAACCGCTGCTGGTAGTTGTCGTCCATCTCTTCTATGTGATTCTTTTCTCTCATTATGTTCAGCACGGACGATCCCGCCAAAGTGATTAGAAACATCTGCCAGATGGTCATCCGCAACGACCGTCTCGTCAGGGTCTTTTTGAGCTCGCTCTCCTCTTTGGACTCTCCCTCTTTCTGGCTGGGGTTTGGCTGCTGGCCCATCTGCTGGAAGTACGCGGCCGACGGGCGCTGAATCGGCGACGTGCTGTAGCGGCGAATAGCGGGTAAACAGGAGCGGATCATAAAACAGTTTTAATTAACTTTTGACAACTTCTATATTTTGACTATTTTTCTTGTGCGATTACATAAGCGCACAGGCTACCGCTCCTCGTCAACGAGGTCGTCGATCTCACGCGCGTCGTCGTCGTTGGCGTTCACGTCGAACAGCGACTCGTCCTCGTCGTCGATGATGCGGTCGCTGAACGACGCAAACCGTTCGTAGTTGTCGAGGCCGCCCCTTCTGAACCGCGAGAAAAGGCCGTTTTTCAGGAAACTCGAGAGCCGGTGCTGCAACGCCACCACGGCGCTCACAAACACAAGACCGCCCCTCACGACCTTGTTCACAGCGCGATCAACAGGCGTCTCCTCAATCAAGTGCAATTCCTCGTCCTCGTCGAGACGGATCTCTCCAAATCTCGCAAAGCCTCCATTACGGCGGATTCCTCTGTCGTAGACGAAGGTGGCTGCTCCCACAAAGGCGGCAATCGGCGCGAAAATCACCCAGAAAAGACCAGCCCCGTGCAATCCCGAGCCGTACTTGTCCCTGTACTGCTCCTTCTTGCCCGGACATGGATGGGAAATCCACTTGTCCAGCTCTAGTCCCTGCTCACAGGTACTCATTGGTATTTTCCTGTATCCGGTCGGCTCCCAGTACTCGACCTGGTCCTGGTTTAGCTGGCAATACTCTATTGGATCCTCCGGCTTGAGGCCCTTGATCAGCTGGCACGTGCCGTCGGCGGCCAGCACAAAGTTATAGTCGCACTCAAAATCGTGACGCGTGCACTTGCAATTTTTGGTCTTCTTGTACAGCTTGTTCAGAGGCGCAGCACCGACAAAACAGTCCGACTGCGACGCCTTGCGCCTTGGATACCTGGCCTCGTGGCCAAACAGACAATTGTCCGACTGGTACGGGTGTTTAGGCAACCAGTACTCGTAGTCCGTGAAATCGGCCAGCTCGCTGTGGTCGTTCACCACCAACTCACACTGGCGCCGCTGGAGACCGGCAAAGTTCAGACTGTATACCTCGTCCCGGCCGGCATCGTCCTTGGCCAGCAGGATGAACTTGCGGGACGTGTCCGAGGGGACTGTCGCAATGTCCCAGACGTTCGCTGGAGACTCTGCAAACTGGTAATCCTGCCAAGTCTGGCCCTCGTCAAGAGAGTACGACACCGTATTTGTGAGTCCTTGCTTCACCAGCACAAGAATCGTGCCCTGGTCGCCAAACTCCCACATGTAATTGCCCTTCTTGACTTCTTTCCATGTTGCTCCAGCGTCGTTCGAGAAGAAAGTGGCCGTTTCCGGCGAGCTGTACGGCAGCAGTGCCGTGCCGACGTTTCCAACTCCAAACAGCAATCCAACAGCCGAAGCCGACGAGTACGTATCTCTGGACGGATCGTTTCTTTCGGTAAAGGAATGCAAATTCAGCGTGCACTCCTTCTTGCCGCTGCACTTGTACTTGTTGCCTTCAGAGTCCACAGGCGGCGGAACTAGATAGTCCCACTCAGCGCCGTCGTTGTAGGTGATCATGGTCTTGACGGCCTTTTCGTCGCCGTTACGCACCACGGCGTCGTAGTTGGCCACAACGTTGACCGTAGCTATGCCCTCCAAGCTCTGCACGCTCTCAAAGTCCACAAACGCAAACTCGTTGCGGTTCACGTGAGACAGCGACTGAACATACAGCGTGCCATTATAGTTAGACTTCAATAGAGCGCCAAACTCGCGCTGCCAGGCCGAGTGCGTGGTCACGTGCAGGAATATCTGGTCGGAGTTGACGTCCAAAATTGTGTACGCTGTCTGTCTGGTGACCATGACGTCCTTGGGGAACTTGGCCTCGGCGAAAACCTTGCCGTCGGCAGAAACAAACGCCGTCAGCGAGTTGTCGTCGTCCAGCCGTGCTACCACGAGGAACTTGCCTGTCTGCGCAAACCCTACGATCTTGTCGAACAGCGTTTTGCTGTCCTTTCGGAAGTAGTCTGTGCTGGAGATTAATCGCAGAGCCTGGCGGTCCTCGGTGAGTTGGTCGCACACTATCAGCGTCTCGTTGACGGCGTATTCTTTGTCGTCAAACAGCGAGCCGACGTAATTGCACGTGTTGGCATCGGCTACCAGACGCTCGAAAGATTCGCCGAAGTTCTTCGTGTGATACGTCTCCACCACACAGCTGCTGGAAAACAGGTTTGCACAGTTCCGTTCAGCACGCACGATAAATTCTGAGGCATTGTGTTTGTTAAATGTCAGCGAGAGTCTGTCGAACTCGCGACCCCTGACCGGCAGCGTGCACTCATAGAGCGAAACTCCTCTGTCGGGCGAGAAAAAGAGCGCGTCCGCCTCGGTCAAAATGTAGACATGGTCTGCTTTGTAAGGGTTGCTGTACACGCCTGTGACAATGTGTTGGCCGCCCAGTAACTTGCCAAACGAGGAGCCGCCGTCAAAAGAGACGTACAGAGACTTGCTCTCGGTGATCACAAAAAGTGTCTCGTCCGGAAGACCGTCTGCGTCGTAGTTGAGATAGAAATACTCGGCGACTCTCTCGCCCAGTGGAATGTGGGTAACCTTCACAGGAGCCGTCATGTTCTGTAGATCTTTCTCGCAATCGAAAGTAAAGTCATCTTTCTGTATCTCGTAACCACCCTTTGGATCGCACGTGTCGCCCGGAATCATCTGCCTCGTCGTGATTTTGATGCTGCCCTTCTGGTTGGCGCACTGATTCGCAGCTAACACCTCCAACACCGGCTCACACATATCATTCTCGCCTTTGATGAAGCCAAATGTGCATTCAGTGTCGTCAACCGTGCACTTGCAAGGCTCCTCTATAACTTTCAGGTCCTCATACGGATGGTTCACAAAACACTCCGCCTTTTGCTTCCGTCTTCTAAACTTCTCCTTGTGTCCCAGAACACAGACTGGAGTGTCGCTGTCTGGGAGCTTTCTGGCGTACCAGTCCTCAAAATCGTCGTCAGAACACGTTCTCTCGAACGCGCCCGTAAAGTCTATGGCGTACAGAATGACCTTGGAAAACGAGGAATCCTCTCCGGTGACGAGAACCTGCTGCGTGCTGCCGTCCAGAGACGTGAACACATCGAGCGGCAGTATATGGTCACCAAAGTCAACCTCTGTCCAGGAGTCTCCCTGGTCAAGAGAGTACAAGAACGAGTTTGGAAGAGTGTTTGGGTCCAGCCGTGCGTCCATCAGGTGCGACATGTCGATCGGGATGGCGACGATAATGTTTCCGAGGTCCGCGAACGTGAATATAGCAGACTTGTCAGTAACTTTCTTCCAAGTCAGACCGTTGTCTCTGGAAACGTAAGTCTTGAGCTCCTTTAGGTCATACGTCAGGTACTTTCCGGTGTTTCCTATTCCAACGAGGATTCCAGGCGTGGGGCCGGTAACGAAGTTCCCGTTTGTGTTTCTGATCGCAGTCCACATCAAATTGAGCGAACACTCGGAGTCCCCGTCGCAGTCATCGTCATCCGTAGTTTTGAGATACTGCCATGTCTTTCCGTCATCTATCGAAATTCTGGACTTAGCCAGCGGGGAGGCGCCATCCTGGTCGGCGTTTTCGTGGTTCAACAATAAAATAACTCCTTCCACCTCCTGCACCATCGTGATGTCCGACAATCCCAGCGCGTTCGCCAAAAAATTCTCGTAAATCTTGTCAAAGAAAAGTCCTGACGAGTCCGACTTGTACAAATCTGCATTCAGTGCAGCGTTTCTTGGCTGACGCTGGCCCTGTATGGCAATGTAGAGCGATTGTGGCGTGGACGGCAATATTCTAAACATCCACGACTTGAGCTGGTCCTCGAAATATGCCCGTCTGAATGTATCCCCGTCCTTGGAAATAAATAGTATAATCTCTGCATCAGGAGTGTACTTGTCAACGGACACGGTGGCAATAATGAACGACTGGACCACCTCAATCTTCACAAGATTCATCTTGTCGAACTCTGCCGAAGGCGAAGATATGGTCTTGAAGAAGTCGTTGGTGGTCAGAAGCCCGCCTTTTTTGTCGGCACTCCTCTGGTCTCCGCCAACTTTGGAACATAGAATCTTTTCGTCCGGTCCTGCCGTAAACGCTTTGTTGCTCTTGGCGAAAAGACAGTGGTCCAAGTCGTCGTAGTCCACCTTTTTGGGAGGCGTCTTCAGCCCGTCGTCGCTGAAAAACCAGGTTTTTTTGCACTCAAACAAGAACTGCGCGCCCGCAGAACAGTCCTCAAAACTCAAAAGGAGGTAATCGTGGTTGGCATAGTTGACCTGGACCTGTCCCAAGCTGAACTGGCTGCCACTGTGATCGACCTCAAAAGGAGTCCAAGTCTTTCCGCGATCGCGCGTGTAGAATTGTGTTTTGGAGGTAGAAAGAGCAAATCCCAGCTCTTTGGCATAATCCACGGTGTGAATACTCGTAAAATTAACCTCTTGTCCAGCAGAATTTTTGAGATCCACCTTTTGCCAATTTTTGGCATTGTCTTCCGATATGTACAGGCTGCCGTCGTCTATAATAAGCACCACAGGGGAGTCGTCAAAATACGTCAGGGCGTAGCCCGCGCTGAACTCTTTTCTCGACATTGCTGGCTTCCAGTCCGCAGCCCCAGCGAGAGCCGCAAGAGCCAGGACAGGAAACAGCAACGTTGACCACTTCATTCTAAGATCTGGCAATAGTCCTCCCAAGCAAGTTCGAGCGTATTTGGCCGGCGTAGACTGAAACCGAAAGTGCTCGTAGTTAGTGCTTAAACTTAAGACTTTGCCTTTGTTAGTTTTTTCTGTGTTCATAACCACAGGCCATAATCAACTACACCTCGCACCAGGAAAATCGGTCAGGGCCAGTGATGGCCATGAGGGTGGGCCCGGTGGCGAGCGTGTTGAAGAATGCCGTTGAGTGCGGAGCGTCCAAGAGCGAGAGGTCAGGCACGCTGGCTGTGAGGGCGGAGGAGAGAAGATGGGCCTCGTCTGCGGGCACCCTGATATAGACGCGCTGGTCCTGAATTTTGAGGATGTCATACTGCACTGCAGTCCCAGCTATACCGTGCAGCTTTGAGAGAGCTTTGTAGATGAGAGATTTCCATGTGATGGCATCCAGAGCAGGGAATGGCTCAACAGAGGGCACCAAACGGCTAATGTTAGGGCGCAAAGAAGGAGACTTACAGTTCTATGAGCAGATAACTCCATTCGGAGAAGAACGAGATCTGTTTTGACATAGGTCGAAGTATGCAGGTTCTTTACCAGTCGACACCAGCGTCTGTAACTTTGGTAATTTGATCAAATTATTTTTTATTTTATTTTTATCTTATTTTAAGTTTTTTGAATAATTAATTCTCATGTCCTTGTTTGACGGCCTTTTTGCCACGGAGGAGGAGCCACCAAAACCAAAAACCACAATCGAGTACACACAGAAAAATGGAGAGGTGATCCTGGTGACGCTGGTGGGATCGTCGCCGTTGTACGGCCATATCCTCACTAATGCATGTAAATCGCTGGCCAGACAGCTGGAGAATAACCCGCAGCTGGTGGTCGGACGCACGGTGCTCGAGTTTGGAGCGGGCGGAGCGCTACCGTCCCTGCTGTGCGCCAAATTGGGTGCCAAGAAAGTTCTCGCCACAGACTATCCAGACCCAGACCTCGTATCGAACATACAACATAATATCGAACAAAATAGATTACATAATTGCATAGCCAAGGGCTACATATGGGGGAACGGCGTCGAAGAATTGATGCAGGAACTTCCCGAAGGCCACGAAACGTTCGACGTGCTCCTGCTGAGTGACGTGATCTTCAACCACACCGAACAAAGAAAACTCCTGCAGAGCTGCAAGCTGCTGGTGACGCCTCGGACGGGCCGTGTGCTCGTCCCATTCTCACCGCATCGGCCTAAACTGCTTGCCGCGGACCTCAAATTCTTCGAGCTTGCCAAAGAGTACGGATTCGAGGTCTTCGAAGAGGGAATCGAGATGTGGTCTCCGCTGTTTAAGGACGACCCGGACGAGACCACGGCCGAGCTACGCAGCCGCGTGTACAAGTACTCGATGCGGCTGGCGCGAGGTGTGGACGAGAAATAAGGTTTTTTTTTTTTCCGCGAGATCACATCTGGAACGTGCACACGACCTTTGTGGGGCTGGGCTCTGTGAATTTTTCCGGTACGAAAAAGGAAATGTTTCGAAAGCCATTCAAGTTATAAAAGGCGGGCTCTGGCCCACACCTGGCCCAACCGCTCCCACTTTAGTCACTCTTTTACACTTCAGTCGTTATGATCCCTACACTCGTTTTGAAACAGGTGATTTCTGCCCTGTTCCTGTTTTCCACCGCCCAGGCTTTTGATGCTGCTTCCAAAACCAATGTGGCTCTATATTGGGGCCAGAACTCTGCCGGCACCCAGGAGAGGCTCTCCACTTACTGCGAGAGCGATGCTGCCGATATATTCTTGCTCTCGTTCATGACCACGTTCTCCAACGCAGACACTGTTCCAACTTTGAACTTTGTTACTGGCTGCAGCGGCCAGTTCTCTGACGGACTTTTGCAGTGCGACGAAATTGCGGAGGACATTCAGACTTGTCAGAGTCTTGGCAAAAAGGTTCTGCTTTCGCTCGGAGGCGCCATCGGCAACTACGGATTCAGTTCCGATTTAGTTGCCGAAGGGTTTGCCGGCACTCTTTGGAACATGTTTGGAGGCGGAAGCGCCGACGAGCGTCCGTTTGGCGACGCCGTTATTGACGGTTTCGACTTTGATATTGAGAATCGCAACTCTACCGGTTATGCGGCTCTCGCAACAAAATTGAGAGAGTACTATACCCAGGACTCTTCTAAGGACTACTACATTTCTGCTGCTCCTCAATGTGTTTACCCTGATGCCTCCACGGGTGACTTGCTTGCCAATGCCGACGTTGATTTTGCCTTTGTCCAATTCTACAACAACGATTGCAACGTCGACAAAGAGTTCAATTGGGATGTCTGGGCCGACTTTGCAGCCCACACGTCTCCTAACAAGGACATTAAGTTGTACTTGGGACTGCCTGCGTCCAGCTCGGCCGCTACGACCGGTTACGTGGACGTCGACACGGTGAGGAATGCGCTCGAGAGCATTGATAACACAAATCTCGGAGGCATTATGCTTTGGGACGCCTCGCAGGCTTTCAGCAACAAGGTTGGCGGCGAAAACTACGCCGAGGCAATGAAGAACATTTTAACTGACACCCAGCGCAGCAACGCCACCGTCTCCGTCACTACGGTGATTTCCACCACGTATACTGAAAGCTCTTCGTCTGTGATGTCGTCCGCCTCCTCCACTTCTGCTGGAAAAGGCACTTTTGTCTCTAGCTCTTCAGGCGTCTCCAGCTATTTGAGTGTTGCAACCTCTTCAAGTGTTGTCAGCTCTTCCAGCTTCGTTTCGAGCAATACCCCAGCCTCGTCCGAGCCAAGTTCTGCAGCTTCAGCAAGCTCAGCCGCTCCTTCGTCCTCCGTCACCGCCACCTCTACGCTAACACTGCAACCCACCCCACCTTCAACCACGCTTCTGACCAGAACCACTAGCAGCACGAGCTCTGCCACCGCCACGCCTAGCGCGGCATACACCGACTGCTCGTCGCTAAGTGGAGTGGAAAAAGCCCAGTGTCTAAATGCCAACTTTGCCAACGGCCTGTTCAACGGGTCACCTGACTCGTGCTCCACCGAGGGGGAGATCGCCTGTTCGCCAGACGGCTCGTTCGCCATCTGCAACTTCGGCAAGTGGGTCAAGATGCAGTGTGCTGCCGGCACCACATGCTACGCGTACGTGCAGAACTCGGACGTCGACGTGGGGTGCAACTACGAGGCTCAGAAAAATTCGTTCACGAAAAGAGACGGCTTCATGGACATTTTTAAAAGAAGCCCAAGCCACAGTCACCATGCACACCGGGCATGATGTGATGTATCACACTCGAAAACATATATAAATAGGACAAAATACATGGTTTTGCATTATGACTTCTATCACCGTCAGGCCCAGGCCCGTGGGGCTGCGGAGGGTCCGTAAACCAAACAGGCCCAAACTGGGGCGCGGCAAGAGACACCGGAGGAAACAGCCGCGCATCGACACCGAGCTGCTCTTGCGGGAGCTTGCCCTGCTCTCCAGGACGCAAGACCCCCCACGTAAGCGACGCTATGCTCAAACGCTCGCCATATCTTTTTTGAGCGGATACTCTGTCGCAATTGCTGCCAAATTATACAATCTGATAAGAAACTAGATTGCAAATATGCAATCTTGCTCGGAAATATACCGTATTCGGGTTTGGCCGGCTTTGCAACAAATTTCACTCACTCTTTCTTCCACTTTTCAGTACCATGGAAGATCCTCTTGACAAACAGACGCCCGCAAGGCGGATGTACTCGTTCCTGCTGTGGAACAAGTCGGTGCCCCCGATCCCGTCAGACGAAGAGCGGCGCCAGTTCCCGTTCAGAAACACCAACTTTTTCAACAACATCCTGTTCTCGTGGGTCCTCCCGATACTGCGAGTCGGCTACAGAAGAACGCTCGAGCCCCAGGACCTGTTTGCCATTCGCCGCGGGTCCAACCTGGACGTGGATGTGCGTGCCAAGACTTTTCTCGCGAAATTCACCGCCCGCAAACGCAAGGCTGAACAGAAGTATCTCAAGCAAAAGGGCATCCCGGACACCCCACAAGCACGCAGGGAGCTTATGACAGACCCCGACTTCTCGTACTCGTCGCTGCTGGTGCTCGCGTCGCTGTTCGAGACCTTTAGGTGGGAGTACAGCCTGAGCGTGCTCTACAAAGTCTGCGGAGACGTAGCCATGGGCCTCAACCCGCTGCTGCTGCGCGCCCTGATCAGTTACGTCCACCGAAAGGCGTCCGGGGTCCCAGTCAATAGCAGCGGTTATGGCTACTCGCTTGGAATCTCCGGGCTCGTGCTAACCATGGGCCTCTGCATGGCCCACTATTTTCACGACTCGGCGTTCGTGGGGTGCGAGGTCAAGGCTCTGCTCACAAAAGTGCTGCTGGACAAGTCGTTCCGGCTCGACAGACGCTCGCGCGCGCGGTTCACGCCGTCGGCCATCACGTCGCTGCTCGGCACAGACCTCTCCCGGATCGACCTATCGGCCAACTTCTTTGCCTATATTCTCACGTTCCCGATCGGACTGGCCATCACCCTGGTGCTGCTGTCCGTTTACATGGGCGGGCCGGCGATCGGCGGCGTTGGGTTTCTGATTCTGGCCATGTGCGGCGTCGTGTACAGCACGCGGCCGCTCATGCGGCTGCGCCGCGGCATCAACGTCCACACCGACGCCCGTGTCAAGACTGTGAAGGAGGTGCTCAACAGCATGAAGATTATCAAGTTCTACTCGTGGGAGTCGGCGTATTTGAAGCTGGTGTCGGCGATTAGAAGCAGGGAGATGTCGTACATGCTGCGCATCCAGTTTCTGCGGAACCTGGTCACTGCGGTGGCCATTTCTCTGCCGAGTATATCGTCGATGATCGGATTTCTGTCTATGTACGGCTACGATGGGGGCAGTTTGCGGAACGCGGCCAATGTTTTCTCGTCGCTGGCGCTGTTCAACATCTTGGTCGGCCACATTGCGCTGATGCCGCTGGCTTTGAGCTCCACTGCGGACGCGTACATTGCGTGCAAGCGGGTGCAGGCGTACCTGCTTTCCGCGGAGGAAGTGCCCGACAAAAACTATATTTGCGTGGAGAAAGCGGCCGAGGCGGTGAGAGTGGTCGACGCGTCGTTTTCGTGGGACGACCGTCTCACGCCGGACGGGTGCGACAAGGAGACGGCCCTGGCAGAAAAGCGCGCGGTGTCGCTGCGGCCTTCTCTGGGCCCGCTCACCTTCTCGCTCGCGCACGGCGAGTTTGTCGTGGTGACGGGCCCAATTGGCTCGGGCAAGTCGTCGCTGCTGTGCGCCCTGAGCGGGCTGATGCCTCGGGTGACGGGCTCTGTCACGGTGGCCGGGCAGCTGCTGCTATGTGCCCAGCCGTGGATCCAGAACGCCACTGTGCGCAACAACATCATTTTCGGCTGCGAGCCGGACAAGCAGCTGTACGCGGAAATTGTGCGGAGCTGCGGGCTCGAGAGCGACTTCGAGATGCTGCCTGCGGGCGACCTCACGGAGATCGGCGAGCGCGGGGTGAACCTGTCGGGCGGGCAGAAGGCGCGCATCAACCTTGCGCGCGCCGTGTACTCGGTGCTGAGCAGGGACTTCAACATTCTGCTGCTGGACGACGTGCTGAGCGCGGTGGACGCCAAAGTGGGGCGCCACATCATGGACGACTGCATTCTCGGGCTGCTGCGCGGCCGAACGCGGGTGCTCGCCACGCACCAGCTGTCGCTGATCCAGACTGCCGACCGCATCATGTTCGTGAACCCGGACGGCTCTATCGACCTGGACACGCCGGAGCGGCTGCTGGCGAAAAATGAGCACTTTGCTAGCCTGATGGAGTTCCAGCAGGAAGGAACCAAGCAGGGCGAGCAGGAAGTGGCCGAAGACGTGGCCGAGGACGAGGAGGACGAGGAACTCAAGCTGGTGCAAAAGCAAACGACGCAGCGCGAGTACGAGAAAGACCGAGGCCGCCTGATCGAGCAGGAGCACCGCGAAAAGGACGCCATCCCGATGCACATCGTGCTGTCGTATTTCCGGTCCGGCTGCGGCCGGTTGGGCATCGCGGGCATGTTCCCGATGATCCTCGCCAGCATGGCGTGCTCCACGTTCTGCATGCTGTTCCAGAACGTGTGGCTGTCGTTCTGGTCGACGAGGAAATTCCCCGGCCGCTCGGACGGTTTTTACATCGGGCTGTACGTGATGTTTGCGCTGCTGTACGCGGTGTGTACGGCGTGGCAATTCTGCAGCATCGTGTACGTGACGAACCACGCGTCCGAGCAGCTCAACATCCGCGCGCTCGAGCGCGTGCTACGTGCGCCAATGTCCTTCTTCGACACCACGCCGATGGGCCGTATTCTCAACAGGTTCACCAAGGACACCGACGTGCTGGACAACGAGATCTCGGAACAGTTCCGACTCATTCTCTTTGGCTTCTCCAACATGGTGGGCATCTACATCATGTGCATCATCTACATGCCGTACTTTGCCGTGTGCGTGCCGTTCATTTTCCTGGCGGTGTCGATGCTCTTTTCGTTCTACCAGGCGTCCGCGCGCGAGGTGAAGCGGATCGAGGGCGTGCAGCGGTCGATCGTCTATGCCAACTTCGACGAGGTGCTGCAGGGCAACGAGACTATCAAGCTGTACAACCTGACGGGCAAGTTTTTGGACAAGAACATCACGCTGATCAACAGAATGAACGAGTCGTACTTCTTGGCCAACTCGCTGCAACGGTGGCTCGCCGTGTCGTTGCATGGGTGTGCGGCCGGTTTGAACTTGCTCATTTCGATGCTCTGCGTGGGGCGCGCATTCAAGATCAGCGCCGCCAGCTCGGGACTGATTATCTCGTACCTCGTCAGCGTCAGCATGCAGCTGATCAGCACGTCGCGGTCCCTGGGCCAGCTGGAGCAAAATCTCAGCAGCGTCGAGCGGATCGGCGAGTACGCGATTGACCTGCCGCAGGAGGCCCCCGCAGAAAGCGCGGACCCGGCGAAGAAGCCTCCCCCATCTTGGCCCGAGCACGGCCAGATCAAGTTCTCCCACGTAAATATGCGGTACCGTCCAAACCTGCCGCTCGTGCTCCAGGACCTCAACCTCGAGATCGCTGCGGCAGAGAAAATCGGCATCTGCGGCCGCACGGGCGCGGGCAAGTCTACAATCATGACGGCGTTGTACCGGCTGAGTGAGCCCGAGGGATCGATCGAGATCGACGGCATCAACATCCTCGACATCGGCCTGCACGAGCTGCGCTCGCGGCTGTCGATCATCCCGCAGGACCCCGTGCTGTTCCGAGGCACGATCCGCCTGAACCTGGACCCTTTCTCGCAGCAGTCTGACGACGTGCTCTACGATGCGCTTGCAAAGTCGGGCTGCATCTTGCCCGACGAGTTGCCCGAAGTCAAGCGGCAGACGGGACCGGACCTGCACAAGTTCCACCTGGACAGCGTGGTGGAGGAGAACGGCGCGAACTTCTCGCTGGGCCAGCGCCAGATGCTCGCGCTGACGAGAGCCATTGTCCGGGACTGCAAGGTGCTAATTTTGGACGAGGCCACGTCGAGCGTCGACTATGAGACCGACGCCCGCGTGCAGGCGACGATCGTCCGCGAGTTCTCGCACTGCACGATCCTGTGCATTGCGCACCGGCTCAAGACGATCGTCAACTACGACAAGATCCTTGTCATGGACAAGGGCCGCGTGGCGGAGTTTGGCACGCCGATCGAGCTGTACCACGCGGGCGGGATTTTCCGCTCCATGTGCGACAAGAGCAGGATCAGCGGCGCCGAGATCGAGCAAGCGCAGGCTGCCAGAACCGCATAATCTGTTACGTTTCTATTGTCTAGTCTATAAGTCATATCCGAAGAAAGTGCTTGCATCTTTCGTAAACGTAGAAGCTGCACGCGAACATCGGCACTATTTTGAGGAACCCGATTCCAAGCCCCACGTAAAAACCTTTGAATCCACGCTCCGCATAAATCATCACTATCGTGTGGCCGATGGAGAAGAACTGGCCTCCCAGATTCGCCACGCCACCGACCTGCATCCGTCTCCGAATCACCTCGAACGGGTACGCTGCCGCCTGCGCCAGCATTCCCGCGCCGCCGCCCGCGAGCAGCTGGGCCCACGTCTTGAGCGGCTTGCGCGTGTCGAAAGACGACTCGGACCGGACTTTCGTGGTTTCCAGCGCCGCGTCGTCGTCGATGACCGTGTAGGGCGCGATGTGCGGCAGGCGGAACAGATCGTGGATCATGTCGTGCGAGTAGAAGCTAACCCCCGCGTACGGGACCATGCCTATGATGGTCGGCACGAATCCTCTATAAAAATTCGTCATGGCCTGGAAAACGTGCACGTTGCGGTCCACAATGCGGTGCAGCAAGCGCAAAAGTGGCGGTTTGTTCGCCACGTAACCACCCGTGGTGAAACTGTAGCGCGGGTGCTCGTAGTAGATGGTCTTTAGGATGTGCCATATCTTTCCTCGTCCGTGCTGGATCATGCTGTGGGACGTCTCAAACGCCAATCTCACACGAACAAGGTCCAGCGGGTACGTGAACGCCACGCTGAGCACGCCCGCAAACGATCCCGCCAGAAGCCGTCTTCCAGCCGTCTCATATTCGTCCCGCGGAATGAGAACCGTGCGGATCTGTTCGTAACAGACAAACTTTATTGCTGCGTAGGGGAATATCCGCAGCAGCGTGGCCGAGTGGCCTTGGTACAACCCCATAAACCCGTCGTTCTGGTAGATTAGCTGTATGGCCTTGAGCATGCCCCGGAACGATCCTGCGAGATGGCGATAGTGCGGGTTGTTTGTTTGGAACAGGATCTTCACCCTGTCCAGAGGCGCTATGAGCGTCTTGGCAGAGATTCCTGCCACCCCACCTGCTATCCCGCTTCGTACCACGTACTCGAGCGAGTGCTTGTCTATTTTGTCGGTCATGGCAAGATTTGTGCTTTTTAGATAATTTTTTTCTATTTTCTTGACTTTTTTTTCACTGACAACCGCAGATCGATCACTCCAACTCCCCAATATTTTACCTTTCTTGTCATTTTTTTCCTTCCTACCGAATATTCCCTATTTATCCAGCATCTCCTTTATCAGGCCCGCAAAGTCCTCGTCGTTCACCTCGCACAGCCACGACGCAACAGACACCAGCTGCCGCAGCTTGGAGTTTTCCACCTGCTCGAACCGCGAGTCCAGTGCTTCAGCCGCAGCCGGCTCAGCTCCGTTTTTCTTGTCGCCGATTTTCGTGAGATACCACTGGTTTTCCTGGCTGAGCGCGTCGAGGTCGCAGTTGTTCACGTTGAGCAGAATCGACTTGTTCACCAGGTCGGCCACCTTGCTCCGCACCTTCAGGTCCAGCAGGCTCTTCAGCTTCACCGGCACGCCCTCCATGTCTGGCTGTCGCAGCCGTTTTCCGAAGCACAGCAGCGCCATCGTCAGCTCCAGTTCCTGCACAAAGTCCTTGTTCTGCAGGATTTTCAGCGTCGAGAGCTTGCTGGAGATGAAGTGCAGCACGCGGTCCAGAAACTGCTTTTCGTCGAGAGTTTTCTCGGGAGGGCCGGCAAACTGGGTCCGGATGATCTCGATCAGGTTCAGATGCAGCAGCTTAAAGTATATGAACTGGTTTTTCTCGAACAGACTGGGGAAACTCCTGTTGATGAGCACCACCGCCTCCTCTATGTGTCCGTTCAGAATGTGCAGCTTGATCTCGTTTCTGGACTTGATCGACGAGAGCCCGAAACTGAGCCGTTTGTAGAACGCGAGGTCGTGGCCCGGCTCGTCGTCGTAGCGGCCGATCAGCTGTTCGTACGAGTCGTGTATGTTTTTCTGGATCTCGTTTGCAGAGAAAAACGCCTCTACGTCGAAATCGTCGTCCGGGCCCAGCTCGGGCGTCTCACTGGGCTGCCAGGAAACATCTTTTTCGAGTGCGTCTGAAATAAAGTCAAACCCGAGTTCCTTGGCCAGGTCGCGCGCCGCATTGATGTAGCCCTCGTATATCAGGTAGTTGAGCACCAGATGGTCTACCTTCGCCATCAGCTCCAGCTCCTGCTGCGTGGCTATCCTGTCTTTGATGTCGTCGCCATAGCCAACATTGAACGCGGGCAGGTCCTTCTTCAGCAATTTTAAATACGACTCGTGCCTGCTCATGGCAATTGTATATAATGCAGCTAATTATTTAATTTCTCTATTTATTTTTTGGCTTCCAGCTGCCAGAAAATAAATGCTCCACAAATGCCAGTCTATCTGAGCTGCTCTTTGATCCCATGTGCCCCACATTCGGGCTGAAGCTCGTGATCGGCAGCACCATCACGTCCCCGATGATCTTTGGCTTGTCCATGTTGGTCAGCGACCGCCAGTTGATCAGCTGGTCCTCCGAGTGCAACGGCTCGTTGTTCTTGTTGATTTCCGTCTTTTTCAGCCTGTACTTGCCGTGCTTACGCCAGTACAAAGACCCCACGCCATACCCGTCGCCCAGCTTGCCGTCGCTCGCCACGTTGTTCAGGTAGTCGAACAGAGTGTCTGTAAATATGCCCGGCCCCGTCCACTGCATGATGTCTGCGCCCGAGTCCTTGCCCTCCACTCTCTTCAGCACGCCCATGTGCTGTTTGCGGAACGTCTCCTCCACGATCCGGATGATCAGCTCGCGCAGCAGCGGGTGCCCCGGCTTCGCCTGGATCGTCCACTGGCAGAACTGCAGTCTGCGCGAAAACCACTCGTGCCAGTCGGGCCTGTCCGGATCGGCCTCGATGCCGATAACCAGCCCCACAGGCGTGGTCCTGGCGTCCGGATCTATCCCAGATAGATCCGCGTTGACGTCGGCAGCGTGGACGAGAGCGCGGTCAAACGTGGCCCAGTCCTTGATCGGCTTCAAACACACCGTGTCCATGTCCGAGTAGGTGCCGCCGCGCGCGTAAATCACCAGATACCGGAAAAAGTCCGCCTTCATGATATTTTTGGGAAGCAGCTGGTACGCCCTCACTACCTCCGGCACGTTTGCGTACAGACTCGCCACGAAATCCTCAATCACAGCGTCCGGGATCAAATGGTACACGTAGTCTGGGTTTTTCTGAACCCACGTCTTCTGGAACCGCCGGTACTGCTTGGGGAAGTCGTCGTCGTCGAGATCGACCTTCCACGTCTGCCAGATCTGGTTCGGAACGGGCTTTTCGCGGTAGTACGGGAAGTAGAAAGTGAGCTTCTCGCGCAGCGTCGCCGACTCTGCCGGCAGCCGGTTCATGTGGCGCAGATGCGCTCCAAAAGTGTGCAGATTCGAGCTCAGCTCGGCTTCGATCTTGGCGTCCACTTGTGCCAAATCGCGCGCCCCGGGGCTCCAGGTCCAGACGTTTTGGACGACCCAGTACAGCAGCACAACAACAACAGCGACGAGCCGGCGATTCGCCGCCACGTACCGCCGCGCGCGCTTCAGCACCGCGCCATCGGTAATCGACATGAAATTTAAAAAACACCTTTCTTGACCATTACATAATCTATCTATTTGTCGAATTTCCACGTTCCTTCCAATTCGTCGTACTTGCGCTTCGAGTTGGCGTTTCTGTCGTTCGCCGGCGCAGGAGCCATCATAGCGCTCCCTATCCCGCTCACGCGCATCGTCTCTCTCTTGAGACGCCGGATATTGCGCTCTCTCTCGATCTCGCGCTTCTCGATCTCCCACGGTGTAAGGGTTTCCACGCGAGGACTGAAGTCTGCTCCGTACTTCTTGCTGTCGAACCGCATGCCCTGCAGCTCGAGCGAGACCACGCCGGGCGAGCCGTTGCCCGTGTCCGGCGCCGGCGGCTGGTACACCTTGTTGAGCAGCGGCAGACTCTCGTTGTTGAACAAGATCTGCTGCGGATTCTCCAGGAACTCCTTCTTGAGCTTCAAAATCGCGTCGTGCAGCGAGATCGCTATCGCGTTCTGGAACTCGCGGCGCAGACCCATGTCTGCCACCACCGTGCGCGCAAACTCCTCCGGCGTGATGGCGCTGTTCAGGATATCCCACTCGATCTTGTCCTCGTAGAGCGTGTTGTCGAGGCTGATCGAGATGTCCAGAATCGCGTGCAGCTCCTTTTCCTGCGACAGCTGCGGCATCGGCGTCGTCGCTACCGCGCGGTACGAGTCCAGCTGGTCGCGGATCTGGCCCGCGATCGTCGCCTCGCTATATTTCGGCAGGTCCAGCTCCTGACACATGATAGTGGCAAACAGCTCGGGCGTGATTAGCGACTCGTTGAGGTTCCACATGAACATGTCGTTCACGCGCGTCCCGCTCGTCTCGATGTTCAGTTTGATCGGCACCAATTGCTCAGGGACAGAGCAGTTGGCCAGGTTCTCAGCTTCGCTGAACACTGTCTTGTACTTTTCTCTCGGAGCGTCTTTTCCCTGTAGAAACGCCATGTTCGCGCCCGGCCCGTTGGCATTTGACCGGGACACCAGGGCCCCGTCCTCGTCGTAGTCCTGGTCCTGGTCGTCCTCGAGCTCCATGTCGAAGTCCTCGGCATAGTTGACACGGGTGGAGGCTGCTCTCTTGGAGCCTCTGGCAGGCAGCGACGCAATGAAGAGCGGGTTCGGCGTGTTTTTCAGCCGCGCAACGAGCGACGTCGACAGCGCCTGGGGATAAATAGGCCTGTCCATGGAGTAGAGAAATAAAAATAAAGTAATAAAATACCCTGCAAGAATGGCGAATCAGCGTGGCCTGGGCAAGAATATAAAAACGGGGTGAAAACAGCAGCGGAGGCTGTGCGACACGCGACACGCAGCTGGCGGCGCCCCAAAGCGCTGTCGTCGCAGCGCCAGGCCGCGACGGCCGTCCTGGCCGGGGCAGCGCTCTGTCCGGGTAACCCCGAATTTGTCGTGCACGCGTGCCGAAGTAAATTTTTTTATTTCATCGAAAAAGCTTCCTCCCAAATCATCATGTCTTTCTCCGACTTTTCCAAGATCGAGACCGTTGCCGAGCTCAACAAGTTCCTGGCCGACAAGTCCTACATCGAAGGGTAAGTAAATTTCCACTGATGAACTACATTCTTTGGTCCATGTTTATGAGGCGGCCTCAAGACCCGCCGCATGAGTGACAAACAAGATCCGTCTACGGGCGGGCGACTGAGGGAAATCTTACGAATACTAACAGCGCAGTACTTCCGCCACCCAAGCCGACGTTGCTGCCTACAAGGCTTTCCAGTCGGCCTACCCAGACTTCAGCAGATGGTTCAACCACATTGCCTCGTTCGTCGAGGACTTTGACTCCCTGCCAGCGGCCAAGGCTCCAGCCGCCGCTGCTCCAGCCGCCGAGGACGACGACGACGTCGATCTTTTCGGCTCCGACGACGACGAGGTCGACGAGGAGGCCGAGAAGCTGAAGCAACAGAGACTCGCCGAGTACGCTGCCAAGAAGGCTGCCAAGGGCCCTAAGCCAGCCTCGAAGTCGATTGTCACCATCGACGTCAAGCCTTGGGACGACGAGACCGACCTCGACGCCCTGCTGGCCTCCGTCAAGGGCATCGAGAAGGACGGCCTGACCTGGGGTGGCTTCCAATGGGTCCCTGTCGGATTCGGTATCAAGAAGCTCCAGATCAACTGTGTCGTCGAGGACGAGAAGGTCTCCATCGACGAGCTCCAGGCCCAGATCGAGGAGTTCGACGACTACGTCCAGTCTACTGACATTGCTGCTATGCAGAAATTGTAAGTAGTATTAATAGGTAGAAATGCGACCCAATGCTAGCACGGCAGAAAGTCGATGCCCGACCCCAGCCACTCCTTCGCCTGCAGTATCTCCTCCACCTTGCACCCCGTCTCGTACACCTCGTCGATCAGCTGCATCGCCGTCTTGATCGTGCCCATGTTGACGATCTTGTACAGCGTCTGCGCAAACTGCCGCAGCTTGCGCCGCGAGCTCTCTTTCCTGCAGTGCAGCGCGATGTTGAACACGGGCCACACCATCTGCGTCACGATCGGCGACGCCGTGTCGAGCGTCTCGTACGTGTGGATGAATTCGAGCGTCAGGCTCTCGATCACGTCCTGCGTGTGCGGGCCGCGCTCGCACATCTCGAGCAGCTTGATCAGCGCCGAGATCGCCCAGCACTGCGCCGACTTCAGCCGCTCCTCGTACGCAAACGAGTCCGCCAGCTCCAGCGGCACGTAGTCGCGGTAGTTGACCAGCCGCTGCTTCAGCTCGGCGTGCACGGCGGCCACCTCGTCGCTCGAGATGGTGCGGCTGTGCATGCGGTGGCGCAGGTGGCAGATGTCGGCAAACACCTGGAAGATCTCGCCGGGACACCCGTTCATGCGCGCGGTCGAGACCGCGTCGTGCTTCGTGCCGTACCACTCGGGGCTGCAGAACGGCACGCGGCAGTCGGGCGACACCAGCGCCGAGATCGTGTCGAACCACGACAGAATGCAGATCAGTGTCTGCGACTGGTCGATCCGGCTCAGCGCAGACTTGAACTGCTGGTCCCGCGCAATCGTGCTGAACAGCTTGAGGAAGATCCGCGACAGAGCAGACCGGCCGCTCTCCAGAATCGCAAACAGCAGGTGCACGTACAGCAGCAGCAGGATCACGAAGAAATTGCCCTGCTTGCGGTCTGCGGTCTCGCTCTTCAGGTTCGTCACGATGCTGTCGACGTTCAGCGGCGCGCCCTCGCCGTCGTCCCCGCTCTGCGGCGGCCGCGCCGCGTCCTTTGTCCGCACGTACTTGATCAGGTACTCCATCGTGTTGTTGATGTGCAGGATGCCCTTCTTGTAGAACTCGTTCTTGCCGTTGTTCACGTACAGATGGATCGAGCTCAGCGACATGAAGCACGACTTGGCCAGCTCGAGGCTGCCGAACCGCAGCATCAGCTCCGGCCACGGCGCCGACGGCTGCGCGTCCAGCAGAAAGATCGTCTTGTCGAAGAAGTGTTTGAGGATGTAGTTGTCTTCCGAGGGGTTCGAGGTCAGCTCGCTGTCCAGCGAAAACGGGTACGCGCCGCTCTCGCTCACAAACTGCGGCGCGTTGATCTGCTGCAACAGCTGGTCCTGCTGCTGCTCCAGCTGCTGCAGGTGGTACTGCTGCTGCTGGTGCGCCTGCTCGGAGCTGAACAGACTCAGGTCGTCGGCCGTCGACAGGAGATAGTCCAGCCCGTCGTAGACGACGTCGTCGAAAAGGAGGTTCGGCGACAGCGGCCACGCCTGGTCCTCCTGCTTCGGCTGCGCTGTCTCCGGCCCAGAGCTGGTTTTCTTCACTGCCAGCTTGGGATCGCTGTTGCTGATCCGCGGCCGTCCCCGGAACCCGTACTTGGGCTGGCCCTTGGCGTCTGTGCCGACTTTGCTTTTCTCGTTCCGGCTGTCGTCGACGTCGAAAACCAGCCGCAGCCCGTACCCCGCGCACTTGCGGCCGGAGTTGACGCAATTGAGACAGCTGGGCTTTGTCTCGTCACACTTCCGGCGCCGCTGCTTGCACGTAAAACAGCCCTTTCTCGACCTCGTTATCTTCCCCATAAACGAAAACGGAAAAAAAATACAGGAGAGCGAGTTGTAGCGTTTAAAAAGGGTGGAAGAGATACCGTCCCTTTTGCCTCGTACGAGATTTACGTCGTCTGTTCTGCATGGCTGCCACACGCGAGACTTGGTTTATTTGCGCTATCACGGGCTACACAGCACTATGCAACTAATCACTGGATTATTTTTGTTGCAATTAATTTTCCATTATTTTTCAATTATTCTCATATTTTTTTTTCCATCTCAACGGCTGTGCTATGACCATCTTTGTAGGCTGCAACAGAGAGCTGCAAATCAGCGACTACAGCCCTGTGCACAGGCTTGTTGCGTACGGCGCGAGGAACGCGATCGCTCTGTGGCGGCCTGGCGAGACGCACCGCGGCGTGCTGTCCACAGCCAAGGCCCATACGGCTCACGTCGTCGCTGTCAAATGGGTGCCAGAATCGCCGTTCATCGTGTCTGCAGCCGAGGACCATAGTGTCAAGATCTGGAGGTTGAGCAGCGAGACCACGACGCTCGATGTGGTGCACGATTTGCCGGCCCACGACGCCAGTGTCACCGCCCTGGCCGTGACCAAGGGATATCTGGTCACTGGCGGTGCAGACGGCAAAATCAAGGTCTGGACGTTTGTGGACGGGCCTGCCGTGCGGCTGGTGGCAGAGCAGAGCATGGTGCCCGGATTTTTCCCGCTCTCACTAGCGCTCGTCGACGTGGAGCCGGGCAAGCACGTTCTTTTCGTCGGAGGATCCAAGCCGCAGTTCCATGTACTTTCGCTCACTACAAACGGCCAGTTGCAACATTGTGCCACTCTCCCGGGCCACGAGGACTGGATCAAGGCGATTGCGGTCACAAAACAGGGCCCTGGCCAGTTTCTTGTCGCTTCTGGCTCCCAGGACAGATACATCCGGCTGTGGAAGCTGTGCTTGAACGATGCCATCTCCAAAGCCGACACCTCGAACCAGCTTGGGCTGCTGATGAACAAGCAGCACTATTTCGACATCGACGACGCAACCAGGTGCGCCATTAATTTTGATGCCATCATCATGGGCCACGACGACTGGATCTCGAGTCTCGTGTGGCACCCGTCGAAAACCGTTTTGCTGTCCTCGTCTGCAGACACCTCAATCATGATCTGGGAGCCGGACGAAAGCAGCGGTGTGTGGGTGTCGTCGATGCGTTTTGGAGAGATGAGCATCAAGGGCGCGTCCACGGCAACGGGGGCTTCGGGAGGCTTCTGGAGTGCGCTTTGGCTATTTGAAAACGGCACAGAAATTATTCTTACGAACGGCAAAACAGGCTCTTTCAGATGCTGGGCCAGAAGAGACGGCTCGGACGACCCGTACGACCAGCAGCCGTGTCTGACCGGCCCGATGAAAGAGGTCACAGACGTGTGCTGGTCTCCTTCCGGCGAGTATCTTCTTGCCACGTCGCTCGACCAAACCACGCGACTCTATGCCAAATGGCTGCAAACAGGCACGTGGCACGAGTTTGCGAGACCGCAGATCCACGGCTACGACATGATCTGCGTCAAACCGATCTCCAACGCCCGGTTCGTCTCAGGCGGCGACGAAAAGATTATGCGCTCATTCGATGAGCCTAAAGCCGTCGCAGACATGCTTCAAAGATTGTGTGGTGTTGCCTCTGGCGACGTCGACGCCATGCCACCCAGCGCGTCGCTGCCGGTGCTCGGCCTCTCCAATAAAGCAGAGACAGAGACAGAAAATCAGGAGCCAACCTCCGACGACGAAACGGCAGATAACGGGGCCCAGACAGCTAACCTGTCAGCTAAGCTGCTAGCGCAGCTGGAATCGCCGCCTTTAGAAGACATTCTCCAAAGACACACGCTCTGGCCAGAGATCGAGAAGCTGTACGGCCACGGCTTCGAGATCACCACGCTGGACGTGTCTCCAGACGGAAAACTGATAGCGTCGGCGTGCCGGTCGAACGTGGCGTCCCACGCGGTCATCAGGCTGTTCAGAACAGACTCCTGGCTCCAGTTGACGCCGCCGTTGGCGGGCCACGACCTCACCATCACCAGACTGCGCTTCTCGCCAGATGGTAGCTACCTGGTGAGTGTGTCACGTGACCGGAAATACACGCTGTGGAGACGAAATGGCGAGTTTGGGTACGAGCTGGTGGAAGGGCGCGAGAAGGCCCATTCCAGGATCATCTGGGACGTGTGCTGGCTGCCGTTCGAGGGCGAGGCGGCGTACTTCGCCACAGGTTCGCGAGATAAGTCGGTCAAGCTGTGGCGGGTGGACCCTGCTGGAGAAGTGGAGATGGTGGGCAGCGTGAAGCTCGCGGCGGCCGTGACGGCACTGGACTGCTACAGCCACACGATCGACGGGTCGGCTCTGGTGGCCGTGGGGCTCGGAAAGGGACAGATCTCGACCTATACGGTGGACAGACACGGCAATTTCGGGCTGGTGCAGCAGTTGGAGGAGAAAAACGTGCCGGACGACAAGGTCACGAGGCTGCGCTGGTGTCCGAAGCCGGAGAGTGCGGACGAGCTGCTGCTGGCGGCGGGAAGCAGCGACTGCTCCGTACGGATCTACACTGTTGCGACGCGTCGATCGACGCCTAGCATCTAAGAGCTATTCATCGGACTACTATTGGCTACATACGTCTAAGCAACCCTTAGAGCATCTCTATTATAATTTATTACATCGATCATATGATTTATTTACAAGCTTCGACCAGGTAGGTGACCAGATCGTTTCTGTCCTTTGCCTTCTTCAAACCACCGAATGCCATCTTGGTTCCAGGGATGTATTTCTTTGGGTTTTCCAGGTAGTCGGACATGGTCTGCTCGTTCCATTCGACACCCTTTCTCTTGTTGGCGTCGGTGTAGGAGTAGCCTTCGGCTTGACCAGACTTTCTGCCGAAGATACCGTGAAGATTTGGTCCAACCTTGTGTGGTCCGCCCTCCTCAACGGTGTGGCACTGCAAACATCTAGTCTTGAACAGGGTAGCACCCTTCTTAGCAGAACCTTTTTCGTATGGAGCTGGCATTTTTCAGTATATGTTATAAATAATGGATGGGTGTAAAATTTGGGAATTACTTATTTATATATGTTTGTATGCTGGTCCCGTTTGGGAGCGTTAGCGTTACAATGATTTTTTTTTTCTCACCCTTGACAATTTGCAAGGATATTATTGGTGGAATATATTTTCGTGCCCCCAGGGGGCGGAGTACTTGATTCAAGCGTTCTTGAGGCCGTGCAACCACGCAAGTATGCCATGTTGTCCTCTGAGCGCGCATCCTGACCTGCGGGCGCTGCCCCCCTGCTGGTGCGTGCTCCCTGCTGTTCCGAAGTGGTGTAAGGATGCACACCCCCAGTCCATTGCTCGGCTCCCCTAATTTCTACGAGGTTCCAGGTATTTTTTATTTCTTTTTCACTTTTCGCAGCGATCTAAAACGGCGAGGAAAATTTCGGTGACAACTTTCTCGTGTTGTGGTGCACGGGTGTCGGGAATTGCGCTGATGGCAAAAAGAAAGGCCAGTGTGACAAAATAAAAAAGTGGAAAAATAGTCATCTCTCGTAACTTTACCATGTTGTTTGCGAGACCCAGAGTGTGGTTGCGGCCGCTTTGGCCGCGCCCGTTCAGGCATGTCCCACTGAAACGTTCCTCTGTCAGGTTTTCCTCCAACTCTGTCGCATCTCTCGCGTCGCAGGAACAGGCAGCCAATCGTGAACTCTCCAATCCGGCAGTGCAAGCATCGTTCTACAAAGCGCTGATCAGCGCCAACTACCCCCACATTGTTGTCTCACGGTACGAGACTCCTGGTATTGCCAGCTCGCCAGAGTGTTCCCAGCTGTATATCGACGCCCTATACAAGATGGGAGACTACCAAAAGGCTGAAGCTGTGGCTCGTTCTCTGGGGCTCAGTGCCAATCCTGGTGCACCTTCTGGTGGCTACGGGGCTGGCTTTGGCCAGTCTGGCTATGGTACGAGAACCGATCCGATCCACGTCATTGTGACGGAGTCGCCTTTAATCACCATTTCCAAATGGATCAAATGGCTTATTCCTGTTGGTTTGACATCGTACGGTGCGTATATGCTGTTTAATTACTTGGTTGAGAACGGGTCGATCATCAAGGGCTCGAGCGTCGAAGACAAGAGCGTCGAGGTCAGCGAGTCGACCGTGAAGTTTTCCGATGTCTGTGGTGTCGACGAGGCCAGAGCCGAGCTCGAGGAGGTTGTTGAATTCCTCAAGGACCCATCCAAATTCACCGGTCTTGGTGGTCAGCTTCCAAAGGGCGTTTTGCTCACCGGCCCTCCTGGTACCGGTAAAACGCTTCTTGCGCGAGCCACGGCCGGCGAGGCTGGTGTGCCGTTCTTCTTCATGTCTGGATCTGAATTTGACGAATTGTATGTTGGTGTGGGTGCCAAGAGAGTCAGAGAGCTGTTCAGCAAGGCTCGTGCCAGAGCTCCAGCTATTGTCTTCATCGACGAGCTCGACGCCATCGGAGGAAAGCGAAAGAGCAGAGACCAGGCGTACGCCAAACAGACGTTGAACCAGCTGCTTGTTGAGCTGGACGGATTTTCTCAGACCGAGGGAATCATCATCATTGGCGCCACCAACTTCCCAGACTCCCTGGACAAGGCTTTGACGAGACCGGGAAGATTCGACAAGGTGGTGAACGTCGACCTGCCGGACGTCAGAGGCCGTCTTGCCATCCTCAAACACCATCTGAAGAACATTGCCGTTTCCAAGGAGGTCGATCCGTCTGTGATTGCCAGAACAACGACAGGAATGTCTGGTGCTGCGCTCAAGAACCTCGTGAACCAGGCTGCTCTGTACGCTTCACACCAAAATGCGCTGAGCGTCAACATGTCGCATCTCGAGTGGGCCAAGGACAAGGTGTTGATGGGTGGAGAAAGAAAAACCATGGTCATGACGGAGGAAACGAGAAGAAATACCGCGTACCATGAGGCCGGCCACGCCATTGCGGCCATGTTCACCGACGGCGCCACGCCTCTGTACAAGGCGACGATTCTGCCAAGAGGCCGTGCTCTTGGTGTCACTTTCCAGCTTCCCGAGATGGACAAACACGATATCACGAAAAATGAGTGCTGTGCTCGGCTGGATGTGTGCATGGGAGGCAAGATTGCCGAGGAGATGCTTTATGGCCCAAACAACGTCACGAGCGGCTGTTCTTCCGACCTGTCGTCGGCGACAAGCACGGCCAGAGCCATGGTGACGTCGTACGGCATGTCTGACAAAATAGGGCCTGTCAAACTCTCTGACCAATGGGAGTCGTGGTCTCCGAAGCTCAGAGACATGGCTGATCAGGAAACACGCAAACTGCTGCTGGAGTCCGAGGAGCGGACCCGGAAACTGCTCCACGATCGTCGTGTCGAGCTGAAAAGGTTGGCCGAAGGGCTTTTGGAGTACGAGACTCTGACCAGAGACGAGATGGAGAAAGTTGTGAGGGGCGAGGCGATCAACAAGCCCAAGGTGGCCACCAACAAGGTGATCAAGTCGCCGTCTTCGCGCCAGGAGTTCGATATTGCGCCGGACGACCAGCCAATAGGAGTATCTGCAAAGGCATAAATAGACCCTATCTGCATATATTATATGATTAATGAGACCGATGCGAGCTGTGCAAGCACGGAAAACTATACTATGTAGCTAGCGATTATAAAACGAGGTCGGGCACCGGTTCGGGCAGCAGGTTTGGAACCGAGGTGTTGGTGTGCAAGAATTGGTCGGAGGACTGTTCTTGAGGCTCTTGTTGCTCGGGCAGTTGGTCCTTTGGCGCCTCCTCCTCCTCCTCCACTTTCATTTCTGCCTGCTCGTAATCCAGAACCTCATTGAAGAGACTGCCCAGGACTCCCCTATTCAGCTTCACTCTGCTTACAATGGACGGCTCCAGACCGACTGTCCTGTCGAGCAGCATCATTTTGGCTACAAAGGTGCACAACCTGCGCTCGCAGTCGTCCACCTGGGCAGTTTCAAAATTGACATCTTCTTGCTCTGTGCGCTCCAGCTCGACCTGTTTTTCAGAAGCAACCTGTGCTTCCAAAATCAAAAACAGCCGGAGCAAACATTCCTGGCTGCTGGAAAGCGGCTCGACAGACATTTCTGTGTCGAAAAAGTGGTCGAGGACGTCTCTGTGCGGGCCCACGTAGTACTTGAGCAGGTTCAGCGTGGTGAACACGTCCAGGTACATGCTGCAGACGGCATACCAAAAATCTATGTTTTGCGCACGTGATGCCACGAGTTCCAGCAGAGCACGTTTGACAGGCGCCAACGGCAACAGGTGGCGGTGCAGCTCGTCGAGCACCTCGGCGTCCGGATCGACCTTGAGTTTGTTGGCGAGCGTCTCGAGGTTTTCCGCCACCAGAAAAAGCAGACACGAGAAATACTCTGTTGCCCGGTTGGACTCTACCAGCTGGTCCAACTCGTCCGCCAATGGCAGCGACGCGGCGCCCGAGCAGATATCGTCGATCAGCGGCATGAGTTGGCTTAAAAGTCGGGATTTGGTGGCTGTTCCACGCAACAGCATCAGTTTGCCCAGCGTGCTACCAGCGTGCAACCAGTCGGCGTCCTGGAGCGCCAGCTTGAGCTCCTCGGCCATTTCCCGCACCACCTCCTCGACTCTTAGCGAGACCTCAACCGAGTCGGTGTTGATGTGCTCAAAGAGCTGCGCAAAGTGAAAATTGATCGAGTTGTAGTATGCCGGGGACTCTGAAGCGTACGAGCTCAGCTGGTCCTCTCTGAACGTTTTCAGCAGCTGGGCCGTGATCTTGGTCTCCGTAGCTGACTGGTCCAGCGTCTCGCACACCCTGTGTTTAACCAATTGCGTGAACAGGCCCAGAAACACTGCCAGATGCGTTTTCTTGAACACGTCGAAGAGCGAATCCAGCTGTGCGACCAGCTTGCCGAGATACAGCATTCTGTCGTTGTTCTGGTCGTCGTGCTTTTTTGAGAACAGCTGCTGGTGGAACTCGCTCGCGTCCGCCTCGCAGTAGATGGTCGCCGCAGCGGAAATCAGACCAAGCACGAAAAACGTCTGCGCACCGGACAGCTCGACGCTGTGCTGGATCTTGGCGATTTCTGCGTTCGCAGAGAAATCGTACAAAACGTAGCCACACAGCGTCTCCAGAGCGCCGTCGGCGTGGTACCGCGGCAGAGCAAACAGGTTCTGACAAACACGGACGAGTTTGGCCGTGCGCGAGTTGTAGGACCGCATCTTGGCCGGTTTGGTGGACACTGCCGAGTTGTAATACGTTTCCGCCTCCACAAGCATCTGCGACAGGCCGTGGAACTTGAGCAGATCTTTGATCCGGAGCTCAAGCGAGCCAGCCACTTTCTCAACCGTCGCACTGTTGGACTCCATGAACTCGGCCAGCGACTGCGCCTCAACTGTGGCAATGAACCTGGCCAGGTCCCTGAACAGCCGCGACGCGGTCTTGCCCTTCTGGAAGATCAGGTCCTCGTCGTCGACAAAAATCAAGCTGGCAACCTTGACCACCTCCTCTGGATCCAAGAAGCCCATCCTGGAGACCTCCGTCAGCACCTGCACACAGTTGCTGCGGACCCGCGTGTCTGCCTCGTAAAAAGCCATTTCGATGAGCTTGTCTTTGAAGTGGCTGGTGAACTGCCGCAGAGCTGCCACCATCGACTGCGTCTGGTACAGGCGAAGCACCACCCGCAGCACCTCGTGCCGCACCGCCACGTCCTGGTCGGTCATCAGCCACCCCAGATACCGTATGTATATGCTCTCAAAGAAAAACTCGGGGTACAGGTCGATCCAATGGCTCAGGTGTTTTACGCACTCCTGGCGGATCTGCGGATCGGTGTCTCTGTATCGGTGAGCAAAGGTGGTGTTGAAGATGTCCTGGAGAAAAGTCTCCAGATAGGTCTTGTGTTCGCTGTACAGTTGGCAGTTCTGCTCGATCTGCGCAGCACGGTCTTTGGCAGCGGCCAACTTGGCTCCAGAACGGGCCTTTTTGAGCAAGTTGTCGATGTTGCGTTGTTCGTTCGTCAGCTGGCGTTGCGCGCGGTTAACAGCTGTGGCGGTCTGCGCCACAAGCGAGCACAGCGTCGTTTCCATCTGCAGACACAGGAGCGTCGCAGCATACCGCAGAGGTCGCGCGTTCGAGGTGGTGAGAGCTCCCAGCCACGTGATCAGCAACTCTACGAGCTCGTCGTCCTCATACAATATGCCCTGTTCGCCCGCTGTCACCAACACCTGGTCCACGAACTCCAGACACCGCTTTTTGAAGTCTCTCCAGTTGGCATTCTTGGAGTTTCCAGCAAGACCCAGAGGATACTCGTGGGACCCCTGCTTCTCAAACACCGCCTGGATCTCGGCTACTGTTTCCTTCGACGAGTCTGCGCTCGCCACGTCGTGCTTCGCCACAAGCGTCACGCACCCACACGCCCTCAGAACGAAGTTCAGCATATCCTTCACCGCGTCGTATTTGTCCTCCTCGAACTGGTCGACCCATGAGGCGGCGAGTTCGCCCACGGCGACTTCTGCGTGGCTAAGTGTCTCAAAAATGGGGTTTTCCTCAAAATTCTCGAGCTCGTCGATGTTGTTTGGCACGGTCTTGCGTCTCTTGGGGCCGCGAGCAGTCTTGTTTGTTTTACGCGCAGCACGCTTGTTTGGCTGGTACTCGTTCTCCTTTTCGCTAGCCCCGCTTTCGCTGTCCGACAGGTCGACCGAGTAGTTCAGCGACCGGTCGGGATGGGCCTGAAGCCGGGTGGATCTTCTTACAGACATGACGCGAAAGTAAAAAAAAGAATTTGGGGAGTAAATAAATATAAACACCAAACACCGTATATAGCCACTAACTTGCCGCAGAGCAGGGAACTGAAAATGGGGCGCACATCAGGCTGGTGGGTATTGGGAACAGGTCCACTGGACTGCAGCACTCTCTATGGTTACTGGCTGCGCCCACGCTCTCCCAAGATGCGCTCTTTGATCGACCGTTGCTGCGTTTCTGTGGCGTGATTCTGGTTCTCTGCGGGCTCCGAGGACCCAGAGATCGTGTTGTACGTTTGCTCGCGGTAAAACTCCTTCACGTCGTCCGGAGTTAATTTGATGGTGGTGGGCTCTCTGCGCAACATAATATAATATTTTATAATTACACTTTTTTTTCTTTATTTTTGTTTATGCTGTGTTCAAGACTGGTTTCTGTGTTTACACTGCTGGTCCTCGGATTTTGCAAGCCGGCACTTCGTTCAAAACCACTGTTCCATGAGGACGGCGTGCTCGATTTGGCCACCCTCAACGAGGAACTGGACCGTTGCAAAGTTGTCCAGGAGCTGAACCTGCACTTTGAACAAGAGGAAGAGAGTCTCAGCTACGCAGAGTACGTATTCTCGAAATTGTTCCCATTCGGCCCCGCTGGCAACGCTCTGCTGGCCACGACGTACATCTCGGGGCCGCCCAACTTCATTCTTGCGCTGATCCCGGCCAACATCGACGTTTCGTCGTTATCGCTTCTAGTCAGCTTTGCCGTCGGGGGACTGCTGGGAGACGTCTTTCTGCACCTTTTACCGCAGACGTTCCTGGGCGAGCCGCTGGAACACAAGGCGTCGTTTGTCCTGGTGGACGGCAAACGCAACTGCGTGCTTGGGTTCTGCATTTTCATCGGCTTCCTGTTTTTCTTCGTGATCGACAAAAGTTTGCGGATTCTCGAGCACACCGGCGACGGGTCGTCGCATTCGCACTCTCACACCCACGCAGAGCCGGAGGAAAAACCAAAGACGAAGAAAAAGAAGGGTAAAAAGAACACAGAAGCCAGGGCAGAGCCTGTGGTGGCGAACCCGAACGCCAGTGTCAAGACGTCTGCGTATCTCAACCTCATCTCGGACTTCACGCACAACATCACCGACGGCCTCGCAATTGCGGCCTCATTCTACATCTCCAAGACCGTCGGCTGCACGACCACGTTGGCTGTGTTTTTCCACGAAATCCCACATGAGGTGGGGGACTTTGCGCTTCTGATCCAAGGCGGGTTCACCAAGTGGCAGGCCATGAGCTCGCAGTTTGTGACCGCCATTGGCGCCTATCTGGGCACGCTGATCGGCATTGGCATCCAGACGATGTCGGGCGACGCTACCAAGCTGGCAGCCCTCAAGCCGTCCGGTCTCTTTGGCACTACCGTCCAGATCGAAGACCTCACTTTGCCGTTCACCGCAGGCGGATTCCTGTACATCGGCTTCAGCGTGGTGCCGGAGCTGCTGGAACTGCCCAAGGGCACTACAAGACTACAGGAACTGCGTAAGTTTGTGAGCCAAGTCTTCTTTATCTTTGTGGGCATCGGCTTCATGTTTGTGATTGCGTGGAACGAATAGATGTTAGGACAGTATATGTAAATTTTTTCTCAAGTGGGTATCTCTGCAATTTTAAGGAGCCCGATCTTTTTTCCCACCGTGCACATCGGCACTGATAATAACGACATCTGTTCTTCCAGACCGCAAATGACTGTGTATAAGTACAGATTCGAATGGTACGTGCGCCACTAGACACCGGATCAGCGGTTTTTTCCGCCGGATTGCAGCCTTTTCCCCTATTGTTGATCCTGCCTGATAACAGCTGATCAGATCAAGACATCGACTTCTAACCGTCTACAGGCTCTCCAGTGACGCCAAACAGGTGTACGTCACGGGCTCGTTCGACAATTGGTCCAAAACGTGCCAGCTGGACAAAACAGGCGTGGGCTTCGCCAAGGTTGTTGAGTTGCCCTTTGAAAAAATCGTCTTCAAGTTTGTTGTGGACAACCAGTGGCATACCTCTGAGAACGACAAGCAGGAGTACGACGAGTGCGGGAACCTCAACAACGTGCTGTATCCGGACGATTTGGTTAGGTACGACAACGAGGACGGCGCCAGCGAGTTCACGGCCATCTCGTACCCGGACGCAGACGGCGACGACGCTGACCGCGCGGGGCAGGAGCAGCGCGAGGCCCCCGACCAGGAGGACCTGGGCAGCTCCACCCAGGTCACGCTGAAAGACGAGTATCCGATGTCTGAGACGAGCGGACACGGAATATTCGCGCGACTGCGCTCGCTTTTCAAATAGTGGCGTATCTATGTGTTGTTTGCGTTTATTTTAGGCTTTGCTTTTGTGCCCGGCGGCGCTCATTGGTTTGCCCATTTGGCGAACTCGTCTCTTTTTTGTTTTAATGCCAGGTATCCTGGTCGGTTGACCAACTCCTCAAACAAGGCCACCCCTTGCACCTCCAGCTCCTCTGTCGCTTTGTCCATATAGATGTACTCGAGCGGCTCCTGGCGATGTCCCCTCACCTCCTTGCCGGTGACGATGTCGTGTTTGGGCGCTGGACGCGGCACTCCGGCCAGACTGCCCACGAGAACCAGCACGCACGCCAGCCCGGCTTCCAGCTGGACGTCCAGCGGCAGCGCGTTGCTCAGCTGGTAGAATTGGTACGAGGAGTACGCGGAATTGGCAAACAAAATGGCCGCTGCAACGTAGCAGACGGAAGAAAACATTTTTAAAAAAAAGTGGTAAAAAGTAATCATTTTCACCATGCTGGCTTCCAGAACACTGTCCAAACAATTTGCCCGCACCTATGCCACAAAATCGCTCAAAATCGGTACGTATCGTGCAAAACCTGTCCGCTAACGTCGCAGGCCTGATTCCGGGAGACGGAATCGGCAGAGAAGTCATTCCTGCTGGAAAACAGGTGTTGGAAGCTCTTCCGTCGGACCTCGGTCTCAAGTTCGAGTTCACCGAGCTCAAGGCCGGCTTCGAGCTGTTCAAACAGACAGGCACGGCGCTCCCCGACGAAACCGTCGAGGTTCTGCAGAAATCGTGCGACGGCGCTCTTTTCGGGGCAGTCTCGTCTCCAACTACCAAAGTACAGGGCTACTCGTCGCCGATCGTCGCTCTGCGCAAGAAGCTCGGTCTGTACGCCAACGTGAGACCTGTGAAGAGCGTCGAGGGCATTGGCCGTCCCGTCGACATGGTCATTGTGAGAGAAAACACCGAAGATCTCTATATCAAGGAGGAGAAGCTGTACGAGAAAGACGGCCAGAAGGTGGCCGAGGCCATCAAGCGGATCACCGAGCGGGCCACCACGAAAATCGGCGCCATCGCCTTGGAGATCGCCCTGCAAAGACAGGCCATCAGAGAGCTGGGCGGCGCCAGTTTGCACTCGCAGCCTACGCTGACCGTGACTCACAAAAGTAACGTTCTGTCTGTCTCTGACGGGCTCTTCAGAGAAACCGTGAGAAAGCTGTACGACAGCAACCCGGCAAAGTACGCCAGCGTCCAGTACAAGGAGCAGATCGTCGACTCCATGGTGTACAGGATGTTCAGAGAGCCGGAAATCTTTGACGTTGTCGTGGCTCCAAATCTGTACGGCGACATTTTATCCGACGGAGCTGCGGCTCTCGTGGGGTCTTTGGGAGTCGTTCCTTCGGCCAACGTCGGCGACAGCTTTGCCATCGGCGAGCCTTGCCACGGCTCGGCCCCAGACATCGAGGGCAAGGGCATTGCCAACCCGATAGCCACGATCCGGTCCACCGCGCTGATGCTTGAGTTTATGGGCCATGCGGAGGCCGCTTCCAGAATCTACAATGCCGTCGACGCCAACCTCAAGGAGGACGTCGTCAAGACGCCAGATTTGGGCGGAAAGAGCTCCACCCAGGAGGTTGTTGCCGACGTGATCAGAAGATTGTAGCTAAATTAATACACTGCTAGTCTCTTTCAAAAGCCACCGCGAAAAACCCGATCCCGCCGTCCTGCCGCGGCACGGTGCGGATACAGCCCTCTGCACACCGCTGCGGGTCGTCCACGGCGCTGAACTCCTCCACGAGCCCGCGCCTTGGCCACGACGGGATCACGTCGTCTCTGCTACACACGCGCCACCCCTGCGCCCGCACCGCGCTGTCCAGCAGCAGGTCCACGACGACCTGCTCGTTCTCCTGCGCGTGCACCGAACACGTCGAGTAGACGATTTTCTTTGCGTTCGGGAAGCGCATCGCGTGCTTCATGATGGCCACCTGGAACCCGGCAAGTTTCTTCAGCCGCTCCTGCGTGTGCTCCTCGGTGTCGTTTTCCTCGAACCCGCGCCCGAAAATGCCGCTGCCCGAGCACGATGGGTCCACTAGCAGCCCTGTCACGTCCGGATACTCGTCGGGGTCTGTTTTCGTGAAATCGCCCTGTTGGATCCGAATACACCCCGATGCTCCAGCCTTTTCGCACATTTTGCGCAGCGTCTTGGCCCGCTCCGGGTTTTTCTCGAACGCGACTATCGAGTCCGGCGAGTTGCCCAGAATTGCCGCCAGGTGCGTAGTCTTGTTGCCTGGAGCAGCACATGCGTCGATTATCTTGTCTCTGCCTGGCTTGGGGGCCAAAATAAATGCCGGGAAGCACGACGCCCGGTCCTGGATGATGACGTCGCCAGACTGGTATATTGGCAGCGAAACGATAGGCTCCTTAGGGTGGACCCCAAACAGGTCCGCCACGTACTCGTCGTGGTAGATGGTGCCCTTCTGTATGTCGGCGACGCGATCGACGCGTCGGAGATGGCCAAGGGCAGAGAGGACGGCGTCTTTCGTCGTGCGCACAAGGTTCGCACGGAACCACCGCACAGGCGTGTCGTCGTCCTCGACGAGGTCCTCAAGTGACCGCACACCATGCTTCAGCTTGAGTTTTGTGAGCTCGGCGTGCAATCTGGTCTTGTTGCGGATCACGGCATCTTTGAGTGGGTGGTGTTTGCTGTGGATCCGGCCGCCTTTGGACAGAAGCAGGTCGTGAACTAGCAGCAGCGCCAGCGTTTCGGTAAGCTTGCTCTTTTTCTCGAGCTCCAGCAGCTTGCATTTGCGGATGATCTGGGCGAGAAACGGCCGGTGTTTCTGCGTCGACAGAACGAGCGCGTACACGTGCTTGGGGTCGGACTGGATATTGCGGTCGCGCGCAGCGGCAAACACGCGGTTTTGCAGCGATCCACTTTTGGAGTCGTCCAGGAACCTCGAGGCCTCGTAGTAGAGCCTCATTGGGAGACTAAATATTTTTTATTTTTTTTTTCTCCAGGCGGTGTAGGATGGTGAGATTTAACACAAAAAAACATTACTCTCTTTCTTTCAATCTCATGGAGACAGCTCTCAACGCAGACCGCAAACGCCCGCTTGACAGCATCAAACCAGAGCAACAGACAGTGCCGTCGAGTCTGGTCATTGTGCCGGAGCGCGAGCCGCAATTGGCGTACGTGCCGCTGAAAACGGGCCTTTGCTACGACGTGCGCATGCGGTACCATGCCAAGATATTCACGTCCTACTTTGAGTACATTGACCCGCATCCCGAGGACCCGCGCCGGATCTACAGAATATACAAGATCCTGGCCGAGAACGGGCTCATCACGGACCCGACGCTCTCGGGACGCGACCAGATAGGAGATCTCATGGTGAAGATTCCTGTCCGCGAGGCCAGTGCGGAGGAGATCTTGCTTGTGCACACGCCGGAGCATCTGAAGTTTATAGAGAGCACGCAGCACATGACCAAGGAGGAGCTCATGGCCCACACAGAAAAAGGCGATTCCGTCTACTTCAACAATGACTCGCTGCTGAGTGCGAAGCTCTCGTGCGGCGGAGCGATAGAGGCGTGCAAGGCCGTGGTGGAAGGCCGTGTGAAAAACGCGCTGGCGGTGGTGCGGCCGCCGGGCCACCACGCAGAGCCCGACGCGCCGGGCGGGTTCTGCTTGTTTTCGAACGTGGCGGTCGCCGCCAAGGCCATTCTCGCGAGCTACCCAGAGTCGGTGCGCCGGATCGTGATAGTGGACTGGGACGTGCACCACGGGAACGGCACGCAGAAGGCGTTTTTCGATGACCCGCGCGTGCTGTACATCTCGCTCCACAGATACGAGCACGGCAAGTATTATCCGGGCACGAAAGCCGGCGGTGCGGACCAGGTGGGTTCTGGCGCGGGCGAGGGCTTCAACGTCAACATTCCGTGGCCCGTGGGCGGCGTCGGCGACGCTGACTACATCTACGCGTTCAACAGGGTGATCATGCCGGTGTGCCACGAGTTTGCTCCCGATCTGGTGATCATCTCGTCCGGGTTCGACGCGGCGGACGGCGACATCATCGGCGGGTGCCACGTGTCGCCTGCCGGGTACGGCCACATGACCCACGCGCTCAAGAGTCTGGCCAAGGGCAACTTGTGCGTCGTTCTGGAAGGCGGCTACAATCTGGACGCGATCGCCAGCAGCGCGCTGCGTGTGGCGAAGGTGCTGCTGGGCGAGCCGCCCGAGGAGCTCAAGTCGGTGCAGCTGAAAACAGAGACGATTGAGGTGATCGACGACGTGATCAAGATCCAGTCGCAGTACTGGAAAACGCTCAAGCCGGGCTACGACGGGCAGGACTTCTCGAAGCCCAACATCATGGGCGACTACGACGGGCTCGTGGAAAAGCTGGGCGCGGTGTCGTTTGAGGAAATGGCCGGCAAGGGCCTCAAGGTCAGCGACGCTATTCGCGCGTACCAGAAAGCAGAGCTTTTCGAAAAACGACATTTTGTGCCGCTTCCCGTTCTGACAGAAAAGCTGCCGCATTCGTCCTCGCTCAGAGACCTGGCGCTGTGCTCGCCCGACGTTTACCAGGCAGAAAAGCTCGTGGTGGTTGTGCACGACTCGGCGCGCGTGTGGGCCCGCAGAGACCCGGTGACGGGCACGCTGGACTCCGCGTCGGCGGTCGTGGTGGACCAGTCTTTGCGGTTTCTGGACTGGGCGCTGGACCAGAGCTACGGCGTCGTCGACATCAACGTGCCGCTGGCGATCTCTGGCGCCGACGACGCGCAGTACAACAACATCAGCTCTGCGCAGGACGTGCTGCTGTATCTGTGGGACCACTACATCCAGTACTTCAAGGTGAGCCAGATCGCGTTTGTGGGTGTCGGCGACGCGTACAACGGCGTGGTGCACCTGTGCGGCCACCGCGACGTGCGCAGCCTGGTGAAGTGCTCGGTGAACTATCTGGACCGTGCGACCGCGTTGCGCGCGATCGTCTCGTCGATCGACGAGTCGGTGGTCGATTGGTTCTACCAGAACTCGCTCGTGTTCACGGCGGCGAAACACCCGTGCTGGGGCGACGTGGAAAAGAACGGGAGCAGCAAGCGGCCGCGCAAGAAGTACGGCCGTGTTTTGCGCGCCGACGTGGAGGGCGTGGACAACATTATCGAGGAGAGGTTCGAAGAAGGCTGCGACTTCATTCTGGACTCGCTGGAGGACTACGATAGCGATAGCGAGTAAAGTGGATATGCCGTTTCTGTTCTATAATGCACTGGGGAACTTTTCGTAGAAGCGTCTTTCGAGTGCCTCGACGTCGTCGTCGCTGAAGCTGTCGCGCGCCGGCCGCGGCTTCTGGGGCGTCGACTTGTTGGAGCTCAGATGCTCCGGTTTCTTTGGCCGGGGTGGGGGTTTCTTGGAGCTGGTTCTCGATCGGTTCCGCAACGGGGTCGACGGGGTCGACACTTCGACGCTGCTGACGCGACTCAGCAGTGCGTCCTGGTAGCTCAGCTTCTCGCCGGCGTCTCTATGGGACGAGGACGCAGACAGCGAGGAGTACGGCGACGTGGCTGACGAGCTCGGCGTAGCAAACGGCGGTGGCGAGGTGTTTGTCGTTCTGGTGGGCGTGATCACCTTGATCGGGATCTTGTTGACCTTGGCCTTCGCCGGCGGCGGCATGCTGTCGCTTTCGGTGTATTTCCCGTACCCGTGTGCCGTTTTCGCCGGAGGCGGCGACTGCTTGCGGTTCAGCAGCATGTGCACTCTGCGCTGGATCGAGTTCGACCGTTTGGGCGGCCGGTGCGCAGGCACACTGGGCTTTTCTGCGCGCGGCGTGGTCTGGTCGTCCTCGACGAACGTTTCCGACGCAGACGAGCACGAGTTCGAGTCCGCGCGGTAGATCGTCGTGAACTCGTGCAGCGAGTCTGTGCTGCGGTTCGAGCCGGACGGGTTTCTGCTCCTGATGGAAGAATAGGACGGGTTTCTGCTCGACTCGCGCGATCTCCCGCCGGTTAACAGGTCCTTAATCGAGGAAATGCTCGACCGTTTATGGTGGCCGGTGTTGGACGTTTTCAGGCTTGCAAAGCGCGACTTGAAGCTGTCGCCTGTTCTCTGTGGCGTGGCGCTCTTGATGAAGTCGACAGAGCTGTTGATGTTGTTGTGGTGGTTCGGAGAGAGCTCCAGCACCTCCTCCCTGGTCATGCCATCGATGAGGTCGGCGCGCGACACGGGCGCAGACGCCTGTTTGTGGAGGCTGGCGGCAGACATGCTGAGCGGGCGCGACTTGGAGGCCCTTCCGGAGACCCCAGGACGCGCAAACGACTGCACAAGATCCGACGTGGACTTGTTATTGGACGGCGCCACAAACTTGGTTTTGTCGAGCGTGGCAAATGGGTCCTTCGCCATGATTTTTTCAGAGTACGACTTCTGCAACCCATGCTCTTTGGAAGGGACCTTGGCTACCGCGTTTTTCACCGAAGGGGCAGCAAGCTCCTCTGTCGCCGCAAACCGCCGCGGCATAGGTGGTGGCTGCGCAGCAGGAACGCTCTGCGACTGGTCTGCGGCCTTGGCGATGTTCGGATACGGAACGCCGCGCATCTTGCACACCTCCTCCAGTAGCTGGAAGACGGTCGGCCTCTTCTTCGGGTCCACCATCAGACACCTCGCAATCACGTTCTTCAGTCTTGCGCTGTACGGGGGAGTAGGAGGGAACGAGTACAGGCCGTGCAGAATGGCATACTCGCCGCCTCCACGGTTGCCGTTGCCGTTGATGGAGTTCTGCTCGAACGGCGTCGTGTAGTAGCACAGCTTGTACAGAAACACGCCCAACGCCCAAATATCCGACTTCTCGTCGATCGGCTGCCCTTTGTACAGGTCTATCATTTCCGGGCAGCGGTACTGGGGCGTAGTGTGCTTCATTATGTCGTTCTGCAGAATCTCGAACTCCTCGACGTTGCGCGGCGGCCTCAGCGGCGGCGACGCCGACCCGAAGTCGCAGAGCTTGTAGTGCCTGTCGGCGGAAAGCAGCACGTTTTCGATCTTGATGTCCTTATGGATTAGCGGAGGATTCAGTGCGTGCATGTGGGCCACGCCCTCAGTGATCTCGCCCATGATCTGCAGAATCTCCGGCTCCTTCAGCTTGTTCACCAGCCGCGTGTTCATGAAATCGATCAGGCCGTTGCCAGAACAGTACTCCATCAACAGGAACACCTCGTATCCTACCCCGTTGGCCATCCGCGAGGCGTGCGAGTCGATGTACGATACAATGCAGCTTTTCCCCTGGAGCCGTCTCATGGCGTCGACCTCCTGGCGAAGCACGTTCAGCGTCGGTTTGTCGGGCACGGCCACTCTTTTCAGACATGCTATTTTGTGATCTTGCCAGGCTGGGCTGATACGGCACGTGTACACGTGCGCAAAGCCTCCCTGGGACAAATACTTCTCGATGACAACTTTGTGCGAGCCCACAGTCAATGCGGTGCCCGGCTTGTACACCGAAGGCGGGGCTCCGGCGGTCATGGCTGTTCGAGGCTGGTATCACACTGGGAAATATATGAAAAAATGAATGCTGTGGTCGTCTGGCTGCTGCAGCGTGATTCTCAGGGCTTGATTGGTCTGGATCAGTGGTTTGCAAGCGGCAGTTCCCTCTTGTATGCTTGCAGCCTCAACCACCTTTAATGTACAGCTGGTTTTATTTAATATTTTATAAACAACTCAGGAAAAGTCGTGCGCGCACACACCTTTTTCTCAGTAGGGCTTGAATCTCTTGGAGTCCTTCTTGTGCTTCTTTTTCTTGTGTTTTTGGCGCGACTCCGGCTTTGCCTCCTTCTGCTTCGTGCTGGCAACGGGCTGCGGCGCGCTGCCGAAAAAGGCGGCGCCCGTGTCCGCCACAGAACACGGTGCTTTCCACAGCTTCACCAAATTGTCCTCTCCTGCAGTGTACACCATGTTGTCCAGCACCAGCACGTCGCGGACCACCTCTTCGCCGTGGGCGTCGGGGAAGTACACCGGCGACTCGCTCGAGAAGTCGAAATTCTCCACAACAGGGTCGAAACGGTACATCTTCAGCTGGTGCTTCGAGTTCGACCCGCAAAAAACGTAGCCCGGAGCCTGCAGATCCACCACGTACTCGCACCCCCACTTTTCGCGAACGTCGCCGAATTCTTTGGGCAGCGGCTCGACGTGCTCCTCGGTGCGGTGGTCGTTCAGCTCGTGCACAGCAAACGTCTCCATGTGCGACAGCGTGTATATTCTGTTCGGCGAGAGGAAATTCGCCGAATGGATCGACGTGAAGTTGATCACCTGCAGCAAAGCGTCGTCCTCCTCGGGCACAGAGAGATCGTAGATATTCACGTAGCCGTCGGTCGACCCGCTCAAAAGCAGCTGTCTGTTGGACGGGTGGAACCGCGCCTCGGTGATGTCGTCGTTGTGCGAGTCTACAAAAGTCCTGAACGGCTGCGTCGGCTTGCGCAGGTCCCAGAGAATCAGCTCCGAGTCGGACCCACTGAGTTCTGTTCCTGCTACCAGCATGTTGCAGCAGGCGTCGAGGGACAGAAACGGCAGTTTGCGGGCGTTCGAAAAGGCGTGTGTCTCGCTGTTGCTTCGCGCGTCCCAGACCTTTACGGTGCCGTCGTTCGAGCAGCTGGCAAGGGTGTGCAAGTCCACGGCCTTGATTTTATTGATGGAGCGTGAATGTGCGCTGAGCGTACCGATCGTTTGCAGCGTTTTGGACAGAAGGTGGATTCTGCCGCTAGAGGAGGCAACGGCAACGTTGCCGGCCACAGCAGCCAAACCCAGCGCCCAGTCGTCGCAGTGGAAACTGGAAACGAAAGCCGCGTTCATGGAAACTAGGTGAAAAAATTCGCAGCACAGCCGGATAATGAACTGTAGCCAGGCGGGCCGTAGTTTGGGCGTTTGGGACGGTTTGGACACCCGAGAAGGACGGCAACGTTGAGCAAAAATCCAGCTCTGACGTGGTGCTTTCCACGCGACGAGCGGCCTCTCCGTTCCTCAGATCCACCCCCTTCTCAAAATTCCTCCTCTGGATTATTTTTTTTACCATTTTCTTAGTTCATGTCTGGCAAAGTACAGCCGTCCCAGGAGGAGATCGAGCTCGAAACTCGCAGGTTCAAGAGCACGGCGACGCCAGAGCTTCAGGAGAGCCTCTACGTACACGACGTGTACAACGACATCGCCCAGCACTTCTCGCAGACAAGATACAAGCCGTGGCCTATGGTGGCCCAGTTTCTGGGGTCCATCTCCGACTACTCGCTAGGAGTGGACGTCGGGTGCGGGAACGGCAAGTACCTGACGGTGAACCCAAAGCTGTACATTGTTGGGTCGGATTATTCGACAGGTCTGGTCGACCAGGCTGTGCAGCTTCACCAGAGAGAATTTAACGATCTGCTGGTAGCAGACGGGATGATGTTGCCGCACGAGACCAAGAGGTTTGATTTTGCCGTGTCGATTGCGGTGGTGCACCATTTCAGCACGAAGGAGCGGCGCGTCGCGGCGATCTGCGAGATCCTACGGGTGGTGCGGAGCGGCGGCCGCGCCTTGGTGTACTGCTGGGCCTTGGAGCAGGAGAAGTCGCGCCGCGGGTACAGAGAGGGCATGGAGCAGGATATACTGGTGCCGTGGGTGACGAAAGATGGAACAACTCGAATGAGATATTATCATTTATATAAGAAAGGCGAACTGGAGGAGGACTGTGTGGCCGCTGGAGGAAGAGTTGTGCAGAGCGGATATGAGAAAGACAACTGGTGGGTAATCGTTGAGCGGATATAGATGGGTAAATGACTATATGACTATATTGACACGTTGGGGCTGTTTGCGTAAGTCATCGCGGTGCGACGTTCGTGTTTGCCTTTCTTCATGAGCTGTTTCAGAGCCACGCCGTCGAGCGGATCGAGCAGCTCGAACGAGCACAGCAGCTCCTCGGAAACGGACATGACGGCCCCCCAGTTGTCGAACTCGCCGCAGTAGTTCGGGGCAGAGAACACGGTCACCAGTGACCGGTCGTTGAAAAACTCGTATCCGTCCTCAACGACCATGTGTGCACGCACCACGAGGTCGAATTGGAACTTGTTGAGGAACTTGTTGATAGCCACCTTGTTGAAACAGTAAGACACTCCTCGCTCGTTGTCCTCCCATTCGTTCGGGGTATCTGCTGGGTCCGACCAGAGCAGGTCGTTCAGCAGACCAAAGTCCGGCACGTCTGTGGGCCGTTTGATCATTCTTATTTCGTCCATGGAATTCAGCACCGGCGACAGCCCGCCGTGCACACAGAAGATCTTGGACGCGACGATTGCTGCGATCGGCAGCGTGTTGAACGTGTCGATAAATATCTTCCATGTCTTGAGGTTCGCTCTTCGCTTGCATTCATCGTAAAACCCGTAGGCCCTTGTGATCTGCGCACACTCGTGGTTTCCTCGTAGCAGGAAGAAATTCTCGGGGTACTTGATCTTGTAGCACAGGAGCAGCAAGATGGTTTCCAGCGACTGTTTGCCCCGGTCGACGTAATCTCCCAGGAACAGATAGTTGCTTGCCGGGGGGAACCCGCATTTGGTGAAGATGCGGATCAGGTCGCTGTACTGGCCGTGGACGTCGCCCACGATCTTCACGGGCGCGCTGAGTTCCAGCAGCGTAGGCTGGCTCAGGAATATTTCTCTTGCTGTGGAGCATATCATCTGAATTTCGGAGTTCTTGAGGCATATGGCCTTGGTTCTCTTGCCCGAGTAGCCAGCGTCCAGCAGCCGTTGGATCAGGTCCTCGATGTCCAGCACGCCCTGGTCCTGCGATGCTGCTGGCTCCGGGGCCCTGTACGACCCGGACTTGTACGAGCTCGCCATTGGCGATACCTGCGGGTTTGGAATATCGATGGACTGCGGCAGATTGGGCACGCTCGAGGCGAGCGACGAGGACGAGTTCACGCGCAGTATCGGCGACTTGGGCGGCACAGAAAGCATGCTGGGCGGAATGTCGATGTTGAGGTTTTCCATCTCGCCTGTGAGCTCCGTGAGACTCTTGGACGAGTCCCGTCTGTTTATTATGGGGGAGGACGAAACCGTCTTGAAGCTGGCGGTCTCGCTCGCCGAGCGCCGCGACCGAATTGAGCGCGTGCTCCTTCCGGAGGCCGATGTGTCTGTCCTGGAAAACTGCGGATTTTTGGGCTTAGACGGTTCGTTACCCATTTTAGTTGTGATAAACTTTTTGTAAAAAAACTTGAGGGGCAAGGAAAGAATAAGTCGCCTGGATATTTTATTAGGCTGGCTCTGAAACCAGCAAAAGCTAACTATTTCACCTCCAGGATTTTAAATGGTGCTAGCAGGCATATTCAGCCATTTAGACGACAGCCTCTGATTGCCCGCCGTCTTTTGCAACACTACATTTCTAACCAACTGCCAGACCAGCTACTCGACTCGCTACTTCTGCCATGCCACTAAAATCACTGCCCCGGCTTTCCTCAAGTCCTCTGTGCCAGAGCCCAAAGTTGTCAATTCTGTCTGCAAGCATACCTCTCAGGGCTGTGCAGAAAATTTTATCGTATGCTTTTTTGTGTGCGACCGCTCCTCCCCACTGTCCGGCAGTCGGCCGCCGCGCTCGCGAGAATCGACCCGGCGTACTACACAGACCACGTGCGGTACCACGCCGCGCTCGACCCCGCGAGCGAGCAGACGCGCGACCTGCGCGAGCTGTACACCGCCTTTGGCAAGTTGACACACGAGGCAGTTCTCCCCCGGCAAACCAAGGTCCGCTACTACGAGGAGCTGATCCGGACCTTTGTGCGGCTCGATTTTGGTGTCTACGCAAGCACGCAACCGCGTTTGGCCCAAATCAATGGCAAGCTCGGGCCCAGCACTCTCAAAGAGGTCCTGCTGGCCAATCCGGGCCGCAGGTGGTCCAGCTACGAGCTCTTCGAACAGCACTCCACCTCCGACCGCGATGTGAAGCATATTGTGCTGCAACGCCTTGTGGACGGCGAAAAAGCCGACACAGAGCCCGAAGACATCAAGATCTCCTTTTTCAAGGCGCGCAACATCCTGAAGCTGGCGGCCGATAGTTTCGCCGATTTGGGGCAGGATTCCCAGAAGAGGCTGGTCACCGACTTCTTCGCTCTGGAGCTGGACTCGTATATCGCTGTCCTGCCCCTGGACGTCGATGTCAGAAAACAGCTGCTGGAGCTGCCAGATCTCACGCCCAAACAGCGTCTCAGTCTGCTGACGCTGGATCTGCCGGATCCGGTGCTCATCGAGAACCTCGTGCCGATTGCTCGCGCAGGAAAGCTTGAAACATCGGAAAACGAGAAACTGATGCACGAACAGCTCGGCTTCCTGCCGGCTCTGGACCCTGAAAAAACTGCCTGGAAATTAATTCAGGTTCTCGAGCCTCTGCCTCAGGCCGCGGCTGCCATCGCAAAAGCGCGCGGATTTTTCCTGGAGAAACCGCAGGCCGTGCCGCCGGACTCGCTGGCCGCCAGTCTAGACGAGCTCAACTTTCTCATCGGCGCACACGAGACCGTGCGCACGGGAGCTACGCCTGTTCTTGTCGAGACGACCAGTCCGCAGATTGCGTGCGCAAAAATCCTGCTGCACGCGTGGAACGGCTGCCAAGACGAGGCGCTGGACGAGTACAATGCAGCAATCACCAAGTGGGGCGCAGAAACAGACACCAGCAGCCAGCTGGTGTACTGTCTCGTTCTTGCTACGTTGCTACAGCACGACGTGCAACTGGCGCAGTACATCCGCAAAAGAGCGGTCGACGCGGGTCTCGTGAGCAAGAGCGCCGACCGACGCGTCGCCGACACGATGAAGACCTACGGCGACCTCGTCGAGGAGAAGAGAGACGCGCGCCAGGGCCTCCAAAACGAAGTGCTATCCACCCTCGTGCATTTGGCAGAAACTGTGGAGACCGCCTAGTCACGTGACTATTCACAAGCTTACAGAAAAAGATCTGAGGACGAAAAGTTGGTGAAAAATCTTGATCCCAGCATGTCCAGCAACATCACTTGGCACCACAACCTCACGACCGAGGAGCGCAACAAACTGACTGGCCAGAAAGGCGCCACCGTGTGGCTGACCGGGCTGAGCGCGTCCGGAAAGAGCACGATCGCATGCGGTCTCGAGAGACTGCTGCTGACCAAGGGAATCAATGCCTACAGACTGGACGGCGACAACGTCCGGTTCGGTCTGAACAAGGACCTGGGTTTCAGCGAGAAGGACCGTGCCGAGAACATCCGTCGTATTTCTGAGGTTTCGAAGCTTTTTGCCGACTCGTCTGCTATTGCTATCACGTCTTTTATTTCTCCGTACAAAGGTGACAGAGCACAGGCCAGACAACTTCACGAAGAGGCCGGCCTTCCGTTTGTCGAGGTGTTTGTCGACGTGCCGCTGGAGGTGGCCGAAAAGAGAGACCCCAAGGGCCTGTACAAGAAGGCCCGGGAGGGCCTTATCAAGAACTTCACTGGCATCGACGACCCGTATGAGGCTCCCGAAAAGCCGGAGATCCACCTGGACACCAGCACGACCGGCGTCGAGCAGTGCATCACGACGATTGCCGAGTACCTTGCGTCGCACGGGATCGTGCCTAACTAGATTCTAATGTCATGCATGTAGTTATCAATTGTAGGTTTCCGCAAAATCGTCCCAGAGCTCGTCCACGTGCTGCCACGACTTGTAGCCGTACTCCCAGATGTTGAGGTCGTGGCCGGCGAGCGCCTGGAACGTCTCGATCGGGTTCTGTGTCCACAGCGTGTCTGGAACGTCCAGGCTCGCGAGATCGAGGCCAGGAGACGAGACGTCCGGCAGCTGCGGCCGGTAGCTGGCAAGCAGGTTCTGGACCTTGGTGTGCTTGACGGTGGCGTCCTTGTTGCCCTCGCTGGCCATTTTCGCGACGATCGCAAGTGACGAGTCCAGGAAGCGCGAGCACTCGTCAGTGTTGAACTGCAGCACGTCGCCGCAGATGAAGAACGTCAGACACGCGCTGTAGATGTAGTCGAGGTCCATGACGCCGTAGGTCGCGAGCATGCCCTCGTTGGCGCACGAGTTGGCGATGTAGACCGTCATCTGCGCGGCGTTGAGGCAGATTGTGAGGAGCTCGCACAGGTCGGTGGTGATTTTGAAGTCGGGGTCTGTCTTCTTCATCTCCACCAGACTGTACAAAAACGGGATCGTGGTGAGATGGATGCAGAAACAGCGATTGAGGTGGAGCGAGCACACCAGCCGCTTGTGTTTGAGGTCGTCGGACGTGGCGTTGTACTGCAGCTGCAGCTCGCGCGGCAGCGTCTCGTTCCACTCGACCAGTTGCTGGATGATGCCTCCCAAGATCTCCGTCCAGTCGGAGGTCTTGCCGAGCCGATAGATCGCGCGGAATATGTTTTCCGAGATGGCGCTGAGCTTGATGTAGGTTGCAAACTGCGCGGCGGCCGTCGGGTTGGGCACATCCTTGCACAGCATCTGCGGCAGCGGGCACGAGATGTCCTGCGACTGCAGGAGCGACGGCTCGCCCATTTTCGCCGCGAGCGTCTTGTTGAGCCCGTACGAGACCCAGAACACGCGCGCCTGGAGGTCTGCCTCGCGCGACGTGGGCGAGAGCTCGTTCTTGCTGAGCCCGATGTGGCTCGCGAGCTGGATGGCCATGTTCGAGTAGAGCATGCAGTCGTCGTCGCGGCCGAGCGAGCGGAAGAAGAGGCTCGCGAGCGTCAGAGTCGCCACCGCAATGTAGTTTTCGGGCTCGCTTTTGATCTGCGTGCAGGGCAGCACCAGCGTGAGTCCGCTGGAGAGCAAGTACCCGGTAATTGGGTCGGCACTTCGGGTGTACTTGGTGCCCAGGGCCATGACGACAAAGCAGAGAGCGCGGAACTGGATCGAGGGGTGGTCTGCGAGGCCGCCGAACCGCGTGGACGGGTCGTACGTCTGCGACAGCTGGGTTTTCAGCAGATCGACGTCGTACGGAAAATAAATATCGTTGAGGAAGAAGTGCGACCGGTCGACAAGAAACATGGCCTCCTGGAACGTGAGGCACTTGAGATAGCTCACCACGCGTGTCCTGTCGGGTTTAGGCAGCCGGGTGGCCGCGGCGTCCGGCTCCAGGGGATGAATCTTGATTTTGTCCAAGCTCTCGAGTCTCGTTCTAAAAGAGGAAATAGGCCCCGTGGTATCTGAGGGCGGCGCCGGTACCGTCTCGCGCGCGGAGCGCGCCGCCGCTAGCTCCCGCTGCAGCCGCTCGATCGTGCCGAGCATCTCCTGGTACTTGGAGTAAAGCACCGAGATTCGTCTTTCGTACGGCGAGTACACACACCGGATCTTGAGCTTGAGACAGCGGTCGCACGGATCGGAGCCCGAGCACCGGTTCTTGCGTCGTTTGCACGAGTCGCAGCTGGTGTGTTAGAGTCTGTCGTCGCGAGACTTACGCCTTCTTGTTTCTGTTCGACACAGAGAGCTGGATTTCCGACATGTATTAATTCCTGGGCTCATCCTAAAAAAGATAAGCTAGTGTTTTTGTTATGTAAGCTGGAGTCATTTTTTCATTTATTTTCTTCTCATGCGATGGCACAGGATCCGGGTCTCCATCCGGACGCAGCTGATAGCACTCGTGCTGTTCGTAGCGCTGTTTTCGCTGTTTGTGCTGGCCATCGTGGCCGGCATCTACTTCACGTGGGTCTTTAGCGGGGCGAGGGTCGAAAAACTGCAGGTTGTGGCAGAGCTCAAGGCTTCGCAAATAAAACAAAGTTTCACGTTTTTCTACTACCAGATCTACTTTTTGAGCAAGCGGGACACGCTCGAGGACGCGCTGAGCTACCGCAAGGCGGGAAACACGTCTTACTCCGTCACCGCAGACGCCGTCAAGATAATTGAACAAACACTCGACTCGTCTGCCTCGCTGAACGCCGCGCGGCTCTACGACGTCAACCTGTCGCTGATCGCGAACGTGTCGAACCGCGAGGCGGCCGCCAAAATCGCCGCAGACTCGCTCGAACGCCTGTACGTTCTGGGCCACAACGACTCTGCCGAGGTGACCGATCAGCTGACCGAACGGCTCGGCTACGTTGCCGGGCCCATATACTACAACACCTCATATTTCATATCTCTGACGCTGCCCGTGTACTCGAACTCGTCTGTGCTGCTCTCGACGCCCAACTTGAGCGGCTACATCTCCGTCATCGTCAACGTGGACTCGGTCAAGGACGTCATAAACGGCGCGTCGACCGACGACTACGCTGGCATCTATCTTTTGAAAGCGCTCAACACCACCGCCAAAGCAACGCCCCCCGACAAGTACTCGTACGTGTTCGAGCCCCGCGACAGCGAGTACAACATCTCGTCCTATCCGCCTGCCGAGGCCGTCTTCATCCACAACAAGGACATCGGCTACGCCGACTTGCGGAACCCATTTGGAGAGCGGGTTTCCGTCGGATACGCCAAGGTGGATCTCACGTACGCCAACTGGATGATCTCTGTGGAGCAGAGCCACGGCAAGTTCATGGAGCCGACCTATCGGCTGACCAAACTGCTTGTGGGTGTGTGCATCGGGATTGCCGCGTTTCTGTGTTTCGTGACGTTCCCGCTTGCGCATTACGGCGTGCGGCCAATTCTGAAGCTGCAGAAGGCCACCGAGCAGGTCACGGAGGGCCGTGGGCTGCGCACGCAAAAGCGGCGCAAGAGAAACGGAGCCATTTTCAGCTTTGACCGCGGAGACAGCACCCGGCGCGCAAACAATCAGAGCACGGACGACTTGCCGCCGCTGCCGCCGGGGCCGGCAGGCAGCCAGTTCGCGAAGGGTAGCAGGCACGGCCCGCTCGGCAGGCTGCGACGACTGATGGTCCCGAAAAGCGTCAGCGACACAGATCACGTGAAAACGGAGTCGAGCAACACGAGCGACGAGAAGCTGTTTGGGCGCGAGCTCGACGACGAGCAGCGCGACACCACGGGCCGCGCCGTGCCAAGCCGGCAGTCTCACGAGAGCTTCCCCGACTGGGCCGCCAGCGGGCGCGTGCCGACGCCGGCGATCGTGCAGGGCAAGGGCCTCTTCTACGACGAGCTGAGCGAGCTCACGGAGGCGTTCAACGCGATGACCGAGGAGCTGGACCTGCAGTACGCACATCTCGAGGACCGTGTGCGGGCTCGGACCAAGGAGCTGGAGGTGGCCAAGACCCAGGCCGACGCGGCGCGGCAGCAGGCGGAGGCGGCGAACGAGGCCAAGACGGTGTTCATCGCCAACATCTCGCACGAGCTGCGCACGCCGCTCAACGGCATCCTCGGCATGACGTCGGTGGCCATGGCCGAGACCGACGTCGACCGCATCCACTCGTCGCTGGAGCTCATTTTCCGCAGCGGCGAGCTCCTGCTGCACATCCTTACACAGCTTCTGACGTTCAGCAAGAACCAGCTGCAGCGGTCGAAGCTGCAGAAGCGCACGTTCCAGATCTCGGAGCTCGCGTCGCAGACAGAGTCCATTTTCGGCAAGACCGCGCTCGACCAGAAGGTGAGGCTCGAGCTGGCCGTGAAGCCGTCTGTTCTGCGCCACATGGTGCTGTTTGCCGACTCCAACCGCCTCATGCAGGTGATCATGAACCTCGTGAGCAACTCGCTCAAGTTCACGCCCGAGGAGGGCGTCGTGACGATCTCGATGCGCATTCTGGGCGAGTACGACGCGCAGCGGTCGCGCGAGGCCAACTACGCGAGCGTCTTCATCAAGAACAACCCGGCGTACTCGTCTGCTGCGCCCGCCGGCTCGGACGCCGCGAGCGTCGACACCATGGCGTCAGGCAGCTACAGCAGCGTGCTGGCCGCGTCGTACAACCACGGCACCGAGCTGCGCGCCAGCGTCGACTCGCTCACGTCCGGACTCGACGACGGTGGGTACCTGGATAGCCAGAAGGAGAGAAAAATGTACACCAAGTTCAGCAAACCGATCAAATGGGTGTTCGAGCTGACCATCACCGACACCGGGCCGGGCATCGACGAGTCGCTGCACGACAAGATCTTCGAGGCTTTCGTGCAGGGCGACCAGACTCTGTCGCGGTCGTACGGGGGCACCGGTCTGGGGCTGTCGATCTGCAAGCAGTTCGCGCAGATGATGCACGGAACGCTGACGTTGCGGTCGAAGGTGGGCGAAGGCTCGTCGTTCACGTTCACGATTCCTGTTCCGCAGGTTGGCGAGTGCCCGTACGAGGAGCCGGCGCCGAAACGGGTCAGCTTCGCGAACGGGGCGACGTCGGTGCCCGAGATGCCGACGGTAGAGTCGGCGTACATGGGCAAGCCGGATCTGATCACGAGAGCGTCGACGGGCACGGCGCAGTCCCACAGAAAATCGTCCAACAGCTCGAACGTGTCCAGCGCGGCGTCGTCGAGCAGCACGAGTCCAATCAAGGTGCTCATTGCCGAGGACAACCTCGTCAACCAGGAGGTGATCAAGCGGATGCTGAAGCTGGAGGGCATCTCCGACGTGACCATGGCGTGCGACGGGATCGAGGCGAGCGAGTTCATGACGGAGGCCGTCGAGAACAACAAGACGTACGACCTGGTGTTCATGGACGTGCAGATGCCCAACATGGACGGTCTTTCCGCGACGAAGTACTTCCGCGAGGAGCTCCGGTACACGGGGCCGATCGTCGCGCTGACGGCGTTTGCCGACCAGAGCAACAAGGACGACTGCCTGAAGGTGGGCATGTCGGGCTTTCTGTCGAAGCCGATCAGCAGAGCCTTGCTGCGGCGCATTCTGCACGACTTCTGTCCTCAGCTGTGTGCGAGCACAGAAAATCATAGAGTTTAACGCTATTATTCCTCGTCCGAGCTACTTAGTTCCACCATCGTGGGCGTCTCGTGCGTCCCGTAGATCCTCTGTCTGCGTAGTGTTTCGTCCCTCGTTCTTTCGAGCGACTTCTCTGTTTTCGCCGTGCTCAGCAGCTGTGCCACGCGCTCCGACCGGGCCGCCGCCTCGTCCTGCTCTTTGCGCCTTTCGAACATGCGCTGCGTCGGGTTGAACCCGATGCGCACCATCGTTTGCGGGTCGAACGCGACCTTCGTGGCCCTCTGCCGGCTCTCGCGCGACTCCGGCGTCTCGAGACTCGTGTCTTTGAGCGTGTCGCCGTCGGCGAGCGCGACAAGCTTCTGGCGTAGTCGCTTCTCGTTTTTCACGCGTGCCAGCCGCGATTTTGCGCTCTGCAGATCGTTGATCAGTTTTGGGTTCGCGTAAGAGTCGTCGAAAAACGCCTTCGACACGTCCGGGTTCGAGAAGTACAGCCGGCCCACGTCCTCCTTCGGGACCGACGCGTCAGCGACCATCAGCCCGTCCAGCTGCTCGCGGCCGTTTCTGCGCTTGGTGGACATGTACATCGCCTGCTTCACGCCGTCCTCTGTCGGGGTGAACATCCTGGAGTTGCCGGTGAGCTCGAGCCGTTTGGACGCGGTCCGGTTGAAGCTGAGCTCGGTGTGGTAGTCGCAGTACTGCGTCTTGGAGAGGTCGACCGGCGCGCGGCACAGAGAGCCGTCTTTCTTGACCGACTTGCAGAGCCCAAAGTCACGTGCGTGGCCGATCTCGAGGATCGCGTCGTAGTCCTCCTTCAGCGAGAGCGCAAACCCGGCGCGCTCGCGCAGCACCCATATCTGCGGGTTCAGCACCGCCACGACGTCTCCGAGCCGCAGCTTGTAGTATTTTCTGAACGCTTTGGAGAAGAGCGTGAGCGTGAGCTGCTGCTTTAGATTGGACAGCTGAACCGACATGTACTTCGTTTTATCGCTGGCCGTCTGCTTGGCCTCCGATTTCGCCGCCACGACGCCGACAACGGCGAAATTCGCGTACTGCGGCGGGTCGAAGTTGGGCGCGTGGATCTTGGCCAGCGCGTGGTGCACACGCAGCGGCTCGATATTTTTCAGCAGCTTTTCGAGCGTGTCCTGCGAGTAGTACCGTTTTGAGAGCCTGTTTTTCGAGTACGTGTCGACGTCGTCGACCGCGTCGTTGGTCCTCTGGCGCAGCAGCTCCTCGTCGAACGAGAGCACGCGCAACTCGCGCACCTGCTCCTGGAACTTGCGTCGTTTTTCTGTCTCGTGCGACAACTGCCGGTTGAAAGTGTCGAGCCGCCGCGCGAACGAGCTCGTGTCGGGCTTCGCGGTGCTGATTCTGGCCAGGACCTTCTTCTCGGCCGCGCAGTGCTTGCGGAAGTACGGGGTGGCGGCCGACTCTCGCGGATCCTCCTCGTCAGACTCGACCGCACTTTGGGCTTTTTTCTGCTCCTTCAGCGTGCGGATCTGGTGCAGCTGGTCCAGGATCTTGTCCTCGAGGTCGGAAAGGTCTATGTTAGAGCCTAATGGGGCGTGTGGGCCGCCAAACGCGTGAACTTACCGTCTTCAGCCATAGAGTTTGAAAGAGACACCTCCCACCGAGTCAAGCCATTTATTTATTTTATTTCATTATTTTATTTTATTTTTCTAGCATGGAGACCACGGGCGACAACGAGCTGAATGCCGCACAGGTGCAGTCATCGGCCGGTGTTGCAGACTCCGGCAACGTGGAGATTGTGTGCACATTTTTCCAGCTCGACCCGAGCGCGGTTTCGCAGCCGGACGTGGTCGACAAACTGCTGGCCAAGATGCACGAGTTTCAGGAACAGAGCGCCTCGAAGCAGGTTTTGGAGCTCGATTTCGAGCAGTTCCGGCACACGGCCAGCAGGAAGATAGAGCAGCTTGTGGAAGACAGCCAGAAGAAGGCCCGCGAGATAGAGGAGCTGCACAAGCAGGTGGAGGTGCTGGAACAAGAAAAAACGCAGATTGTCGAGGCGAGCCGCGAGACGGCCGAAAAAGCCAGCGAGCTGGAGGCAAAGGCGGCTCAGGAGGCCGAGTCCAAGCGGACGGCGTACCAATTGCTCGACAAGAAGCAGCAGGAGGTGATAGATCTGGGGCAGGAGATAGGACGGCTGTCCGAGCTCAACAAGACGCTGCGAGAGAGCGTGTTCACTCTGGAGAGCGCAAAGGAGAACGCTGTCTCGGAGTCGCTCAAGGCCAAGTTCGAGACCACGCGTCTGGAGCAGGAATTGCAGCTGACGAAGCAGACGTCGTCGTGGTTCGAGACAGAGCTGAACCGCAAGGCTGACGAGCTGGCGCGGCTGCGTGAGGAGAGCCGGTCGCAGAAGACGGCTTTACAGAGCGAGCTAGAGGCTTTGAAGCAGGAGTACGCGGTGGCGAAAAGCTCTGTGCAGAGTTTGAGCGATTCGTTGCGGGAGATCGGCGTGAAGCACGACAAGACGCTGGTGGAGGTGAAGAACCTGCGGGATAAGCTGGCGCTGCAGCAGCAGGAGTTTGCCGAGGAAATGGCCGGCAAGGACCGTCTCAACCAGCTGTTGGAGAAGTCTGCCAGCGACCGCAAGCAGCGGATCGAGGAGCTGGAGAAGATGTACGCGGAGCTGAGCGACCGGGTGGCTTCGGAGGAGGCCGACTACAGACAGCAGTTCGAGACGCTGCAAGAGCAGCTGACGGCCAAGGAGACGGAGCTGCGCGAGATGGAGAGCACAGTGGCCAACCAGTCGGATTACGACACGACCAACGTTCTGGGCGACCTCGGCCGGGGCAACAGCGTTGTTCTGACGCCGTTGTCGCAAAAAGTGCTGAAGAACATGGGCGACGCGTACTCTGTGACGGAGCTCGTTTCGGAGAGCAACCGGCTGCGGAAGGAGCTGAACAAGGAGAAGCGGCTGCGTGCGCGGGTGGAGTCCGAGCTCGGGGCGATCTTCAAGGAGCTGGAGGCACGGATGCCGCTGCTGCAGTCGTACAAGGACAAGTGCGAGGAATACGAGGCGCGGCAAACGCAGCTGAGCGCGATTCTGGACTCGATGAAGAAGGAGAACAGCGTTCTTGCAGGGCAGCACGACGCTCTGCGCAAGAAGCAGGAGGAGACACTGGTGCAGGTGCGCGAGCTGACGCAGTACAACACGGACCTGAAGCGGCAGGTGGCGGTGCTGCTGGCGCAGGTGACGCTGCGAGAGTCTGGCGAGGAGCCGTTGAGCAGGGCGGAGAAGCAGCAGCTGGGCGACCTGGCGGAGCGTCCCGAAGAGACCGAGACGGCCAGCCTGATCACGGAGCGGCTTTCGACGTTCAGAAGCATTCCGGAGCTGCTGGAGAAGAACAGGCAGCTATTGGCGGTGTCGAGGCGGCTGGGCAACGAGCTGGAGCGCGGCGAGAGCCACGCAGACGAGGCCGAGAACGAGGCGCTCGAGAAGGCGACCCAGGCGATCCAGAAGCTGCAGCAGCAGCTTCAGCAGACAGAGACGCGGCTGGAGGCCGTGAGCAACAGCAGAGACATGCTGCAGAAGCTGGTGGAGGGCCGTGAGGCGGAAACCAGTCCGGCGGCGGACGTGAGTCGGCTGCAGACGCTGGCCGAGGAGCAGCAGAAGCAGATGGAGTCGCTGAAGAAAGACTACGGCGTGACGATTGAGAACTTGAACGTGCAGGTGCGCGAGCTGACGGGCGAGAAGCTGCAGCTGTCGCTGGATCTGTCGCGCGCGCGGTCGTCGTGCGAGCTGCTGGCCGAGCAGAACCGGTCGGCGGCGTATCTGCACGAGCTGGCGAAGTCTGAGGTGGCGGAGCTGAAGAAGAGCGCCGGACTGATGCAGCAGAACCTGACGCAATTGGAAAACCGTGTCCAACAGCTGACCGAGGAGCTGCTGGCGTCGAAGAGCTCGCAGAGCGGGCTGGAGGCGCGCGTGAAGGCGCTGACGTCGGAAAAGAGTCTGTGGCAGAGCATGGAGTCGCGGCTGCGCGCAGACATCAACGGCCTGGTCGACGAGAAGACGCGGCTGGCGACGACGGTCGCCAAGATGCAGGCGCTGGACAACGAGCGCACGGCGTCGTACGAGGCGGCGACGGCCCGTCTGGGCGAGAATCTGGCCGCCGTCGAGAACGAGCTGCAGAGCACGCGGGCCAAGCTGGAGAGCAGCAACGAGGAAATCAAACGGATACTGCACTCGAAAAACTCGGACGCGCAGACGTACCAGAAACGGATCGACGCGCTTTCGGGCGAGGTGGCGTCGTTGCGCGAGAGCCTGGCCTCGAAGAGCAGCAACGTCGAGCAGCTGAGCGAGCAACTGGCCACAGTGAACAGAAAATACCAGGAGATCTCGAACCGCAAGAACTCGGCGATGGCGGCGATCAACGCGTCCGGCGACACGGCCGAGGACGTGGTGGCGCTCAAGCGCGAGCTGACGCAGACGCTGGAAGACCTGGAGCTGGCGAACGCCAACGCGGAACAGTACAAGGAGGTTGCGAACGCGGCGGAGCGGGAGCTGGCTGCGCTGAACGAGACGTACGAGAAGTTCCGCCAGGCGTCCGAGGAGAGCGAGCAAGCGCGGGCAGCGGACTGCGAGAAGCTGCGGGGCGAGCTGGCGCGGGCTTTGGAGCAGCGCGACGGGCTGGAGAAGCGTGTTTTGGAGCTGGAGACCGCCAACAGAGACCTGCAGGCCAAAGTTGGCGAGCTGAACGCGACGATCGACTCGTTCGACGCGGTCAAGAAGGACTACGAGACACAGTTTGCCAAGCTGCGCGACGAGATGGGCGGTGTTCAGGCTGCGCTGCGCGAGAAGCAGCAGGAGGTGGCGGGCAAGACGGACGAGTGGCAGCAGCTCGCTGCTGAGCGCGAGAAGGCGCAGGGTCTGGTTGGCGAGCTGCAACAGCGTGTTCAGGGCCTCGAGGCGCAGCTGGCGGGCGCGAGAGCGGACGTTTCTGCCGCCGAGGAGCGGCTGGAGCAGGAGAAGCAGGAGCTGGTGCGGGAGCTGCGGGCCAAGGAAGCGCGCGTGACGGAGCTGGACGTGCAGAACCGCACGCTGATCAACCAGCTGGAGAGTCGGGTGAGCGTGGGCGACGTGGGCGAGGACGGCGACATGAAGAGTCTGATCACGTACTTGCACAGAGAGAGAGACTCGCTGGCACAGCAGCTGGAGTACTCCCGCGTGGAGGAGAAGCGGCTGCGGCAGGCCGCTGCTTTGGCGCAGAGCGAGGCGGCGGAGGCTCGAGCAGAGCTTGCGCGGGTGCAGGAGGAGAGCGCGTCGAGCACGAAGTACACGGAGGTGTTGGCGGAAATGCAGGCGGCGGGCCACGAGCTGGAGCTGTTCAAGGATAACAACAGACAGTTGCGCGAGGAGAACTCGCGGCTGGCTGCCCGTCTGGAGCAGCTGGAGCAGCGCGCGGCGGCGGCGGAGCAGAAGTGCGGCCCGCTGGAGCAGCAGGTTGCGCAGCTACAGAGTGAGCTGGAGATCCGCGAGTCGCAGCAGCAGCTAGTGGTGTCGCAGATGGAGTACTGGAAGAAGCGTGTGGAGGAGAAGGGAGAGGAGAGCGGCAGCACGGCGGAGGTGGCTAACTTACAGAGCGAGCTGGAGGCGGCGCGCAACAGCGAGCGGCAGCTGCAGGAGCGGTACGACAAGCTGCGCGCCGAGGCGCAGGACAAGCTGAACAAGAGCCGTGTCGCGCGGCAGCAGCTGAACACGGAGAAGGACGCGTTGGCCGCGAGAATCCGGGAGCTGGAGCAGCAGGCGCAGCAGGCGCAGCCTGACACCGCGACGTCCGAGCTGGAGCAGAAAGTGCGCGACGCGGTGGCGGCCAGCTCGCGGATCAAGGTCGACTACGATATCCAGGTGAACCGGCTGGAGGCCGAGATCAGCCGGCTCAGGGCCGAGATCAAGCAGAGCCAGCCGGTAGACGAGGCTGCGATCCGCCAACAGATCAAGGCGGAGTGCGACGCGGAGCTGGAAGCCCACAAAAAACGAATCCGCGCACCCGTGCAGGCGAAGATCAACGAGGTGATTGAGCAACGGTGGAAGGCGCGCAAGGAGGAGCTGGAGAAGGAGTTTGCGCAGAAACAGAGCGCCACGGACGAGCTGCTGAAGCGGTTTGAGCAGGAAAAGGAGCAGCTGAAGAAGGACACCACCGCGGCGATCCGCAAGGAAACCGAGTTCAAGGAGAATATTCTGAAGAAGCAGCTGGCGTCGTTGCGCGAGAAGGTCAAGACGCTGGAGGCCAAGCGGCCTGCGCCCGCCGAGGACGACCGCGCCGACGAAAAGCGGGCAAAGACGGATAACTAGTGTAATATTAATTCTTATTTGGCGATATGTATTGCAGGTTGGTGGACTCGACGGAGCGGAAGAGCACGCTGGATCCGGCGGGCTGGACGATCAGGCCGTCGACGCAGATGCGGCGCAGACGGGCGTCCTGCTCGTGGATCTCCAGCTCGACAGTGCGCGCCTTAAGGTAGCCGACGCGCGGGTCCTGGACGTGCTTGCCCGCGTTGTACGCCTGGCCCATGATCTCCATCACGGTGGCCGGGGGCTGGTGGTGGAAGTACACCACGTGGAGCGCATTTTCTGCCGGGTCGGAAGCGGGCGAGATCTCGAACGTTGCTTCGAACCGCGGCACGGCAGCGACGACAAAATAGCTGAGTGCGGCGTGGTTTTCCACTGCAAGCCCGTCTGCGCGGAACGAGCCGTGGAACACGGGGTTTTGCTCGAGAACGCGCCGCGCGGCGACTTTGAACCGCTCGTTGCCGAGCTTGCGCAGCTCGGGCGAGTCCGAGTCGGCCACCAAGCACGCGTGCAGCCCCCACGACCCAACTACGAGGAACCGCACGCTAGACACGGGTTGCGCGCCCCCTTGCGCGAGCAGCTGCGACCCCTGCTCAAAGACGGCCTCGTACAACCGCAGCGCGCGCGTAGTGCCCGTGGTGAGCGCGTGGACAGCTGCCAGCGGCGTCGACAGCCCGATAGAGTGCGCAAACGCGTTGCCCGTGCCCATTGGCACCGTCAGCAGCGTCACGGTGGCGTTTCTGGCGACGGAATTGACGAGCTCCGTGATAGTGGTGTCGCCGGAGATTAAAATGAGCAGCGTAGGGGCGCCGCTGACGCTGGCGGCCACTTCGCGGATAGTTTCTGGCGACGTGGTGGCAACGTAGCGGTGCGAAAGGTTCCAGCTGTCCAGAAGGGGCAACAGCAGCTGTTTGTAGACGTCCTTGGTCGGCACTCTGTTGCCCGACTTGACGGAGTCAAGGACAACGATGCTGGTGGCCTGGAGAAGCGGCGGGACGGGGGCGCCTCCGCTGCCTTGCGGCGTCCAGAGATACTCCGACGGCGATTCTGTAACAAGGACGGGACCTGTTCCTGTGATAATGAGAGACATGAGTTGGCACAGCCACGGGGGACGGGAATAAGTGGCCCTGTCTGCGACGGAGTTTGTGTGGTGTGGCTGGTGGGGGTGAGCTGCCATAACAGCCGCAAGCTGCGGGCCTTGGAGGACTGCCGTGCAGTCCGACCGGTCGTCGAATGGCCTGCATCATCCTACCTACCGGCACACCTGCGCCGGCCCCTCTCGCTGCCTCCTTCTCGGGCCCTGCCCGCCCAACGCCAATTGGACCAATCACGGGTCCGCCTTACCTAATACAAGCCAGTAGTGCACGATCCAGTGAAAAAAATTGTTAGCCAAAAAAGAACAAAATAACCGTTTACTCTTTAGCGATGGAGTCTCTAGCTCGCAAGTCCAAGGCTATTTGCCCATTCATGAAACACCAGTCTGCGTCTGCGCTCAGACAGATGGCGCAGTCGTCGTCTCTGGCCGCCAAGGCCCACAGCTGTCCCGTTGTCGGCCCTGCTCTCGAGGCCAGGCGGTCGTACAGCACTCCTTCCAAGCCGGTCGGCGCGCAGGCCACAGACGCCCTGTCGCCTAAGACGGTCGCTCCCGACGTTGCCAGCCCGGTCTTTCTGCATGGCTCGTCCAACGAGACCAGTTTCGACTACGAGGCGGTGTTCGAGGAGCAGGTCAACGAGAAACGGCGCGACAAGTCGTACCGGTTTTTCAACAACATCAACCGGCTGGCCAGGGAGTTCCCGAAGGCTCATTTGGCCAAGGAGGACGACAAGGTGACTGTCTGGTGCTCGAACGATTATCTGGGCATGGGCAAGAACCAGGAGGTTTTGGAGACTATGAACAGGACCATGCTCAAGTACGGCACCGGGGCCGGCGGAACGCGCAACATTGCGGGCCACAACCGGCATGCGATCGCGCTGGAGGCCGAGCTGGCCGCCCTGCACAAGAAGGAGGGTGCGCTGGTGTTCTCGTCGTGCTTTGTGGCCAACGACGCTGTGCTGTCGCTGCTGGGCCAGAAGATGAAGGATCTTGTGATTTTCTCGGACGAGCTCAACCACGCGTCGATGATTGTGGGCATCCGCAACTCGAGGGCTCGCAAGCACATTTTCCAGCACAACAACCTCGAGCAACTGGAGTCTCTGCTGGCCCAGTACCCGAAGTCGACGCCCAAGCTGATTGCGTTTGAGAGCGTGTACTCGATGTGCGGCTCGGTCGCTCCGATCGAGAAAATCTGCGACCTGGCCGACAAGTACGGTGCTCTGACGTTCCTGGACGAAGTCCACGCCGTGGGCATGTACGGCCCGCACGGCGCGGGTGTTGCCGAGCACCTCGACTTCGAGGCGCATCTGGAGGCAGGCATTGCGTCGCCGGCCTTCACGACCGTCTCGGACCGCGTCGACATGATCACCGGCACGCTGGGCAAGTCGTTTGGCACCGTCGGCGGCTACATCGCTGCGTCTGCCAGGATGGTCGACTGGATCCGCTCTTTCGCTCCGGGCTTCATCTTCACCACCACCCTGCCTCCCGCGCTGATGGCCGGCACCACCGCGTCCATCAGAATCGTGAGAAAGAACCTCGTGGACCGCGTCAACCAGCAGAAGAACGTCAGATACGTCAAGAAGCAGTTCGAGCAGCTGGGCATCCCGGTCATCCCGAACCCGTCCCACATCGTCCCGCTGCTCGTTGGCAACGCGGCGCAGGCCAAACACGCCTCCGACATCCTGCTGGACCAGCACAAGATCTATGTGCAGGCCATCAACTTCCCGACGGTTGCACGCGGCGAGGAGCGGCTCAGAATCACTCCGTCGCCTCACCACTCGAAGGACATCTCCGACGCGCTGATTGAGGCGGTCGACGACGTCTGGACCAGGGTCGGCCTCAAGCGCGTCGCTGACTGGGAGCGCGAGGGCGGACTGTGCGGCGTCGGCTCGCCGGTGCCACGCGCAGACAACTTGTGGACCGACGAGCAGCTGGCCCTGACCAACGCCGACCTCAACAGAAACGTGGTCGACCCGGTCGTCGAGCAGCTCGCCACCTCGTCCGGCGTCGCGCTGTAAGCCGCCTCGCCGTGTGTGTTCTTTGTCTGTCTACGTGTGGTGTATATAAGGAAAAGTATATTCGGCTGCTGTCGTTGAATGTGCAAGCTAGTCCTCGTAGTCCGGCAGCTCCTCGTACGGCGTGTTGAATTGCGCCGGCGGATACGGCGGATTGTACACGGCCTCCATCTCGTCCCAGGACTTCCTCAGGTACCGCTCCATCTCCTGGCATTTTTTCGCGAACGCGAGCTGGTCGAACGTCTTGCCCGAGTCGAACTCTCTCATCAGCTGCTCCTTGTAGTAGCCGATGTGTCTCTGGAGGTTGTTGAGGCGGAATTCGCACCAGTCGCGGTAGAACTCGTTGTACAGCGCGCGCGGCAGCACCGACGGCTTCGTGCTGGTGAGCAGGTTGTTGTCGAGGTGTTCTGGGCCGGCCAGACAGAAGCCGCCCACAGAGGTGATTCTGTTGGAGTTGGTGACGGGCTTTGTGGCGACGTGGCGCAGCACCATGCCCTGGATCAGCGTCGCCCAGCCGACCTTGGGGTCCGGCACCCGCACCATCTGGTTGTCGCCCGTGATGATGCCCGTTTCGCCGCCGATCGCGGAGTCGCCGAAGTCCAGCATGATGACGAGCGCAAACGCAGACGAGTCGTAGTGCAGCCCGAGCGTCGACGGCACGTCGTTGCCGCCCGCCTTGGTCTGCGCCTCGTACACTTTCAGCTGCTCTTCTCTGGAAGCCGCGAACTGTGCCGCGTCCTCTGGCTTCAGGCTCGCCAGCGACACGTTGAGGTGGCCGTACTCGGCGTTGAACACGTGCTCGACCTTGGTCTTGGTGAATCCTTCGAGGATTTTGCCCAGCTCCGGCGACGTGAACAGCGCGTTGGAAAATGGCGCTTTTTTCGAGCAGTGTCCGCCGATGTGGAAGTCCAGTCTGTTCGCGCCCTTGGACAGGTTCGGGACCCTGGCGTAGTCGCGCAGAACGTCTGGCTGCAACGCCTCCCACAGCAGCATGTCCACGGCCTCCTGGGAGATCAGCGGGAACGGGAACGCGGCCGCAAAGTCGGTGACGGGCTTGACTCTGGTTTTCTTGATGTTCAGGTCGCTGAGGGTGAACTGCTGCGTGGTCTTGTAGTACTCTGGCCTGAAAATAAGGTGTTTGGCCGGGTCGAACCTGAGGTTTGGGTCGAAAGTCGGCTTGGCCTCCAGTTTCTCGCGCAACGCAGCAACCTCGAGGTCGAGCGTCTCCTGCGGCACGTCGTAGTCGTGGTTGCCGGAGATGTAGTTCACGGCGTGGCCAAGCTCTTTCTGGGGCGTGGGATACGGGGACTCAATAGTGACGGTCATGGGAACTTATCGGAGCGCAAGGACGAAGCTCGCATATTTATAGTGCCTCGAAAACGCGATAGAGATAAGAAAATCGCCAATTCCCTATTTGGCAAACGAGATTAAAAATGCAGCAGCTCGCCTTTTATTTTTTTATTTTAATCTGTGCAGCGGCCGTCGGCAATCTTGTTCAGCTGCTCAAACAGCCACGCGCTGGAAAACGTCGCCAGACCGATCGCCTTGCTGTGGAGCGCCATGTTACGGTCGTCGGTCACAAGAATGTGGTAGCGGAAGACGCTTGCCTCGTGCCGGTCCAGTAGCCGCGCGCCGCGGTTGATTGCTGCGCCCTCGCCCTGTAGAACGCTCTTGCTGCTGTCGTCGCTCAGCTTGACGGCCTTGATGATTATGTCGTCTGTGTGGTTGCGCCAGTTCTGGTTCTGCTCGAACTCGAGCGTCTCGTTCAGCGACGAGGCCACCGTGCCGTCTGCCCTGATCGGCGTGATCTGCTGGTCTGCAAACAGCTGCCGCACAATGATCACCGCGCGGGTGGCCGAGTCTGCCACGGAGTTGTCTGCGGACCGTCTGAGCGACCGCAGCTCCTGGAAAACCGTCAGCGGAATCGCCAGACGGAACAGCCCCGACCGCACGCACTTGTACACCTTGCCGCAGTGCTTGAGCCACGTGTTGGTGTCCAGCGAGATCATCGTCACCTCCGTGTCCATTTTCTCGCCCAAATTGCCCGCCACGGCCACCGCCGCCGGCGCGTACGGAGCCGTGTTTCTGTCCGAAACGTCCTCGCCCGAGGAGTCCTCGTACTCCTCGTCTAGCTCGTCCATTCCCATAAAAGAGCTGTACTCTGAGGCAGACCCCGAATTAGAGCCCAGATCCTGTTTGTAAATATACTCCGACATGAACCCAGGCGAGTTGTAGTCCCAGCTCGGCAGCGACGACGCCGGCAGCTCCACGAGTTCCCCGCCCGGTTGCACGCAGATCTTGCCGTTCGGCGGCTCCACCAGGCTCTTGAGCCGTGGGTCCTGGCAGAAATAGCCCACGCTCGTGTTGCTCTGCTCGTACCGCGACACGTCAGGGTTCACCCTGTACTTGAAAACAGAGCCGGCAAGGACGAGGCCAAATTCGGGGAAGTTGGACGCGATGAACGACGCCAGAGAGTACACGCGCAAAAACCGGTGCACGTCCTGCTGCGCGTCGTACCTGATGCCGGCCGTCGGAATGTCGAAGATGTCGCCAACAACGCCGGTCTCGTCGACCGACTGGTAGTCGCCCTTGAGAGCGACCTGGTCGAACCACACAGACCCCCAGCACTTCCACGCCTCCCAGAGCGTTTCGTTTTCTGAAAAATAGTCCAAAATGTTCTGCAGACGGCCGTGCTGGAAATCTGCCGCGTGGTCAGGCATTTCTTTCCGTATGGCGCCCGACGTGGCAACCAGAAAAGCCACGTCGTTCAGGTACGGAACGAGCCGCATCCACGGGATGTAGCGAGCCACAAAGTACGTGAACAGCGGCCGCGAGGCCGGATATTTGCGGGTGGCCTTGCCAACGGCGACGATGAAGTACAGCCACACGATCACGTGCGGCGTGGACGAGGGGAGCGGGCCCATGACGTACTTCTTCAGCATCTTCATGCTGAGCTCGATCACGCCCTTGTTGACAAAATCCAGCAGCGTGAACCAGGACGACTCGTCCTGCTCGTCGGCAGTGGAGTTGTAGATGGCCTCGGAGTCGAGCGTCTTGGCAAGGTCCTCTGTCTGGTCCGTCTTGGACTTTCTGCGCTTGTCTTTCTTGTCCCTGCGCTGCTTGAGAGCCTCTGGAAGCCCAAACAGCTTGGCAAACGGGTTGCGGCAGTCGCCAAACCCGATCAGGTGGTTTATGTTGCATGATGCAAAGTTGGCTCCTTTCTGGAACCAGAAATTAAGCTTCTCGGTCGATAGAGCCGACCGCAGGTCGCCTCTGAGCTGGAAGTAGTCAATGCTAGAGCTGCCGAGGCCGAAATGCGAAGAGTAGTGCGAAACGAGGTTGGTCATCTCCAGGTTTGTGCTGTAGTTGGGCATCAGCAGGATCTTGTGGATTTTCACGAAATCGATCATCGCCATCTCGATGGACGTCAGGATGCTGCGCTGCGCACACACGTTGTCCACAATCAGCCGCAGATACTGCAAGGACGGCACAAACGGGTCGCGGCACGTGACGCTCTTGCCGATATCCACAAGAGCTTCCAGGTTGTCGTTTTCAACGGTGCACATGTGGTAGTATATCTTGCCGTGGCCGAACTGCGTGCGCATCGCCAGCTGGTACCAGTACACGGACGAGATCTTCCAGTCCATGTAGCGCGCCGGATACAGGGCGATGGCCATCCGCGACAAGTCGCCGAGCTTCTCGGCCCACCATCCTTCGACGCCCAGCTGCGAGTCTGTGAGACAGCTGATGATGTTGAAGGCGTACGCGATGAAGCACCCGCACACCTCGTGGTCGACAAAAATCGCCGCCACGTTCTTGAGCACCTCGAGAAACGACACCACGCCGTACACCCACATTCGGCGCAAAATCCGATAGTTGGTCACCAGCGGCTTGCCGGCCCGCGCAGACGTGGGCGACAGCGCATACAGCAGGAAGTCGTAGTAGTGGTCGAGCAACTGGACGATGTTCTTGTACACGTGCCACAGCTGCGGCGTGATTTCGGTGCTGGCGTCGTTCTCGATCAAGCGTTCGTTCACCTCGGCACAGCCCTGCTGGGTCTCCACCTCGAGCCGCAGGATCGCCTTGTACGTTTCCTGGAGGTTCGCGGCTAGCGTGTGCTCCTCCTCCGTGATGGCCCGCTGCGGCTGCAGCTGCAACGCCACGGGGGGCTGCGACAGCACTGTGTCCGTGCTAGGTCTGCGGTCCTGCAGGGCCTTCTCGGGCAACGATTCGGGCGAGTTCGAGTGGGCGTTGCTCCCCTTTGTGGCCGGAACCTCGTTCAGCTCGCTGGAGTTCTCGATGCTCACGTCCGGCTCGATCGGCTTGTCAATCGCCTTGCCTTTGGGAGACCCAGGCACGTCAATAGTCACGACGGTGGGGGGCGGGGTCTTCGAGCCCTTGGTGCGCGACTGGGGCTTTGTCGTGGCCGTGGAGTACGCCCCGCGCTTCGTGGATATGCCCTGGTTGAGGTAGCTCTGGGAATTATGGCGTTTCTGCTGCACTGACGGCTTCGTGGCCGTCATGCTGGCGGGCCGGGTCCGTCCCAGCTGCGGGCTGTACTGGAGCGCGTGTCTGAGCCCAGGATGTTCGGTAGCATCTTTCTGTGGAGTCATGAGGGAGCCACGCGACAGATAACCGGCACTTTCAGGGCACAAAATTAAGTTGCTGATATATTGTCCGGTGGTGAAACAAAATATAACGCAAATTACCTAATCGATAGCCTTACTTTATTTTATTGATTTTATTTATTCTTCTATTTTCCTAGCACAGACTCGAACAGCGAAACTGTCTGCTCGGTGATTGGCTCGCTCGCGTCGAAGTCGAGCGTAAACACGGAGATCGTGCCCTCGCAGTTGCCATTGTTGATGACGGTGTACTCGTCTGGCAGCTCGCAGTCGCCGGCGGCGCAGTTCTGCACCGCGAGCGTGGTCAGCGTTTTCTGCTCCATGTTCTCTGCCGTGCTGTTGTACGCCACTTTGTACGCAAGGCTCTTCGATCCGGTGAACCGCGTGTGTCTGAACGTGAGCTCTCTGCACGAGGCGTCGATGTCGGAGCCCGCGGGAGGGAAGTTGACGTTCAGCCCGTACGCCTCCGGCAGCAGACGGCCGCTGTCGTCCTGGCTCTTTGCCAGCGTCTCGACGACCTCGAGGGCGTACTTGGAGTAGATGTTAGGGGCGTGCTCCGGGTCGTCGTCCAGGTTGTCCTTGAAGAACGAGTTGTTGGAGTTTGCTCCGGAGAACGCAATGGCGGGATATCCGCGCTCTGTGGCGTAGTAGGCGGAGCCGATGGTTCCCGAAATAACGTAGTCTCTCTCGCCAAGGTTGGTGCCCTCGTTCGGACCACCCAGAACGATGTCAATGGTCATGTTGTCGAAGAACTTTGGAATCACATAGTCCAGTCCGAGGGCCACGCACGCGGCCGGCGACCCGTCGAAATACCACACATTCGGGTCGTCCTCCTCATGGCCCCACGCTGGCGACCCGGCTGGCGGGTAGTTGAAGAGTGCGGCGGAAGTGAGGGTCGAGTTTGGTGGGAGGATGAATCTGCCTCCGTTTCCGGAGTACTGTCTAGCAGGTGCGACCATGACGACGTTGTGGCCAGCTGCCTTGAGGTCTCTGTAGAAGGCCCTAATGTTGGTGGCAGCCCAGCCGTCGTCGTTGGTGAGAAGAATGTTTTTAGCGGAAGCTGCAACCATGGAGGTCGCAAGAACGAGAAGAGAAGTGAATTGCATTGGTAACTGTGCTGGAACAGTGCATGGGGAATTTGTCGGTTATAAACCATTCGTTGCAACGTAATTAGGGGGGCATGGGGGGCAAAAACGGAGCGGCAGGTGCTTGCGGCACTGCGGCGCCGCTGTTCTACCAGGATGGAATGTAGATTAATTAACGTCGTTCTGGGCAACCGCACCTCATTTGTTCATGATTTCGACGCATCGGGAAGTAATGCAACACATGGTCTCATAGAAGAAGCTAATTAAATGCATCTTGCGCTCGGTATAGTTCATCCGCCAACTCATTTCAGACACGCCCGCGGGTTGAATCCCGGCGCTCGGGTCGCCATCGGATCTTGCCAGCGGAATAGAGCGTCTAACGCAGCTGCCGCGCACATGGTGGCCAATTGGCTTCGAGCAAAGCGAAAAAAATGTCTTTCTCCGCGCGGCTACGGCGCACGTGCCTGGGAGCCAGGGCCATCACTTCCCAAACGAGTGCACAGGAAAAAAAAATAATCCGGGTACCAAGGGCTCCACCACGTTTATGCAATTTAGAGTAAACAGCGTGCAGTCTCTCACGTTGGAGGCAATTCACCATCGGCAGGGCCCCAGATCGGCTTATAAATTCTCGAGATCCCGCAATTGTCCCGTGTCACAAATGCAATTCACTTCTCTTCTCGTTCTTGCGACCTCCATGGTTGCAGCTTCCGCTAAAAACATTCTTCTCACCAACGACGACGGCTGGGCTGCCACCAACATTAGGGCCTTCTACAGAGACCTCAAGGCAGCTGGCCACAACGTCGTCATGGTCGCACCTGCTGTGCAGATGTCTGGCAACGGTGGAAAGTTCCAGCTTGCGGCCTCCAACACGCTCGAGACAGACGCTGAATTCGGATACCCACCAGCGGGCTCTCCTTCGTGGGGCCACGAGGAGAACGACCTGAACATGTGGTACTACAACGGCACGCCTGCTGCTTGCGTGGCGGTGGCCTTGGACTACATTCTGCCCACCTATTTCAACAACATGACCGTCGACGTCGTCCTTGGCGGTCCGAACGAGGGAGACAATCTCGGAGAAAGAGATTTCGTTCTTTCCGGAACGATTGGGGCCGTCTACTACGCCACAGAAAGAGGCTATCCCGCCATTGCGCTCTCTGCAGCAAATTCCAACAACTCGTTCTTCAAAGACAACCTGGACGACGACCCCAACCACGCCCCTAACATCTACTCCAGGAAGTCTGTTGAGCTGGTCAACGCTCTATTTGAGAAGCAGGGTGACAACCAGAGATTGCTTCCGCTTTCCACGGGGTTGAACGTCAATTTCCCAGCTGCCGGTTCCGACCTTGGGTCTGACTGTATGGACCCAGTGTTCTACCACTCGAGACTAACGGGCCAGGGCTTCTACGCCTATGGTGCAGCAGTCAACGAGACGACCAATACCGTTGATTACGGCTCTGCTTATCTCAACGCGCTTGGCGTGTGCTCTGCCGGCGATTGCTCGCTGCCTGCTGAGTTTGATATCGTCAGCAACTGTGCTTCTTCCATCTCTGTGTTCTCGCTGGACCCAGACTCTAAGAAAGACGTGACAGACGGTGTCATCGCCAAGTTCGACTCTATCCTGAGCTGAAGCTAAATAAGATACTCAATAGAAAGACTAAAGTAGACGTGTCACTGGTTCATGGCTCTGGTGAGGTACTCGCCAAAAAGCACACCGATTCTGTCGACCCCCACGTTTCTCATTCTGTTCAGCCCCACGTAGGCTCTTCTGAACCGTTGCAGCTGCGCGATCGACACTTCGCGCGTCGGCATCTCCACCACACACTCTCCACCTTCGACGTTCACCCGCACAACTCCCCCGATCCCGTTCATCTCCTGGTACTGGACCACTTCTTGGACCACGCGCGCGGTCACCCGGTCTAGCTCCTGGAGAAAGTTGATTTCTATCGCTGGCTTCGTCACCGTGGACTGGTTCGGCCGAGGACCCCTTTTAAGGACAATTGCAGCCCATATGTCATCGAACGGCAGCTCTGGGTCGTCAAACCCCACAGGGATCAGCGGAGAGTCCCATTTGTTTTGTCCGTCTGGCTCCTCGTACCGTAGCACAAGTTCTTTCATCACCTTCTCATCCCATTTTTCTGCTGCTTCTCTGTTTCTGTTCCACTCGAGACACTTTTCCAATGGCGTGATTACCTGGATCACACAGTGCGGCGTGCTCAACGCTTTGCTTTCGCAGTGTAATTGGTATCTAAAGCCTTTGATGTAAGCCATTGAGTCCAAAATAACGATCGTAGACTTCGAGATGTCTCTTTTCACAGCAGAGATCTGGGCCGAACGCGCAGCCTTCTCTTTGGTGGAGTCGGAGTATGCGTTTTGTTGAATTCCCAGGCTCTGGTCGTTGTGCAGAACCACCTTGAGGTTCGCCCCGGGCTCTCCTTTTCCCATACCAGCAATCTTTTCCTCCAGCTGGTTTTTCAGCCTGACTGCCCACGTAGTCTTGCCGCTCGATGGGTAGCCTGCAAACACAATCAAAGGCATGATTATTTTTTATTTTATTTTTTTATTTTTTATTTATCTGATTTTTTTGTAATTTTTTGGTACACTTTGTGCATTCCATGTCCGCCATTTCGAAGGCGGTGAGAGACGTGCAGAAGTTCTACGAGCAGTTCTCGGGCAGGAAGATTCAGAACGTGCCTGGTTTCAAGCCTCGAGTGCGATTTCCGGATTATAATGTTCCTCTGACCGACTTTCAGGGCCACCAGGTAACGGCGCTCAAAAGAATGAGGAAACTGGCCCCAGAAATAGATCTCGTGATTGAACTGCGAGATTCACGTGCTCCAATCACAACAACCAACTTTCTCCTCGACCGAATATTCAAGGGAAAGCAAAAGATCGTTCTTTACACGAAAGCTGAGAAATCCCTAATTAATCAGAAGATCATCAAGAAATGGAACGTAAGAAACGAGAGTTGGAGTTTCTTTGACAAGAAGAGGTACGACCACACAGCCAAAGTTGCCAAAATGATATTCGAGAAGTACAATCTGATGCACCCTCCGCCGCCGCTGGGCATGAAAGTCATAGTTGCAGGCATGCCAAACGTGGGAAAGTCGACATTGGTGAACAAACTGCGCCGCAAACTCGCCATTGACCAAGGGAAGAAGAAGGACGTTGCCAAAGTGGAGCGTGGGGGAGGGACCACGCGCGTTACGTCTGAGATGATCAAAATTTCAGAAGACCCGTTGATCTACATCTACGACACTCCGGGCGTGCTGATGCCCACAGTGGCAAACTCCAAGGCCATGCTGACACATGCACTTTTGCGGACTGTTGATAATACGACCGTCGACCCGATCATTGCGGCAGATTATCTCCTGTACATATGGAATCTGCTGAGTCCCGACGGCCATTTCTACCGGTCGTTCACAAAAGCTCCCACAAACGATATCCAGTATCTTCTTGAATGTGTGGCGCGAAAGAAGATGTACACCAAGAACAAGGTCAGCAAGACGCGTCCGAGTGCGTCGCCCAATGGCTACGACCTCAAAGCAGCAGCACTGGCCCTTCAAGAGGGGCTCACGATCGAGCAGACGAATCGGCTGGCTTTCGATCTCGATATGATGCGGGACCTGAGCAAAAAAGAGATTAGGGAGATAATAGAAGCGGAAAGAATAAGAGTTGGGGAGATGGAGATGGAATATCTAGACTAAGGTACATTTATTTTTTTGGCATCCGTGCACCAGATCTCTCCAACGAATGAGAAATTTGCCCTTGTAAATAACAACAAATAAAGTCTATTTCAAATAAATCCTGCTCTTCACGTTGATCGTACTTCAAGAAGGTAGTGTCTGTGAAAATGGAGACGATTCTGGATTTCAGTAAGGAATTGGACATCAAGCTGCTTGATTCCGTAGTGGACGCGTTCTACAACGGATCGGGTGAGACACAGAAAGAGGCACAAGAAGTTCTCACCAAATTTCAGAACCATCCAGACGCATGGACTCGCGCAGATCAGATTCTTCAGTACTCGTCTAATCCCCAGGCCAAGTATATCGCGTTATCGATACTGGATAATCTGATCAAGACCAAATGGAAAGCCCTTCCTGAGGAGCAACGACTGGGGATCCGTAACTTCATTGCCAGCATGATCATTGTAATGTGCGACGATGATGCGCAGTTTGTTTCCCAGAAAGCTCTTATTCAGAAGAGTGATTTGACGCTGGTCCAGATCATCAAACAAGACTGGCCTGCCAACTGGCCCAACTTCATTCCGGAGATCGTGCAGTCGAGTCGTGCTGGGTTCAACGTGTGTGAGAACAACATGGTGATCCTCAAGCTGCTGTCGGAGGAGATTTTCGACTTTTCTGCTGAGCAAATGACCCAGGCAAAAGCCAAGTCTCTCAAAACGAGAATGTGCGACGAGTTTTCAGAAATCTTCAAACTGTGCTTCGAAGTTCTCGACAAAGCTTCTAAACCTTCGCTCATAGTAGCCACGCTGAAGTCACTGCTCAGATACATTCCATGGATTCCACTCGGATACATTTTCGAAACCGATCTGCTCAATTTGCTCTCTACCAAGTTCTTGCCCGTCGAAGAGTTCAGATCCATCACTCTAAAATGCTTGACCGAAGTCTCTCAGCTCATTGCTCACCAGTACGACGATAAATTCGTGACTATGTTTGCTCTGACGACGGAAAATTTGCTAAAGATCATTCCTATTGACATAGACCTCAAAAATACATACAAGTACGCAAATTCCGCCGATCAGGAATTTTTGCAAGATTTGGCGATGTATCTTGTCACATTTCTTTCGAATCACTTGGAACCACTGGAACAGAATACCAACCTTAGGGAATTGTTGCTCGCCGCCCATCAATACCTAGTTGGACTCTCGCGGATCGAGGAAAGGGAATTGTTCAAGACATGTCTTGACTACTGGTCCAAGCTTGTTTCTGGCCTCTACCAAGAGATCCAAACACTCCCGTTACAAGACGCATCGCCTTTGATGCAACTACAATATAATACTAGAGGTGGTGCTTTGAACCCAGAGATACTCAGAAATTACAATCTCAGAAAGAATATCTATAGTGACATTCTATCGAAGTTGAGAGTCGTTATGATTGAAAACATGGTCAGACCTGAAGAAGTTTTGGTTGTGGAAAATGATGAGGGAGAAATCGTGAGAGAATTCGTCAAGGAAAGTGACACCATTCAACTCTACAAGTCGATGAGAGAGGTCTTGGTGTACTTGACACATCTGGATATAAATGATACCGAGGCGATCATGTCTGCCAAACTCGCAAGTCAGATCGACGGTTCAGAATGGTCGTGGCATAATATCAACACCTTGTGTTGGGCTATTGGATCTATCTCTGGATCGATGGATGAAGAGCGCGAAAAGAGATTCTTGGTCACCGTTATCAAGGACTTGCTTTCGCTTACCGAAATGAAGAGGGGCAAAGACAACAAGGCTGTTGTTGCTTCTAACATCATGTATATTGTTGGTCAGTACCCAAGGTTCTTGAAAGCCCATTGGAAGTTCTTGAAGACTGTTGTCAACAAACTCTTTGAGTTTATGCATGAAACTCACGAGGGTGTTCAGGATATGGCTTGTGATACGTTTATCAAAATCACCCAAAAGTGTAAGAGACATTTTGTCGTTCAACAGCAAGGTGAGACGGGACCATTCATCGACGAGATCATCCGTAACATCCAGGAGACCACATCTGATCTTCAGCCTCAGCAAGTGCATACGTTCTACGAAGCTTGTGCTACCATAATATCCGCTCAGAACAACACACAAATCAGAAATAAGCTGCTTTCCGACCTTATGCATCTGCCAAATGTCGCCTGGAGAGCTGTTGTCCAACAAGCTGGTGATGACCCACAGCTTCTTTCAAATTCAGATATCGTCAAAATTATCGCTAACGTCATCAAAACAAACGTTGCAGTTTGTACACCATTGGGCCCTGGCTTCTATACTCAACTGGGTCTTATCTATGTTGACATGTTGTCTCTTTACAATGCCGTCAGTGGATTGATTTCTGACGCCGTTGCGAATGACGGTTTGATTGCCACCAAGACGCCAAAAGTGAGAGGTTGGAGAACGATCAAAAAGGAAATTCTGATTTTGATCGAAACATATATCTCCAAAGCTGACAATCCCGAGGAGATTGTTCGTGATTTAGTTCCAAACCTGCTCTCGGCGGTTCTGCAAGATTATAAGACTAATGTTCCCGACGCTAGAGACGCAGAGGTTTTGAACTGTTTGTCCACGCTTGTCGAAAAGGTTGGAGAGCTCATTCCTGACGAGATTGTTCTTATTCTTGCCAACGTTTTCGAAGTCACGCTGAATATGATCAACAAGGACTTCACCGAGTATCCTGAACACAGAGTTGAGTTCTACAAGCTGCTGCGTGAGATTGATCTCAAAGGTTTCAATGCCTTGGTTCAATTCCCACCTGAGTCCTTCCAAGCCTTTATTGACGCGATATTGTGGGCCTTCAAGCACAACAACAGGGATGTGGAGAACACGGGTCTGACTCTCTGTGTCGAGCTCTTGAAGAATATAGAAGATTTGGGATCGAACGCTTTTGCTACAGGATTTTACAAAAATTTCTATTTCCCTATTCTCAGCGATATATTCTACGTGCTAACGGACTCTGATCACAAGGCAGGCTTTAGGCTGCAGTCCCAGCTGTTGGCTAAGCTCCTCGAATTGGTGTTGGAAAACAAGATCACAGAGCCAATTTATCAGAAGGATGCCGCTCCAGAGGGCACCCCCAACTCTCTCTACCTCAAGGAGTACATCGCCAACATGCTGATAAGTGTGTTCCCTCAGTTAAACCAGGAGCAGGTCAACAACTTCTTGCAGGCTCTTTTCTCTTCATACAACCAACAAAACAAGTTCCGAGGAACACTTAGAGATTTCCTGGTGCAAATCAAGGAATTTGGTGGAGACCCAACCGATTACTTGTTTGCTGACGACAGGGAGCAAGAGCTGTTGGAGAAAAACAGGCAGGAGAAGGAGAAAGCCCGTCTTGTCGGCGGATTGCTGAAACCTTCCGAGATGGACGAGTGAGATGACGTAATCACTTTGGCATAGAACTCTACATTAATATAAAAATAGTGAATATTGTACTAAGTTCATGCAAAATGGGTTGGATATAGCTATTCAATTGATTGATCTTCTTGGAAAACACAGCGGCAAAAAGCGTTTACAGGTTTCTGGTGAAGACATTTATCCTGAACTAGTAGGCGGGCGCCCAATTGCGACTTTTAAGGACGAGAAAACAGGAATCTTGGAAATTCTTGTTTCTAAGAAAACATTAATCAATATATTCAAAGACTGCAAGCAAGTTCTTGATGCAGGAGAGAACTGTGATGACTGGAAACTATATTATGCATCAATTGGAGTTTTAATCATGACGCCAGAGGACCGCCGCGCCGTTTTACTCAACGAAACCGTCCTAAACAAGATCATATTAAATGACCCTTGCGCAGCTGACTATCATTACAACTGCCTAGGGGCGCTTTTGAGCTGCGACCTTGCAAAGACCAACAAGTCAGCCAGCCTATGGTTTTATTTCAGAAAGGTGTCAGTTGCGAAACTCGAGGCCCTTGATTCCTCAACTCTGAACGAAATGGTGGACTTGATTCTCCTTTCTGTTGCCTCTCATCCGCGTAATTACTACGCGTGCTCATTCCTGCGTTTTCTTTTGGGAGTCTGTCGATGCAAAGGCCTTTTGGGTATATTGTATGAAAGGATATGGGACTATTGTAAATCACATCTTCACGATTTTTCGATGTGGTTGGCTTTGCTAGAAATTCTGATTGGGAAGAGCGATTATTATCTTGGGGAGCTCAAAAGATTAGGCGGTGAATTGAGAGGTGCACCGCAATACTTCGAAGAACCAGAGCTGACACGACTATATGAAGAAATCAGGCTCTGGAGTGAGCAGATCGGCACTCCGAGCTACTCTTTATACTACACGAAGCTACAACTTGGACTCCACTTGGGCTTGGATGTATGCTCGCAATATAAGCAGGAGTTTGAGGAATTTGAACAGGAACGAGATTACTTGATTGATGTCAGCTCGAGACAGCTTATATGCAAGAAAAAGCCTGTTCCGCTGGACAACGATGCGCTTTTGAAGCAAAAATTCGAAGGAATGCTCATTAGAAAACAACTGTACATAAGATATGGGCCCCTCGCAACTCGAGAAAATCGTATATAATCCATCAAAGCGGTTAGTCTATCTAGGACTTCTTGTAAGCTGGAATCTCAAACTCTGGGTGGAACTTCTGGCCCGGAAGGAAAGGCGCGATTTCAAATATATGTTTCCGCAGATCCTCAGCTTTGTGAGCTTTGAGGTCTTTATTCAACACCTTGTCTTTGTAGATCACATATTCCAAGTTTTCATTGCCGTGGCGAGCGGTTTCGGCAACAGGCATTTGCTTAAACAACTTGGGATGGAAGTCTACGCCCTCTTCCTCGCGCTTCTTCTGCTGAACTCTTTGTTCTTCCTCAATCTTGAATTTCTCGTCTGTAGCGGTGTGATGATCACGTTGCGCCAGAGCATCGGTAACCTTCTTCCATAACCGGCGGCTTTCGTAAGGTCCCTGCTCAGAAATATCTCTCACCTTCGGCTTCAAAGGAGAGCTGTGCTCACAATCAAAAAAGACCGATTTCTTACCGGTCTTGATATCTTTGATATACATCGCTTCCGTCCACTTTCCACTCAGTTCGTACAGCACCTCACCAGTCTTGGTATTCTTTATTTGTCCCTCGATCACGTTGTAGGAACCGGAAATGAACCCTTTGGTTTTGAAGTCAATGTCGGCAATTAAATTGGTTCTAGGACATTGCAATATCAAATGGTCTCCGAGCTCAAACTTCAGGGTTCCAAATAGGATGCCCCTCGCATACATGTTGGGCTGCGTCATTGTATAGTACTCACATTCGCCGCTTTCTTCATCGACGATATCCAAAAAGGAAAGCTTGGTCACACCCTCCATGATTGCTGCGGTGGAGTTGCCTAAGAACTTGGACTTCGGAACGACCATTCCATCGACTCTGATGTTGTAATCGGGAATAATGTAGAAATAGGAGGATTTTGGCGGATGGTGAGATGTTTGCTCAGCAACATAGTATGCCTGAGACCCGTCAGGAAGGTCCCAGTAACACGTAAAGTACTCTCCTAAGATCGGGTTCAATGGCTTTTTCACGGCTTTGGGAGCAATATGCCAGCACGACATGTACCATTTCACAACAGTGACAAATCGCTCAACCGGGTCGGTCGCAGAGTGTGCGGCCAGAAGGATATCCGGCTGTTGCAATTGGTTGGTAATCCGCTCCAGCATGCTCTTTCGCTCCAAAATAAAGGTCGGAAGCGTGATTCGAGATAGATCCGAGCCGGGCCGCAACTGCGAGATGATTCCCATCAAAATTGACTGACCTTGATCGTCCACTTCATCGATATCTTCAACGTCATCGGAAACTTTCTTCTCGTGATGCTTGTCCTTGTCTGAACCGGACTTGCCTGGAGGTTAGTCTTGCAATGTCACGGGGCCCAATTCTGAGCCACCGGTACTTACCAAGAAGCTTGGAGGTAAAAGAAGGCATCTTGACTCAATTGGCTTAAACACAAAAAAAAAGGGTCTAACTTCAATCTTGTCCCTGACTGATAATTCCGCGAAAACCTTACCCTCCAGAAAATATATACCCAAGCCACCTTTGACAGACGCAACCACGACATAGTTTCATGTTGCAGATAATTCAATTTTCTACAAGTTGTGTATCTACTTAAGCTGTAGCGGGCTCCTCCAGAGGCTTAGCGGCGCTGCTGGCACTGCTGCCGGCACTTAGTGTTGCGCTGACCTTTGCGTCGTCTCCGCTCTTCAGCTTCTTTGCACTGGCCCCATTCTTGTCGCCTTTCCGTTTCTTGCTTTCTTTCTTGACTGGGCGCTGCTCGTCCTCTGAGTACACGTCGTCGGGCAGGTCATATAGTTTGACATGCTTGATGCTCAGGGAGTACACATCTTTGTCGAAATTGACCCAGTTTCTGCAAATTGAGTCAAAATCGGAGCACGGAACCTGAATATCCATTTTTTTGTCGCGGCCCTTCAAATCCAGCTCAAGACCAATGTATAGCTTCAGAAGGTGCACCAGGTGCTTGCCCTCTTTCTTCACGTCCTCCTCCAGCTTCACCATATCCGTGTCATCGTCAATCTCCACCTTCTTCAGGTTTTCCTTAGCGTATTTTTCCCCCTCCAGAGTCCCGTAGAGTTCACGGATTTTGAACACCTGCTCCTCAGTGTCGCAGATGTAAGACGCCGAATATGGCTTCACATAAGGATGTGCCAGCACAATACCATTGATAACCTCCAGTTTCTGAACCAATAGTCGGAGCTTGGACTCCACCATACCACTCCATTTCAAATGGGCCTCGTAAGAGTCTCTCGTGGCGGTAATCACAGTTAGATAGAACTTGTATGCAAAGAAGAAGTCATGCTTGGCAAAAAGATCCTTCCACGTTCGCTTGCCGAATTGGATATCGTTCATTATCTCCAAACCACGTTGCATCTCCTTGAGTATTATTTTCTGTGTGGAAGCGGTGATGTTGTGTGTAGCACACATAGAAGGATATGCAGGGGTGATGACCGGCATTCTATGGAGTCTGTCTTGGCCATACAGTTTTGGATTCCAGATTCTGACCGGCAACGGACCGTCCTCGATTGGCTTCAACAGCACAGGCTGAGGCCATTTCCACTGTAAGTAGATCTGGAAAAACTTAGACACAATGACTGCTCCTACAGCGTTAGGGTACAGCTGGCAAATACGAGCGACCAGCATCGCCCAAGCCACACCTCCGGGAAATCCAAACATGTTTGCGTAGATGGCTCTTCTTTGGGCCCAAAGCTTGATTGTTCGCAGGGCGTGACGGAAAACCATTTTCTGAGGCACGAGCTGGAGTATCTGGTCCGTCACTCTGGTACCGTTGAGCGCTCTCAAGTCTCTATCGTCGATGTTCCTAAGCAGGTTGTTATCCTCCAAGGTGAGGTCGAGCGGGACCTGTGGAATATCCAAACGACCGCAAATAAGATCGATATCGACACCATCGAACACGGTTTTGATAATGGGCATGAAAGCATCGGGAACGGGCTGGATTTTGTTCAGCTCTGGGCGTTTTCTTAGCAGCTCCTCGAAAACAGTAAAGAAGTCATCCCTCGTGACATGTTTCGGAACGACAACAAGGGTATCGATATCCGATCCAGGTCCATAAACACCCAGTCTGTACGAGCCAAATGTAAAGATCTTTCCTCCTGCGTCACGAGCCATTCCCTCGCTCATATTCTTGCGGCGTGAAACGGTATAGACAAACTCCTCTGTCAGCTTTTGCAGTGTGGCCAACACTTCTCGCCGTTTCTGAGTCTCGCTCTCGCTTTCAAACGAATTTTGGTTTCTTAGTTCCTCGATCATCGCGTCGTTCAGCTCATTTTCTTTAGCAGTTGGTCCCGCCGTGGATATTGGCGCTGTCACACCATATTGCTTGGTTGTTGTGCTCATACTATGCTTTCTGTCCACTTTGTTGCCTCGCGAACAAAAAAAAAAAATAATCAAATTAAATCTTAAATGCCTAATTATTAGTTTTCTATAGTACAAGATTTTCGCTTAATTCGGGCTGCGGCAGACTGGAGAGATTGAGTGGAGGCCTCGAAGAATCTCCCGATCCCGACTGGATAGTGAGCATGCCCTCGCTGGTTCCGACTCTCACCAGCGCATCCGTAGCTTCCATACACGTGATGGCTCCGTGGCCCAGATAAGCCTGATGCACCATTTTTGGTTCACCCCGTAACCCAATGATGAAGACGTTGCCCATGAGGTCCCCAACAACCAGATTATGCTTGAATACGGTGAAGTCGCTGACCATTACATTTTTCAGAATCTGGACAGCTGCCACCTTGCGCTCGTTTCTATCAACTCTGATCAGATACAATCCTGAAAATGCGTCTGCAACTACCAGGTCGCCATTTGCAAGCTTTTTCCACCCGGAGAAGTACAGAACAGGGATGCTTGAGTTGCTTTCCTCGTTTTGGAACCAGAAGCTAGGGCCGCCATAAATGCTGGTCCAAACCAGCGAATGCGACCCAATCAGCAACAAACTGTAGTCTTCAACCTGTATTATGCTGTCAAAGAGCTTGTTCACGACAGCATGGCCTTCTTGTTTCCACTCTTCGTCCAAGAAGCGCATAAGTAACAGTCCGGACTGATCCTCTTCGTCATTGACAAGCACGACAAAACAGTCGCTCAGCTTGCTTTGCAAAACGTGTCGCTCGTCTTTGCTGGTTTTGCTATTTTCTTCAAACCGACATAGGAGATCAGGCACGGGCAAGACCTTACGCACTACTATTCCGGCGTCAAAGTAATGCTCGTCAATCTTCTGTCCAGCTTTGTAAACCTCCAGACGGTCAATTCTTTTGATCTCTTCAACCTCCAAGTCGACTTCGTGTTCTTCGACCACCAAGACCACGACTTCATCGGTTTCCACTATTTCCTTCACCAACCCTGTCAAATCCATCCAGTCGTCAAGCAACACCCTTGAAGATAGATAAGTACCTTGCGCGTAGTACTTCCCTTTGATGGAAGTTACCGGAAGATTGTCCGCTTGTCTAACTTCCTTAGATATGTGTAGACTCCGATCAAGCTCGACCAAAAGCCCGAAATGGTTGCAACCTATCACGAGGTCGCCTCTGGGAATCATTTTATGAAGCATATCTACCTGCGCTTTCCTTTTTATGTTCCACTTGGTGATCTCTAATTCAGGGGGCTGGGAGTGTCCGGTCCGTAATCTTTCTGCTATAGAGAGGTCCAATTGACGCTCCGCAGTTTCAAGCGATTCCGAGTCCAGCCCTATTTCCATCTGATAAATATCACCCTGTTCACTGCTGAGTAAGTACGAACGCCCGTCAAAACACCACGACAAAAGCTTGGCCATTTTTCCGTCAACGCCGGAAAAAAGCTCCTTGGTACCGTACTGTCTGGTGGTCGTAGCCACGGACGAAAAGATTCTGCGAACAACCGGTGCTGGAATAATGTAGTGCATGTCTTCGCAGATCACAAGCAGCGCGCCAAGCGGTAGCGGTATGACCAGACTCGGGGCTGAGTTCATCAGTGGTAATCGTTTTATCAGATCTATTTCCTGCCCTATTCCGTAATAGTTCACGGAATACTTCAGATTGGCATTTCTGACCACTACGGCGAATATTGCGCCCTCTTTGTCTGCTGCTAGCAGCCGGGTCTTCAGAAAAACGGCGCTGTGCACAACTCCGTGTCCAATGTAAATGACTTGTGGTTTTTCAAATATCCGGTTCACCTGTAGTTTGGCAGCGTCTGGTCTCTTCTTCACTTGGCTAGGAGGCTCGTTCTGCAATGCCAGTCGGAAAAGCTCGGCCTTCGAATGATGAAGCTGTAACACAACCACGTATCCCTCATTGGAATAGATGAGAATGTATCTGCTCAAGTCGTCAACCTGAATAAACGGATGGACCTCAATGGTAGTGGTGACAGAGTCAAAGCGGAACCTCTGCAAAAGAATGAATCCATCGCTCCACGCAATCACTAGCAGTTGGTTGTTTTGGGTCAGAACTAGCAGCCAGTCGTGCTGAAGCCCTGGAGGTCTTATATGATTCATGGCCATAATCCTGTCTGGCAATTCAAGCGCGCTCAGCTGCTTGTACGCGTCATCTAGCAGCTGAATCCTGTATGGATGAGCCACGACGATTGTGCTGTCATGACAAAAATCGACCACGAAACACTCCACAATGGTTCCATCGTGGGTTTTCTTCACATCAAAGCTCATAAATAAATATTCTGATTATTTAATTATTACATCTGGCTTATTTCAGAACGTGAACACAGAGCTATACAGTTTGACGGCTTCTGGATTAATGCTGTTCAGTTGATCAGGATCCAGCATCTCGACATCTGGAAAAGTGAAGCGATCAATAACTGTTGGCTGTGGCAGGGGCAAGAATGGCGTCTCGGGCGAGCTTGGGGTCTCAACCTCTGGGAATGTGAATTTCTCAATAATCTCCAAAGATGAAGGCTTTGGCGGGACGGTAGGAACGAATGGCTTCGCTTCGGCTGGTCTAAAGGTGAACGTGGGTTTTTGTATCACTTCAGGAACCGCCTCGGGCTTGGAGACAACGGCACGCTCGACAAGTGTGTCTCCAGGCTGCTCTTCAAGTTTTGGTTTATTTTGCTCCACTGGTTCGGCACCTTGGGAAACGGTAGGAAGGGACCACGACGTAGGGGGTGCACCAGCTGTATCTTTGTCCTCTTCAGGCTTCTGCTGTTGCACTTTTTGCTCTGGTTGCACTGGCTGCACTGGGTCAGGCTGAGGGTCAGGCTCATTCTCTGACACGTCGTCTTCCGAATCGATCTCTATAATCTCTGGCTCTCCCTTCAGCTCCTTCTTTTCCTTCGGAAGCGGCTGTGGTTCAGGAGTAGACGAACTAGGCTTGAAATTTGCGGCTGCATTTTTTTCTTCGTCCAGACTGTTGTCCTCCTTGTCTTCCAGTGCCTCTGGGTTTTCTATTATGCTCAGTACTTTATTTGCAGTCCTGCTCCTTATTTCTCTTTTTTCCACACGTGGTTTCACAGGGGTCTCAAGTCGCATCCTGTAAGGCGAGGGCAAGCTAGAGTATTGGACCACACGTTTCTTGATTGTCGTTGGAAATGGCTGCGGATGCCGAGTAATCTTATCCTCTCTAGGAGTATATGTAGGGACGTCCACTTTGGCAGTTGGCTTCACAGATGCAGGCCGCAGCACGGTCGGATTGCTGAAGAAGCTACTTTCGTTAGGTTTGAGCCCAGAGGACGACAAAAACTGAGACTCATTCTGAGAATGACGAAATGTCTCAAGTTGCGATTGATTCTGCTGGTGCACCTTGTTGATGAGAGAAAGCACTCCCGCCACCTCGATGTCATTGAGAGGGGCATCTCCCTTGCTTTTGAAAAACTCAGAAAGCGTTCTGTTTGGATTGGCGTCACTTAGCACCGAGAGGTTTGAAACATTTGAGAGATTCGAAACATCGGCCGCGGTGCCATCGCGAGATGGCTGGGGAGAGCGTGAAAAAATCCTACGCAGTCTGCCCAACAGTCCCTGGGAGCCTGAGGACTTCGGCTCAGCTTTATCGTACGGCTTGACTTTTGTTCTATCCCTTCGAATCATCGAATCTGAGACAAAAAAATAAACGTTCAAATTACATAATTTATTTATATTTCTTCTGCTTATCTATTATGTCCATTATAGGAGCTCTTGCCTGCCAGAAAGATTCCTACCTCAAGTCTCTTGCGACAACAGTGGTGTCATGCCACAAGAAAGGAAGCAAGTACGAGGTAGAACTAGAGGACACTTTGTTGTTCCCTGAGGGTGGTGGTCAGCCAAGTGATACCGGCAAGATCTCATCGGGGAACGATGTTCTGGAGGTTGAGAGTGTGATCAGAGCAGGTCTGAAAGCCTTGCATCTGGTGGACAAGCCTTTAGAGACGGGCACCTCTGTGAACTTGAGCGTTGACTGGGAAAGACGGTTCGACCATATGCAGCAGCATACTGGCCAGCATCTTCTTTCTGCTGTGTTGGACAAGCGTGATCTGCCCACACTCAGCTGGAACATGGGAGACATGATAAATTACATAGAGATTCCTCGTAAGCTGACAGACAATGAGCGTGAGGAGGTTGCAAAAGAAGTGAACTCGCACATCACTCAGAATCTGCCAATCTCAGTTGAAGTTCCGCCAGATCGCGAGGTCGACGAAGTGAAAGGTGTGATGAGAATTATCCACATTGGCGATTTGGATGCGAATGCGTGCTGTGGCACACATTTGAAGAGTTCAGGACAGATTAAGGGGATTGTTCTATTGAATCAAATAGCAGGAAAAGGAGGCAACTCAAGACTGAATTTCATTGCTGGAGACAGAATCTTCAAGTTTGCTGAAGCGTCTCACAGTATTCTGAGAGCCTTGAACTCTGCCACTTCTGTGCAAAGCGAGCAATTGGTGGACAAGGTCAACAGTTTGGTGACTACGACCAGAAAATTGCAAAATAGAGAGTCATCATTGCTGAAGGAGCTGGCTGTTTTGACTGCCGCGGATTTGAAGACCAAAGCGGCGGAGAAGAAAACAGTGTTTTTCCACAGAGCGGATGTGGGGCTCGACTTCCTGAACCAGATGTTCAAAGACTTAAAAGATCAGCCTGGAACTTTCATATTATTATCTGGAGAAGGAAAAGCCGGAGGTGCTGCTCTGGTTTTCGGCGAGGACACAGAGCAAGTGAGCAAGGAGCTAAAGGAACAGTTGTCCGGTCTCAAAGGCGGAGGCAAAGGAAAATTTCAGGGAAAAGTGTCTGCGTACGGCAAAGGCGAGCTTGAGGCCGTGAAGCACAAATGGACATAAAATATTTATTATCGTACTGAATACATCATTTATTCGTTATGTTCTCAAGCTCAGCCTGCTCCTAAGGCTCAGCAGGCTTCTCATGGGGCTCGATTTTCTGCGCGGGTGTGTTCTGGCAATTTCGTCTTCAACCTGAATGCGTCGTAGAGTGGATATTATGGCGTCGAAGGTGGCAGAATCGGTTTGGGATGTGTGGAGACAGACAGTATTGCTCGTATCTCTTGCTGTCTCTAATGTTTCTGCGGTCTGGTCTGCTACTGAGAAGTCCGGGTTCACTGTTTCGGGGGTATTTTCCGACTCCGTGTCGGAGAACAGATGGGCAAGTCCTGGATCTATTTTTTTCAATGCAGCTTGGAGAATCTCGTACTCCTGAAAACAGTGGCAGCACACGATTTCCGCACACCGGCTTCGAGGAAGTAGAGAGCTTAGATCGTACAGTGGACGGTCACAGACAACACAATATCGTAAGTTCGAGTCTGTCGTCTTGATGTAGGCCTCGGTTTCGCTGTTCAGGGTAGAACTCGAGTTGACGCTTTGTTTGCGATAGTAGAGCGGCAGCAGTGCATCAGGAGGTGTCATATCATTGTCAATGGCGCGTTTGATATCAAATAGTGATGCCTTTTTGCGAAAACCCTTTGGGTAATGAATGTAATCTTCCACGAGTAAAAGCTCTCCGTGCGGGCTAGTCTGTGCAAGATTCGGGTGCGGAAGCGGGAAAGAGGTCAGTTGCTTGTTGTCAATGAGGTCCAATCGCGACGGACGGATTTGCAGCGAGTGCACAGCGTTCTCAAGCATTCATGAGAAACGAAAATAAGAATATTTACGTGAAATAAAACGGATATGTAATACTTTCCAAATACGGAACAATCATAATTTATCATGAAAAATAAACATATTTTAGAAGGCTAAAATAATTAAGAACATTTTTTCTGGCAGCTCCCAGTGTACCTGACGTATCGGAGACATTTGATTTTTAGCCGATAGCATTCCGGGTTTGCAATTAGCTGAGACTAGCTCTACACAAGGTAAGCCGAGGCTTCGTTGAAGCTCGGGTCACGAAAGACAGGTTTTAGAGGGAATTCCGACGTGAAGTTGCGAAACTCATACTTTGAAGTGACAAACTTAGTAAATCGCGAAAAAAATGTATGTGTGCGGCTTTAGTTTTGGAGGGATATAAAAGGCTCCCAGCTCTCATTTTATTCTGTCTCCGCTCAGTATTCCAACGATGACAAGGATTGCAATTCTGGGCGCAGGACCTTATGGAGCGTTTGCTGCAAAGAAACTCTCAAGCGTTCCTGGGTTAGACGTCACCTTGATCTCGAAAAAAAATTATATCCACATGGTCCCTGCAGTTCCGAGAAACTTTGTTACCCAGAACTTGGATGGATACTCCAGAACCCTCGAGGACATTTTTGGCAATTCGATTAGGCTAATATATGACGAGGTTGTTAGTTTTGATGATAAAAAGGCCACCACACGCAAAAATGGAGATGTCGCATTTGATGTTCTGATAGTTGCCACGGGCTCAATTCTAAATCGCGAATTTCAGCTGCCGGACACCATTGATTCTGCAGTGGAGTATTTCAAGGAGGAGTTCGAAAAGGTCAAGCGCGCAAAAAACATCACCGTTATCGGCGGCGGAATCTCAGGCTGTGAGCTCGTGGGAGAGCTGGCCTATAAATTCAAGGATGAGATAGCCAAGGGCGAGAAAAGCATTCGTCTGATACATTCCAGCTCGAACCTCTTGTCGCACTTTGAAATTGACTCTGTTAGAATGAGCATCAAGTCCCAGCTAGAAGGCATGAACGTCAAGCTCTATCTTGGTAAGCAGGCGACTCAGGACGGAGATAAGATCTATGTTGGATCTGAGGAAATCCCCTCCGACCATACCATATGGACTACGGGAGTCAAGCCTGCCACTCCAGATTCTCCGCTCGAAGGCCTTAAGAACGAAAAGGGTGAAATCAAAGTCAAATCTACCTTCCAGACACTGGCCAGCCCTAATATTTTTGCAGTTGGAGACTGTGTTGATTTCGTCATCAAGACAGCGTTTCCGCTGAAAAAGTGGGGTTCCGTTCTGACCGACAACGTAGTTGCCTACGTCCAAAACAAGCCACTTACTAAGCAGATTGTTCCGCCTACGAACGACGACAAGCCGACATGCGGTGTCAGCCTGGGTCCGGAGCAAGGAGCAGGTCAGATAGCTACGCCATTCGGCACTTTCAAGGCGCCAACCTTTCTGGTGGTGCAGTCCAAGTCCAAGACCATGCTCAAGGGAAAGTTAAGTCAGTTCTAATTACGAGACTAAGGTAGTAAATCGAAAATCAGTTAGCTACCTCACTGGAGCTTGCATTGGCAATGTGCGAATTATGGAGACCATATAGTGGTGGACTTTCTTCGCTGATAGCAGTTGCTCCACCGTAAGAACATCGTCGCATGGACCTAGGATGACTCCAGACTCTATCGTCTCCACAGAAACCATTCCACAGTTTTGTTCAATCTAGTTTCGAACCTGGTTGTGTCTCCCTCGCGAAGCAATCTCCTGCTACCATTTTTCTCGCCTTGGAACGTCCATTTTTCGGTCTTTGTGTCGCCACTTAACGAGACATAAATGATCGTCTTGTCGTCGTCATTGACTCAGAGAGCTACGGACAGACTCCAAAGGGTATTGATGACTATCAAACCTGGAAGCTGCAGTTCCGACCTTATCGGCAAGTTCTTTCGAGCTTGAGCAAGCTTGAAAAAATATTTGTCCATCCACGGTTCTCGGTGACGCTTCCCTAGGAACCGGATTTGACCAGAACATAGCCCGACTCAAGCAGATGGGTAGAGCGATGATAAGTTGCTGCTGTCAGAGCCACCAAACTTGGCAATTGCGAGGTGCCGGCGGGTACATTGGGATAGGGCAGTATTTTCGTGGCTGATGTGAAACTCGTGTCTATCAATATTATTGTGGTTTCCAGCCCTAGTTTCTTAATCAGATTGTAATTGTTGCTCAGAAGTGTTCCGGCCATGGCACCGTTACGCGCAGCCTCAAAGGCGTCAATAGCGTTGTATTTGGCGGGACATTGGCTTTCCAGGTAACCAACTAGTCATTACCCAGAAACACCTGCTGGTAGCGATAGCTGAAGATATGCGGAGCTGATAGACGAAGTTGGCGGAAGGCGTTTCCAGCGGATTCCCTGAAGGGAGCAACAAACAAGTATTCGGGTGAGAATTTTTGGTGCCTTGAATGGTGACGTTTATTTCGTGAGGAAACAAGTCTGGCGCACTGCGGTGCTATCAACTAGTACATGTTGGAAGAGTAAGAAGAACAAGTGCCAAGGGTGGCAGAAATGAGATGTATCAAGGGTATCTTTGTACCTAAAAGTGTTGCTACGTTAACAAATAAGCCGCAGAGCCACAGAGCCGCCTCTGCAGCCTGCGGAAGCTCGACAGGTTTTTCTGTATGCAAGAAAACACGCTGGATGACAACTGCGGATTGTGGCACCGCGCGCAAGTCCATGCTGCGGAACTGATACTCAATGGATGTAGCTATTGCCTGTTGAAATTGTCGATGGAAAAAGTTATATGGAGAAGGCCAGATCCAGCACACAATGAGCGTGCTCAGACAGAGGCCCGTCATCAGCTACTTGGCGCCGTCGTGAACGAGGTGACAGGATTCCTGCACAGCACCAGTGTGCAGCCGGCAATGACGAGAGAAAACAAACTGCAATGCCGCTCTTGTTGGCCAAGAGCGTGAGCGGAACACCCGTATAAAGGCTGAAAGCCGTGCTGGGATGAGGTACGACGATCTTATCCACGATGCCATATTGACCGCTTGAACTGGCCCCAGCTGGTGGCGTGTGTTTATTGTTTCCGTCCCATCAGAACCTACAAGATAGCATTAGCAAGCAGAGAGCAGTCGGTCCAGAAGAAATTTGGCTGCAGAGCTGGAGAAACACGCAGACGGTCTTCTCTTTTCTAGATTTGACAGCACCGGACCTGATCTGAGATCCAGCCAAGCTTTCCTAAAGAGAGACCTGGTCTATTGAGAAGAAAACATTAAGATCCTCTGACTTTCCAAAAAGGAAGGGCTTTGCGTACAGCTACGAAACGTGCAATTGAGTCGCGGCAGCGAAATATCTCGGTAATTTAAAGAAATTTAGAATTGTGGCATATTTTGGTAGCAGCAAATCCATCATCCGAAGAAGAGTTTGAGCTTCTGCTTTGCCCCGTCGGGTTCAGTTCCCCCTCCTTCAGGGCCTGTCTCAGCTTCTCCTCGGGCTCACACTACCGGCCTGTATCATAATGCTATTCGTATCTCACTCATGTGGTCACCTTCCAGATTTTGTAGCCAAAGAAACGAGGGCGGACAACAGCAGCATGCTAAGGATCAACGGCGAGAACAAACTCTTCACGATAAAGAAAATCGGGTTGTTAGGATTCTACAGAGATATAAACGGCAGCTCCTGTACTGTACGTTGTGACCGGCCGGACCCCGGCCTTTTCTGAGCCTGATATTCTCAATGACAATTGATTACGACGTAAAGAAGACGGACACTCCAGAAACAGTGACTTAGTAGGTGTAGACGGTTATGGAGCCACTTCGCACATAAAGGAGACCGAAGTAGCGAAAATGGTTCAATGGGATGGTTGCAACGTAGGATATATGGTGTCTGTGGACTTTGCCAAAAAGCATGAAAAAAGCGTCATGTGCCCGCTTGCCATGTTGAAGGTAGTCTTGTTCCAATTTTCAGCGGAGAGTTCACTGCACTGAACAACATCACCACCACGAGCAATTTTATCAGATGGCGCACGCTGTGGTAGCCAGAGCTGTACAGAGACACGACATTCGGTGACTCCAGATATTTCTTGCCATTTAAAAGTTGCGACAAGTTGTACGAGATGGTGATACCATAGAACAAACGACATGCACACGTATATCTACATCGCCCGGATCAGAGTGTCTCATGGCGCTAGTGATGGCTCTGTTGTCCCACAGCACTCAATCACATTAATTCAATGGCGATGTATCCTGTTGGCTAGTTCAAAATAGGCCTCGGAAGAGAACTGAGGGCCAACTGGCCGGCCCACGAAGTGTTAAAAATTTTAAATCAAGTAGCTGTCCCTTTCACCTCACCACATGTATATAAAGGTGAACACATATAATGCTGATATATCGATCAGTTTGATAACAGACAGCGGGAAGTCGGAACCACCGAACCCTCAAAGACAGGAATTTTGCGCAGAGGAAAAGAGCCCAAAATATCAGAAAATAGACTCAAAGCGACAGTGGCAACCATAAATTCATTGTCGACGAAAAGGTGAAATATTCGGCCATCAAAATGGATATCCAGACAACGTAATAAGTGTAGAAAGCCACAATTCCACAAAAGGTAGCAGGACACGCTTATGCAAATAAGCATCCAGCCCATCTCTCGAACATGGCCCAGTAAGTCGTTGGATAGCCGTAAGCGTGTCATCTGAATTTTTCTCTCTTGAGCCCAGAATGCGGGTCAAACCTCTGGTTAGAACCTCCAAGGCAAACACCCGATCTAGCTGCTAGGAAATGATCGGACTGGGCTGGTCTGCTCCTTCTCCATAATAAAGCAACGCGAACACTTTTAGTCGACGCTGTCAAAAATTTGTTCCTGCTTTGCATGTATGCATAATTTTTTACTTTTTTGCTACCGCCACACATGATAAAGTCACGAGATATAAAACCAGTTCTGATTATTAGCTCAATGTATATAGCAGAGCAGGTACTAAGCAAGGCTGGAAGGAGTGAGTGACAGACCGCTAATATTCTTTGATTTCTGCCATTATGTTTTTCCAATGATTGCCCGCATCCGCATAATGTCACCCCCTGATCTTATAGTTGTATAGACGAAATAACGATAGGTTTAGACCCACTCTGAAAAGAACTCCTTGACCTTCTGCTTGCGCGTGAGCGGATTCATTTCTCTCTCCAGCTTGAGCTCTCTCAACTGCTCTTCGAGATCGTATCTGCGTCCAGTCTCAAAGTCCATCTCTTCGTACTTCACCCATTTCGTTTTCTTCCACAGCTTGTAGCCAAAGTAGAAAATTGCAGAGAGTGGATACATGATGTACGCGTCCACGAACCACGAATGGTTAAATGGTTTCAGATACATCCATCCTTGGATCAGAGCTAAGAAAAGACACATGAGTATGCAGAGCGCAGGAGTGAGTGGGTACCACAAGCACTTGTACGGCAGATCTGAGACGTCATGGCCAGTACGGACCCAGCCAATTCTAAATCTGATCTGTGTAAAACAAATAGCGGCCCAGACAAACAAGCTGGACACGCCGGACACACTCACAAAATAACTGTAGGCTGTTTTTGAGCCGCTTCCAATAGACATCAAACCGAGGAACCCAAAGAGGTTGAACGTGATGGTAGCCACGTAGGGCACTCCATGGCGGTTGACTCTGTTGAAATACTTGGAGAATGGAATCATCTTTTCGTTTGCCATGTTCACGATGGTTCTGGAGCCGATGTAAATAGCAGAGTTGATAGCACTTAGCGACACAATCACAACGAAAACGTTCACCAGATGGTGCGCATTGTGCCAACCTGCGTTGTAAAGGGCCACGTAAATTGGCGAACGGAGAGAAGTCACTTTGCTAGAGAATTGAGGCGAATCGTACGGAACAGCAATACCGTACGATAGAGAGAGACCAAGGAAAATGTAGATGATTCTGATCAGGGTCTGTCTCACGGCAATTGGGATGGCTCTAATAGGATTTTTCGTTTCAGCGGCATTCAGCGACAGCAGCTCAACACCCACGTATGCAGTGGAGCAGTTCACGATGGCACTTGCTAGAGACTTCATCGCGGATTGGTCTGCCCACGGAGTCTTGAAATTCCTAAATCCGAAAGCAGGGGTGCCTTTGACTCCTCCGCTCATGTACACAATAGTGAAAATATAGAATGCGGTAAGCCCGAGAAGCTTGATAATGGCCAGCCAGTACTCAGCTTCTCCATAACCTGCAACACCCAGAAATTGGATGGACAGGAAGAATACCCAGAAGATAAGGAAAAAACCCCAAAGCGGCACTGCAGGGGCCCAAAAGTTGAGAGTAGACGACAGAGAAATGTACTCAGACATGAGAACCGCAATCCAAACCACCAGGTAGTTATACGAAGTCATTGCAGAGAAAGCCTCGTCAACAAATCTTGTCATGTGATTGGAAAATCCATTTGTAGAAGGGAATAGGGAGTTTAGCTCCCCAATTGACTGCATAAGCGTGAAAGCCACCACTCCCACAATACTGTAGTCAACCACAAGAGCAGCTGGACCGTCTTTGTGAAGGTACACTCCCAACCCAACGATGGACCCGGGGCCTATAATGCCTCCTAAAGCCATCAGAGTCACATGTCTTGTTTTTAAACCTCTTTTCAGTCCCGAATTTGGGTCAAATTTAGGCTTTTGAGCTGAAGAAGCTCCGGACTCCTGGTCGATCTGTATAGCTTCGACGCTAACCTGACTTTTGACTTCTTTACTCATTCGTAGAAAAAGCTATTTTTATGTCGATCAAGATTTTGGCCGATGGAATCCATAGTTCAGACCAGTCCATCATGAAATGGCTGCCTTCAATCTTGCTTATCGCAGAGTTGGCAGTAAAACACAAAGGGGAGGCATATAATTCTATTGTTTGCAACCTTGAAGACTTATCTTATCTTAAACCTATTCCTGAATTTGGTAAGGGTACGCGCGGAAATAATTACTGCTTTGACAGACAAGGTGATAGTCGCGCAGCCTTCCCGTTCTCTGCAGCTGTCATACCGGGTTTGCCTGGGCGGGTGTATTGGTATTCTTGGCCAATGTTTGGTCAGATATATTGCTTTTCGGAGAGGACCTGAATTTGAATTATCTGGAAAGAGGAGCTGAATTTGAAATATTTGAGCAAGGGCGTGGAAACGTGGGGACACACCTAAAAGGAGAGCAGCTAATTCAGAACCTTGATTGATCCAATAAAGGATGTTGAGGCTCTGTCGGCAACTGCATCGAAGCAATTTTTCAATCTGTATTGCATGATAAATTTTGACACTATGCAAGAAAAACAGCGATCTGGGCAAATACATGCCGGAAGTATGATTTTGTAGCCTGGTTGAGGTACTCGAGAACTGTGGGGGCAAAACATCAGGCAATGAAGAGCGGCTGGGCAGTGCCACTGTACGTGTTGCTAGGATCAAGAAAGCGGGTAGCCATCAGTTAGCCTTCTTCTCGTGTCTTCTGGCGTGCGAGAGCGCGTTTCCGTCGTTTTTGCGCGGGTTCTTTTTTCCCTTGTACGGAAGCACAAGCGAGCATTGTGTGCACTGGGCAAAAGTCATGGCTACGTAGGGACAGTTTTTTGGAGCCATACCTTTGAACACGGAGGACTCTGCACTCACGGGCAGGTTCTGCTCTGTTTTGTACTGGTAGTGGACCAATCTGTACTTGTTTTCGCGAACAAGCTTTGAAAGCCACATGTCGTTGAAGTAGAAGAACGGGTCGCTCTGCGTCAGCGGCAGGTTATGGAGTCGCGTGAAGACCTCGTTCTCTTCGACCAGCAGCGACTGCACCTGCTCTTGGCTTAACGAGTGATTGGAACCACAAAGAACTTCAACGGGGGGCTCTTTATGCATTACGTCCAGTGGTACCACTGGATCAGGAATAGCAGGCTCCGGCTGAGTGTGAGTGGGCAGTAGCTCCCTTTTTGCCAACTCCTCGTGCTGTTCTGTTTGCTCAGTCTTCTGTCGCTTCCTGGGCATCATCTGTTCATGCAAATGACCAAGAAACTCGTTCACGTGCTCTGCCACCTCCTGTGCCTCGTCCATGTTGGATACATGGCCGTAGTAGATATGTTGCCCCTTGTTGTCGTTTGAGAAATGGACGTCGTTGAGCGTTGCTCCATGGAAGCAGTTAAACACGTACACGTTTGTCTTTCCGCAAACATGCTGTGTCTCCTGATTGACAGACTTTTCCTGTGCTGGTTGTCTATTCATTATAATCAAGTTATAGTTCTCCCTTTTATTTATTTTCTTCCCTCCTCCAGATCCCTCTTTCAAGCCCAAAAAGTGGCTGGTGGCAGTCCGAGCAACCTCAAATAGAAAAATTTCCTCTTCGGTTAAATTTAGAACAGCATGACAGAGGAAAAGAACTGGGCGGTTGAACCGATCCTCAGGCCAAGCGCAGGCCCCCGGAGGTTCTGGAATACTCTCCTGCTTCTTCTGGTGGTCCTAGTGTATTTTTCTTCTGTTTTGATTGGCCAAATTAACCAGCTTTACGTCAACCACAAGGAAGCAGGCATTGCCAGACAAAGACCACTCGCGCCAGTTGTTCCACAGGGGAAGCTGCCCCTCACATTGGCCGCCACGCGGAACGGGACGTTCACCCCAGAAAGAAAGAGTCTGCAGTGGCTCAGGACCGACTCTTCGGCGTCCAACGACTCCGGAGAGTATATCGTCATAAACGACGGCGACTACGTTCTCAAGTCGCTGACAGACAAGAGCGAGCGCGTACTCTTTTCCGGAACAGTCATCGACTACGAGGACGCCACGTTCAAGATTGAGGACATCGTCTTCAGCGACAACTTGAAACACGCCCTGGTTATCTGTGATAAGGTCCGTAATTGGAGGCATTCCTTTTTCGCCACGTATTTTGTGCTGGAAGTAGACTCCAGGAGAATCAGCCCGCTGTACAATGGCAACTCGCTTGTGTCGTTGGCGAAATGGTCGCCAGACTCCTCCAGCATCGCCTTCATTGTGGACAATAATGTCTATGTGAGGAAGCTGGCCACGAACGAGGTGCTCCAGGTCACATTTGAGGGCGGCACGGAGATATTCTACGGCAAACCGGACTGGGTGTACGAGGAGGAAGTGTTTGAAGGCGATACGGCCATGTGGTGGTCTCCGAACTCAGAATATTTGACGATTTTGCGCTTCAACGACACACTCGTGCCAACCTTCCCTATTCCGTACTTTGTGCAGCACAAGGACGACGTCTACCCGGAATTGCGCGAACTCAAGTACCCAAAAGCAGGGTATCCGAATCCCCAGGTGGACTTTGTTGTGTACGACAGCAAGAAGGACAAGCTGACGTCGCTGGACCAGTCTGACGTCTTCTACAACGACAAGGACATCCGTAACGATGAGAGGCTGATCACTGAGGTCAAATGGGTTGGAGATTCTAATTTCCTGCTAAAAATCACCAACCGAGAATCGGACATTCTTAAAATCTTCATCGTGGACGCTTCAGCGATGGAGTCCCGGCTCAAACGCTCAGATTACGGTTCGAACGCAAACTCGTGGTTTGAGATCAGCCACAACCTGCTGTACGTGCCGAAGTCTGACTCCAGACCGCACGACGGCTACATCGACATCGTCGACGTGGACGGGTACGATCACCTAGCATACTTCTCTCCGCCGGACACAGAGGATCCGCTTATTCTCACGTCGGGCGAGTGGGAGGTGGTGGACGGCGCTGCCGCTTTTGACGCCGTCCTGAACAAGGTCTACTTCATTTCCACCGAAAAGTCGTCTGTCGAGAGACATCTGTACTCGATCGACCTCGACGGCTCTAATAAAACCAGCATCACAGACGCCAGCCAGGAAGGATGGTACTCGGTGTCGTTTTCCGCCGGCTCGCGGTTCCTGCTGCTTAATTACAACGGACCGGACATTCCGCACCAGGAATTGCTTGATTTGCATTCAAACACGAGAGAAACGCTCACTTCCAACGACAAGCTGGCCAAAACGCTGCAAGAATATGCTCTCCCCGAAAACAGGTACGGCGAGATCGACGTCGGAGCGGGCACGCTGCTCAACTTCCACGAGACGCTGCCGCTGAATTTTGACGTGTCGAAGAAGTATCCACTGCTATTCTTCGTGTACGGAGGCCCCGGTTCGCAGCTGGTGCAGAAACAGTATGCGATGGCGGCATCTGCGTTTTCGTCGGTCGTTGCCGCGCAATTGGACGCCGTGGTGGTGACTGTCGACGGCAGAGGAACGGGATTCAAGGGAAAAGCGTTCAGGAACATTGTGCGCGATAGGCTCGGACACTACGAGGTGCTAGACCAGATCGCCGCGGCCAAGCAGTGGATCGCGAAACCGTACATTGACGAGCAGCGAACGGCTATCTGGGGATGGTCGTACGGTGGCTACATGACGCTCAAGACGCTAGAGGCCGACCAGGGCAGCACGTTCAAGTACGGCATGTCTGTTGCTCCGGTCACCAACTGGCTGCTTTATGACTCGATCTACACAGAGAGATACATGCACACGCCGCAGCAGAACGCGGGATACTTCAACTCGTCCGTGCACAAGGTTGCGAACTTCGCCGGCGTAAAGCGGTTCCTGCTCATGCACGGAACAGGCGACGACAACGTCCATTTCCAGAACTCGCTCAAGTTCCTGGACATGCTGGATCTCCAGGGTCTGGAGAACTACGACGTGCACGTTTTCCCGGACAGCGACCACTCTATTCGCTACCACAACGCAAACACGATCGTTTACGACAAACTGTTGGCCTGGCTGAGGCAGAATTGGTCATGACGGATGCGAATTGTATAGTGTACTATAGGAACGGCTATTCACTGGTATTGGAAGTTGTAACCGTCCAGCCCGTACGCCAGCTCTCTTTCGAGGTCGATGTTCTCGTCGTAGAGCATTTCCTGGGGTTTTGGGGGCAGCTCGTAGTCGGCCACCTGGCCCTCAAACGGCGTCTTCAGCTGCGGCTGCTGCTGCGGCTGCTCCATCTCGTAGGCGCCCGTCGCGCCGCCGTACTGCTCGCTAACTATCGTCTGCTCCTCGAGCGGTTTTCTCACGTACTCTCTAAACGAGCGGGTCTCCTCGATGATCATCTGCTTCATCTCATTAATGTCGTCTGTTTCCTCGAACGAGAAGTCGAACTTGGCCGCGCACACCGGCTCGTCGTTCGGGTCGTGCCACACCTCCAAGTACGGGTGTTGCAGCGCGTCCTCCACGGTGATTCTGTCCTCAGGGTTCAGCGTCAGCATGCGGTTGAGCAGGTCGATCGCCAACGGGTTGGCGTGCGGGAAGAAGTTCTCAAACGGCACCTTCGGCATGTACGGCAGCGAGCGCACGTACGCCTGCGCTCTGGACGACTTGATGCTCTGCATGGTATGCTCGTTGGGGGTGCCCAGCACTTTGAGGATCTCGTTCAGCTGGTCAACGTAGTCCTTGCCCTTGAAGATGGTGGAGCCGCCCAGGAGTTCTGCCAGAATGCACCCGACAGACCAGATGTCGATGGCCTTGGTGTAACCTTGGAAGCTCAAAATGATCTCGGGGGCACGGTACCATCTGGTGGCCACGTACTCGGTCAGAAAGCCCTGGTTCTTCTCCGGGTCGTTCGAGTAGCCTCTCGCCAGTCCGAAGTCGCAGATCTTGAGCTCGCAGTCCGCGTTGACCAGCAAGTTCCCCGGCTTGAGGTCTCTGTGGAGCACGTCTGCCGAGTGGATGTATTTGAGCCCGCACAGGATCTGGTAGACGAACGATTGGTAGTGCGAGTCCGTCAGCGGCTGGTTGGAGCGGATGATCTGGTGCATGTCGCACTCCATGAGCTCCTCATACAGATATATCTCGTTGAAATTGCCGTTGGCATCAGGCACTATGTCCAGGTCGTACAAGCAAGTGATGTTCTTGTGGCCCCTGAAATGGCGCAGCAGCTTGATTTCGCGCAGCGCCCTTTTGCACAGGATCTTCTTGCTGAAGATGTTGGTCACCTTCTTGATGGCCACATGTCCTCCCTCGTCGCCGGCCTCGATATACTTGGCCGAGCACACGATGCCGTAGGCTCCCTGTCCCAGCCCCTTGATGAGCTGGAATCGGCGGTCGACAACGAAGTTCTGTTGGAACACCCTGAATACGTGATACTGGTCCATGGTGTTGGAAGAGGCCGCCATAAAACTCGAATATAGGCGCTGCTTTTATACTCAAACAAGGTGCCTATTTAGATACTAAAAATATCTCCTCGATTTCTCTCCTCTTAGTGACACGCGCTTTATCTTGGCATACCACGAAAAGTTGAAGAAAAATAGGTTTACAGAGACACTTCAGGGGAGACACTCTGCGCCGTCCGAACCTTGCAGACCCGTTCCGCTGCGCACGCAATCCGAGCTGACTCACCGAAACGAGCATTTTTCTCGCACCAGCCGATTTTTAGCCCCATAAACTCACCCTTTTTCGCTAATCTCTGTGCCACTCCAGTATGGCAGTCACAGCCATGTCTCCGCCCTCGCAGGCCGCCGCCGCATCCACGCCGTCGTCGACAGCCTCGGCAGCACACATTGCCAACGGCTCGCTGCTGCCCAGAACGAAAAATGGCTCCTCCAGACGCATCGAGATCGACAACCTTGTCGTCGAGTTCCAGAAGAAACTAGGCAAGAACTGGGACACCTACCAGGTCGCCGTATCGATGTTTCTTGTCGGCAAGCTCTCGCGGCGCGAGCTGATGGAGGAGCTCGACAAAATCCTGGACAAATCCACCTACAGACTACACAACCAGCTCCTGCTGACGAACCTGGCAAACTCGCTAAGAGACGAGCCGCTCGACGGCACCCTCTCGACGGGCTTTGGCAACCAGCAGCTCTCGAAAAAACGGAAAGCAGGTACCAAGTCGTCGCAGTACGAGCTGCTGAAGAAAGACATCTTATCGCTGCCCATCAGAGAGCGACGCCGGCTCAAGGGCATCAAGCGCGAGGCAGGCAAGCGCGGCATGATAAACTCCACCATCGCGCTCACCAGACAGGCGATTGTGCCGCGCGTGCCCATCGTCACCAACAACGAATCTGCCGTCCCGGGCAACACCAGCCAGTGGGCCCAGGACGTCTTGGACGGCATCCAGACACCGCTGTGCTCCGAAACGTACGAGCTGCCGGATAAGACACACCTGCGGTCACGTGTTCTTGGAATCGCGCGCGAGCATGGTCTGGTGGGCCCCGTGGGCGACAGCGTGCCGGACGTGCTGTCGATCGGCCTGGAATACCACTTAAAGCGGCTGATCGAGCGCGCGCTGGACATGGTGCGCATCCGGGAGAAAAATACGCAGCGCGACTCCAGGGGCCCCGTCACGATGACCATCGAGGACCTGTACGATACACTGGAGACGGCGCCGCATCTGGTGGAGCCCAACGGCCCGCTGTTTGCGCTCAGCAACAACCAGCTGAAGAACGAGGACGACGTATCCTTGCTGGAACAGCAACGACAATATTTGCAACGCGGACCGGGGCAGAAGCTGTCCAAGATCTCGTTCGTGCTGAAGCCGAAGAAAACAGAGCCGCAGCCGCCGCCAGCGTCGTCGTCGTCCACCATCACGGCGCCGGCGTCTATGCTGGCCGTGTCGCCGCTGCATCCGGGCGAACAGGCTTCCAACGGAGCGGAAAAGCAGAATAAAACAGACTCGCCAGACACGCAGAACGGCAAGCAAAACCCGCCGTCTTCCGCTGCAGCGCTCACACAGCCGAATTTGCAGCTGAGCGACCCGAACATCGGCCGTCCCGAAGAGCTCAATTGGCTGATCAATGATCTCTTGTGCAACAACTAATGTATACTATCCTGTTATAATTTTTCTGCCAAATCGACTTTGCGTGTCAGTAGCCCACAGCACCTCAAACTTTTTCGACTCCTGGATTTTGCCACTCTCGTACACACACTTGTTTTCTTCATGGCACCTGCAAAAGAACAAGAAACCAGAAGAGCGTCCGTTGAGCTGGGCAAGGAGCCTGCGAAGGAGGATCAAAAGGGCAAGGCCGACAGCAAGAAGGCCGAAGAGGAGCTGAGCGAGGAGGATCTCCAGTTCAAGTCCGAGCTGGAGATGCTTGTCGAGCGTCTTTCCGAGCCCAACAAAGATCTGTACGCCTCTGCGCTGGACAATCTGAAGAGATTCATCAGAGATTCGACGTCGTCGATGACTGCAGTGCCTAAACCACTCAAATTCCTCAGACCTCATTATACCACATTGACAGGGATCCACGGCAACTGGACCGACCCGAAGCTGAAGTCGCAGCTCGCAGACATTCTCTCTGTGCTGGGAATGACGTACAGCGAAAAGGACGGCGAGAACTTCAAAAGGGAGTGTCTGAAGTACAGATTACTCAGCAACATCGACTCGACCATTTCTGAATGGGGACACGAGTATCTCAGACACCTTTCCTTAGAAATCGGCGAGGAGTACCAGGAGAACCTGGAAAACGGAGTCAACAGAGAAGACACCCACACCGAACAATTGATCAAGCTGAGCTTGGAAATTGTCCCGTACTTTCTCAAACACAACGCAGAGGCAGAAGCGGTGGATCTTCTGCTTGAAATCGAAGAAATAGAGAAGCTCTCGCAGTTTGTCGACAAGAACACGTACAACAGAGTTTGTTTGTACATGGTTTCATGCGTGCCGTTGCTCGCTCCTCCAGACGATCTCGCCTTCCTCAACACCGCCTTCAGCATCTATTTGGCTAATGATAAACTTCCACAGGCGTTGAGTCTGGCTATCAGACTGGGCGATGAGTCCTTGATCAAGTCTGTTTTTGATGCCACGAGCGACGAGCTGGTGCAGAAACAGCTGGGTTTTATGCTGGCAAGACAGAATTCGTGTTTCAAGGTCGACAACGAGGCCGTGCAGGAGTGCATTTCCAACGTCAAGCTGAGCGAGTACTTTAAATACCTTGTCAGTGAGCTGAATCTGCTGAAACCGAAAGTTCCAGACGACATCTACAAGACTCACCTTGAGAACTCGCTTTTTGGCCATTCTTCCAGATTAGAGAGCGCGAAGCAGAATTTGGCTGCTGCGTTTGTGAACGCATTTGTTAACGCCGGCTACGGATCAGAAAAGCTCATCAGCGACGAAAAATGGATTTACAGAACCAAGGGCGAGGGGATGCTTTTAACCACTGCGTCTTTGGGGCTGATCAATCTATGGGACGCAAATGAGGGTCTTCAAACTCTTGATAAATACTTGTACTCTGAGCAGAGCGAGGTCAGAGCAGGTGCATTGCTGGGAATGGGTATTTCGACCACCAGTGTCCACGATGAGGTGGATCCAGCACTGTTGCTGCTGCAGGATTACATCAGCAGCGATTCGAAGATTGACTCCAAGATGATAAGTTCCGCCATCACGGGAATAGGCATTGCATTTGCGGGCAGTGAGAACGATGAGGTGATGAATTTGCTATTGCCTCTAGTGTCGGAGCCGTCAGTGTCTGTTGAAATTCAGGCGCTCTCTGCTCTTGCATTAGGTCATGTTTTTGTTGGAACTTGCAACGGCGACATCACTTCCACCATTTTGCAAACTTTGCTGGAGAAGGAGACTTCTGATTTGACTTCGAAATGGATCCGTTTCATGTCTCTTGGTCTTGGACTGCTTTACATGGGCAAGTACGACCAGGTGGATGATGTTCTTGAGACTATCGATGCCATCGACCATCCTATTTCTAAAACTTTGAAGGTTTTGGTGAATATTTGCTCTTATGCTGGAACTGGTAATGTCTTGCAGATTCAATCTCTGTTGCAAATGTGCACAGTGAAGCCAAAGGAGGAAAAGGACGAGGAAGAGGAAGAGGACGAGGAAGAAAAAGAAAAGAAAGAAGGCGAGGACAGTAATAAAGAGAAGAAAGAAAACAGCGGAGAAGAAAGCCCAGAGACCCAAGAGGATGAGTCCTACCAAGGATACGCAGTTTTGGGACTTGCTCTAATTTCTATGGGCGAAGAAATTGGCCAGGAGATGTCATTGCGCCATTTCGGACACTTGATGCACTATGGTACTCCGCTCATCAAGAGAGCGGTTCCTTTGGCCATGGGACTTGTGTCCTCGTCGAATGCGCAAATGAAAGTGTTTGACACGCTTTCAAGATACTCGCATGACCAGGATCTGGATGTGGCCTACAATGCCATTTTTGGTATGGGTCTGGTTGGTGCGGGAACCAACAATGCTAGATTAGCCCAACTGTTGAGACAGTTGGCTTCGTACTACGTGAACGATCAGAACGCCTTGTTCATGACGCGTATTTCGCAGGGTTTGGTGCATTTGGGTAAAGGAACATTCACCTTGTCTCCCTTCAACACAGACAGACAAATATTGTCCAAAGTCTCTCTTGCTTCGCTTTTGACAGTTACCATTGCCCTTTTGGACCCAACCTCCTTCATTCTGGACCAGCATTCAAGTCTCTTGTACTATTTGACTCCGGCCATCAAGCCACGCATGCTTGTGACTGTTGACGAAGAGCTTAAACCATTGAAAGTGAATGTCAGAGTTGGTCAGGCAGTGGATGTTGTCGGACAGGCCGGAAAGCCAAAGACCATAACTGGATGGGTGACACACTCCACTCCTGTTCTTCTTGGATTTGGAGAAAGAGCTGAGCTGGAAAACGACGAATACATTCCCCTTACAAATTTCCTTGAAGGAGTTGTGATATTGAAGAAGAATCCTGACTACATGGAGGTCGAAAACTAAAATAATAGCTAGTGAAAAAAAAAAAAATTAAAAAAAAAACACTATGAATGTAATAATGCTGCTGGTTAAAGCGACAACCACCCAGCCGGTAATGTACAACTGTGTCGAAGTGAAGAGCGAAAAAGTAAAGCACAAACGGTCATGAAAGTCGTAGCACACCACATGAAGCTAAAAAGCTTTCTGGCTGATAAATAAGCGAAAAGATAATCTAGAACTTAAGTCGTGAGCGTAGTATCTTTTCATGCTATGTCACAATTCGCTTGGTACCGCTTGGACACTTTCTCGGTGATCTATAGTGGTTTTTAAATGTTTTTTTTTTGATTTTTTTTGATTTTTTTGATTATTTTTTGATAGTTCCAACTTCCACTAGTACTCAACTTGCTTTTGGGTCTGTGGTTGAGTTGGTTGGCCGTTGTACCTGTTGTGGTTGCGCTCCTTTCCGTTAGGAAGTTGATCCAGTTTGAACGGTCTTGGTATACTTTCTGGCTGACCAACAACGTAGAGAGATTTGTCAATCTCAGCAGGAATAGGCTTGATCTCGGTTCCAAGTTCCTGTTCAATCTTGTACAGGTTGAATCTATCGTTCCAGTTGATAAGGTTGATTGCGATACCAAAGTGACCAAATCTACCAGATCTACCAATTCTGTGCAAATAAGTTTCAGCCGTCTTTGGGAAATCGAAGTTCACCACCACGTTGACTGCCTGAATATCGATACCTCTGGTAAGCAAGTCAGAACAAACCAAATTTCTGACTTTCCCCTGTCTGAATTCGTGGAAGACCTTGTTTCTTGCCGCCTGAGGCATCTTGGCGTGGGAGTAGTAGCAAGAGTAGTCGAGTTCTGTGATTTTTTTGGACAGCAGCTCTACTCTGTTGGTGGAGTTGCAGAAGATGATCGACTGGTTGATTTGCAGTTTGGAAAAGAGAGTGTTCAAGCAGTGCAGTTTCTGCTTCTCTTCGACGAAGGCATAATATTGGGTGATACCTTTTAAGGTAAGTTCGTCCATCAAATTGATTTCGTAAGGCTTGTAGAGGTGTTGGTCCATAAATGATTTGACGGCGAGAGGGAATGTGGCGCTGAACAGCAGCGACTGGTAGCCGTTGCCCTTTCCAGACGACGACTGAGGAAAGAACTTGAGGATCTGCTCTATAATGTTTTTAAACTCGCGCGATAACATCTTGTCGGCTTCGTCCATAACAAACATGCGACATTCGTCAAATTCGGCCAATTTTCTAGATGCGAGGTCCAGCACTCTTCCTGGAGTACCCACCAGAACGTGGACTGGCTCGTGAAGTCTCATGATATCGTCTCTGAGCGAGGTGCCTCCGGTAGTGACCATGACCTGGATACCCAGGTGGGCTCCCAGAGTCTTGACGACCTGAGAGGTTTGCAGAGCCAATTCTCTCGTAGGAACGAGAATCAGCGCCTGTATTTTGTTCACCTTCGGCTTCAGCTTCTCCAGAGTTGGAATCACAAAGGCTGCCGTTTTTCCTGTGCCGTTTTTCGCTCTAGCGAGAATGTCTCTGCCCATCAATGCCACCGGGATGGCCTCTTCTTGGATCGGCGACGGTTTTTCGAAGCCTGCCTCGAAAATGCCCATGAGAAGCTCTCGTTTGAGATGGAACGACTCGAACGTGTTGCCCTTGGTGGCGAGCACGTCGTCTGTCTGCGGCCGGCCGTCCTTTTTCGGGAGATTGAGGTTTGCTTTCCAGTCTTCGGACATTGAGTGTAATTTTGAGGTGGGAAAAAACTTTATCTGCTTGGCCGGGTAAGTTGTGCTTGGCGGACACAGCGCACGGGAGCTGGCGACCGGCGGGAATGTCGCCTTTCGCCGTCGAACACGGCCAGCAGGCACCTGCTGGAGCTCTCTGGCACGCTTTGCAAGGACGCGCATTGGCTTCCCCCTGCTGAACACGCCGCGCCAGTGCGCCACGCCTGTCCAGCGTGCGCTATCTTTTTTTTTACGCCCCCCACCAAAGCAATCCATCTCCCCTATGCATCTTTTCTATCTAGGAGTCGTCAGACCAGGTAAAAACGGAGCCAAGACGCTGGAACTCGCCGAGGCTAAGGACCTGTCCTCCTTCTCGTTCTTCCAGCGCTCCTCAGTGGGCCAATTCATGACTTTCTTCGCTGAGACGATCGCCGAAAGAACAACACCTGGCCAGAGACAGTCTGTGGAAGAAGGCAACTACATGGGCCATGTCTACACCAGGGCAGAGGGTATCTCGGGCGTCATAATATCAGACAAAGACTATCCCATCAGACCAGCGTACACGCTCCTGAACAAGATCCTCGATGAGTATATTTCCATCCACCCTCCAAACCAATGGGCCACCGTTGCAGAAAAATCGCCAGACCTCGCTTTCGACAGCCTGGAGCCTTACCTGACGAAATACCAGAACCCGACCGAGGCCGACGCGATCATGAAGGTGCAGCAGGAGCTGGACGAGACCAAGATCGTGCTCCAAAAGAGCATCGAGTCGGTGCTCCAAAGAGGCGAACAGCTAGACTCGCTCGTGGACAAGTCGGAGGCGCTCACGGCAAGCTCGCGCACGTTCTACAAGCAGGCCAAGAAGACCAACAGCTGCTGCGTGATTGTCTGAAGCAGCTTGTCCGTAATCATCGCTGTTGTGAGCAGCGTTGCGGTGGTGTCTGTCCTAGTCTTGCGCGCTCATAACCATCGTTTAACTAATGGAACTGAAAAAAAATTACTTAGTAATCAGCATGTATTCCCTGTTCTCCCGCACTGCGCTTAGAAACTCGCGGAGTCTCGCGAGACGCTCGTCCACGTTTTCGAGACGGCAGCTCTCCGCGGCTGCCCCCGTCGGCGCCGCTGTTGCGCTCGGCCTGGCAGGATATATCACCTACACTTTTGCCCCTCCGATTTCGATGGAGTCGCCTATCGATAAGGAACAGCTGGCCGAGAAGGCTGACAAGCCCGTGGAGACGGCTGAGCATGACGACGAGAAGGGAGCCTACGACCCGGAAACGGGAGAGATCAACTGGGACTGTCCTTGTCTGGGAGGCATGGCCCACGGGCCTTGTGGAGAGGAGTTCAAGGCCGCTTTTTCGTGCTTTGTCTACTCCAAGGAGGAGCCTAAGGGGATAGATTGCATTGAGAAGTTCAAGGGAATGCAGGAATGCTTCAAGAAGTATCCAGAAGTGTATGCTGAGGAGCTGAGAGAGGATGACGAGTACGGCCAGGTTCCAGAGACCCAGGACGCCGGCGAACAAGCGGAAGTTGCCGTCACGGAGACCGTTGAAGCTGTTTCGGAGACTGTTTCTGACGCAGCGACGAAGATTGCCGGAAAAGCAGAGGAGTCTGTGGGCCAAATTGCTGAGAAGACCGACGCCGTGGTCCAGTCGCCACAGGCAGCCGATCTGTCGCACAAGATTGCCGACGCCGTCGAGAGCTCTACAGAGGTGCCTGCCGCGGTGATTGAGGAGACCTTGGAGGGTAAATAGACTGTAAATATTAATGTACATAATGTTCCAATTCGTCAAATGCGACGGGCTCGAAGTCTGCTCCGGTTTTGGCCCATACGACGTCGTCGTCCAGATAAATCAGAAGACCGCTCTTCATATTTCGGGTCACGCGATACATAGCCTTTCCTGCCATGAGAGTAGACTCGGGCAGGACGAAAAGGTCGTGCTCCTGACAGTAGTCGTCCAGCAGCTGCTTGAGAGTGACGGTAGTTTTTTTTTGCGGCTTGAAACTGAGGTTTTCGGTAGCCTCCACCAGCTTCGATATTGAAGGCTCCCGTTGCGAAGCAAAACGGTGTTCCGGTGGGACAGTCATCTGGAGCTGCTGTAGAGAAGTTTTGTACTCGAAATTGAGGTGGTCGAGTGCCAGAACCAGGTACTTTTGGAGTCGCGGAAAATGGTAGCACGAAAAAAGCCGTGCATACAGTCGCACAAGTGAGTTGAAAACGTAGTGGTACTGTTCTCTGGCGTCTGGAAGAGAGTAAAACTTGTCTGTCCAAGAGAGAGCGGCTTCATTTTCAATCAGATAGTCAATCTTATCGTACCGAACTCCATTCGCACGTAGAAGAGCGACAAACTTCATAACGTCAGCATTCTGAAGCTTGCTTTTCCTCAGCTGCTGGACGCATCTCTTGATCACAGAGGACTCCATCTTCTGTCGGGTCTGCTCGTCTCCGTACAGATCAAGCCACAGACTCAGATGAATTCTCTTTGCAGGAAGCTGCTGTTCTTCTATGTTCCATCCAACAACTATCCAGTCCGCGTATTTCTGGAAAATGTCTGCTACCACCTGATCAACCATCCGCTCATCCATCACGTTCAGCCAGTCTGTCAGCCACTTCTCCGGCCCAGGCTCCCCCATTTGCCAGAGGCGGATTTCGTCCCTAAATTTCGGCAGCAACACTTCTTCATATATTTGCGCAACAGCCGCTTCAGAAACAAGTTCCTGAAAATCCTCGATTAGTGCGATTCCAAGGTTTGGCTGCCAAACAGACCATTTGGTGGCATAGAATTCGCCAGCCTTCTTCTTCCATAACTGACTCACTAGAGCTTGGTAGGCATTGTCGTGTTCAGACTCAAACAGAGAGTACTCGTCCTTGTAGCCGAGCAGCTGATCAGAAACGTTCGAATCAAGATCGGTAGGATCCCATGAGTCCATTAGCGCGCGAACTCGGGGCTCTAACTTGGCCATCAGCATCTTGGCAGCCATCTCTCTGTCCTCGTCATCTCTGATCTTCTCATGGTTTCCATCCAAAACTCGTTGCAGCGCCAGACGGCGCTCTCTAGAGGCTACTTCTATCCTCTTCTGTAACTCCAGCTCCTGTTGAGCGGAATGTATCTTGGTCTGCACGTCTTTGAGCTGTCCGAGAATGCCTGCTAATGCAGTTCTTATTTCGACTGTTTCTGAGCCGTTGTCGCACATTTCTTTGATTTTTACAGGCACATGAGTGCCAACTTGCTCAAACTGCTCGATCAGCGAGTAAAGAGACGGCAAGGTGCTTTTAAATGCCACCTCTGACATAGACTCATCGCCAGACGAGTCTTCCTCCGGAGATTTCTCGTCCGTCCCACCAATACCCAGTCCGCGCGGACGCATCTTGGTCTCGATGGGAGCCACAATTCCCTGTTCGGCTTTTCCCAGCCCTTTTCCCTCGACGTAGCCCATCTGACGCAGCAACGAGGCACCGATACCATACTGTCTGTCCACGCCGGTTAGCGGCTGTTCGTCTGTGGTTTCCTTTGGTCTCCCCAGACCAGGTCGTTCATCCTCGCTGCTGTTGTCATCCTCGGAAGCGCGTCGTCGTCGTTGAAATTGCAAAGGATTAAACATAACGAATAAAGGAAAATAAAATAAAATAAAATAAATATCTGACGGCTTAAAGGCCCTGAAATCTTTTTTATTCCCCTCTAGATCTGTCACAGCCCAATGAAATTCTTTTTTGCCATACGACGGTATTCGACCCCGGCGGCCGCTATTCGCTGGTTCTATGCCACGGATATCCCCGTCTCCAAGCCCAAAGGGTTCAATTACAAGCAGACGGAACGGCCCAAGAAGTTCATCCCATTTGCTAGGACCGACTCTGATAATCTGGAAGCAGCATTCCGTGCCTGGAAAAATGGAGAGAGCCCCAAAGAGGTGGCAGTGAATGAGGATCAGCTGTTTGATTGCAACTTGGAGAAAATGATAATGCGGCCGGCCTACTGGGAGGGCCCCGCTTACGAGATACGCAGAGGACTCTGGTTTCTCGATAATATGCCGCTTCCAGCGCCGATTGCAGACCAGCTGGAACACAAGTACAGGGAGTTGGGCCCGTTCAAAGAGCTACAGTCTTCTGACGAGCCCGTGACGGCCGAGATCGCGTCGGAGGTGAGTTTGTACGAGAGAGAAGGGAGGAAGTGGCCGTTTGAAAAAGCAACCGATTTTGAAAAAGAGGACAAGATCGCGGTGTTCAAGGACCACAAGACGGCGTTCATGATCTCCAAGGACTCGACAGTTGGCAAGCTTCAGATCAAAAACTTCTACAAGCTGCCGGCCCAGCAGGTCCTGGGGGCAGACACGGTCACCCGGGGATACGAGAAAGCGGAGCCGAAAAAGACAGAGGAGGCCTCTGAGGAAAGCACGGACGAAGAGAAGGATCTGCTGACCTCGTGGATGAAGAGCTGGACGGGCCAGGCCAGTAACGAGCGGTTCCAGAAAGACATGGAGGCAGATTACACGAGCCCGAATATCATAGCCAACTCCGGCGACCGAGAGGTGGACCATTTAATTCTGTGCATCCACGGGATTGGCCAGACGCTCAGCCACCGGTTCGCTTCGGTCAACTTCGCCCACGACTGCAACAACATGAGAAAACACTTCAAGCAACTCTTTACCCATAATCCCAAATACGTGAAAATGGCCTATTCTGAAGAGGAAATTGCGCGGCACAAAAACGACGGAAAGCTCAGCAACTGCAAGGTGCAGGTGCTGCCGATCATCTGGCGGTTTGACGTGGACTTCTCGCTAGATAAGATATTTGACGAATACGAGCCGGACGGACATCCGCGGCTGCCCACGCTCAACCAAATCAATATTGATGCAATCACACCACTGCGGCATCTTGCAGCGGACGTAGTTATGGACATTTTACTTTTTTACGAGCCCCGTTTCAAGCAGCAGATTCTGTCGAGCGTCGTCAAGTACGCCAATGCCATCTACGACAAGTACTTGGAGCGGCATCCGCAATTTGATGGCAAGATATCCCTGCTTGGCCACTCGCTAGGCTCTGCCATCTGTCTGGACATCTTGTGCTCCCAGCCTGACTCTCCCGAGGACCTCGACCCTAGAAAGCATCTCAAGTTCCCGGTGGAGAACTTCTTTGGACTCGGCTCGCCGAACGGCGTGTTCAAGCTTATCCAGCGTCACAACATTCGAGCCCGCGACAGTGCGAACCATGAAAATGTGAGCTCTCCGAAAGTCGGCAATTACTACAATATTTTCTATCCCACGGATCCCGTGGCCTACAGAGTCGAGCCCCTGGTGCACTCCTTCCTTGCAGACGTGAAGCCCCAAACGATTGCTTTTGAGGATGATAGCCTCAACTCGCAAATCCAGTCTCTTGCCGAGCTGCCAAATAACCTGATAAACAACGAGTACTTGCGTCGTGCTATCAATTTCGCCGGATTGGGCGACGCGGCCCAAAACGGCGAGAAACAGGATAAAACCCCGAAGCATACCGAGCAAAAAGTAATCCCTGACCACGTCAAGAAGCTGCTGGAAGGGCTGAATCGCACCGGACGTGTCGACTACTCGCTGCCACAAGGCTACTTCGACATCGACCTGATCAGCGCGGTGGGGTCGCACATCCAGTACTTTGACGACCGCGACGTGATTGGGTTTCTGCTTACGCAGCTGTGGCCGCCAGACACGCAGTAGATGGTCACCAGGGTTCTGGAGAAGCTGCGTTCTAGAATGCAGTGGCTACGGCATCTGTTTGTGCGGTGCACGACCTCGAGATAAAAGCTGGAAAAATTTTTAAACACTAGTTAGGTTACTACCAAGTACGCTTTCTTTTGGCGAAGAAAGTGCGGTTGGAAGTGCTGGCGATTTGTATGATGACAATGAGATGCTGTGCACCAATCGGATGTACTCAAAATCATGACGAGACCATACCCTCATTTCTGAAAGCAGAGCTGCTTTGCAGTATCTGTGTCGAGTCGCCAGACTTGCTACTGCACACCATTTCTATCGTTGACAGAAGCCGCAGATAGGTGGTAACTGGTGTATGCTCCTGCAGGAGATACGCGGGGAGCAATAGTATGGTGCGAGATAGCGGATTGTAGTGTGTGCTCTAATGGAAGCTGTGCATGGTTGCAGAGAGCTACTTGGCACTGTGTGCCGATTGTCTCTGCTATTCGCCGTCTCGTCCCCTCATTTTTGTAGGTGGCCTTGCTGCAAGAAACTCGCTAGTTCTCGTGCATATTTTGGCAAGAACAGAAAGGTGATGCTGCAGGACGTCTGTAGGCTACAATATAAAATTTGACACATTGCTTTTTCGTCCGGCAGCAACAATCCCGTCTCTGCAACCAAACCTAGCCCGCTGTGCCAGATGCGTGCAAATTACTGCTTCTTGTGCATGCAAGCGTAAGTTGACAGTGTCTCGCTAAAAACGCACGCTATTAACTGCACGTTGCGTGGCTGCCACCCGGAGCATATAAAATGCCAGCGTTCGCCACAGCTGTCAAAGCATGTACTCGGCTTTGGTCACAGAGGCGTACGACTGGGAGGAGTGCCAGCGCGCCATGAACAGCTACTCCTTCCCGAAGCCAGAAGACTCGCCGCAGAAGTCCCGCAGAAGCTCCAGCCAATTCAATACTCCTCAGACGCCGACCATCCAGGAGTCCGACAGCGAGAGCGACGAAAAAACGCTGCAGCGCGCCGACGTGTCGCCGCGCCAGCACGCCGGCATCCGCAAGAAGCTCAAGTACGACAAGTACGAGTAGCCGCGCACCGTTTTGCTGGCCAGCTCTTTTGGCGAGCTCTCGCTCAGACCGCACCAGAAACACCAGTCGTTGCCACGGCGGTCGTCCGCATCCGATTGCTGCAGTCCCGGCTCGCCCAGACAGCACCGCAGATCGCTCAGCCGCACCGGCGCGGCCATCCAGGACGACCTTGCCAGCGTCCTCGGACGCTCTTCCATCTCGCTGAGATCGCCCGTCAGCTCTGCGCAGTCGTCGCCCAAATCAGAGCCCGCAATGACAGAGGAGTGTCTGTGCTCGCCGCTCCTGAAGGAGGAGAGGTCGCGGATGGACAGTTTCAGTTTTGGAGCACGGCCCCAGTGCGACAATCTCCCGCGGGAGCTGATCGACTTGGACAAGGTGGCGCATTATAGCTAATATATACCGTCGAGCATTAGTTAACTAATACCCATATTTAGTGGTTGAGGGTCTGTCTAAGCTGGGCCAGCTGCTGGAGCACCGCGCTCCTGGCGGTGCCGCCGGTGGCGGTTCTTCTCTCGACGCTGGCCTCGAAGTCGAACGTCTCGAAAACATTTTCCTCGAAGCGCGGGTCGATCTGCTGGAACTGCGCCAGGGTCAGCTTGTCGATGCCGCTCAGCTGCTCCTCCTCGGCCTTGCGCACACACTCGCCCGAAATATGGTGCGTTTCTCTGAACGGAACGCCCTTCCGGACGAGATAGTCTGCCAGGTCGGTAGCCAGCATGTCCATCGACAGCGCGGCCCTCATCTTGGCCGCGTCGATGCTGAGCGTCGACACCACGCCCGTCGCGATCAGAACCGAGTGCTCCACGGTCCGCAGACTGTCGAACAGCGGCTCCTTGTCCTCCTGCATGTCTTTGTTGTAGGTCGACGGAATCGACTTGATCGACATCATAAAGCCGGCCAGCGAGCCGAAAACACGGCCAGACTTTCCGCGCAGCAGCTCCAACGAGTCCGGGTTCTTCTTCTGAGGCATCAGGGACGAGCCCGTCGAGTACGCGTCCGCCAGCTTGACGAAGCCAAATTCTCCGCTGGAATATATAATCAGGTCCTCGCTGAATCGGGACACGTGGTTCATGAACAGCGACGACCAGAACATCGTCTCCACGACAAAGTCGCGGTCGCTGACCGCCACGAGCGAGTTGCCAATGACGCCCGAAAAGCCCAGACCCGCAGCCAGGAACTCTCTGTCGATGCCGTACGGATGGCCCGCAAGCGCGCCCGAACCGAGCGGCGACACGTTCACCCTCTCGATCAGCTGCTGCAGCCGCTTGTAGTCCTCGGTGAAGTAGGTGGCGTACATGCTGATCCAGTGCGCCCATCTGATTGGCTGCGCTTTTTGCAGATGGGTGTAGCCCGGCATCAGCACGTCGATCTCCTTCTCGGCGCGCGAGACCATGACCTCTATTAGCGACTTCAGCAGCACAGCCAGCTTCTTTAGCTCTTCCCGGACGTAGATCCGCATGTCGGTGGCCACCTGGTCGTTTCTGGACCGGCCCGTGTGCACCTTGCCAGCAATGTTGCGGCCAATGATCTCGCCGAGCCGGCGCTCGTTGGCGGTGTGAATGTCCTCGTCGCCGGGCTTCTCCACGAACGTGCCGTCCGCCCACTCCTGGTGGATCTGCTTGAGCCCGCGGTGGATCTCAGAAAGCTCCTGCGACGTCAAAAGCCCTAGTTTGTGCAGGCCCTGGGTGTACACTCTGGTGCCCTCGAGGTCGGCCGCATACATCTTCTGGTCGTACGGCAGCGACGCGTTGTAAAGGTCCATGAGCGGGTCGGTCGCTCCTGTGAAACGGCCGCCCCAAAGTCTCGACTCTGCTGGTTTTTCAGTCATCAATTAAAAAGATTTTCAGGTGCAGCGCGGAAAAAGTGCACATTGCCTAGTTAGTCACCGTCGCGTCGAAAAAATAAAATTGTTTCTCGTTTGTTAAATATTATACGATGGCTCTGGATTCCGTGCTTTTGGTGGGAGGCGCAGGCTTCCTGGGACTGCACCTGATCGAGCAATTCTGGCAGCTCGAGGACCGGCCTCGGATCCACGTGTTTGATGTGCGGCCGCTGCCCGAAAAAATCTCCCAGTACTTCACCTTCGACCCGGCCCAGATCGACGTGTTTGTGGGCGATTTGACCTCCGAAAAAGATGTCAACGACGCTATCGACCGGTTCGGGCCCCAGGTCGTCGTGCACTCGGCGTCGCCAATGCACGGTCTCGCCCAGGAAGTGTACGAAAAGGTCAACGTCCGGGGCACTGCGAACCTGCTCCACTGCGCCAAGCAGAAAAACGTGCCTGCCCTCGTGTACACCTCGTCGGCCGGTGTGATCTTCGACGGACACGACATCTACAACGCGGACGAGAGATGGCCGATTCCAGAGGTCCCAATGGACGGCTACAACGAAACCAAGGCCATTGCCGAGAAAATGGTGATGGAGGCCAACGCGCCAGAAGAGCACTTCTACACCGTTTGTCTGCGGCCGGCGGGTATTTTCGGGCCGGGCGACCGCCAGCTGGTCCCTGGCTTGCGCCAGGTGCTGCGCAGGGGCCAGACCAAGTTCCAGGTCGGCGACAACAACAATCTGTTTGACTGGAGCTACGCCGGCAACGTTGCCGACGCGCACGTTTTGGCGGCCCAAAAACTGCTGGACCCCGAGTCCGCGGCCGTTGTGGGCGGCGAGACGTTCTTCGTGACGAACGACGCCCCTACGTATTTCTGGACGCTCGCCAGAACCGTGTGGAAGGCCGACGGCCACATCGACAAGAAAAACATCGTTCTGAGCCGGTCGCTGGCCATTGCCATTGGCTATGTGTCGGAGTTCGTGTGCGGCCTGATCGGCAAGGAGCCCGGTCTCACGCCGTTCCGCGTCAAAATTGCCTGTGCCAACAGATACCACAACATATCCAAGGCCAAGGAATTGCTCGGGTACAAGCCCAAGGTGAGTCTTGCCGACGGGATAAAGTACACGCTGGACTGGATGGACGAGACGAAAGCGTGAACGCGAATCTATTGGTTTCTACACAGGATACACTCTTTCTCCACGCCCATGTTATGTAGGCATCTGGTATGATAACCGTGACGACATTGGAACACCATGACATCTGCGTCGATCGACGTGCGCACGACGCCCTGCAAACGGCACTCCTGCCACGCATCAAACACCTGCGCGCTCACCTTGGACCCCCAGATCGGCTTGCCGCACACCTCGCACTCCAGGTTGGCAAGCGACCAGCCGGTTCCTCTTTTCGCCTGTAGCACCATCAGTTCCTGGAAAATGTCGTTGTTCACCAGCCGCAAGATAATTTCGTAAATCACCTCCTGGTGAGCGTAGGCCACGAAAATCTCGTCCAGCACGGGCCGCACCTCTTGCAGCGTCGTGAGCTGGACGGACGAGCGTGTCAGAAACGTGTTGAAGATGCGCGAAAACGAGTCCGAATGGTCTCTTTTGACGTTAATCAGCGTCGTGAATGCGTCCTGGACGAGTCGCTTGAAACTGTCCAGTAACGGCCCCTCGGCCGCCACAAAAAATCCAACCGCAGTCTCCACAAGCTCCAGGTACAGTTTCTCATCTGGCTGCAGATCCTGCGACGGGTCGGGAGTGAGCTGGGATTCCTTAATGACGTCAAAGCCAAGGTACAGATATCTCCAAAGAACGTCGCTGTTATCTGCATTTTCTAGGTGCGTGGCGCAGTACTTCAAGGCCTGGATGATTTGCTCGACCGCCTGCACGGGTTCGTTTTCTCTGCGGTGTATTTCGACGATCGTCTCGAACTGCTGGTTTTCTCTCAGAAAATGCATCAATTTCTCGGTCACCTTGCAACCAAGCACAAACTGCTTGAGACCGGCGGGATCGTGCTGGAGCAGACACTCTGCGTAGGCAATTTCCATCTCGGAAGACACCACGAGTCCCCTCTGGGCACGGATATCAAACACTGTTTTGAGATATTCGTATTTCTGCCGCTGGTCCAGCTCCAGAGCCTTGGAGTTGAGCTTTTGACAGTGCTCAGAAAACACCTGGGCAGCGGCAGCAGGATCGGCGCAGAACTCGGCGAAATGGCGTTCCAGAAACTGTTCCACGTCGAGCCTTTCGCCAGGGTTGTGTCTGACGAGTCTGAAACAGCGTTCCATGATCTCCGTGACCTCGGGCCGGTTTTTCTGCTCGATCCAAAGCTCCAGCAGCTTGAGCGCACGCTGCTCAGACTGGTAGATGCTCACCAGGGCGTTGTAAAACCCGGCAGATTCCAGCAACGGCACCAAGGATGTGCTGGGCTTGTGCACAGAAAGCAGGCTCTGCAGACTCAACTCGCACTCCTCTTTCAGTTCAGGAACGGGATACGCACAGAGGTCGCGAATAATGGACTCCAGCAGCGAATTGGACAGTCGAATGAATTGCATGTACTTGGGGTAGTTCCGGGCAATGAAGATAGCCAAATACGTCTTGTACTCCTTGCCAAACTCATTTTCGCCAAATATGCCCATCAAGACGTCGAGTATGTACTGGCGGCTCACCTTCAGCTCGTAAGTGTCTGAGTTGCTGGAGAAACCGAACACTTCGTTCTCGTTGAGAAAAGTGTCCTCAAAAACCTCGTTCAGACACCGGAAAAAAAGAGCTCCATCGTGTTTCAGCAGCAGAAAAAGGTACGGAAACGCAGGCTCGTCGACTACGTTTTCTTCGTCGACGATGTGGAATTTGGGGGCCCCGCGGGGCCACGAAACGGCTGCTCCGCTGAAAAGCACATAGTAGATATTCTTTTTCGCTGTGTCGCACGTTCTGTAGTTGATCGGCTTCTCGGTAGGATACTGTCTTCCAGTCAAAACGTACGATATGTATGCGTAGACGTAGTCGGCGTCATGGTAGGCGGGCTCGTGGCCATGCTTTTTTAGAGCTTTCAAGGCGTCCATAAGCGGGGTGATATAGTCTTCCAGCATGGTGTTCCAAATGTATGCTAGCGAGTCGTTCAGATGGTTTTCGCGACACAGAGTAATGGTGAGGTCAATGTCCAGTTGTTTCAGGTCCAAGAAACAGATTATCTCTTCCAGGATATGGCCTCTACCGTCGTAGACATAGCGAGCCACCATTTTGCGCAGCACGGCAGGAGGCAGGACTGTAATCTCGTCTTTGCGGATGAACTTCTCCAGAACGCCAAAATACACATCCTCCAGCCCATTGGCCACGTATCTCTCAAACAGCTGCTCGTAAACGGCGGGCTCGGGCTGGAGGCTGACACAGACTCTGAAAGCTGTGGCAAGGAACTGCGTAAGAACGTCTTTGCGCGCGAGTGGTTCCATCGCAAGAAGCGCCTGGTCGGTAAAGATGTATCTGGAAGACGCATCGAGCATCTGCATGATGTGATGGCGCATCTTCTGATGACGCTCGTCGTCGTCCTTTGGCAATCCAATTAAAACTAGGTCGCAGAGACCTTCGTACTGTATACGCGCCGTCTCCAGCGCGCTGATGTACTGGCCCGACTGTAGCAGCTCAAAGAGCTCGTCTGCCCAGTTGCGTGGGGAGCCCAGAAACGTCTGGTACTTTCCCAGAACAAACAGCTTTCCTCGAAAAACTGCGCTGGTAGCTGCAAAGCTGCGATGCTGCGAGTTTGCCAGGCGGTACTTCACGTGCTTGTTCATCACGTCCTGTTCGGTGAGCACCTCGAGATTTTCCCGCGAAAGACAGAAAAGCCGCTGCGAAACGGTCAGAACCACAAGAACCCTGGCATTCAGCCAGTGTATGGCAACGATGGGCTCCTGGCACGCGAATCTGCGCTTGTTCTCGTAGCGGAGCAGCACCGACTCGCTTTTGCGCTCGTCGACAATTTTGTCCGCCACAACTTCTATCAACGTCAGCACGTTTCCCCACGAGTACGCCAGGGCAGGAGACTCTTTGGCAGCAGGAAACCACTGGGCGCAACAGAACGTGTCTGTCTCGGCGAGAATCCTGGGCTTTCCCACCCTGAAATGGGTCTGCACTACAGGGTCTGTTGATAGAACCGTCAGCCCGGACGGCGTCATCAGCGCAAGAACGCCCATGGTGTCTGTCGGGTAAGCCACGGGGCCCATCAGCAGCTGTGCAGAGGCGAGAACATTTTCGGCCAGCGTCCGCGAACTGCAGCTGAACCCAAACAGCGTGCGTGTGGCGTGGTGGTACACGAGCCTTCCGTCGTCCGTGGTGCTCAGAAGAGCCGAATGGCGTTTCCCGACAAACGAGAGCGTGGATATCGGGCTGCCTAGCGGGTCGAAAGTGTGAGCCGGCCTGTCCTGGTTCGAAAGCTCGTAGACGCTGACCCGGCCCGTTCTGTGGCCCACGGCCAGCGAGCCGGAGTCCAGCGAAAACGAGATCGCCGTGATGGGCACCGCGGTGGAGAAAGCGGCCTCGAGAGACTGGTCGTAGCTGAATACCAGCACGTGACCCTTGGCTGTTCCAAAGGCAATGTATTTGGCGCAGACGGCCAGACACACCGGCTCGCCCTGGTGTTCCAGCTGCTGCAGGTTCTCAAACAGCCGGGAGGTGATCTTTTTGAGGGTGATCAGCTGTATAGCGTCGCGATCAGACGGGCTCGCGTGCGACTGCGGCGACTGCGGCCGTTCCAGCGACTCCAATTCGTGTCCTGCCGCCGCGCTGCTGCCGTTTCTGGCTACTGGCGACTGCAGCCGCTGGTCAAAGCTGAACTGTGCTGGCATGAGATATACTAAGCGAATATGTATTTATTTTCCACACCCGCCTCGCTCCACACAAGACAAAACATAGAATAATTTTGGACTATCTCTATGTCGCTAGACCCGTGGAAAGCGTCTCTCTCTTCTGTGCTTTCGACAGACGGCAACTGGGCGAAGGTGCAGGCGGCGAAAAAAGCGCTGGAACTGGCCGCAGACTCGGACTGGTTCGCCAAACTGTGTCTCGCGTGCACCACCAACGATCACATCCAGCTGACGCAGTTTATCTCGTCTGCGGACGCCGCGAAGCTGGCGCAGCTCAGCAACGTCGACCTCAATGGCCTGAGCCCGCTGATCTACGCCGTCTGCTTCGGCTCGATCGAGTGCGTCACAGCCCTGGTGAGCGTGGTGGACGTGAATAAAAGCGACTCCTTGCTTCAGTGGACGCCTTTGATGTGGGCGACGTATCTGGAAAACATCCCGGTCGTCGAGGTGTTGCTCGCGAACGACGCAGACCCGTACCTGCGCAGCGAGCGGTCGCATCAGAACGCGCTCGACATGCTCAAGCCGGAGTCTGAAATCTACAATTACTACAAGGTGCACAACTATCTGGACAAGACGGCGCCGCAATCGAACGACAGCAGCTTCTACAAGAAAGACCCGTTGCTCCCGACGGACGAGCAGTTCGAGAGCCGTGTCCAGGCGCTGAACGTGGAGAGCGACAGCCCGAAATCGACGGAGCCCTACTCGGGCTCGAAATTCGTCGACGAGGACGACGAGGCCAGCATGCTGGACGACTCGTTCTATACGGACAACTTTGATTTCGGCCACCTGATGCCGCGGCAGTTCGTCAAGGTCAGCGACGAGAGCATTTCTGCCACAATAGACTACATATTCTCGCTGCACGCCAAATACCAGCACAAGGCCATCTATCCGGCTGCAGTGGTCTTCCAGTCGGTCCGGTACATCAGCGGGAAGATGGACAGCATGGAACTGGCGGAGTCGTTTGTGGATCTGTTTTTCACGAGAGTCAGAAGCGTCACCAACACCAAGAGCGGCGTGGTCCAGCCGTCCTCCGGGCTGCAGACGGACATTGTTCTGCTTGGATACTGGATCTCGTGCCTGAACCATCTGCAGTACTTTTTCCACAGAGACACCGCGTGTCCGTTTCTTGCCAAAAGCCCCAAGACGCTCCAGGAACTGATTTCCACCGCGCAGTCGCTGATTTTCCAGCTGGCGTTCGTGATGGACGCCAAGCTGGAGCCGCTGCTGGAGCCGTGCATTCTGGACTACACGAGCGTCCCAGACTTGCAGACTGTGTACAAGGCGCAATGGAGGATGTTCAAGCACAAGGTGGCTCTGAAATCCACCTACGACGAGATCCTCGAGATGCTGTATCCTCCGTCGCTGGAGCAGCAGATGAAACCGTCGCCGCTGAAAATCATCCAGACGCTGGGCGCATTGGTTTACGTTCTAGAGCTTCATCACGTGAACGACGTGTACAAACAGCAGTGCTTTGCTGCCGTGCTGTACTGGCTCGGAAGCTCTATTTTCAACAGGATCCTGGCCAACAAGAAGTACAATACGCGTGTGAAGGCGCTGCAGATCAGGCTCAATCTGTCGTACATCCAGGACTGGCTCAGAGCCAACAATCTGGTCCCGTACCGGGCCGAAACTTTAGACTTCAACGACGACAGCTATCCGGAAAGCATCGTTGGGACTGAGACAAAACTCAGCAATGTCGCACGCTTCCACAACAACAAGCAGGACCCGATGGACGGAACGTTTTACTACAACTCGCTGTACAAAATCGGCCAGCACCATTTGCTTCCGCTTGTCGAACTGCTGGAATGGTTGCAGGTGATGAGCGGGCTCACGGCGGAAGATCTGGATTTGCTGAAGAATATCATGAACAGATTTGACGTGCTGAGCTCCAAGCAGTTGCTGCACGTCGTCAAGCAATATAGATACGAGATCACAGAGCAGAAGTTCCCAAAGAACCTGAAAGCGCACTTGAAGCAGAACCCCACGGCCGGCCGTCAAAAGGCGTACTACTCGGGCTCCGATAAGCTGTTTTTGAACCCAGGCCAGGTGTTTCCGCTGGTGCTGCCACGCCAGCTCGAGCTGCTGCACCAATACGGCTCCGACCAGAAGAAAATCCGGCTCCATCAGCCATTATTGCCAATCCAGGTCATTGACGACCTCGAGGACCTTTATGACAAGTGCACCGACCACGACAGCCAAGAAGGAAGGGGCTCGGAGCCGGAGAACCCAGGAACAGATTTATTCAAGGAGCTCACGGTGCCGACTTCCATTGCGTACAAAACGTGGGAGGCCGAGGACGACGACAACCCGTGGAAATGAATTATATGACGCCTGCTATGATTCTGCGGCAATGCGCCTTCAGTTTCGGATACTCAAGCTCGGCGTCCTCGATATTCATCAGAGCATAGACATAGGCGGCCAGCTTGAAGTCCAGCACGCCAGGCTTGTCGAAAAACAGCTCGTCCTCGAGCAATGTCTCAAACCACTCGAGCAGCTGCTTTCCCTCGCGATCACAGCGGTCGTGTTCGTTCTGTATGGCCTGGGCGGTGTATTTGAGAGGCAGATGTATCGAGTCAGTGTATTGCGCAGCAATGGCGGGATTGCGCAGATGGAAGTTGTTTCGTCTCACGAGATGGCCGAGAGCGGAATTGAAGGGCGTGCTGGACTGGTTATAGATGGACGTTGCCGAGATCTGCAGCACTTTGGCCGTGAAATAGTCGTATAGTCTAGTGTCCACCAATTGTATATACATGAGTTCTTTGGGGTTCGACACCGTTGAGAGATTGAATTTCTCGATGGTCGCCGCAGAGCGGATTTTTCTGCGCAGTTTGCGTTCTTTTCTGTCGTCCTCATCCTCCACAAGAATCGGAAGTTGGCCGTCCACGGCGCTGTGGTGCGTCAGCACGGAAATACAGTTTCCAGAGCCGCCATTTTCCAGCAGCGGCAATTTGTACCCCTGTTTGTACGCCAAAAGCAGCATGCAGTAGAAACACACCGGGTCGAGCGACGCCGCGACGCTGTTGTCAAAAGAGAGAGGCACCACGTTGTAGACACCCAGGTTGAAGGAATTGCGCGAGTCGCGGCTGTCTCGAAACGCCAGCTTCGTTGCCGGCATCTCCACGTCTGTATTTTCAGACGGGTACACCACGAGCGGGAACCTGGCCAGAACCTGTTTGATTGGAGCGGATAGACCCATGCGGAAACTGTTGGTGGAAAATTGTGCGAAAAATAAAGAGCACAGCCCGAGAATTTCTTATCAGTTCGTCCATGTTTATCAGGCACTTTGGTATTAATTCCCGGGGTGTTTTCAGACGGCACTACTCTCAGAGGGCCTCTGGAAATGCGTTGTTGGGCTTCAGAACCGTCGCTTTTGTGGGAGTTGTCGGGATCGCCAGTTCTTATGGCACTTACCAGTATCTCAGAAGCTATCCACCAATGGACGTATTCCCGCCAAAGGCGACAACACCGCTCAGCGACCTGAGCCAGTCGCCCGTCTATGCGTCTGAGAGCACTGTCCAAGCAGCTGTGAGGGAAATTCGTCAGCTGCTGCGCCCAGACCAGACGTCTGTCTCCGACGGGGAGCTAGCACTACATTCAGACAATTCCTCGAATTTCCACAAGCCATCTGAGAAAGAGCGTCCAGACCTTGTTGTGTATCCTGAGAGCGTGGAAGAGGTTGTTTCTGTGGTGAAAATCTGCTCGAAGTACCGAATACCTATGGTTCCGTACTCTGGAGGAACGTCTATCGAGGGCCACTTCATCCCGACAAGACGGGGCATCTGCATCGACGTCGGCCGCATGAACAAAGTGCTGGAGCTCCACGAGGAGGATCTCGATGTTGTTGTGCAACCGGGCGTTGGTTGGCAGGATTTGAATGCGTATCTTGACGAGTACGGTCTGATGTTTGGGCCGGATCCGGGACCAGGGGCATGTATCGGCGGAATGGTTGCCACTAACTGCTCAGGTACACGGGCCACCCGGTATGGGACGATGAAAGACAATGTGATCGGGCTGAAGGTGGTGTTGAGCGACGGAACCGTGATCAAGACCAAGAACCGGCCGCGAAAATCGTCTGCTGGCTACAACCTGACGGGGCTTTTTGTAGGCAGTGAGGGGACGCTTGGGATCATTGTGGAGGCCACGCTGAAGCTCGCGGTGCAGCCCGAAAACGAGGTGGTGGCAATAGTCAATTTCAATAAATTGTCGGAAGCAGCGCAGACGGTGACCGAGCTCTTCCGTCGCGGGCTGCCGTTGAACGCGGTAGAGCTCATGGACGACCGTCAGATGCGCTGCTTTGCCGAGATGGGAGGCAGCGAGGGCCGCAAGTGGAGCGACAGGAACTTACTGCTGTTCAAGCTCGGCGGCTCGAAAAACACCGTGAACGACCAGATCAAAATCGTGAAGCAGATTTGCAGAAAGAACGGGGGCTTCAACATGGAAGTGGCCTCCGATCAGGGAGAAAAAGACGAGATCTGGAGAGCCCGCAAGGTGCAGCTGTGGACGTCGATCGACTGGGCGCAGAAAATGATCCCCAACGCGCAGGCCTGGCCCACAGACGTTGCCGTTCCTATCTCGAAGCTGCCGACAGTCATCACCGAGACAGTGAACGATATCGAGTCGAATGGGCTTCTGACGACGGTTGTTGGACATGTTGGCGACGGAAACATCCATGCACTGGTGATTTTCCCGCCCGACAAACGAGCTGTCGCTGAAAAGGTGGTGCACAATATGGTGAAGCGGGCCATTGAAAACGAGGGAACAGTTTCCGGAGAGCACGGTGTGGGGATTGGCAAGAGAGAGTTTCTGGAGCAGGAGCTGGGCCTTGACGCTGTGAACACAATGAGACGGCTTAAACTGGCACTGGATCCTCATCTTTTGCTGAATCCAGATAAAATATTCCAGATAGACCCTCACGAAATGAGGATAGAAAATTAAAATTAAAAATTAGGAAATTTAAAATGGGAGATTGTAGCTGGGCGTATTAATTAGGGAAGACAGGAGACAAAAAATACAGCCAATAACATAAGCCTAGCTTGACATGGGGGGTGTCTAGGGAACGCAGGGGAAGAGAGAATCCACTTCCATCCACTTAGTGACAGCAGCTGATTTTTGCCTGAGTTTGCTGACTTAGCTCAGTTGGGAGAGCGTCAGACTGAAGTTCTGAAGGTCCTGAGTTCGATCCTCAGAGTTAGCACTTTTTTTGGAAGCTGCCAGTGAAGTCTTCTACTGCTCCTGTCGCATCGTCATACTTCGCTATATACATCACTCCCTCGTACTCTCGATCTTGTCGTACACTCTGAGAAGCTGCAGCACGCGCGGATCAGCAACAAAGTCACGTGTCCACTCGCTTCCCTTCTCCCGCGACTCCTTCACGAATCTGCGCGGCCAGTCGTTTTCCTCGCTCTCCAGTAGCTTCATGTCTTCAGGAGTGAACGGACGGGAATTTTTCGTGATAAGCCCCCATAGCCGCTCGTTGTACTCGATCAGCTGGTACCGTTTGTGGTAGAACCTGTATAATCTTTCTGGCTGTTTGGTGAAGCCGGCCACATTGTAGTTTTGAAGAGCTAGAATTGGCTGGGTGAAGAAATATGGCACGCCGTTCTCGTCCCTGAGGTTATTAAAGTCCAGCTCTGGCGCGAGCGGAGCAGACGGATAGTCGGCAGGAGCGATGTACGGCTGAGCGACCGGCTCTGGCATTTTCTCGTCTTGCTGTTCCTCAGAGTCCGCAGACTCCTCTTTTTTTTCAGGTTTTTCCAAAGGACCCAACAAGCCTTCATGAACTCCGTTGATGTACTCCTTGAAGGCCCCGCGGCCAATTGTGATAACGCCGCCTGCGTCCTCCGGAGACCTGCCGGCATCCTCGTAGCTCAACGGCTGCTGCGGGGTGCACTTGAAAATGCCCAGTACGTCGGCCGGCCTGAATAGTTCCTTTAGGGGTTTGGTCGCTTCAGGATCCACTGGCTCGGCCTTGGGCTCTGGCTCTTCCTTTGCGGCTCTGCAGAGCCTACTACGTCTGATCTGGCGGATCTCCTCCGACACGGCGTGGCGGATATCTCCCTGTCTTTCGGCAGTGTAGATGTCGAAGTCGATCGCGGCAGAGTTCAAGATAGGCTTGCAAAAGCGGCGCAGATACTTCAAGCCCTCGCTCAAAAAATCGTTAGGAGGCGGCGCAACGTAGATCCGCAGCTTGCGCGGCAGCTGGTTGGGCAGAAACGGCTGCTGTCCAAAGTGTTTGGCCTTTTCCATATACTGAGCCCGCAGCACGGACTGCTGACGCTTGTCGTAGACAATTCCTCCTCCAACGGCAGCGACGACGGTCCAAAAAATCATCCAGTTGCGGGACGGCAGCTTGAGCTTCTTGATGCCGAGCATCTGCAGCGCAGGGTTTTCGATGGCCATTGCGAAGAAGGAATATTTTTTATTTTTTTCATCTCTACGATAATACATTTTCGTTCGTTACTACTCATTACCTTTCAATGCCCTAATCACCGCAGGTCGCCTCATCATCTGCTTCGTCCACTTGTAGACCTCCGGGAACTCGGCCTTGAGATCAATTCCAATGCGGTCGACGACGTAGTTCCACGTGACAAAACAGAGGTCTGCAATGGTGACGCGATCGCCCACGAGCCACACGGGGTGGTCGAAGTACCTGCTCTGGGACAGCGGCGTGAGGCCGGCAGAGTAGGACGCGGCGTTTTCTGCGTCGAGCTCCATGATCAGAGCCTCGCGACGCTCGGCAAGGGCCATCTCGAGCACACCGTACACGCGGCGCACTTCATCGGTGTATCTCTCGATGGCAGAAGGCACGTTGCTGGAGTGGAAGTACTTGAAGTGTAGCGCCTGGCCAATCATGGGCGAGTGGCCCGAGGTCTGGAAAAACAGCCAGCTGAGGATGTGGCTTTGCTCGACAAGGTTATCGCTCCAGATCGAGCAGGAGCCCTCTTCCTTGAGTTTTTTCTCCACCAAGTACAGGATGATGGCCCCGGACTCCCAGATGGACACCTGCTGGTCCTGGTTTGTGTGGTCTATCAGCGCAGGCACCCTGCCGTTCGGGTTGATGGCGAGGAACTCCGGCGTGCGCTGTTCGCCCTTGTTGAAGTCCAGTAAAATCGTGCTGTAGCTGTACTCGAGCTCGGATAGTATGATGGCGATTTTGAACCCGTTTGGCGCAGACCTGTGGCTCACAAGCGTGAAGCCCTCGTTAGGGGCTCCTTGCGAGAAAAACTCCTTCAGCCGAGAAACCGACTCCGAGTCCAGCGTCTGGTTCGTCTGGCTTTCGTACTCGTTCTGGATGTCCGAGCGGCTGACGGGCTGACCGATGCGGACGTTTCTGAGTCCCGCAGAGAGGTTGGAGATGGTATTGTTCATAAAAGTTTTTTAAAACGTGTACGGGCGAAAAAAAGTGCCAAAAAGAAAGCTCGGATTATTTTGCAAAAAGCAATACCGCTATATAAACTACACAGACAATGTCTTTAATTAGAAAGTGATCAGTTGTAACCTTGATTGCCGTTGAAGCCCATGTAGTAGTTGCTCTGGTCCGGGTTCAGGTAGTTGTTGCCCATCTGGGGTATGTGGTATGGCGGCTGGCCGGCCTGGGACGGGTCTGCCTGGGGCTGGCCCTGTGGAGGAGGAGGCAGCGGCTGCTGGGGCTGCTGGGGCTGCAGCTGCGGGTGCATGTGCTGGGCCGCAGAATGGCCCTGGGACGCGTGTGTGTCGGGGACGCCGCCGGCTTGCGCGTCTTCGTCCTCGTTCGAAGGCTCCTCAGGAGCATTCAGACAGGCCTGGATGAGGTTCTTTCCCTCCGGCCGGGTCACCAAAGGCTGCAGCTTAGGCGTCGTGAACGTGTACACGAGCCCTGTCTCGGAAACAACAAGCAACAGCACCTGGGTGCCCGTCAAAACAGAAAGCTCGTACGCCTTCTTCATAATACCGGCCTTCCGCTTGGAAAAGGTGATGTGTCTCCTGGACTTTTCCTGGATGAACCTGATCTCGATCTTCCTGCGTTCTCTCTTGTTCGAGGGCTTGGAGTCCTCGTCCTCCTCGTCGTCGAGCTCTGGATTTTGAGGCTGCAAGTTGAGGTCAGGCTGCTCGGACGCCTGCGACTCCTGCTTCAGATTGGCCATTTCAGACACTGCTGTTAGTGAGTAATTGTTGTGCACTTACTTTTCACTTATCGATTGATTATCCGTAAGAGGGAAGAGCTTTCTCACAATTACTTAAAGGAGAAGTGTGTTTATGGGTTTATGAAAGAAGAAAAACCACCAAACTCGGAAAACAAGATGTGTAAAATTCCAAATTTATCGAAAGGATGCTATTGTTACCCGATTCAGCCAGGCAAAGAACACCCGTACACCAGCAGAAAAATTCAGAGTCCAGGCATGGTCGCTGCTCGACGGGAACACGCGGTGTTGGAGGCCTGTGGGTCCTGGGAGTCGCGGAAGCGCGAACTGCGGGACGCACCTGTCGGCACCACTACGCGGGCAGCTACAGAGCCAAACGGGACTGTCTGCGTGCACGGCAGGCAGCCTAGCGGCACGGACTACTGCGAGCCTCGTCTGGGCCTCACAACGGCCCTGAGGACTACTTCTCACACTGTTCTACCTTTGTGGTCATTATTAGGTCTATCAATTAAACACATATGAAACCATGCTCAGCACATGAACGGATTCTCATGGCTTATTTCTTAAACTTCTTGACCAAGTAGAGCGCAAAGATGGTCACAGCTGGAGAGTTAGCGAAAAAGCCCAATTGAACACTTACCAATGACGAAGATCAAGCAGAAAACAAGGATAACACCGGCTGGTAGCATCTCAATTAATTATAGGTATCAGGTTTGCAATTAAGAAGCAGCTTTGGAAAGAAGAGCTATAAGATTAATTGGAAAACAAACTTTTCTCTTAAAGAGTTTCCGTTTCGGTATATATATTATGCACTTGAGACAATTTGCTGCCTTACCACGAATAAACGGCGTGAAATTATTTTCTTTTTCCGGGGGCGTCCGGAATTCCCAGATAAGCCGGCAAAGACAGGAAGAGAGATGTTGACGAGAGATAGAGGTGGATGCAGCAAACAGCGGGGATGGTGGCTGCCCTCAACGCTGCGGTTGGCCAATGTAGCGCGTCGAGGTGATGGCCGTTTCCGTGCGTTCCCCGTTTGGGCTGCTCGTTTTACCCAAAACAATCGTCTTCGCTTCCATTTCCGGCCCCAAACCGCTTTTCCGGCCATCGTATATTGCATCATATCCGGTAGTGAGGTAATTTTTCTTCCCCCCGTTCCCGAGACATAAACATTGCACCGGCTCATTCCCGCCGATCCCCAAAGTGCCTGAGTGCCAAGATCTCTCTGCCGGCCAATAATAGCAGACGTAATTGCGACGATCGTCCCTTACCATTTACGCACCCCTACACCACCAATTTTGTGCCAATGTTCCCTCCCGGCAGCCTTGTTCTCACAAAGATAAAAGGGTTCCCCGAATGGCCCTCGCGTGTAATTGACTATGAGCAGCTTCCGGAGAAAATACGCAGCATGAAGCCAGGCTCTGCGCCCGGCAGAAAGCGCCGGCGTGCCGCGTCCGAACCGCAGCACGTGTGTGTCAAGTTCTACGGCGACGACGAGTATTTCTGGTGCACAGAAAAGGATCTGAAGCCCCTGACCGACGAGATGGTCACGGAGTACCTCATCAAGAAGGGCGAATTGCCCGACTCGGACGGCAACTTCCGTGCCAAGCGCGCGTCCAAGGTGTCCAGTCTGACCAACGCCTACTTGTGTGCCAACAACAAAGACGTTTCGCCGCAGGACTTTGCGTTGTACGGCAGTTATGGCAAAGTGGGGGAGGAGGACGAGGATTACGTGGAGGAGGCTGAGGAGGAGGAGGACGAGGAAGAAGAAGAAGACGAGGAAGAAGAGGAGGAGGAGGAGGAGGACAGCGACTCCGATGAGGAAGCGTATGGACGATCCAGCAAGAGGAAACACAACGGGTCGCACGGCGCCAGGAAGAAAGCAAAGGTCGAGCTTGTTGAGGACCTTGACAGCGACTGGGGGCTGGAATCGGACGTGGAGGACGCCGGGCTCGATATTCCGCCGCTGAACAGCGCCGAGCTGGTCGACGAGGTCAAGAAGAGCACCAAGTTTTTCGGCGACATAAGGGTCCAGATCCAGAAACTCGCGTTTCCACCGGAACAGCCTGTGGACTACGCCAAAACAGGCAAGGAGCTGGAGCCGCTGGTCAACAAACTCTCGAGCTACAAGCCCGTTTCTCGGGCCGTGCTCAAATCGACCAACATCGCCAAGGTGCTGGTGCTGCTGCTGAAGAAGCCGGAGTTTGCGCGGCTCAGGGTGGCCAAGAAGATCGGCACCGTGCTGAAAAACTGGCTTGGTCTGCACGTCGAGCCCGACCCACGCTGGAGCGACGACTACGAGCCGAGCACGGAGGCCGAGGAGGACCAGAAGGAGGCGCCCGCCGACGAGGTCAAGCAGGAGCCCGCGGGCGAGCCGGTGCCGGCAGCCAACGGGGGCGAGCGTGTACAGTAATATACCGTCGTTGCGGAGGGCCGCTTACGTAAGCATACGGCGCTGGAGGCCCCAAAAAAACTACCTGTGCGCTGTCTGCTCTACATGACCACGCCTCAATCGCCGCTCCTGCGCGACGCCTCGACCTCGCTGCCCGGCTACGTCGCCGAGGAGCTCACCGAGGAGCTCGACTCCGGCTACGGCGCCGTGCCGCCCGAGCAAGACGGCTCCGACGAGTACCTTGTTCCCAAGCGACAGCTGTACGTGATTCTCCCGTGCATTTTCTCGCTCACGTTCCTGGCGTCCATGGACACCACCATTCTGTCTACGATCATGACGGAAATCGCGTCGGACCTGGACGCGATTCCGTATCTTTCGTGGATCGCGACGTCCTATTTGCTGGCGTCTTCCATTATCCAGCCGTTGGGCAAGCTGTCGGACATTTTTGGCCGCAAGCCCATGATTCTGGGCTGTGTGTTTGTGTTCACGGTCGGCTGTTTCCAGTGCGCGGCCGCGACGACCGCCGTGGGCTTTGCGGTCGGCCGTTTTCTGTCGGGCTTTGCCTCTGGCCTGAATACTCTGGGCAGCATCACGATGAGCGATCTTGTGCCGCTGCGCAAGCGCGGCGTGTACCAGGGGCTCGCCAACCTGTGCTACGGCACGGGCTCTGCGTGCGGGACGTTCGGCGGCCTGGTTGCGAAGCGGTACGGCTGGCGCACGGTGTTCTGGATGCAGTGTCCGATCGGCATCGGCTGCTTCCTGCTGTGTCTGTTCAACCTGAACTTGCCGCCGGTTACGAGGGTGCAGCTCACGTGGCGGGAGAAACTGAGGCGCGTGGACGTGCTGGGGATCCTCAGTCTTGCGTTCACGCTGTTCCTGTTCATTCTGCTCACGTCTTTCGAGTTCGACTCGTCCAGAGGGCCTGTCCTGCTCTGTCTCGCGCTTGCCGCGTCGCTCGCCACCTTCGTCAAAATAGAAACCTCCGCCGTCGACCCGGTCCTGCCGCTCGAGCTGCTCAGGAACCGCTCGATTCTCGGCTCCTCGTTGGCCAACTGGTTCGGCACCATGTACATCAGCTGCGTGCTCTACTACTACCCGGTGTACCTGTCGACGGTGTACGGGTTTGACACCGGCCAGGTCGGCAACCGTCTCGTCCCGTCGATCGTCCTGTCGTCGTTCTCGTCGATCGGGTCCGGCTACTACATGAAGGTGACGGGCAAGTACCGCAACTTCTCCCTGGCGAGCGCCGCGGCCGGCGTGCTCAGTCTGACGGCCCTCGTGCTGTGCACCCAGCCCGCCCGTGCCGACCGGCCGGTCTCGACCTACGTCGTCATGGCGCTGCCGGCGGTCCCCTACTGCGCCTACGCGTCCATGCTGACCACCACGCTCCTCTCCCTGATCGCGTCCGTGCCCCAGGACCACCAGTCCGCCGTCACGTCCATCCAGTACGCGTTCCGCTCCACAGGCTCCACGCTCGGCACGTCCGTTGCTTCTCTGCTGTTCCAGTGGCACCTCAGCAGCTACATGCGGTCTGCGCTTGCGAGCCACGCCCCCGACGGCGTCCCCAAGAAAGAGCTCGTCCAGATCGTCACCAGGGCGCTCCACAACGCAGCATATATCCGCACGGCCCCCGACTGGGCCGTGCCCACTCTCATCAAAGCCTACAACGTCGGGTGCTGGTCCACATTCTTGTACTCGCTCGTCACGTGCGTGCTGTGTCTGTGCGCGCTCCTGGCCGTGCGCGAGTACAAACTGCACACGACGGTGTCTCGAAAATAATTATTAATTGATTTAATAGATAAAAAACCGTTTTATTTAAATTTTATTCTTCCTTGTTCCTTGTCGAATTATTTGCCATGAGCGTGCGCACCTCTTTACACATAGATGGTATGACGTGCTCCGCGTGCACGGCCGCAGTCGAGTCGTGTCTGCGGCAGGTGGACGGCGTCGAGGCCGTCCAGGTCGCGCTGCTCACAGAGGAGGCCGTGGTCGAGCACTCGCACACCGTCCCGGCATCGGCTCTCCAGCACGCCGTCGAGGACATCGGCTTCGGAGCGAGCGTGATAGCGTCGGAGAACGCGGCCGCAGAAATCCGAACGTCCTACCTCACCGTAGGAGGCATGACGTGCAGTTCCTGTGTCAACGCCGTGACAGATGCCTTGAAAAAGGTGGACGGAGTCCGGGCGGTGCAGGTCTCGCTTTTGACCGAACAGGCCACTGTGACGCACACGTGTGCGGCGGACAGGCTGTGCGAGGCCGTGGTGGACTGCGGGTTCGAGGCCACGCTGCTGGAAACGAAGAACGAGCACGCGATCAACGACAACGAGTCGCTGACGCTGAAGATCTACGGCATGACGTGCTCGAACTGCTCGAACTCGATCGAGGACGCCGTCGGCAAGCTGGACGGCGTCGTGAGCTGTCAGGTGGCCCTGGCCACCGAAGAAGCACGAATTGTCTACGACACCAACCGCACAGGCATAAGAAAAATCATGGAGGTCATAGAGGATTGCGGATTTGACGCTCTCCTGAGCTCGAACCTGGATTCCGCATCGCAGCTCGAGCTGCTGCTGAAGGTCAAAGACGTGGCGTACTGGCGGCAGACGTTTCTGAAGATGGTGGCCTTCGGGTTCCCGATTTTCTTCCGCCATCACATATGGCCACTGCTGGCCATGATTCTGCACGTCCACTGGACGCCTGTCGCGCTGTACCACGGTCTGTTTCTCGAGACCGTGTTTGAGTTCTGTCTCGGCACATACATCCAGTTCTGGCTTGCCCGACGGTTCTACGTCAACGCCTACAACGCCGTCCGGCATCGCAACGGAACGATGGACCTCTTGATCTGTGTTTCCACCACCACTGTCTACATCTATTCCACGTGCTCCATTCTGAACGCCCTGCTCCGAAACGCCCAGAAGCCCGCTTCTGTCCTCTTCGACACCTCTGCCATGCTCTTCATCTTTGTTTCTCTCGGCAAGTGGATAGAGTCCAAGGCCAAGGGTAACACGTCTACGGCGCTTTCCAAGCTCTTGTCCCTAACACCGTCCATGTGCACTATTCTCGAAAACCCGGACGACCTGAGCTCGAACCAGAAAGACATAAGCACCGACCTGCTGCAGAAAAACGACGTGGTGGTGCTCCACCCCGGCGGAAGAGTGCCGGCCGACGGCGAGTGCATTTACGGGTCCTCGGAGGTCGACGAGGCGCTCTTGACGGGAGAAAGCGTTCCTGTGGTCAAAAGAATCGGCTCCAAGCTGTACGGCGGATCCATCAACGTCGCGTCGCCCCTGTACATGCGTGTCGAGGTCATTGGCGAGAAAACGCACCTGTCGCAGATCGTCAAGCTAGTGAGAGACGCCCAGGTCACCAAGGCGCCGGTCCAGAAATATGCCGACGTGATCGCCAGCAAGTTTGTCATCACTATCCTGGTTCTGTCGCTGGTCACGTTTGTCTTCTGGTGTGTCTACATCTTCTGCCAGCCTGTCGACGACGTGCCGGCATTTTTCGTCGACAGCGACACGGGGAACGTTGTTTTCTCGAGGATTTTGCAGATCGCCATATCTGTGGTCGTCGTGGCGTGTCCGTGTGCGCTCGGGCTGGCCGCGCCGACGGCCGTGATGGTTGGAACCGGCGTGGGGGCCACGAACGGAATTTTAATCAAGGGCGCCGACATACTGGAAAAAGCAAGCGGGATCAACTGCGTTGTTTTCGACAAGACGGGCACGATCACGTCGGGCAAAATGCGGGTCTCGAACTACCACTTCATCGGCGACATGGACGAGAAACTCCTCTGGAGCATCATTCATGCCGTAGAGCACGACAGCGAGCACCCCGTGGGCAAAGCGCTGGTTTCTGGAGCCTCTGGACGTGCCTCGTCGCTTGCTGTCGAGGCCACCAAGGTGCACAACATCGTGGGTCTTGGATTAGAGGCCCAGATCAGGCTGCAAGGCCAGGACCTTGATGTTGCCATAGGAAACGGCCAGCTGATGAAGGAGAAAAAAATCGACAACGCAGCCGACTTTCTAGAGTGCTGCAAGCGTCTCAACAACCCGCACATCTCCACCTTCTCGCACGTTCTTGTCAACAACAAGTACGTCGGCTACGTGGAGCTGGCCGACACGCTCAAGGCCGACGCGGCGAGCACCGTTTCTGCGCTCATCGACCGGGGCTTCACCGTTGCCATGGTGACCGGAGACAACGTGCAGACTGCGCGCACCGTTGCGCAGGCCGTGGGGATCCCGCTGACCAACGTTTTCGCGCAGGCGCAGCCGGACGACAAGCTGCGCGTGGTCGATCAGATGCAAAAACACGGCCTCAAGGTTGCGTTTGTCGGCGACGGCCTCAACGACGCACCGGCACTGATACAGGCCGACCTGGGCATGGCTATTGCCGCCGGCACCGACATAGCCATCGAGGCCGCAGACGTGGTGCTGCTCTCCTCTGTGCAGCCGGACGACGACGACGACGGCATCCCGATGCAGGAGTACGGCCGCAAGGACGGCACCGCAGGCATTCTCGCCGCGCTGGACATTTCGCAGCGCACGTTCCGCAGCATCAAGACCAACTTTTTCCTGGCCGTGGTGTACAATCTGGTCATGCTCCCAATTGCGATGGGCCTTTTAATCATTCCATGCGGGCTCACCATGAACCCGATGATTGCGTCGGCGGCGATGGCGTGCTCCTCTGTGAGCGTGGTTTTCAACTCGCTACGTCTCAAGAGCTGGAAGATGCCCGTGCTGGACAGCACCCGTGTTCCCGAGGAGCGTGTCGACTGGGCAGACGACCAGGTGCTTTCGTCGATGGACGTCGAGAAAATGGACGTCGTCGACAACACGCGGGCCAGCTGGCGCACCCGGCTGCTCAACCGGTTCAAATCCCCGTACGAGAGACTAGACTAATTAGTACGCAAGTAAAATATATTTCTTTATTTCTCCAGAAAGCCCGCCGCGTGCGCGTTGTATCTGCCGCCCCTGATTTCGATCTTGTCGAGTTTCGCGTTCAGGTCGGCGAACTCGGCGTCCGTGAGCGGGATCTCCGTGTTGTTCTCGTGGTTTCTCGCCGGCGTCGACGACGACGGGATCGGGATCACCCTGGCGTACTTTTCAGGGAACTCGTTGTGCTTGCGGATCCACGCTAGCGCGATCTGCGCAGCAGTGCACTTTTTCTGCCGAGCAAGCTCCTCCACCAGCCTCACCACGCTCATGTTGTTCTCCAGAACCTCCTGCGACGAGAACCGATCCAGCGTGCGCCGGAAGTCGCCCTCGGGAATGTCGTCGACCGACTTTATCTGGCCCGTCAGGTAGCCCCTGCCGAGCGGCGAGTACGCTATCACAGGTATTCCCAGGTCCCTGCACGCGTCCATGACGCCGTTTCTCAGAATTTCCCGCGACCACAGCGAGAACTCTACCTCCACGCACGAAATCGGGTGCACCTTGGCAGCGCGACGGATAGTGGTGGCAGAAACCTCGCTAAGCGAAATCCCGCGGATCACACCCTCCTCAATGAACGGAACAATGCTCTTCACCACGTCCTCCACAGGGTGCTTGCCGTCCTGTCTGGCCGGCTCGAAAATGTCAAACTTGCCGTCTGGAAAGTAGGAAGCAATATTCCGGATGGACTTTGCAATGTTCTCGGGCGAATTGTCTGGCGGGTGGGGAAGATCGACACATCCCTTCACGGAAACAACCATCTTGGAGCGCGACTCCGGGTACTTGGCAAAATAGGCCCGCAAAAGCTCCAGATTGGCGTGCTTGTCGTTGGGCGGGTTGCCGTAGAACTCTCCCGCGTTGAAGAACTCAACGCCGTCCGAAAGGGCACTGTTGATTGTGGAAAATGCCTGCTCGTATGGCACAGGCTGCGGCCGCCACGTCAGCGACATCAGCCCGTAGCCCGTGTTGCCCCTGACCTCCACACTCATGTTGTCGAATCTAGAAAATTCTCTCGACCAAATTTTTGAGATTTGCGTCCGCCTTACGTAACCCGCTTCGCGTCGGCGTCGCCCAACTTATCGAACGGGTTGTACTCGGGCGGGTTGACGTTCACGCCCATCGGCGAGGCTACCGGCAGCACGACCGAGGCCGCAGTGGGCCCTATGGACGCCACGAGCGGCGTTGTCACCGGCAGCTGCGCCACGTGCTCGAGGCCGCTCGTCTGGAGATTTTTCACCTGCTGCTGCATCGAGTCCTCCTTCTCCGACTGGAGCGGCGACGGGACTGTGCGGGCGGAGGCTTCCTGGCCAAAATGGCCGTTCTGGAAGTTGGCCACCGACGGGATCGACGAGAGCGGCGGCTGGTCCGTGGCGTTGGTGACCGACTGTTTGAGCACGCTTGTTTCGAGACGGATCGTCAGCTCCTTGGTGGCCCGCGTGAGGTTCGAGAGCGCCCCACGCACCTCGTTCAACGCCGGCATGTCCTGCAGCGCGCCCTTCGTGGCTGCCAGAAAGCTGATGATCGACTTCAGAAACAGGTTCGTCTCCTCGTAGAGTCTCTTTTGCTGCTCTTCGTCGAGCCTCTGCGCGCCGCGCGTCTGGTTGAGCACCACCTTGATCCGTTTGGTCTGCTCCATCGAGTTCATGCAGTACGTCGTGAGCTCCTTCACCTTTTGCGCGATGTTGGGCAGGTCCTGGTTGTCCGGGTCTGCGTCCTGCGAAGTTTGCGAGTTCTGTGTGTTTTGTGCGGTGCTGATGGCGCTCTTGGCCAGCGCGTCGTTGAGCTGGGTGAACACAGCGTGCGCCGCCTGTGTCGTGAAGCTGATTATGTCGTATAGCTTCTCGTTGTCGGTCGTTGACTCGACGTTGCTGATAGCACTCAGCTCCGAGTCCTGGCGCGCAACCGCCGGCAAGCTCGTGTCGACCTTGAGCGGCTGGCGGTGCACAGACGGCTGGCGCTGCGGGACGGGAATCGCCTGACTGTGCGGATTCGTAGGCGGCGCCCTATTGATCTTCGGAGGCTGTGTGCGCAGTTTCTGGGGCGCCAGCGGGGCCGTTGAGAGCTGGGCGGGGCGCAGACCTTTCTGCTGCGTCCGAGGCGCAAACGATGGGTCGAGTATTTTGCAGATGCCCGTCAGCTCCACCAGCAGCGAAAACAGCGAGAAGTACGCCATCCGGATCGTTTCCGTGCCCAGCGACGCAATCATGTGGCTCGGAAAGGTCAGATGGTCAACTATTTTGCGCAGATCCTTCAACAGCTCCACCAGCTGCGTCGCCAGCTGCGTGCGCAGACTCTCGTGGACGGTGTCCGCGTCTGTGTCGTTGGCGCGGCGGTTCAGAAAGTCGTACAGGCTCACAAAGTTGTTGAACGAGCTCGTAGACGTGTTGATCGAGATCCCCAAGTTTCTCAGCACGCCCGTAAATTCGGAGTAGACAAATCGCACTTTGTGTGCCATTTTCATGGTGTCAGAAAAGGCCAGCCGTTCTGAGGTCGTGCCGTGCACTTCGCGCAGCGTGGTCAACTTGCCGTCCGTGACGGCGGTCTGCGACGCCAGCGACGGCTTTCTGGGCAGCCCGCCGTTTTGCGGCGTCATCGACGACGAGGTAGGAATCGCACTCTGGCTCATGCTGCGCAGGTTCCGTCCAACATGGTACTTCAAATCCTCCAAGGCGAGCTGCTTGGGCTCGCCCTTGGAGCTCGCAGACGGCACCGACGACGCTATGCTGGCCGTCGAGCCGTTGGGGCACGAAGGGCCCGGCTTGGGGGTCGAGCTCGTGCTGGACGGCGGCTTGAACAGCCGGCCCAGGCGCTTTTCTGCACGCGTGGACTTGAACTGCGACTCGCTGTTGCTCCGGGACCGCGTCAGCAGGACGTCTTCGGAAAACATCGACTTTTCGTAAGGCACACACAGCGATCGGCTTAGATGTTTTGTCTTATTTTTCGAGCTCTAAATTATACACCCGCACACCCGTGCACCGTCAGGTCTCCTTTCTGACCCCGGACACGATGTCGTCGACGCGGAGCAGCATGCAGGCGCTCTCGATCGAGGTCTTGGCGCTCTGCTGCTTGATCGCCTCGGGCTCCCAGATGCCGTACTCGTTCATGTCGACAATCTTGCCGCTCTCGCCGTCGATCCCCCACGTGTGCTCGCCGTTGGCGTGCTTGGCTCTCAGCTGCGACAGCACCCTGATCGGGTTGCCTCCGCAGTTCTGGATCAGCGTTCTCGGAATCACCTCGAACGCGTCCGCGACCGCCTGGTACGGCCACTGCTGCACGCCCTCGATTTTCTTGACCCGCTCGGCGAGCCCGACGCTGACGGCCATCTCGGTGGCTCCTCCGCCCGGAGCGAGCGACGGCTCGAAAAACACGTTTCTCGTCACCGCCATCGCGTCCTGCAGGTTTCTCTCGATTTCGTTCAGAATATCCTTGGACGGGCCGCGCAGCATCACCGTGCAGGCTCTTGGTTCCTGACACTTCACGAGGAACGAGAAGTACTCGTCGCCGATCAGCTTCACCTCGAACAAGCCGCACTTCGAGCCGACGTCGGACTCCTTCAGGTCCTCGACGCGGTTCACGATGGTGGCGCCCGTGCATCTTGCTATTCTGTTGTTGTCACTCTTCTTCACTCTTCTCAGCACGGAACAGCCGCCTTTCAGCAGGTAGTGCTGTGCCAGGTCCGAAACGCCCTTCTCGGTGATCACGAGGTCCGGCTTCACGGCCAGAATCTGCTCGCACATCAGCTTCACCTGCTCCTCCTCGATCTGCAGCAGTCTGGCCCAGTCCTCCTCCTTGGTGATCTCGACGTTGGTCTGACTCTCGCCCTTCTTGTACTCCAGCGGACAGTCCAGCAGCACCACGCGCGGCTTCTCAATCACACGCTTCATCTTGGGATGCACCACGTCCTTGTTCAGCAGCACGCCGTCCAGGACAACAGAGTCCTCGATCTCGCCGCCGGGAATCTTCTCCACACGCACGTACCGCTTGATGTCGATCTCCTTGTGGTCGCCCTCCTGCACCAGTACCGTCTTCACCGCCTTCAGGGCCAGCTGGCACATCAGCTGCGACCACTTGGCCACGTACTTGGTGCCAATGGCTGCGCTGATGAGCTTCACCATCGCAGCCTCGTTTTCCAGGTCCACAGGGATACTTGTCTCGTGGATGATCTCCAGCGCGTCCTTCAACGCCTGCTTGAGCGCCTGGATGATCACCACCGGATGGATGTTTTTCTCTATGTATGGGAACGTCTGTGCAAGGATCTCGCCCGCAAGAATGATCACCGACGTGGTGCCGTCGCCGACCTCTTCGTCCTGCGTGCGGCTCAGCTCGATCATCGACTTGGCAGCCGGGTGCGCGACGTCGATCTCGCGCAAAATCGCGTGCCCATCGTTGGTCAGCACAATGCCTCCCATCGGATCCAGCAGCATCTTGAGCATCGCCTTCGGGCCCAGACACGTGCGGATGATGTCCGCGACGGCCTTTGCCGCGGTGATGTTCTGGATCTGGGCCTCGCGGCCGGTCTGTCTCTGCGCAGCCGTGTTCATAAACACAACAGGGGCTTGCATGGCGAATAGAAGAAGGTTTGGATTTTTTTTCTTGTCCAGCAAAATAAAATATTTACGTAATTTTTCACATTTTCGCGAGCAGCCGGCGCTGGTAGACCAAGCGCAGAGCGGACAGCGACGCGGCTGCGGCGAGGAACAGCACGCCCACAAAGACACTCAGCTTGTCGAAGCCCTCCACGGTGTCCACGTGGCCCGGCGGGATGAACGTGCCCGCGATGATGGGCCCCACAAGCACGCCCACCGATGCTGTAGGGAAGAAGACGCCGAGGTACGACGGCAGCTCGTCCGCAAACAACTGGCCCAAAATGGCCGGCGCCAGGCTCACAAACGGGCCCGTGGCAAACCCCCACGTAATACAGAACGCCAGCGCCGCCGCCGACGAGCGCGCGGGTATCCACAGAGCCAGAGACAGCACGCCGCTGAGCACGAGCGTCGGGATCATCACGTTGAATCTGCCGAGCTTGTCACCGACGTAGCCGCACGAGACGCGTCCCAGCAGCGTCGCCGCGTTGACAATGGCCACGTTGTAGTCCTGGATCGGCCGTGCCACGCCCAGCCGCTGGCAAAACAGGTCCACGTAGAACAGGCCGGGAAACAGCCCCAGAATGGCCACGGCAAACGACACGTTGAGAACCTGGAACCGCCAGTTCAGCAGCACTCTGAAATTGACGCGCAGCACGTTCTGGCCCGGCTTGCGCGGCGGCGGCGGCACTCTCGGGCGCAGGTTCGTGGTTGCAAAGGCCACCATCGGGATGTACAGAAACCCTATGATTCTGTTCCCCCACGCAAACCCCACCTTGTTGATGAGTCCGCGCACGCCGATCGGCCAGTACACGCCGGCCATGGAGGCCCCTGAGGTGATCAGCCCCGACGCGATGGCTTTGCGTCGGTGGAAGTACTGGAACACCACCCCCGCGCAGTGCACGTACATGAGTCCAGATCCCAAGCCGAACATCAGGCCCTGCACCACGAAAAGCTGCCACGGGGCCGTCGTGATCGACAGAAACATGTACGACAGTATGCAAATGAGCCCGCCAGCCCCCACCATGGCCTGCGGTCCCAAATAGTACATCCCCACGGTAGACGGCAGGGCCGTAGCGAACGTGAGACAGCCCTGCAGAGACCCAATTATCGAAAGCGTGTTGGAGCTCATGTGGGGGTACTTGTTCTCGTAGTAGCTCTGGTACACGCCGAAGGAGTTGACCATGCCGAACGAGAGAGCCATGACCGTCGCTCCCGAGCAAAGGGCCAGCCATGCGCGCAGCCCGCCCTCTGGCGGGGGTCCGGGAGATCGACGGGGAGACTGCTGCGGAGACGGCACAGTATGTGCGGATGACGGCGTCTTTTCGAGGTCGCGGCCGCGTTCAGTGTCCATGGCTGATTAAAGACGCTCGAGCCTGTTCATGGAGGCTATGACTAATGTAACAATCTAACATTTTTTCGTTTGGCTTACATAAGCCCACACGTTAGCTTTTTCCTCTAGCTAGCAGCTGTGTGAGTTCCTCTGGCACGTCGAATTTCGGCAGAAGCAGCTCGAAAAGCTGCAGGCCGGCTCCGACAGACAGCTGCGACAGGTCCGACCGGCTGGCGATTTTCCGCCCTTTTTTGCCGCCCCCAAAACACCCCACCATCTCTGTCCACTGCCATTTGGTAGCAATGTCGTTGTACGACCGGTCTGGGCCCTGGATCACGCGCTCAATCGTGTAGCCGTCGTTGTTGAGCAGATACAGCACGGGGTCGACCTTGTAGCGCACCAGCGATGCGATTTCCTGCAGAGTCATCTCTGCTGCTCCGTCTCCCTCGACGGTGATCACACGGCCCGGAGCGCCCGAGTCGCGCTTGGCGATACATGCGCCAAGAGTTGCCGGGATGGCGTATCCGATGGCTGCCCACAGGAACTGGTTGACGAACTTGGCCCCGTGCAGCTCGATGCTTCCTGTGGCCCACATAAAAGAGCCGGTGTCGACGATAAGCACGTCGTTTGGCGTGAGAGACCGCTCAATGTGTGTTCTGAGGTCATTCATGGTTAGCGGCTCGCTGCCTGTTGGCCTTGGAGGCCGCGAAATCTCGTAGCGTCTGCTCCTGGCCACGCGCTCCACGTCCAGCTGCTCCACAAGCATCTCAAACACGTCTCTCATGTTGACGTCTGTGACAAGCTCTCCGCAAATAGAGACGCTGTCAATAGAAAGAGAGACCACATTGCCAGGCTGCAATTTCGCCGAGAACGCGCCGCTGTTCATCTCGACGTCAAATGCCCCAACTCGCAGCACCAGATCGCTCTCCTCGACCGCGCGCGCCACGTCGCTGTTGCCCAGCGCGCCCTGGTACGTGCCGACAAACCAGCCGCGGCTCTCGTCTACAAGGCCCTTGCCCATGAACGTGTTGTAGACGTTGACCCGGCCGTCCAGCTTGGAAAGCAGTTTTCCCAGGGTGCTGGCCATCTTGCACCGGGAAATAAAATAGTCCACCAAAAGGGCCGGGTTCGTGCTGCTGTAGATCTTTTGCAGGATAGCCTCCACGACAGCAGTCGAGCGGCTGTTAATTTGCGGAACATAGTCCACCATCAGCGGCTCGTGCAGCCGCGAGGTCGGCACTTTCAGTTCTGTCAGATCGCACGGCAGAAACAGATACCCTGGCCGCAGACACCAGTGGATCTCTCGGAGCACTCTGTCGACGGTGGAGCAAGCATTGGCCGCGTCAGAGCCAATAGAGCCCTGCGCACAGCTGAAATTGGCGGCCACTTTCTCGTACAGATAGTGGTCTGAAGCCTCGTACGTTTTGCTACCAGTCAGGAGATGGTGGAATTTTTTGTCCGAGTTTTTCAGCCCCGTGGCAGACGTGCCGACCAAATGCAGCAGCGGAGAGTACTCAGAGTACATCCCGGCCACGCCAGCAAGCGCAGAAAGCTCACCGACGCCAAACGTGGACACCAGCACAGCCATCTTCTCGCACGTCTTGGCGTAGCCGTCACAGGCGTACGCCGCGTTCAGCTCGTTGCAACAGCCGATCCACTCCAGGCCGTCGACATCGTAGAGGTGCTCCAGAAAGCTGAGGTTGAAATCGCCCGGAACACCGAAAATCGACCTGATGCCCAGCTGGTATATGCGCAGCAAAATATACTCGGATATGGTGATGTAGTCGGAATTAATGGAGTTCACCAGCTGGTGATACTGCCCGCTCAGGGCGTCGCTTTGCAAAACAGGAGCCATTTTTGGCACCCTTCGGCGGCAGACGGTTGCTTATATAGCTACGCAGCGGCCGGTGTTGCCGTTGAAAGCCCTTTCCCGTTACTAACCGTACATATCCGTTGGGTCCCGTTTCGTAATTCATAAGCTCGTCATTCCTTCACCTCACGTGCCTCGACATAATACCACACCACCGACTTCGCCAGCTTGAACGGGTTCTCTGTCTTGCTGTGGAAGTTCTGCTCGGTGACTTGTCGCTGCTCGATTTTCGCCACCCGCCCCACCAGCCAGTCCCGGTCGCTCAGCTCTATGTAGCCCTCGCCCTTGGTGTTCTTCAGGTAGTAGTTCGGACACCCCACGTTGAACGCGGCCCAAGGCTGCTCGTCGCCGCCGCCGAGCTCCTCGTTGGCCGGAGTAAGCGTCTTCAGAAACAGAACCAGATCGCCGACCTTGAAGTTCCGGAACGCGATCTTGCCGTCTAGCTCGGCAGTGAGCGTCTTGAGCTCCTGCTTCTGCTGTGTCTTGTCTTTCTGTAATTTTCTCGCCAGCGTCTCCACGTCGCTGAACCGCCGGAACACGCGTTCAATCACGAGCTCGTTGTCAACGTGGTTGAACCGCAAGAAGTTCTGGAAGCCCTGCTCCACGTTGAGTTTTTCGTAATTGGCCAGCAGCTTCTTCACCTTTTTCTCGATCGAGCTCTCCTCGCACAGACTCATGTCGATCAGCGAGCTCTCGTCTTTCTTGTGCACAACCTCGTCCTCAATGCCCAGATCGGATGAGATTGTGTAGTTCAGCACGTTCATGTCCACCCAGTGGAGATACTGCTCTGCTTCCGGCACAACCTCGCTCGAGACAACCTCCAACAGCGCGTTGTCGATATGCTCAGAGTCCTCGAACGTGTCGTTTTGCAGGTTGCCGTTGTTGTGCGTCGAGTCGCTAGTCTGTTTAATTTGCCTCTTGCGACTGCGCAGGCCTTTCACACGCTTGATGGTGAGCGTTCCAGGGTGGTTGTCAAACGAGGGCGTCTCACGTATCAACAGCAGCCCTATAGACTCCAGCAAAAGACACACTCTTGTCAGGTTGCTGAAAATCTCGCCGCTCATCTGGTTCAGCTTGCTGTATGCTCCCTGCACAAGCTCGTACAGCTGGCAAAGTAGTCGGTCTTTGATTGCCAGTCTTTCGTTCAACGTCTTGTTCACGTTCACAAGGCTAGACTCGTCTTCCTCAAGCTCTTCGATTCTCAGTTTCAGCTCATTGATTTCCTGCTGGTTGACTTTGGCCTCCTTGCCAAACTCGCTTTCTTTCTGCCTCATGTTCTCCAAAAGGTCAGACTTCATGCTCTTCAGCTCAGAACACATATTGGCCAGCTCCTTGTTCGACTTAGCGAGCTCTTCGTTCGATTCTCTCAAATTCTTGTTCTCCTCTTCCAAGGCTGCCAACCGCTTGCTTTTCTCCATATCGGCATTTTTCAGATCCTCGAGCTCTCTCTTTAGTCGATCGATCTCTGCAAACTCCGCTCCTTTCTTGAGCTCGTCGATCTCGCCTCTGTACCTCTCGTTTTCTTTCTCGAGACGCTCGATCCGCTCTCCGTAGTGGCTCGGAGGTAGATCGATCGTCTTGCGTCCTAAACCAACGTTTTCGTTGAACAGTATAGTGTTCTCATGTACAGCAGGCTCCTGATTCATATCCGACTGGCGCCTGCTCACTGGATTCGGCAGGGTGTGTACTGGCCTGTGACGAGACCATTGCTCGTTAAACTGCTGGAAATTGCGCGTATGCAAAACATTCTCAAGCTTCTTGATTCTTCGCTCGTAGCCCTTAATCAGCTCGTCGTTCGGTATAGAATTCTGCTGGTTCACATTTATGTTGATCACAATCCCTTCAGACTCAAAACTCTTGATGAATTTCTTGAAGAGCCGCATGTAATTCACATCGTTCGCATCGAAAGAGCCCAGGTCTCCCACGTTCCTTCCTTTCACAACGATCTCCTCGCCATCCTCGGTCTCAATGGCTTTTTTTTCGCTCTGGCCATACGTAATACCAAAATCTTTGAGACAATCTTCCAGCCTATTCACAATGTTGATATCGATGCCTTCTTTCCTGAGAGTGTTGATATACGACACGATGCTCTTGACTGATATATTCTTGGCGAGATTGTCCACAATGTCGGTTTCCCTCTGTTTCGGCAATTCTGTCGCTACTGGACGCGGAGTAGGAAAACCATTGATGTTGTGCAGCAGCCTGTTAATCGAGGTCAGATAGTGTTTTTCCTGGCCGCCTACCGGGCTCGCAGGGCGGTCAACTGGGGACGGAGATTTCTTCGAGAGAGTCACATCAACCTGTTCAATTTTATACGCGACCATGTTCTCGCTGATAAAACGCTCGCGGCCCTCCTCGTCCAAGTGCAGAAAATCAAGTTTATCGGCTCCGCTGCTAGCCAAAAATTCCTTGAGCCATTTTGCGCGGTTGCGTGCCTCCATGAAGCGCAGCATCTCAAAGATTTCGTTAGCCTTTTTGACAATGTTGTTCAGAGATATGCCGAACTTGAGATTGCTGAGGTTGGCTATGACGAAAACGCCAAATATGAGTGGCAGGTCGGAAGCAACAGACAGCTGGAGCTCGTTTTCCTTGATAGATGCAATGTTTTTGGCCACCTCCGTATTCAGGACCGTAGACAGTCTCATGATGTTAAGCTGGATCTTGGTGATGTTGATCAAGGTAGAGGAGATGAGTTTTGTTTGCAGCTTTTTTCGGGCATTAAGCTTGTTGATCTGTATATCGTACAAGTTGTTGGCAAGCTGGAAAATATGCGGCACAAGCTCAGACTCCTGGTATTTGTACAGCTGCGTAAGCTTTTTGATGTTTGCAATCGAAGAAGCAGACAATGTCGTCGAGGTCTGGCTCGCCGTGGTGATTAGTTCCTCAAAAGAAGGAAGAGATGACGAGGACTGGATCAGTTTGCTGACATGCACTTCGAGTTCTGCAAGAATGCGCTTGCAGTCCTGTATTTTCTGAGTTTTCTGAGTGCCATCTGTGTCCGGCCGTACGTACTGCGACATGTAGCCGTTGTATTCCTGCGAAAGTTCCTGGCGGGGCTTGATGACGTCTGTTTCGATTTTGCTGCGAAGCAAGACCAGTCTCTCGTTCATGCTCTTGTTGAGTCTGCGCGACTCCTCTGCACACTTTTCGAGGCGCGACTCGTTCACCAGCTGGCTCAAAAACAGCTTTTCCGGGACATTGGAGGACGGACTCTTGAACTCAAAAGGTATGCGCTTGAGTAGTGCGTACTGGTCGCGCCATTGGTCCACGAGACTGTTGGACTGCAGCATTACGAGGGCGTCGATCGAGTCGTTGAACTTCTTCTCGAGCGTCTTGAACACGAGCCCCACGTACTGTATGAGCACGTTCAGCGACGTCAAAATGGTCTCGAGGTCGTTGTCCTCGGGCGTGCACTCGTCGAAGGCCACCGTCTTTTTGAAGTCCGACAGCAGGGCCGACGCCCAGCCTGAATTGCGTTTGAGCGAGTTGAGCAGCGTCCGCAGCATGTTCAGGTTGATGTCCACAGCCTTGATCTGTGTCGTGTTCTCCAGCACCAGCGTCAGCTTCTCCACAAACACCGACAGCTCTTCAGACAGCAGCGGCGAAGCGAGCGGTTTGATCATGTTGATCAGGTCTGTCTGGTTCAGTTCTGCCAGGAGGTCGTTGACGTTGTCCATATTGTCCGAGGCCTCGATGTTGTTGACGTTGAAGTAGCGTCTATCAAAGACGTATATCTCGCTTATTTCCTCGTGCACAATCATGGAGAACTTGAGCTTGATGCCGAACGGCGTGAGCAGGAACAGGTTCTCCGTGGCCACATTGAACGACACGCCAATGAACTGTTTCAACGCCTCCAGGTTGTGGAACTGGTACGCACTGGCCACCACTTTGGCCCCCGTGAGAGAGTTGTATATCGTCAGGGCAGAGGGCAGGTTTGTGTCTTGCGACTGGTTCTGCCGGTAGACAGACGACATCATCGAGAGAGGGTTGTTGTTCTGGATGATGGAGATATTCATTGCTGGGCAGGGAAGACGGGTATATTTGCCCTTTAAGCGATACGATCAGTCAGAAGAGAGGGTAAAATGGGAAAATAAATAAGATAAAATATATAAAATAATAAAATAATTGTTCCATGTCCGAGATAGAGTATGAGCCACTTTGTCTGGACGTGGACACACTGGGGCGGGAGACGATCGACGCCCACATAGAGCAGATCAGACGGCTGGTGGACGAACATCTGAGCGAGCCGTACTCGATCTACGTGTACAGGTTTTTCCTCAACAACTGGCCCAATCTGACGCTCATGGCCAAGCACCAGGGCAGGGTCATTGGATGCATCATCTCCAAGGTGGAGCCGCACAAGAATGCCAGGATACGTGGGTATATTGGAATGCTGGCGGTTGACAGCGAGTACCGCGGCCGCGGAATCGCCAAGGAGCTGATTTCGCAGAGCGTGGACTCGATGATCGACGCCTACCACTGCGACGAGATCATCCTGGAGACAGAGGTGGTCAACAAGGCCGCGCTGCGGCTGTACGAGAACTTCGGGTTTCTGCGTGTGAAACGGCTGTTCCGCTACTATCTGAACAAGCACGACGCGTTCCGGCTGATCCTGCCCGTGACAGAGAACAGCAGCATGCGGTCGACGTTTCTGCCGCCGCTGGAGAACGCGCCGGAGTCCACATACTAACGATAGAGCTAGCAATTTAATTACACCCCTACTTATCAGTCCTCGTCGTCGAACTTTGGAGCCAAGTAGTATCTCAGGTATCCGCTCGGCAGTCTGTACTCAAACAGCGCCGGAGCCTTGTCGGTGAGCTTGATCGTGACCGTCGACGAGAGCGCGGTGGCCTTGACGATGTCGTTGAGGTACTTGGCCCCGAACGTCAGCACGACCGGCTGGTTGAGCTCGATCTTGATGCTCTCGTCTGGCTTTTCCATGTCTGTGTGGGGCTTCAGGATAATCGACCCGGAACCGATCTGGCCCTCGGCGTTGAACTTGACCGAGTCCTTGGTGATTATGATCTGCAGCGACTCGCTCAGCGTCTTCATGTCCCTGGCGATCTTGGCAAACTCGTACGCCGGCATCGTGATGGAGCAGTCGTGCTCCATGTCGTCGATGGAGAGCACGTCGGAGTCGATGTCCATGAGCTTGAGCGAGAACTCAGAGATCCTGTCCTTCTTCTTGTCCTCAAACACGACGAGCAGCGAGTCTGGCGAGTCCTCGGCGATGATCGTGAGGTAGTCCTCGTTGTTGCCCTGCTTGAGGATTTTGGACAGCGACTCGAGGTCCAGACCCAGGACGAGGTCTCTGTCGCAGCGGAACTCCTGGAACGAGCCCGAGTCGATCTTGAGCGCGATCAGCAGCACTCTCGAGTCGTCGATTGCCTGGACCGTGATGCCCTTGCTCTGGGAGCAGTTGAAGTTGCAGAGCTTGACGGAGTCCTTGATGGATTCGATCACCTGGCGCGTTAGGACATAGAAAGCTCAGATACGTACTTTTTTCAGCAGCGAGGCCTCTTCGAATTTTCCTTCCAGCATTACGCGTGCAGTATAAAACGCGACAAACTAATTTGGCACGCGAATTTCTGCTGTCCCAGAACCGATCGACCTCTCGAAATTTGTCCGCCTTCTTTTTTTCCGTCTATCGTCCTCTCCGTATGGATTTTGTTAAGAAGGCCATCTGGGGGCCCGACCCCAAGGAGCAGTACCGCCGGTGCCAGAGCGCGCTGCGCAAAAACAAGCGGCAGATCGAGCGGCAGCTGCAGGACCTCAACGCCGTCGAGAAGAAGACAAAGACGCTCATCCGCGCGGCAGTCAAGAAGGACGACATGAAAACAGCCAGAATGTACGCACGCGAGTACAAAAACGTCGCCAAAACCATACAGCGCGTGACGGTCTCGAAGGTCACGCTTGAGTCGATTGGCATGAAGCTTGCGGAGCAGCAGCAGATGATCAAGCTCAAGGGCTCGATGCAGAAGTCGACGGAGATCATGAAGGACATGAACCAGCTGGTCCGGCTGCCCCAGATCGGCCACACGGTGCAGGAGCTCAGCAAGGAGCTCACGAAGAGCGGCGTCATCGACGAGATGATGGAAGATATGCTGGAAACGACGGATATCTACGAGGACGAGGAGGACGAGGACGTTGACGAGGTGCTCAGAACCATTCTGGACGAGAAACCCAAGACAGAGGTCCAGATGCCGGAGGTGGTGCGGCCCGAGGAGCCGGAGCCCGAGGAAGTGGACGACGAGCTGCTGGAGAACATGCGCGAGCGGCTCAGCGCGCTACAATAGGTCAGATAATTCTTTTGTGCGGTACATGCTAGAACAACAGGACCGACGACCCGATCAGAACAAGAGCCCCGATCAGCGACAGCGCGCGGCCGGACGCGGCGGCGGCGTCGTTCTGCACTTCCAGCCTGCTTTTGTTCTGGAACTGCTGCAACTCTCCGCTTGCGTTGGGCTTTGTCCGGTGGCTGAGAGAAAGCGTTGTTGGGGCAGGCGGCTCGGGAGACGAGGCAGCGACGGCGTTCTGTGAAACCTGCTTGTTTCTGGAGGCGTACTCCAGCGGCGACAACGGCGACGAGTCGGCGTCCGAGACCGGTCTGAGCTTTGCGCTAGAGTTGTCGACAGAGCCGATGCCCACGAAGAAGAACTTGTCGGTGCCAAACAGCTTTTTCTGCTCCTCCTCGCCGCAGTCGTCCTCCTTTTTCTTTCTAGGCCACCAGTTTGCGTCAACAGAGCTGTCGGGCTCTTGGGCCTGCAAGCTGTTTTCATCCGCCACGAACTCAACCGACTCCTTCTTCACGCCCACAAGCAGGAATTTGCGCGCGCCGAACGGAAAGTACTCCTCGGCACTGTGCTCCTCCTCGCAGGAGCCATGAAGGCGGTCCTTGAGCTTCTTGAACAAGTTCGGGAAGCCCTGCGCAGCAATGTCCTCCTCCTTGATCAGCCCCATCTGCGGTCCCGTTTCCGTTGCCAGAGACCCGGCCGCGTCGTTGCCGGAGCCAAAGAACTGGTACCCGTTGCCATAGACGTACGGCGCATCGTCAGTGGCCGCGGCGCGGTATCGCGGGACGATGTAGGCGTTGTTGTCGGGAGAGATCCACTCCTCGAAGTGCACCTGGTCGTTGTCAAGGTGGTTGTACCGTTCGATGATCTGGAACACCTGGTTTTGCGTGCGCGCGTCCAGCTTGTCGAAGACTGAGTCAGCCAGGGCCGGGCCCAGGAGAGTCAGAATCCACCACTTCATATAGTGTTTTATATTATTTTGTTGTGCAAGTGTCTGTGTTTGGCTGTGTGGTAGCAATGGTGTAGCAGAAAACGAATACCCTCGGCCTGTTAAGTAGTGTTGCAACTGCTCGGCAGAACGAGATTTTCAGCCTGTAGCGCTGGGCAAAGCGTGCGCCGCACGGCCGCGTGGAGAACTAGGATATCTTTTTCAGCACCTCGGTGGCGATGGCCTCGAAAACGGCGCCTGTCTGGCTGTGCTTGTCTGTGGCGGGGAGCACATCGCCGCACATTTCTCTTGAGAGCGGGATGCGGCCCAGAAGAGCCACTCCCTGCTGCTGCAGACTGCTCAGTTCCTCGCTCTCGCCAAACACGTGCTCCTCGTGGTGGCACTTGGGGCACGTGAACACGCTCATGTTCTCGACAATGCCCAGAATCGGAATACTGATTTTTTCGAACATCGTCAGCCCGCGTCTCACGTCGCTGAGCGCAAGGTCCTGGCTCGTGGTGACGATCACGGCTCCGTCGACCTTCAGCTGCTGGCCCAGCGTGATCTGCACGTCACCTGTTCCGGGCGGCGTGTCGACCAGCAGGACGTCCAGGTCGCGCCACTCCACGTCGAAAAGCAGCTGCTGGAGCGCTTTCTGCACCATCAGACCTCTCCACACGACCGCCGCTTTCTCGGGAACAAGGTAGCCCATCGACATGGTCTGAATCCCGTGGTTCATCAGCGGGATGAGCTTTTTGTGGGCGCTGATGCGTGGCTCGCCGCGCAGACCCATCAGTTTGGGGATGTTGGGCCCAAAAATGTCGGAGTCGAGAATTCCAACGTTCAGATCGCGGTTTCGAAGCGCAACTGCCAGATTTGCTGTCACGCTCGACTTCCCCACACCGCCCTTACCGGCGGAGACAAAAACTATGTGTTTAACGTTGTCCAGGGACCGCTGGGGCGAGAGGCGGGGACCCGTCTTCGGGAGGCCCTACAAGCGTTAGGGGGGACTGGATGGTCTCTAACCTTACCAATGGGTTTGAGTGGGAGAAGCGAGAAAAGTGGAGCGGTGCAATTGGCCGTTGGAAGATTAACCATTTTGAACTCCACATGCTAAAACATGACCTGGAAAGGTTTTATTTTTTGATTTTTTTTTTGACAAAAATATATTCACCATGTTTACGAGTTTTAGACCCCCGTCGCTCATTCTCCCAAAAGTCGTCCGTGCGCGCCCAAATGTGACGGGCCTCATAGGAGCCAGTGTGCGATATCAATCCACCGGCATTGTGGACCAAGAAACCCTGCCCGGCCTGCTAGAGAAGACTAGAGCGATATTTCCCACAAACAAGATAATTAGACAGAAAGCCCGCCAGTTACTTGAGCTGGCCCGCGAAACGGACGGATACACAACGCCGGTCAGAATTGGGATTGTGCAGTCGCCCGGCATCGAACCCGGACTGCTCACAGACGTGCTTGTGTGCGACCCCTTGGACAGCGATCAGGCCTGGTTTATACAGCTCCGGCAGCGGCAGAGCGAGAAAAAAGCGAACCAATGGGTCCGTTTTGGCGAGAACGGCGTGCGGTCTCCATTCCTGAGCCGCGAATTGCGCGTAGTACAGAGCGCAACCTTAGGAGACGGCACTACTAGAAAGGAGCTGCACAGAGAAGAGTTTAGAGATATTGAGCTGCTTGAAATCAATGACCCCCAAAACCTGCGCATCGACTCTGGCGTCTCGGAAACAACGGTTCCCGTCCAGCCCTCGCCAGCCAACGAGTGCCATCTGTACATATATGTCAAGACCCGTCCTGGCGAGCCTCTCGAGATCAACAACTACCCGTCGCTCTCGGTCCTCAATACACAGGTCCAGGAGTCCGGCAGCTCGTTCCAATTGCAAACACAGGGTGAAATCGCTGTGGATCTCGAAAAAGCCAGGCTAGCCAATGAGCTGCTCATGAAGTCTCCAAACAACGTGTCCAGATACCTCGAGCTGGTGAAAAAATCCAATATCAGCGCTCTGCTGTTCACTTTGAGCAGAGAAACCAGCGCCAGCAGGCCTACTTGCCTCCTGCTGCAGTCGCTGTTGTCCGATATTGACCAACAGCTCAAGTTTGAGCAGAAACCGGACCTTGTGAAGGAAGTCGACGCACTTAAAAAGGAGATCGAAAACTGGGCCCAGATGTCCCATTTCGAGCTCCAGTCCAAAATAGGGCCTTACTTGCAGGACGTACTGATCCAGAGGTTCAGCAAAATCACACAGATCGTCCCCAACATCGACGACTTCGACCTCGTGCTCTCCAAATACCTCTTTGACGACGAAACATACATCCAGAAAAGCATGTTCAACTTCACGCCCGTCAAGTGCCACGGATCGCTGCTGGAGTCCACGGCCAAACTGAACTACCTGGAGGGCAAGATCGACCTCCTGCTGCCGGCAAACGCAGAGCCGCCGCAGCCGCTGGCCCACCCGGTCGCCCTGCTAAAACACAAGGTGCTCAACAGAGACCTCCCGGACCTGCAGCAGAAAATCAGCCGCATCGTGCTCCACAACCTCGCCACAATCAACCTGCCAGCGTTCGCCGTGTGCACGGTGGGTCACGTGATCGACTACATCTCGATGGACACGGCGGTGGCGGTGGTGGTGCTGAGTCTCGCCATCTCGTCCAACAACATTTCCAAGGCTGTGTTCCGCCACCTCGACGCGTTCAGAAAGAGCTACATGGAGGACCTGCGCACGTCGATCGACCGCAGCTTGGAGCACCTGCGCAGACGGCTAGACCGCAACCTCGAGCAGAACGGGCTCCACAAGGCAGAGAAGCAGCAGCTGAGGCAGCAGCTGAGCAGCGCCCTGGAGAAGCTGTAGGTGGCTCATTTCACGTGACCTTCGGTATGAGGCTCGATTTTACGAAGTATACGATCCAAAATGCACCCGATATTTTTTGGCATGTCTTTTTTGGCAATTTCGGGCTGTGCATCGGGATCTATCGTATGGTTCGATTATTTTCTGGTGCTGGTGAATAAATAAATAGACGCACATTTCCTACCCGCAATCTAGATGAATCTGTTTCGGATGTATCCTTACTACCGTCTGATGGTGTCTAAGACGCACAGGGGACTTGCGATGGCGTACGTCTCGGTTGGCCTGGTGCTGCCATTTGTGCTGCCATTGAAAAGCTCGCTAACAACCGACAGAAGCAACGTATACGGCCATTTCAACACCAGGAGCGCGTTCAGGATATAGCAGGGCCTCGGCTGAGGGGAACATTGGGTATTGGTAATGACAACACGATTTCATATTTCTATTCACCGTATCTGAGATAGAGAGCGTTTTTAAAATGCTCGTGGCGGATGCCCGGTGGCTTGGCGGCCTCGAACGCAGCGAGCGCCTCTTTCACCGTCCAGCCCAATTTCTCGACCAAGTAGCAGCAGATGAAGAACCCGGTGCGGTTCTGGCCGTAGTGGCAGTGCACGCCGATATACTGGCCCTCTGACAATTCTCTGGCGACCTCGTGTGCCACCTCGATGAACCTGACAATCGTCACGTTGTCCGGCGTGACCTTCGACTCGGTTTTGAACTTGACGTAGCGGATTCTCTTGAAATCTGTCGGGTCGTACGCTGGGGTATCCGACCCGATATCTATGATGGCCACCACTTCTGGATGGTCGTTCTCGAAAGCCGTGGGGTTATGCACCTCGTCGGTCTGACAAAGCGTCTTCATGCCCAGCAACGGCGCTTCTGGCTTTCCCGAAACACGCAGCGGCGCAGAGATTGTCACCTCTTTGTCCCATTTCTCCTTATTCTTCAGCCCCCACTTGTCACCACTGATCTGTGCTTTCACCTGCAACACCCAGGTGCAACTGACGTTCAGCTCGAGACTCTCGACAAATTGGTAGATGACGCCGGTCAGGTAGTGCGGCCTGTCAAGAAAGATGGAGTGGTTGGCTTTGTCGATCTTCTCCAGCCTGGATAAAATACCGTGCGACTCCAGTTCCCGGGCAATTGCCTCGCTGGCATGGTACGGAGTGACCCTGTCAGCGTCTCCGCAACATATCAATATTCTCGGCTCGTTGGTGGAATTGATGATTTTTTTGGCAGCAGCCACCAGCTCTGCAGAGGACACCAGGTGGAAGCCGTTCAGATAGTTAAGAAACGTCTCGGACTCGGTGTCCAGGTTCCATCGGAACTGCGTTGCTCTCTTCAGCCAGTCGTTGGTCTCGGGATAGATGAATTTGTTCACCGACGGCGAGTACAGACCGCCCACGCGGTCCACAAAGCGGTAAATGTCGAACAGGCGCGGCAGAGAGCTGAAGACGCCCAGAGCCACCCTGAGAGCGCGAGGGAGGTTCATCGGGGCCAGATTAGGTGGAGAGACCATCACCAGCGTCTCGACCTTGCCCTCCGGAAGCAGATTAATTAGTCTTGTGGCCAGATGCGTGCCCATGGAATGCGCAACGAGAATAAAGCGTCTATTAGGAAACTTGGTCGACAAAATGGTGTTCAGCAGATCTGCGATATTTTCGCTCGTGTAGTCCTCAGGAACAAGATTCTTCGCGTCCTGCTCCAGACGCGCGAGCTCCTCGTCTGTGTACTGGGTCAGTCTAAACTTGGGCGTCTTTGTGCTCACTTTCGAGTTCCCAAAGCCTGGGAGGTCGACGCCGAAAACGTCGGTACAATTGCGGAACTCCTGTAAAATCGGCTCGAACTGCGACAGCTGGCCACCCAGGCCGTGTACAAACACTAGAACCGGCAACGACTCGATCTTGTCGAGGATATCGTGCTGCAGATTCGGGTCGTTTCTCTTCTGGTACTCTCGGAGCGGGTGCTCGCTGAAGAAGGTGTTGAGCGTCACAGACTTTCCATGGTGGATAAAGGACTCAATTTTGGCGTACTTCTGCACAATAGGACAGTCGTTCGGCTTCGATCGCAGTATGGTCAGCTCGAAGTCCGAGTAGAACCCATTGCGGTACATCTTCCTCAGACGCGCAAACCTCGAGAGAGAATCGTCCTGTTTCTGAAGCTCCTCCAGCGTTTCCTGGTTGATAATGAGTGGCGTGTCCACTGTCATTGCACAGGATGGCTGTAACGCAGTGTAAGATTTCTTTTCTGTGCCAAATTAGATAATAAATTTAATTAACTTCTTATCTCGCGGAAAGGAAACCTTTACACCGCCACATAAACGGTTCCCACAAGGACAGTAGGAACAATAGGATCAAGAGCAGTTTGTAGTCAATTCAGTGCATACGTAAAATAGCTCGTGTGAGATATACCAGCTAAAGGTAGAGAAGCCGAGCAGCCAGTGGAACGCAGAAAGAAAACTAACCAGAGGACACAGATCACATCTGCTACCTTTCCTTCTGTGGTACACAGCAGGCTTTTACAGTATCCAACAGCTGTCACTGCTAGCGCATAAATGTCAAGACCAGGTATTCTTTTCCCAGCCTTATTTTCTCCGCTTGTCCCATAAAAGGGAAAAAATATCTACCCCCTAAACGCTCGATCTTTTTCTTCCCGACTTCAAGTATTCTCCATGCTCAACGCCCAAGCGCCAGTCGTTGACACGACAATCTCCCTGAAGGAATTCCTCAAGTCAGCACCGCCAGCGCCGAAACCCAAGGAAGCCACCCCCTTTTACCACTCGGCGATCCCTGTCAAGTCGCTGGTTCAGCGGTACAGAACCGTAGGAAACTTGGGATCGGGCAGCTTTGGAACGGTGACATTGGCGAAGGTCCGCACCAACGCCCTCGCAGGCATCTTTGACGAAATGAAGCTTTGTCAGGGGACTCTCCTGGAGCCGCTGCAGAACGTCAATCGGGCAAAACTGGATGTGGTGGCCATCAAAACAATGACTCGAAGACTGGCCAACTTAGACGACTACTCAAAGGTGAAAGAAGTCAAGTTCATCCTTGCCGTGTCCTCCCACCCCTCGCTGGTCCAAATCTATGACATATTCATCGACAAGGAAACGTTCAAGCTCCACATAGTCATGGAATCAATGGATCAGAACCTGTATCAGCTCATGAAGTACAGAAAAAATTGCTTGTTCTCCCCATACACTCTGAAATCGATCTTGTCCCAGATCTTAGCCGGCATAAGACACATCCATAAACACGGGTACTACCACAGAGATGTCAAGCCGGAAAACGTTCTTATCATGCAGTCTTCAAATTTCTATGGCTCCAAAGAAAATATTCCAGAGAACAAGAGACACCAGGCGTACGTGATTAAGCTGGCTGACTATGGACTCGCAAGACAAGTCGAGAACAAAAGACCTTACACGGCCTATGTCTCCACCAGATGGTACAGGTCCCCAGAAATCCTTCTCAGGCAAAAGCACTACTCCTATCCGGTGGATATATGGGCGTTTGGATGTGTGGCAGTCGAATCGGCAACGTTTCTTCCCTTGTTTCCTGGGAGCAACGAGCTCGACCAGACTTGGAGGGTCCTCGAGGTCCTTGGATGCCCTGAAAAGAGCGAAAAAGCACCTCTTGGTGGATTCTGGGACGACGCTCAAAAATTGTCTAGCAACCTGGGATTCCACTTGCCAAGGCTCCCTGGTGCCTCTATCGAGGAACTGATCCCAAGAATTGACCTTCCAGAGAAAGACAGGAAAGAACTCTGTGACGTCGTGAAGGCATGTCTGGTCTGGGATCCGAATCACCGTATTGGCGTTGACGAGCTTTGCAAAATGAGCTACTTCAAAAACACCATTTTGAGTGGGCCAGAACCGGATTCTACGCCTGCACACAAGAACGTGACCACGATGTCCCCTGAAAGCCTCAATTGGCTATCCAAAAATACCCCTGCCGTCGTCAACGACGAAAATATCAATGAGAGCTCCTCACACCGTCTGCGCAAAGTGCCACACCTCAACATGTTCAAATTTGGCAAATCTGAAAAGCAAAACCCACAAAACTTTTCGTTTGCAGGAAGTCTCAAGGATGAAACCAGTAACAAGCAAACCGACCCAAAGCCATACCAAAGTGATACTTATATGGCAGTGAAAGCCAAGCCTCAAAGTGCCGATCCAGCAAAACCAGAACAGGAATGGGAGCTCAATGACGACGATTCCGACTATGGAGACGACGAAGATAGCGGCTTGATCGAGCCGTTGTACATCGGCGAATCGTACCCGCTTATCCAGCTCGACGATAAAGATCTTGGACAAAAACCAATGCCTGGAAACGTGGACGGCTCGTTTGACCCCCAGGTGTGCATTGTCCGAGGAGACGAGCGCGCAGATAACCATTTTGTCGACTATGCTTTGGACGAAGAGCTCTGTGGCTATGATGACATGGTGTCGTGTGCCTGGAATGCAGGCCACCCGGATCCATAACACCGCTCCTCCAAGAATATGGCTATGAAGATCGGCCGTCCGACATTACGCAATTTGTACATAATCGTGATTCATGTCGAGGTCTGGCGTTTGGGTTTGTTCGATATCCGACTCTTCGGAGCTGCTCTCCTGTATGGCTGCTAGCAATGGATGATCCTTTTGTGTCACGTTATCATTGTCTATGTTTCTAATGGCTTTATGATTCGTTGGTTGTACTTTCGTTTTGTGGGCCAGTTTGCACGAACTGCCTCGTGGACAAAATCCCAGCTCCTGGAGGTCGGGACATTCAAAGTAGTGCACCAGCTCGCAAGCTCTTCCCCTGTCGCAGTAGCCGTTCACAGCGAATTCTCTACATATTCTGGAGTCTTTTTTTTCCAATTTATGAGAGAAAACGCAATTTTCGTTAGTGCAATTGTGCGACTGGAAGAACTTGCAAGATGGGGCGTTGTACTGCGACGGCGTGTGCGAGAACTGGCAGTTGGGTTTTGTGCACGTGCGGTCTTTATTTTGGATCACGTTTGGACATAGTGCAACGTGCGTAGGCGAGTGGACAAAGGGACAGCTCTTATTAGAGCATGTTCCGCTGCGAGTGTAATAGATGCAGAACTGTTTTTCGTCCGAGTATTGCGGATTTTGCATGATGTAATCTCCATCCAGCGTTTTGATGTATCTGTGGCCATTATAAGTGAGCGTCGTTTTGAGGTCATCGAGCGATGTGAGCTGTTTATCTGAATCCATAAACTTAGAGGATACAAGGGCCAATTTGGTTCTCTTGTTTGTGGAGACAAATTCGAGGTCGTTGATGCGGATGCGGTTTTTGTAGGGAAATTTGACCTGGTTAGCGTAGATGTGTTTGTAGAGCCGTTTTTTCAGCCTGGCGGCCTGTTTGAGCGCTCTGACCCTGACGGCAAAATCAGGATCATGAGTGAGTATGCCATTTGCCATTCTTTTGACTGCTGTCTTTGGTGCTTTCTGGACGTGCCTGCGAGCAAGCCTTTCGACAAGTTTTGATTTTTGGAGCTTGAGGTCATTCTCCAGCAGTCGCAAGCGTTCTTCTAGCTTTTGAGATTCAGACATGATAAAAAATATTTATTTTTCATGTCTTTAGTAGCCAAGTTGGGCAGGCTTTTGCCGCTGGACGACGACACATTGAAACAGATGGTGGACTACGCGGTGAAGGAGCTGAAGACTCCGGAAGCAGCCAGCCAGCATTTCATCAATTTGCTGGGTGAAAGCCCGGACGCCCTGGAATTTATTAGCGAGTTTTCAAGGGCTCTCGAAAAGCCGCAGGAAAAGTCTGTGAAAAGGCCCAGCAAAGCGGACCAAAACCCAAAGAAGAATGTGATAAAAATTGTACGGCCTAGCACCAGAGCAAGCACGCCGAAGAAGCCCGCCGAGGAGAGCAAGAGCCGACCAGAGAAAAATGTCAAGCTCGATAATCTTAAAGAGCTAGACGACGCACTGATAGAACTGGAGACGCAGCGTGGCGGCCGCGTGTGCAACTGCAACGCCACGCGACATCCGCTTTTTGAGATGTTCCCGAACTGTTTGAATTGCGGCAAGATCATCTGCGTCAAGGAAGGACTACAACCGTGCTCTTTCTGCGGCAAGGATCTGCTGAGCAGTGACGAAAGACGCCAAATTGCGCAAGTTTTGCAGAAGGAGAAGGACGAGCTTAACGGCGTGAAGCCCGTGGTCAAGGAGAGGGAGAAGCCGAAAAAAAACAGCAAGATAACGATTTCTGTGAGTTCTGCCGGTCAGAACAACTTTAAAGTGCAAGACCAGCTATTCAAGCGCATAGAGAGGAAAAAAGAGCAGGAGCGCGAAAACCTGGCCAGAAGCAAACGGGAGCAGGAGGAGCTCGCGGAGGCTGTCAAGAAAATCGAGTACCTCGAGGCCACCAGGGGCAAGGACGAGGAGCTGCTTCAGGCAGAGCAACGGCTGGACAAGCTGCTGGAATTCCAGGCAAACGGCGCACAGAGAACACGAATAATCGACCAGGCGTCGGACTTCGAGGTTCCTGCCAACAGTCTGAGCCCCTGGGCGTCGCCGGTGGAAAGAGCACTACAGTTGAAGAAACAGCAGCGCGAACTGAAAAGACTCGAGGAGGAGGAGAAACTGCGGTCTGGCCGCGGCAGGCGGGTGCTGGATATGTCCATAAGAGACGGCAAGGTGATCATGCGCGAGGTGGCGACGCCGGAAACCGGGTCTGACGGCGAGATCGAGGAGCTGGAGCAGGAGATGAGCAGACAAAACGCGGAGCAGCTGGAGAAGAACGCGCAGACGGTGTGGGACTACGAAAAAGAGAGCGCAAAGTGGACAAAGCCGAAATATATGGGGAAGATCGACGGCGACGAGGCGCCAGAGGAAGTTCGTGGCGGCGTTGTGCAGCAGGACGATGACGCGGAGGAGATACTGTTAGGTCTGGGGATCTAGGTGTGTGGTGTGTGGTGTGTGTCTGGACGGGTATAAAAAAGTTTTCTCTACATGTAAAATTTCTTCACATCAGTAGGTATACTAAACTAGTATATTACAAAATAGGGCCATTCAGTCCTTAGCAGCTGCGTTGGTGGCAGCTGCGTGGGTCTGAGATCAGCTAAGTGTCTGAACCGACTCTGCTAACAACAGAGCCACGGTAGTCACTCCGTTCAGGTCCTTAGAATAACCCAGATACGTTAGCCAGACGACGGGGCATGCCACGACTGTGGCGGTTGCTTCGTCCACTAATGGTGTTTGGACATTGTAACGTTTGCTCTATGTACACAGTTTCTACACACTTATTGCTGCGCTCGCTGGTTTTTCTCCAAGTGTTCGAGTTCGTTCTTGATTCTCTCCATAGCACGGTATACCTTCGACTGCACGTAGAACGAGCCGCCTTTCTCCTTGGAATTCACGTCGAATAGATAGTCGTACTTCTTCTGCGCCGCCTCCAGACTCAGCCCGCTCGGCTGCACGTCCAGGATCTTGCACGCTTCGTCCAGGGAAATGTCTGTGTCTCTTGCCCTTGTGGTCTGTTTGGCCGCTCCCTGTGCCTGCTGGGCCGTTGTGGCCGCCGCCGCCTGTCTGTATGCCTCTGTGAATGCGCGTCCGAACACCCGCGCGCCCGTAAACACCACCTGAACCAGTAATCTATGAGCCATTGATGGCAAAGAATTTTTGAGAAAAGAAAAATTATGCTCGCGACTATCGACCGTAGAAAGGCTGAATCAGAAAAATTATTTATTTATGACAAGCCATCCAGATTTACAGGATACGGAGGCTGCGGGGCTGCTGATGCTCTTTTCGCATCAGTCTCAGCGTCTCAGTGCTGGAAGGTTTGAGGAAGCGCAGCCCGCAGTGTCGTCTGTGTCGGAAGCGACCGTGCAGGGCAAAGAGAGCCCCTCTGTGCGGCAGATTGATCAGGGCGTCGTGACGTCTCCTGGCCCTGCTGCGGCCGCTCTTGCGAGCGGATCGTCCAACAACAAGGCAATGGTTGCCGCTGCTGCGCTGGCTGCTGCTGCAGCGACACCGCTACCTCTGCTCACCAGAGAAAAGGAGGAAACCAAGCCAGACAAAGACCAGAAGGAGGAGGAGAAGCGGTCCGACTCTGTGGTGTCGTACGCCGTCGACCCGGACAGCGGCGTGATCGGCTGTGTGTGTGCGTACGAGCACGATGACGGGTTCACGATCCAGTGCGACCGCTGCTTCCGCTGGCAGCATGCCGTCTGTATGGGCATCGATGACATCGATGACGTGCCTGAGACATATCTGTGCTACTTGTGCGATCCGAGTCTTGTGGTGAACGCGGAGAAGGCGCGCAAGCTGCAGGCGGTGAGGATGCAGCCGAAACGGCGTCGTTCGGGCAACGACGCGCAGGCTGAGGCCGGGCACGGACGCAAGGAGCTCGTGGACTCGAAGCCGCCAAGTTCGCGGGCCAAGAAGCAAAAGACGGGCTCCGTCGAGGCCGGCGACGAGGACGAGGCCGGCGGCGAGATCGTGGAGCGGTACCAGACGCTGTATGTGGAGATCGACGGGTTTGAGTACAAATCGGGGGCAGCCAAGACGTTGGTGGAGAAGCTGGCGACTTTGTTGCTGCAGAAGGACAGCCAGGTGCCTGAGTTCAAGGACGAGCACGACTTTGCGGCCAAGCTGCTGGCGAAGTCGAAGCTGGAGGTGAGGTCGGTGACGGAGAACGCGAAGGCGCGGTTCAACGGATTATCGAAATTGTACCTGAGCACGGCCGTGGAGGTGCGCCCCAACCAGCTGCTGAGCGAGATCGTCGGCGAGATCGACCTCAAGGACAATTACATTGGCGAGAGATGGAACCAGTACTGGCTGCTCGGCTGTGCGAAACCAAAGACGTTTTTCCACCCGCGGCTGCCTTTGGTGGTCGACCAGCGAGGACTGGGCAACGTGACAAGGTTTGTGCGCAAGTCCTGCTTTCCGAACTGCGAGGTGCGGTCGGTGGTCGTGGGGAACAGGCTGCGGTTTGTGCTTGCGGCAACGCAAAAGATCGAGAGCGAGTCTGAGCTGACGCTGCCGTGGGAGTGGGACGACGCGCACCCGATCCGCAAGCTCAGAGACGCGTCGTTCGACGCGCTGTCGCACGAGGAGCAGGCCAAGCTCGTGGCGTCTGTGCAGGCCGTGCTGGACCTGACGGAGTGCGGGTGCGCGTCTGGAGACTGCTTGCTAGCGAAAGTGAGGAGGGCCAGCACCAGTCTGCAGCGGCAGAGCAGGAAACACGTGCCGGAGCTGGAGCAGACGTACGAGCCGCTGGACGTGCGCGAGTTGCACCGAGATAGGGTGATATTGGAGACGCTGGGGCGGCCGCTGAAAGACGAGACGCAGCTCAAGTTCGAGTCTGCTAGTCCTGCGCCGCTGGACCCGCTCGTGCTGCCTCCAAAGTACCAGATCATCAAAAAATATCTGCAGGAACCGAGACCCGCGCCGTTGCACACGTCCGACAAGCTGTACGTGCCGGTGCCGGTGGTGGCCATCAAGGAGCCGACCAAGGTGGAGGTGGTGGAAGCCAAAGAGGAGGAGAGACCCAAGGTGGTGAAGAAGTTCAGCCTGGCGGACTACAAGAAGAAGTCGAAGGGCGAGAAGCTGGTGAAGTAATATGTTGCGCTCTACATATACATTAGCTAATTCAGTAAACTTTTGATGCTGATCCCCGCGGACGGGCGCCATTTTGGCGTGAGCGCCACCTCGGGGATCTCGTTCGTGGGAGTCGGTCTGGAGCGTTCCATGGTATATTCTCGCTCCCTGATGGTGGGCGAGCCGAGTGGCGAGAGCGGCAGGAAAGGGATGCGTTCCTGGGTCTGTGGCTTTCGTCTGCGCTTGCCCTTGGCGAGCTCGTCCTTGTCGGGATACACGCACGTGAGCATGTTGCGCACACAGCCCGAGCAGGCCGGCTTCTTCTCGTCGCACTTCTTCTTTCTTCTGCGACAGCAGAAACAGCCCGTCTTTGTTCGCGTGATTTTCTTTCTGCGCTCTGGGCCACAGTTTTGGGGGGCGAGCGTGGGCGAGGCCTCGGGACTCGAGGCGGGCGGCGTCACGGTGGCCTGGGGCTCGCGCGTCGTGAGCTTCAGCACCTTCTGGTACTCTCTGTAGCTGGCCATGGGTAAAAGAGTGAAAATTTGCGTGGAGCTGGGGAACAGATATAGGGGCTACGTCTGGGGGGAAGGAGAAGGCGAGGGAAGGAGAAGGCGAACAGCTTCTGAAAAAATAAATCTTAGCTAATCAAATAACTATCCACTCTGCTATTTATCTTTCTCCCGTCTCGGCAAAGAACTGGCGCAGAATCGAGGCCAGCATCTCGGGCAGCTCCTCGATCTCGCTCACCACCACGTAGTACTCGAACGGGAACGTGTCCAGGTACTTGTGGACCTGCAGCTTGAGCTCGCCCGACGCGTCGGGCACGTATTTTGCCTGGCTCATCTGTAGTATGCTCTCCGTGTTGGCGATGCCGTCGATGACCACGAAAACCAGCATGATGTGGTTTTCGCGCGCGCGCCGCACCAGCCGCCGGATCGTCTCGTGGTCCTCGCACACGCCGTCCGACAGAACGATCTCCAGCTGCCACAGATTCTCCGATGCCGGCTTGGTGGCAGCAAACAGCTCCAGCGACGTAGCCACGAGCCTGCGCACGTCGGTGCGCGTCTGCTCGAACGTGAAGTTCTGGAACACCCTCGCGCCGGCGTCGGCGGTGAACTGGGCGTCGAACGGATGCACCACGTCGGTGGACTCGCCGAACTTGACGACCGAGAGCTGGCCGGACTCGAGCTGGGTCAGCGCCTTGGAAACGAGCGCGATCGACTGGAACGCGATCTCGACGGCCTTCGACTCGGCCATCGACTTCGAGTCGTCGACGGCGATCATGATCTGGTACTGCCGCTTGCTAGGCTTGGTTCTGCGCATCCAGATCTTGTCCTTGCGGAACTGCGACGCGATGTAGGGGATGATTTTCTTCATGTTGAGCCGCTTGCCGGTCTTGTAGTCGCCCTTGAGCTTTGTGGCGACCGTCGGCTCGAGAATCAGCCGCAGCTGCTCGCACAGCCCCGCCGTGAACTCCCGCGTGGCCTCGTCCGCCCGCTGCCACAGCGCCGCCGCCTCCTCGGGCGCGCGCGCGGCGGTGGCGGTGCGAGGTGTGGCAGCGTCGATCGGCGTGTCCTCGTCCTCGTCCTCGTCCATCTCGTCGTCGGCGCGCAGGCCGGGCACGCGCTCCTGCTTGATGTCTGGCGCGCGCTCGGGCGGCGCAGCGTCGGCGACACCTTCGACGCCTTCCGCGTCGCCATCGTCACCGCCTTCCGCGGCTCCCTGCTCCGGCGCCTGCTCCGGCGCCTGCTCCGGCTCCTCGATCTCCATCTCGTCGTCCATCTTCATCGCCTGCTCCTGCGCCGCAGCGCCGACCGCCTGGGTGTCGCTCTGCGCGTTCTCCCCGTCCAGGTGCTGGAACTCGTCCGGGTTCTCGCCCGTCTGCTCTGCCGCGTCCACGTCGGCCTCCAGTATCTCCTGGTGCCGTCTGTAGAACTCCTTGAGCGAGTCGCCGAGCTGCTTCAGCGTGCTGGCGGCCGACTCGCGCGACCGGTCGGTCTGCTCCTGCGCGTCCTGCGCCTGCGCCGCGCCGCTCGCGCCCACGTTGTCCTGCTCGGTCTCTGCGCTCGCGCTGGCTCCCTCGGCCTGTGCGCCGTCGTCTGCCGCCGCCGCCGACTCGGCGTCCCGCACGGCGTCCGGCGCGCTGTCCGCGCCGCCCTCCGCTGCGTCTGCGGCCTCTGCGTCTGCCTCTGGAGCGGCCTCCGTCTTGAGCTCCTCAGACGCCTCTTCGTCCGAGCCGTCTGCCCCTTCTTCGCCTTCTGCTTCGCCTTGCTCCGCTTCCTCTTCTCCAGCATCTTCTGGCTCAGCACGCTCGCCCTCGCCTTCAGCTTCCTCTTCTCCTTCCTCTTCTCCCTCCTCTTCTTCTTCCCCTTCGCCTTCTTCCTCCTCCTTTGCTTCCGCTTCGTCTTCTCCCCCATCTCTTTCGTTGTCCTCTGCCTCCTCGTCGATCTCCATGTCCTCCACTCCATCCTTTTCATCGTCCTCGCTTTCCTCCTCTCCGTCCAAATTCAGGTCCTCCGGTAGCTCCAGGGCCTCGCCCTGCTCGACGTCCATCTCTGCGTCGTCGCCGTCGCGGACCTCGTCCTCCTGCTCGCCAACATCCTCCTGCTCGCCGTCGCTCGCCTCCTCGGCCTTCTCCTGCTCGCCGTCGCCGTCTCCTTCCTTCTCCTCATCCACGGCCTCCATGTCCTCGCCCGTCTGGCCTTTCAAGTCGTCCTTCTCCTTCTCCTTCTCGCCCGACGCTTCCTCGTCCCACATCTTCTCGTCCACAGCGTTGGGGTCCAGATCGTCCACGTCGCCAACTTCCTCGTCCGCAGACTCCTCATCGTTGTCGCCGTCATCTTCGTCCTCGCCATCCTGAGCATCCAGCTCCTCCAGATCGCCCTGCATGTCGCCCTCCACGTCCACGGCGTCGTCATTGTCCTCTTCTCCGTCGTTCTGGTCCCGCTCCTGCTTTCCCCCAACGAGGTCATCCAGATTCTCGTCCTCCTCCACGTCCTTCGAGTGATTCGTCGCGCCGTCGCCGTCGCCGTCGCCCAGACCCGTGCCGCTCTCGGCAGGCCCAGACTCCTCGTCACTGGCACCGTCCGGCGAACAGAACCCGTCGGTAGCCACGCTCAGTAGCAGCGTGCACAGCTCAAAAAGGCCACGTGACACCCCCACGTAGTTGGCCTGCGCTTTGCCCAGCACTATACTCGCCGCGTTGAAGTAGTGCTCCAACACGGGCACCACGTAGCACAGCAGCGCACGCACGGCGCCGTCGACGCCGTCGTCATAGTGCAACTGCTCCAGCAACTGCACAAAGTTGCCGACCCGCTCTTTCAGCACGTCGCCATACAACAGGCCCAGCAGCTTCGCTAACCGACGCTGGCTGTCCACAAACCAGTTGTCCGCGTCCTCGTCGAGTGGGGCAGTTTGCAGCTGCCGGATCTTTTGGATGCTCACCAGCACAGAGCCGAACAGCTCGCTGCCGGCCGCGGCAACATTGGCGTCGTGCTCGACCAGCGACAGCTGGTCGAGCGAGACCGACGCATCGAGCCAGTCCAGCACGGTGTCTGCGACAAAACCGAGCGCCGGATGAGTCTGTTTCCACGCGGCGAGCTGTGCGCGCAGAGAGTCGAGCCCGCGCCGCGCCGCCTTCAGCCTGTCCCAGTCGCTCTGTGTAAGCAGCCTGTTCTCAAGCACCAGTTGCACGTCTTCAACTTTCAGCACAGGGCCCACGTCGAGCCCTGCAGCCACCTCAGAAACTTTGGTTGCCATGGCAACCACCTCGGGCAACTTGCGCACGGTGGCAACGACGTGTGCGGCGTGTGGATCCACACCGACAATCTTGTCTGCAGTGGCAGGACGCAAAGTCCTGAGTGCGTCCTCGACGGCGTCCCGAGCAGCACACACGTCTCCAATCTTGTGCCGCGTCGCGACCAGCGACACCAGCACGTTCTCAGCAGCGGCTAGCGCCTTCTGCGCGTCTGTCACGGGCACCTCGGCGTGGCAGTTAGCCACCGCCGCGCGCAAGCGCGGAAGCAGCTCCAGCACACGGAAAAAGTACACGTCGCACCCCTCGAGGGCCGTGTGGCGGAACGTGCGCGAGTTGGCCAGCACCGCCGTCGTCGACGCAAGCAGGGCCTGAGTTTTCGTGTTGGTCTGCAGCTTGAGCCCGCTGCGGCGCAGCTCCTTCAAGGTGTCGCTCAGCAGCTTGCGCTTCTCCTGTTTGAGAGCCGCCACCTGTTTTTTGTTCTCGTCGGTTAGCGTTTTTGGCGTTTCTGCACGCAGCTTTTCTGCTGCCTGGACGATCTCATGGCAGAACTCATAGAACGGAGCAACAGGCTCTGCTGCGAGCTCGCCCAGGTAAGTTTCCATGTTGCGGTGGACGGTGTGGATGTTTTTGAACATCGAAATGTCCGTAGCCGGCAAGTCGCCAAGAGCAACTGGGCAGGTGCCAATAGTCTTTGGCAAAAATTGACTGACAGGCGCTTTCAGTCCACTCTCGATCATATCAGCGACCGTGCCGCTCAAAACGTCCCGGTACCGGCGCACCAGCTTGTACAGGCTTTGGTGCGACTTGCGCGAGCTCTGTTTCAGAGCATCGACATTGATATCCTTCCAGCTGGCTAGCAAAATGACCTCCTTGACCTGTTTGTCGAGCACCTTCTTTTCTGCAGCCACTGTTTCCTCGACGGCGGCCAGAAATGGTTGGAAAAAGTCCAGCACGTTGTACAGTGCGTCATGCAACTCCTGCTGAGCCTTAACGTGCTCCGCAAACGCCCGCACCAACCTGAACCGGTGCTTCATGTCACCGCGCGTGGCTTGCGAGATAAAGACGTTCACGGCCCCCACCAGCTGCGCCACGTCTTGATGTTCCGGCACAACAACGCTCTCAAATAAATGGAACCACCACTTGCCCATGCCTGTCTCAAAAGCGCGCTCCTCGTTCGCCAAGATCTCCTTCCATGAACTCAGCTCAAGCCGTCTCCACGAAACAACTAGATCGGCCAGATTCTGGAAGTGTCGCTGCAGCGACACGCCCGAGTGCGCATATTTCTCCCACTCGTTAACAAACGTGTAGATCTGCTCAATTTTCGCGAGCAGCCGGAACAGCGGCGTGTCGGCGCGGTACGCAAGATACTCCTCGCAGATGCGCAACAGCTGCTGCAACGTTGCGTGCTCGGGCCACTGTTGAAGCAGCTCGCTCACGTGACCTTGCAGGGCGAGCACGAGCTGGCCTGAGCGGCGAGTTTCGTGAGGGCTGAAGTCGCGGTAGAAGTCGAGCGTGCGGTTTTCGTTCGTGGCAAACGTGTCCATTGCACGGGCCATCTGCAGGACGGAGCTGGCGAGCAGGGAAGGACTGTTGATGGCACAGCTCTCTCGGGCAACCAGTTGCCCGACACATTCCACCACAGACGCGCCTTCCAGCACCAGCTGCTGCAGTCCAAGCGGGCTGTCCAAATGGTAGCTGCAAAAAGCACCTGAAAGCTCCGCGTACAACTCGTCCCAGCCCGCCGTCTGTGCACCGCCCGAGACCTCGATCTCCGCGTCAGGGAACAGCTGCGCGAACTCTTTTTCAGCGTCGACGCTGGCGTCGTCGTACTGGAACACGCCGTGCTGCTTAGACTCCTGCTCCTCGAGCTTAAGTCGCCGCATGCTCCAGCGGTAATATGCCGTCATCAGCGCCGCGTGCAGCAGCTCGTCTGAGTTTGCCGCATGCTGGCGCTGGAAATGCAGCGCCTTGACCTCGAATACGATCAGCTTTTCCGCGTCGGCTGCGTCGATCGACCGCGATTTCACGAGCTGGTTGGTCTGCGTAAGCGTCTGCGCCAGTTTGTCGGCGTTGCCCAGCACAGAAGGGTCCACGGGCCAGAGTTTTGAGTCGCACAGCTTGCCCTCACCAAGAAGATCAAGACCCAGCCGCAATGCGTACACAAAGCCTGCCAGCACGTCGTTGAGGTCGGCAAACTCGCTGAAGTTCTGTCTGAGACGCAGGAAGAACTGCGTCGAGTTGCGGTGCAGATTCTGCACCTCGAGCGCGCTCTTCAGCATCGTCGCCTCAGCGGCCTCCATCAGCGACCCAATAGTCCTGTTTTTCACGGCAGAGTCCAGAAAGATCGTCCATTCCTGGAATAGGGCCTCGATCGGCTCGCCCGACCGGTACACCTTTGGCGCCGCAGGCGCAGCCTCGTCGACGATCGGCAGCAGGCCCTCGACGTGCACAGCCCTATCGCCGAACACAACGCCGCAGTACGCAGCCCACGAGCTGCGGATATCCGTCACCAGCTGTTGCAACCGCACATAGTCGTCGTAGATCACGTGATCCGCAACAGCCGGGTCGTTGGCCTGGCTCGGCACGAAGAGCGCGAGCATGCCGCAGGCAAAGAGGACCCAGGCGCGACCCAGGTCGCTGCGTGTGGTGTGTGCAAGCAGCACGGGCGCAAAGAAGTGCGCAAACACGTCGGAAAAGAACGGCACGTCGCGCAGCGTTGTCTGGTAGCTGGCGATGGACTGGACGGAGAGAGAATCGTTCAGCTGAGCAAGCTCCGTCGTGCTGCCCGTGTGGATCGCGCAGATGTGCAGAATCCAGTGCACCAGGAGCCGCCGCAGATTTTCCAACGGGCTATTCAACGCCGTGCTATTTTTCAGTACCGTCTGCAGCAAAAACTTGGAATCTGACAGCGCCTCGTCTATGGCTGCTCCAGAGAGCTGTTTCATATTCTGGCCGGCGTCGACAAGCTGCTCCACCAGCTGCTGCCCCAGAAGCCCCGAGATCTTGGACTGCGAGTCTCCGGCCCACAGGTTATCCAGGATCCGCGGATACGGCTTGAACGGGCTCTGGTTCCACTTGGTGAGCGAGAGCGTTGGTCGGGCGGCCAGGAGCGCGAGTTTCAGATTTTCTGCGCTCATTGCGAGCGGCTGATTGTCGCTGCAGCACGCCAGGTCGACGAAGTTGAGCAGTAGGTCGAACATTGCGGCGTAGGGGTGTTTTCTGGCGTTGAGGAACGAGGCCGAGATTCGTTTCAATGCAGCGATTTTCTCCGTGATCTCGTCCAGAAAGTCCACAGAAACGCCCGCCACACACTGCTCAAGCACTGTGACAAACGTCTGCCTCAGATTTGCCACCACCTCGAAATTCTCCGAGTACTGCTCCATGCAGACCTGGTCGAACTCGGCCGCCGCGTCGACGAGCAGCTGGTACCTCTGCCACGACTCGGCCGTCGCTGGATACACCGCTTTGCTCTTTTCCCAGATCAGCGCCATGGAGTGGCCCTGGCGGAGCTCTAGCTGCTTGGCGAACGACTCGGCGACAGCGCGCAGCGGCTCGCCATTGCCGGGGTACTTATCCAGCCAAGCCAGGATTTTTTCCTGGTAGATGCGCAGCTTGGTTTCGTGCTGCACGGTCGAACAGTCCACGATGCCCTGCCAAATGAACATGAGCTTGAACAGCGCGCGGAACTGGCCGGAAACGGTCCACCGGCTTTGCGCCGCCTTTAGCTCCGATCGCACAAACTCGGCAATCCCGAGCACAAGGCCATAAACGTCGAGTCGCGGCACGTTTTTCAGCGTTCTTCCAACGGCCTGTGCAGCCGACCGTTCAAGGTACGTGAGTTCTGTGACCTTGGCGTTTTCGGCGCGCGCGTGTAGCTTTTTCAGGAACTGCTGAGCCGCATAGAGCATGCCCACGTCGTGGAAGAAGTAGACCGTTTCCGGCGAGTCGAGCTGCGGCCGTTGCTGGGCCAAACTGTTCAGAATGTAGCTGTTGAGCAGCGGCTGGAGCGGCTGGGCGGCAACGGCGACTTTGACTGGCTTGTTGGTCTGCGCAGCCTCGTACAGATCTGAAATTTGCGCAGGGAGCTGTAGCGAGCTGTAGAACTCGAGCCGGCCCGCAATTTGTTCTAGAGCGGCGCAAATGTGCCTGAAGTTTGGCAATTTGGCCGCATTTGCAACCAGCGCAGATATCTGCGTGTGCGACCACATAGGCAGCGCCGCTGCCGCGACGTCCGCAAGATGTTTGCCCGGCTTGGTCAGCGCGTCGGCCAGCACGGCGAGCGCAGCCACCCCGGCGTCATACGAGCTCACATGTGCCGAGACACTCTCACGTGCCAGCAGCCGTCTATCGAAGCTCGTGGCGCGTTGCTCGATCTGTTCCAGATAGATTTCGATGCCCCTATTGCGCATGGCGCGCGAAAGCTCGCCGTATCTTGGATCGGCAGTCAAAAAGAGCCGGAAATCAGGGTGCGGCCGCAAGTGGCGCGGGTTTCCATCTGCGTCCGTGCACTCGTTAATGACCAGTGAGCCGTCCATTTCCAGCAGCGAGTTGAGTCTATCCAGCACGCTCGGGCTACACAGGTTGGCGTTGTCCAGCACCAGCCAATGGCCTTTTTCAACGGCCTGCACGAGCAGACTGTCGAACCAGCGGAACTTGATCTTGTCGCCCTGGGCGAGCTTTTCGCAGAGAACCGTGTACCGGGCCTCCAGCTCCTGGAACTTGTCCGATTCCACAGATTTCTGTAGCACGGCAAAATGCCGTTGCAATTCATCGAACTGCCCCCTGGAAATCTCATGCGTAGCCAAGTAGTCGATGAACCGCAACGTGTGCTGCAAAACGGCCACGTTGCCCGCGCTGGACAGCAAATTGTACGCGGCAGCCTGCATCAGATACGTCTGCAGGTCCTGTGCAAACTCGGCAATCTCACGTGACAGGTCGTCCTGCTCGTAGCCACCCAGAATGTCCATGCTGTCGATATCGTTGTTCATCGAGAACTCGTACAGTCGCGTGCCGACGACGCCGGCCGCAAACCGCACCAGCTCGGTCTTGCCCGCGTTCGAGGGGCCGACAAGGATCAGCGGCCACTGCTTTTTGACGCATCGCAGCAGCGTCTCCAATGCCGTGAAATTGCACTGCAGCGGGCTCAGCTTGTCGTCGGCGAGATACTGGTTCAGTCTGTTGCGCGGCACAAGCTCCGCCTGGCATTGCACGTAGTCCAGCGTCATCTGATAGTACGGCGCAGTTGGAGCTCTGGCTCCAAACACCTGCTCGTATAGCTCCTGTGCGCGCTCTCTGTCGGCAGACGTCCGGAAACGGTGTTGAACCACCATCTCGAAAAAGTCACCGGGGGCTGGCGACTCCAGCAGGCTCGGCGAGCTCATCAGCGAGAGCCACCGCAGCGTATCCCGCAAATTAAACTCCCACGGCCCGCCAACAGCTCCCCATTTGCGGTGGAGCACCACCTCTTTTTCTAGCAGCGAAACAAAGTCCACCAGTTTGTCACTAACGCTGTGGTCCAGCTGTGGATACAAATGACGCGCAATCATCTTTAGATCCACCTCCGTCAGCATATCGACATACACCACCGAAAACCGGTTCACAAACGATTTCGGCAGACCTTTTCTGCCACCGCCCTGGTGCTGTGGGTTTTGAGCAGCAAACACCAAAAAGTCCGGGTGGCTGCGGAAACTCCTGTCCAGCTCGGGAATATACGCCTCGCCACGGTGGTCGAGACAGGCATTCAGCCCTTCCAGCACAGACTGTGAGGCCAAGTTCATCTCATCGAGCAAAACCCAGTCGCCGCGCTTCATGGCACGCAAAAACGGAGCATCACGCCATCTGAACTCGCCGGCCTCGCCGTCTTCAACAGGTGAATCCGACCCGAACAGATCGATCAGGTCTGTCTGCTCGGAAAGATTGATCCGTGTAAGACTTTTGCCGACGGCCGCCGCCAGCGCGGAAACAAGACTGGTCTTGCCCACGCCGGGACTGCCCTCGAGCAGGATTGGCTTGTGGATCTGCATCGCACGCACCACGCGCATCGCGTTCGCCGCCGTCGTTGGCGCAGCTAGGTTGAAATTCGAGTCCTGACTGGTGGAGGCCCTCGAAACCCGGAACTGGCCGCAGATCACGTGATCATCTGTCACGTGAACCTCACAAGGTGCCGTGTAGAGCGGTTGCAAGTCGTCACCGCTGAATTCGGCGAGCTTTTGCACAAACTCGAGTTTTGTTTTGCGCAGGTTTTCCTCGTCGTCGGCGAGGAAGGCGGTGTTGTTCGTTCCGAGCCCGTCAATAAACACCATGCATGCGCCGTGGAGCAGGGCTGCTGCGGGCGCCGTGCCGTTGGTCGTGGCAGAGTTGATGAACGTGACCCACGCCAGAATGTCTCTGAGTGAGATGACGCCACTTGTTGCGGAACCGTTGCCCAGCCGCAGACCGTACCATTCCGAAAAGCGCACCACGGCGTCTGCCAGGTGTCCATTTCCCGGCACGAGCTGCGTCTCCACGATCTGGCGCACGTCGTCGAAACTCTCCATCGACGGCACCCAAATCTCCGTAAACCTGTTCCGCAGCGCTGGCGACAGCTCTTTCTTGCCGTAGTCGCCGCCCGGGTTCATCGTGGCGAGGAACTGGAAGCTTTCGTGGGCCACCACGGCGGCATCCTCGCTGCCCTTTTCCGCAAGCAGCAGGCTGCGTTCTGGCTCCAGCACAGAGTTTAGTCTTTCGAGCACGGAGTCGTCGGCGAGCGAGATCTCGTCCAGCAGGAAAAAGCAGCCCTTTTTCATTGCCGTCACGAGCGGGCCGTCGAACCATTCGAATAACACGCGCGACGCGGCGAGCAGCTGCTCCACAGTCTTTGTCTCTTCGTCAGAAAGCGCTCCCTGGCGCCGCAAGTCATTGTAGACGCCCATAGCGGACTCCAGGCCGTCGTACGTGGCGCCGTGTGCGGCGAGCACGCCGCGCAGCCCTGCCTCGAGGTTATCCTTGAGCTTCTGTCTGTTTCTGACTGGTCTTTGCGACCCGAGCAAATCGCCCGTTTCGGTGTTCTGGTGTGCGTTGACAACGATCAGCTCCTTGCCGTAGAACTCGGCGACCAGCTGGCAGACCGTCGTTTTCCCGCACCCGGTCTCACCGACGAGCAACAGCGGCTCCTTGTGCTTAATGGACATGGCCACAAGCACGGCGAGCCGGCGCATGGCCTTGGTCCAGACAACAGGTCCTGGGCGCCGCAGCAGCGGCGCCAGCTCCTGCTGCTCGAGCTGGGCGTAGTAGCCGTCCATGTCCAGCTTGACGCGCATCACGTTCTCGATCGCCGTTTTGACCACCTCTTTCTCCTCTGCGCGTCGCACACGTTCAGCCAGCAGCATGTACCCGTTGGCGGCGAGCTGCTCGTAGCCGACGGCGTCGCGCAAAGCCCAGCGGAACAGGTCGCGCAGCGTGGCAAACGAGTTCTTTTTCTCGAACAGCCGCGTGCTCTGCCGCTGCACAGACAGCTCCCGGTACACCTCGACGATCTTGCGCGCGTACGACGGCGCGATCTGGCACCGCTCGCGCAAGATGATCTCGAGCTCGTCCTGCGGGATGTCGTCAAAGTGCAGCTCCAAAAACCGGTTGCGGAAAGCCTTGGACAGCACTTTTCTGCCCCCGTACAGCCCCGGCGGGTTCTGCGTGGCAAACAGCATAAAGTCCGGGTGCGGCCTCACCACCTCCTGGGTTTCCGGGATAAACAGCTCTCTGTTGTCGTCGAGCAGTCTGTTGAGCGCCTCGAGCACGTCGGTCGGCGCGAGGTTGAGCTCGTCCAGCACAATCCAGTGGCCCTTGCGCAGCGCGTCCACCAGCACGCCCTCGCGGAAAACAAGCTTGCCCGTGTCGTCCGACACGTACGTGCCCAAGTACTCCTGCAAGTCGGTGTGCTCGTGGTTGTTGATGCGCACAAACGTGTGCCCCGTGATCTTCGCCAGATAGCTGATCATGGAGGTCTTGCCCGCCGAGGTCGGGCCCTGGACCAGCACAGGGAACCGGCCGCTCGACGCGCGCACAAGGTTCATCAGGTTCTTCTCCACAAACGGCGTCATGATGTAGTGCGGCTGCTGCTCCGGCTCGTGCGGGCCGCGCCGCATCCAGTAGTGCTTGAACTGCACGTACCGCTGCGTGTCGCTGGACGGGTCGGCAGGCACCTGCGCCAGCACGGAGCGCGCGTTTTTCAGCCGCTGGATCGTGTGCTTCTCGATCAGCGGCCGCAGCTTGGCCTCCGACTCGGCGTCCAGCAGCGTCAAGAACGACATACAGAAGCCCTCGTACAGCGACCGGCGGAGCCCGTAGATCGCCACGATGTCCCGCACGTACTGTAGCGTGCGGGTGAGCGTGCGCACGCTGAAGTGCGGCTTCTGGTTGCTGCCGTCGACGATCTCGTTCGTGTCGGCGAGCCGCTTCGCCGCCAGGTACAGCTCCGCCACGTCGTTGCCGACCCACTCGTCGGCAAGCGCGTAGCGGCCGATGTAGCTGTCGATGATCATGAGCAGGTCGGCGATGTCCTGGTCGGGCGAGTGCACGTACACCTCCGTGAACCGCGACCGGATGCCTTCGGGCAAGTCCTTCTTGCCCACGTCGGTAGCAGGGTTCATGCAACCAAAGATGCGGAACTCAGGATGCGCCTTCACGCTCTCGACGTCTCCTTTCTCCGACAGCAGCAGGTTGCGCTGCGCGGCCTCCTCGTTCAGCAGCTCCGCCACGCTGTCGAGCGTTTCTGGCGCCGCCAGGTTCATCTCGTCCAGGAGCACCCAGTCGCCGCTGCGCACCGCGTGCACCAGCGAGCCCTCGACAAACTTGAACACGAGCGACTTGTCCGCGGAGCTGGCCTGCTTCTCGAACTCCCGCACGCGCTCGTACAGCGCGCGCCACTCGGCCATCAGCGCGGCCTTGTCGGTGTCGTTCAGCCTGCGTTTTTTCGCGAGCTCGTCGTCCTGCTTCGCAAACAGCGTCTCGGCCATTTTGAACGCCTCGCGCCACAGCCGCACCACGCCCTTCCACTGCGCCCTGTTGAACATCTTGGCCAGCAGCTTCAGGAACTGCTCGTTCTTCTTCACGGAAAACGACCGCCGGAACAGCTCCTCGAAGTCCTCCTGCACCGGGATCGCCAGGCTCTTCGTCGTCACCGGCTTGAACCCGCCCAGCAGGTCGCCCACCTCCGTCTGCTGCGACACGTTGATCACGGTGAGCTTCTTGTTGAGCAGCCGCGCCATCTCCTGGACGATCGTCGTCTTGCCCGTGCCTGTTTCTCCTACAAGCAGCAGCGGCTCGCACAGCGCCACACCGACGCCGATCTTCTCCATCAGCCGCAGACAATGGTTGGTCCGGGCAAATGCCGTGCTCTTGCGCGCCGGCTTCAGCCCCAGAGCCGCCTTTTTGCGCAGATGCGCCCGCCCCACAGACACAGAGTCGGCAAACTCCTCGAACGACGGCACGTGCTTGTTCACGTGCACCGTTGCCCGCGACGTCGGCACCTCCAAGCACACGGCGACGGCCTGCACGACGGCCTCAATCGGGCTGCGCTCGGCTATCGAGCTAGTGAAGCAGTCCACCGTTTCCTGGAAAATAAGGTCGAACACCTCCTCCGGAAGCAGACTGGCGCTGTCGACGTGCCGGTCCTCCAGGATCCGCGTGCACCGTCTGCACAGCTTCATGAGGTCTCTGATGGTGAGAGCTCTCGGCTGCGCGCCCCTGTTCATGCTCAGAAACTTGCGCGAGCCGTACAGCTCCCTCACGTCCTGGAAGCACCTGATAAACATGGCGGTGAAATTAGCTAGCAGCGGGAACTTGGTGTCCAGAATCGTGCGCAGCTCGTTGGCGTCGAGCTCCTCGAGCTCCACAACGTTCCACAGCCGCAACCCGATCATGTCGGGCAACGCCACTCTGCGCAAGTCGCCCGCAACACGCAGCGACGAGATCAGCTGGAACCCGTTCGCGGCCTTGATCACCTCGCCTCGGGACGGAATCGTGAGCTCTCTTTTCTCCAGCAGGCTCAGCAGAATCGACAGAACCTCGTTCGGAGCCTTGTCGATGTCCTCCACAAGCACCCAGCGGCCCTCCTTGACGGCGGTCGTCAGAACACCGTTTTTCCACTCAAAAGTGCCCGGCTTGGCTCCCGACGAGTACGTTCCCAGAAGCAGCTTCGGGTCTGTTTGCTGGTTCAGGTGGATCTTCACCATCGTGTCCAGCTGCAGCTGTTTGGCCACCTCGTTGATCAGGAACGTCTTGCCCGTCCCCGAGCGGCCTACCAGCAGCACAGGTTCGGATCTCTGTATGCTTTGCGCCAGCCGGTTCATGGAAGCCAGAGACTTTGGAAGCGGCACGAATTCGGAGCTAGGGACGTGCTCTGCTCTGCCGCGCACGAGGCCGCCGATGTTGGGGAGCACCACGTCGGCCACGATCGTCGCGCCGTCAGAGAAGTCTGCCTGCACAAACTTGACGGTGTACTTGTTTTCCGTGCGGGCGGCCTGCAGACACGGGTATTTCAGCAGGCCGGCAAGCCGCTGTGCTTCGTATAATGCAAGAAACTCGTAGTCGATGCCGTCGACGCCCTCATAGACGCCCAAAAAGGGGCCCGGGCCAATATGGTTGCGGATCATTTCAACTGCCACCTTTTCGGACAGAAACAGGTGGATGGCGAGGATTTTGACTGCAAGCAGCTTGTTGACAGCCGACGTTTTCTCCGAACTAACTGCAGAGTGCAAAAGCGCAGAGTCGACGTACCGGTGGAACTTCTCCCTATCTGCGGTCAGAAGCCTGAAAAAGGAGAGGAAGACGGACTGCAGTTCGTGCTGGTCGATGGTTTCGAGGTCGATCATGCTGAAGAAGTGGTTTTTCTGCAAATAGAGCTCGATAATCGTCAAAGTCTCCGGACAGCTCGAGCCGATCTTGGCCAGACTGCTCAGGGCCACGGACCCTGCAACAGACACCGTCTTGTCGCGGTGTCTCAAGTACGCCCTTTCGATCTCGCCGTTGCTCGCAATGCGCGACGCCACCTCGACCACAAGCGGCCTCAGAGCGCACACGTACGCGGCCGTGGCAGTACTGTCGAGAAAATGGAGTGCTATGTTTGATAAGTTCGCAGAGTTGGAAATATTCCTATCAAAGAGATACGGATCGGGAACATGACGGCCCGGAAACTGGGCCTGTATCTCCCGATAAATTTTCACGTATTGCTGGAAGTCTATAACTAGCGAGTAGGACATGCTGGCTGACGTCCGGGGGTACCCTATAATGTATCTGAAATATTTTTCCTAATTTTTTTTCTACCGTTACACCGCCCTAATCTGCTATTCTCGCTTACGTGATCCGTCCTCGCCGCGAGAACGAGTCCACTCGGGAGCACCGCTCTGGCGCGGCGCGAGCGGCCCGGCGGCCGTCGAGACCCGGCCCCCGCACCGGCTTCTGTAGTCGCTGATGAAATCTGCCAGCGTCGCGAGCAGGTCGTCGTTGTCCATGCCGATCCATCGGCTCAGGTTAATGTATGCTAGCGTGTCTGCGAGCTCGTACTCGCCCAGCCTGTTTCGGGGCAGCTGGCCCTTTTTGATGTATTTCGGCGACACGTCGGCAATGTACGTCGCGCTGACGGCAAACACGTACGACATCTTCTTGCCCCAGCCGTCGCAGTAGAGCGTCGGGTTGTCGAACTGGTTTTCGCAGCTGTCCAGGTGCACCCACCGTCCGAGGTGCTGCGAGTAGTATTCGCACCACACGTGGTCCTCGGCGTTCCAGATGTACCGCACCTTGAGCCCGAGCGAGCACAGGAGCAGAATAAAGCAGTTGTTCCACTCTCCGCAGCGGCCTTTGCGGAGCGACAGCAGCGTCTTGGGGTTGTTGTAGCGCGGGAACTCGATCGTCTGGGCGCACCTGAGGCACCGGTACTGCTCGACGATGTCCGCGCGGCCGTCGAAGTGCTCCTTCTTGTACGGCCCCACCGGCTGCAGCGGCTGTATCTTGCTCTGGTCTGCGTTGCCGCACGGACAGGGGGGTCTGTCGACCCACGTGAAGAAGTCGCTCTTGTACCACGCGAGCAGCGCCCTGACCAGCCGGTCCGTGTAGTCGGGCGCGTCGGCGAGGCTCTCGAGCCGCTCGTGCACGCCCGACCGCAGCACCACGTCGAGGGCGGCGGACTGGGCCTCCTGGTCGGCGTACCTGTCCATCAGGCGGCTGATCGCGGCGAGCTGCCTGCCAAACGGCCGCGTGCTCGGCCGGCGCTCGCGGAGCAGCTCGCGGATCGTCCTGCGCTGCTGCTCAGCGTACTTGTCCTTAAACAGTCGTGCCAGCTGGGATATTTCCATAACAATATTTTTTTATGCCTCGATCCAAACACAGAAACACACACTCGGTGCACTACAACCAGGGCGTGCCGCAGAGGGGCCTGCTGGGAGAAAAGCTGCCGCTGTACGGCTACCTCATTGTGGGGCTCAGCTGGGCGGTTTTCGTGGTGGGCATAGGCACCGTGGCCGGGGCCTGGGACTGGGTGTTCGCGGGCACAAGGGCCGCCGTCTGGCTGTCGCAGTGGAAGGTGCTGGACGGCGAGGGCCGCGAGATCATCGACAGCTACTATGTCTACGCGTTTGCGCTGAACTTTGTCATTTTATGGATCTGGTGCGTCGTTTCGTGGATCGGCATGAAACTGTTCAGACACAGCAAGGGCAGCGGATGATTTATTTACTATTTCACCTCAAACACGTGGACGTGCTTGCCCGTCCGGATGAGCAGCAGCCGGCCGTCGACAACAAGGCTTCTGTCGACGGCGTCGTCCCACCGGCTCAGCCGGACGCGCTGCTTGCCGACAGACACGGCGCCGCCGGCGAGCAGCCGCTTGATCTCCTTTTTCGACACGCCGGGCAGCTTTCTGTGCAGCAGATCCCCCACGCTGGCTAGCTCGGCCTCGCGCACCGCCGTGATCATGTTCTGTCGGCGGAACGCGGCCAGAACCTCGTCGACGTCGACGTCTGCGTCCCCGTACAGAGCGTCGCTGATCACCAGGTTCGCGCGGCCCTCGCCGTCGCCGTGGAGGAGGTCGCACATCTCCACGGCGAGCACGCGCTGGCCCAGCCGCAGCGCCGGGTTCTGCCGGTGATAGTTGCAGATCCGCCCGATCAGCGCCGCCGGCAGCAGCGAGAACTTGTACAGCAGCTTCGGAACGTCCTCGTCCAGCGTGTTGTACAGAAACTGGTACAGCTGGAACGACGGCGTGAGGCTGCTGTCGATGAAGACGGCGTTGCCGGCGCTCTTGCCGAACTTCACGCCGTTCGCGGTCGTCAGCAGCGGCACCGTGGCACCAAACGCTTTTTTCTTCGCGCCCGGATGCATCCTGTCTATCAGATCCAGTCCCGCAACAATGTTGCCGTACTGGTCGTTCCCGCCCACCTGAACGTCGACGCCGTGGTTTTTGTTCAAGTAGTAGAAATCGTAGGCCTGCAGCAGCTGGTACGAGAACTCGTTGAAACCTATGCCGTGCTCAGACTCCAGTCTGCTTTTCACCGAGTCCCGCGAAAGCATCTGGTTCACTCTCACAAACCGGCCGTACTTGGCCAGAAACTCCAGAAACCCCATATCTTTCCACCAGTCGAAGTTGTTGCGCACAGAAACCGCGCCGTGAGAGCTGCCTAGGAGGCGGTTGCGACTGGCCGCGTAGCGCCGGCCGCTGCGGAAAAAGTGCTCGAACTGCGCCTGGATGCGCGCCACGTTGTCCAGCCGCTCGTGCTGCTCCATCTGCGCCCGCTCCGTCGTTTTCCCCGACGGATCGCCCACCGTCCCGGTGGCTCCTCCAACCAAGGCTGTAATGTTGTGTCCCCGGAGATTGAAGTGCAGAAGAACCATCAGCGGCAGCAGGTTGCCCAGATGCAGCGACCTGGCCGTCGGGTCGGCGCCGCAGTACAAGCCGAGCGCTTTTTCTCGCGCCAGCCGGGCCAGCTGGTCTTCGTTGACCACCGTCTCGATTAGCGAGCGGCGACGCAGGTGGTCGATAATCGGCTCGTTGGCATCGGCCTCAAAGTCCCCGGGACGCGTGTCGATCGAGTGCCGCGCCAGCAGGCTTTGCACCGCCGACGGAAACGTCCGCGCCTGCCGCGTCGTGGAAAACAGCCGTGTCAAGGACATAAGTACCGAATATTTAATTTTTCAGGAGCTAGGTGTGGTTGCAGTGTACATATATTCTATCTACCGTCATCATGTTTCTGTCTCTTGACCCGCTCGTCGCTCTCCATCACGCGCTTCATGCTGTCCTGTATCACCTCCCTGCCGTCCTTGCCGTCCACGCGCCGGAAATACGGCTGCAGCCGCCAGTACGGCACCTCTCTGTAGCGGCCGCCCCAGTTCTCGATCTCGCCAACACGTACCCGGTCGAGCTCCGCAATGTTGTCCTGCTCATATATCTTCGCCACCACGTCCTCTATCATCTTTACAACAGTCTCAAGCTCCTCCAGCGACGAGTTTCTGCTCAGTTTCGCCACCTCGGCACGAACGTCCGTGTGAATGCTCAAAAAGTTGCGCAGCGACTTGAACAAGTGCGACTTGAAACAGCGACGGCTCTCCGACCCCTCGCACCGAGCAACCACGTCATAGTACTCGCGCACAAACCGGTCTATTCGCGGGAACTGTTTCTCGATGTCCTCGGTCTGTGTCCAGAAAACGCCTGGATTGTACAGGTTGCCCTCCGCAGACATCACTGCGTCGCAGCCGACCTCTCTCACGCATCGGTCAATGTCTTCTGGATACAGAATGTTCCCGTTGCTCAAGAAGACGGTCTCTGGAGGCAGGTTGTCTCTAAGGTACTTCACGAGCTTCCAGTTCGCGAACCCGGTCTTCTGGCCCTTCATCTCACGCGTCCGCCCGTGGACAGTTAGAAACTGCGCGCCTGCGTCCAAACACATCTTCGCGTACGCGAGGCTCTTTTCCCAGTCGTCGTAAACCCTGATTTTGGCTGTGACCGGGATTTTGAGGTTTCTGTGCAGGGTGTTGATAAGTTTCGAGATCAGATCCCAGTCCTCCATCAGAAAGGACCCGTAGTGGCCCTTGCGCGCGATTCCCTGAGGACACCCCAGGTTCAGGTCCACGGCATCGCATCTGTCCTCAACGTGCCTGGCGGCCTGAAGAAGGTAGTCTGGGTCGTTTGCGCAGAACTGCACGATCAGCGGCCTGTCCACTTCGGAGCCGTCCATCGGCCCAAACATCTTCTCGCGGTACTTTTCGTCCGTCGCAAAAAGTCGAGAATGAAGCATGGGAGAGTAGCATAGGTCTGCGCCGTACTTCCTGGATATCATCCGCCATGCAAGCTCGGAACCGTCCACCATCGGTGCCACCACCTTTTTCGGACGCCCAAGCTTGTCGTAGAGCTGTCTGCCGGTCAATTTCGAGTTTGTCATGAAAAGAGACCGAATGCTTGATAGCATATATTTTTTTATTTTTTTTCAATAAATTTTCTCGTTCATGCAAACATTATGTAAAATTCATTACTTTTAATGGGAGGATCCGGGACTAAAACGGGACTGCGTGTGGTGGATTGCTGTCGCACGAGCTTTCAGCGCCTCGGCGAAAACCAGAGCAATAGGCCACACCGGCGCGTCAGCCAGAATACGGACCCCTAAAGACAGGCATCTCGAGCTCAATCTCGCACTCATCATGATCTGGGCTATTGGACGCAGGTCTCCCGGCTCCAAAGCCAGCCTGGCTATTTCGTCGTCCAGAATATCCACATCTAGCGCGCCGTTAGCCTGGATGCGCAGAAATTCAGAGTACGATGAGTTGTTGGACCCTTTTGGTAGCAAATTTTCTTCCACCTTCTTGAAGATGGTCTCTGTACGGAGCCAGAGCACTCTGTCGGCTGTGGTGAGGTCGTTGTATTTTTCTGGCGCCGACAGATAGTTGATGGCCCATTCTTCGGTAGTGTAGAGGTATTCGGAGATGAGAAGCGCGGACGTGAACAGACATGTCAAAAAGAAAATTGGAGTTCTGACAGACGTCTTTTCGGCATCGTTAGTGATGGAGATGATCTCGACCCACAGGTTGATGATGTCGAGCGAGTAGCTGATAGAGTCCCGCAGGGCCTCCAGGTCGCCCGTCAGGTTCTTGATTTCCGTGTTCATTCCATCCCAGTCTCTGTACCACACCTTTTTCAGAATTGGAGAGATGTAGACGCATTTGCATATTTTTGCAAAGGACAGGAGCGGCAGGATCAACTTCAAGACAGGGCTCTGGCTGATGGTGTGCAGGTTCTGGCCGCGCGGGACGATCGGCCCGCCGTTGCGGATGAAACAGCTCTCCCACGACTTGATGATGCTCTCCAGCTGCGGTCTGATTTCCAGCCTCCACTCGGCCATGTTTGCGCCGACGCTTTTGTTGGATTTGGCCAGCTCCTGGCGCTGGCGATGGATGTCTCCGTTCAAGGACATCAGCAGCGACAGGAGACACCTGAACCCGATTTCTTTGTCGAGCGTATGGTTGTTCAGGTCGCGCCAGAGGTCTTTGTAGGAGTTGAACCCGTTGCTGAGCTGGATGAGCGAGAACTTCGAGTCGACTCGCACGTTGTTCTCCTTCAGCACCCCTAGCCACTCCAGCTCCGTCTTGCTTCTCCACAGACTCTCCAATGAGCACGGAGACCCGCATCTGATGTCGTCTGCGGTGAGCTGGATCGGAGACCCGATCAGAGACCCAAACAGCACGCAAAGGTAATGCAGACAGTGGACGGTTCGGATTCTGCTCTGCGCGCGGATGAAGTACTCGTAGCAGGACCTCACGAGGGCCGAGTTGCCGGATATTTCCGTCGTGATTGTTGGCGGCAGCTGGAACGTTTCGACCGGCATGTCCAGCTTGGTGGTCTTGACCAGCGACACCAGCGACGTGAGCTGGCGCGAGGTCAGCTTTGTCACCTCGACGTCGTTGTGGAACATGCCCAGAAACATGTGCAGCAGCAGCGCCTGCGTGATGTGCAGGGGCACCTCGTTGAACTTGTTCCGCGCCAGCTGGCTCTCCATGAAGTTGTGTATCAGGAACCGCGAGAAGTTGAAGAGCGTGGACGAGTTGCGCGCGTGGAACGAGTACAGCGCGCCGATGGCGGCCATCGACAGCAGCAGCGGGGTCTGCTCGAGGTCGCGCTCGACGTTGAGCGACGGAATGTGGACGAACGGGAAGTACTTGTCGAACTCGATTTCGTAGAGGGCGAGGTAGTGGTTGAGGTCGTCGGACTGCGGGAACTGCGACGCTTTCAGGTGGTACTTGTTCATGATGTGCGTGCGCACCATCTCCGGAAAACGACCCGGGTGAGCTGGGTGCTGCTGGCTCTGGGAAAGCGAAATGTGCTTGAAGAGGTCAAGTTGCCTGGAACGGAAGAACTGCGAGAGATCGTTCGTTGGAGAGTCGTTGGACAGAGGAGAGTGGTTCGAGTTGTTCGTGGCCGGCGAGTCTGTGAACCCGATGTGGTTCGAGACGGGCGGAAACTCTGTTTCGATCGGGGCGTTGATGAACTCGAACAGCCAGTCCTCGTTCGAGTGCTGGTCGTCGTCGGTGGACGGCTTACTGTCTTTTTTTTCCGGGCTCGTGAGCGAGTTGTTGCTGAAAACGCTGCTTTCCGGGGTGAAGTCGAAGTCCTGGCCCGCGAGCTTGCCCTGGAACAGCGACGTGATGGCCGGCGGCGCCGCCTGCGGGACGTTGGCGGTGTGGTCGTGCAGCCCCTGCAGGTCGAGGTTGTCGAGGTCGAGGTAGACAATGTCGCCCTGCTGGTACCTGAGCTGCGGCGAGCTGAACTGGACCTGCGGCGCCGTGTCGTTGCTGTAGCCTGTGTACGAGTTGGACGTGGCCGCCGAGAACGACGCGTGGCGATGGGCTCTGCGCTGGGTCTTGTCCGCGTTCGCGCTCTCGCCCACGACGACACCCCGGGACGGGGTGTCGTCGTGGGCGAAACCGGTGCCGGGCATGTTTCGCGGCGAAAAGAACAGGCCGGCCGAGCCTGGCTGCGACGCAGCCACAAGGTCCGCGCCCTGGCTCGCCGAGTCCTCCTCCAGCAGCGGGCTCGAGCTGTTGGGCAGCGGCAGTTGCGCGTTGGTGTTGTTGCGGACGATGTTGATGTTGTCGTTGAGATAGTCGCTCACAATCTCGCCGTCGCGCGGCGCCGACTTGGCCCCGCGGCCCTTGCGCGGCGCCTTGGTCCTGTTGTTGGTGGGCAGCGACGAGTGCAGCTTTTGCTGGTGTCTCAAAACAAGGTCTCGCCGCGCAAAACAGCGTCCGCACGCCGCACATTGGAACGGCTTCTCGTTGGTATGGCTGCGCTCGTGCCGCTTGAGGTGCTCGAGTCGCGCAAACGCGCGCGTGCAAGTGGCACACACGTGGGGCCGGGGTTTATCCGTCTTGATGGTCGCACTCTTCTTGGGGATCGGCATCGGCTCCTGGCACAGGTCCGAACCGGCTGAGTGCGTGGCCGTGTCGAGGCCGGACATCGGAGCGCTGGCCAGGCCGGGAACCGGATCCAAAGAGTACTGCGTAATGGATACTACTTTGTCCGTCATGATGACCAATAAATATTATCCATCAAATATAAAACTAGGGGGTTGCCGATTTTTTTCTATTCTACCAGCAAATTTTTAAATGCGTTTCCAGCGTCCCCAGACCATGCGGCCCTACAAAGCCACCGCGTCACCCCGTAATTATTTTTCACCTCCCGCCTGCGGCAGCCTTCGGACTCCTACAACACTTGCATCTTTTCACAAAGATGACGCAAATCCGGGGTTGCCGCCACCCATTGCCGTAAAAAGCAGTGCATGCATATTTTCTATCTATATGTGGTATAATTTTTCGACTGGGGGTTCGGATTTTCGTTGGAAACCCCGTTTTGTTGAGCGTCGTGGCCAAACTCCGAGTCGACCGTCGCCGCGTACGCCTCCGTGAACGACTGCACCACGCAGTCCGGAACCCCTACGCCATCGCCAAACGTTGTTCCGCCCAACGTCACCTTGTCTCCGAATACCTGCCGGACCGCTGCGGCCACTTTCTTTTTCAACTCCTCGTGGCCAACACGGTACTGCGGAATTGCGTCGGTCCAATACTCGATCTCGATCACCTCCGCCCCGTTGCACTTCTCCAGGTCGATGTGCAGCTTGCTCATCAGCACGTCGCGCACAATCTTGTGCACTCTGGACCGCGTCGGCAGGTCCTCGCCGCTCTTGAGCTGGTGGCCGCCCAGCATCAGCGTCAGCTTCGTGTACGAGTTCGTGATCACCGCGCCCCTGTTGGCCACGGCCTTGGCCAGTCCCGCCAGCTTCTCGTCCGAGATTGGAGACTCGCTCGTCAGCTCGGTGCTCACGTCGTTGTAGAAAAATAGCCGTCTCGAGTTCTGCTCGATGTCGCTGTCGAAAATCACCCCCAGCAGCTGGGTCTCGTCCTGCATCGTCTTGGGCACCAGGAAGCCAAAGCCAGGGTGCGACAGCAGCCTCAAAGCGGGCACATACACGTTGGCCAGCACGACCGTGGTGTACTCCACGGGAGCCACCAGGGCGCCGATCTCGGCGCTCTGCAGCACGGCAGCGGTCCCTGGAGCGTCCACGGTGAGCCGCAGATGGTCCACGCGCGCCGTCTCGCCCGTCGAAAGCGCCAGCTCCAGCCCGTCCTCCGTCTGGGCCACACCTCGCACCGCCGTGTTTGTGTGCACAGACACGTTTGCAGGCAGGTTTTTCTGGAGGGCGGCCACGAGCGACTCGAGGCCGTCTCGCATGGTCAGCACGGGGAATTTGCGCAGGAATCTGGCCGTCTTGGACACGTTGAACGCCGGCTTGAACACCTTCGAGTACAGCGCGACCTCTGGCGCGAGCTGGTCGGGCGTCCTTTTTCTCAGACTCTGCAGCAGCTGCGACACCCCGTAGCGGACGATCGACCCGTGCTGCCGCTCAATGTCCACCAGCCGCGACAGCACGCTGGCCGCACTCAGTTTGGCCACGTCTCCGGCGTAGACTCCGTGCATAATGGCGCTCACAACGTTGTCCGAAACAGACTTGTTGAACCTTCTCGAGACAAACTGCTCTACCGTCTCGTCAGGCGTCGACTTGGACCTCACAAACGGCTCCTTCAGCAGGCCAAGCAAAACACCCTTGCCGAGCGGGTCGAAGAGAAACCGCAAAAACGAAGACAAAGAGTACGGAACAGGAGTCAATTTCCCAGAGTGGCCCTCTGTGTCAGAGTGTGGACTCAGGAGATATTTTCTATTACCCAGAGAGTTTTTCGATATGCCAAGGAGCTCGTTCTGGGCATTGCACTTGAAGAGCAGGTCCAGAATTAGCAGGACGCCGGGGCTTTCTCCGCGGAGAGTGCGCGGCCCTTTTTCCAGGATAGTGTAGTCCTGATTGGCGCGAGAATCGTACTCGGTGGTGCCAAGCCGTTTCGATCTGATGTAGCCACCGCATCTGGCGGATTTCTCGTACAGATCGATTCTGAGATCCGGCCGTAGACTGGCGAGGAAGTAGGCATAGGTCAGCCCCGAGATCCCGCCGCCGACGACTCCCACTCTGCCCTGTTGCGGAATGAGTGGCATGAAGAATGATTTAAATTGGGTGATTTTTTATTGGAAAATAGCAGGGGTGTGGAATCTTTTTTGGTTTTACGTCATCTATTACGTCGTCAGCGATTGGTACTCCTTCTCCAAGTCCGCAGAGTACACCAGCTCGCTTTTCTGTTCTTCGGCCGGCTGCAAGCCTGCCGTATGTACCAACTGGACTGGTCTCTTGATGATCCACCGGTCGTCCTCCTCCAGGGTGTACAGCAGGTTGAGGATCGTGAGATAGTTGTCGCCAATGAGCTTGATATCGTTGAATTTGTTCTGTTTCATCAGTTCCAGGCCAATGCTGTTGAAACGGTACAGCGCCTCCACGGCAGCTCTGTAGTCGCCCTGTTTAAGGCGCAAGGTGTAGCATATGCGGTAGTATTTGAGCGATGTTTTGAGATCGCTGTTCAGCGCGCTCGACTCGCCCAGACTGTAAATTAGATCGTCCACCTTGTCCGCGTCCTCATTAAACGGATAGTCCAAGATTTTGGGGATCTGGTTCATCTGGAATAGCTTGTACACAAACTGCTTGATTGGGTGTTTTCTGTATTTTCTCTCCATTTTCAGGATCGTGTCGTGGGCCAGCTCAAATTCCTGCAGCTTGAGAGCCAGCTGGAACACCTTTAGCAAGATCGCCTGGTCATCGGAAACGTCCTTGAGCTCTGTTTTCGTCGCAAGCGCTTTTAATGCCAGTTTGAGAGCCAGCTGGTCGAACTGTTTCGATTGGAACAGAGTGCTGAGGTCGTAGAAGTAGTCCGATTTGGAGTCCACCAAGATCAGGTTGGTACAGTCCGACACCGGTTGCAACGCTTTTTTCTCTGCTGCGGAAGCCGTCTTTGCGGCCTGTGTGATCTGGTCTGCGTGGGTAGTGAACAGCTCAAAGGCTTCTTTTCCCTGCTTGGTGTTGAGCAAAATCAGTCCCTTCAAAACGCTGGAAATTCCAGTTTCAGGAAGATATTTCACCAAGTGTGCGTCCTGGAACCGTTCGTCCTTGACGAGCTTTGCCACGATCGAGTAAACAAACGTATTCTGCAGCAGAAGGCCAAAAATGTGTGTCAGCAAATGGTTGAGGTTGTTGGCTCTCACCATAACTCCACCCTCGAAAACGTCCTCCAAATGCCCCAGCAGCAAAGGCGACGGCACCCGCAAGGACAGCTCTACGCATCTGTACAGTTTTGCCAGCTCCGTGTAGTACCTGATCATTTGCGGATTGACGTCCACAGTGAGAACGATCAAAAGTAATCCAAGAATCAGCTTTCTCTGCAGCAGCAGATTATTTTTCAGCGACGACACCAGTAAAGTTCCGCCCAAATTGCCAAACCTGACTTTCTTAATAGGAACGTAGCCCGCGTTGTCCAGAGTCGAGAGGCTGATGAGGAATTCAAAAAGCTGCATAGTATCCTTTGAAGCATTCAAAGCAGTGAGCAGTTCGGTGACCATTGTCTCGTCTACGTAAGGTGCCAATTCTTCCTGGAAAATAGTATTCATCTGCGGCTCTGCAGCCTCTGGACAGTCGCAAACACGTTGCGTCACTTTGAACACAACTTCCTGAGGAAACTTGGCGACGAAAGATAGCACATACTTGGCCAGCGGGCGCAAATCCCTGGCGTTGATATTGGAATACTGCAAGTCCTCGTTTGTAAGAGTGTCATTGTAGATGATGAGCGCAAACGGTGAGGACGGCACAATCGCAGACAAGCCGTGAGTTTTTTGGATTAGCAGGATGCCGTCAACGAGGTCCAACCCAACAGATGGTTCCAATTGTCGGGAAAGTTCTTTGCAAGCGTTGTCAAATTTCACCCATTGTTTCTTGAGACTGTTGAGATGATCTTGTAGGTCCAAACCGTGTGTAATCACATGTTGCAACCTTTCCTGCAGCGGTAGAGCAGCACTTTCCAAGTTGTACTTTTGCTCCAGTATAGAGAGCACTTTTTCCACAACACGCTCGTCGTAAACCTGTAGCAACTGCATACAGTGAGAGTTCAGCAGGCTGACATCGTCGAAAAATGAAATGGACTGCGTTAGGTTATTTGCAAGCGGCGGAGCACAGCGAGTCCAGCTCATCTCGAGTTTGTCGTCTATCCGGCCCAAGAGAATATATCTAGCTCCGTGGAGAGACAACAGAAGACTGACCTGGAGATTCTGTTCCACTTTGGATAAGACCATGCTCTGGAACACCCATCTATCCACTTCGGGAGGGGCGTACTCGTTCAGTAGAATGAGCGATGCGTCTTGCTCCACAGAGAATAGTTTTAAGGACGTTTCCCCAATAGGAACGACAACCGCCAGGTATCTTCCCACCAGTCCCAGTAGGCGCGTTGGCGGGTTATTGAGGTACGCCGGATGCAGTACCTGAGGTAGGAATTCGTTAAGTGTCTGTTCTTTCTCCATAGCACCTGTCTCGAGCGACCAGAACCTGATGCTTTTATCAATACTCAGAGTGATCAGCTTGTTTTCCAGCACAACAAAGTCCAGGGCTGCTCCAACCGCCACTTGCTGGTTATCTATAACCACCGTCTCCGTCTGGTCCTTGCGCTTAGAGCCGAAAAAGGGAAGTCTGAACTGGTTGAAGTAGGACGTGTCGCTAAATGGAACCACCAGGAAGTTGTCCTCCATGTTTTCCTTGGACATTTTGAGCAGGCCACCATCCTGAAGAGCCACAATGATCGTTTTCGGGTCGATCGACCGCATAAACAAAGGAGCCCGCACGTCGAACGAGTACGGCATGCTGTATTGGCACCAGTTGTAAAAGGTCACAGGAGAGAGTGTTTCCTGGGACAGAAACGACTCCAGCGGCAGGTTCATCGAAATAAGCAGGTTTCCCGCCGTGAGAATGTTGACTGAGACTGCCGCCCCGGCATCTGTGACACTAACGCAGTTAGGTAGGGCTTTTTGAGGAAGAACAAAACACAGAGACTTGAACGTCAGGTCCAACGGATTGTTCAAGATGAGCGGCGTGAGCGTGATTCTGTAGCCGTCGGCAACCACTTGATACGAGACGGTGTTGAAGATGGCCGATTGGGCCTTGAGATCCACCAGAGCTCCGCCGACCGCGAGATGTTGTTCAAATTCAAGAGGCTGAACTTGGGGGAAGTCGGCGTTTGAAAGCGAGTGCCGTTTGAGAGTTTTGTTGATTGAGTGGGGGAGAACCACTGTCGAGGTCTTGAGGTCCGGATGGACCGCAATTTCCACAAAAGCGGTGGAGGACATGAGAAACAAGGTAAATAATAAAATATAAGAGAATATTTTTACGGGGGTGTGAATTTTGGGCGTTCGCAGTGGCGGGTGTCTGCATGGTTCAGAGGCCATTCAAGGCACACGTTAGCCAGTATGGGCCGTTTTCGTCTCCTACTCTGTGCTTTCTGGACGGATTTACAAAGAGCCTCACGGCGGGCCTCCGCTTACGTAACTCCGCGCAGGTATAAATACCTCTGAGAAAGCTGAAAAATTTTACACTTCGATGAGGATCCAAACAATCAAACTAGAGTTTATGATTGCCATGATTTCAAGTATCTGACTGAGAAGTGGTAAGTCTTGATGATGACGAAACAAAAACAAAGCTGGAATTACTGGCTGAATATCCGTGTTGATAAGTTTTTGCACCATTACTGAGAGATGTACGCTAACAGGTAGAATCAATAGGTTTTTGCGAAAAGGGTTTTTCAAACACCTATTGGCCGCTCGATGAGGATATATGCACTGGGCACCGAACGTAAATGAGTGACAATGCTAAAGGCGGGCCTCAGAAACCCGCCGTGACTGACGAGCTGGCTTTGCAAGTTTGATGCGTCGCCAAAGCCTTGTCGACGCAGAAAGTGAGTACGGTGATGAAGTCTTGATGACGAGTCAGATTCGTGGTTCACGATGACGAGACTTCTATTTTTCCATTCATGCTTTTCTGAGGTACTAACCATAGACATGCAAAGACATGCAAACCATATAAGGACTACCTGATGATACCAAACTAAAATGACAAGCATATGTCTGACTTCTGAAGACACCCTTGGGTCTGATAGTCTGCTCGATCTGGTACAGAGCGTCAGGGGACGCTCTTGGCCAGAGGCCAGCGTATATGATGATTGCACTTTCTCACGACGGTCAACTGTTGCTCCGGCACTTGATGATAATTCGGCTTTGACAAGCCGTGCACCTGAAACGCGGCACGAGTAGTAAGTATGGTGATGAGTCAGGTTTTGCTTGATTCGTGATAGCAAAAAAATATGATTTGCATGTCAGTCTGATGTACTAACCTGGAAATAGTGATGTATAGAGAACGGTCTAAATCTAAAATAAACGTTTTATTTAACTGTAGCACCGTGGTAGCAATTGTCTGCCAGTGCGTCCGACGACTGGTCTACAGACTAGCTTGAGGTGTCGTTGAAATGGCGTTCACCGTAATGTCTCGTGCACCTGCCTTTCTGGGCTACTGTTCTCCTGGTATTTCGCAATGCTGCCAATATGTCACCCCTGCTGAGAAAAAAAAACGAAAAAAAACCTTAGATATCCTCGCCGCGGCTCGCCGCGGCCGCACAAATATAAATTTATTCATCTCAACATATCACCTTCCCCGGATCTGAAACATGATGCCTCCTAAACGCACAAAAGAGCGCTATACCAGGACCTCCAAGGCGTGCGACCTGTGCCACAAGAAGAAGACACGCTGTCTGAAATCGGGCTCCTCCGTCAGCTGTCTCCGGTGTCTTGCGCTGAACGAGCCGTGCTCGCTGGCCCCCAGCACCCCAGAGTCCACCACGCCGACCTTTACCCAGCCCCAGACCCAGGAATTTGCCGAAATGTCTGTGCGCACCAGCCTGGCGTCCATCTCCTCGGACGTGAGAGAGGTTCTGCGAGTACTGAGAGACTCAACGCTTCCGGAGCCTGCTGCCTCGATCTCCGACTCGTACGAGCTCAACATGTCCTCGAGGCCGATCACCACCATCAGCACGTCGCCGCTCGCGTTCGTGGCCCACGTGCAGCCGGACACGTCGCTCTTCCCGGCCGCGGTGCTGAACCAGCTCAATTTGCTACCCTCGCTGGAAAACACGCAGACGGACATCGTGTCCATGCAGCTGCTGAGCTACGACCAGGCCGCCAAGCTGCTCGACATCTTCCGCGACAGGTACGGCCGCTGGATCTCGTTTCCGGACACCTTCAGCACGCCGCAGCTGCTCACGCATATCCGCAAAACGTGTCCGCTGCTGCTCACCGTCGCGTGCGCGCTCTCGCTGAAATACGGCGACCCCAACCTCAAAGAGCTGGTCTACCACGAGATGCTGATCATCATCAAGAGAGATCTCGAGCGGAGCCTGATAAACATGCCCAAACGGCTCGAGTTCCTCCAGTGTCTGATCATTCTCTCCATCTACAGCGTGAGTCTGAGCGACGAGGCTGCAGAGCTACGTCTCGACGGATGGTATCTGTCGCACATAGGCATCCATCTGTTTCTGCGGCTGAACAGCTACGGGCTCTTCGAGTACCTGTACGACCCGGCGCTCGTGCAGTTCGAGTTCAACGAGCTCACGTCGTACAGAATCATCAACACGCTCGTGCTCATCCATCTGGCGTACTCGCTGCTCTCTGGAAAACAGTCCTCCTACTCGCTGGGCACCCTGACCCCGAAAAAGTTCTACGACCACAGCCTGTCCACCAACTTCGACTACCGCATCATCGCAGAGGTCGAGGTCTACCTGTTTGCGTACCGGTACCTGCATCTGGGCGAGAGCCTGGAAATTGTGCGCAGCGAGATGAAAGGGTGGCTCTCCGAGTGGGAGGAGCTATTTACGAGCTCTGCAAACGAGTTTGTCGAGATCGACTACCATCTGGCCGAGCTGCTGCTGATCCTCGGCGAGAACAACGCCGACCTCGACAAGGTGCGCGAGAACGCGGAGGCGTACGAGGCGGCGTATTTCCACTCGGCAGAGATACTGAAGCTGGCCGTCTCCATCACCGACGACTCGTACTTTGCGTTTCTGTCGGACCAGATGCACATGATCATCGTGTACAACGCAATGGTGGTAGGCACGCTCCAGCGGCCGTCCGACCCAGACGTGGACGGTCTGCTGCAGCACCTGAAAAACAGATACACGAGAATCGCGACGAGCGACAACGACATGGCCTCCAAGTACAGCATGATGCTGGAGGGCAGAAACAGGTAAGAACGAGTAATGGGATGTGTTGGGAGAAGTTAATGGATTCAGATTTCTGTATTCAGTGTACTTATGTAGCTGGACAACGGGCCGGTAGCAGGCACAGCTCTGTGCGCAGCGGCCGCGAGCTGCCCTTGTTCACTGGCCAGCCTTGAGTCCGAAACAGGCTCTTCCGGTGTAGTACAGCGAGGCACCGACAGAAAGAGTCAAACCAAGGGCGTATGGGATCAGGTAGTACTTGGATCTTGGGTGAGCCATGTAGATAGGCTTGTTGGTGGTTTGGTAGAACTTTTGCAGCTCGATCACTTTGTTAGCCATGGTTGTGTTTTTAGTTTTGTCAGCCAATGATACTTTACAAAATTAAGAAAAAAATCGTCAGACGGGCGGGTCTGTCGACGCTGAGAATTTTCGGATCGGCGCGTCGATCCCAGATGCCGCAGATGCGGCTGTACGCTTCGCTGGCTTGGCAGGCTGGCCGAGCGGAGCGTCGAAGTGCGGGAGATCCAGTCTGGCGCATTGTGGCTAGTCATTACAGCCGGCCGACGGCTGTGTCGGGAAACCTGATTGCCAGCAGCCAAGCTACCTCCGTTGCAGAACATCTTCGGCCACGGTCGCCGTCCACGCCCCGAAGCTCGGCTCTCTGGCCGAGGTCACTCCCTGCTTACCTTGGTCTAAGCCTGCAGCCCTCGAAAACTCGGCCCTGGCGCAAACTCCGGCAATCTAATGCTTCGGCCGGTTTACGGTCTCGGCAATACTTTCGGGGGGGCAGCGAGTTATCACCGAGATATCTTTTCGGCCGGCAATACTTTCGGGGGGCAGCGAGTTATCACCGAGATATTTTTTCGGCCGGCAATACTTTCGGGGGGCAGCGAGTTATCACCGAGATATGTTTTCGGCCCCACTATATTTATTTATGAGCTGCCGCAACAATGCAAACATCAACCAGCAATGTCAGATTCTATCTCAGTGAAGTCGGGGGAGTCCCAGTACTCGGGGTTTGACTCCAACGTCGAAACCCAGGTCAGAAAGCTTGCCCGCGAGCTCTCGCACGTCTCTGCTGGCGAGACGGAGAAGAACGACAACGACGCTCGTTCGCTGATCAGAACGCTCACAAACTACTCCCAGGTACCTGGCGTGAACCCGTTCGTCGAGGACGGCGTCGACGCGCGCCTGAACCCAGACTCGGACGATTTCGACGCCAAGCTCTGGATTCAGAACATGCGCAAGCTGATGGACTCGGATCCAGACTACTACAAGCCTGCCAGTCTTTCTGTTGCGTTTAGAAACCTCCGTGCCAGGGGCGTTGTGTCCTCGGAGGACTACCAAACAACCATTCTGACTGCGCCCATCAAGTTCGTGATGGAGAAATACAACAACACGTTCAGGAAAAACGTGGAGTCGCGGTATTTCGATATTCTGAAGCCCATGGACGGCCTCATCTTGCCCGGCACGTTCACGCTTGTTCTTGGCCGTCCGGGCGCTGGGTGCTCGACGTTTCTGAAAGCAATCTCGTCGCAGACTTACGGATTCGAGGTCGCTCCGGAAAGCGTGATTTCGTACGACGGATTCAGTCCCAAGGATATCAGGTCCAACTACAGAGGAGAGGTCACGTTTTCCGCCGAAAAGGACGAACACTTCCCGCAGCTGACAGTGCGCCAGACGCTGGGGTTTGCGGCCAAGCTCAAGGCCCCGAGAAACAGGCCGCAGGGCGTGTCTGCCCAGGCATACGCCGATCACATGACCAAGGTCTACATGGCGATGTACGGGTTGTCGCATACGGCCGACACGAAAGTGGGCAACGATTTTGTCAAGGGCGTTTCTGGAGGCGAGCGCAAGCGTGTTTCCACGGCCGAGCTGTCGTTGTGCGGCTCGAAAATCCAGTGCTGGGACAATTCCACCCGAGGTTTAGATTCTGCCACCGCTCTGGAGTTTTTGCGTGCACTGAAAACCTCTGCCACCGTGCTGCAAACCACCCCGGTCACGTCCGTGTACCAGTGCTCTACGGACTCGTACAACCTCTTCGACAACGTGCTGCTGCTCTACGAGGGCTACCAGATCTACTACGGCCCGGCCGCGCACGCAAAGCAGTTTTTCCAGGACATGGGCTACGTGTGTCCTCCGAGACAGACGACCGCGGACTTTCTCACGTCGCTGACCTCGCCAAAGGAGAGAATCACGCGTGAGGGCATGGAACACAGAGTTCCGCGCACGCCAAAGGAGTTCAACGACTACTGGCGCGCGTCGCCCGAGTACGCAGACATGGTTGCACAGACCGATGCGCACATCAAAAAGAGCGTCGAGGACGATCTCCGCGAGCAGTTCCACCAGTCCCACGTCGCCCGACAGGAGAAGGGCTCCCGGCCGCGGTCCCCGTACACATCCACGTACTGGACCCAGGTGAGAGAAAATATGCGCAGGTACTGGTGGAAAATCAAAGGCGATCCGTCGTTGCTGTATTTCCACGTCTTTTCCCGCGTGGGCCTCTCGCTCGTGATCTCGTCGCTCTACTACAACTTGAAAAATACCACCTCCGACCTCTACTACCGCGGAGCCTGTATGTTTTTCGCAACCATATTTAATGCCATGTCTATGATGATGGAGGTGATTGTCTGTTTCGAGGCGCGTCAGATTGCCGAGAAGCACAAGAAATACGCCCTGTACCACCCTTCGACCGACGCGCTCGCGTCCGTCATCACCGAAATTCCCAACAAGCTTGTCGTCAACACCGCGTTCAACCTGGTGTTCTACTTCATGGTCAATTTCCGCAGAACTCCGGGCCATTTCTTCTTCTATCTGCTCACAAACCTCACCAGCACGCTCACGATGTCGCACATGATGCGGTCGCTGGTGTCGCTGTTCCGCACGCTGTCCGGGGCCCTGACGCCGGCGATGTTTCTGGTCAGTATGCTCGTGCTCTACACCGGCTTTGCTGTTCCTGTCAAGGACATGCACGGCTGGTCGCGATGGATCAACTATCTGGATCCAATTGCGTACGCGTTCGAGGCGCTGATCGCAAACGAGTTCCACGGCAGAGAGTTCGTGTGCAATGATTTTATTCCGGGCTATTCTGGCGTACCAAGGGAAAACACTATCTGCAACACTCTGGGCGCCGAGGCAGGCGAGACGACGATTTCCGGGACCAGATACATTGCCCTGGCGTACAAGTACTACGCCAAGCACAAGTGGAGAAACTGGGGCATCAATCTGTCGTTTGCGATCTTTTTCCTTGGAGTGTACCTCATTCTGGTGGAGAATTCCAAATCCGCCATGCAAAAAGGAGACGTGTTGCTCTTCCTGTCGAACTGGTTCAAAGCGCCAACGCACGCCAGAGCGAAAAGCGACATCGAGACGGCCAATAAGATCGAGAGCGTCAATTTCGCCAAGGACGAGGCCGGGTCGACCTCCGACTCCGGCGGGCTTGCCACCGGTAACGGCATCTTCCACTGGAGAGACGTTTCTTTCGACATAAAGGTCGGCAACAAGCCCAAGAGAATTCTGGACCACGTGGACGGCTGGGTGAAGCCCGGCACGCTGACCGCGCTGATGGGCGCGTCCGGCGCCGGAAAGACCACGCTGCTGGACGTGCTGGCCAACAGAGTCACCATCGGCGTGGTGACCGGCTCCATCTTTGTCAATGGCAAGGAGAGAAACCAGTCGTTCCAGAGATTCACCGGATACGCGCAGCAGCAGGACCTCCATATCCAGACGGCCACGGTGCGCGAGTCTTTGCGGTTCAGCGCATATCTCCGTCAGGACGCTTCTGTGTCTAAACAGGAGAAGGACGACTATGTTGAAGAGATTATACGTGTTCTGGAGATGGAGAGCTATGCCGACGCCGTGGTTGGCGAGGCAGGCCAGGGCTTAAACATCGAGCAGCGCAAAAGACTCACCATCGGCGTGGAACTCGTTGCCAAGCCGCAGCTGCTGCTGTTCCTGGACGAACCCACGTCGGGGCTGGACTCGCAGACCGCGTGGTCGATCTGCCAGCTCCTGCGGAAACTCTCCAACAGCGGCCAGGCCATTCTGTGCACGATCCATCAGCCGTCGGCCCGGCTTCTGCAGGAGTTCGACAGACTGCTTTTCCTGGCAGCTGGCGGAAAAACCGTGTATTTTGGAGAGCTTGGGCCCAACTGCAAAACGCTGATCGACTACTTCGAAAAGAACGGTGCTGAGCCGTGTCCCGTGCACGCCAATCCTGCCGAGTGGATGCTGGAAGTCATTGGCGCGGCGCCTGGCTCGCACGCGCAAAAAGACTACCACGAGGTGTGGACCAGCTCTCCAGAGAGAGCGGCTGTCTTAGAGGAGCTGCACAGACTGGAAGAAGTCGCCGACGAGAGAACGCAGCACAAAGAAACCAAGCAGCGCCAGTTCGCCACGTCGTTTGCGACCCAGTACCTCCTCGTCACCAAACGCATGGTCCAGCAGTACATCCGTACACCGTCCTACATCTACTCAAAGCTCCTGATGGCCATAGGTGTGTCCATGTTCAACGGGTTCACGTTCTTCCACGCCAACCACACCAAACAGGGCCTGCAGAATCAAATGCTCTCCATCTATCTTATGTGCACGTCCGGCATGGTGTATTTCCAGCAGCTGCTCCCGCTGGTCGAAGAGGAGAGAAACGTCTACGAAGTGAGAGAACGGCCGTCGAAGCTGTACAGCTGGTACGCGTTTGTGTCTGCAACGTTCACGGCCGAGCTCCCGTGGAGTTTCATTACCGGCACGCTGTCCTTTGTCACATGGTACCTGCCCCTGGGCCTGTACAGGGATGCGGAGCAGACACACTCCGTTTCTGAGCGCGCCGGCCTGGTCTGGTTGTTGCTGACGTTCTTCTACATCTACGCCACGACTCTCGGCTACTTCTGCTCGTTCGGACTGGAGGAGATGTCCAACGGAATGAACAACTCGTTTATGGTGTTTATGCTGTCGATGAACTTCTCCGGCGTGCTGGTGTATCCTACCGGTTTCTGGACCTGGTTGTACCACGTTTCTCCGCTGACGTGGTGGATCGGCGGCATTGTTCCTGCGGGAATCCGCGACACGCGAATCCGCTGCGCCAGCGATGAGTACGTCAAGTTGCCGCCTCTCTCTGGCCAGACCTGCGGCCAGTACATGCAGGAGTTTATTACCAAGAACGGCGGATATGTGGTGAACCCAGACGCTACAGACATGTGCGAATTCTGCTCCATGTCCAACTCCAACCAGTTCCTCTTGCAAAGGCACATGAACCCAGACCACATGTGGAGAAACTTTGGGCTGATGGTTGCTTACTCGGCATTCAACATTATCTGTACTTATGCCTTTTACTACGTCTTCCGTGTGCCAAAGAAGCGCAGCCGTGTGGAAAAAGAAACCTTTTTTACCGAGGAGGCGGAAGACGAGAAAGCTGCGCCAAAGAAATGGTGGCAGAAGCTAGGCAAGAAAAATTAAACTAGCGATTTTAACATTTCTCGGTCAAGAGAATTAAGTGTAATTATTATCTGTTCAGTACCACTCAAAGTCGTCTGCCCAGTCGCCTGTGGACGATCCCAGTTTGAACTGCTCGAGCTTTTTCTCGAATTCGAGGGCGTTCTTCTTCTGGATCAGCGACGGGTCGGGCGAAGCTTCTTGCGAGGCAGCTTTCCTGCTTCGTGCGGTCCGAGCCGTAGAGTTGTCTTTTTTATGCGCGCGGTCCCGTCGAGGTTTCGACTTACCCTCGCGGGAGCGTTCTAGGGGCTCTGGGTCGGCATATCGGCTCTGCAACCGCGGCGCCTTCCATTCAGGATCTATCCGCGAGAGCAGCGAGTTGGCCGACTTTTGAGGCTCCCTCCGGCTCTCCCTGAGCCTAGTTGGTTTACCCCCTGAGTGCTCTTTGGCTCTATGCGCGACTCCTTGAGGTTGTTGCTCTTCTTGCTTCGCTGTGGTCTTGTGAATCTCTGCCGAGCATTTTGCTGGCAACAGTCTCTGAGCACTCTTGGAAAGCGCGCCCTTCGACACAGGGACAGTCTCCCAGTCCGAGTCGTCGCTCACTTCCTCCACAGAGTCAGAAAACTGGGTGTTGGCGCTCTCCCGACTGCGGCTCTCGCGAGACGCTGGCTCGCCCGAAAACCCCTTGCCTGCTAGCTTTTTATCCTGTTTCACAGCCGTCGCCACTGCTTCTGTGTCGTCTGCCCACTTCGAAGCAAGAGGCGCTCCGGCTGGCATAGTCAAAAGTTCTGTCAAGTCAAAAAAATGTTCGGATTAGTTAATCAATTAGTGCGGTAGCCTGGGGAAATTATCTTTTTTATAACATGTTTAGGAGAGTCTTTTCGACAACGCCAGTGAGAGCCTCCGATCCGCTCATGGACTCGGTGCAGCAGGCCGTCAAGGCCAAGTACTCGCAGACCAAGTCCTCGTTCGGCATGAGACTCGTCAAGGTCTTCCTCCCCACCCTGCTCGGCTTGACAGCGTACGTGGGCTACAACTCCTACAATTCTAGACCGGCATTCATTCCGCTGCTCTACACCAAATCGCTGCCTCTGGCGCGCTCCAAGGAGGCCAAAGGCATTGATCTCGACAAGCTGAAGGCAAACACCAAGGAGATCCTCCTCTCTAAACTATCCATGAACCACAAAATTAAAAATACGCTGGGGCTTCCGCTGCAATTGGGCGAGTTCCTGAGCTTCAACGTGAAAATCGAGTACAAAAACGTGTTTTTCGAAGGACTCGAAATCGACTGCACCAAAAGATGGTTCCCTCCAGAGTTCAGGTGGAGCCACCGCGAGTTTGCGCCAAAGCTGAAGGACGACCTGAACGGCCTGCTGGAGCCCATGACCTCGGACGGATCCTTCAGACTGGATTCGGTGGAAAACCGTTACGGCAGCAAGCGAGACTACAACATGATAGTGGGCGGATCTATAGAGGCGTACTCGACGTTCGACCTGGTGTCGGACGATGTCGATCCCGGGACCGCGAAAATCACGTTCGCGGGAACGATCCAGTATGACCACATCAAATCTCTGAAAACTGACACAATCGTCCTCTCGTACAGGTCAAACGGCCAGACAGTGGTGCACCAGCTGCTATAAGATCGGGCTGTGCAAAAATATTTTTCCAAAGAATGCCTCCCACGGTGTTGTTCAAGAACGGTCTGCGGTATGTTGAGCCGTACATGAGGCGCATCACTGCCGTTACGAGACCACGGTGGGTCGGGAAGCCATTTCTGGAGGTTCTGGCGACCGATTTCCGCGGCAGAGACATCAGCAAGTACAGCCAGCTGATCGACTCTGGAGACATGTATATTTGGCGAAACACCCCGGCAGGCGTGGAGACAGTCCGCGGCGCCCAGCTGAGAACCGAGAAGCTGCAACGTGGAGACAGAATCAGCAACAGTTTCCACCATCACGAGAAACCCGTGATTGCGGCCCCGATAGACGTCGTCTACGAGGACAGCGAGATGCTGGTGGTGAACAAGCCGGCAGGGATTCCTGTGCATCCCACGTCGGGGTACTTCCAGAACACCGTGCTGGAGATCCTGAAACGCGAACACGGGCAGAGCCAGCTGCATCTGCTGCATCGTCTGGACAAGAGCGTCTCTGGGGTGCTCATTATGGCTAAAAATCTCCCGAAATTCAGGCGGCTCCGGAAGGAAATAGAGGACAAAAAAAGAGCTTCCAAAGAGTACATAGCCCGCGTCCGAGGTAGGTTCCCGAGCTCCGTGGCGTGCCACGACGACGTGGTGGTCCTCGACCCTCTCAAGAGGTATCGGCACGGCGGCGTGGGAGACGCCAAGAGGGCCTCCACGAAATTTTCGCTGCTCGAGTACAATTCTGAGCTGGACGAAAGCACGGTGAAATGCGTGCTCCAGACGGGCCGAAAACACCAGATCCGAATACATCTGCGAAACCTGGGACACCCGATCGTGAACGATCCACTCTATGGCCCTTCCGGGATCTTGAACCAACCAATGACCTCGCGGCCGTCCAGGAAGGAATTTTCTTTAATTCAGGAAAAAGCAGAGCAGCTACTGAGCGCCATAACGCTTCCCGGGAGGTGCGAGGTGTGCGGGTTTCCGAACCACGTCGACCCCACTCCGGAAGAGCTCGTGATATACCTGCATGCCCGCAAATACATGGTGCAAGGGTCCTGGAGCTACTCTGTTCCGGACCCTGGCTGGGCCAAATTTCTATAGTGTACATAAATCGTCGCGTCGCGCAATCGAAAAATATTTCTAAGATAGCTGATGGCGACATTCACCGATCCGCTCGACTCCATCACCGATCCGAGCGACTGGGGCGACACCAGTTTCCCCAACCTGTCCAAACTGGACTCGCTTCTCCGCTGTCACATTTGCAAGGATTTCCTCAAGGCCCCGGTGCTGACTTCCTGCGACCATATATTCTGCTCTGTGTGTATCAGACGCAGTCTGGAGAGCGACAAGAAGTGTCCTTTGTGCCACGAGGAGACGTACGAAAGCAAGCTGCGCAAGGTGCTTCTTCTGGACGAGATATCATCGTGGTTCACGCGGAACCGGCCAGAGCTTCTTGACAAACACAGGCCGACCGCGAATAACACTCCGGAGCCTGTAGCTGCGCCAGAGGCGGAGAAGCCCGCGGCCGTGCTCAGATACGAGTCGCGCAAGAAGCGCGCGGCCGAGGACCCCCTCGTGGAGTGTCCGGTATGCTCCACGTTCATGTCTGCTGACGAGCTGCAGACATCCCATATAGACAGTTGTCTGGCCAACAAGCGGGCCAGGCCGAGCCCGAGCCGGCCGGTGATCTCCAGTTTTTTCAAGAAAGAGCGCACGCCCCAGACGCAGCCCGAGTTCGTCAAGAAGAAGCCCAAAATCACCAATCTGGACCCCACCATATCCACCAACAAGCTCAAGGAAAAGCTCAATTCCTGGAACCTCCCCACAGGCGGGACACGGCACCAGCTGGAGACCCGCATGAAGGAGTTCATCAGCATGTACAACGCGAACCTGGACTCGGTAAATCCCGTAGACGACCGCGTGCTGATCAACCGGCTCATGAAATGGGAAGGAACGTACTCGCTGAGCAATACGGCGGGCGACGCCGAGGAGGACGGCGCGCAGTGGCGCAGGAAGTACAAGGCGGAATACGACGAACTGATAAAACAGGCCAGAGCCAACATGAACCGCATGAATACCAAGTTAGATACTACCGACTAATCTATTCTATTATGTCCTTGCTTTCCACCAGCTTGAGCGACGGGATGTACGGGCTGCTGCCGATGCTCATTTTGGTGTCGGTGAGCTCCAAAGTGCGCCTCAGAACCCGCTGGACCACGTCGACGGTGCGTCTGAGCGCCGTTTCGACGTCTTTGGTGCGGTAAAAAACGTCTGTCAGCAGACCCAGAAACAGGTCCCCGGACCCGGAGAAGACTGCAGGAACCTGGTCGACCGGAACCGCAAACGTCGTTTCTCGGTCCAGACACCCTATGCAGTACATCGCGCCGCCCAGGTTGACCGACGTGATCACCACGAACCGCACGTTGTAGAGGTCGTAGAACCGGGTAACGCTAGCGGTGAGCGAGCTCCAGTCCGAGATTTTGGTGTCTGTGAGCGTTTCCATCTCGAACTGGTTGGGCGTTGTCAGCGTGACCAGGCCGGCTGGATCCCGCAGGATGCGTTTATAGACAGGAATGAGGTTTTCGTCGACGTAGAGCTTGTCGTTGTCGCCGAGGATGGGATCGAGCACCACCAGCGGTTTGTAGCTCAGTTTGGCCAGAATGTCTGCGATGCACTCCAAATTCGGCACACTGGCAACATAGCCAACAATGACGGCGTCGTACTGCAGCCCGATCTCGACCAGCCCCTCGAAAATGTCTGCGATCGTGGCCGCGTCGGTCTTGGAGCCCTTGAATGTTTTGAAGCCGGGATGGTTCGACAAGTTCGTGGTGTTGACGCAGTCGACGTTCCATCCACGCAGGTTCAACGGGAACTGGATCGCTCTGTTGCCTACCGTGCCATGGACCACATGGGACGAGAAAGACAGAACGTTCATTAAAGATAAGAAAAATAAAATATATGCACTCAGGACTTTATAAATTAATTATATACACTAGCCGTAACTTTATCCGAAGCTTATTTTTTCAACCCCAAAGACAGACCTTTCTCTCTTCTGGCGTCAGAAAGCGCAGCAATGATGGCTGCACCAACACCAGAACCGTCCTCGGCCTGCTTGATCTGGATCGGGTGGTCCTTCATGTCGATACCGTCCCAGCCAAACACGTCGCTCAGGCCCTGTGCTGCTCTCTCTGGGAAGAATGGATACTTGAGGAAGACAGATCCGTCAGCGGCAATGTGGCACTTCTTGTGGTTCATCTTCTTGCAGACGGCAGAGATACCGCAGATCGACAGTCTGGCTGCCCTAGTTCCAATAAATTGCGACAGCTTTCTCACATACAGTCTCTCCTCAAAAGTGGTGTCGATGAAGAGCTTGTTGGAGAACTCGTTCGAGACAACGCTCAACGAAGGGGTGTCGTCGGCCTCGGCGATCGACAGGAAAGAGGTGTCGAGGAAGTATGGGGTTTCCAGATACTTGATCTGCTCGGAAGACTTAGTATAACTCTTGAAGATGAGTCCCTTTTTGTAAGTTTCCAACATGATCATTCTGAGAAGCTCTCCCAGGTAGTAGCCGGAGGTCATTTTCTCGAACGCCTGCTGGCCAGGTCTAGGAGACTCCTCGTCGATTTTAATGTCGAACTTGGTTCTAGGAAGAACCTTGTGCTTGTTATCGAAGGAACCGTATTCGCAGTTGATCAGCATCGGAGACTCTGGGTCGACATCGTCGTACAGTTTTCCTTTGAGCTTAGGGATGTTCTTGATGCGGTCGTAGTATGCACCGTTGACACCGGTACCAAAAATACAGCCCATCTCGGTGAGCTCATCTGTGTACCTAGAGGCAACAAGGGTCCCGCTGGTGTCGTTGATCAGGGCGGTGATTTTGATAGGCAGGCCCTTCTTTTCAACCTGTTCCATCAGAAGAGGCACCACGTCGTAACCCTCAACGTTAGGAATATCAAACCCTTTGGTCCATCTCTGGAGAACACCCTCGACGATGCTGTTCTGTGTGGCCGGGTACGAAAAAGTGAATCCGAGAGGGAAAACAGTGCCTTCCGGAACTCCGTCGGGGTGTTTTTCCCGGAGGAAATCCTCCAGACACTGGGCAATGAACTCAAACAGCTCGTCTCTGTTTCTGGTGGTTCTCATGTGGCTAGGGATGTGGTACTTTGTCTGCTCGGTGGTGAACTTGTGGTCTCCAAGCAAGTGAACAAGGACCACACGAAGGTTAGTTCCACCCAAGTCGATGGCCAGGTAGTCACCGGTTTCAGAACCGGTCGGATACTCCAAGACCCAAGTAGGGTTCATGGGGATACCGGTAGGATCTGTGCCGTCCGCGTTACCTCTCTCGAGTTCCTCGATAAAGTACTCAATGACCTTGTGAAGAGTCTCAGTTGGCACCCAAAACAGCTTCTGGTAGGTCTCGATCTCTTTGGCCAGATCTGCTGGCAGCGGTTTGTCGTCGACACTCATTAAAAATTAAAAACAATAAAGTGGTTTTATTTTCTGAACCCAAGATAAACAAACCTCTTTATATTCTACTCAGGTGGCCCGGAAAAATTCTTTAGGACAACGCACCACCCCTCGGCACACATTTCTCCAGCGGCCTCCACCTGACTCCACTTGCATCCACTATGAGCATATACTGGGGTATTACCGGGGTCATACTAATGCATTATACAACAATAGAAAAATCTCCAGATTTATTAAGATGTGCACCAGCCTCTGCTGAAAAAGAAAATCGACATTTTCTAGCAAACAATAGCGACTGGCTTTTCTCGTAAAAACCGAACACGTTTTTCCGTGGTCATGCAGGTGCGCCAAAAACAGACGGAAAAAGTCACCCATCTGATGTCATCTCACTCTCTCTTCACATACCCGCCGTCCACGCAGAGCCTGTAGAAGTACGAGTCGGGTTTTTGCAGCAACGTTTGCGGGTTGTCGAACTCCCGCACCTCTCCGCTATCCAGCACCAGCACCCGGTCGTTGTCCATGACCGAGTCCAGCCGATGCGCAATCGTCAGGATCGTGAGTGTCTTGAATTCCGACCGGATCGTTTGCTGAATAATTTTATCGGTTTGCGCGTCCACGCTCGAAGTGGCTTCGTCCAAAACGAGAATTTTGGCGCGGCTCGTTCTCTCGTCACGAGACTCCTGCGAACGCAATAACACGCGGGCCAGGCACATCAGCTGCCGCTGCCCCACGCTCAGGTTCATCCCGCTTTCGCTCAGCACGCAGTCGAGCCCCGACGCCACCTGCTGCTCTCTCGCCATCTTGGTCACGTGATCGGATAATCCGGATAGCTCGAGACTTCTCCACAGATGGGCGTCCGTGTGCTGCCCCAGCGGATCCAGGTTGTAGCGGACTGTGCCGTTGATGCACTGGGCGTCCTGCGGGATTATCGCAAGGTTGCTGCGCACGTCGTGCAGACTCAGCGTGCTGGTGTTGACGCCGTCCACCTCGATGTGGCCCTCGATCGGCTCGATGATCCGGAACAGCGACAGCATCAGCGACGATTTTCCCGACCCCGTGCGGCCCACGATTCCGATCTTCTCGCCTGCGCGGATCTTCAAATTGATATTTTTCAGCACCGGGTCCAGGTTGTCTCTGTAGCGGGTGGAGTAGTTTTTGAACTCGATGGCTCCCTCCGACGGCCAGTTTGGCGGCGGCCTTGCGGGATTTTCCAGTTTCTCTTCTGGCTCCAGTCTGCAGTACTCAAACACCCGCTCGCAGCAGACAATGTCCGACTCGATTTCCACCGACCGCTTAACAATAAAATTCAGCGAACTGGTGACTCGGAGCGCGTAGCTCATCACCAGACCGACCAGACCTGCGCTGAGCGGATGGCTGCTCTGCAGAGTCAGCAGGGCGAGCGTGGACGTGGAGAAGATCACCACAGAGCCGATGAACTGCAGTCTCGTCGACAGCCATCTGTTAACAGACTTCATGCAGTACGCAGACACCTGGTTCAGGTCGATGTTGGAGCAGTGTTGATGCACGAATTTTGACTCCTGGTCGTACGCCCGGATGGTCTCTGCGCCGGAGAGCGACTCCTGGATGTGAGCAAAAATCGGGCTCTTGGTGATGGAGACTATGCGTTTCAGATCGCGCGAAACAATGATGTAGAATTTCTGGTAGTACAGGTACACCACCGAGAGCGCACCAATGATGAGCAGGAACGGCGGCATTGTGGATCCAATGATCACGAGCGTGAATATCGTCTTGACGACAGAATTGAACACCGCAGCAAACACCCGTGGCAGCGCAGAGTCGATCTTCGACATGTCCTGGCTGAAGCGGTTGATGACTCTTCCCAGCGGCGTGGTTTCGAAGAACGACATCGGCGACGCCAGCACAGCGGTCGCCATGTCGTTGTGCAGTTTCTTCGACGCCCGGATCGAGCACCAGCTCCACATGGTCATGGCTCTGAAAAGCGTGAACAGACCAGAGCCAATTCCAAAAAGAGCGTACACGCCAACGTACATGCCGACGTGGTCGTTGGAGCCGGTCCTGCCATTCTGCTCTCCCCAGTGCTTCAGCCAGTAGTTGCCGCAGACACTCAGCCCAACGGTGATCACAATCAGACCACACACACTGAAAATTCCCGCGTAGCTGCACGCACGAGCATAGTTGCTGTATACGGACAGGCTCACGTGACCCTTCTCCTTCTTCTCTTCTTTCTGGGCCGTTCTGCGCTCGACTTTGGCTAACGGCTGCTTGCGGTCCAAAGACAACACGCTGGCCGCTCCGACAGATTTACGGGACGCCACCTTGACCAGGTCTGCGGGCTCGACCCCGGCGTACTCGAACCCGCCTTCCTCGATATCCCTTTCGATTTCTGCAACCGTCGACGCAGACGAGCTCCGTACGTAAGTGGAGTCCTCCTCTTCCGCGTTCTGGCCGAAGTCGGACACCAGCGTAAAGAGCTGGCCCTTGGCAGCCATCACCTCGTCGAAAGACCCGGACTCGGAGATCTCGTTGTTGGAAATCAGATATATTTTTTCTGCGCGACTCAGGACCTTAATGTTGTTGGTAGCCAGAATTTTGGCCTTCGTCGAGAGAATTCCATCTGGGCCCAAAACGTCGCGGATCAACTTCTGGCCAACGTGGACGTCGACGGCGCTCAGAATGTCGTCCAGCAAATACACGTCGGCCCGCATGTAGACCGCCCTCGCCAAAGCCAGCCGGGCTTTCTGTCCACCAGAGAGACTGATACCCTTCTCGCCAACAAGCGTCTCATCGCCGTCTGGCAGCATCTCGAGGTCAGGTTTCAGCTGGCACGCCTGTATGGTCTTTTCGTAGAAATCAGGTTCAAACTTGTGGCCGAACAGTATATTTTCCTTGACCGAAGTGTTCAAGATCCACGGAACCTGCGAGCAGTAGGCCACCGAGCCGTGGACTTCTATTTTCTGTTTCTTTTTGGGGTCCACAGGCAGCGAGCTAAGCTCTCCCAGAATGCACTGGAGAAACGTCGATTTTCCGGCTCCTACGCGCCCCACGATGCACGTCAGATGGCCCTTTTTCGCGGTGAAACTGACATTTTTCAGCGCAACTTTGCTCTCGTCAATATTCTGCTCCTCGTCGTAGTTGTCCTTGTACTTTTGGGGAATTTTGGACCACAAGAAGTTGCAGTTGTCTATCTCCACCGAAACCGCTCCCACGTTGGTTTGTTTTGGCAGTCTGGTGAACAGCTCGTTGTCTATCTCGTCGGCAAGCAGAAAGTCGGTCAATCGTTTGAGCGACACACCAGACTCAATCATTGCAGTCATGAGCGCCGGAATGGCGAAAATTGGGTCGGACAGAAGATCAAAGAGCGACAACGCCGGGAACACGATTTCTGGCGTGAGCGGCGTTTTGGAGGTGTACGCAAAAATTGCAAACGTGGAGCACGACACGAAGAATGGAACACAGGTCCAGGCAAAATTCACTACTGCCGAAAGAATACCAATTTTGTTCAGGTTGCGCAGCTCTCTCTCGTTTCTAGCCTCCGACAGTCTCTCCAGCATCGGCTTTTCCCAGGCGTACAGTTTGATCGACTTGACGTTCTGCAACAGCTCGGCAACCAGCGAGGTCCGCTGGTCTTTGAGAGTCATCTGCTCGCGGTGGAATTTCCGCAGACTTCGCACGAGAAACGTGTTGATCGGCATCATGATGGCCATGGTGCCGATTCCTGCCCATGTAGCATTGCCAAGCAGCGAGTGGAGCGACAGCAAACAGAGCACAAGCCTAGTCGGGGCACTAAATAGCGTCTGGACGTAGGAAGTCAGCTCTTGCAACCGCGTCACGTCCACCGACATCAGGTTGACGATATCACCGGTAGAGCGCTGAAGTCTGCTTTCTGGCGACAGTCTGATCGATTTGGAGTAGACCAGGTTCATCAGGCCGGCCTTGGTGCCCAGAGAGGCCTCGACGGTCTTTATGAAATACTGGTTGTACATCAGAGCCTCAAACAGCGACAGAAGAAACATCGCAACCGCCAGCGAGAACCCAATGATGATCGGCGGGTCGTCCGTCCTGCCAAAAAAACGAATCAGCTGTTTGAGCAGCTGCGGCTGGATAAGAGAGGTTATGCTGTCCGACATGTCGTAGAACAGCGAGATCATCACAGGGAAGCCGAACGAGCGAATCAATGCCATCAGCAGTGAGGGTTTGCTTTTGGACAGCTCCTTGCGCCATTGCTGCTCAAGCTTCGGAGCTGCGTATGCAGTTGTGACCAGAACTGGCGGCGGTGGCAGATCGCTGTGCTCCAGGCTTTTTTTCCGGTATCCGGTCATGATGAGGTCGTTCATCCACGTGAACGTCATGAGAGAAACAAGGTTCACCTGAGTTGTCTCAATGTTGTGGTCAATGCAGTAATTGACCAGCTCGTACGAAACGGGATATTTCCAGTACTCGGCCACCGTGATAGCCAGACTCAGAGCCACCATCAGGTCCAATAGACTGCCGCTGTTGACGAGCTTGTAAGAGCTGAATGTCTGCTGGAACGCCATCACACCCACAAACAAGGTCTGCAGCGGCCAAAAGAAGAGCAACGAGCCGGGCTGGACGACGAAACGGGCCGTCTCCACGCTATGGAGCGAAAACACTAAGCACAGCGTGATCAGATGCAGCGTGTACACAGTGGACTCGAAACTCGAGAAACTGAATTCATGGAACTCAAGCACGTAGACCACAGCAAAACCAGCAACCAGGCCCAGCTTGATCCGCTGGTATCGGGTCCATGCGCCCTTGCCAGTAGCTCTCCGAATGCCTCCAAACAGAAGCTGGCAGACACAGCAGAGCCCGAAAACCAACGAGAATACACACCACAGAAATGCAACAAAGCACCCGTTCAGCGCGCTCGAGGTTGGACTCGCCAGCGGAGTGCGAAAACACTGGTCCAGCGAACGATCCATAAAATGATTTTCGTAAAAAAAGTGAATCCTTGCACCATATTTTATAAAAGTCTCTAAATGAACGTCCTAAATAAGAAGTGTCACCATGAAAATGGCAATCAGGGTGGAGAAGCTGGACCGCAGATGGCTAGCACCGCTCTGGCAGTCGTCGTCGGTCACCTCGTAGTAGTCGTTGGAATTTTCATCCAGGAAAATGTTGCCCTCCCTGTACTCGAACTCGGCAGCACTGATAGGAACCTCCTTGCCGTCCTCGATGTCCTGGAGAACCTGCTGGATCAACTTCGACCTTCTGCGCGCCTGCCTCTTGTACTCTAAGCTAAGAGTCGAGTTCTCCGCCGTCTGTTGCTGGAACGCGAGCTCCTCTTTGCACTCCTCCTCGTTCTCAACACAGTACTGGTCAAGTTTCTCCAGCTGCTTGAAGGTTTCAACGTCTTTGCCGCCCTTGAAAGCGTTTCTGAACATCTCTGCAGCAGTGTTGTGCTTGAGGTATTCTTCAGTAGCGTCCAAGAACTTGTTCAGACGGCCCAGATTGCCGCTCTCCTTGTTGGAAGCCATGTCGGCGCTCAGCATCTTCATGGCCTCCGTGAAGTGGCCGTCAGAACATGTAGCAAGGAATCCAGCAAACTTTTCCTTGCCCATGGCCAGGTAGAAATCGATCATGTTCTTCACTTGGTCGACGTCCACCTCGTACACCAGCTGTCTGCCATCTTTATCGTAGCTCTGGTCCTCCTCGGCAACGGGCCCTTTGACAGGGACATTCACAGAAAAACTGGCTCCGGAGGCCTCAAGATCGCCGTCTTTGGCGTCCTCCTCTTGGTACTCTTCGGCGACGTACTCCTCGTCGTCTTCGTCGTAGTCCTCGGCTTCTGCGTCGTGGTCCTCGTAGTCTCTTTTCTCATAGTACGGAGCCGGCGCAAGCACCCGCTGGGCGTCAGAAAGGTGGGCTTGCAAAGCGTTGGTTTTGGCCCGATGCTGAACAGAAACAGCGTCTACAGTGGCCATCTGGAGCACCTGTGCTCCCAAAACGTAGAGGGTCCAGAACTTGCTGGAACTGAGCGAGCTGATTCTAACCATCGGTTGTGTGTAGTGACTTTATATGCAAGCATCTCCAGCGGGACGTTCGGGCTATTTATCCTGTTCCTAGCCGCCGGTAAGCCTAGTGCTACCGTCCAGCCGCCAGAAACTGTACCATCCGGGCTGTGCAAATCCAAACTCTCAGTTGACAGTTTTAAATAATACGCAACCTGGCTGTGTTTATTTTCCGCATATCGTCTCGCCATGGCTAGCTCCAACGATCTGCGGCAGCTTATACGGAATTCGTACGAGTGCATGCGGAAGATTATGGAGCTGGACACGCAGTCGACGCTGACCAACTTCAATGTAATGGAGACGCTCAACAACTCGGCGATCCTCCGGTACAGAGAACTGGAGCCTTATCTGGACAGTCTGGAGTCTGAGACGTCCAAAATCCGGACGCTGGACCAGGAACTGGCTAAAAATCAGCCGAGGTTAGAACAGCTAGAAGAGCGCACGAAAAAGCTCGCCATGCTGGTGGAGCAGATGGACGAATGGTCTGCGGAGTTGGAGGTCAAAAGCCGGCGTTACACGCCAAAGTGAGGTGTCCTTCAAATTGCTCAAAACGTCTCCATGTGAAAAACCACATGCAAATTTTCGCCCATGCGCGGGGAGTCTTTGTACCAGGATATATTATCTCATGCCCAGAATTTCCTAATTTATGCTACGATAAGTTTTCATATGCTTCTCCACAGGCTATCGTCAAACCGACGCGTCGTTCAACAAAAAAAAGAAAACTTTTTCGATGCTGTAAATATATTAGCATCTGATTATCAGCTACCCCAGTCTTTTGTACAAGTGCTGTCAGCCGTTAAAAGGTAGTACTGAATCCTCGGGTTCTTACAATCCAAGCTATTTATTCATGTCGGACAATGCTCAGAATTTGCGGGCCAGACCGCTAAAAATTGGCGAGCTGATAGACAAGGGAGACGATTCAGAGGATCCAAATGCTGCAGAGCTTCTGATGGCAGCACAGGCGCTGGGCGAGCTGAAAAGCAGGTCTGAGCCACCCAAATCCACGATCCTCGACAAAGTCACTTCTCATCCCCTCATATCCAGCTCTATCAATTACATGCTGGAAAAGACGATCAACACTTCAAGCAATATTGTTCTCTTGAACGAAGAAAAATCCAAACGTGCTCGAAATGACCAGCAGACAGAGTCTGTTGGACCCGACATGAAGGAGATATCTGAGCAGATCCCGCCCAAGCGGCCGAAGCTGGAGAAGACAAGCTCTGGATCTCAGCTCAACAACCGCTTGCCGCCTCCATCACAACCGCCTCGATTCGCCCGCCTCAATTCGTCTCTACGTCAGCAGGTTACCATATCATCAGCCATATCCACCCAGAGAAGTCTTCAGGATCTCACTGAGCTCAGTGTTTTGAATCTCAATATTGAAAGTCGCCGTAGGCTCACCATGCTGATCAATTTTTTGAAGATCGGAAACACGCAACTCAGCGAACGCATCGAAAATCTCATCAACGTGCTGGCGAATGAACACACCGTGAACCAATCTCGCTCTTCCAGCCCTGACAGTTTTCGCGGTGGTGCATCGACGCTTTCTCTGCCGTCGCTAGCCTCCGTGAGCAGTGCCACGTCTCTGGCTAGTCTTCCAAATTCCGACGAAACGCCAATTTTGAGCCCAGAAGCAGAAATCCCTGTCCAGCAGCTCAAAAACGAAATAGTGGGCACTGTCAAGAAGATAGTGAACGTCGTCTCGAAAGTGTCTGCAAATTCGCTTCCAGAGCCCGCCCGCTCGAACGTCCGTGAAATGCTACTGAAATTACCAACTAATTGGGCTATGTCACTGGAGCAGAACATGTCGGAGCCTGAAGATGAGGACTCAGACGACGAAACAAAGACGATATATGAAGATTCAGTGGAGTACCCGGACCAGACTGCTGAATCGCAGAAACGCAAGTCCAGGTCGTTGGCCCAGCAGCTGCTGGCCAACTTGTTCAAGTACAGAAATAAAAGACAGAAGAACGCTGTGCAGCCGAACACCTGGTTCAAGAAATCCATCCGCGACCAGATCCTGAGCGATCGGAATGGCAAGGTGCTAATCCTGGCTCAGGAGTCGCTTGACATGATCAACAAAATTATCAAGTTCTGCAATGAAAACCTCGATAAGGCAGAAACGTGGAATATCTCGAAGCAGACCCAGCAGGCTGCCCATTTAATGAACAAACTACAAAACATCACGTACGTGACGCCCGTGTCGAGCCGTGAGGCGGTCTCGGACTCCTCGGATACGCAGAAGGATTCCCAGGACGGCGACACTATAGTGGTCCGCGAGGATTCACCATCCAAATTATGATTTTGTACATCTGTACACCACTAACCTCATTTGTAAGAAAAATACCCCAAACAAAAAATGTAAGTTGTAAAGTAATGAAGAGCAACGACTCGGTTGAAAAAGATTTGTTGCGGTTCAAGCTTGCGGTTCTGAATTCGCCCGGATTCACCGCTAAGGACCTGGTGGTTGGCGGGCTAGATGGCGACGCCAGCGTGTTTTCCAACAGGGGCAACAAACTCCTGTACAACTCCGATGGTGTGGACTATACCAATCTGAACTCCTACAGGGACGACCTCAAACTGGTCAAAATAGAGGAAACTGACCCCGAAACCGGCGAGAGACGGCCACGGTATGTAATACGACGCAAAGACCAGACCGTGGAGGAGATAATACAACGCGAACTGGACGACGAATTTGGCATAGTGGACGAGGACGATGAGTACAAGCAGGACTACGACTCAGTACAAGGACTATTCGACTCTGTGGATGTCGCGGAAATACTGGCGCCGATCACACATCCGACGAACATTGTTGAGCGCAAGACACTAGAGAGAATATACAAGAGCAGGCATTTGGAAGATCTCGCCGAGCAGACTATAGAGCTGATAGAGAAGGAGCAAGACAACGTGATTCAGCTGAGCAAGCTGATGAGTGTGTTTCTGGGAGACTGTCCGGAGGATTTACTGGCAGACAATTTGAAGCTCCCGAACTACGACCACAACCTAGACCTGGAGAAGCAGATAGCCCGCAGCGACGAGAATGGAACGAATAGGGACATGGACGCCACACAGGAAGAGGACGATGACGAAGGCCAGAACGGAAACGAGTCGGCACAGGATTCCAGAAAGATAAACGAGCGTATCAAGGATCCTTTCTTCAAGCTTCCGGAATACAAACGTGACCCGAACTTTGGGATCCGCAAGGCGGAGGATGCAGAGGAGTCTCGACAACTGATCCAGATAGCGCTGCAGCGGAACGAGGAATTTATCAGATCGCTAACCACCATTCGCAACGGCTTTATCAGAGCAGACCGCGTGAAAAATAATATATATAAGTGGAGCAAGGAGATGGCCGAGGAAAATTACGACAAGAGCGAAGAAAGTGAATAGTATATAATACACATTAAGTCAGTTCCAGTACTTGTTTGAAACTGCTAGGGGTTGGTAGCTTGCCCCCAAAGAAAGGCACCACTGCCTGTTGCACAATGCCGTCAAAGAGCTCGTGGATCAGTCCTTTGAGACCATCTCCTGTTTGCTTAAAGTCTGGATACGAGTTCACCTCGAGCAACGACACGTTGAGGTTTTCGTCCACCACAAAATCGATACCGAATGTCTCGAAGCAGTTTGACAGAGGCTGGAAATTAATTTTGTCGTTGGAGGCAGCTCGAAATAGCTCTCCAACTATTGAGTTGATAGACTCCCGGATATGATTTTGCGAGGGTCCTGGAAGCACGCTCTTGCCCAGTTCGACCACAACCAGCTTGTCGGTGTCGCCTTGCAAGCACGTGTTGGTAAGATGGCCATCAATAGTGTCAAAATTCCTGTGATACGGCTTGTCGCTAAACAGCATCAGCATCCGCTGGTAAACAAGCACCCGGAGATCACCCACACAGAGCACGTAAGTGCGGATGTGAAACTTTCTGTTTTCGTACTCTGGCAGCAGCAGTGGGCTGGCAATATACTCCTGGACAATGAAATGGCGCAGCTGGGACGTGATCACGGCATTTTCGTCTCCATTTTCCTCAGACTCTTCAAACGAATCAAAGATATTTTGCAGCTGGTCGATCGTCTGAAAGATCCTGATGCCCTGGCCCTTGTCGCTCATGCTCGGTTTCAAAATATACGTTTTGGCGAGCGTTTGCTCGTTCTGCTCCAAATCCTGGCGCAGCTCGTAGCTTTCGTCCAGAGAGTCGTCCAAAAATTCGGCGTAGTCTAGCTCCAGCTGGTACGTTTCAGGAAAAGCCTTTTTCAGTATGGTAGTTGGGTTTTTCGAAGCGTACATTGCAATCGTATTAGCCAAATAGTGCTTCCGAATCAGACCCTTCCTATAAATGTAGGAGTTGGCCATATAGTTCTTGTCACTCATCATTCTCGCATGGTCCAAATCCTCGTACTCTGCAAACACAAACGTCTTTCCCGAAACCCTGCTTTCCAAGTACTTGTCCAGAGCTTGTTTTAGAGGCTCGAAAAGATACGCATCGGCTGGATAGCCAATGAAAACAGAATCGGAGCTACTTTTCAGAGAATTTCTATACGTTAGAAGAGAACTCTGTCCAACTTACTCAATGCTCAGCTCTCCAGAGTTGAGATCGTCGATCTCTTTGAATGCAGCCTTTAGAGCTGTGACCGAAATAAGTCCCTGAGCCACGGCTCTAGTGTCATTCAGAACACTCTCGTCCCCGAGATTCTTGTGCACAGAGTCAAAGTCTGGAGTCCACTTGAACGTTCTTCCGTGGGTAACGCTCTGGTCCACAATATCTGAGGCCGGCTGCTCATGACTCTCGGATTCGGCGGTGTACAAAGACCTCCTCCACTTGTTATCAAGGGTTGGGGCCATCACACACTTGGTTTCGCCGAGCTTCAGGCCCGTTTTGAGCGGAATGTTGACGGTGTACAAATCAACACGGGCGTCCCACACGGAAAGAAGCTTCTCAATGAGCTTGACGGAAATCAGTGACGCTTCGGCCAGAACTTTAGGGTCGTTAAAAAAATTGGCTTCGAAAGCGTAAGACACAGCAACGGCCCTCTTACCGTGCTGCACAGCCTCCATCGCTCCTCCAATGGTTCCGCTGGACAAAGAGTACAGCGCAGAGCAGTTTCTTCCAACGTTCGGCCCGCTGATCACAAGATCGACCGGCTTCTTGGCAATATGGTTGATTCCAATGTCTGCGCACGTGGCAGGGGTTCCGTCCAGAAGACACCACTCTTTCATCTTTGGGTCCTTGGCAAAATCGGCATTAGCGTGGGCAAACGGTCCATGGAAAGAATTGTCCGCAGGCTGGTCAATCGCCGAGTAGATATAGGAGGCAGAGACGTCTTTGCCAGCCAAGTGAGCCTTTCCGATCCAGGACTTCTGGGAGGCGGGCACGCAGATGGTCAGCTCCCAGTTGGTGTACTTCTGAATAGCCTCCACGAGGAACTTGATGTACGGACTTGCGGTCTCGTGTGGAGCACCGTCGTCGTTGGTCAGAAGAACGTGCATTTTTTTCACGATAAATTATTTCAGGAATGAAATTCCGCGCATGGGATCTTTAAGTGCTAGCCGCATTTATATTATAGTGCGCAGGGGCGGACGTCTGTCTACCATTCCAAATGCGATCACTGTTTTGCTTTCTGGGTTTGTGATGACTGTTCCACTCCATGAGTGTGAACCCACGGTTTTCGGATGCAGCTAGACACAAAATCAAGAGATGGATAACTGGTGCTCCACATTGTAATCTTACTTTGCACGAGTGACTCAAAGCTCGTTGCCGTGGGAATGGCAAGCGTTATTCCAGACCTATTCCTCGCTTCACACGATAAGGCAGACTACTGTCCTACAAACACTCCTATTAAGGGTAATTTTCCCATCGACTAACTTATCTAGTGAGTTTCATTAAAGATCGGTTCCGATGACTATTAGGCAACTAAGCTTATACCACGCGCTCTTTTGGCAAAATGTCAATCAGCAAGTCATCCGGACTCAGTTTCAGGTGCGACTTCTTGTATTCTCTAAGCAGATCAAAGTACTTGTCGAACAGGTAAGACGAATCCAATGGACCTCCCTTGGCCTCTGGGTGGAATTGGGTCGAGAAAATCGGTCTGGTCTTGTGGATCATTCCCTCGTTCGACAGATCGTTCAGGTTGATGAAGTACTCTTGGAAGTCCGGGTGCAGGGTCTTGGCATCAACGGCGTATCCGTGGTTCTGGGAGGTGATGTGACACTTGCCCGAGAGCAGGTCCAGAGCCGGGATGTTGTGAGCTCTATTTCCGTACTTCAGCTTCACAGTCTTGGCTCCAGAGGCCAACGCGAGCAGCTGGTGTCCAAGACAGATGCCGAAGATCGGCAGATCTGGGAACCTTTCCATGGTCTCTTTCAGATTCTCAACGGTGGCAGAGCAGTGTGTAGGATCGCCAGGTCCGTTCGAGATGAAAACACCGTCAAACTTGTCGGCGCTCTTTTGGATCGGATAGTTGTAGGGCAGCACAGTGATAGAGGCGCCGCGGGACACCAGGGAGCGCAGGATGTTTTCCTTGACACCGCAGTCCAGCACAGCAACATGGTACTTGGCGTTAGGCGACGGGACGTGGAAAGGAGCTTTGGTGGTCACTTTGTGGACCAGGTTCACGGAGCTCGGATCGTCAAAAGCGGCGTCTTCGTCAGCATCGTACGTCTCGCCGATGCTTAGCTTGGCCAGACTGGAGCCTTGCTCTCTCAGATAGGTCACCAATTCTCTGGTGTCAACGCCAGTGATGGCAGCAACGCCCTCACGTTTACACCATTGGCTCAGACTCTCGACGGCCGTCCAATGAGAGTACTGCAGAGCCACGTCGCTGACGACAATACCGATACATTGGATATGTGGCGACTCGAAATACTTTAGCAGGTTGTACTCGTCTCTAGCAGTGCCCGAAGGAACACCGTAGTTGCCAATCAGCGGCTGCGTAAACACAAGAATCTGGCCTCTATAGGAAGGATCTGTCATGGACTCGGGATATCCCACAAGAGAGGTGGTGAACACCGCCTCTCCGCTGACGTTCTTGTCCGCCCCAAAAGAGTAGCCGTTGAAGATCGGTCCGTCTCTGATGGTCAGAGTTGCTCTGTCTAAGTTCCTGGTCGACGATAGCCGGATAGAATTCCATCTGGTGGCCGGGAGAGCCAACTTGGTGAGGCTTCTAAACATGGTGAGTCAGTTTACTCGATACAGATCGTGAAAATTTTTTGTACAATTACCGCGTTACCCTTTTCAGACAACCACATCATTTGGTGTCGTCTGTTACCCTGCCTAACAACTTTTTCCTCGTCCCAGCCAAATTTTTCAACATTTTCTTCAAATTTTTCATCTTCATTTATTTCCATTTCGTCATGTCCCACAGAAAGTTCGAACAGCCAAGACACGGTTCCCTGGGTTTCCTCCCAAGAAAGAGAGCTGTCAAGCAAAGAGGTAGATGCAAGGCTTTCCCTAAGGATGTTAAGTCTAAGCCAGTTGCTTTGACTGCCTTCCTTGGTTACAAGGCTGGTATGACCACCATCGTTAGAGACCTGGACAGACCAGGTTCTAAGATGCACAAGAGAGAGATTGTCGAGGCCGCTACCGTCGTTGACACTCCGGAACTGGTTGTTGTCGGTGTTGTCGGTTACGTCGAGACCCCAAGAGGTCTGAGATCCTTGACAACTGTCTGGGCTGAGCACCTTTCTGACGAGGTCAAGAGAAGATTCTACAAGAACTGGTACAAGTCTAAGAAGAGAGCCTTCACCAAGTACTCTGAGAAGTACGCTAACAGCGCTGCAGAGATCGAGAAGGAGCTTGCTAGAATCAAGAAGTACTGTTCCGTCGTTAGAGTTCTTGTCCACACCCAGATCAGAAAGACTCCACTGACCCAAAAGAAGGCTCACTTGGCTGAGATCCAGGTGAACGGTGGTTCTGTTTCCGAGAAGGTCGACTGGGCCAAGGAGCACTTCGAGAAGACCGTTTCCGTGGACTCCGTCTTCGAGCAAAACGAGATGATCGACGTCATTGCTGTCACCAAGGGTCACGGTTTCGAGGGTGTCACCCACAGATGGGGAACCAAGAAGCTGCCAAGAAAGACCCACAGAGGTACCAGAAAGGTGGCCTGTATCGGTGCTTGGCATCCATCCCACGTTATGTGGACTGTTGCCAGAGCTGGTCAAAGAGGATACCACCACAGAACCTCTATCAACCACAAGATCTACAGAATCGGTAAGGCTGGAGATGAGGCTTCCGGTTCTACTGAGTTCGACAGAACCAAGAAGACCATTACCCCAATGGGTGGCTTTGTCAGATACGGTGCCGTCAACAACGACTTTGTTCTGTTGAAGGGATCCATCCCAGGCCCAGTCAAGAGAGTCATCACCTTGAGAAAGTCTCTCTACGGCCCAACCAACAGAAGAGCCTTGGAGCAGGTCAACCTCAAGTGGATCGATACTGCCTCCAAGTTCGGTAAGGGTAGATTCCAGACCCCAGCTGAGAAGCACGCCTTCATGGGTACTCTCAAGAAGGACCTTGAGAAATAGATATATAATTAGCTATATCCCTATTTTTCACCTAATTAGTAAGCCGGGTAACTAAATTTGCCCCCTTGGTGAAAATTTTTTTTCACTAGTAGAAAAGCAACGTGAAGCGAGGATAAAAGGGTTAGGGTTCCCACAAGATTATTTCTTTATAGATAGTGGATTATTAAAAGATGTCATACGTCCCGCCACACAGATCAAGAGGAGATTACGTTCCAAAAGACACAGGGGAATCGTCTGGTAGAGGCGGATTCTCCAGCAGAGGCGGATTTGCCAGCAGAGGAGGTTTCAACAAGGGTTTTGGAGGATCAAGCAGAGGCTTTGGAGGAGGGTCAGGTTTCGGCAGAGGCAATGGATTTTCCAGAGGCGGTGGATTTGGTAGAGGTTCCAGAGCCCAGCCGGGTCAAGGTTCCTGGGTTAATGGTGCTCACAAGCCAGCTGAGCGTAACGAGAGACTCGAGCTAGAGCTCTACGGTAAGCCAGGAGATGGACAGACCCAGTCTTCTGGTATTAACTTTGACAACTACGATGAGATCCCAGTTGAGGCATCAGGTGATGACGTGCCTGAGCCAATTTCTGAGTTCACTTCGCCTCCGTTGGATCCTTTGCTCGTGGAAAATATCAAGCAAGCTAGATTTACTAAGCCAACTCCAGTCCAGAAATATTCGATTCCAATCGTTGCTAATGGTAGAGATTTGATGGCCTGTGCCCAAACTGGTTCGGGTAAGACCGGTGGATTCCTGTTCCCAGTCTTGTCTGAATCCTTCAAAAACGGACCCTCTGAATCTTCCCAAACTGACAACGCGTTCGACAGAAGAAAGGCACATCCTACTGCATTGGTTCTTGCGCCAACTAGAGAGTTGGTTTCTCAAATCTATGAGGAAGCCAGAAAGTTCTCCTACAGATCCTGGGTCAGACCAGTTGTCGTGTATGGAGGTGCTGAGGTTTACCTTCAAATGGACCAACTCAAACAGGGTTGCGATCTCTTGGTCGCCACCCCAGGAAGATTGAACGACCTTCTAGAGAGAGGCAAGATCTCGCTGAAGAACATCAAGTACCTTGTTCTGGACGAGGCCGACAGAATGTTGGATATGGGTTTCGAGATTCAAATCAGACACATCATCCAGGGTTGCGACATGCCGCCACCAGGTGAGAGACAAACGTTAATGTTCTCTGCAACGTTCCCTAAGGAAATTCAATTGATGGCCAAGGACTTTTTGCACAACTACATCTTTTTGTCGGTGGGAAGAGTCGGATCGACCTCCGAGAACATTACTCAAAGAATACTATACGTTGAAGATGACGAGAAGAAGTCCAGCCTTTTGGATATTCTCACGTCCACCGAAGACACGCTGAGCAATGGACTTACGCTGATCTTTGTTGAAACCAAGAAGATGGCTGACATTCTGTCCGACTTTTTGATTAACCAAGACTTCCCAGCTACATCCATTCATGGTGACAGATCTCAATACGAAAGAGAGAGAGCGCTGGAAAGTTTCAGAACCGGTAGAACGCCAATTCTAGTTGCCACCGCTGTTGCGGCTAGAGGCCTGGATATTCCTAACGTGACTCATGTGGTTAACTATGATCTTCCAAATGATATTGACGACTACGTCCACCGTATCGGAAGAACAGGAAGAGCCGGAAATACTGGTGTTGCCACTGCGTTTGTCAACAGAGGAAACAAGAACGTCGTGAAGGACTTGATTGAAATTCTTACCGAAGCCAACCAAGAAGTTCCAGACTTTTTGACTGTCATTGCAAGAGAGAATTCTGTTGGCAGAGGCCGCGGAAGAGGAGGCAAGACCCAGAACAGGGATTACAGAAAGTACGGAGGCAACTCTGGAGGATACGGAAACGGCTATGGTGGTAGTAGATCGGGCTATGGAGGAGGAGGATACAGCAGTTATGGAAACGGTGGAGGATTCAACAGTTTTGGTAACTCCGCCGCATCAGCATCGTCGTCATCATCCCAATGGTGGTAGTTTTATAATGGAGGAAAGAGAGAGAAGCAGGAGATAAAAGGAAAAAAAGACAAGGGGAAGAAAAAACACAAGTGTATCTGAACTTATTGATTCGATCGCTTTTGGAAGGAATATAAAGATTGAGAAATAGACGAGAGTAAAGGACGACTTCAGTTCTTATTCACCATTCCTCTGAGCGAGAAAGTTTGATATACTATTCATTTGTGCGCTGGACCGATTTATGATCTTTGACATGTTGTTCGTGATCATTGTACATTCAATTCAATTATTAGCATTTTGTCATTGTTTGATTTTATATGATAGAAATGTTTTCTGGTGCACCTAATGATTAACGGTTTTACAGTTTGGGTTTCTGCCTTATTTATACCTCCCTGTATATTGCTAATAAGTTAGTTTATGTTTGTTCCAAGGCAGTGTAATAATTTTCCTCGGGGATATACCCCTGTTTTATGTAAGTATGCAATATTTGATTTCTTGCATCTGTACCTTTGACCTGACTTGCAGTTTTTTTTAGCAAAGTTCACGGATGTTGCCTTCTTTCGGCAAATCAAAGAAACATGGCAAGCCCAGGCTCTCCAGACGCGTGTCTGATGAGCATCGTCAGTATACTGGCACCACCGTAAATAAAATACCCATATTGGAAGATGACGAGAACGACGATGCTGATTTTGGGCCGCGGTTTCCTACCTTCAATGGCCCGTCTGTTGATTCTCCTGCCGCACTTTCTCCAGGGTCGGCAGATCATGGGACTGATGACCTCAGAAAAGAGATAGACGACGATTTTGACGACGAATTCTACAGAGACGAGTACGACGTGAGCTCGCCCACTCCTGCGCCAAAAAGCAAGCCTGCGCCAGCGATCGAGGTCGACGAAGAGTCCTCTGAGGACGTTTCCACGGAGGAGGCCGACGACGCGCACTCTAACGACAACGGTTCAGCTGGTAGCGTGCATTCTAACGTGTCTAAAGACTCTTTCAAGACACGGCTCAAACGGCATTTCACAACCAACAGAGGCGAGAGACCTCCAGACGAGGGGTCTCCCCGCAAGAAGCGGAGCGAGACCATAGTTTCGCGCATTTTTGGACACGCGCCTCAAATGGGTGGCCTAACGCCCGGAGCAAGCAAATCGTCTCAAGAACGCAATCCCGACGAAGAGGAAAAAATCGAGAACGACATACCTCTCAAAACTTTCGACGCAGATCAGCTGCAGTTTGAGGCCAACGGGCTGGTCGACCAGCATTTCAAAGAGGCTAATGCTGGATATCTATCGTCTGCCTCGACCCTGCATCCGAATTCCAGCAGCCTATTTATGGCCCCAAATCCTGAGGCCACCGGAGACGATTTCGACGACCTCAATAACGACGACTACGTCCAGTTCGACTCCGTTGAGTCGTTAGTAGACCGTCCGAAAAGGGTGAGGAAAGGCGTGGTCTCGAGTCTTCTGGCACTGTACAATCCACAGAACCAACCGCACTACTCTGCATCTGAAAATTCGGGCACTCAGACTCCCGGGAGCGACTACTCGGAATTCGAGACGGCCATGAGTCCCGAGGCTCTGGACAACAAACTGCGGCTTATTTCGACCAACAACAGCTACAACATAGACAACGCGTCGCTCAACTCTGTGCCGGAGGTGGGCGCCAGACGGGCCAGATCGAGAGATCCGCCCATCTACAAGCACAAAAAGAGATCGAGATCGGCCTCGTCTCTGAGCCACATGTTCAAGACCAATAAGAAGGAGGAGCCCAAAATCAAGCCGAGACCAGAACACAAGTTTGAGCTGCCCTCGTTCGCCAAACCGAAAAACGCAGACAAAAAGCACCCCAAGTTCATTCCGCGGTTTGACGAGACGTCCAAGTCGAACAGACGCAAGAAGATTAGACGCAAGTTCAAGAGCGAGCAAAGGGCTCGCATCACCGTGCACATTGCCGACGTGCTGCAGCGCCAGCGGTTCATTCTCACCTTGTGCAAGGCGTTCATGTTTTACGGAGCGCCCACCCATAGACTGGAGGAGTATATGTCGATGACAGCCCGTGTTCTGGAAATTGACGGTTCGTTTATCTACTTTCCGGGGTGCATGATTGTTTCGTTTGGCGACGCTGCTACTCACACCTCGAACATGAAACTGGTGCGGTGTGCTCAGGGTCTGGACCTAGGGAAGCTCGATGAGACTCACGACATCTACAAAGCCGTTGTCCACGACCGGATCGGTGTGGAGGAGGCCAGCGGGAGGCTGGACGAGATTTTGTCGCGCAAGCCGCGCTTCAACCACTGGTACTGCGTGCTCTTGTACGGTTTTTCGTCGGCTATGGTCACGCCGTGGGGGTTTGGCGGTAACTGGATCGACATGCCGATCTCGTTTGGAATCGGGCTGGTGATCGGGTTTCTCCAGTTCATCATTTCTCCGCGGTCTGTTCTGTACTCCTCGGTGTTTGAGATCAGCTCCTGTGTGGTGGCCAGCTTCATTGGCCGGGCCATTGGCTCGGTCAACGGCGGCAACACGTTCTGTTTTGCTGCAATTGTGCAGGGCTCGATCGCGCTCATTTTGCCCGGCTATATTATTCTGTGCGGGTCGCTCGAGCTGCAGAGCAGAAATCTGGTGGCTGGAAGCGTGCGTATGTTTTACGCATTTATTTATTCGTTGATGCTCTCCTTTGGAATCACACTAGGCGCCGCGTTGTACGGATGGATCGACCACAGCGCCACGTCGTCAACAACGTGCACCTCAAATGTGCCTGCTGCCTGGAGAATCCTGCTGGTGCCGATGTTCACCATCGGCCTTGCGCTCATTAACCAGTCGTCATGGTCACAGCTGCCGGTGATGATCGCCATTTCGGGCGCTGGGTACGTCGTCACATACTACTCGAGCTTGCACTTCAAGCTGAACACAGAGTTCAACGCTACACTGGGCTGCTTCGTGATCGGACTGGTCAGCAACGCGTACACGAGACTGCTCAAGTCGTTCAACAAGGTCTTCTCCAAAGGATCGTTCATGACCGTCTCGATCATGCTTCCGGCTGTCTTCGTCCAGGTGCCGTCTGGTATCGCGTCGCAAGGCTCGTTGTTGATCGGAGTGCAGAGCGCGGACAACCTGGTCAACAACAAGACGTCTACGTCGAGCGGCAACTCGCTCTCGAGCTTGAGTTTCGGAATGGCCATGATCCAGGTTGCTCTGGGCATTAGCGTGGGCCTGTTCATGGCCACGCTCGTGGTGTATCCACTGGGCAAGAAACGGACAGGACTATTTACTCTGTAGAAAAATAAATGTTACCCTCCTTCGATAGCTTCACCAACCAAGATTTCTTTGAAGTATTAGGGAGCTTCTTCCAAAAAGACACCACCTACAAGAATGCCTAGCCCAGCTGAACTTCTTGCGCAGAAGCACAGTGCCGTTTCCGAAGACCCCGAGAGTCCGCCTATTTCTGCCACCGAGTCGTGCGCTCCGTCGTCGGACGCCTCCGAGCCCACCACGTACGATTTGGACGTCGAGGTTGGTCCCGCATCGGGCCTGGACAAAAAGGTGTCAATTGATGACGAGACGTATTTCCCCACTCTGGGGGTATCGATCGGGTCCGCCCCTGCCAAGTGGGGTCCGTCGATGTCCAATGGACGTGCCGTTTCGGCAAACACCCCGGCCATCTTCAAGCCCGCGGTCAGGTCGTCCAACACCCAGCTCACGTTCATAGTGGACGCTGCCGAACAGCTGCCTGTGTCGAAGAATGATCTCTTCAAGATCATCTCCAAAATCAAGGCCACCTACGACGTCAAGGTCGAGTCGACGTTTTCTGCCACCACCAACAAAAGAACTTTTCTGCTTAGCGGCCCGGTGTCGAAAATCCAGAATGCGAAAAAAGACCTTATCAAACAGCTCACGAAGCCTGTGAAAATCGAGTTTGGCATTCCGTTCAAGCTCATATCCACAGTGATTGGCTCGCAGGGCAGAACGTTGAAGCCGATCCTGGAATCCACCGGCGTCAAGATCGATATTGAAAGAACCGGCAGCAGCGACGCAGCAGACGACGGCGACATCTTTGCCAACCTCGCAAAGGTTGTCGTTGAGGGAGATATGGAGAGCTGCGAGGAAGCTAGACAGAAGATCATGTCTATAGTCGACCAACATACCCAGACCCTCACTGTCAAGGTGGACGTTGACGAGAAACTCAAGCGGTTTGTTAATTTGGAGCTTAAGAACCAGCTGCCTCCCGACGTCGAGGTTGACCTGCCGCTGGAAAACTCGAGGGCCTCATCCATCTACCTCTCCGGTGCCCGAGAGACTGTGTTGATGGCCCGAGAGACTGCTAAAACGGTCATCGACTACCTGGCCGAACGCATTGTTGTCGAGGAGCGCACAGTGCCCAAGGTGGCCCATCAGTTTCTTGACGCAGAAAAGATTTTCAGCAGCGTGGGAGTCTTGGTCGAGGTTCCAGCTTTCGATTCTCCTTCAACGACGGTGAAGTTCATTGGTCTGAAAGAAAACATCCCTAAGGCCGTGGCGTTGGGGAAGGAGCTTTCCCAGGAGTACGCCACTGATTTCCTGGATCTTGCTAGGTCTCACGGAGGAAATTACATGCATGCGAAAGTGCTTACTGCATTCTTCCTTTACACCGGGATGTTTGACGCACTTTCGGCTAAGTACAATGTGAAGATCACTGCCCCAAGCTACAAGTCTCTGGTTGATGAGCAAACAAAGACGGTTGTCCTGGAGTTCATTTGCTCGAAATCGGAGAAGGATGCTTTGAAGTCTACTAGAAGGGAGATAGTGGACGCTGTCAACAAGATCACTCCCTCCTTTGTGCGGCTGATCGACGACATTGACACTATAGCTCTCGACAAGCTGGATGAAACCGTTGCCGACGAAAAGAGCGTCAAGATTGTTCCTCTGGGAAAGCTTGCCGGAGTTGGCAACAAGATAGTTCTCCTCTACCAGGCAAGTGATGATGAGTTCCTTCCATCATTGAAAGAGACCAATGAAATTCTGGATGCTGTTGATCGATCCCTGGACGAGCTCAGAGCTGTCAGCAGAGACATTACGTACGAAGTCCTGGACATGCAGTCCGAAGATCAGGACAGATTGCAGGGACACATTTTGAAGGTTTTGCTGTCTAAATTCGGCTCAGATATACAGATCAGACTCCACCAGAACAAGGACGGTGTGAGTGTCGACCAACTGGTGGTGGTTGGGCATAAAAAGGACGTTCCAAAGGTGATCGGCGAATTGGAACAAGCTATTGAGGATGTCAAAAATTACGAGACAGCCTCCAAATACAGCCAAACTTTGGCATTCCCTACCAGCCAGCTCTCGAGACTCATTGGGCACAAAGGTGGAAACCTTCAGAGCTTGCAAGAAGAGTACAACGTGCAAATAGATGTTCAGAAGGGCGAGGATGCCACCGTTGGCGACAAGACGCTCGTCAAGCTCACAGGGCTGAAAGTCAACGTTGAAGAGTGCGAGAAGAAACTCACGCAGCTCGGCAAGAAGTGGGCGGATGAGAGAACTGTGGTGATGAAGATCGAACAAAAGTACCATCGCAAGCTGATAGGGCCTTCTGGAGTGTATGTGCATCGGTTGAATGAGAAGTACAACGTTGTGATCAAATTCCCGTTCGAAGATGCCACCGGCCATCAGGATGAAGTTGTAATCAAGGGACCTTCGAAAGGTGTTGCGAAGGCTGAAGAAGAGCTAAGAGAGCTGCTTCAGTACGAGAAAGATAATGGATACAGAGAAACGATCAAGGTGCCAATAGCCATTCTCCCCCGTGTGATAGGAAAGTCCGGAGAACAAGTCAAGGACATTTCTGCAGACACTGGCGTGGACATCAAACACCTGAGGGAGAAAAGTGACGGCGAGAGCGCGCAATTAGAGCTGACAGGTACCAAGGAAGGTATCAGAGCTGCAATCAAGAAGATCAACTCTATTGTTGATCGTATTCAAAACAACGTGACCGAGTCTATTGACGTCGACACGAAATGGCACAAGTATTTGGTGGGGCCATCTGCTTCGAAGAAGCGTGAGATAATCCTGAACGCATGTGGTCCGAACGACGAGGCCGACTTTCGAAGATTGCTACAAGTTCCTCCTGCCGGCTCCAATTCGACTAAGATCGTGTCGCAGGGCAACAAGGCAGTCGTGGAGAAGATCCTCAAACAGGTGAAGCAGATAGTCTTTGACCTGGAGAACGTTGTGGACGAGACGGTGCTGATTCCAAAGAAAAAGCACGTACTTTTAATTGGCTCTGCCGGAATGGTCAGAAGAGGTTTGGAGGCAGAGTACCATGTCCGGATCGACATTCCAAAAATCAACCAGGAGTCTGACGAAGTGCATGTTCACGGCTCTCCTGAGAACGTCGAGAAGGCTAAGGCTGCAATGCAAAGATTGATAGAGAAATAACAATATCATAGATAAAATAAGCTTGTGCATTTTTTTGTGGGACGATCGACTGTTGCAGCAAAGTAAAAGTGGTAATCAAAAAAAATGCATCTCTCATTGGTAGAAAGATACCTGTCAAAGATAACGAACACCGATTAACGCAGTTCCAAAATGGATATGGAAGCAGAATTTGAGGATTTTCAGAAGAAAAACACCCCTTCCTTGATTGGGTCTTCTGTCAGAAACTCCAGCACTCCTAGTGGAGACTTAGACAAAGACGAGCCGAATTCGATCATCTTAGATCGTACTCGTTCCAGCTCTAGGCCTGTCGTCAAATCCAATCCTTCGACCTCCCATATTGGAATTGTGTCTGTGGAGGAACTCAAAGCGGAAGGTGGACTTCTCAACGACGAGGAGGGAGAAGTTCTTGACGAGATCCTCGACGAGGAAGGACATTTGAAAAAGGATGCATTGCAATTGAAAGAACGACTAAAGACCGAAGACGAAGGTACCCCAAGCTATACCCAGTCTCCTGGCAGTGAGATTTCCTCTGAGCCTGTACATGAAAAGGAGCACCTAGTTTTTGGCGGTGATGCGGGAAATTTTGTGGCGCCTGCCGCTGCCAAATCGAGTCACTTGACTGATTTCAAATACGACAGCCCTTCTAGAGAGCTTCCGAAGCCGGAAGAGAAAGAGCACGATCTCATTGAGCCAGAAAAAATCACCACTGTGGACGATATATTGCAGAAAATCAACCAAGGAAGCAGAGAATTGACCGAGGAACCGGAAAACACGCTGAAACCAGAAGTCAGGGTGCATGAGGACAGAATGCCAGAACTTCCTTCCCATTCGACCGAAGCGGATCAGCTTCTGACAGCGCCAGCCAGTATCAGGGACGGATCGAGCTCAAGGCTACTGAACGAGAGACAGAGATCGCGCTCGCGTCCTGCAGACAGCTCTGGATCGCCGTTCAGAGAAGGCGTAGGAATGTATCGGCCGCATCTGGCAAAAGGTGATTCCTACCACAGCGGTATCTCAAACGATGAGTACAGTCAAGCCAGTGTCAGCAGCGGTGCTCCTGTGGAGAGAAAACCAAGACACGATCCCGGATCGGTCAGACTTTCAAGCTCTTCGTCTCTGAACTACTTGCGTTCCATTTCAAGGTCAAGGTCGAGAGCCGCCAATGACAGGGATGCGATAGGCAAAGACAGGGGTGTTGACCAAAACGAACTGAAAGAGGAGGGTGTTCTCCTGCACGATGGTGATTTCTCCCAAGTTCCAGATTACGAAGACGCAATCACCAATGCCTTGAATATTGTCGAGAATACTAAAAGTGTGAAAGACGGATCTAAAGTTGGGAGGCATAAGGAGAACATTGTGAGTGACTTGCAAAACTCTCTAAATTCAAGGGAATTAGGAGAACTTAACGAAGCGGATGAGGACCGTGATGTCCTGAAAGAGAAAAAAAATGAGCTTGCATCAGTGGCCAAGGTTGGGAAAGCTGAGACTAAGAGCTCTGACTCTCTTCAAAAGTTGTTGGACGAATCTAAAGATGAAGTGAAGAAAACAGAGACCTTGGAGGAGAATATTCCCGGTCGGTCGAACATAGTTAAAGGCCACGAAGAGGAACAACTGGAAAGCCTTCATTCTGACCATACGAAGAGCGACCAAACACAAGGCAAGAGTGCTAATGATGAAACTACTACACCGTCAAAGCCAACTGAAAATGCTAGTGACAACGTGTCGTCTGAAAACTGTGTTGACAGTGATGACGGTAGTCCTGCGAAAACCAAAACTTCCGAGGACGAGACTTCTGTGAAGCAATCTGGAGAGTCTCTAAACTCTTTAACCACAAAGCTAGAGTCTAGCACTCTTGCGGACACACCAGAAAAGCATCCCTACGAAATCGAAGGACCTGGCAAAGATAACATTGAGAAAGAGACCCCTGTCCAGCAGGACACACCCATCAAGGAAGAAGCAAAAGCAACTGAAGCTACGAAAGAGAAAGATGTGCCAGTGTCCGATACTCAAAGGGGAAAAACTGTTTCTGACGACGACGACGACATTGAGGAACTCCTGAAAGCTGTTGAAAATGAACAGCAGACTCAGACATCTAACAACACGGAAAAGAAAGACTCTGTTTATGTTCCCAAGGGAGCAAAAATGACATTTGAGGACGAACCCGTGTACATTTACACATCTTTAGCAGGCGGCTTCCAAATTGCTACTCGAACAAATAGACTGCAGACTATTTTGACCGCCAATCGGGTCAAGTTTGGATTCAAAGATCTGGGCACTGACGAGCAAGCCAAAAAGGTGTGGAGGCGTTACAGCGAAGGGAAAACCCTTCCTGGAATTGTTAGGGGTAAGGATGATTTTATTGGCAACTGGGAAGATGTTGAAGAAGCTAATGAGAATTATGCGGTTAGATCTTTGATATATGAGACATACTAGAGATGAACAAGCACACTGGAATATTGCAGATTGCCATTCTTGCGGTCTTTTTGGATTATTCTTTCTCACACTTACGACGGGCCGTTCCCCTATTTAATTAGTCTGAATACAAATCACACATTAAATATTTTAGTGATTTTTTTGGAATTTTTTTTTTCTAGTTCAGCATGTCCGAGTCTGATTATGAAGATGAATTGTCAGAATCTAAGGCTTTTCTCGGTTTTGTTGATGTTCCCATCTCTGAAACTGAACGGCCGGAACTGGAGGATACCTTTATTGGCGGCAAGCCTATCTGGCTAAACCCAAAATCTCCACCGCCAAACGAGTTACTTCAGTGCAAAAGTTGCAAAGAACCGATGCATCTTTTGCTCCAGTGCTACGCCAACCTTGCAAACACTTTTTACGACAGGGTGATTTATATATTTGGGTGCGACAAGGCACGTTGCAGAAGAAAAAGTGGATCTGTCAGAGCTCTGAGAGCACTTTCTAGAGATCCTGACCTTATTAAGAAAAGAAAACAGGAACTAGAAGAATTCGAAAATAGAAAAAAAGTAGCACAGCAGAAGGAAGCAGAAACTAAAAGCAAACTGGAATCTCTTGCGAACAGCCTTTTTAGCCCGACAGACTCGACTAACGCGCAGTCGAATCCATTTTCAAATCCTTTTGGCGAAGAATCATCCAATCCGTTCGGACAACCTGAGAAAAAGGAGCCCGCAAAACCAACTTACGCTGAAGTGACAAAGCCAGTCGAGAAGTCACAGCTGCAAGTCAGCGCAGAGCCGATGAACCTCCCAGCTTATCCTGGATACATATTGTATGTTGATCAAGAAACTTTTGATCTAAGGAAACAAAAATTGCCTCCCCTTCCAGAGGTCGACGCGGCAGCTTCCGCCCAGGCCCCGCAACCAAATCCTTCAAATCCATCAAAAATACCAACTTTGGACGAAAATGTCTCTAAAATGGTGGATGACCCGACATTCCAGCATTTCTCGCACATTGTTTCATTCAATCCTACACAGGTACTTCGTTATGACCTCAATGGATCACCGTTACTGTACTCTTCAAAAGACGATGTGGCCAAATTGTTTTATGATTCCAATGGAAGACTCCGTCCGCAAGCATTGATCCCTAATCCTCCCTACAATCCTTCCTCAGAAAGGAGATTTGAATTGCAGCTGATGCCAAAGGCTATTATCGATCTTGAGACTGGAACTGACGACATAATGAGCGGAATGGAGTGGGGAACGATTATTGTGGCCACAGACTTGATGGATTATATTCCCGACCACTTGTTCGATGAAAACCATGTGGGGTACGTGGAAGAATGGTGTGGAGTTCAATGGGAAGAAGAATTAAAACTATAAAATACATAGTTATAATCCCATCAACCGTGTAATTCTGACGTCTTCAATTAATCTATCGATATCCTTGAAGTTATCATCGTTTGTAGCAAAATGCCTATGTTTATCCATGAGAATATGCTCGTCAAAGTCGTCGTACTTGACTCGACAGTTCTCACAATAACCTGGCTTTGCTTCCGTTTTAGATTTGCGCACTGGAGGAAAATTGGTAATTTCTCTGACTTTCTTCTGCTTCGGTTGCAGCGATTGTCGGAACAACTGGTTATTAATAGGCGACATCAGATCATCTTTTTCATCATTGAGTTTTGGGTTATCCGCTGGAGTCTCGGTGATCTTGTTTTGTGGTAGTCTAGGTTTGCACTCCTCTTCCTGTTTCAAAGCCGGGCCAAAAGAAATGTTCACCGATTGATCTGGAGTCTTAGATTCTTCCTGGTTTTTGTTCATATCAGGAGCCTGCATTGCGCCGTTAGAGTCTTTCGCTTGCGATGATAAACGTCTAGCATCCTCTGAACTGATAAACTTTGAATCTTTTTTGACGTTGATGACCCGAATGACTCTGTCTTCCTTTCTGACTTTAAATACCTTTAGTGGCGACTCCTTCCTTTGAGCAGCGGGCAATGGAGCAAAAGTCATCATCTTCTTCTTCTCGTTCGCAATCTTCTTGTTGAAGACTAGGGAATGCGAAGGGCCCAATCCGTTGCCCACTCCGTTAACATAGCCCTGACCTGATATTGCATTCGATCCTGACTGAGTTTGAACAACACCTGAAGCCTCAATCTCACCATACTCATTTCCGACCTTGTTCTGCGAAACTTCAATTGTTGAATCGTCGCGATAGAGATTTGCTGGAGGAGCCATAGGCTTCTTTCTCACCTCTAGGACCTCTGAGTTCTCGTTGAGTTCCTCAAGGATCTTTCTCTTTTTCTGCTCCGGCTCTATTATTGGTGCGCCATAGTATGATTCCTCCCACATTCGTTTATATTGCACTCTCTCTTCGTAACTTAGCGCGGGCTCGTGCGGAAGACAGGAGGCTTCGATAATCTTCTGACGATAATCCTTTGTCTCTTCCAGATATTGTATGCGCCGCTTGTGCCGTTTCTCGGAATTGCCTGTATGAGTGTCTTCAATGAATAAAGACCTACCGTTGGTCGATTTTGTAAGTTTTGGAAAGTCGGCAGCATTTGTCGGCCATTCTTTCACGACAATTGGCCTCGTTTGTTGTCGTAGATCATAAACGTAAAAGTAGTAGCCTGTGAAGTATTTGATATCATCTCTTTTAGCATTGGGATCGCGATCGTTTGGGCCAAACAGCTTTTCGTTCTTCAAAAGAGATGATAGTTTCTTTTTGAGAAAGGACTCATCTTCCGGAATAGGCTCACCGAGGTGATTCATGAAACGGAACACTTTCTCATAAGTCCAGACCTTCAGTTCGTTCCTCTTTGCAATTCGAAATATGTCTCCCATTGGATAATCTGCATGTTTGTGGTATGGTCGTCTTGAGACGATTATTGTGACATTCTCGCTGAAGAACCTTTCGATAGTGGCACCCAAAGACTGTAGTGCTAACTTAGCTCGCTCCTTTTCCTTCTCGTTTCTGCCCTCGTCGTTCTCAAAATAAACGACGCTGGCTTTCAAAATCTTTCGCCAACTCTGTTGCCAGTCTTTTAATTCAGCGCCAGTCATTCGATTGGACTGTTTTTTCGCCGATACTGGCCGCGCAGCAAGAGACTTCATGGATTCATTTAGGGCAGGATTTGCAAGGTCTAATTTCTGATCTAAAAGCGACTTTCTAGGTGCAGCATTGGAGTTGAGCGCGGATTTGGAAGACTCCTTCAATGGAGCCCGCTTTGAGCCCTGCCGTAAATCAGCAGCGTGATTCATGATATGTATATGCTAGAGAGTAACTTTCACAAATGCTAATGCTGCAATGAAGTGATGAATGCTGGAATTTGTTAATCACTGATTTGGAACTGCCTGTTCATAAATGGAATGAGTCTCAATCAACAAGCGGGTTTTTCTCGCCGAGAGAAGTGGAATGATCTATTACAAGATGGATGTACGCAGCTAAGCTTATTCGGAAGCTTGTTACTAACGCAATCTCTAAAGCTTCTTTGTCTCGAAACACGGTAAATAAACAAAGACGAAAAACACGCACCTAGTGTGTATGTTTTTTCCCCCTTGTAAGGGGTGCGAGGTGTTGTGTAATAATCGATGCAAGGATTATTTGAGTTCGGAGAGTCAATTTATTTATTACAGACAACAGCCAGCGATGCTCAATTCTAAGAACATTTCCAACCTGTTGTCGCAGACACTAGATCCCGTTCCAGAAATCACCAGGTCAAAGCCCTACTCAATCTCGCTTTTATCGACGTCCTCCAAAAAACCACTTGTCTCATGCTTCCAGAACACAATCGAAGAAGATACAAAAGGCGGTGATAATGATTTCCTTAATGCTGACATAACGCCATCGGACAACCTGCGAATCATGTCGCTTACAAGCTTGAAGGCATGGGAGCAACGTGCAAAATCAGAACATAACTGGCTCGTGATACGCTTCAATTCGTATTATATCTACCTCTACAAGATCAACGACGAATATTTGGTAATGCTTTGTTGCGATTTACAATATCCAAAGGTGCTGGCCATCAAGAAACTGGAGAAGCTGAGCGAGGCCATGAAGGATAAACTGTGACCAGAGCAATCATAGATCCCATATAATCCAGCTTCTATTGGGTTGTATCATGCTAAATGACGCCTCTTTATTCGTCCGACTCCAAACCCTGGTCTTCCTCGTCATATTCCATGTCATCCTCGTCATCATCATAGTCGTCTTCCGCCTCGTAGTAATTATCCTCCCACCAGTCCTCATCCTCCTGGCGCTCCTCTTCCTCTCTGACGTTATGTTTCAGATCTTCTGCGTTCGGCATCACAAAATCCTTGGGGATATTGGCCTGGGATCTTGCCACCTCCACGGAAATACGCTTGCGGTATTCTTCTCTGTGTTTCTTGAATGCAATAGCTGCATCGACATTTGCAGGGCTAGATATGTTCGGGTCTTCTAGTAAGGAGATGATCGAGAGCAGCACGGACTCTACGCTTTGGGCTGGAGACCACGTTTCGTTATCTGGCTCATCGTTTTGGTCGTTTCCCGACTCGTGTAAAATGGAAATACAAAGTCGCCCGTCGTTATAAACATTCGGATGGTAGATAGGTGGTGTAAATTTGAACCCCGGTGGAGAGAACGGATAGTTGGAGGGAAACTTGAGCTGACCTCTCAAGTAAGCTCCGTTATAGTCTGCGTCTTTATCGATGACTATCAAGGCAACGTTCCATAGAAAAATGTTGTCGTCCTCAATCTCAACATGAACTTGTTTTAATCCGGTCCTCGGATTAGATATATCCTTGTATTCTTTCCAGAGTCGTTTGGCCGCTGCGTGTGTTGCCATCCTATTGCAGGTCCTATATTTACTGCGGGTGCCTCAGATCTGGAATTATAGCTTCAACCGTGTATTTTAGGCCAAAACCACAGATCTTGCCTATTTGAGCGTGTGATCAATTTTTATTACACACAATTTTCCAGGGCAAATCTATCATCAAGAAAAACATTATCGTCGCGTCGATTACGTCTACCATACTTGGAGCTCCTCAAACAGGTCTATGCGCATCTGGTTGCCTGAGGTGCCGACCTTATGCGCCACAACATCCCGTATGGTGTCCACGAGGATGTCTGAGCCACAAACAACAATGGCAAGACCGCTCCGGTGGCCTTCCACCTCCGCCTCATCCAGAACAGAAGAAATCAGCTTGGAAACATCAGGCCTCATCTTATGGATGTGATAGTCTGCCAGATGCTCTTCCGACAGTTGCCCCATGACGCGTGCCATTAGCTCCTCACTGCTGATCGATATTAATGGAGTTCTCGAATTTGCCGGCCTCGTATCGCTGGATGTCTTCTGCACCAGTTTATTTTCTCTGGTGAGATAAATATCTTTTGACACATAGTTGTGTTGGTCTTTTGTCTGGAGGGCCAGCAGCTCACGACCAAACCATCTGAGAGATGTGAAGTATGGAGATATCCAAGCAAAATGTATATTTTTCCGCCAGCCTTTGGATTGGGCTTGCTCCAGATGATGCATGCAATGGTAGTATGGGCCAGGAACACCATTACCTCCTGCAAGAAGGAGAATATTATCGTAGCTTTCGAGGCTTGAGGCATGTCCATAAGGGCCTTCGATGGCAACCCGCAACTGCGACTCACGTGCTGCCAGTAAATAGTCGTACAGTTTCTGCGTCATTCCGTCTTTCTTTTTGATGTAAATCCGCACTTCATTACCAACAGAATAGATAGTGAATGGGTGGCTTTCCCATAATTTCCAGGAAACAGACGGCGAAAGAATGTACAGGTAGACAAAACAGCCCGGGTATGGCTTCCAGTGGTCAGGCTTTGGAATGCTGACCACGATGGTTCCAAAATGTAGCTTGAAAGTGGCCTTTGGAGTGCCAAACCTGTAAATCTTCATGAGTCTCCAAACCCTGTCAAGCGCCCAGACTCCCATGCTGGCATACGTCCACTCCAGGTATCCGATGCTTTTACAATGAAGATATGCCCCCACAATGAAAACCAGGGCCAGAATAATATGTACAGCCAGGAACAGTTCGTACCACCGGCTGCGGAAGAAATAAATAGCCTGCAGGATGATGAGGATGCCGGCCTCTAATGCCTGGCGACCAAAGAGCCAGAGCGTCTCCTGTGAGACCTTCTCGTACTGGCCGCGGATAATTGTGTATTCTCTAAACGCATACGCATGTAATGCAGCCAGGATCACCATCGCCCTTGAGATCCACTTGTGGAAGATGATAAACGTATTGAACTGCAATCCCGTCAAATTAATGAGAATATTGTTTCTGCCACCAAACAAGAAAAGGGCAGGTAATTGTGCGAAGGCGAGAATACCCGTTCTGTCGGCAAGGTATCTATAGTACTGTAGATCTTTTGCTCCTAAAAGAGCATTTTGATCTTGCAGCGTGTAGCCAACAGAAGAAGATACTATGACTATGATGCAATACAGAAGGACAACGATGGATTCCTGCGTAGTTGGGATCAAGCTGTCGAAAAGCTTGAATGGGGCCCATTTGCCAAGAGCTCCGAACATGTTCCACGGTTGGAAGTGCTTGCCGTTCAGCGTGGGCAATGCGATGTAGCTCCTAAAGGAGTCAATCATGCCTCCCTTTAGCTTGTTGTTCCATCGAAAGTGCTTGATGTGGTTGAATATTCCGATCAGCCCCAAGGTCACTACCCAAAACATGCACATTATGGTGGAAAAATCATATGCCCAAGCAAAGTTTCCTGCAAACAGCGAGAACGAGTCCGCGTACGTCAACACTGTGGTGAGGTTCAGACGCACCGGAAAACGGATTGGCGTGGAGAGATTATAGGCCCGGGCCTCATTTTCGGAAAGGACGTACTTTGTCGCGTTCTGGTACCTCCTTTCGAATGTGTGTATGTCCAAATCGGCTCCTCCGAGTCGACCGCAGTAGTCTGCAATGACGCCGTAGGAATCGTGCAAGAGCTGATCCTGTTTCGTCTGATTGGCTGTCAGATCATGGAAACAGATCAACAGAGTGCCCAATGCCGGCTCGTACTGGCAATGGGGGCTAAAAAACTCGTTCGAACCTCGTGGCGGCACGAAGTCAAAAGGCGGTAAGCTTTGAGACTGCGATATACAGGAGAAAAAGTTTGACTCCTTGCGACTGAGTGCCAGTCCTCCTGGGGCGATCAGGCAGATCACGAGCCCGAGAACTTGTTTCATTTAGCAGTAATTTTAATCTGGATTTTTTTTATCTGAGATATCGGTGATGAAATGAACCAAACACAGAGTGCATACGGCATCCTTTTATAATAGCAACAACGGCAATGCTGAAGAGCGAACTCCGCTGCGATGTCCATCATCTCTGCGGTAGGTGTCTGGGTTTTCGGCTCGCTGCATCGCTTGCGCTGCGCACAACACATGTCAATGCGACCTGATAACGGTTACTATCGACGCGTCGTTTTTCTTCCTCTTGTAAAAATACTATTCGTCTATGGATGAACGCCGTTTCACGCTTGCAGCCTCTGTAGTGCTCTTGACCCTGCTGTTGTTGATTGGCCGGCTGATCTACGTTTTGCCTAGCTGTCATAACACATTCGGGTATCCTCAGAAATCAACGGCGACATCAAGGTCGGTGCTGATCCTGCTGGGGTCCGGGGGCCACACAGGAGAAATGATTCGAATTTTGCGCCAATTTGAGCATTTCGATCGTCTCAAACGGCAGTACGCAGTCGCAGACTCTGACGAAACATCGCTCGCTAGCATCAGCAGCCTTGAAAAGTCTCCATCTGTCATCACCATTCCCAGAGCCCGTAACGTTGGAGAGGGCAAGCTTTCTGCTTTTTTTCGCTCATCAAAGGCGTTCATATCGACATTTCTTCTTTTTTCGTCCATGAAGCAGTATCCTGATGTGTTCCTGTGCAATGGACCGGGTACAGCTATTCCAATAGCGTACGTGCTATTTTTTTTCAAGTATCTGGGTCTTTGCAGGACGAAAATCGTTTATGTGGAAAGTCTTGCCAGGGTCAACAACCTGAGTCTCACAGGAAAGCTGATTCTTCCTATCGCTGACCGAATTCTGGTGCAGTGGAGCCAGCTCGCCAGAAGGTATAAACGATGCGAATATTACGGTATATTAGTCTAGTATACAATTAATTTAGACTTCCAGGTCGGGTCGAAGACTCGTGTATTTAGAGGACGTGGTGGTTTCTGTCTTCGGTCTTTTCGTGGTAGAGCTCTGCACCTGGGTTTCACTGCTCTTCTTCTCTTCTTTGAGGGCATATTTGATCATTTGGCGTCTCACAATGGTGCGGATCTGTGCAATTTCTGTTGTGGAGAATGAAGGAGTAATAGTTTTTCGAGCCCAACATAATCGAAGCGGCTCTCCCGCAATAACCACCAATTTGGGATGAGAGAGCGAATCTCTGAGATATTGTGCTGCCTTCTCGGCTGCCTGTCTAGAGGAGAACTCGAGAAAACCGAATTTGCCCCGATGGTTCAAACTAACAGCATCCACTTTCTTTTCTCCAACGATGTCCTCGAAAAAGTCTCGCACCTGGTATTCAGCGAGCTTCTCGCCAAATCCGAATAGGAAAAATGACTTGAGCTTGCTGCTTTTAGGCGTCTCTAGATTGCCATTGAATGGTAGATGTTTGCAAAGCTTGATCAGCTCCTCTTTGCTGACCTGCTCTTCATCTTGCTCGCTCTCTTGTTTCCTCTTTTTATTATCTACAGCTTTGGATAGCGAATCTATCATTTTGCGTGCGTCTGCCCGTTTCTGTTCTACCGTTTCAATTGCATCATCTCCAGCAGCCTTGTATTTTTTTTCAAGTTGAGTAGCGGCGTATATTTTAGACATTTGATTCTGTGGAGTCAATTCCAGAGCAGGGCTTTGATCTGTCAGCTTCAAAAGCTGATCTCTCGTACGCAAGTCAATTCCCAGCGTCAGATCCAACATGCACGACTGACAACAATTCTTTGCTCTCGCACAAGTTAAACAGCATAGTGTCTTTTTAAGTCGTTCGCCCCTCTTCACAGACCACCGAAATACAGTGAAAGGGCGCGTGCATAGCTTACATTCTGCTCCGTTTCGTTCTCGGGTCATTTCCACGTATGGATTTGGCCCCAAGCAGTTTTCACAAACTGCTGGGGTCTCTTCTGCATTGTACGACATGAGTATATGAAAATATTAAAAATTTTGGATATTTAAATTCAATGAATTATTGATCCATATAAGAAAAACTGTTGGAGTTCGATTATACGGAATACTCTACAAGTTCAGTCATATAGGTGCAGCTTCAATTAGCTCTCATCATACACAGGAGTACAAACAAATTGGACAGAAAATAGTTCAGATCGCGCTCTCCGAAGATAACAGTGGCGAAGAAAAGTACAACAATCACCTTCTTCTGTTAGTACAACTCTCAGTGTTAAAAAGCTCTGTCAAAGTTGTGTTTCCTCATGTGTATCGGTTGAAGAAATTCGTTGCAATGCTCATCATAAAGTTGTACTTACCGTTTACGAGTATGAAGAGTAAAATTTTTTCATAGTAAAAAAAAGTTACGAATTAGCAAAGCATGGAAATATTTATTCGTACGACTTTGCACCGGAGTCAAACCGGGAAGCAAGCGTGTTGTTAAATTTCCGTTCCACTACCTCCTTGACAGCTAGTGGGCATACTAGGTCAAACACGCTGGAACTTCTGCCGCTAGTTTGTAGCTCTTGCTTTGACTATCAACTGAATTCTTCACAAATTGTGTCATCCTGTCTCATCGTATACCCCGGATCTAACCCCTCGCACCCCGGAATTGCTGAGCAGAAAAACTTATTTAGTTATCTCTCACAAAACCAATTATTTGTCAGGGTGGTACCACAGGCTGCATAGTGTCTTTTGCCGTTGTCTGATAAGCAAGAATGCCGCCTCCATCGCCGCCAGGCTCAAAACCGAAGATCATCAAAGCACCGGGCTCAAATACAATCCGAGTGTCCGTTGCCTGCGATCGTTGTCGTAAGAAGAAAATCAAGTGTTTCTATGAGGAAGGCGAGGAAGTGGATCCTGATGGACGCACACAGTGTGCCAATTGTAAAGCCGTGGGGCTCGACTGTATTTTTACTGACAAGCTGGCTCGCAAAGCCTTTCCGAGAGGATACACAGAGTCTTTGGAAGAGAGGGTGCGAGAGCTGGAGTTTGAAAACAAAAAGCTGCACAAACTGCTGAAGATGCGTGCTGAAAACCCAGACGCAAAAACCAATACTCCCGAGGAGCAAAAGCCTTCAACGACACTGCTCAATGACGAAAATTTGTCCCTGCTCAACCAACAGAAAGCGTATAAGTCATTGGAAGAACATCTGCACGACGAGACGTGCACATGCGGAAACTATCCGCACTCGGTCCACAACAGGCCTGTTTCCATCGCTGGTTCTGTTGATATAGACAAGGGAGAACTAAGCGATGACGATGCGTCTCTCTACTCGGCATCGATGTCCTCCAATTTGCACTACACCCAGAACGTCGATGACTTGCGCAACCGGTATGGCTACAACTCATTTGAGCAGGCCAATGCTCCAGGAGCAGCGGCAGCTGTGTCTCTCCAAAACAAGCTACGGACCAAGCACTTTTTAAACCTTGCGAACCTGATTGCAACGTCGATTCCCCGGACGACCGAGGAAACACTGTTTATTCCTTCTTTGCTGGCCAAAGTTGTGAGCGTTCATGGATTCAACTCAAAAGCTCCATATCTCACTTCAAAGTCGATTGCATTGCTAAAGGAGGCATATGACGAGGATAAGAGGTATTCGCGATTTCCGTCGATGTTCGAGAATGTCAAGTTCAACGAACTTTCGCCCGAAGACTCCAAAAAATTCTTTCAGGGCCTGAACCTGCCCAACCATGTGAATCTGGACCTCTGCATATCCATCTTCTTCGAGACCTGGAACCAGGTCACCCCGGTGCTCAACAAGGACGTTTTTATGAGCAACTACATGAAGTTCAACAAAAGTCGCGAAGCCAATTTTGAAGACGGGGAGATGTATGGAATGGAGAAACTAGGCGAGATGCTGATCATCATCACGACACTCGTGATGCTCAGCCAGGAGCGCAATACCATGTATGCGCATAACAAGGACCCCACGGCCAGTCACTCCGAGCTTTTGCAATTCTACGATCATCTCATCAAGCAATTCATCCACTCCAGCATCAACTCCCTGTGTTCCATAACTTCTCTACAACTGACGACCCTTGAGCTGTTGTACTGTCTCACCACTGCCGACCTGAACACCAGCTATGAACTTCGTGGAAAACTCATCACCATGGCACAACAACTACGGTTGCACAGATGTCCTGCCGCCGTGCTGGGCTACAACGGCTCCAAGGTCTCAAAACTCCAACAGGGAGAACGCAGAATTCTGTTCTGGTGTATCTACAATCTCGACTCTTTCAGTGCGCTGATTCTGGGAGTTCCTAGGCTTCTTAAGGACCACGAGATCGAGTGCGCACTTCCGTCGTCCTCGTCCGCTGACGGCACAGACATCAATCTTATCACTTTCAATAACACGCAGCTGTCTCTGGTGGGAAAGGTCAGTGATCTGGCTTTGAGCGTGATGAGATATTCAAAAGTTCTGGGAGCAATTGTGGATGCGATTTTCAAAAGGAGCAGCAACGAGCCAAAGCGCGCGAACGTTGGCGAGTCGTCTGCACTAATTTTAGAGGACCTGCTTGACACTTGGCGGAAGGACCTTGTACCTTCGCTGAGCTTCGAGAGCGACCTGAACGCAACCGACATCGAGAAACTCAGCGAGGCCCAGCTGACGCTCATGTATCTCTACTTCCAGGCAAAAGCCCTGATATACATGCCCCTGATGGCAACAGAAACGACAAACTTCAAAAACTCGGCTTGCTACATTGCCATCCAGCAGTCTGCAACAGCAATTCTGGCGATCACCAAGACACTGAACACCGAGAAGTTCCATTTCTACCACTTGCCATTGCCTATCAACGCGTCTCGCCAGAAAGCAAGATTTGCTCTGTTGGCCGCCAAGGGAGCATTGGAGTACACCAGAGGCGGTGCACTTTTTCAAGACGCCAAATCGCTACTCACGTCTGTTATCGCCGATCTGAAATTTGAAACCGACATCGCTTTCCTGGGCTGTTTATCGCGGTTGTGCATGGAACATCTGGAAAATGCAATTGAGGCTATTTTGGCACCTCCAAAGGCCAACTCGCCTTCGCAGCAAACTGCTGAAATCAAGAAGGAGAAGAAGAAAAGCTCTGCTCTGCGTAACAAGCTTTCGACACCGATCAAGAAGGAAGAGGATAACGTGGCTATCAACGATATCTTTTCGGCGAAGACAACCCCGCCTCAGATGAAGCCGCAATACCACTACCAAACGCTACAGGACCAACTCAGGGACCCTTCCCCGATGCATCAACACTACACGTCCTCACAAGAACAACAGTCGCACTTGTCCCAGCTTTATCCAATGATGAGCATCCATCAGCAGTCACAACGACAGCAGCCGCAATTCCCGCTCCCTCCTGACCAAACCGGATATACGCACCCGGAGACGAGGTCCTATACAGATTTGATGATGCTCAATGACTTTGGAGTGGATGCCTCATTAGGATTGTCATTACTAGACTTTGAGTTGGACGATAATTGGCAAAAGAAGCAGAAGACAGACAACAACGAGCACATGCAGAGTGCGAAGGAGTTTGTCACGCCCGAGGAGCAAATGTGGAACTGACTCGTGTATTATGTAGATGCGGAATCTGATCAATTTTGATGAAGAGATTTTATTTTCCATCTACTCACTGATCGTACTTACTATATTCTGGGATCCAGAATTGTCTGAGAGGAGGCTTGTACTGAGCACCAATTTCAGTGATAGTCGCAACCTCTTCAGGAGTGAGCTCAAAGGAGAACACGTCCAAAAATTCGTCCAGCCTGCTTTCCTTGGAGGTGGTTGTGACCGGAATAATTCCCTTTTGGTCCACCCACCTCAGCAAGATCTGGGTCTTTGTCTTGCCGTACTTCTTCTCTAACGAGCTCAGGTAGTCGTCAAACTTCTTACCAACGCCACTGGTCTTGTCGCCTTTGGTCAATGGGCCCAAAGGAGCATATGCCTCGAGCTCAATACCGTGCTTCTTGCAGAAGTCGACAATACCCGGTGTTTGATTTTGCAGGAACGCGTTGTACTCAATCTGGTGGACCTCTGGCTTGACGGAAGCCTCTCTCAGAATCTCTTCAATGTCTTGGACCGTGAAGTTGGATATGCCAATTCTCTTAGCAAGCCCCTCCTTTTTACATTGCTCCATGTATTTCCAGGCTTCTCCCAAATTAAACCCGTGGGTTTCTTTCTTGATGAATGGGGAGTGTAGGAGATACAAATCAGCGTAAGGAATGTTCACTCTCTCCAAAAACGCCTTCAGATGCAAATATGGGTTGGCTTCCTTGGACCGAACAGAGTAATCCCCAGCTCCCGAAAAGTACTTGTCAGTGACGAAGTACTCGGCTTTCGAAAGACCAGATTCTGCAAAAGCTTTGGCCAATTCTTTGTCTACATTGTAACACTCTGCAGCATCGATGTGCCTGACGCCTTTGCTCAATGCGGTCTTGGTGATATCAACTAGTTGCTGGTTAACAGTGTCGTTGCCGTACTTGTAGTAGTAAGTTCCGCAGCCAAAAGCTAGTCTTGGAATTCCCGAGGAGGTGGTTGGGATGCTCATTTCGAATACTGCAAGCGATCAATTGAGTCTGTATTTATAGTGAGTTCGTCATTAATAATCATGCTCTGCATGGTCTAGAGGTGACTCTCAATCACATCCGTGCACCAGAAACGAAACGACCCGCGGACGAGAAGGTGACAAACTGTCACGGTCGCAGCTGCCATGGCTCAAACACGGTGTGTGGGGTAAGTACAATCTCCGGGATCCAGACCCGAGACCGAGAAAGAGGGTTTCAAGCCTGTGTCCTCAGCGGAGGTTGTGTAAGCGCTGCTTATTGTCCTTTAGGCCGCTCCGGCGGCACAGCTTCCATGGGACAACCTTGCACGGACAGGCAAGTCCCGGAGACGCCCTGTTGTGTGATGCTCACTTCTGGCTATACAAAGCTTTATATCACCTTACTGAACGCCGTGGTGGACCCAATTCCCGGCTCACACCACCCTCACATGCAGAGCTAACCAATAGGGTAATTAATTAACGCTATATAGCTCGTGGTGAACACTGGCCCGGAGTAGTCATACGTGTAGGTTTTTGGCGTGATGAAAATTAGGTTGCGCACGACTTTCTTTATGTTTCGGGAGGGAGTGCTGCAAATGGTATATAAGGACCAGTTTTTCTCGCACATTATCAATTGCTCTTTAATACAAAGATAATATAGAAACAATATGACCGCAAACGTTGGAATTAATGGATTTGGAAGAATTGGTAGACTGGTGTTGAGAATTGCCTTGGCCAGAGAGGACGTCAACGTCATTGCTATCAATGATCCATTCATTGCTCCTGATTACGCCGCTTACATGTTCAAGTATGACTCTACCCACGGAAAGTTCAAGGGTACTGTCACCCACGAGGGCAAGTACTTGATCATCAACGGTAAGAAGATCGAGGTTTTCCAAGAGAGAGACCCATCCAACATTCCATGGGGCAAGGAGGGCGTCGACTACGTCCTGGACTCCACCGGAGTTTTCACCACCATGGAGGGTGCTCAAAAGCACATCGATGCTGGTGCCAAGAAGGTCATCATCACTGCTCCATCTAAGGATGCTCCAATGTTCGTCGTGGGTGTCAACCACGAGGAGTACACCCCAGACATCAAGATTCTGTCTAACGCTTCTTGTACCACCAACTGTCTGGCTCCATTGGCTAAGGTGATCAATGACACCTACGGAATTCAGGAAGGTTTGATGACCACCATTCACTCCATCACCGCTACTCAGAAGACTGTTGACGGTCCATCTCACAAGGACTGGAGAGGAGGAAGAACAGCTTCCGGCAACATCATCCCATCCTCCACAGGAGCTGCCAAGGCTGTTGGAAAGGTCCTTCCAGCATTGGCCGGTAAGCTCACTGGTATGTCCATGAGAGTTCCAACCACCGATGTTTCTGTTGTTGACTTGACTGTCAACCTGAAGAAGCCAACCACCTACGAGGACATTTGTGCTACCATGAAGAAGGCTGCTGAGGGTCCATTGGCTGGTATTCTTGGCTACACCGACGAGGCTGTTGTCTCGTCCGACTTTGTGACCGACACCAGATCCTCTGTCTTCGACGCCAAGGCTGGTATCTTGTTGACCCCAACTTTCGTCAAGCTTGTCTCCTGGTACGACAATGAATACGGTTACTCTACCAGAGTTGTTGACTTGCTTGAGCACGTTGCCAAGGTTTCTGCTTAAGCCAAGTCTCCATCTACATATTTAAGGCTTAACCGAAGATTTATAGTTAACGAGAAAAAAAGTTCCACCATGCGTCACTCTTCATTGTACATGTCTTGGTGGTTGCATTTAAGCTGGCATCATAAAATAATATATTGTTGCTTGCTGTACGAAGAAAAATATTCTGACTAATGGAGTGGCCCATCTTCCGTGCCCTAAACTTTGGTACCTGGCGTCCTTAGGGACATCTTTCTGACATAACACCCCGTAGCCTGTTACGGAGCCCTTCTAAATATAGTGCAGCGACTTTTTAAAAGCCGCACGCCGCTTATGGCGCATCATGAGATCCACGTCATGCATGGTACTTGATAGGGACCAGGGACATGGGATAAGACGCCCGTCCTGTTCTGGAGCGCATACGGTTAAAAGACGTTTTGGCATTGTTTTCAGTATTGGGCACCTGTTTGCTGCTCAAGCGTCTCTTGTTGCTCCCCACTCCAATCTGATTTTCGCGTGATTAGAGCGAAAAAAAAAGTTTCCTGCCGAGATGTTGGCTGATCGCTACATTGAAATTTCCTTATACGTGTTCCAGGTTTCAATTTACACTGAACGTGTATTTGTTTGTGCTGGTCATAATAATTTACTCTAAAACTTTCATCAGCCCTCCTAGCGAAGGTCACTGATTCTTGCCCTCAGACTTTCTCTAACAACAAACTTATATCAATCAACACCGAAGAGGTGTCAGAATCCACTCTGTTGGGCCCTCAAGGTACAAAATTATGTTACAAGACCAAACACAAAAACAGTCCCACCCTCGGGAGTTGTCCAACAACCCATCGCTGACGCTTGTCACTGGACAATCACAAATGCACGGACAGCCACCGCAGATTTTTGCTTCCCCATACGCGTCCTTCTCTCACCAACTCCCCAACGGCGCGCAAATCATCAACGTTCCGATGTCTCAGCAGGTGCCCGTGTCGCCCACCACGCCGTTCGACGTGAATTACGCAAAGGGAATGTTACCAAGACAGCTTCTGGTGAGCTCGCCGTTCATCCAGTCGCCCATGGCCCCCGGTCAGGCGCCTTCTCAGTCAGTGCACGTGGACCGTGCATCCACAAGAAATTCTCAGTCCAGCATTCCTACCGAAAACAACGCTCACCACCAAATCTCGCACCGAGGGGAGTTTCGCCGAAGGTCCTTTTCAAAGCAGCTCAAGTCCAATCTCGCACAGGCGGCCAGAGCTCCGAAAACAACAGAGTCGTCAGAGTCGTCAGAACACGAACACGAAGAGTTTGAAACACGCTCGCTGCGGGTCATCAACCTAAGGTCGGACATTGGGCTCACCGATGTTCTGGACTTGATTGAATACGGCCCTATAGAAAATTGCTCTTTTGAACTGACGCCTCATTCGAACAACAACAAAGCAATCATCCTCTCGTTTGTGAAACGTGAAACCGCCTTCAACTGCTATTCCGAGCTCAGAACCATACTGGACGAGCTCCGCGGTGTGCTCGAGTCTCCTGAAATGGAGCTGCTTCCGGCAAAAAACGTGCCCTTGCTGCCTGCTGTCCAATCGGCCATAGAGAACGATGGCGCAACCAGGGCCGTCTGTCTGAGCAACCTCCCTTCAGGCCTTCCGTTGAGGCTGGTTTACCAGGAGCTCGAAATGCTGGGCCCTATAGAGCATATCAAGTACGCTCCGAACAAAAACGCGGCTTTTGTCCACTTTACATCAATCTCTACGGCTATCAAGTGCGTTGAGCAGCTTTCATTGAGCGAAACAATCCTGTCGACCGCCAAAGTGTTCTATAGTAAAGAAAAGAACGCTACCATTCGCCAATCAAACGGAACTGCCAACATCGAGTATGATTTTGAGGACGATCAATACTCCGACTTTTACTCCACTCCCTCGACGTCGTTCTCTTCTCCCCAAAATGCCAATATTGCACTCCAGAATCTTAGCCGGCAGGCGACTGAAAATACCGTTTACGGCCCTCACTATATGCAGTCCCTGCCCACGCCCATTCTCCGTCCATCATACCCGCCACAAGGAGAATTTGTTGACTCGTACAATGGTATGGTGTATTCGCAGCAATCGCTGCCGGATCTCACGGATCTGACGCTTTGCAGCAACGGTTCTGTCACTAATTATTCGCTCTCAGCGCGGGATACTGCTGAAGCCTCATCGATACAATCCAAAACGCACTTCAGACAATCGAACGTTGGAAATCGGACTATCTATCTGCGCAACATTCACAGAGAAACTACAGCAGAAGAAATATGCAACACCGTCAGAGGAGGTCTGCTGGAGTCCATAAAGCTGATCCCCGACAGACATATCTGCTATCTGTCCTTTATAGAGTCCGGCTCTGCTGCGCAATTCTTTGCTACCAGTACCAAAGAAAAAGTGGTGATTCACGGCAGAAGAGTCAAAGTGGATTGGGGAAAGCATTCAGGGCCCATAAGCTCACGTGTGCTCCAAGCCGTCGAAAAACATTCAGCTTCAAGAAATCTCTATATTGGAACAGAACTAGTGTCCGAGGGGACACAGGAGGAAGACCGCCCAAAAATACCCGACGCGGACACTCTTCGACGCGATTTCTCGATATTTGGAGAGATTGAGCAGATCAACTTTTTCAGGGATGGACAATGTGCATTTGTGAATTTCCTAGACATCTGCTCTTCGATCAATGCTGTAGAGGATTTCAATGGTGAAGGAGGTGATGCTGTCCACGCTTCTTTTGAGAACAGATACAAAGCTTTTAAAATCGCTTACGGGAAGGATCGTTGTGCCAATCCCCCAAAGTCTAAGAAAAACAAAAATCGCAATAGAAAGAAGAACCAGAATGATTCCAAGGAGAGTTTCAAAAAATCATCCGAAGACGTGTCCGTTACAGACGACGATGCACTACGCAAAGTTCCTGCATTGAAAAGTATAGGCATATCCTCCAAGATGTATGAGGAGAAACATGCCATTGTGTCTCCTGTGATCGAAGAAACCGATGACGAGGCAGGCGAGACCAGGGATGAATCCCGGTCTCACTCCAATGATTCAAACGTAGAGATCATCACCAACAAAGCTGATACGCTAAAAACTTCAAAGGAGACGCCCAAAATCAACAACTTGCTGCAAGAATGCAGCCTTTCGAACTCTTCTTCTGAAAGCATTCCAAAAGCGGTCCCGAAGACCTCGCAAAAGTCGAATGCATCCGGAAACAGGTATCGTGTTCAAAGCAATTGTTCCAGATCGTCATCAAACAATTCAATCAATTACTTCAACCATTCAGAGCAGTATCCTCCACAACCGCAAGTCCAATACCATCCCTTCTACCAGCAGCCATCTTTAATGTACCAACAGCAATACGCCTTTTCCTACCAGCCTCCTCCAAGTGCAGGCATCGCAAGACACAATTCCCCCAGCTCCCGCAAAATTTTGTATCACGAACCTACCTCACCTGCTGCGCAGAAATTTCTGTATTTGCAGCAGCCGACCAGGTCGCAACAAATTTACTACAACTATCCGGAGTATTATAGTTATCTCCCCCAAGAGAGCTTCTACATGGAGAGCCGCGACGATGACTCGGATTTAGGTCCGCAGGTTGAGTCATACAATTAGAAAACCGCTGACTATTTATAATAAACCCTAATGAATCACGACATTAAATATGTATTTACAGAGTTCAACGTCGCCCGGCTAGGGTTGATCTCTTTGTCTAAGGAAATGAGCTCTATGAGGTGCTTTCTGATCCGAGACTTGTCAATATTTTGTGTCTCAGTAGATAGCAGACACAAAATCACTCCGACCGAAAGGTCGCAGCCTGTTCCGCATAGAACTAGTATACGCTGCTTTGCGCTAAAGGCAGGTATTACTTCCTTCATAATGATGGGCAACTTGTTCCGCAGCTCTTTTCCTGATTTCTTCGAACCAGAAGTCAGGGGTAAATGTAGAAATACTGGCTTTTCGTTCCTGTCACGTGACACAATTGTCACTTTTTCGTCCAGCACCACGACGAGATCGTAATTCGGCAACGATTGAATGCATTGCGTCGCGAGCTTCGCTTTGAACAATCTGGGCCGCACTTCAAGGAGATTTGTATAAACTTGGGCTGAGCTAGCCTCTTTTGATCTGATGGACATGATAAAGTCCTCAAGCTCCTCATCCGTGCGTTCTCTTTCCCTAAAGTAGTCCAAATGATTCCATAGAAGTTTTGGCGTCAGCCCGTTAGACCAAAGTTCATGGTCATCCGCAGCTCCCTGAACATACAGGAAATTGTCCATGGATAAGGTTCCATCCTGGCATTGAAAACTGGCTGTCACGAGGTATATGGGAATGTAGGGTAGCTGATCGAGAATCGGGGCTTCTGAAGGAAGTTTGGAATGAGGAGTGATCCAAACCGGTTTCAAAGGCTTGTCGAAAAGCTTCTTCAGCTGCTGCTGGCTGATGACGTCCAATCGTCGAGCTTTTTCAACCAGCTGTGGTAGCTTTTCGCATATACGTATATGTTCTGAGCGTGCAATGGTTTTGAGAGGTGAAAAGAGTTCTGTATCATTACGGCCATCTCTTATTGCGTTCAGTACTGCGCACCAAATAGGAATAGTCTTGCTCAAAGAGTCTGGAATTTTCTTGCCCCGTCTGGTAGAATCTATTATCAACACGCCTTTATGATGTGCTATCAATGGTAGGAGATGAAAGTTCAGTCGCCTTGTGCTAAAGTCCCAGTTATTGTTATGGCCATCTGTGGACTTGAAGTAGCACGTCTCGGCCATATATTCTGGAGGAACGTACCATGATCCACATCTTTCGTTGGCTACCACTGGGAAAGGGTAGACTTTTGCAACTTTTAGAACAAACTGAGAATCATATAAAATAGAGTGAATCCTGTTCCTTGATGAACGATACTCCTTTCGCAGTTCTTTGTTTATCAAATTGAATTCTCTATTAATATCTAAATTCATGCAATTAAAAAAAAATATCTTGAAAACTTAAAATCTATCATGTCTATAAGATACATAAAGGGGAATCTATTCAATTTAGCCTCCGCTCCTGCAAGCGAACCACTCTATCTTGCACACGCTTGTAATTGCCTCGGTGTATGGGGTGGAGGGATTGCAGCCGAATTCAAACGTCAATTTGCATCCACTTACAAAGTGTACAATCAGCACTGTCTCCAATATCAGGCCGAGCCAGAAAATTTGCTGGGTACTGCATTGGTTATCCCTGCGAGCCACCAAGACAGGGGCTTTGTGCCCGGAACGGGAGAAAAGCTTTCTGTTGTCTGCTTGTTCACAAGCATAATGGGTCAAGAGTCCTCTGAGGAGATTGCCGAATATACGAGGCTGGCTTTGAATGACCTGAAACGTCAACTGGATGAAACCAAACAGAAGTATACACTAGCCATGCCCAAAATCAATGCTGGAATATTTGGTGTTCCCTGGAACCTGACAGAACAGGCCATAAAACAAGCAGGAATCGACTGTATGGTCTATGAGTTATGATTGCTTAAATAATGCTGAAATAAATTATCACTCGCAGTGTACGAGAAACCTTTGAAATGGTCGGACTCATCTGATGCAGCGGGAATGTTGATCGGCTGGGCTTCAGACATTGTGAATGTCTGACTCGTGAAAATGGCGTCAAAGTTCTCGGCTTTCTCTGGATCTGTAATCGTTGGAATTATGGGGGCAGGAACTTTTCTGTCGCAAAGATCTTGCCATTTGAAGTAGCGGAAGAAGCGATGTTTCGTAAATTTGGACCATTCTGAATCGACGTCCAGCCTTTTTTGGGAATTCTTGTTGAGCAATTTGGCCAAAAGATCTCTGGCATCCGAGGTAAGATAAAATGGATATTTGGGTTTCTGTTTCAAGATCCGCTCGATAATGGTTTTATGATTATTCCCGGTAAATGGAGGCGACCCAGTAAGTAAGTCAAACATCACACATCCCAGTGACCACCAGTCTGTCTTCACTCCATACTCGTCTCCTCTCACAACCTCTGGGGAGCAGTACTCTGGAGTTCCTATAATCGAGTTGCACCAATTCTCTGAGCTTTTGTCAAGCGGCTGCTTTGCTAACCCAAAATCGGTCAGCACCAAGTAGCCGTCCTTATCCAGGAGACAATTTTCAGGTTTCAGATCTCTATAGACGGCCCCCATTTCATGAAGATGTCTAAGAGCCAGAGCCATCTGTGCCACATAGAAGGACGCACTTTTCTCGTCTAGGAATCTGCGCTGAGATAAGTGCTGGAAAAGTTCACCTCCGGGAATGTACTCTAGAATTAAATACAGCTTTTGATCGTCATGAAGAGCATAGAACAATTTAACAATGTTCTGATGTGACGAAATGGAAGCAAGTATCGTTCTCTCTGAAAATGTGCGCTCGTAAGTTTTGGAGTTCACCACGATTGACGCCTTTTTCAGCTCCTTTTGCGCGAATAGATGACCCGTGTGTCTGTTTTTCACTAGAAGAACTTTGCCATATGCTCCTTGGCCCAGGACCTTCAAAGGGAGGAAGTCAGAAACCGAAACCTTTGTATTCACACTCTCATTAATCTCAGGAACTTCTAGGCAAACACTGTCTATTTCAGAGCCGACAGACATCCGGCGCAAAACGCTCGAACGTCGTCTGGAGCTCATGATTTAGATTCTTTATTTGGCTTTTTTTTTTTCTTGATTTTCTGATAAATCTGAAACATGTACGATTATTCGGACATTATCGTCGAGGAGCCTGTCGAGCCCTCTCCACTGTGCCAGATCCTTTACTCTGACGAGTTCAAGCACCTGATTGGCATAGCTAAAGCTTTGATGCGCAGCAACGAGCATTCGGAGAGAGCTTTGGAGATCACCGAAAAAGTGATTGAGAAGGTGGCTGCACATTATACGATCTGGTCGTACAGACTTTCGATTGTCAAGGGCCTTGAAAATTACTCTCTTGACAAGGAGCTCGAATGGTGCGGACAGATTGCTCTGAACAATCCTAAGAACTATCAGATCTGGCATTATCGTTCCCTAATCATTGAGCTGATACTCGAGCGAAATGGCAATTTCGATTTGAAGCAAGAGTACCCAATCCTTGAGCGAATGCTGGACCAGGACTCTAAGAATTACCATGTGTGGTCTTACCGTAGATGGCTTGTCAAGAGATTCAATTTGTTCAGAGATACAGACGAGCTCAAATATACAGAGAAAATGTTGGAGGAAGATGTAAGAAATAATTCCGCGTGGAATCATCGATTTTTTGTGCTTTTCGGCGACAAAAAGACCCTCACAAACGATCATGTTCAGAGAGAGATCTCGTACGTCACTTCTAAGGTTGATATCGCGCCTACCAACCCGTCATCATGGAACTATCTCAAAGGAATATACACCCAGCTGGGTTTAGATATCACCAACTTGCAACCTCTCGCAACAAAATACTCTGACCTGGGTGCGGTTCATTCACAATACGCATTCGAGCTGCTTGCGGAGATATTCGAAAGGCAAAAGCTGTTTGACCAAGCAATCAATATTTATGCTTTATTGGAGGAAAAAGATAGTATACGAAAAAGATACTGGAGATGGAGAAGCAGCCGTCTCAATTTCTAAGCGCGCGGAGTCTTTCAGATAGTTTATCTTCTTCACGAGGGGTCTCAGTGGTTGGAAGCGAGGGCGTGGCATCCACGTTGGTGTCACCAATCTTGTGCTTCAACTCCAGTCCGGCCTCATCTGCGATTTGGCTCATCAACTGGTCCACCTGATCCTGTGGCTGGCTCACAGCGTTCATGTCGTTAGACACAGTTTCGTAGTAGTTTGTACTACTTTCAAGGTCCTCAAACTGTTCCTCGAATTTATCCATCACCATTGTAATTTTTTCTAAATTCATGGTCTCCATTGCTTTGTCCATGCCTCTGACGACATGTGCCATATTGTTTGTAACAGATCTCATTGTAACAGCAGTTTGAATTCGCGAAGCAACCGCGTCTATACGCGAGGCAAGTCTCAACAGGTTTAAACGCTCCTGGCCTTTGCGGATGGCGTTTTGAGCATAGATCTGAGCAATGTCGTTGTTTCCTTGTATCAGTGCTTTCTTGACTTTATTCTTTTCCGCTTGCTCTTCTTTGCCAGTCTTTATCGACTGTCTTGTCAGCTGCTTTGCAGTGAATTTCAGTTGAAAAAGGGATTCTACTTGTTAGTAGGTCTGGCAAAATGCACACTTACTCTCTAATCCTGACATCAGTCTCGATCTTTAAATTGATACTTTTTTTTTCGCCTTTATCTACAATTTACACAGCCTTGTCTTGTCTGCTCAACTTGATTTTGACTACCTTCTCGTCGAGGATCGACGTGTGGAATTCCGAAACCTATTTGACACAGTATAGGTCAGATAGCCTTCAGCGGCTTTGGTGGTTGTGTAAAGCCACCCTTTTTGATGTACTTCTCCACAGTCGAGACTGAACTACGGCTTCCGATCACAAATCGATCTTTGCCTGTGTTGGCTTGTATCAGTAGGATACGAGGGCCTCTAACGTTAATATAGCTGCCGTTACCAATGATAGTATCAAATAGGGACTGCTGTTTTCGATGGAGGTTATTCCATCCCCTGTAAATGAGTTCCTTCGCCTTGGAAAAAACGCTTTCCTCTTGATGTGTATCAATCACTCTAACCTCTTCTTCCTCTTCAGCCTGTAAATGCTTATCTAGAATCTGAGAAACAAAGTAACCATCCTCTAAGTCTTGTATTTGGCCTATGGAGGCCGCAAACAAATTGTCTTTTTTGACTAGAATCTCTTCATCTTCATTAAGATTCACTCTGAATATGGAGCCTTCCCCCACGAGGGAGACATATCCGCGCCCGGCAACATGCTTGTATCCGGATGAAAACGTTCCAGTAAGACCCGGGGTAGAATTTTTGGGTAGACCAAATTTCCGTACCCCTGCTTTTGAGACTGACCTTGGGAGCTTTTGAATAGTGATTGTTAGCGAGTTGCCAGTGTAGGCTTGAACAGAGTCACGATTAAAGAGAGCCCAGTCAACAGATCCATCTAGCGACAAAGTACAGAACGTCTTAGAAGTTTTCGATCTCCGAAATACCGAAGTGCTGTCGTAGGCTGAAACTAACAATGTCACGGGAACAGTGGAGATTAATCTTTGATATAGAGATGTATGTCCACCATATGCAAATCGTTTCAATGGCTCTTGCGCTTCCAATCTCGATTGAACAATATCTTTCATGCTAGCTTTGGTCTCTGTGGCCGTGAAGAGCGCCATCAATGATCCACGCTTCACATGGACTGGCACAGAAGGTGGAACAGTAAGAGAAAGGGTGGATTGAGTTTGGCCTATTGTATCAAAAACAGCCTCGCTAGGCAATCGGTAATAATCTGAGGAAAGCTCGAGAATATGACTGGAAACAGGCGACTTGTTAGGCTGCTTCTCGTCTACAACAATGTTGGAAGCCTTGTGAATGGATAGATTACGCTTCAGCTGTCCACGCAACAATGCATTGGCAAGCGCATGTTTCCTCACCATTTGTTTTTCTCCAATCATTTATTCAAAAGAGCGGAATTATTTTGATTTGATCGAGGTGCGAGGAGTGCCAGCACCAATTCTGTAGTTTTCAAGATCAACTAGCACTCCTTCTTTGAATGAATCAAATACAAAGCTAGCATCAACAATTGGACGAACTTTCTCCTCAGAATCATATGATGCCGCCATTTGGTTCTCCAGCTCTCTGACTCTATCCTCGTAGGGATCTATTGCCACGACGTACCCAGCGTGTCTCCAGTCGTCACTAATTTTTCCTCCTCCAGCTACCACCAGGCTCCTGTACATCTTGTACCTGTTTTCGTTTCTCCATAGCAAGTGGAAGCGCACACCATGGAAAGCAAAAAGTCGTGTTATTTCACTGGTTTCCGGAGTGTCATCTGAAGTTGGTGTTATGCCTTTCTCGTAGTTTCTTTCAACAAGTTCTGCGAAAGTCGGCAAGGTAAAATCAACATATACGCTATCACCATACCTATCAACATTGCGCTTAGAGCGTTGCCAAAGCTCGGGGTCTGCAGCTGTAATGTGCGAGGGCTCCAAATTAACCAGACGATTCATAAGGATACAATCATCGCACCATTTCGCCTTGAATATATTATAAGTTTGTCGGAGCTCTAGAATGTCTATTGTGAGCTTGTCCGCCAAAATAATCAATTTTTGCTCGGGACTAAGTATGGCATTGGGATTTCGTACAACAGTTCCTCCGTAGCTTTGTAAAATCTGGCCCAACTCGCTTATCTTGCAAAGCTCACCTCTGAACATGCAATCCGTCATAATGCAGAAAACGTAGTTTTTAAATAATTGACTAGAAGTATCCACGTTGTTCGTGTAGCCTCGGTTGATTCGCTGAATGATGTCGTCCTTCTTGGTAGCTAGTTTTCTTTTTTTGGCTAAAGTGTGGCTAGCCTCATAATCACGCTCTAGTTTGGAGTTCTGGTACGTTTCTAGCGTATCTGCGGTCTCCCACGTTTTATCCTCTCTGATCCTGGTACAATAGGCAGCGTACAGCGTGGACCCTGTCGCATAATTGTTTTCCGCTTGCACGCTGATTGAACTCGACTTGACTTCAATCACCACAGACTCTTTTGGGTCAATCCACATCAAAGGTGTTTTCTTTCCAAACTTAACATTTATCGGTTGTTCCTTACTCCATTGACGCCACTTTCCAGCCGTCATCTGCTGAATTTTGCGATAGTCATCAACAGAGAACCCGTTGGAGATTCCACAAAGAGTTGTGAAGCTGTCGCTGGTTTCAGTGTCGCGTAATGCACATATGTAGGTTGTCTTTGCTGCTGGTATCTGTCCAACGATAACAAGATCAAGGTTCTCACCATACTCGTGAAGGTATTCGGGCTTGACTTTAATCCAGGTGTCTGTAGTGTAGTTTCCGATCTCGTATCTTGAATTGGGATCCTTTAACACCAAGCCTTCAAGATCTTTACGTATAGCTGCTTTGAGACTATTCTCGATATCTTGTCCCGTACTTTTGATCTCATAAGGCACCACCTCAACACGATGGCGAACAGTTTTCATGACTCTCTCTAGAGCCTTTTTTCGGTCCATCAACTTGTAGTCCTCCAATGAACACCCGTTGAGATGAAGAATGTCAAAAACCATGTACAATGGACGAGGGTCATCTTTATTTTGGGAGTTCAGATCTTTCAGAGCCGTCGGTTTGAGAGTAGAGAATGCAAGAGTCATATTCTTTACAGGGTCATAGCTGACCATTTCTCCATCCAGAATACAGTTTTGCACACCGTCAACTATCGCATCTTTCAAAAATGGTGAAATGCATCCAACAAAGCTCGGATCAGATGACCTACCATAGATAGAGGAATAGTCGATCGCGTTTCTGCTGAAAAACCTGTATTCGTATCCATCAGGGGCTTTTGCGACGTGTAGTTGAATCCTTTCACCATTATACTTTTCTTCGATGAGAAATCGCCCCGAGAATTTCTGGGCTACCGAATCATAATCGAGGTGTAACCGTTTTGCTCTCTGAGGAGTGAAGGGAAACATAGGTTTCGAATGCTTTTCCTTAGATTCAAGTCTGATTTTCGGGTCTGTGAGGCCCCAAAATACAAATTTCAGATCGTGAGTCAGATCGAAGACATCTAATGAGTCCGGGTGCCAACAATACATGAACAGTTTGTCGCGGCGAATAGGGTTAATTTTGAGAACAATTCTAAAGAAGAACCGAAGCTCCGTATTGTTCATCTTGTCTATGACCTCCTCCAACACTTTTGATTTGCTCTCCGTATCAGAATCAGCCAGCTCGTGCAGCTTATCAAGATAAGCGTTCACGTCATCAACGGTCAATTGTCCTGTCAACTTGTCAATGCGACGTTTACTGATAATGTTGCTGAGCAAATCTGCAAACTTGAGGGAGGATTGGAGTTTGTTGAATCCTATTTTCTTCCAACCAGCAATCTTTTTATAATCTTCATTTTCCTTCGAAATTCGCATGATCCGACAGATTATAAATCCCAACCTAGTCTCTTTTGTCATATAGACCCTAGTTTTGTCTTTGGCAGCTAAAACGAGACGTGCAACAGGAAGAATGTCTTTCCCCACAGTTGTTCTGTATTTGCGAAGAAACTTTTCGATAGTGACTCGCGATTGATATCTTGCAAGGTGCCCTTGACCTGGATCATTCAGAGGCACAAACAACTCGTTGACTAAATCCAAAAACTTAGGAGATGGGCCGTGGTTTTGAGGCCTCTCAAGAGGACCAAGCGGATCAAAGAGACCACTCATCGGGATATCAGAGCATCAAAGATTAGATTATGCCTGGAGACTATGTCGCTTCCAAATAGAGAATACAAATTAAAAAAATATTGCCCCCTTACACCGTATTAAAAGCATCTAAATTATAAACATCTTTCTAGCGAACAACGTAACGCATTTTACAAGGGCTCGTTCAGTTTATTTGTTATACAAATTGCTCCGTACAAATAGGGCAACCTCATTTGATTTCAATTCGTCTCGCTCAGGAAACTATCTTAAGATGGCTTCTCCAAACCCGCTTGCATTCGAAGCCGCCACAGCAGCCCAAGAGGTGGCAGCCAGTTACGTGACCCAGCATAAACCGCGCAAAAACGACAACATCAACTTCGCCAATTTCAATCAGGACTTCTCGTGCGTATCAATAGGATACTCCAACGGCTATAAAATCTACAACTGCGAGCCATTCGGACAGTGTTACTCCAAATCAGACGGTAGTATAGGAATAGTGGAGATGCTTTTCAGTTCCTCCTTGCTCGCAATAGTAGGAATGGGAGAACAACACTCGCTCTCGCCCCGAAGGTTAAAAATCATCAACACCAAAAGGCAAACGACAATTTGCGAACTGACATTTCCCGGAGCCATATTGGCCGTGAAACTCAACCGTGAACGACTGGTGGTCTTGCTCGAAGAAACCATCTACATCTACGATATCAACAATATGCGCTTACTACATACCATTGAGACGCCGCCCAACCCGAACGGTCTGATTGCATTATCTCCTTCAAGCGACAATAATTACCTTGCTTATCCATCTCCGCAAAAGCTGGCACCCAACCCGCAGACAGAAATGGCTTCCCATTCGAACGGACAGACGGTGAGGAATGGAGATGTAATTATTTTCGATGCGAAAACCCTACAGCCAACAAGTGTCATCGAGGCACACAGGACGTCCTTAGCGGCAATAGCGCTGAGCAAAGACGGCTTACTCCTTGCCACAGCGAGCGACAAGGGCACCATAATAAGGGTCTTTTCTGTGGCCACGGGTATCAAATTGTATCAATTTCGAAGAGGAACATACCCAACAAAAATATACTCGCTGGCTTTCAGTCCTGACAATAGATTTGTGATTGCAAGTTCAGCTACAGAAACTGTTCACATTTTCCGTCTGGGCGAGGAAGAGGCTGCCAATACGATAAAGTCAGCAAACAAAAAAGCCCGGCTTACGAAAAGCCAAGCCCCAAATCCTCTGGAGACGTCGCCAGATATATATCCACACAACCAGCATACCAGTTCCGACGAGGACGAGGAACTGAATGAGGACGAGGAACTGAATGAGGACGAGGAGGATTTAGACAGAGATGAAGACGACGACCTTGAAGACGACGCACACGTGCCAGTGTCACTACAGCGTGGCAGGTCGTCGTCTTCTACCGGCTCTTTCCACAGCTCGGAGTCGATCACCGACAAACTGAAGGAGCCCCTAGTGGACAATTCTCGGAAGTCAGTTGCAAGAATGCTGCGTCGCACATCCCAAAGCCTAGGCCGAAAAGCTGCGGAGAAGATGGGAACGTACCTGCCTCCAAAGTTCTCCTCTATATTGGAACCGAACCGGCACTTTGCATCGCTGAAAGTGCCTGCTTCCAAGGAGACAAAGACCGTTGTTGGAGTTGGGGGCAAGATCTGGGACGACTTGATTCCCAGCGTGTACCTGAAAGATGATGCTAACTCTATACCTGAGACGTCCGAAGACCTGGTGAACAAGAAGCTGGTGCACATCATGGTAATCACTAGCGAGGGCTTCTTCTATAAGTTTGGGCTCGACCCGGAAAGAGGAGGCGACTGCGTGCTTCTGCACCAGCAGAGTCTCTTTGGCTAGACTGTCAAACCACGCTGATAATACAATCTATACTAGATACCGGGCTAGATACGGCAAAAATGAAATAAGTATACACACAATTATTTTTCGTCAGACCCCTGGCTTGAGGGTGCCCCAGGATATTGGTATCCTGTTTGGTATTGGGACTGCGGAGCGGCGACGGATGATGATTGCGGCTGTTGCTGGCCGTAATAGCCATTGTAGTAGTAGTTGGATCCTGGTTGTTGGGAGGTGGTTGCGTAGGAGTAGCCAGACTGGTTAGCGGAGAGACCAGAAGCGGCGGAAGACGCGGCTGGTCCCGACGAAACCGACGGCTTAGACGAGAGCGACAGTTGTCCGACTTGACTGGTTGGCGTGCCCTGTTGGATCACTTTCTCTATGTCTTTGACAAACAACGGATAGAGCAGATCAATGATACCTTCTCTCTCGGCCATGGCCAGGGCTCTGTCGAAGGGGATCCACACACCTTTCAAATGCATCGAACCGATCTTGACGACGTGTCTGGTCTTCTCTGACTTGAGGATCCCGTCTCTCCTTCCTCTGGTCATCTTGGCGACGTTTAGCAGCTTGGTGCCGTTTATCATGCTGTTATCAGCCCGGCGGACCACACTGACACCATTGGCTTCGACCTGGTAGCACAAGGTTTTTTCGTCTTCCCACATGGTGGTTGTGATTTTCGGACGGATGCCCGGAGGCTGGATCTGCCCCACGGAAGGACTCACAGGCGGATAGTTCACAGAACTGTTCCTGGAGTGGGAGGACGCGCCTGAAGCCACATTTGGCTTAGATGACGGATTAACCCCCGTGCTTGGAGGAGGCGGCAGACTGGTGGACGTGGACCCCGGTCGTGGATACGCACCGTACAGCGGGTACGACGAGGAAGGGTAGTTTCTGTAGGAAGAGGCGTACCCAGCCTGTTGAGCCGTGCCTGTGGCCTGGGGTTGGGCTTGGTAACCTTGTTGTGGGTAGTAGCTCGAGTAGGACGTCGACGAGTATGGCTGCATGTACTGCTGAGCCTGCTGCGCCTGCTGGTGCCCAGGCTGGTGGTAGTCGTTCTCCTGTGGGTGGTGAGAGTAGGAGAACTGTGTTGTTGGATACAATGGCAAGCCGTACTGTTGTTGTGCTGCGGCAGACGGGGTCGACTGGGGCTGGGAATAAGCCGAGTTAGCCATTGAGTAGTCGTAGGGCCTTGTGGACTGGGATTGGGGCTGGCCGTATCCGGAGTACTGGGAGTACTGGTAATGGGGAACAGAGTACTGGGAGTACTGGGAAGGCACTGTTTGGGGTGTATTGCTGGAGGAGGAGATGGACGGAATGACGTTTGAATGTTGTGGCCCTGTAGACGACTGGTTGTTCGCCGGGGTGGAGGAGGGATTATTGTGAGATTCAGACGACATGGGGCTTGACTCAATCTTTAGAAGGATTGTTTTTACCTTTACTATTTTATTTTTCCTGCTGAAAGAATTAATCTAAGTATGCGTATGCACTTGATGGCTTTACTCTCTGCATGCAGACGTATGTAGGATTATGTGGGCAGTGTGTTGGAGTGCGCGTTATACAGGGCAAAGCTGTATGTTTTTGATAGGTGATGCTGTAGAGAAGCTGTGCGGGTGAGGCAAAGTCGCGCTCTGGCGAGCCGGCTCTTTGGCCATGTCAGCCCTTTCGATGGCGGACGCCAACTTTAGTACCGTACACGACTCGTTTCTGATTGCTCAGAAGCGGAAAAACAACGACTTTGGTGCGAGGAGTAATCCATTTTCTCTCGATTCTACGTTCCCCACCGGAATGCTATTTCAGTAAAACAGGTGCGAGGTGTCTTTGCAATTTTGCTCTATATTTTTTCAAAGTACAAATATAGTAGACCGTAGTGGAACTTGAGGTCGTAGAAGATCTTGTCTACTCTCTTGTAGCCCGGAACGGCGGCAGTTTTCAGAGACTCCACCCCCTCATTTTTATTGCCGTCCTGCTCCTCGACGTAAACCACACAGAACTTGCCCGGACGCAAGATCTGTACAACCTCTTTGAGCAGCTCACATCTGGCCTTCCCTGGATAATTAGTTTCAAACGATGCATATGACCAGCCGGATTCGGGAGTGATGTGGAGAGTATAATAGTAATTATTATCCAGGATGCTGTTAGACGAGAATCCGCATGGAGTAAATGCATACGCATCATGTTTGATGTGTGCATAGCCACTGAAGATCTTATCTAGTCCACTACGGGCCATCATTTTTTGACCCAGTAGGTGCCCATAATCCTGCGTGACGGGGTCCATATCGGGACATTCGTTCTGATGTTTAGACAGCTGGAACATGTCACTGGACACAGGGTCCAGCTCAGTCATAAGTAACTCGAATGTCTCATCATTCGAGGCGCCAGCACCATTGCTGATACATGGAGATAAAGGATATCCTATTTCCTTAGTGTCCTTTGGCAAGGAGCTGCTGTCATCTGCCTCTCCGTTTAAATAGAGATACCAGTGGTCTTTGGACAAGTCTCCGACAACGTAGGATTTCGCTTTCGAGGCGGAAAAGAACTTGCTCAGCCACTGCAGCTCATTGTTCCAGTTTCGGTGGATCTCATTTTGTTTGTGCGGGAACATGAAGCTTCTTCTCGAGTAGAAGATTTTGTGGATGGACTTGAAATTCTCATGGACATATCCACAGTACTCCACCACCATTTCCAAAAGTTTGGAAAGGCAGAACAGAGTGGTGGTGGTTCCGCAAGTTTTCAAAATCATTTTGTGAGGAAAAACGAACAAGGACGACTCAGATAGCAGGTACGCGTCCATGTCTTCGGTTGCTATCTTGGACAGAATCTTGCAGCTGACTAGATCCAGCATTTCTTCGACTCCTTCTAAGGGAAGATCCCGAAGCGTTCCCTTGCGGAACACCGATCCGACTGAGGCCTCAGTATCGCAAAACCAGATCTCAAGCAGTTTTTCGGGACCCTCAAAGGCGTTGGTCGAATCCAAGGAAACGGAAAGATCGTGGTTGATGAATTCGGAATACATTGATGGCGCCATGGTGTTGAATAGAAGTGAAACCCAAACAATCAATATACTAGCTCTACTTTTTATCTGGGTTTGGCGGGTCTGTTGAATCTGAAGGCCAATTCTCTAGGCATATGAGCAGTGGAAGCTTGACAACAAGAAAAAAAGATGAAAAAAAATTATGATAGGACGGAATTTATGCACTTCCTGCTTCCATGGTGTTCCATAGGGTTGCCAAAGATTAGAGTACTTGAAGAGGGGGATGTTCGGGAGCTAAATAGCGTGAAACGCTGCTCGAAAACTTGAAGTGCTGGCAGCAGATTCGATGGTTCGAGTTCGAGGCGCCAGAAGTCGACCTGTGAACACCGGTTGTCGTTCGTGACTATTCCTATCAATTACACCTCGCACCGATAAACTCACAAATTCCTAAATTTGGATTTACTAGGCGATTGCCGCGCTAGTTCGTGGCCGGGTAACCAGCAAAACCATGATCCGTTAAATCGGAGTTTAGGTACAGCAGGAGCTTGATTCTCTTCTCCTGATACCCGAGGCCGCTTCCCTAAGTAGGGGCCAAGCTCAGTCCCTCTTCATAACTGGCAGGGATAAAGGGTTTAAAATCTTTCCTACTACTATAAAAACCAGCTCCTGGTAAATACTTTTCAATTTTTTTCACCATGTCTGAGCTCTCTCACCCGATGATCAAAGATGGCTGGTTCGCCGAAGTCAGTGACACTATGTGGCCTGGTGAGGCTATGTCACTGAAGGTGAACAAAATTCTCTACTCTCAAAGATCCAAGTATCAGGATGTGCTGGTTTTTGAGTCTTCGAACTATGGTAACGTTTTGGTTTTGGACGGTGCGATTCAGGCCACTGAGAGAGACGAGTTCTCATACCAGGAGATGATTGCTCATCTTGCACTGAACTCGCACCCAAATCCTAAGAAAGTGCTTGTTATTGGAGGCGGAGACGGTGGTGTTTTGAGAGAGGTTGTTAAGCACGAATGCGTCGAGGAGGCGGTCTTATGTGATATTGACGAGGACGTCATTGCGGTGTCCAAAAAGTATCTGCCTGAGATGTCCAAGTCGTACTCTCATCCAAAGGTCAGAGTGCATATTGGAGACGGATTCAAGTTTCTTGATGACTACAAGAACTGTTTCGATGTGATTATCACCGACTCTTCAGACCCTGAAGGGCCAGCCGAGTCTCTTTTCCAAAAGCCCTACTTCGTGCTTTTGATGGAGGCATTGACAGAAAAGGGCGTCATCTCGACCCAGGCAGAGAGTATTTGGCTTCACTTGAACATCATCAAGGATCTAAAGAAGACGTGTAAGGATGTCTTCCCTGTCGCTGAGTACGCCTACTGCACGATTCCAACCTATCCATCGGGGCAAATTGGCTTTATGGTGTGCTCCAAGGACCCGAATGCTGACGTGACGAAGCCATTGAGAAGCGTTGACGAGGAGACAGAAAGAAAATTGTACAAGTACTACAGCAGCGACATTCACAAGGCTGCATTTGTGCTGCCAAACTTTGCCAGAGAGGCTCTGCAGTAACGGTTTATATAGTTCTATATATGCCACTGGCGAATGTATTATTTTCTAGCTTCTTGCAGCACGTCCCTCAGTTGGCTGATCAAGGTTTCGTTTTCCTCCTTGGTTCCGATGGTGATTCTTAGGCAGCCCTTGCAGCCCAGCTCCTTGCCTCTAAATCTCACCACCACATTTTTTTGCTCGGCAAGCGTAAGGTAGACTCTGTTCGCTATTTCGTTGTCCGGTTCGCCCTCTTTATTGAGGATTTCCACAAGAACGAAATTGGAGTCCAGACCTCCAATATTTCTTCCCACTCCAGGTAGTTTGGCAAGCTCGTCAACAACGAGCTGTCTCTGTTCTTTGATAAGGTCAACTCTCTGTCTCATTCTTGCAAGAGCGGCTTTAGAAGTTGCTCTCAGAGCAACGGAACTCGTCAGATTGCTGATGTTATAAGGGTACTTCATCGAGTTGAGCAGCCGAGACACCTCAGGGGTCGAGAAACAAATACCCAGGCGTATACCAGCCAGTCCAAAAGCCTTAGACAGGGTTTGAAGAACGACAAGATTAGGGTATTTGTTGACGAGAACAGACACAGAGCTGCCAACTTCGCAGAAGTCGACGTACGCTTCGTCCACCACGATCAATCCGTTCCATGTGGATTGCTGCACCTTGGTGAGCAGTTCCTCGAGAAGTTCCGGTTTTATCTGGACTGCGGTCGGGTTGCCTGGGGACGTGATGTAGACCAGTTTGATCGACGGATCTTTTTCAAGCTGGTCCAAGATGAGGTCTGGCTGAATTTGAAACGTTCTCAGGTCCAGAGGCACCTTGACAATCTCAACGTCATTCACAACGGCACAGATACTGTACATCCCGTAGGTTGGCGGACATATGAGCATTTTTTCTTTTCCCGGTGCAACTATACATCTGATAAGGGCATCGATGGATTCGTCAGAGCCGACGCCAAGACACAGATTCGAGACATTTAAAGACGCTTTCTGGCCAGCAACAGTAGGGATTTTCACAGAGGCCGAGCTCAAAGAGGCCTCAGAGTTCCTGAAGTCGCAGATCTGTTGCTTCAGTTGCTCTTGATGTGGGTCGGGGTATCTGTTCAGTTCCAGAGCAGTCTCGCTGTCGGTCAAGTCCGGCACAGAAGGCCCATGTGTATTCTCATTGGCATCCAAAAGAATACCAACCTTGTAATCGTCTCTTGCACAACGGTACGGCTCTAGCGTGAGGATGTTGGGACGGGCAATCTTGGTGATATCAAACATGACGGTGAGTCAGAAAAAGATTAAGAGTGTTTTAGTAATGCCACGAAAAAATTAGACATGCTATTTGCATGGACTGGATCTACAGCATATCACAGTTAGTCAAATCTGAATTCCAGAAAATGCCTGAAGACCAAGAACAGATAGAGGGAGAGGCACTGTATAAGATCGTGCGAAGCTTTTTCGACGAGCCCCTCACAGTCGAAAAGGATCAAAAAACCGTCGAGATCCAGACTTCTCCCATTCTTGTTGATAAGCTCACAACCATCCAACTGCGCCAATGTCTGTCTCTTGTGGACAAGAACTTGGGTGAGACAATGACTCTTGTCTATGGAAAAGACTGGAAGTCAGACAAGGTGGAAGAGATGCGTGACCCTGGTTTGGTGTATTTGTTGCTTCATCACGATACAGAGTTCGTAGGATTCATTTCCATCAAGGCGGTCGAGGACAATGAGTCTCATGTCCTGTACATCTATGAGCTACAGATTGTAAGGAACTATCGACGCATGGGACTCGGATCAAAGCTTCTGGGCATTTTGGACCAGATCGTTGAACTAGTCAATTCGGATCCTGCGTACACCAGCAAGTTTGGCAAGCTAGAAGGGCTTTCACTCACGGTCTTTAGCAGCAACGAAGGTGCCAAAAAGCTTTATTTTTCAAAAGGTTACCGAATCGCATCGCATTCACCTGCAGTCAGATATTTGCGAAACCGAAAAATTCAGCCCGATTATTTTATCTTGGTGAAAAACAAAATTTAGTGCTTCTTTATCGAAGATGATCATTCTGAGCGATAAGCTTATAAAGCAACTGTTGCAAGGACTGGATGTCCCACAAATCCAAGAGTTTCAGGATGTGCTTGTGGACTCTCTGATAGACTACCAGATGGACCACTCGTTGATCCCCCCTAGGATAGTTACCACCACTCCATATGCGACGCACCTGTTTATGGCTTCGACGGGCGAGACAGTTGGAATGAAAGCTCTGACAGGCTCCAAACAGGGGTTCACAGGAGTGACTACTATATTGGACAAGGAAGTCGGCTTTCCCACTGGTATCCTCAACGCTGCTACCTTGACCGCTTTCAGAACTGCTCTTTGTACGAGTCTTGCTTTGGTCAAGACTTTCCCTATTGGATCTGTCGGAGCATTCAAGGAAACGCTTATCTGCATTGGAGTCGGCGCACAAGGGAAGTGGCACACGAGATTGGCCTTGATCCTCTACCCTCAGCGCTTTGATAACGTGGTTTTTGTCAACAGATCTGTGGATAAAGCTGAGGCGTTCGCTTGCGAGTTCCAGTCGGATTTCCCGTCGATAAAGTTCCAGGCGGCAAAGATTGGTAGCAAGGATCTGAAAAGCTACTTCGAAAAAGCATCATGCATTTTCGGCTGTGTTCCAAGTACTGAACCCACCATCCTTAAAGACTACGTGGTGACCAACTCTGTGGAGAAAGTTTTTGTTGGAGCTATTGGGTCCTACAAGCCGCACATGATCGAGATCGAGGGGGAACTGCTCAAAGCTTCCCTATCGTCAGATACGAAGGTCCTGGTTGACTCGAGCAGCCATTGTTTGGAAGAAGCTGGCGAATTCATCCAAAACGATATCGGCGCATCTTCCCTGATTGAGATATCCGAGCTTTACATGGATTCTGAGAAGGGTAGGGAGCAACTGGCAAAAATGGCAGCTGCAAAGGTTGTCATCTGCAAGATTGTTGGCCTGTGTATCATGGATGTCTCGGTTGGTGCCCACGTGCTCGAGAAGGCCAAGGAACAGAACATTGGCGTCGTTCTCGACGACTTCTAGATAAAAGATAGACGCGTCGACCGACGCGATTTTTTGACGGAGCATGTTTCGTCCAAAAAGTATCAAATATTTTTCAGTGTTTTCAGTAACTCGATGTTTCCTCGAAAAATTGGTATTGTCCGCAACTATTCGCGGGCTCTACGATTGGTCAGGAAGGGCGAGGATAAAAGGGCGTCTGTCATTAACTATGATGATATGAGCGTCCTGAAAAATTATTTGAATGGGCTCGATCTAACGTTACTTCAACCGCAAGAAACCGAACTTATTCCGAAGTTCAAGCATACAGGCCGTAATCTGATATCCGTTATGAAGTCGTCGTTAGGTCCATACGAGTCAACAGAAGTTAAGCCTGTGGAGCCAGGTGCGCACAAGGCCATCACAAATGATCTCAAGCGTTTGAGAAATCTCTTGCATTCTCCAAAAGACAGAGAGCTATACGAGTTCTTGAAAAGATTATCGACCACGGGCCGTTTCACGCTCTTGGTTAGAGAGTTGTCTCCCCTTGAAGTGTCCCTAATTGTGAGACGCCTGGCAGCCCTCATGGACCGAGTTATCAAATGGTATATCTTGGAACTGCAGTATATTTCGAGAATCAGTCAGGACGCCGATCTCGATCGAGTCTTGAAAACGAAAACGGAACTGTACTCTTCCATTTCGAGAATATTCCGCAAAATTCAGGAAAGCTGCGAACTGGCCACCATAGATTACGAAAACATGGTTAATTTCCACGCGCACAATTTACGATATCGTACGGCTATTAAGCTTATCTCTGAGATTGAAGGGAAAATATTAAAGGGTGCAGAAAATCTAAAGCTTACAAAATCCCTGTGGATCAATAAGCTCAAGATACTTGGGCGTGCAGATGAGAAAGCCTGGCGCATCAACCGGTACCATTATAAAGAGGCAGAAATGGAACCGCTCCCTGAAAACTACGTTTATCCGCACCATGGTAGCAGCGTGCAGCAATTGCTACAAGAGCTCAACAATTCTGGACTCCAACTAGACACTGACCTGTATGAAACGATCATTCTTAGTCTTGCAGGCGCGGGCGAACTAGACTACCTTCAGTCTTTGATAGACCAGGTATGGGGAATTGGCGGTGAGGCCAACGGCAGCGTCGAGCGCGGTTCTGCATGTTTTCCAACTTTTAGTCTGCTAGAAAAGATTATTGTTGCATTCACCTACAATGGACAGTTCACGAGAGGATTGCTTATTTGCATGACCCTGATTGAAAAATACCAGCTGGATCTGAGGTATTCCCATAAATACTGGACGGGAGTTCTTCGTGCTTCTGGAGTGACAACTAACAACATATACAGAGACATCCAGACCAAGCTATGGGAAAGGGGAGTTGACGAAGAAATGTATAAAGGAGAGTTTGAGCTCCAGCATGAGATATTTGACCTGTTGTGGAGGAGCGCGATGAGTGTGCTGGAGACTCCGTCGAAGGATATGATTAAAGTTCGCTTACGATATGCCAGCTTGGAATCGCTAGTGAAAGATGTTCCCCAAATTCACGAACTCGCCGTCAATGAATACAAAAATGCCTCTGCTAGTGAGGCCGCATACCGTGAAAGTTTATTGCTTCGATACCTCAATATCTGTCGTGTGAAGTTTGTTCAACAGAGGAACTTTTACGAGGCAGAGATGCTCATCAAGAAATTCTCCATGAACCAGAGGATGGAGAACGCTCTCCTTTTCAGGCTTAAGCGGTCTCAGCAGAGATACCTTCGCGAGACGACGGTGAAAAAGGCAGAACAACGCATTATGGAAGATGAGGACGAGGATGGGTTTGGTATTTGGTAAATATGCTATTTCACTAATTCGAGCTCGTTGCAATTCATATATCTGCTGAGGAAAATCCACAGCCATCTGTACCAGACGATCTGAGAGTAATGAGCGTATGTCATGGCCGCCAGGTTGAGGAACCACGAGTTGAAGTTTGCGTAGATCTTGATGGCTTGGCCTTGGTCTGGGATGTAATTCACTAATGATGGCAAATATCTGTGGATTGCGGTGCAGTTCTTGAAAAGTCTTGCAATCAGTTCAACATTAGTAATCACGAATGCACTGTATTTGGCAGCGATGGGCCACGATTTGAGCTTGAAAAACCTAAGCTTATGTATCTTTGAATACTCTTCAACACCATAATACAACGACTTGTGGTTAGGATGTCCGGAGACACCTTCTTCATCGAAGGAGACCAGAATTCGCTTTGGTTTGTAAAGCGGTAGCTCCCTCAGTTCTTTGGCCAAAGTGGCCGCGATCGCGCTTGCATCCCATTCTTCGTGGATGTTGTCAACATAGTCCAGTGTCCTGTGGGTCTGAAATCCTAGTATATTGGCTGCCCGGATTAATTCTTGCTGCCTGGTTTCGCCGAGCCCGTCGAAGTTTCCATCCGAAAAACAGACCAAATGCAACGCGTTGTTGTACTTGGACTTCGAGAGCTCAACAATAACGGGACTGAAAAACATGGACTCGTCGTCCGGATGCGCGGTGACAAATATCACGTCTGCATCATTAAGCGAATGTTCTGACACTGCGGCTTGGTTGAGTTCGTACAAGGGATCATATGGCGACTTCTGGGTGTTGGAGCTGGCAACCCAATAGGGTACAACGGATGACAATATGGCCCACACCATCAACAGACACATATACTTTTTCAAAAGTTTGCCAGACACCCTGAATATGTTCATGCTAGTAATTAATTCACGACGATCTAAATAATCGTCGTATTTTCCTCAGTGCGTCGGTCGTCCAATTTTTTTCCTCGACATGTATTCACGTTCAAGGACGCAGATTTATCAATTACGGGCGTCCACCCGTTCAACTTCGAACCTGACACCAGCAGACGAGCTTCTCAAGCTTGTGGCTCACCTGCAATCACCCAAGTTTGCTCCAACGCTCCCGGAGAAAATCCCAGTTCCCCAATCGCTTGAGGAGAAAGAAACCTATCGAAATCCGTTTGTGCGATTCCGCCTGAACGATGTACTGCAGAGCTCTATACGCTTCCGGTTGCCTACTAAGTATCGAGATCTGATTAATGTGAAGGAGCCAACGCCCAGAGGCCCCGATTTTCTAAAAACGGATCTTGTGGATCTCTTCTTGGCTCGCACTGGTGGCAAGCATCCCACAAGGTTCCGCACCATCCACAGTCCAGAAGCCTCTCCAGCCATCATATTCCCTCCAGATGTGTGTCGCAAAATCCAAAATATGTCTTCCAGCTATGACGTTGATCAGATCATACAGCATTTAGCGGCGGAGCTGAAGAGATACTCGCGATTTGACATAGTTTGCGGTCTTTTGTCTTTGACCAAGGTTTTACCCCAGGAATCAGAGCAGAAAGTGGTAGAGCACAGTTTGAAGACACTTGAGATTATAGACCAATCGGAGACTACCGTATTGCTGCAGGAGCTTATGAAACTAGAAAATTTTGACTACGTCCAACAGGCTATTGATAAAATGAATAAGTTGGATCCTTCGCGAGACTTCCCCAGAGACGCAACCTCCCAGCTTCAAGCTTGCTTGCTCGAGTTCGCGATCAAGCACCGTAAGTTTCAATTTGCCGCTCAAATGCTCACCTGCTTGCTCGAAAAGCGGCTAGTTCCAACGCCAGATATACTTGAAAAATATGCAAAACTTGTCAAAGACACCGCAATGTCCGTCGACGCCGACATCAGCAGCCGCAGAATCGTCTTCATGGCCTATGCTACCCCGCTCGCACGTGCATTACAGCATCAAACGAACACCATCAGCAGAAGCTTGGTCCAAAACATTACTTTATGGTTATCCATCCACGAACTTTTTTGGTTCCTGGAGTTCCTAAAACACACAGGGGCGGTAGTTAACGGGATTAATTCTGCGATCATTGAACAGCACGGAAGACTGGCGAAGAAATCATCAGCCATAGACAACGCGTTGACATTGACCTCATTGATTGGCCACTTGAGAAAACACAAGTTTGAGCCTTTTGATGACAACTGCAGAAAGTTGATTATTTCGCAATACTGCAAGTTTAAATCTCCAATTGCCGCTCAATGGTGGATTGACTCGCTTAGAGAGCCGCTCTCTGCTGACGAAACTAGTCAAATTATAAGAGATATCAAAGCCTCGCCTTTTAAGGTTGACGAAAAGGAATTTCCGTACCATGGTCAAAAACACATAGACGCATTTATAGAGAACCTCTCTACCTAGAGAATACATTATTCCCATTTCTCAGCAAAACGACCTTCAATGCCATCAAGGCAGCTCTTGAAGGGCACGATCTGTAGATTCTCGAGCTCTGCTTTGAACTGTTTATCGACCGACGGACCTGCGCCAGCCATTGGGGGCACCATTGGTTGCTGCTGCTGTTGGGCCATAAGCTGATTCACAATGTCGCCGTCATCGAGAAGCAAAGAGTAAATGCTCTTCAGACCAAGCAGGTTCACAAAGTACCAGGATATGGCACTGACGTACGTGACGTCCAAATCAGTTGTGTCTATACTTTGTTGCAGCATGCTCTTGAAATTTCCTGTAAGATTAAAGGGCAAGCGCATCACCACGTATCCCTTGAAGAAGTAGTTAACCCACCACATGATCAAGGTCTGGGGCACATAGTTGGCGAAATTATTTTTCATCATTTGGAACAGAAAGTCCGAGGAGTTGGCATCTGCCAATGGGTTTTTAATTTCGTTCGGGTGGCTTGGAGGCAGTTCCTTCCAATACTTCGTGCCAGAGTATTCCGAGGTGAAGAAGTCGATTTTATTCTGCAGCTCCTGCTTCGCCCAAAAAACCGAGCAATTGCGTCGGTACGTCCGTAGTCTTGCCAGATGCTGTTGTTCTCTGACGAGTTTGTAGTCCTGGAGTTTCATTTTTGGTTGCAGTAAGACAGAAATGTAGCTGCGAAGAATACCGACCAGCACCATAACCACAGAGATCGGCAGTAATACCCATAGTTTAAGGGCTGGATCGAGAACTAAATCGGGCACAGGCATCGTATAAATAAATATAGAGAGCGATAAAAATATTTTTCCAAAACTCGTATGCGCTTAAGAATAGCAGCCATCCAATTGAACCCCTTGCTGGGAAAATTTGAGGAAAATGCATGCACAGCTTTGAGACTCGTTGACCAGATCAGAAGCAAGAAACCCGATATTGTCATATTTCCAGAGATGGCTCTTACAGGATACAACTTTGCGGGACCTAACCAGATAGATCCCTACCTCGAGGAACAAGGGGGAGGAAAATCTTTTGAATTTGCAAAGAGGGTCTCACAGTCTCTCAAATGTCACACGATCCTGGGGTATCCAGAAAGACATTCATCTACGACATACAACTCAGCCATGCTGATAGGTCCCGACGGCTCTCTGGTTCATAACTACAGAAAATCATTTCTATACAAGACAGACGAGACATGGGGCGCAAAAGAGTCTCCCACGGGCTTCGAAGCCTTTGACATCGTGATAAACGACTGCAAGATTAGATCTACTATTGGCATATGTATGGATCTGAACCCGTACAAGTTTGAAGCGCCATTTGACGCATTCGAGTTCGCTAACTTTTGTCTTGAAAAACAGGTGCAACTTATATTAGTTCCAACAGCATGGATGAGCACGAGCTGGAGCGAAGATTGGAAAGATCAAGCTAAATATACAAAATTATTCGAGCAGCAGATGCCCTTCGAAATTGACATCGAAAGATCTGCCGCAAATGACAGCATTTTAACCGCATTGGAGGAGCCTTACGACCGCGCGAAGCCAGACAAGCGGACTGCGCAATACTGGCTGATACGGTTCCAGCCACTTTTATTCAACAAACACGAGAAGATGGTTCTTGCAGTTTGCAACCGGTCCGGTGTGGAGGGAGATCTCATGTATGCGGGTTCATCCTCAATTTTCCGCTTCAATGGTAACGTGTATGAAGACGGAGTGGACCTGGAAGTGTTTGGCACGCTTGGACAGGGAGTAGAAGGTGTGCTGCTCAGGGACGTGGAGGTCTAAGGTGACTACTTTTTGAGCTGCTTCTTCAACTCGGTAAGCTCCTCCTGGACGGAGTTGTACGCTCTGCGCCAACCCTCGGCTTCGCGGTACGTTTTTTCCAGCTCTGCTTTCAATTTCTCGTTCGAATTGGCAAGCTCGCTCACAGCCTGATCGGTGATAAGCTTCTCCAAGGTCCACTTCTCAATGTTGGAGTCCTCATTTTCTTTCAGCCTCTTTATGTACTCAACGGCACGCTTTAGAATCTGGGACTTGTTGTGGTCCTGTGTTGGTAGCAGTTCCTGCAACTCTTTGATGCCCTGGTTGATTGTCTCTCTTCTTCTTTTTTCCACTTCCTTGTGGTTCTTTTTGCGCCATGTGTGCCACTCTTCCGATCCTGCTGCTGGTCTTAAAGGTGTAGGTTCCACAGGTAAGGTTGTGCTTTGAGGGACCGTCATAGTGGGCAGACCCTGTCTGACAGGTTTTTCTGCGTTGGTGGCATTCTCAGTGGACTCCTGAGTTTGATTGGTCTCTAACTTGATGCGCTTGGCCTTTTGTTCCTCCTCGCTGGACATAGTAACTAAACTTAATTTAGAGTTGTTTATTTTTTGTCAGGTGAGCGAAACACACATGACCGCAAAATTGTGGCGGTGTAAAGGAATTGTCCTTCCAGCACTTTTTTTCGACTCGTGCAGGAATTAAAGTCCGTTATCAAGAATATTTATAGAAATGTGTCGTGTTGTTGAGTGTGGAAAATGCCATGGGAGCGCGTGGACGGGCTGCGGAAAGCACATTGCTGCTGCGATGTCGACTGTGCCAAGAGCAAAGTGGTGTGTTTGTGAACATAAAGACGACGCTTTTCCTAAAGATTTTCCTCCAAGAGTGGAGCCCGCAGCTACCGTGAGTAATTAGAAGAGTGTATTAGCTACGTGTAAATAGTATGGTGCCCATAGGGCGACTATTTTTGTCTCTTGTAGATTTTGTTCAAGAACGAGGTTAGTACTTCTCCCTTGAAACCTCTAGACTCGTCCACATTGGCGATCTTGGAGCGCAGCTCAGCGGCAACCTTTTCCTCATATTCAAGATACAGCTGGTCAATCTTGAGATCTTTGAAAATTTGCTTGCACCTGGCCTCCTTAGCCGAGTCCTTGCGGCCATAGTTCTCGTCCAAAATAGCTCTCTGTTCTGGAGTGCAGATTTTGAGGGCAGTATTGATCACCCACGAACATTTATTATCAAGGATATCTGTGCCGATCTTTCCAATGTCCTCTGGCTTCCCAAAACAGTCTAGGTAGTCGTCTTGGATCTGGAAGTACTCGCCAAGAGGGATCAAAACGTCCTGGGCTTGCTTCAAGTCTCTCTCGTCCGAGACACCGGCCATGTACATCGCAAGAGCAACAGGCAAGTAGAAGGAATAGTATGCAGTCTTGAAGGTGACGATGAAGGAGTGCTTGCTCAAAGAAAACTTGGCAAGGTCCACATGATCTTCCGGTGCAGTCAACAGATCCAAAAGCTGGCCCAGCTCTGTCTGGAAGGTGACCTCATGAAAGAGCTCCAGCAGATCAACATAGTATGAGTCTTTTCTGAAGTACTTCTTCAGCAGAATGTAAATGGCAGCCTCCAACATGAACGAATCGTTGATTGCTATTTCATTAACCCCGTCTACTCTGTACCAGCAGGGCTGACCTCTTCTGGTGATAGACTTGTCCATCATGTCGTCAGCGACAAGGAAATATGCTTGCAACAGTTCAACAGCCCAACCTAGAATGGCAGTTTTCTTGTATTCCTCGGGATCGAAGTCGTCGAAGGACTTATACCCTTTCAAAAGGGCGTAGGTGTCGACGACAGAAAGACCTCTGTTCAGTTTCCCACCGGGGGTGTTGTAGTTCAGATTGCGTTTAAACCATTCAATTGCCTCCTGAGGCATACCATAGTCCTTAGTTACCGTTTCGAGGTCGCTAACAAGCTCTGGGAAAACGTCCAGAAACTTAGATCTAGCAGTGGATTTGTCCATCGTTCGTGTTTGGTTTATTCAATTAAAATGAACGAGCTACCCAAAACGGAAGGATTGAAAAAAATTTATATCAAAAAATATTTACTTTACATGGGAGAGGAATTCGAGAGCACCGCTTTGAGTAAAAAGGAGCAGCGTAAGCTCAAGAAGCTTCTGCGCAAGGCCAAGAAGGAAGAGGGAGGAGACGATGCATTAAATTTGGAGAAACTGAACGAAAGTGCTAGCGACGAAGAGGAGCTGGAGCTGGATCAGGGATCTAATAATAAGGACGACGAGGAGTCTGACATTCCGCTTTCCGAGGCAGAATTGGAACCAGATGCAGACGTTGTGCCGCACACAAAGCTAACCGTCAATAAAGTGGCTGCTCTGAAACAGAGTCTCGCAAGTTTTGCATTGCCATGGGATAAATTACCGTTTGATGAACATCAATCTGTCACGTCATCAGAGAGGGTGGATACGCAAGTCAAGGACGTTTACGACGATACAGAGCGCGAGCTGGCTTTCTACAAGCAGGGGCTGGAGGCTGCCAAGATTGCCCGCCAAAAGCTTCTTGCACTCAACGTTCCCTTCACCAGGCCTCCGGATTATTTTGCAGAAATGGTGAAATCAGATGCACACATGGACCAACTCAAGGTGAAGCTGATCAAAGAAGCATCCGAAAAGAAGGCCAGAGAGGAGGCAAGAAGACAGAGACAGCTAAAGAAGTTTGGTAAGCAAGTGCAGAACGAGACCCTCCAAAAAAGACAGAAAGAGAAATCCGAAGCTCTTGCTAAGATCAAGTCTTTGAAACGCAAGAAACGGAATCACGAGATTGATGAGGAGGAGTTCAATATCGCAGTTGAGGAAGCTGTTGCTGCTGCTCCTGAGCAAGGGCGGAGAGGTAACAAGAAGCAGAAGGTGGAATCCAAGTTAAACCGCAAGAAGCCTCAAAGGCCAGGAAAAAGCAAACGACACAGACGGGGTAAATAGGTATCTAACATATTAATGTCTTGAAGTCTATACAATTCCAGCGCTCTTTAACTTTCCGAAGACTTCGTGGTCCACATATTTTTTCAAAGATGGCTCGTCATCAAGACCTTTCATTTTCCTAGTTTTCATGGTAAAGTCGCGGGACAGGGACTGGATTGGCGCAGGTTTCAGAACCGGAATGAAACAGTCCTCGTCCAGTGGATCCCCAGGAACTACGGACCAGTGGCTGAACACCAGTTGGCACATCGCTTGGCCGCGACTGTACATTCGAATGTCCGTCTCCAGCCCCACAGAGTCGATCACTGGAACATACCCGTATACTTTGTATAGCGGGGCGCCTTCCACGGGAGCATCGTTCGTGATTTTGCCTCTTCGTCTATCGAGCAGCTTGTTCAGGGCAGGTAACACCGAAGAGAAACACAAAATATGAATCTCATAAACCGGTTCGAGTAATCGTGGAGTAGCCGTCATCATTGCCGTGTAGCATGCCTTCCGCGACATCTGAATGATTTGTGCTCCGTTTGATTCTAGAAAGTTGGTTGATAACTGTGCACCAATGATCCTAAATTTGATGTTTCTCACTGGTTCGTCGCAAAGAGGCCCTTCTCTAGTCGACCACTTGAAACCCTGGATAATCAATTCTTTCAGCTCTGCAAGCCTTGCTTTATCTGTCTCCTCAGGCAGCGTGTCGTCGAGAAGCATACACGTACCCGTTTCATCAGGACCAAAAGCCCAAACAGATCTCGCGGCCAAAGCATCCCATCCATAATCATTCCTAAGCCTCTTGGCAAGTTCCCTGGGAGGAATTGATGGTACGAGAACACCGGCTTCAATATCCCTGGAAATATCCTCCTCCAGAGGCTCTGCTATCACAGTGAGATTGTTTTTCATGTTGGCAGATTCTGTAATCAGCTTCACTTTCGACATGTCCAAACATGTCTCCGAAAACCGAGCCGTGGGATCACTAACCTTGATGTCCAGTTTCGCATATAGCAGTCGCAAATCGTGGAGCAGACAGTCCAAATACAGCTCTCCGTACCCCAATATCACGTGCTCGCCTCCCTGTTCAACTCTAATCTCTGATCCGACGTAAGATCTGTTGAGCTTTTTTAGACCTTCAGTGAATTTCGAAAGCTCGGACGGGTTTGCAGGTTGCACAGCAATTTTGAAGACCGGTTTCGATATTTTGTCCAGTGGTCTAAATATTTCCAGCGTTGGAGACTTGAGCCTTTGGTCGAAAATGGTGGCAGTCTTACTGATAAACACGTCAATATCGTGTCCTGAAATCAACCCTATAGACCCGGCTGGAATACCTTCTACTGGAATCTTGTAGCGCGAGCAGCTCAAAAATGCACGCCGCACGTCCTGTACTTTCATGTCATCTGTGAACTCTGGGCTGTAGTTCTCACCCAGCAGCAGAAATGAATTGCCTGGTTTTAATGTGCCTGAAAGCACACGCACCTGTGCATAGAACCTCGCTGCGCTAGCAGAGTCAACAAGCTTTGCCACATACGCTATGACCGGGCCCTTAGGATCGCACTTCTCAATGTGCGCGAGCAGTTCATCGGAGGTATTGCCTTTGTATAGTAGATTGAATTTGTCAACATTCATGTCTTCCGGTGAAGGCATATGCTGTATTAGGTCCACGAAAGGAGGGCAAACTCCACCGAAAAAGGCAAAAAAGACCTCCTTCAGCAGAAGTTGGACATCTAGTTTGAATTTTGAGGGATGAATACTGGAAATTCCATGAGATTCCTCGAGATATTGCTTTAACTCTTTCGGGCTTTTCGTCAGAGTAGCGGTGACCATCTTATATATCGGTTCCAGGACAAACTTGATGAAACTTCTCGATTTTGCGTGAGTAGCCTTATCTGGAGGCTTAATTGTGAATTTCTTGTCAATATAGTAGATATCTCCCCAAAGTTTGGGAGCAAGTGTGTCAAGATCCAGCTTGGACTTCTCCAGATATCTCTTTGCAATGCTGCGGAGAGTGAAACAGCTGTTCAAGTTGCTGGAACTAAAACACACATTCCCAAGAGCAGGCGAGAGTGTCGTTTGTCGAGTATAGCTGCCATTTTTAACATGCTCAGACGAAGAGATATAGTCGTTAATCTCGTGAACGATGCTGCGAAGTTTATAGTAGGCATCCAGTGGCGGCAGTCGAAGTTCCAAGATCAAGCGGTCAAATTTCGAAATATTCAGACAAATGGGAGTGTTGGTTAACAAAATATGATCTAGAGCCAGCTGCAAACCTTTGGTTAGACCTTCAACGGCGTCTACAACCAGGACAGCAATATCGGCAAGTCTTACTGCCACAGCCATCTCGTCCACAAAATCAACGTGTCCGGGTGCATCGAGAATGTGTGTCACGGTGGATTTTTGCTCCAGATCTGGCATCAATAATGACATACTCGATGTCTTTATAGAAATCCCCCGTTTGATTTCTATGATATGATTGTCCGTGTATCGAAGGGGCTTGTAATCTTTGGCTTGAATGTGATTGATGTCATGGGTTTCATGGATAAGTTGGTCTAAAAACGTTGTTTTCCCGGAATGTAAACCACCAACGAGAGCAATATTTCGCACTTTTGACGGGAGAAATGTCATATTCCACAGGTAATCCTTCGAATAGAATGTTTCGGGTAGATGTTCCTCTTCTACTTTAAATTTCTGCTCCGTGTCAGGCTCAACAATAGGCTCGCTGATATCCTTTGCATCAGATGTCGCTATAATAGTCTCAACATCTTCTCCAAAAACCTCCTGTAAGCCAGGTTGCCTAACAGCGAGCTCCGTGTGATTGACCTCCATTGCCTCGTCGCTTGAACTGTCGCTCTCTGGAACACCAATGAGGTTTCCAAACTCATCGTAGAGTTCTTCAGACATATTGAGGCTGGATTAAATTTTTAACATTTATTTCTTAGACGAAAGCAAAATCGTAAATAGACTCGCTATTATCATGCAGACCCAGCAGCCTGTGTTATACTCTTTTTTGCCAAACTCGGAGCGTCTCCGACATATAAGAGAGCATGTCATCCATGATATTAATGATATATGGCAAGATGGAGACGTTTCCGAGCAGATTGAACACTTCAAGTACAAACAGGAACTCAAGAAGAAGTTCTCGTTCGGGTCCATTATCGGTTTGGGGTTCTCCCTTATGAATGTCCCCTTTGGAATCTCCTCGACGTTGTCAATTGGGCTGGTTTGCGGCTCCAGTTTTACTATTCTTTGGGGTTGGGTTTTATTCTCGCTCTTCACAGTCTTCATATCGCTGTCACTGGGTGAAATTTCCGGAAAGTTTCCCAGTTCCGGCGGTGTCTATCACTACAGCAGCATACTTGCCAATGAAAAATACGCACTAGCAAGCTCCTGGTTTACCGGATGGTATCTGGTACTGGGAAACTGGCTGATGTTCATCTCGTACGCGTTTGGAGGTAGCCAATTCATTCTTTCAATTTTGGGTATCAAAAGTCAAGACTACAAGCACGATGACTTATTTGTTCTGTTGCTCTACTTCCTGATTATCACCCTCAGTGGGCTGGTAAATCTCAAATTCCAACGGCACCTCGAGAAAATCAACAAGTTGTGCATTTATTGGACCATTTACACGGTTCTGGTGATGGATTTTCTGCTGCTAATTTTCAGTACAGATTTCCACGATGTCAAGTATATTCTCACCAATTTCGACGCTTCCAGAAGCGGCTGGCCTGCAGTGATTGCATTTGTTGTTGGTGGCATTCAGTTTTCCTCTCTTACGTTCAATGGCTATGGAATGATTGTCTCCATGAGTGAAGAAGTTCAAACTCCAGAAAGAACTATACCACGTGGTCTGCTAGTTTCTGTGCTGGTCAGCAGCCTGACGGGGCTCATATTCATCATCCCAATTCTGAGCATTCTTCCTGACCTCGAGCTCCTTCTAGATGAGAACCCCGATATATTTCCTATCGATATTGTATTCAAGCTTTCAACAAAGTCAATATTGGTTTCATTTGTCTTGGTCATCCTGATTATCGGCTCTTCAACGTTCGCTACAATTGGCTCGCTCACCACGGCCTCTAGAACTGTTTACGCCTTGGGAAGAGATCGCGGGCTACCTTTCAATCAGCTTTGGGAGCAGGTCGATACCATGTCGGACGCGGAAATAGTCCCCAAAAATGCTCTTCTGCTTTCCGTCGCAGTCTCCTTTTTGCTTGGAACCTTTTCAATGGTATCCAGTACTGCATTCAATGCATTTGTGGGCTGCGCTGTAGTGTCGTTGAACGCTGCTAATGGAATACCGATATTGTCTTCCATGCTGAACAAAAGACGCAAAATTCGTGGATCTGCTTTCAAGTTGCATAAGCTGGGCTATATCATCAACGGCTTCAGCGTGGTATTCATTTTGCTTACCATTGTTGTTCTTTGCATGCCTCCTTCAAGGTATATCGATATCACCACTATGAACTATGCCGTCGCTGTGTTCGGTTTGTTCACCCTCATGATTGCCGTTTTATACTATGCCTGGGGAAGACACAACTTCCACGGCCCTTTGCTCGATACCGATGAACAGGCTGAAATTGCAGCTCTGGCTACCGCCCTCGAAAACGTTCAGCCTATCCGCCCGGAAGAAGACCAAGACGATGATCAGTTTGTTCTCGAAGACAGCGAGTATATTTCGCACAAAACTCCGCCCCTTGATGATGATACTGATACCCTCTTTGATATTTCCCAAAGCCAAGCATCATCTTCAGATCAACCAATATTTGATCCGAAACCAAAAAACTCTAGTTAATAGCTCCGCATGCATATATTCAATGTAAAATACATTATTATCACTCACACATAGAATACTCGCCTAGAAGGATATTATTGAAAGCGCAACTGACACTGAAAAACGATCCCTAACAGGACCCTGTGGTGCGTGGAGATATCAGTGTCTGCAAACTGATGGTCAAGAATGACTTAAGGATCATCAAAAGATAACTCATTGTTTGCAACTCTGGATATACTTGCGTTGTCATAGCCAAAATACGGTATCTCGGAGTGCTCAACCCATAGCAGTATATATTTTATAGAGGCAGATACAATTCACCAGCATGCTTGATTTTATCATGCATGCATCAAATATTTCTCCAAATTATTTTTTCTGGGAACCGTTCGAAAACTTAGACAAATGTATTTAAGCTCCTGCCAAACCGGCTTGATGCGAACGGTTTTAGGCCGATCGTCAATCTGTCTGAGGCTCTATTCTTCCGGTGTGCGCCGTTCCAGATTTCAACGGACTCAACAAGGTGAAAAGCAACAAAGCCAGATAAATAAACCTTCCGACACCAACCTCACGGTACAAAAAAATAATCCCAAATCAAATTCGAAAGATGTGGACCCAAAACGCACTCTAAAAGGTCAGGATGCTGCAATGCCGACACGACAGTCAAATCATAGGAAAAGCAATGACCATGGACGTCAGCAAAAACCAACTTCGCAAGCACCACCAGCGAATAAAAAACCAATACGAGTCAAGGTTAAGCACAAGCCAAAGCCGCAACAAGATTCCTCGAACAATCGCCCAAAACTAGATATTCCAACCTTTCTGACGATTGCGAACTTTGCACAGATCCTTCGAGTCCGAGTTCCCGACCTACTGCTCAAAATGAAGCATCTTGGATTCGAAAACATGACCAACGACTATATTCTTGATTCCGAGACTGCAGCACTCGTTGCGGACGAGTATGGCTTCGAAGTTAATACAAATGACGATACCGGTGCGGATCTGTTTCCCTCTCCTGAGCCCACTGATCCAAAGTTACTCAAACCTAGAGCTCCTATTGTTACCATTATGGGACATGTTGACCACGGTAAAACTACGGTTCTTGATTATTTGAGAAAGTCATCTATTGCCAAAGGTGAACATGGGGGAATTACGCAGCATATAGGTGCATTTGTTGTGAAGACGCCAGTGTCTAAGAAAACAATAACTTTTTTGGATACGCCAGGTCATGCAGCCTTCTTAAATATGCGAGAGCGTGGGGCTAACATAACTGATGTTGTGGTCTTGGTTGTGGCTGCTGAAGACTCGGTGATGCCGCAAACAAAGGAAGCTATTCGACATGCAAGAAATGCCGGTGTGCCAATGGTTGTTGCAATAAACAAATGCGATAAAGAAGAGGCAAACCCGGACAAAGTTGTCGCAGACCTCTCAGCGAACGGTGTAGAGGTTGAAGATTATGGTGGAGACGTTCCAACAGTTAAAATCTCTGCCAAGACAGGCATGGGTATGGAAGAACTTGAAGAAACCATCGTGGCTGTTGCCGAATTGCAGGATATTAAAACTCAGGAAGATAGGGTTCCTGTTGAGGGCTGGGTTTTGGAGTCCCAGGTGAAGAAGGGTTTGGGAAATGTCGCAACTTTTTTGGTTTTGAAAGGTAAATTGAAAACGGGTGCTGTTTTGGTTGCTGGAGAGACGTGGTGTAAAGTTAGAGTCATGAAGGATGAGTTTGGTAAACCGGTGAAGGTTGCTGGGCCTGCCACTCCGGTTGAGATATCCGGCTGGAAAGATATTCCAGATGCTGGAGAGATGGGGCTCGAAGCATCCAGTGAAGCTTTGGCTAAAAAAGTGATTTCAAATAGAGAGAAGCGAAAACTTCTGTTAGAAGAAGCGTCTCAAATCGAGGAAATGAACAAGCAAATGTTGAAAAAAATGGAAACATCTCGTCGTGAGGAGAAAATCCAAGAGTACCAGCTTGAAGGTCTCACTATGGATGAGATCAGGGAGTTGGAACCAGAACTGTTTGACGATGAAGAAACCAAGCTATTAGAAGTTCCGTTCATTGTGAAGGCGGATGTTAGTGGATCCGCAGAAGCTATATCTCAAAGCATTTCAGGATTGGGTAATGATGAGGTGCAGTCGACTATATTATATGAAGAAGTGGGACCTCCGACAGAAAGCGATATTGAGCGTGCGAAATTGTCTAATGCTCAAATTCTAGCATTCAACGTCAAGGTTCCCAAAGATATTGTCAATCTTGCATCTCTCAATGGTGTTGAAATCAAGGAATTCAAAGTCATCTATCACTTGATCGAAGACGTCATGAAGTATTTGACCTCGAAGCTGCCAAAGAAATATGAAACAAAAATACACTCCACTGCATCGGTCAAGCAGATTTTCGAGATCAGTCTAAAGAATAAGTCGAAGATGAAAATTGCCGGGTGTCGTATCACCAGTGGAGTTTTCAAACGGAATGCAACCGTGCGCCTGTTAAGAAAGGGCAACGAGGTATACAGAGGAAGAGTTAGACAGCTGAAGCACGAAAAGCAAGACGTGAATGAAGTCGCAAATGGTGTCGAGTGTGGTGTTGCTCTGGAAGGAAACGTTGAATTGAAAGTTGGAGATGTGATTGAAGCCTTTGAGGAGGTAGAAATACAGAGACATTTGTGATCGGGAATTGTAAATAGCATGCGAAGCCTGTAATATAACTAGTTTGATAACAACTGGCGCCTTTGAGAGCCATAAAAGCTATCTGATAACAAGTTCTGATAGACTTTGTATATCAGGACCAGTTCCTCGTTGTTGGTAGTTTCGAGTTTCGCATGGAATTTGCTTAGAAAAGCGCGTTTCGATTCATTGAATTCCAATTTCCCAGCCAGCCTTTGTAATAAATGCAGCGAGTCTGATTTATCCTGATCCTCGATTAAGTACTGCAAAAGTTGAGTGTCCGCGTTGAACAAAAAGTCAATGATCTGATCAACTTTGAGACGGTCGATCTTGTAAGAGTCTAGCTTGAGCAACAGGTCGTCCAGCTGGATGTCGTAGTCAGCCGTTACCACTACTGATAATCCTGATTGAATGTTACCAGCAGTCGATTCTTCGGGAATTGCGTGACTTACTTCGTGCTCAAGTTCTGGGCTGTTGTTATGTGCGTGCTCATGATCTAGAACCAAAGTTGTTGGCAGATGGAGCAAGCTTGCATCAACTCCTGGAACTAGCTCTCTTTTTCGCACCCAAACTCTTCTCCGAACAAAATTGCCAAACCTTCCTATCCCTTTCCACTTGCTACTCCCAAAACGAACCTTAGAATAAACCCAACCCTCTTGGTCCACATCTTGGATCATCAAAATAAACCAGTTGTTCCAGCTCCAACGCCAACTCCTACTAGGCAACGGGTAGAGACTGAGACTTGTAATCGCATGTCCCTTCAATGTCTGGAACTTGGGAGGGTCCAGAGGATACAAAAGCGATTCCCGACTGTACAGAGGCATACCCAGTACCGTTGCGCCTCTTTGGTTCTCTATGATCACTTCATATTTGTAGGTATCCTCCCCTCCAACAAACTGGCTCTCGAATCTGCTGATGTCACCCAAATCCACATTGTTTCCATTCAAATGTGTCAAACAGTCCAAAAATTCGGCAGAGTCTTTAAATTGTGGAAGCCTTGCTAAATGCTTTTCAATGTTCTCGTAATGAGAAACCTGGGTCTCCAAGATAGATTCATTAAAACCATTGTTCGTCGTGTAGCGGCTGTGTAGCGGATAAGTAGCGAGAAAATCATCTCCGAATCCTTGTCTTGCCGCTGCCATAAAAAGGGAGAACCAGTACGTTTGTTTCCCTCCAAAAAAATATTAAACATATTTTCCAATCATTGGAATATCTGAAAAATGTCGAAATCGAAGGACACGTCGACTTCGGCTACGCCACCTGCAGAGGGCAGCGGCGTGGTGCTCTATGACAAAGAACCGGATGCAACAGAAGAGGCCTTGAACACCTTCGTGAACTTGAGAGACAATATCTACTGCGATAGCATCAAAGATATCTATTCTGCAGCCGACGAGTTCATGGCCTGTGATTGTATCGAAAAAGTCGATTCTGATGGAGTCAACCACGCTTGTGGTCCGGACTCCGATTGTATCAACCGACTTACAAATATTGAGTGTGTCGACGGTCAGTGCAGTGGCTGTGGAGACAAATGCCAGAATCAAAGATTTCAAAATAACGAGATCGCACCTGTTTCCATTTTCAAAACGGAACATAAAGGCTACGGAATGCGCGCAGACGAGGATATATCTCCACACACGTTCATCGTTGAGTATAAAGGAGAGATTGTCGATAACGAGCTCTACAAAGAGAGAAAAGAGCAGTACTCCAATGAGGGCATCAAGCATTTCTATTTCATGATGATACAAGACAACGAAATCATTGATGCCACCAAAAAAGCAAGCATTGGCCGTTTCTGCAACCACTCGTGTGATCCCAACGCATATGTTGAAAAATGGGTGGTCAACAAAAGATTTAGAATGGGCATTTTTGCCAAACGAAAAATCATCAAGGGTGAGGAAATCACGTTCGACTACAACGTCGACCGGTACGGAGCCGAGCCACAAAAATGCTACTGTGGGGCTCCGAACTGTCTAGGTGTTATGGGAGGTAAAACGCAGTCCGAGAGTGCTAGATTGCTTCCGCATGTCATTACTGAAGCTCTGGGAGTCCGTGCTAATGTGGAAAAGAAATGGATCAAGGAGCAGAAGAAATTGGGCACCAAAGTCACACAAGACAACATTGAGTCGAATGTCAACGTTGAGTTTGTCAAGTCTTTGGAACTCGAGCCGCTAAGATTGGCAGATGTGCCCAAGGTAGTGAGCTGTTTGCTACAACCCGACTTGGACTTTATCGTGATATCTCGGGTCATTGAGAGGTTCTCCCTTTGCGACAACTTTGATGAGATCGTGAATCGTTTTTGCAGGCTTCACGGAATGCAAGCTTTAAGCACTGCACTGAAGACTCTGCTGGGCTTATCCGGAGACAGGTTTTCGATTGAAGAAGAAGAGCTGTTTGCCCCCATCGTCAGGATTCTTCTGCATTGGCCCCCGTTGCGAGCAAAAAATACAATTGTCAGCTGTAGGATGGACGAAATGCTTCAAGAGGCTGAGTCCAAGACTACCAATCCAGAGTTAAAGAGGTCGGTTTCCCAGCTGCTTTCATCCTGGAAAGATCTCGAGTTGGTGTATCGCATTCCAAAAAGAAGCGACGGTAACAATTCATCTGACACGGCAGCTAAACTGGACGACCGCAGAGCGAGATCGACCTCCGCACCGGCTTCTGAGGTAGTTGACCCTGCCAAAGCAACAATAAATGGTGTGGCCTTGCCTCCTGGATGGGAGTGGGCGGAGGATCCGAAAACCAAAACCGTCTATTATTTCAATAGATCCAAGAACATCACGCAGTGGGAACGTCCTGTGAGCACTCCCACGGGGCCTGGTGTGTCTGATGAGGAGGAACGTCGAAAACGGAGAGAAAAGGAAAGACAGAAGGAGGAGGCCCTGTTGAAGAAGTTGGAGCAAGAGCGCCAGTTGGCACGACAAAAAGAGCTGGAAATTGAGGAAATGCGCATGAATAAGCTTTCTTCGATTATTGCACAAGCGTCGCTGGAGAAACCTAACACCCCGACAGAGACGCCGAAGAAAGAAGAGCGCCATATTAGTGCTACCGAGAAGCAGTGGACCAAGCTTTTTGCTTCTGCAGTGCCGAACATGCTGAAGAAGTACGAAAACGAGATTGGAAGAGACTCTCTTAAAGCCTGCGCTCGTGATATTGTGCACACGCTGGCTCAGAAAGAGCTCAAGCGACGCTCCGATAGCAAGCCTCCCTCAGAACTGAGTCACGAGAAGAAGGCCAAGGTCAAGCATTTTGTGAAGGAGTACATGGCCAAGTTTCTGGTTAAGCTTGAGGAGAAGAGGAAGCGGAAGAGCTCCGGAGCTGCTTCTGAATCCAAACGCACCAAAGCCCAGTAAAACACAGACCCTATAGAACCTGTATTATAATTTATTTTGCTTTCAAAAGCCTTATCGGGCGGTGCCAGAAAATTGTAGAACCAAATAATCGTAAGATGGATACGGAATCAGTATTGGCCAAGCACAATAATGCTACGATTCTGCTGATGGGCCTCAGAAGGTACGTATTAAACAAATTTTTCGATGTCTAACAAGTACAGGTCTGGGAAATCGTCAATCTGCAAGGTGGTGTTTCACGACATGCAGCCTCTGGATACTCTGTATCTTGAAAGTACAACCAAGCCGACCACAGAAAACTTTAAATCGCTGATTGATCTGGCGGTGATGGAACTTCCTGGACAGCTCAATCTTTTCGAGCCTTCGCTATACGACTCCGAAAAGCTGTTTTCGTCCATTGGTGCCTTAGTATACGTCGTCGACAGTCAGGATGAATATTTGAGCGCACTCCAGAATTTGGCGGTCATTATCAAGTACGCCTGCAGTGTCAACTCGAAGCTCCACATAGAAGTGCTTATTCACAAAATTGACGGTTTGTCGGAAGACTTTCGGCTTGAAACGCAGAGAGATATAATGCAAAGAGTCGGGGACGACTTGCTGGACTACGGCCTCGACGGCGTGCAAATCTCCTTCTATTTGACATCCATTTTCGACCATTCGATTTACGAGGCGTTCTCCAGAATCGTCCAGAAACTCATATATGAGCTTCCCGCATTGGAGAATCTCCTCGATCTCCTCATGCAATACAGTACGCTTGATAAAGTTTTCCTTTTCGACGTTAACTCAAAAATATACGTGGCTACAGATTCGTCGCCAGTCGATATGCAGACATACGAGGTGTGCGCAGAGTTTATTGATGTGACTATCGATTTGGATGGCCTTTATGAGAACTCCGGACAAGAAGCAGACGGAACCGTTAGAAGCCAGCCAACCCGGTGTGTTTCGAAGCTGCAGAGCGGGTCGGTACTCTATCTACACCAGATGATCCGGGGACTCGCCCTGGTGGCAGTCATGCGGCTGGAAGATGAAAACGACGCTAACGCGCTGGCGGTGATCGACCACAACGTGCTGGTATTCAAAAAGAGTTTGGAGAAACTATGGGAACGGGCCAGAATAAAATAACACAGCTCCCCACTTTGTATTCCTAATATACACTATTCATCTCTATAGTTTCTCTGTCTCTGTTTCTCATTCTCAATTTTGTTGTTTATCAGCATTATTGCCTGCTGGATGGCAAACGGGCTTGTGCTCATTAAAGTGAGTTTTCTCTCCGTCGCACCAGGAACTTCATCATTGACCTTAACGTAACATCCTGTTATTGTACGGATATCTTTGAGGTTTTTTCCGCCTTTACCAATGACTAATCCTATGTGCATTTGTGGAACATAAATGTCCTGGTTGATTTTCTCCTGTCCTGACTGTGCTTGCATTGGCGCAGGAACTGGTGCGGCCACCGCTCCGGCAGCGGCACCCGGGATATATTGGCCATAAGGTTGTTGAACGGGCTGGCCCATGTAGGGGCTCTGCATTATGGGAGCCGGCACCTGCATTGCCTGAGGAGGATATCCGTTGCCGTAGGGCATTCGCGAGGCATTGCCGCTGACCGGTGTGCTAGGCTGGTTGCAGTTGGCTGGATTATAGAACACGGCCTTGGCCAGATGCTGCTTGTGCTCTATCACTGTCTGTGCCACGTAATACGTGGCTAAGTGAATGGCGTCCGCGACTCCTGTTATGTGGAGGATTCTATCTGTTGAAGCAGGGAGGATCTGGTCGCTCGCCTTCAACGCTGCAGCAGAATGATCCTCGATTTCTCTGAACCTCGCTCCCCTTTTCCCGATGATGTAGCCGATAATTGTGTGGGGGAACAACAGCTTTAGATTTATTTGTTTTGACTCCACGGTAGAGGCCTGGTTGAAAGGTTCGGCCATGATCGCCCTCGTGATTAGCCCAAACGCTTTTGCAACATGTTCGGCGAGTCCGCGCACCGTGATGACGCGCTCGGGGATCCCCTTGAGGTTTTCACTGACATTGACTCTTGCACTGGACATCTCCTTGATTCTGTTGATTGTCTCGCCGCCCTTGCCGACAATGGCAGCAGTTTCGTTGATGGAACAAAGCATTCGAAAGTGCACATAAGTAGGTTCGTCATTGGTTGGCCTGTGGTGCGTGACGGGCTCTGGAGCCTCGGGCTGAGGTATCCGTTCCTGCGACTGCTGGTCGCTATCTGCAGACTGATCCGTCTTCGAAGGCTCTGGCGAACCTGGCCTGCTATTACTCTCAACCGGTTCATCCTGGTCTGCATCTTCATTATCGAGGGCCACCCGCTTGACAGCAGTGGCCTCGTCCTCCTCGTTCTTGCGCTTCAACATATAAATTAATATAATGTATCTCTATCTCCCTCTGATTTTTCGTCGATGAAGTGTGCGGCGGCGCACGACCTAGAAATTAAATATTCAAAGCTTGGGGACACTATGGCTGAGGAGCAGAAAAAGACGTTAGAAGACTCCATCGCAGACTATCAGGAGTCGGAGGATGAAGATTACAACCCAGACGCTAATGACGACGATAATGACGAAGAGGAGGAGTTTGAAGATGAACCAAAATATCGACAGCTTGAGTCCGGAGGTTTGATCCAGACTCGAAGGCAAAGGCAGGAGGAAAAGCGCGAGAAAGTATACGAGAAACCGGCTGAGTCCACAATTGACGTCGAATCCATATGGAAGGAGCTCAATAAGCCAAAGGAACAGCCTAAATCGGAACCGAAAAAGGACTCGTCGTCCCCATCGTCGACAGAATCCCCAGACACAGAGAAGATAAAGATTACTAGAACGTATGAATTTGCCGGCGAGATGGTAACAGAGGAGAAATGGGTGGATGCCAACTCGGAAGAAGCTCGCGCGCATTTCAACTCCACAAAGCTCAAGGAGTCCAAGGAGTCGAGTCCTGAGAAACTGCCAAGAAAGAAAGCACCTAAACGTAAAAGAGCCAGTCTTTTGGATGACGTTATTAATAATGCCTCTAGTGCCAAACTAACAACATTGGAGAAATCGCGACTCGATTGGGCCACCTACGTGGACAAGGCGAAGATCGGAGATGAGCTGAAGTTTGAAAACAAGGGTGGCTACCTGGACCAACAGGACTTTTTGTCAAGAGTTAGCCACAGACAGGACAAAAACTACAAAGAAGCCAAGAAACAAGGCTGATGCGTGTCGTCTATTCAGTGTATCTCTCTTCTGTCATTTAGCCAGTTGAGAAGATCGAAATACATATTGGTGGTGGTTTTGTTGGACGGATTCATTGCCCAATCCTTGATGCTCTCGAAATAAACCTCTAGTAACTCTGGGATTGTGTTTTTATCGAATGCCACCATGCTTCGCACAATATACAGCGACAACTGGTTGCAGGCCTGCGAGTGCGCACGGAATTTTGATTTGGTGGCCGCTCTTTCTTGTATCTCTTTCAAGCCGGCTATGAGTTCCGACTTGTTTTGTATAGACACTTTGATGAGACTTCTTGTAATTATTTTGATGAGCTTATGAGCTTTTTCGCCAACCTGTTTCTCCAAAGTCAAGGCCATTAGATCCAAAAGCACAATGCCAATTCTTAAATTAGATATGTCGCCTGGTCTCTTGGTGCAAAATATCTCTAGCAAGTCCAAAACACGGTTCTTGAAAAAGATCATCAGTTCACGAGCATTTTGCACTTCTTCTTTCCTCTGGTTGCCAGACTTTGCTTCTAGGGCTGTAAGAGCCTCTCGACGCTGTTTAAATATTCTGGACAGCGTCGAATCGATAGCCATCATTTGCTCGTCAGACATACTTTCCACATCCGACTCCGACTCGTCAGACGAATCGCTCGAGCCGTCAGAGCTATCATCGTCATTGGCCACTCCAAGAGCCTGCGCAAGCTCGTTGGTGGTCTTCTGTTCAACCTCGTCGAAACCAACAGGATCCTCTGAGTCACTCGTCACCACATCCACGGAGTCGTCTTCAAAGTCCGATCCTGAGTGGTCCATTTCCTCCGAGTCATGCTCATCATCTGCGCTGTCATTATTGAAAAGCTTTTCTTGCCCCTCTTTGTTTTCTTTAGTGAGCAAAACCTCAAAGAGTCGCTGCAACTCGGGCTCTTCAACTTTGTCGACCAGATTCTCCCAGACCGTGACAGCAACCTTCTTCATCAACGATGATTTTTGAGTCAAATAAGAAAGCACAAGATCCACCAGGGTGTCAATCAGCAACTGTTCAGCGCTGGAATCGGTATAATTTTCAAATGCTGCTTTCAGGTCTGTGAGGATTGACGCAGACTCCTCGTCACCAGAATACAGCTGTAATAGCCCAACAGATAAAAGAATCTCGAAAGATTCAAGCAGCTTCGACCCTTCAGAATCTTTCAGCTCGCAAATAGCCTCCACCATTCGAACACAATCCACTTTGAGATCTTTGAGATCGTCCTCGAACTCCTGTCTGAGGACGAATTCCGAATTCGAAAAATCGCCATCTTTTTCAACAAGTTTGCTTACAGCGTAGTATGGCCAAGACATTTTGCCCTGGCTGTGGCCACTTGACATAATTTCTAAAAGAATGGAGTAGAGTCTTTCCAGCGAGCACTTGGCCATTCTATCGGAGTACCTGTCGTCGGACTCCTTTTTCACATAGCTGTGTTCGATCAAATAGTCAATAATGTTTTCGTAGGTCTCTTTTTGGGAGATGATAGACTTCTTGGCCCTCACTAAATGCAAAAGAGAGTCAAGTGCAAATATCTGGTACTTGATGATGTCTTCGCTGACCGAACGCTCGAGTGAAGTAAGAAACTGGACAATCTCTGCAATTGTATGGTCATTATCTGCAGACATGATCAGCTCATTTGTAATCTTTGATTTTGTGAGTCTATCAAAATTCAAGGAAACTCTAAGAATGCTTCTCAATGCGGGTACTATTCTATCTTGATTCACAGCGCATGATTTGACTAGATGAGTAAGAGTGTTCCTAGCCAATTTGTTTAGTAAACGGTCGGGGTTAGAACTTTGATTGATAACTGTCCGCATTAGATTAGCAGACAATACAACCTCAACATGATCTCCTTCGAGGTTATCCATATCAAGAACAGTATTCAAAACTTCAAGGCCTTTGTACTTTCGCTCTGGAGAAGCTGACTGAGCAAAGAATTGGTCGTCTATGCAAGCTTTCCAAAATTCAGCTAGCTTGATATATTTGGCTTGCGTCTTTTGTTTTTTCGATTTACGCTCCCTCGGAATATGTTCCTCTTTGTTAGAGTTGTCTATGAGTTCGGCTAAAAGCGGTGTCCACACAAAATGAAGTGCTCTGGTCCAGTTTCCTTTCTTTTTTGACTTGTCTTCGTCATCTGCCACCACATCAACATCCTTCAATATTTTAGACAGAATTGGTAGATTTCCTTTTGCAAGTGGGTTCCCCTGTTGCCATTTGTCTATCTTTGCGAGTTCCATCATGTTTTGACGTCTCTCTGTGGGAATGCTCAATGCAACTAACACTCCCTCGGTTGTCAGCGTGAGACCCGCAGATTGGGTCTTTTCTAGCAACTCAACAATGATATTAGTATACTTGGGGTTCTGTGGTATCCCAAATGACAGTAAGGAGCGGTAGATCGTTGCAAAACAGGCTTCTCTGATCCATGGCCTGAACAACGATAGATCTATCAATTTACCAACAATCTTCGTGTAGCTTTGTGTGTTTCCTGCGCTCAAGTCCTTGTCTATAACCCTTGAGTTAAGAAGTGACTGAAGACCGAAAAGCTCGCCGAAAATTAGACTTCTGGCGTTCTTTCCCGTGTTTTTGTTGCTGACGGAGCTTGCCAGTTTTTGGCTCAAATCTGCCAAGAAACTTTCCACGTTGTACGTCTTCTTAACTTCAATCAGTTCATAAAGAATCTCACTCAAACACAGTGAGAATCCCAGTCTGGCTCCCGCTCTAGAAGAAGCAAGACCCTTGATCAGTCTATCGAGAGCATAATTCCATTCTTTCTGCGAGTCAGTGTCGCGGAGCTCCGTAATCAGTTCAGAGGCTGCTGAGATCCGCTCGTCCTCAAGCTCAGACGCGAGACGGTAGTAGTGATCTCTGGAAACAGCCATAATGATCTATAAACAATGTCCAAAAAATTATTTTAATTGAAAGAAGTCGATCGACGCTCATGGTCAGGGCTGGCGACTCATGGTTACGCAGCCTGGATAATTGTCGAAAAAGCTTTTCTTAATTGGACTAAACAACTGTTTCTGGTATTCACGCTAAGTTGCAATAGAACAAGTGAAACATGTCATCGTGGCAAAAGGCTGGAATCTCCTTCAACAAATACTTGGCAATTGCTGCCAGAACCGTTCAAAGGTCTCTTAAGAACGACTTGAAAGTCGCAGCCGAGAAGAGATACATTTCCGATGCCAAGGTCCAAAAACTCGAGAAGGGCAATGTTGTCTCGACTACCGAGCTGGGATCCAACAAGTCTGCTTAGATAGATATGAATAAGACATGACATTCTCTTAATGGACGTATCGGGGTGCAGCGGACACGATATGCTTACAGCGTGGACATGAGAGAGAAATGCCACTGGGACCCAGCAAGCCCCATCCATTCTTGTCCAATTGTCTCTCCTTGCCTCTCAGACATCGTTGATCCGTTACACCTGTTAAACTCCGTAGTTTCTCGTAGCTGTGAACAACACTTCCGTTTGTACGAAACTTTCGGTGCAGAGGTGTGAATTCTTGAAAGAAGTAAACTCCCTTCTTCATCTTTAACTGACCGGGTTGTTCTGTTGTTGAGGGACAGCAAACATATATAACGACAAACTCCACATGAATTTGATAGCGCGATCGCTAATGATTCGTGTGCCATCAAGGCCACTGGTGGGGGCCTTTTTCGCTCGTCCGATCTCGGTAACAGGAATGCTGGCAGCACGAACAAGATCTGTACCACGGCCTTTCTGGTGTCCTTTGCTGGTCTCCAGAAACTTCCAACGCCCCTTTAGTGTCTTTCCTGCACGGTTTCAGAAAACGGATGTGCCTCATGAAGCCATTAAAGAGAAGAAGCCGAGATCCTTACGAAAACGCATCTTTGGTGTGGCAGAAGAAGAACAAACTGAGGCGGGCTTCTCGGAAGTCAGACGGCTGCTCAAACTGGCTCGAAGAGACATCAAGCTTTTTTCGGTTGCAATAGCCCTGCTGTTCATCAGTGCGTTCATAGTCATGTCGCTGCCCAAGGTCACGGGAGAAATTCTGGATTCCACGAAACGCTATTCAAACCTTGAAGAAGCCAGATTTTACGGCCTTACGCTGTACGAGCTTCTTGCTGTGGTCGGTGGCATGCTCTGTGTCTACACGGCGGCTACTTTTGGCCGAATAATTATATTGAGAGTGTTGGGCGAGAAATTGGTGGCCCGACTTCGGTCGAACATTATGAAGAATGTCTTGAGACAGGATATGGAATTTTACGACAAAAACAAGGTAGGAGACCTCATATCCAGGCTTTCCAGTGACGCCTACGTTGTTTCCAGATCGGTGACTCAGAATATGTCTGACGGTATCAAGCATTCCATCGTTGGAGGCACCTCCATTGGTATGATGTTCCACATCTCGCCGACACTTTCTATGATTCTGCTGGCATTTGGGCCTCCCCTGCTGTTTGCCTCCTACGTCTACGGGATGAAAATCAAGGCTATTAGCCGGATGTTGCAGAAGGCCACCGGTAGTCTGACCAAAGTTGCTGAAGAGCAGCTGAACAACATCAAGACTATTCAGTCATTTACGGCCGAAACCAAAGAACTGCATCGTTATGACAACCAGATCAGGAATGTGTTCAAGGTCAGCTACAGAGACGCCATGACGAACGCGTCGTTTTTTGTTTCCACTGGAATTCTGGGCCACGCAACCTTTTTGCTCACTCTGGGTCTAGGAACAAGCTTGGTTTTCAACGGAAGCATGACCGTTGGCGACCTAGCAGCGTACATGATGTACACAGAATACTGCGGAAACGCTACTTTTGGTGTGGCCACCTTCTACACCGAGCTATTCAAGGGAGCAGGTGCCGCTTCGCGACTCTTCGAAGTTCAAGACCAGGTGCCCACGATTGACCAGGTGGTGGGCCCTAAGATAAACGGGTCCAGAGGTCACATTGAGTTCAGGAACGTGACGTTCGCATATCCTACGCGTCCAGACAATAAGGTGTTTGACAACTTGAGCTTTGAAATCAGACCGGGCTCTAACGTGTGTATAGTGGGCCCGTCAGGAAAAGGGAAATCCACAATAGCGTTGCTGCTGCTCCGTTTCTACACCCCGAACTCGGGCCAGATCCTCATTGATGGCGTGGACATCACCAAATACTCTGTCCATTCGCTCCGTCAGTTGCTCGGGTATGTTCAGCAGGAGCCTGTTCTCATTCCAGGCACTCTTGCCGAGAACATCACATACGGCTTGCCACGGAATGTGAAAGTTACGGCTGACATGGTTGAATGGGCCGCTGTGAAAGCCAATTGCGACTTTGTCTATCATTTCCCTGATAGGTTCAACACCGATATAGGGCCTAAAGGGTCGCAACTTTCTGGAGGCCAAAAGCAAAAAATAGCCATTGCCCGGTCTCTGATCAAAAATCCTCCGATTCTTATTTTGGACGAGGCCACCTCTGCGCTGGACTCCAAATCTGAAAATGCCATAAATCTGACAATCACGAACCTCATGCGTGACAGGTCTCTCACGACCATCTCCATCGCACATCGTCTCTCCACTATAGAAAAATGCGATGAGGTGCTCGTTCTGGGCCACGATGGCCGGCTCGCAGAGGAAGGCAAATTCAAAGACCTGTATCCTGACCACAACAGTATGCTCTACAAGCTGTTGAACGAATCACAGAAGAAGAAGAAAGAAGACGAGCATGAAGACCGTGAAGAGGAAGATGTCCACGAAGTTCAGGAAGACGAAGAACCGAAGCCTGAGCTTGACGATGACGAAGTGGCTGCAGACGAGGTTACACGAGATGCGTTCATGAAACGGCGTGCGGTCCTGAATGAAGAACACGAGAGAAGCGAACACAAGACTCTTACCTAGCACAACGACAGAACTAATGACATATATAGATGAGTAAAATGGATTCCGACTTTTTGTTACCAACGCCGATCGGCGCGTCTATGACGTTTTTCTTTTTACGCTGTCAAGGAAAAGGAATTAATGGCCAAAAAAAAAACCTAGTTGGTTGTGTTTTCCTTAGTGAGCTATACTTCATATTGTGGTGACTTCTGACATAGCTGGTCAGACAAGTTTACATACTGCTATTATGAGCGCAGCAGCAATTTTACAAAAGGAGCTAAAAGAGCTCACCAAATCTCAGCCATCGTTCCGGATCCAGCTGGATTCGGATAACATCTTCCTATGGGATATTGGCATGTACATCCCTAATCCGCACTCCAAATACAACGGCGCCTACCTCAAATGTCAAATGCGTTTCCCTAGCAACTATCCATTTTCGCCGCCAGCATTCAGATTCACGCCACCGATCTTCCATCCTAATGTTTATAAAGATGGTCGGGTTTGCATTTCCATCTTGCACGAGGCCGGTGATGCATTCAGCGGAGAGCCTTCTAATGAGACATGGAGTCCTGCTCAGTGCGTTGAGTCTGTTCTTGTTTCGATTATCTCGCTTCTCGACGATCCAAACATCAATTCTCCTGCTAACGTGGACGCCAGTAAAATGTTCAGAGATCACAAAGAAGACTATTACAACATGGTCGCCAAAGATGTGGAGCGTTCCAAAAAGGACATCCCTGACGATTTTGAGATTCCCGATGCCACCTCACGTTCAGAGGCCGACGATTACGAAGACGAATGGTTCTATCAAGACGATGATGAGGACGAGGACGAAGTTGACGAGGACGACCAGAGCTTTATCGATGACGAGGAGGTGGAAATGAGCGAAGACTACGGAGAGGACACATCCAAATAGACGGTTTTGGAGTGCGCTCAATAGCTATTACGATTAATATCTGGTGTTTAGGTTAATTTTTTGATACGAGTCCGAGCATAGCAGAAAATGTAGAAAAAATTCTTTGATCGAAATATTTAATGGCCAAGAAGGACAAGAAGAGCAAGGAGGCCAAGAAAGCTCGGATAGCACAGAAAAATGAAAAGAACGCCAAGAAGGCAGGCGAGAAGCTTAAGAAGCTTTCAAAAAAGGCCGGGGACAATCTGGAGGACGATGTCGATCTGGATGAACTACTGAAGCAGCTAGCTCTAGAACAGCAGGAGTTTGAGGAAGTCCATGTTGAAGTTATTGACCGGCCCTTGAAGAGACTAAACGCTACGTTTGCTGCGAGCAATACCAACGGCCGTCGGGAGTTGATTCTTTTTGGAGGAGAAGTGAACACGGGCCAGACTGTCCATTTCTATAATGATCTGAATGTGTTTTCAGTGGACTCGAAAACTTGGAGACGGTATATGTCTAAAAATTCGCCCCTTCCACGGTCGTCTCATGCCATGTGTTACCATCCATCTGGTATCTTTGTGATGCATGGCGGTGAATTCTCGTCTCCTAAACAGTCCACCTTCCACCATTTTTCAGATACCTGGATTCTGGACTCGCAGACCAAAGAGTGGGCGAAAGTCGATGGGAAAGGCCCTCCGAACCGTAGTGGACACCGTATGGCGTGCTGGAAGAACTACGTGATGCTGTTTGGGGGATTCCGCGATCTTGGCTCCCATACCACGTATCTCAATGATCTGTGGCTGTTTGACATTACCACGTACAAATGGAAACAAGTAGAGTTCCCGGCGACGCACTCAATTCCAGATCCGCGGTCTGGACACTCATTTATGGCCACAGAATTTGGCGCGATACTTTATGGTGGCTACTGCAAGGTGAAAGCTGGTAAGGGACTTCAAAAAGGAAAGATTTTGACCGATTGCTGGGCACTCAACATGAAGAGCGATCCAGCGCAGATCCGGTTCGAACGTCGTCGCAAACAGGGTTTCCAGCCGTCGCCTCGTGTTGGATGCTCTATGCAGTACCACAAAGGTAGAGGTATGCTTTTCGGGGGTGTTTTCGATTACGAGGAAACTGAGGAGACTTTGGACTCTGAATTCTACAACACGCTCCTTTCGTATAATGTGGAGACCAATAGATGGTCTAACCTGTCTCTGCGGTCGAGCAAGAAAAAAGCCACTGCGAAAAAGGAGAAGGTGGACAAGACTCGAGAACTGGAAGAAATGCTCAACTCTATTCTTGCCAAGCATAATTTGGCGGACGACGAAGACTACGAGACGCCTGTTGCAGAAGAGGACGAGGAGGAGCCTGAAGAGACGCTGGAAATTCGCAACCAGTTGCCACATGCTCGATTCAATGCCCTGACCTGTGTCGTGGATGACACTTTGTACCTTTACGGAGGCATGTACGAAGCCGGAGAACAGGAGTTTAATTTGGACTCCTTCTACTCGATCGACCTGTCCAAGCTGGACGGAGTCAGAGTGTTCTGGGAGGACTTGTCTGAGCTGGAGAGACAAGAAGCAGAGGAGAGTGACGACGAAAGCGACGATGAGGATGAAGACGACGAAGAGGAGCAGGAGAAGCAAGTTCTGGTGGCCGAGGAAGAGGAGGAGGAGCCAGAGGAGGAAGAGGAAGAGGAGGCAGAGATCCCTGACGAGCATCCTTGGCTGCCTCATCCAAAGGCGTTCGAGTCGCTGAGAGCGTTTTATTTGCGTACTGGTCCAGACTTCCTCACGTGGGCCATCAGCCAAAATCCAGACACTCGTGGAAAGTATCTCAAAACAAAAGCCTTTGCCTTGTGTGAAACCAGATGGTGGGAACGGAGAGAAGCTGTCCAGCTTGAAGAGGAAAGTTTAGAAGAGAGTGGAGTTACGGGTGTTATAGAGAAAGACTTTTCGAAAGGACAGAAAAGAAGATAGATTAATAATAGATAAATGGTAAGCTATGCAAAGTGGATTCCGACCTGATGGAAAGCGTATAGCAGCTTTAAGAAGTCAGTCTGGTCCATCTTGGCCGGTCTACACTCGCCAAAGCCGGTTTCTGTCAGCACTTTCGTAACATTTTCCTTGACGACCGCGGAAAAGTCTGTTTTGGCATCCACCATCATCTCGCCCCTTTGCTCGCTCAAAATGGCAAGAAACGTCTTGTAGTTGTTCTCCAGGATTTCCAGGATCTTGCTGTTCCGGAATGTTGCGTTGAGAGTCTTGTTTTTTCTGTTGAAGCAGAACCTCAATAATCCATCCCACTCATTGTAGTCAAGATTAGGACGAGGGATCTTTGGCTCCACTTTCACCACGGATGACTCGACCTTCGGCGGAGGCCGGAAATTATTCTTTCCCACCTTCATCACATGCTTCACGTTGGCCCACATCTGGGCATTGGCACTCAGACGGTTATATAGAGCATCACCGGGACGTGCTGTTAGATTCATTGCGAACTCTCGTTGGAACATGAGGACGGCGATTCTTGGCGGTCTAGGCATACTCAAAAGTTTGAAAACAATACCAGACGAGATTTGGTAGGGTGTATTCGAAATGCACACATCAAAATACGGCAAGGTCTCGAGTTTCATGAAATCGCCCATGATAATCTCAAGCTTCTTCTCATACGGCGTGCCCTGGACTCTCTTTGTGAGCTCAGCGGCCATCTTTGGGTCCACCTCCGACGCTATTACTTTCCTGGCCTTTTCTAGAATCCTGACGGTCAAGTTACCGGTACCCGGGCCGATCTCAAGCACCACATCAGAGGGCCTAATTTCTGCTTTGTCCACAATACCTTGGGCTATGAGAGGGTTTTTCAGTATATGCTGACCGAGTTCTGTATTGAATTTGAACCCTTTGTTCATCTGGTCACCAGCAGGAGCCGGCTTGGTGGCGAACTGCTTTTTGGCGGCTTTAGGCATGGTCTATATTATTCTTCCTATTTTTTTTCAACTCTGAATTTTTTTCAAATAAATTTCGCGGCTGTGCTAAAATAAGATGGGGTAATTAAGTTTGTCAATATGTCAAACAAGAACACCAAGCAGAGCTTCAACGTTGACCCTAAAGATTTGGCTCGAGTTAATGCATACAGGCGAATTGGAGCAGGTTTGGTTTTTATGGCTCTGCCAGCTATTGAAATTTACAGAAGAGTGTATCTCGACAAAGAGAGGAAGATGCAGCAAGGAGAATACAATCCGAAGGAAGGGACCTTGCGGCTTTTCTCTGAAGAGGAGAAGCTTGAGAAGTTTAAAAATAGCTGGATGACAAGAATATTTGGCGAGAAGTAGCATTGCAAAGTCTACTATCATTAAAAAGTGTCATTATCATAAGAGGTCACTCGTCGAGGATCAGTAATCCCCAGAGAGGACGTCGCTCGAGCTCTCTGTTTTATCACCCGTAATGGTGTTGGCTGCACCATCATCGTCGGGGACTTTTGTATATCTAGTGCCGAGAGCGGTCGTGTGTTGGTTTTTAGCTGTGTTGAATGAATTCTGTTGCGCAGTGTTGAACGTGGAATGCAGCTGGAGCTCCGTATTGGAGGGACCACGTAGTGCTCCCCTCTTACCTTGGAGTTTAGAAGAGACTGGCGAGACTCAGGACGCACAGGAAGCGGAATTCTAGTCACTGGCGACTTAGAAGGTTCAATCTGTCTTCTAAGGGTTTCGTCCCGAGTTGTTGGCAAAGGAACTGGTAAGGGAATATATTTGAGCAACTTCGTTCTTTCGGCCTGTTTCTGGACGCTTGGTCTATGGAGTTTTGCATTTGGCGTGATAAAAGGATCTGACGGAGAAAGAGACCTCATACCTCGTGGCGAACGATCTTTGATATCCAGTCGTTGCACTTTTTCAGCAAGGTCCTCTTCACCTGTGTCTCTAGACGTTTCGTTTTCTTTGTCCTCCGCTTCGCTCATTAGTCGCCTGAGAACGGAATTCGTCGACGCCGTGCGGAAGGAAACGTCAGATTCGTCGTCTTCCAAGATCTCAAATTTGAGAGGACTCTGTTTCTTTGCGGATGTTGGGTTGTACTCGATCAAAACTGGCTTGAGCTGGAGAGCGTCCAAAAGCGATCCTTTGGATTTCGCAGGTGTCGACGGAATGGACGGGCTTGGCGAGCTTCTTCTGGACTCAAAGTGCTGTTCCTGAAGTTTCAGATATTGTGCTTCCATCTCCTTTTTCCTCTCAATCATGCCCTGATCGGTAATGAGTCTTTCGCCTGTCGCGCGCTTCAAAATACCTAACGACTGACCTATCGTTTCTAATTCTCGCACACTCGAGGTTCCCAGACAATGTTTGACAGCCATCTCGTCTTCGAGGTCCTCTAGCGCCTGCGAGACCTCCTTCACTAGGGACTGAAAAATGTGCTCCCAGCGGCGGTCCACGAGCTCGTGCAAAATCTGCTTCAAAGCAGACCTGAGCTCGTGCACCTCTTGTACAAGACCCTCGTATTTTGATATGAGATGCATGATTGACCCTGGATTCTTTTGCATTGCCACCTCTCCATAACTTTCAAGGATCTGAGGCACGATAAGCACGGCCGCTTGAATGGGATCTATTCTGCCCTCTAGTTGCTGGTACAAACCAAGCAATCGCTCATCCAGAGACGTGAAGGTGGGCATTCGCAGCTTAAAGTTCTCGCTCTGCGTCATTTTGGCATTGATTTCTTCCAGTTCGAGCTTGGGAAGCTTTTTCACAGGACTCGTGAGAAGCATTTCTTCGAGCGTTCTCAGATCCTTGAAACAGTCTGCAATCTCGTCGCTAATCGATCCCAGCACCTGTTTATCCAGCTCTGTGAACCTGGTGGCTACATGCAGGTTTCCCAGGTAAACCGAGATGTGTTTTTTGGCTGTAAGTAGATCCTCGCACAGCGGTTCCAGCTGATTAATAGTAGTTTCCAATCCTGGTTCTAAGTTCAGCTTTGACTCTATCGTGGTGATTAGCTCGGATAACAGCTCGTCGGTTTTCCGGATGCACTCATTCACTTTCCTGAGAAGGTCTTTGTGCTGCGCAATTGAGCTCAAGGTAGATAGCGTATCATCCACAGCCAGGAACTCGTGTATGAACAACCGGATAGAGTCCACCGCAGCTTCCACCTGCGCCCCATCATACAGGACTACGTCCTCTATCTGGAGTTCCAGGATGCTGCCGCAGCATTTCTCCAGCTGGTCCAACCGCTTCATTGATTTATTCAACTTTATCAATCACTTTTTTCTCAACTATATTTGTTTACTATTTCCCTGAATAGTACTGCGGCTGAAAATTCGCAGCCAAAATATTGTACACTTGAGGTTCTGGTTTTCAGCTAAGATGCGCCTGTTTTTCGTACATCTCCACTATCTGCTCGCTTGTCGTCGCGTCCTCAACGCCCTTATCATCTCTGATCCGCACAAACCGTGGAAATCTCAGCGACACTCCTTTGGACCCGTCGCCCAAGAAACTGTAGCCACACTTGTAGAGAGGACTCTCTGTAAAGTCGGCCACTTTCACCTCAAACAGCGTCGTCGGTTCAAACCAGATATCCGGCGCCGCTCGCGGATTTGTTTTGTCGTACACAAACGATGCTTTAGGCTTCTCCAGCTGTGTCGGCTTCAGTCTCTCAAATAGCGAAGCAAGCACCTCATCGCTGAAGCCGGTGCCAATTTTGCAGATCGCCTCAAACTCGCCGCTGTCCGGGTTGTAGCTAGCCAACAAAAACCCGCCGTACCCTCCAGTACGTTTCCCCTTGCCAACATATGCGCCAATGACAACCAGGTCCAGGGAGTCTCCAACTCCCTCTAGGTAATCCTTTTTCAGCTTAAGCCAATTTCTCGATCTTTTAGACGGCTCGTATAAGCTGTTTGTGCCGTTGAGCGTTTTGATCATGAGCCCTTCGCAGGAGTCCTTGACTGACTGGTCAAGGAACTTCGTGATGACATCCAGGTCGGAGGAGTCGAGTTTTTCAGAAAACCGGAACTTGCCAGGAATAATCTTCAGATTGTCGTACATGTATCGTCTGCGCTCTTTGAGGGACTTCTGGATTAGGGACTCGCCATTGTACAGCAGTATGTCAAAGGCAAATAGACACACCTGGACCGTTATGTCTTCCTCCTTCACGTCCTTGCGCTTCCTGGTTGACAGGATCTGGAACGGGAGGATCTTTTCCTGCTTCTTGTCCCATGCCACACACTCGCAGTCCAGAATGAACGACTTCACCTCTGGATTCAGTCTCTGAAGCTCCTCAATGACCGGAATTAGGTCGGGATATCTTTGCGTCATGTTCTCAGAGCTCCTGGAGTAAACTCTCAAAGTTCCGTCGGGGAGCAGGTGAACCTGCGCCCTTTCGCCGTCGTATTTGTACTCGCAGGTGAACTCCTGGTTCTCAAACTGGTTTAGGATCTCCGTGATGGACTTGGTTGGTTTCGCAAGCATGGGCTTGAGCGGGATGCCCGGCTTGAGCGTGCAGTGGTCCATGAGGTTGAGAGTTCCGTATTTTATCGCGCTCTCGATAATTAGCTCGTAGTTGGGCGTCTGCGAAAACGCCTCCTTCATCTGCTCCTCAGCTTCGCTCAGCACCGCAGGAGTCACTTTTTTCCCTCGTTGCTTCATCTCGTGCTCCACGAGAGCCTTGGCCAGTGCAACAACGACGGATTTCTCTGCAAACTGGATGCGCAACGTGCCTTCCAACGATCTCATCAGGAACTTGGCCTCGCGCGAGTCGCAGGACGTCAGCATCCTGTTGATCATGGCTATTTTTTTATTCTGCGAAGAGGCCCCCGACATGCTTGCAATTTCCTTGAGATTATTAAACACCTGAGACACCGTCAACGGCTGCGGCTTGAACATCAAACTCTGCTTCGATCTCGACTTTTGAGCAACAAGGCCAATGTCGCCGTACTCGCCAAGGTCTCTTTTGAGCTGCTGCATCGAACGGCCTGTTCCTGTGGCCAAAGCCTTCATCAGTAGAGTCTCGCCTAGTCCCAGCTCAAGGCCTTCGTAATCTGGGCACACCCTGTTGATAGTCAGGTAATTGACCTGAACAAGGTTCCGTATCTGGTCTTCCTGGGTTTCGGAAACATCCAGCACATGAGAAAACATCTCAGAGGCGATCTCGATGCACCTAAGTCTTCCGGACTCTTTTTCCAAAGCCTCAAACACTTCGCACAGTTTGCTGTATGGGATGGGTTTTCCAACGGCCAAGTCCGGAACCTTGACCTCGGATTCCATCTTGAGAAGCTCATTGGCGTCGGTGAGCCGATCGTTGGCGTTGTCTGCGACATCGGCTACAGAATCTTCAGGCGTGCTCTCCTTTGTGTCGTCGCTTTTGAGAGCCTTTTTAGATGACGCTGGCGATGGACTACGCGATCGCTTCTTGTTCAAGGAACGCTCGCCTTGAGAGCCAAAAAATCGGGATAACGTCTGCTGCTTTTGGGTGGCCGTCATGCTTCTTATTCCTAGTCTTGCAAACATGCAGGTAAGTCAGCAAATCTTGCGGTTTCGCGTTCAAGTCGCGTCGCGTCGCGTCGACAAATTATTTTTTTCCTATGTCTCCAGTTAAATTATAAATCTCTCTATACATATTATGCTGACTCGTAATGCTCCCAGTTGTCGAGAATAGCCTTGATCTTCTCAGACCCAGTCAGTTCGTAGACGTTTTCAAAATATTCCTTCGTCAACTCAAATGGTTTGGCGGTCAGGTTTGGAATGTACTTGCCGATCAAGCTAGCTGGCTTGACAGCAGACTTTGGAATCTTCTTCACCAAGAATCTCTGGAATGGCTTGACACCAGATCTCAGGTAAGAGGAGTGGAATGGAACAGAGATGCCCTTCAATGGGATACAGGCGTATCCTCTTTCCAGGTCGATCGGCTGTGGCTTGGCCAAGGACTTCTTGGAAACCTCGTCCACAATCTCACTCAGATGCTCAGCAACCTTCTCGAGCGACATTATCTCCTGCAGCTTGACAATGTCGATCTTCTGAATCTTGAACACGTTCAACGTGTTGCTCAAAGTGTCCAGAGCTCTCAGGTCACCGGCAGCAACGTATTGCTGGTTCTCCACGTTGAAGTTGACGATCTCCAACAACCAGCCGGTTTGCTTGCTGATGTGCTCGACAACGAATCTCAGGGCAGAATCGTTGAAGGTAGGAGAGACTCTGGATGGGTTAACAGCGCACATACCGTAGTTGGATCTTCCTAGGCTGTCTCTAGGAACAGCAACCTGCATGGTCATACCTCTGTAGAACACCACATCGACCAGGGACTCGATTGGCATAACGTCTGCCAGAGATGACAAGGCCGAGTACTCACCAAGAGAGTGGCCAGCAAACATGGACTCACTAGGCACCAATCCCTTGGACTTCATGTCCTCGAATGTGGCCTTCTCCATAAGAGTAAGAGCCGGTTGCGTGAACTGCGTAGCAGAAAGCAGTCCCGTTGGCGACCGGAAGGTATAAGTGGTGGTGTTCTCGTCAATCTCCTTGAAGATCTTCTCCGATTTGAGCTTGCCATCCTCGTCGATGGTTTCAAACATCATCGTGATGTAGTTCTCTCTGATCTTTCTTCCCTTTGGACCACCAAAGTGGACCGTCAGCTCGTTAGGGTTGTTCTTGACAATGTCCAAGATCGAGAATCCGTAGTTGTCAATAAAGTGTCTGTCGGCTCTATCCCAAACGTTCTTGGCAACCTCCGACGAGTTGTACAAGTCCATACCCATACCTTGCTCCTGAGAACCTTGACCGGTGAAGACGAAGGTCGAGACTGGCTGGTCAATCTCTGCCTCACCAGAAAGAACCACGTCACCGGTCTCGACCTTCTTCGTCTCGATCTTGATGATCTTTCTTCCGTTGATCATGGCAACGTGCTCCAGCTGAGTTGTCAGCTCGTCGTTTGGCAAAACCATTCCAACAAAGTTGGCCTTGTATGCCCTCACTCTAGGAGCGACACCGTTGGCGGCATGCATCTCAACCAGAGACCTGACAGAAGCAGAGGAGAACATACCGTGAGTGATGGTGCCTGGCAAGTTTGCATAGGATGCAAACACTCTTGAAACGTGGATAGGATTGTAATCACCAGACACGGCAGCATAGGTCTCGTTTGAGCCTGGAGCCTTGGTCACAAGAGCGCCAGACAGAGGAACAGCGTGCTCTAGTTGGACTGGCTGCTCGATAGGCACTCCATATCTGCTCAAGTAGTCGACCACAGGGTTACCGTGGGAAACACCAGCCTTGTAGTTGATCTCGGCGACCTGCTTGATTTCCTTCGATGGCATCTCGTAGTACACGGCACCAGTCGTCCTGACGGAAGAGTGAACGTGCTGGTTCTTGAAGTAGTAGACGGACTTGCATCTGAAGGTCAAAGTCTTGCCGATCAGGTCTATTGGCTCAGAGCCCAGATGGAACCACTCTTTGGACTTCAACACAGCAACGTCCATAGCGGTCTTCAAACTAACCTCCATTGGAGTCTCGTTAGTCTTCTGGAAGGTGTTCTCAAAGTCGGTGTAAACGCCTCTGTAGAAAAAGGCAGAGGTGACCTCCATGATGGCCTTACCGTCCCTGTAAATAGTACCGATAACCTCAACAGTCTTACCCGTTGCACTGTTGACCACAGAAACGATCTGTGCATCAGAGGAGACCTTGTCGCCAACTCTCAATGGTTCTGCGCCTGGCATCATTCTATAAGCGTTGGACAGGTGAACAAGCTTCAGAATGTCACCGTCGACAGACTTAGGGAAGATGGCCTTCATGATAGCTCTCCATCCAATGACAATTGCAAAGTCCATAGGAGCCAACTGGTCTCTGCCAACTCTCGGAACAAAGTACTCACAGGAGTTTCCAACAGCATGCGTTAGTTCGGCAATGGCTTGTTGAGTAATTTCCGTGGAGCCACCATCGATCGTGGATGTTGCATCAAAGTCCAGCTCGACAGGAACCTTGGAGCCAAACCACAATTTCCAGTAGAACTTCTTGATTCTGTCGTTTCTGCTGTCAGTGACTTCCTGAATCGGAGCAAATCCGTCAGACTTCTTGTATATGTATAGCAACTCCAACGGAACAGGAGTTCCATCAGCAGTTCTGTGCTCGATCAGATTCATTTTGATCGAGTTGCCGTCGGCAGAGATTCTGACCACTTCTTTGTCCTTGCCTTTGATGGACTCGAACAGAGAAATGACAGTCTTGGAAACGTCGTCTGGATACTGGATTTTCACAGAGATGTTTCGGGCTGGAGCCAAAACCTTCTTGGCTGGATTCTCAACGTGGTTGTAGCCCTGGACACATCTATCAGCAGTAACAAATGCGTGTCTCCAATTCAGCTCAGAGCCAGCCAGAAGCTTGAACCAAGCATCTGTGTTTGGCAAAGTAGAGCCAATAGAGTATGTTACAGCATCGGCAGTCTTGGTCACTTGCACATTTGGAATAGAGTCGACCTTAGCAGTGCTCTTATCAGTGAAGTACTCAACAACAGGAACTCTAGAAACGTTTCCACCATAAACGTCGTCCAGGAGTTTCTTGATGTGTCCTTCATGTATATTGTCCAGAATCTCCTTGATTGGCTCGTCCACCTTGTTGGTGAATTGAGCAGCAACAGGGCCGTGCAAAATACACGTTCTCTGAACATCCTCGTCAACAACAGCCTCGAGATCCTCAGATTGCCAGAGAGAGTCCTTCTTGAAAAACACCTCGAACCTCTCGTCCAGCACTGGGACGAACGGAACCGGCTTCTGGCCTGGATTAGAACACATGGCAATGAAGTAGTCGCAATCTTCAGCGTTGACCAATTGGCTCTTGGCGTCTGGGTATGCGTTGAAGATGGTATCCAAGCAGGAGTCTGGATTCTCCAGAAGACTAAAGCTCTGGATCAGGGAGAAGGTCTCCTTGCCAGCAAAACGTTCCTCGACTCTTCTCAGGAACTTGCCGACGAAGTTTCTCAAGCTCACGTCAATCCATCTCTTGGACTTTCTCACGTACATCAGTTCGACACATCTCTTGGCAACCTGCTCGTAGGTCATGTCTTGAATGTCGCAAACACCCTCGTCGTTCTTTCCAAACCATGGCTTTTGGAAGTCAGCGTTGAGCTTCTTGATGATGTAGTCCTTCTTTTTGTCCAGGGCCTCAAGCATTTTGGCCTTTGGAAGAGAGAAAATAGTGTCGTCCATCTCTTTCCAGAAAATGACAGCTCGCGTGGCAATCTTGTGGATTGGCTCACCCATCTCGGACTTCACAGTCAAAATACCACCTGCTGGTTTCTTGTAGGTAAGCTCCCATTTGCTGTCATCAACACCTGGACAGGCAGCAATGGCCTTCTTGGCAGCAGGAGAGGTCTTGCACTCCTTGGCAACCATGACCCTGGAACCAAACAGAACACCATCAAATGGCATGTGTGGGTAGTTGAACTTTGTAGCCCAAGCACCGGTCAGGTATGGATAGGTATCCTCAGCAGAACCGAAGCCAGAACCGGCAATCAGGATAATGTTTTGACATTTTCTAAGCTTAGAGTACATTTGCAGGATTGGTTGGTGGAAGTCCTCAAACGAGTGGTGGCCACCACCTCTTCCACCGGTCCATTGCACCACAATGGGGAAGTTAGGGTGTGCCTTGGCAATCGTGATACACTGGCTGATAGCGTCGACAGAACCTGGTTTCAAGCCCAGGTGAGTCAATCCTAGCGTTTCAATGTACTCTGTGGCAACCTCAAGAGAAGGAACACCAGCACCGATGGTCAAAGACTGGATTGGGAAGCCCTTGGCCCTGAGATCCCTGATCAAAGGAATACCCCATTGGAGCATTTTAGGGCTGACATAAATCAAGTTGACACCGATACCGGATCCCGGGGTGATTGTTTCAGCGATCTTGGTCAGAGCTTTGGTCATCATCTCGGGGTTGAAATAGCCACCACCTGCTAATTCGATGTGGTAACCAGCCTTGATTGTGGCAGCAACGAAGTCAGGCGAGACGGTACTCGGGGTCATTCCAGGGACCATTAATGGGGCTCTTCCCAACAGTCTGGAGAATTTGGTATCGACGTATATTTTTCCTTCAGATGTCTTGATCAGCTTCGGCTGGTAGTTTTCGAGCCAGTTTGGAGCATAAATTAGAGAGGAGGCGTTGACGTCAAAGAGCTCTTGTTTGTAGCCGAACTCTGAATCTTCGCCAGGAACGTTCAAAGCGCCGGCAACAATTATTCTGGCTCCGGTACCCTCCTTGTTTCTGTGGGTAAGAACACCCAAGCCAGAGGCACCACCAGGGCCAAAGTCAATGATATGTGTTGCCTCGAATTTCGTGGCCACCTCCCAGTTCACAGCCAGAAGTGTGATAAGCTCAATCAGTCTGGAGCTGATGGATCCGGTGTAGTTTCTGAGATCCGAGCCGTCGTAGGTATCGTACACTGGCATTTTCAGGTCTGCAGTATTAAATTCGAGATTAGACTTCTCAAGGTCCTTCTTGATTTTTGGGGATGCTGGAGCAAGCAGATGAGAGTGGAATGGAGACATGATCGGCAAAAATCTGGAAGAGAATTTGAGTTTTCTTTCACTGTAAGGAACGCGGGACTGTTCGAGCCCAGAAGGCGCTTTGGCCTTTCTAAGGTTCAAATTCAGACCGTATAGAGATTCGGGTGGACCAGTGACAACCAGGTTTCTGGCACCGTTCACCAGGGAAATGCCAATCTTCTTGGCCTCCGGCAGATGTTGGTTGGTCTCGTCGACAAACTTGGTGACCTGGTCGTAGGTGAGGTCTCTGATGGAAAGCATAGGACCTGGCGTGCCTTCTCCGTTTTCCTCTGAGTCCTTGACGGTGCTTGGTGCAAGCGAAGTTGATGGGTAAGCCTGGAGACATCTGACACCAAGGTAGAAGAGGAACTCGACGGCCTTCAGAGCCTGGACCTCGAAAGATTCCCAAGAGTCGGCCGAGGCAATGGCAATTGCGGTGGCAAGACCTTGCGAGTGACCTGTGGTGCCGCTAGTGAGCTCGTTCAACTGGCCGGGAGTGACGCCCAAGAGTTTGCATGTGATGGCGAAGTGGCACAGTTGAATCACGCAGATTAATGGACACGACACAGGAATCGACAGGAGATGTTCTGTGCTTGGGGTCTGTTCTGGTTTCTCGAGCCAGTTGATGAGGTCAAAACCATGCGTGAAGATTCTGTCGATGTCGGAGGTGGAAGATATAAGAGATTGCAGCTTTGACTGCACGGTGTACAGGAATGGCGCCACAAGTGGATTATACACGTCGTAGATCTCTCTGAGCTCCTCGAAGTAGTCGTCGGTGTTACCCTGGCCACCGAAGACCGTGTAGATGGAGGCTTTCTTGTCCTTGGCAGCCTTGAACAGCGCAGATTGGACTGGTGCAGGATCCAGACCAAACTTCTTGTCCACATAGAGCTTTCCAGAGTAGTAGTTTTTGAGGATGTGGTTCTTGACTTTTTCCAAGGTTGTTGGATTGGTTTCAGACGCGAGACACTCGGCCGCGAAAGAGTGGATATCTTTGTTGAGCAGGAATCTGGTGTCGAACTCGTCGATGACAAGCTTGATCGCGTCTATTTTCTCCGACTCGAGAACATTTGACTTGACGATGTATCCCAAGAACATCATCAGCAGTTCTGCCTTGGACGCTGGCTCGTCATCGCCGGCGTATCCTTCGGTAACTTCTGGCAGAGACTTGTAGAAATCTGCGGTCAATTGTTGGTACAGGAGGTAGTTAGTTGGAGGGGTTAAGATGGTGGTCTCAATCCCTCCGTGGGTTATAGCTAGCGGTCTATTAACCGACATGACAACAGCTGGTAAAAGAAAAAGAGGCTGTTGAAGACAGTTGATATAGTTGAAAAAGTTTACCTGCGCAGCCACGACTCGTCAACAAAAAAAAGAAAGCGCTTTCAGACACATTTGTGGCTGTGCTGTGCCCAGATCAATAGCTACACAATGCTGAAATAATAGCTCGCCCAACAAGACTGTTGGGATTTGGAATTTGTTGAGAGCAGGGTAACGTGGCTGTGAACCTGAAGGCAGATTAGCCAAGCACTTTTTGCACAGCCGGAATCTAAAAAAATTTTTGCCATTTCCCGCACCCTTCTCTTTTGCACAGCCTCGACTTATAGATGCTACGACTTTCTCTAGCCTGCACAGCCAGCCCACGCGTTCCATCTTTTTCTTACACAGCCAGAGACGTCTTCACGAGATCATGTCTCAGTGGTTGCTAGCCCTCCCGCAAAAGCTGGTGTCCGGCGTCGTCAATCTCCTGGCCACGTCTCTTTACCTATTGTCGGCATTTCTCTGCTCGATAGCGTCTTACCTGGCCCAGGTGGTCCTTTCATTTTCCACCGTCATTTTAATTGCAATTGTCGTCTCTCTGGCAACCTATGCCTACATCCATTACAGATACCTGACCGTTTATTCGCGCCTTCCTGAGGACCCGAAGCGGCAGGAGCCGTCGATGGACACTTTTCTGGAGACGTCTGGCCGAGAGCGCAAGTCCCGGCAGAATTATCTCGACGAGTTCTTGTCTGCAATAAAGATTTTTGGGTATCTGGAGAGCCAAGTTTTCAATGAGCTGACCAAGAGCATGCAGACGCAGAAGCTGGACTCTGGGGAGATCTTGTTTCTGGACGAAAACTCCGGGTTCATGATCTGCGTCGAGGGCGAAATCGAAGTCTTCTGCAAGGTTGGAAGCTCAAATGACGAGAATGCGGTGTTCACCAACGAATCATCCACCAATTACGTTATTGTCGACGATATCAAGTACAGACTTCTGAACAATGTCAAAAGCGGGGCTCCGTTGTCATCGCTAACTAGTGTTTTGAACCTGCTCACTGCTTCTGAGTTAGATATTGCAGAGAGACAGACTTCGGGTATTTTACCTGTTCCTTCCGATTTTGACCTGGACAACAAGGTCTTTGCAGACTCTCCATTGCCACAGCAACCCAGCTTGAATGAAACGCCAACACTGATCGCCATTCCGAAAAACAACTGCACCATTTCCATCATCCCCAAAGACTCATTTTCGAGACTCGCTTATAAATATCCCAAGGCCACCTCTCACATTGTCCAGATGATTCTCACCAAACTGTACCGGGTCACCTTCCAGACGGTCCACGACTACCTCGGCCTCACCGCAGACATCATGCGGACGGAGATCAACCTTAACAAGCAGTGTTCCAATGTGCTCCCGTCTTATCTGTCTAACGTCGTTGTGGAGCGCTTCACGCCACGACTGTCTTCTTACAGCACACTAAACGAGTCGCACTCCTTGCTGAGAAGCAAGAGCTCGAATTTGATGAGGTCAGAGCCGATTCAGCTGGACCCTGGTTCCAGATCCGTTTCTCCAGGTGGCCCCATTTCCATCAACACGGCTCCTAATTCTTTCATGGCATCGCTCAGCTCGGACGCGGACGAAAGCAACCAGAGCGACGATATGCTTGCCATGCGGCGGTCGCGAATTAAGATCCGCAGGCCAAGGAGCGAGGCTTCGAGCGCGAGAAACTCGTCGAGACATTTTTCGTTGGCTGCTCGAAACTCGACTAATCCTGGAGACCTCGTTTCCAACGTTCCTCTGTCCCATTTGGACAAGATGGCAAGTATTGAAAAGGCAGATAAGAGCCATTTGCACGACAGAATTATCAACGGTGGAAACGAGGAGCCGGCAGAAATGGCTGTTCGCGTAGCAATAGCAGAGAGCATTTGCGAAAGCATCGGTGTGGACCGTGGGTCGCTCCAGGTCTCGTCTCCAAGCAGGATGAGTTTCTCTCCTTCGGTGATGAGCTCGCCGATGATTGCAGGCATCACCGAAATGAATGTAAAACCAAAAGCCATCGCGATGGGAACGAAATCAAAAGTCCGTACATTTTCGTCGCATACTCTAGGAACTCCAAAAGATGATGAGGACGGAACCACAGGAAGTCAGAAGAGCTTCATGGATTTCGAGAACATCAAATCTGACCTCGCGAACTCGATCAATCTGAAACACGTATCAGCCGGAACAAAACTGATTGAGGCCAATGAGCATACTCCCGGAATCTTCTACCTCATAGACGGAGTTCTGAAAGTGTCTTACATGAGCGAAAATACAGACGGAGACTCTACAGAGGAGTTCATCTACGAGGTCAAGCAAGGCGGCATTGCTGGGTATCTGGGAACGTTGATTGGCTCTAAATCATTTGTGAATGTGGTGGCAGCTGTCGACTGCTATGTGGCATTTTTACCTAGAGAAGTCTTCGAGATCCTGAACGAGCGCTTCCCGTACCTTCAGTTGGCCATTGCAAAGAACCTGCTGCGCATTCTCGACAAGCGTCTCCTTTTGGCAGATTACGCCATGGAATGGGTCCACATTTCTGCTGGTGACTCTCTGTACACCCAGGGAGACCCTGCCCATGGTATCTATATTGTTCTGAATGGACGATTCCGATCGATGAGAAGTCCCGAAAATAAGGATGGACAGCCTGTCATAGTGTCAGAGCATGGACAGGGCGAGTCGCTGGGGGAAGTCGAGGTGCTGACTAAGACCAAGCGGGACCTGACCCTGGTGGCTATTCGGGACTCTGAGCTCGCTCGCATTCCACGAAGCCTCTTTGAAATGATTGCTCTCAGCAATCCATCCATCATGGTGAAAGTCACACGGATTGTCGCAAACAGATTCATCCATAGCAAAGAGCACGATGGGAAATTTGAGCTAGCAACGGCCTCGGCTGCAGTCAAAGACGACAACTTCAGCAAGAACTTCAACAACTACCGGACAATCACCATTTTACCAATCACGTATGGTTTGCCGGTCGTTGAGTTTGGTGAGCGGCTTGCAACTGCGCTAGAAAACGTCAATAAGACCGCGAAAATGCTGACCCAGTCCACCGCGCTGAGCCGTCTCGGAAAACATGCCTTTGATCATCTTGCCAAGCTGAAACAGAGTGGCTACTTTTCCGAGCTGGAAGATAAATACGACATTGTCATCTACGTCGCCGATACGCCAGTCAACTCCTCCTGGACAAAGACGTGCATCCAGCAGGGAGACTGCATCCTGCTTCTAGCGGACTCTCAGCAGCCTCCGGATATTGGTGAGTACGAGCGGCTGCTGGTGAAGAACAACACCACGGCCCGCACAGAACTCATTCTCCTCCATCCTGAACGATACGTGGAGCCCGGATCGACGAACAACTGGCTGAAAAACCGGATCTGGGTCCACTCGCACCACCATGTTCAGCTTTCCTTTGCCACAAACTCAATGCCTCCTGAAGTTGACTTTGGCCCGATATCCAAGTCTGCAAACACAAGCAAGCTTCTCACTGCCACTACCGCCAAACTGTCCGCCAATCTTCGGAACATGCTGAGTAACAATGAGTTTCTGCAAATGATCAAGCAAACGAGAGAGGCGTTCAAGTCGAAACGATATTACCGACCCATGCAAGAACATAAAGACGATTTCATGCGACTTGCGCGTATTCTCACCGGACAGGCGGTCGGTCTCGTTCTGGGAGGAGGCGGGGCTCGCGGCATCAGCCACATTGGTGTCGTTGCCGCTTTGGAGGAGAAAGGCATACCTGTGGATTTCATTGGTGGCACTTCGATAGGAGCGTTTGTTGGTGCTCTGTATGCTCGTGAGTACGACCTTGTTCCGGTTTACGGGAGAGCAAAGACCTTTTCGGGACGCATGGGCTCTATATGGCGCTCGTTGTTAGATCTAACTATCCCCTTGACGTCGTACACCACCGGCCACGAGTTCAATCGCGGAATATGGAAGGCTCTGGGGGATTCCAGAATTGAAGACTTCTGGATCAAATTCTACTGCAACTCCACCAACATCACGGAGTCTATCATGGAGATTCACACTTCGGGCTACGCATGGAGGTACGTGCGTGCCTCCATGTCTCTTGCTGCCCTTTTACCTCCACTAACCGACAATGGCAACATGCTTCTCGATGGAGGCTATATCGACAATTTGACCGTTGAAGAGATGAAGCGACGTGGAGCACACGCCATCATAGCGTGTGATGTCGGGTCGGAAGATGACCGGTCCAAGATGCACTACGGTGAGTCACTGAGTGGTTTGTGGGTGCTGTTGAATCGCCTGAATCCGTTTTCAGCTCACCCTAACGTTCCGACCATGACAGACATCCAGATCCGACTGGCATACGTGGCTTCCGTCATCGCGCTGGAGAAATCCAAAAACTCCAAGGATTGCGTGTATTTGCGGCCTCCAATAGAAGGCTATGCCACGTTAGACTTTTCGAAGTTTGACGAGATCTACGGCGTGGGGTCTAAGTACGCGGCTGAGGTCCTCACCAAGCTACAAAGCAAGGGCGAGCTCCCATCCTTCAAAACCAAAAGGCGCGAGTTAAATAAACACCCGACGCTCCAAAGAAGAAATTCGATATAGATTTAATTATTGTGGATAATAAATTTATCCGTATTTATTCCCAAGTACACTTAATTTTACACGTTGGCAGCGTCGGAGACAAGTATCACCGAATCGCCTCTAATGAACACCATATCGCTTTTCTTGGTTCTGGACTTGATCTCCGGCGAGTCTTGCTCGGTGTAGAAAATAGTCTCTGTAGCGTCGCTCAACACCATGTTGCAGTGCATGTCGTAAGCCTGGACGTTAGCACAGATGTCGACTTTTCATACTTACGTGTAACCTCCCCACCATTTCCCTGCTTCCTCTAAGTTTCACAAAGACTTGCTCGTCTAAACACAGCCTGATAAGGTCCAGAGGTTCCGAAGACGTCGAATTGGACTCGCTCATTTGCCGTGGAAATAAAATGAGTTTATTTTTTTCGTGAAATAATTTCCATATCTTGTTTTCAACCATGTCTGAGGAGCTCAATTTTTATTGCCTGGGCGGAGGAAACGAGGTTGGGCGTTCCTGCCACATTGTAGAGTACAAGGGGAAGGTTGTGATGCTTGATGCTGGTGTGCATCCGGCCTTTTCGGGCGCAGAGTCGCTGCCCTTCTACGACGACTTTGACCTTTCCAAAGTCGATGTTTTGCTCATTAGTCACTTCCACTTGGACCACGCGGCGTCTCTGCCGTACGTCATGCAGCACACAAACTTCAAAGGCCGTGTTTTCATGACATATCCGACCAAGGCGATCTATAAATGGCTTCTGAATGACTTCGTGAGAGTGACCAGTATTGCCGACGACAACGACGAAAACTCTGCGAATTTCCTGTATACCGACGAAGATCTGAACGAGTCGCTTGATCGAATTGAAACGATCGATTACCACTCCACAATTGAGGTCGAGGGTATCAGATTTACAGCTTACCATGCCGGTCATGTTCTAGGAGCAGCTATGTTTTTTGTCGAGCTTGGAGGCCTCAAGTTCTTATTTACTGGAGACTACTCTAGAGAGGAAGATAGACATTTGAGTTCTGCCGAGCTTCCACCATCTAGACCGGATCTTCTGATCACAGAGTCGACCTTCGGTACGGCTACTCACGTTCCCAGGGTGGAAAGAGAAGCGAAACTTACCCATGTGATACATTCTACTATTCAACAGGGAGGCCGGTGCTTGTTGCCTGTGTTTGCCCTTGGTAGGGCCCAAGAGATTTTGCTCATATTGGACGAATACTGGCAGAACAACCCAGAGTTACAGAATGTTCCTATATATTACGCTTCCGATCTGGCAAAGAAGTGCATGGCCGTTTACCAGCGGTATGTCAACATGATGAACGACAGCATCCGCAAGAAATTCACAGAAACCAACCAGAATCCTTTCCATTTCAAGTACATCAAAAATATCACCAACATCGAGAAAATTAATGATTTGGACCCGTCGGTACTTATTGCCTCACCAGGTATGCTGCAAAATGGTATTTCGCGTAAGATATTGGAAAAATGGAGCCCTGATCCTCGTAACTCGTGCATTTTGACCGGTTATTCTGTTGAAGGAACAATGGCCAAAATACTGCTCACTGAGCCTAGTGAGATCCCGTCCATAATAAACCCAGACGTTATGATACCGCGGAAAATCAACATAGAGGAGATCTCCTTTGCTGCACACGTTGACTACGAGCAAAACTCCAAATTCATCGAGCTGGTGAACCCAAAGGCCATCATTCTAGTTCATGGAGAAACGAACCAGATGGGTAGACTTAAATCTGCTCTACTTTCCAAATACCAAAAGTTCAAAGGCACAGAAAACGAAGTCAAGGTCTACAATCCGAGAAACAGCAGCAAACTCTCGCTGAGCTTTGAGGGGATCAAGGTGGCGAAAGTGATGGGCCAGTTGGCTACCTCTCTTCCCAAAGAACATGACACCATTAACGGAGTGTTGGTACAGAAGAACTTCGATTTAAGCTTGCTTAAAATCGAAGATCTCAGAGAGTTCGCAGGCTTGACTACCACTGTTGTGCGACAAAGACAGTCACTAAGGTGCACAGCTACGAAAAGTCTCATCAAATGGCAACTGACACAAATGTTCGGCTATATTCAGGAGTTGGTCGATGAGGACGACGAATATGTAGTGAAGGTGATGAGCGCGGTCAAGATCACGCTGGAGAGCAAAGAGTCAACCGCCACTGTGGAATGGAACTCGGGCATGGTCGACGATACTATAGCGGACTCTGTTCTTGCCATCCTGATGAGCTGCGACTCGTCGCCTGCATCGGTGAAGATATCGTCCAAATCACACAGTCACGATCATGACATCAAGCAAGAGGAAAACGTTCCGGACGAGTATTCACGCGAAGCCCGTCTTGCAAGAATATCCAAGCTCTTAACTGCCCAGTTCGGGGACTCCTTCAAGCATGACGCAGAGAAGCAGTGCGGAACGATACAGATTGGCAAGAACTCGGCAAAAATCGACTACTCCACATTTGAGGTCGCCTGCGCATCGGGAGCTTTGCGTGGCAGAATAGAAGGTATTCTGAACCGTTCGTTGGATCTGGTTGCTCCGCTTTCCAGAAATGCATAAATAGACTTATTGAACAAGAAAATCCTCGAATTCGAAACCGCTTTTGTCGACCCAGCCGCAGCCGGTGTCAGGTTCTGACCCTTCTAAGGGCAGATCCATGAATCCTGCTTCGTACTGATTAAAGTCGATTTCGTCAACCGGTAGGTCGTAAAATGGAGTCGTAGGAAAATTGTTGCTGTCGCTGCTATTAGACGTGGTTGATTTTTCTTCGGGAGCCACGGGATTTTCATGATCCACGGGATCCACCTCCACATGCGCATGCGACTCAGGCAAGCTTGTCTGCACTTTGACAAAGAGCTTTGGTGACACTTTTCTCAGAGTATCTTTGATATGCTGGACAAGTTTGGACGATAATGCCCAATGTCTGGATATCTGAAATATCCCACCCAGCTCGAGTTTGATGTACTCCGTGTACGTTTCCAACTCGTCTGCACTAACGCTGTCACGTAATAAACTGAGTCCCTTAGAATTTTTATCGACCGCGGAAAGGCTTGTTTCAACCCAGGAGTATGCGCTCAGGTGAACGAGGCAGGAGAAGGCCAACGAACAAGCGAAGAATGGCGTTCTATCCAGAATCTTAGCCGGGTTGGTGTCTAAAAGCAGTTTGACCACCGACGAAGCAGAATCGATCGTTCTCCTCGTCTCGATGATTTTTCGCGAGTCTGCTTCGTGCCTGGCCGGAGCATCAAGATGCGGCTCTCTGCCATCATCTTCTCCATCCTTCAGCTTTCTGGCGACATCCGTCCTCCAAAGATAGGAGAAAGGTCTGTGCATGAAGATCTTCGCATAGTTCACAAGCATGACAGCTTGGTGGACACCTTCATTGACGAATCCGCTGGAGTTGACCAGATATGGCGAGTTGTACGAGTCTGGATCTTCAATCCTCAAGTCCCAGTTGCCGATGGCAGCCTTTAAGTGCTGTAGATCCTTTTTGTAGTCTTTGTCGTCCTGAATTGCCATATTTAGCTTGATAGAGTCATTCACCAATTTACAGCACTCTGCTCGGCTTTTGAAATCAAACACCTTTTGGGGGATGTCCTTGGGGAACAGCGTAAGGACCGTTTTCGTTGAGAGGGCCGATGTCGTCCTGCCGGAAGCAGTGCCGCTTATCGTGTCGAAAAAGTACAACTCCCAAAACGTCCGTCTCGCGGTGTTTTCCATGACGGATCGAGGAACCTTCGATGTTCGAGGGGCCGAAAGCAGTTTCTGAATGACATCCAGATGTCCATTGGCTTTTGATTCTCTTTCGGTAACAAATCCATTCACGTCCATAAACACTTCGGGAACCGCATCGCGGTCAACCATATTGAGTTCGAGCTCCAGGGCAAGAGAGACGACACACTGCAACAGACTTTGACTGATATCGTGTAAAGAAGATATATGGGATGCCATTGCTAACAACAGCACAGACTGCAACGTGACGAAGTCGCGTCCGACCTGCTTTGAATAGTCAAGTATAGTGGTTACCAAGTAGTTCACTGTTTCCACATCCTTTGCGTAGGTTGTCTGTGTTTGTCCATCTCCAATGAGTTTCATCGCTAGCAGAAGGTCATATTTGTGTGGGATGCTGTCCAGATACTCTCTAATGTTTTCTTTTTGCGGCATGAAGGGATGACAGTAATGAAACCTTGAGTAATAATTGCTGATGATTGCATCCACATTGAGATTTTTGGTCAGCGTGGGAGTGATATAATAATGGTCTGGTGTGGTCAGGTACTTCTCATCGAACAGAATGTTGAGCACCGATTTGTCTTTGGACGAGTTGAACTTTGGGTAGAAGTCAACCTCCTCATGACGGGCACATGGAAGTAAGTCTTTTGCCTTTCCCGAGCGGCACTTTTGGTCGCAATCTACCTGGTCTGCCATCTTTCCACAAGGCAGAACAATATCGATTTCGGGCTCTAGCTTCAGCCTCTGCTTCTTAGTGCTTACTCCTTTCTTTCTCGAGCCACCACGGTTACTCTTGACAAAAAAGCACTCTTTCCCCAGTTTTTTGCATCGTGTGCAGACAGGCTCTATTCCATCACACTTGAGGTGTCGCTGCCGACATTCTAGACAAGCCCTTGAAACCGGTTTGAGTGGTTTCTTGAGCATAATAAAGCGCAAAAAATAAAAATACAGGTAAACCGGAAATATGAGCTTTTAAGATTTGATTTTCTTGTCGGAAACAATTGAGTAATCCTCCGGTAACAATTGTACCATGATTTGAGTCATGTGATGACCTGGCGTGGGTCCCCGCTCAGAAAGAAATGTGCTCGGGATTTCGTTCTGATTGAGTCGGTAGGTAGGCTGGTTGCGTTTGTGTTGTACCTCCATTGAGTGTCAAAATTATATACGGCAACGGCATAGGAAAGCGGCATGTGTAATCTGTGCAACTTAGTGCCAGATCCACAAATACTTTTGGACTTAGGTAGTTTAGAATCGTGGCTTCTGTCGGGGCGGATCTAAAACGAAAGGACTGTTTTTGTACTGGCCACGCCTAATGAGAGTGGGTCTACTGAAGAGTCTACTCTATGTGAACTAGCTTGGGCTTAAGTTGCAACCAACAGGCAACAGCACACTTTTCTACTACAAATTTCGTCCTATGTTGCTACAATTGAGCTGATACGAGAACGTTTCAGTCACATTCGGTACGAATTGCATGTATACTGCGGTAAATACATGTGTTTAGAATACAATCGAGTAAACTTATGAGCCAATTAAGTGGGAATAGTCGGAAACGAGCTGCAATTGACTCCCAAGGAGCAACTATTGCCCGAGTCCATGGGCTTTAGCAGATAACAGATCATTGGGGTGAAAACACGATATGGAAACATTTGCACCAGCAATTCACCCGCTTCAGTACTGGTTCATGTCTGTTCTGCGCAGATTCAACTCCACACAATCTCAAATATAGATGATAATGCCGAGGGAGGATCCAGATCTTCGTCGTCACATGACTCGAGTCACGATATATTTCCGATCGGGACCTCATTGATTCCCAGAAGAAATCCTATTTCCGGTTTTACATGTTTTTCTTCTATAGCCTATTTATGAATTTTATTATAGATAACGGGTCCTACGAAGTGAAGCTAGGACACACAGGCCAGGAAAAACCGTATCATGTACCAAACTGCCTGGTGAGGACGAACGACAAAGAGGTACATCTTGGGGATATCCTCAATACCGTGGGCGCCATTGATCAGTCGGGTATACAGTTCAAAAGACCAATTGAACATGGTCAGTTGTATCAATGGACCATTGAGAGACAGATATGGGACTCCTCGTTTGTGAAACACTACAAGAATGAGGATATACTAAACGGGTCCAATCTCGTTTACTGCGAGACACCTGTCACGTACTCCAAGTTTCAGAATAACACTGACCAGGTGCTCTTCGAAGAATACGGGGTGGGTTCTCTCTACCGCGGATCCGTGGCCTCTGTAATCCCGTGGATCACAAAGGACGACGGGTACAACGATTTCCAGCTTGTGGTGGACAGTGGGTTTGACGCGACATACGTAATCCCGATGATCAACGGCCTGCCGTACTGGAAAGCTGTCAAGAAGATGCCCATCGCTGGACGATTCATCAATGGATATTTGAGAGAAGTGATTTCCTTCAGACACTACAATGTGACAGACGAGCCCGTGCTTGTCAACAATATCAAAAAAGCAGCTTGCTATGTGACAAATGACTACTACGCAGCGCTGGCAAGAATAGAAAAGCTGAAGAAATTGAAACCAAAGCAGTTAATAGACGAGCCAAACAACATCTCTATAAATTATGTCTTACCGGATTACAAGACAACAATGACTGGCTATGCAGTTGCCGATAAGGATATGCAGTCCAGTGTGCGCGAGAACCAACAGATTTTAAAACTATACGACGAGCGTTTTGCCGTGCCCGAGGTGCTATTTCAGCCTGAAATTAGCGGTGTTCACAAGGCAGGCTTAATACTAACAATACAGGAGTCGCTCAAGGCTGTCCCCGAGCTTTTGCGCCCATTGTTATGCGCGAATGTGGCAATCACGGGCGGAACATGTAACCTGGCAGGATTCAAGCAGAGACTGATTAACGAGCTCAACAAGGAGATTCCCGTGGATGACGAGGTTAGGGTCTACAACTGGGACGGCGATTACGCCGATTTTGGATGGCACGCTGCGCATAAGTTTCTCGAAAAAGGCGCTTTCGATAAAGTGGCCGTTACCAAACAGGAGTACCACGAATTTGGTCCCGAGTACACACAGGAAAAATTTGGACATAAGCTGATGAAGTAGATGCTGGATTCTAAAGACATGAAACTAAGGATATGATGAACAGTATTGTGACAATGATGAGACTGGAGTAAACAGAGGCCTGGTGCCACATTGGGGCATTACTGTAACGAGTCATTAGGAGACACACAGAGACCCCGCTAAGAATAAGACTCAAAACCAGACAGCCCATGCCGAAACAGAGCAGCAGGATCATTCCACTTGTTTGTTCCAGATCATCGCCAGATTTCAGGGTTGAGAAAATGACTCCCAGTCCTACCCCGGTAGTGAGAAAAGACACCAGCATCGCAGTTAGATATAGAAACGACAAAATGCGATCATGATTTACCTGGGCCAGCAGGTCATTCGGTCTCGCTTCGCCGTAAACAAGAGATGGTTGGCGACGACGGTACGAACGCTCGTTTTCAGCTTGTTTACCGTACCGGTGAATAAACAACTTGTGGTCGCTGTTGTCCGTGTCTGACTCTGTGTCGTTCTCCAATGGGGACGATCCGTTGATCACTGATTTATAGAAATGCGGTCTATCTTGGTGTTCTGGGAGTAAAGGAGAAGGTTCCTCATGCTTGAATGAGTTGATGATATGAGTGAGTTTGCTCGAAATCTTATCAGACAAGTTCAGAATAGCTTCAATTCTCGAAGAGGTCAAGAACCCGAGGCCAAGGAAGTTGCCAAACGGTGTTCTTGAGCCCGAGAGCTCATAGTCGTCGTCAACATAGTATCCCTGGTCATCCTCAAGATCGCTGCCGTCATCAAATTCATTCCAGTACCTTTTGCCTTCTAGTAGTTGTTGTTGGAGTTCTTGCTGCTGCTGCAACTGTGCTTCGTATTTGTTCAGTAGAATACCCTGAGGCGAAGACTGTTTGGAAACCTCCTCGGACGTCTTTTTCGCGATTGATGGAAGTTTGCGGATATCCTTGCTTTGGAGGTCATCAAACCATGGTGCAACATATTCCAACATGGCTTCGTCTGTGAGTGAGTCCTGGTAGAACTTGGATAACAGGTAATTATTCAATGAGAAATTAAGATTGTCCACTCTGTAAACAAGATGAGAGTTGATGAGAGACTGCACAACTGATGGAAGAACTTTGAGGGGGGAATCGTACTTTACCTCAAGAATTGAGTGAGGAAAGGGAATACTGTCTTCTGGAATATGGAAGTGGACATCCTTCAACGACGAGATTTGAGAGATCCGAATGTCACTGTCTAAAGTGATATAGCACTCCACTTTAGGAGGTGTGTCATCTGTCACACTTATGAACCGAAGTCTGTTGACAGCAACTTTAGCCAAGGGAGCCATTTTCTTGTCGATGCACCAGTCAAGCGACAGCTGAGCCATCTTGGGGTTTCCGACAAGTCCAGATTCACACCATTGCTTCAAAATCTTGTTTTTAAACACCTCCGGAGGCAGTTTCGATGGACTAAATAAAGAATGGATGAGCGTTTCGTTCAGGGTAGTCATGGCAAATTGGTGAAGACCACCGATAGGCGAGATCAGAAGCGGTTTTTCGGCTCGCTTTGAATTCGGATACTGCGTTTTATGTATCTGTGCAACCACTCCGCCAGAAAGAAAATTGTCTGACGCGGAGAGGAACCCCACACCTGTTTGAGACGTCACCAGTGGGTCATCGAGATTGTTGAGCCAAATGGAAACAACTTCGGTGTCCGGGTGGAATGTCGCATCAGGATCTTCGGCGTGCTCTGGGAGATTGAGCTCGGAGCGAGTGTGTTTGAGGTGTACTGAAGAATTCTGCTCTGACAATCGTTGATTCTCGTATTGCCGGACCAGACCCTCCTGTTCGTGTTCTTCGTCCATAATGCCCGAGTCGTCTGAAATGAGTTTGAATCCACTCAGAAGCTTGAACTTCATTTCGTCCAGATTGTCCTTATGAACCCAAAATCTCTGACACACCGAGCCTTTTTTGTGAGAGATAAGATCGAAAGTGGTTGCTCTGGAATATACAAAGTCTTTGGAGTGACCATCTATAAGTGAGGACAACCCAAAGGAGTCCTCTGTGGCAAATGACAACTTGCGATTGTTGTTCACGCTGAAACCTGAACCTGTCTGTGTCTGATTGGCACGGTAGTTGTTGATCACGTCGAACATCAGTGTCAGCTCTAGAGCCGCATCGTTGAGATACAAATTGACAAAGGAATTCGGGTTCCCGTTAAGACATTCGGTAGTGATTTTGTCCACAAGCTCCTGCTTGTGGGGATAATCGCTGTGCTTGATGAATTTTTTAAAAAGCTTCTTCACTGCAATTTTCTGCAAAAGAATAAACCTAGAAAGATCTTGGAGCTCGCCCGAGAGAATTTCCAGCTCTTTCTGTATAAGCATCAGACGTCTTCCTTGAAGACGCTGCTGAATTGCGCTATGGTTGCTGTCCGATCCGAGCGTAGAGTTGATGAAATTGTTGAGTAAACTTTTAGTGGCGAGAATTCTTCTGGATATTTCGCCGTACTTGGAGTTGACGAACAAGGACGTGAACTCGATTTGTTCCTTGAAAGCCCTGAACAATTGCTTCAAGTGCTTCCTCGTCCTCTTGTCCTGTTGCGAATTCGTTGAAAATCTCGAAAATGCGGTGTCGCTAGTGTCGTTAGTGTCATTGGACTTGTCAGAGAGGCTTGAGCTTGAGTCCTTGATTGCAGTTGTGGCCTCTTTGATTTTGCGCTTGATGTCGTTGTAGTCTATGTTGTAGTTTCTCCATTTGGAAACGGACCGGTCGTTGAATTCGTCGCCGAACTTCATCTACTGTGCTGACCGTAACCAAAGACGTTTTTCTTATCAAAAATGAAATAGGATAATTAGATTTGCAGAAATGCGTAAGCGAGAGACTTTTATGCAGAGACTTAATCAGAACACCTGGGAGGATGCAATTTTGTGTCGAGCTTTTTTAACGTAAAAAGTTAAGGCCGGCTGTATATATAGCCTCTTCCGCAAGATATGCGTGCAGGCCATTACATCCGGTGCTGAGATCCTGTTCAAAGGTTAATTACGTTTGAACTCTGAACAATAGTGTTCCTGTAAAATTCTGGGCCACAATCATTGTTCGCGCACCCTTTTATTGTTCTAGCTATTTCTCACCTTGGGTATTTTCCCACGTGGGCAGCCGCACCGGGGTACAATATTCACTATTCCCGAAGTGCCAACGCCAAGAGCGCTCATGGTAAGCGATTGTGATTGTCAAGAGGTCTGGTTTGGCTGCGTCATCGCGGTACGATAGAGTATCACGACCGTTGCGATTTATCACCTTTATGCTCAAAACTCTGGCGATCTTTGTACACTTCTTGCTTCCAGGTCACACGACCGCAAATCATTTTTGGCGTCTTTGCCACTTTCGATGTCCTGTCAGCTGTAATCATTGTCCTGTGCGCTGTTATGAAAAAAAGCGAGTCGAAGTCGGCCTGCCGAAGTATTTTTCTAAATTCACTACTCGTCACATTCACAAGCTCAAATGTAAATCAATCCCAGCTATAAATGCTTGTTCCTCACTCGCCAAACGCGTATGGCTGACATTCCCAGGAAAAGGCCTACAAAACAGCTTTCCAGCGATAGCCTGAAAGAGGATTTTGAGGACTCACTAATAAATGAGTTCGACCTGCCGCCTCTAGACGATGGCGAACCGGATTTCGGTGGCAGTGTCGAGCTACTGTACAATCGCACATCGGAAGGGCTGCGTCTAGAAGAGAATTTGGACGGCTTCCCAGACGCAAACACGGAGGCAGAGCTGGACTCCGTGTACCAGAAGATGGCCCAGGCTCTGGAATACAGAGACAAGCTGCTGGTAAAGGCAGTTATCCGGGAGCTGGAGAAGGAAATGGCTCCCAAGATCAAAAAAATGCAGGAACACAAGCGGAAGTACGAGCTGTTGAAAAAAGTATACAAGCTACCCAGCGTCTCCAACTTGGCCGAGTTCCGCACGGAGAAATCCAAACCAAAACCAAAACGCTCGAGACGCCACTCGACAGCTGTAGCTCGCACACAGTTGGATCCCATCGACGAGGAAGCCGAGAAACGAGATGCCCCGGAGCTGGCGAGAACAAGGTCACATGACCCAGGTCACGAAAAGCAGCAGAAGCATAGCGCCGGCTCCACCGTTCTCCCTATCCCGATCCCTTCGCTGAGTCCTACATACAGCCGATGCGGCGACCACAGAGACCTCCGCATTCTCTCGACCGTCGAGCTAATTTCCATCAAAAGCCGCATTCTCAGTCACGTTTTCCCCGACGTCGGCAGGATCACAGGTCTGGTGCTCAAATTCGAGCAGAATGCAGATTACAAGCCGGGAACGCGTAAATCGCTGGTCATTCGCAAGCTCAATAACAAGATCCTTCTCCAAGAGATCGAACACGAACTAGCTGCTCGGGGCGAGAGCGCCAAAAATCTGTTGCAATGAGCTAAATAGTTACAGATTGATTTATTACTTTTACTCCTTTTTAGGCTTCTTCTTTTGAGGTTCATCATCATCCCCATCATCGCTGACGCTTGCATCAGAATCGTATTCCTCTGCAACGTCAGAGCCAGACATGTCCTCGTCGTTGAAGTCCTCGTCTGGCGACTCGTCGTCGTCCGCCGATCCCATGTCCATGTCGCTGTCCCCGTCGGACTCTGCCATAGCGGATGCCAACATCTCCTGTGCAACCTTCTCGTCGTTTCTGACCTTGAGGTTCTTGCTTTTGAAGAAGTTTTCAAGCAGCGTTTGTTCACCTCGGTCCATATTTCCGAAGCTGTGCGAGCGTGCTCCATTACGGAGGTTCACTTCCATATCGAAAGTTCTCGACGCACCTGTGCCGGAACCAATTCTCGAGAATACAATGTTGGTGATCTCCGAGTACGGAATCAGAACTGTAGGTTTGGTGACAAATAGCAAGCATTTTTCCAGCGGATAGAGCTGTCCCTCGTTCGCCTTTAGAGAGCACGAGATCGCAACCTGTGAATCTTTGGACATGAAATTTCCAGGCACCACAACACGTCTTTCGGTGAAGCCCTTCAATATACTGGTCATCACCATGTACGTGTTATTATTGTAAGTTTTGTTGAGTCGCTCTTTATACTTGCTTTCGTACTCCTCGTCGTCCAGGTTCAGCTCGACCTCAATCTCTTCCTCAGATGACACTTGTATGGTCAAGAAGGAGTATCTAGTTTGCCCTTGTCTTAATGGAGGATCGACTTGAAGCACAATCAGGTGGTTCAATTGGTACAATTTTGGCAACGAGAATATTCTCTGAATTTGCGAGTACTGCAGCTTGTAGTCGTACGTCTTACCTCTGAGACGCATAAATGTATCGTACATGTCCACATCGTAGCGTCCTCTTGGTGTGAGGAACAAGATTTCTTCAAACGAGACAATAGCCTCGCCGGTGACTTGGCCAACGTCGGCCTTTTCTCTGAGCTGGTCGCTGAACACTTGAGCGAGTGATCTTGGCTCCGAGGCTTCATTGGTCTCCCCTTCCTCGCCTTCCTCTTCATCTTCGGACAGGGTTCCGGGAATATACAGCTTCATCTCAACCAATTCGTCTCCAGTACGTTCTGGTTCGTGCTTTTCGCCTAGGTTCATCTCCACCGTCACTTCGTTCTTCCTGCTCAAATTACTGTTAGTGATATCTGAGTACGGAATTTCAAAGGCTGGTCTGTTGTTAACGTTGAAAATTAGTTCATTTCTTGTGAGCTGGGTCTTTCCCCAGTTCCAGCCACGCAATGAGTGTTCTCTAACTTCGAGCTGGATGCCGAAATTCCTCTGCAATTCGTTCTTCAGGCCGTTCAAATCCTGCTGATCAAACCCGTCAAGCATCACAACTCCCTTGTTCTTGGTGTCTATGCGCAATTCCCAGCCACGAGACCCTCTGGACCAGTGAGCACTAGAGATTTCGTCGCTAGGCAGGAGAAACGGAGTGGACTTCACAGTGGATCCAGGAGCAGTCTGGGCCTTCCATCCCAGACCGGAATCCGCGATACGCATTCTGCCAGCCTGTTTCGACTGATTCAAGTATATCTTCTCGTACTCAGTGGACATGATGGCACAAATAATGTTTAAATCAAAAATTCACCTAATTTACGTGTCACGGTTACCCTGCCTACAGATTTTCCAATTTGGTCGACGAACACCAAATGGCAAAACCATTTCTTGAAAAAAACCATCACAACATGTCTGCCGAGGGAGAAGAAGAATTATTGGACTACTCCGATTCCGAAGAAATCAACGTGCAGCCAGCTCAGCAGGCTGCCGCTGGCGAGGAGGGAAAGGAAGAAACAGACAAAAAGGGTTCTTATGTCGGAATCCACACCACTGGTTTCAGAGACTTCTTGTTGAAGCCTGAGCTTCTGAGAGCCATTGCTGATTGTGGTTTCGAGCACCCTTCCGAAGGTAAGTGCGAAGCTTTGAGTTGTGGCTAACAATTCCAGTTCAACAAGCTTGTATTCCGCAGTCCATTCTTGGCAATGACGTTCTTTGTCAGGCCAAGTCTGGTCTTGGTAAGACTGCTGTTTTCGTGTTGTCCACCTTGCAACAGTTGGATCCTACACCTGGTGAGATCTCCACGGTTGTCATTTGTCACACCAGAGAACTGGCGTACCAGATCAAGAACGAGTACGCTAGATTCTCCAAGTATATGCCTGAAGTCAAGACTGAAGTGTTCTACGGAGGTGTCAACATCAAGCAGGATGCTGAAAAGCTGAAGAACAAAGATACGTGCCCACACATCGTTGTTGGTACGCCTGGTAGATTGAACGCCTTGGTCAGAGACAAGCTGATCAGACTGAACAACGTGAAGAACTTTGTCATCGACGAATGTGACCAGGTTCTCGAGCAAGTTGACATGAGAAGAGACGTTCAAGAGGTTTTCAGAGCCACGCCTTTCCAGAAACAGGTGATGATGTTTTCGGCCACCCTGTCGCAGGAGATCAGACCGATCTGCAAAAAGTTCATGAAGAACCCATTAGAGATCTACGTTGACGACGAGAAAAAGCTCACTTTGCACGGTTTGCAACAATACTACATCAACCTACCGGAGGAGAAGAAGAACCTGAAGCTGGCAGAGCTTCTAGATTCCTTGGAGTTCAACCAGGTCATTATCTTCGTCAAGTCGACGAAGAGAGCCACCGCTCTGAACAAGCTACTCTGCGATTCCAACTTCCCATCCATTGTCGTTCACTCTGGTATTCCTCAGGAGGAAAGAATTGCCAGATACAAGCTGTTCAAGGAGTACAACAAGAGAATCTGTGTGTCGACAGACGTGTTCGGAAGAGGTATCGATATCGAGAGAATCAACCTGGCTATTAACTACGACTTGCCAAGTGAGGCCGATCAATACCTCCACAGAGTTGGCAGAGCTGGCAGATTTGGTACCAAGGGATTGTCTGTGTCGTTTGTGTCGAGCGAGCAGGACCAGGAGATTCTGAACAAAATTCAAGAGCGGTTCGACGTCAAGATTCAAGAGTTCCCTGCCGAGGGTGTTGATCCATCCACCTACATGAACACTTGAATCAGGTGACGAAAAGTTGTACTAGTGTATTTTACGTATTGAACTAGAAAGATATATATTACAGCCTGTATGTTTGGTGTGTGGTGTTCGGTGCTCGGAGTACCATATGCAGATTTCTCTCCTGCATTGTATATATGCATCCTCGGCACTTCTATCAGTAAGCATACTGGTGGCTGTATTCATGTCAAATAACTAGTTACAGATTATGCCCATTTGCCGAGCAATGCCATGAGTCCCGCTCCAGTGCACATGATCACGTAAGCGAGAACCATCTTCTTAATGTTTTTTCTGCCTCGGAACTCGTCGCTGAAGAGGAATTCGTGGGCCATCAGCTCTATGAGACCAGTGTAAAGCAAAATTCCTGCCGAAATCGAGTCGAACACACCGTTGGTTATGAGAGCTCTACGGGAGTTGGGTGGGTATGACTTGCGCACTCCAAGACCAATAGCAATGGCAATTGGGGTGCAAAGACCATACGCACCAGCAAGCAGCCACGGAGTGAGGTTTCTTTTCTTGTCCCAATTGACCATGGCAATTCTGCTTCCAAGACCCAGTCCCTCAAACAGCTGGTGGAAGACAACAACGATGTAGAGGTTAACAAACTCATCACCAGACACGGCCAGAGTCAGACCAACAAAGACGGAGTGGAAGACGACACCAAACTCCAGAACGAAAACGTTGAACAGCTGTCCAAGGTAGTATTCCTTGTCCTGGTCCTGGGCAAGGGTGCCAACTGCCTCTGGGTCTTGATGCTCCTTGGCGTGCTGGTAATGGCGTGGAGACATGTCCAAGATAGCAGTGTTGTTGCCGTTCTGAGCCGCACTAGGAGGCGCATGGGCCCCTCTCTCGTACTCTGGCTCGAGGTCGCTCTTCACATCGTCGTCGTTGGTCTTCTTCACAAAGAGGTCAGTCTCGCCGAAGTGAGAGTGGTTGTGCTCATGGCCACCGTTCATATCTTCGACGTTTGCTTCCATCCATTTGTAAGCCATAAGTTCTGCGAAAAACATCACCATCAAGGTGATCAGGCAGATGCCAAAAGCCAACGGGTAGGCAGTGAACGGGTATCCCAAACACTCATTTCCCAAAGCGTCGCTGGCTGGCTCTAGAAGATGTATCAGCGAGGTGGCCACGATCACGCCAGACCCAAAGTATTTTGCAATAAAGAAACACCATGAGGGAAGTCTAATAAAGGAATATCGAGATGACAGAATTGGGAAGTATGCTCCAAATGCGGAAGCCACCAGAACAACGAAGACAGCGCTGATCCGTGCTCCCCAATGTTCCCCGTTATAGTCGTTGTCAGACACACAGCCTTCGTCGTCGCGTCTCCAGAGATCCATCGCTGCCGACAGTAGGCGAAAATCCCGGTTTTTAAAGGAAATTCGTCTTGACTATAGTGGTTATGCACATGCAGAGGTGGTCCGTATTCGACTAAAAAATTTTATACACCCTAGTGGTGACTTACGTAAACGTGTATTATATGCGCTTTATAATTTGGTAGCAGGTTCGTCCTCCTCGTCGTCTGGATCTCTGGAGGACGAGGCCAGCGCTGCCAGACGTCGAGCACGCTCCGCCTCGGACTCCTCCTGATCGTAGCTTTGATTGGACGATTCAGAACCTGTTGATGAGTCTATGTTTTTCTGCGATGACGAAGGTGGGGAGCTGACACTGGCTTTGCGCGAATCTGCAGCTAACAGCTTCTTGAGCTTATCCTCTAGCCTTTTGCCCTGCGGCCCTGCATCCGTTGGGATCAAGTCGTCGTTCGAGACTTGGCTTTGCTCAACGTCGCCGGCTTTTTCCTTCAACAATCCAACCATCTTCAACGCCTTGTCGAGCGTGTCTGCTTTTGCAGCTGCAGGTTTCTTCCTCTGGTTTATTTTGAATCTGCCCACAACCTCTCCATCAGCATTCTCGATCAAGATGTTGTCATCAATGCGGAAACCATGGTACCTCTGAGAAGCGTGAGGTTTATTGTTCTTGTCACGTTTGACCTTCTGGCCCAAAAGCATCTTGTGGTCCGAGTCGGTCTTGTTCACCAATTGATGAATTTTCTCTTGCGGGCGCGAAAAGTCCTCGATCTGTATTTCTTCTGCGTCAATTGTCCGACTCCGTTTTCTCCTTTGCAGGTCCGCGATCCGGCTCTTCAACGTGCCCAAACTGTGCAGACTATGCACGCTCTTCTGATCATCAGATTCCGCGCGCGGCGCATTAAAGGTGTGCAGTATTTCTCCGTTCTGGTCCTCAATTATCAGCTGTGTACCGTCCCTATAACCGTAAGTCGGGATTTTCAGCTCTCCGTCCACCTCAACCGGCTGTATATCTTCGTCGGTAATCTCAAAGTCTCGTTGCAATTCGCCTAGTCTTGGCGATGTAATCTTCATCAAAGGAGGACCCATGTCCTGTTCGCCGTGCTCGCTGGACTGGTCAGACCGGTCCACCTCCTCCACCTCAAGACGGGTGGTTGAGCTCTGGTCTGAACTCTCCTTAGTAGGCTGAGTCTGATTGTTGTTCTTTCCAAGGTCCAGTGTCTCCACAGCAGGAGGGGCTCTTCGCTTTTCTCTGATTTTCTTGTGCATTTTTTTCTTTTGCTTCCGTCTCTTTGCAATTCCTGCGGGTTTAGCAGAGGCTGCAGTGTCGCCGGCGTCCACATTACTCGAGTCGCCGGTATAAATTTTCTCCAAGAGCCCGTTGTCGTGGCTTGCCTCAGAAGGAGCCATGGTATCTATTCTCTTGATGGAAAAGGACGTGCCGCTTTTCTCGAGCTTCGGAAGTCTCGAGATCCATCCTCCGCCGTCGGTCTCAACCTTTGTTAGTGTCATGGTGAACGTCATTGTTTGCAAGTGGCGGCCTAAAGTCATCACAGCAACCGAGGAGCCGTGCACTATTATACTGCTGAGCACCAAGAAACAAACAGTCGGCCAGATTATCCTGATTAGCTGGTGGTACTCTTCTGCGTCCGGATATTGGGCTGTAGGTCCGTGTTCAAGGTGCAAGACGTGGGCCTCTAAATCGCCAATGGCCAAAATAGATGCAAACACAGCACCCACCCCGATTGGACCAAAATGACCCACAAACAGGGCCTCTTTCCAGTTTTTGATATCGGGGCTGAATGGCTTGATCGCCAGCACTGCCGGGATTCGTCTCAGAAAAATAACTACGATCGCGACGCACACAAGTCTCCACCAGTCAAGCCCGAGCGATTTATTGTTAAATTGCTCCCATGGAATAATGGTGCCGAAGTAGACGAAGTAGGCCAAGTTGAGCAACAGGTCAATGACTGATGAAACATGCGACTCTTCTGTACGCTCTGCAAAACGGCCGTCCCAGGCGAAACTGGCGCCTGCGGCAAAAGAAGCCAGTAAATCGTCGACACCGAGTATAGCTCCGAAGCCTGCGCACAGGAGTGCCAGCATGACGTAGAACGCCAGGAACGACTCCCTATCAATGAGGTCTTTTTCTTCAGCGTACTGAATAAGCTTGCGTCCAAGGAATCCAATGAGTCCGCCCATAATGCAGCCAAAAAGACACTCGTAAAGAATTGTGACCGTAATCCAATCACGCGCGATGGCCCCCGCTTTGGAGCCGTGTATAATGATGTTGACTGCAAGATAAACAAACGGCACAGACACGCCGTCGTTGCATGCGGATTCGGCGGTGAGGAGGTTCCGGAGATGGGCGGGGACCCTTCTTGCAAACTTACCCTTACCGACAACTGCTTGTGCAAGAACAGGGTCTGTGGCGGTTATGCAGGCGGAGATCAACAGGCCGTATCCATAATGTAGCCCGGGAATAATGAGCCATATGAACAGCCCTATGACCAACCATCCGATGGTCATGACAGGGATCAAGAGCAGGAACACCCCGAGCCAGTGCTTTAGGATATATTTCTTCGGAAGCTCTACGGCGACAGCCACTATTTCAACGCACAAGATGACTCTGCTGATTTCCAACGTTATGTAGTCCTCATTCCCCCACGATGATGGGTCGAACCAGTCCAAGCAATGCGGACCAACTATGAGACCGTATATTGTGGCCACAGAAGCCTCACCGATATACAGTCTTTCCTTTATAAATAGCGAGCAAAGCGAGAAGAAGGACGAGAATACCGCTAAAACGGCATACGCCACATGCGCTTTGTCCGGATTTATATGTTCCCAAACCATTTCATGTCAAATACTAGAACTTGCTCAAGTATTTTTAGAGAGAAAAAAAACATGCTTATCTGCCAAGAAGGTTATGAGCGTATACTGCTTAAGGGTCCTGATCCTCTCGCTAGAACGCGTTGGGATGAAACACCGGTGGAGAGTGCCCGTGAGCCGGTGAGTTCTCACTTGGACCACATAGATGAGTTCACCAAGATTCTTTTCTCCCCAATATATCCTTTATAAGAATGAACGGATCGTAAGTCTGACGTACGTACGTCTACTACCACTTTGAAGCTAAAATAAAAAATTGGACTCCTCACACCTTCAATTTTTATGGCTAAAAAGAAGTCCAAGCAGACAGAGACACCGCCGCCGAAAGAGAAACCCTCTGGGGAGACGGGCAAGAAAGGCCCGATAGACGCTGCTACGCGCAAAGCTGGACGAACTGCCGTAGCTCAATCGTCGAGCTGGACAGGTAAGCTTCCGGGATCATTACTTCACGAGCACTGTCAGAAACAAAAGTGGCAGAAAGTCGAATATGACATGAAGAAGACGAAAGATGGATACATTGGTATTGCGAAACTTGCGTGGAAAAATCCGAAAACCCAGGAAGTGATCGAAGTTCGAATGATTCCAAGTCCAGTGATCAAACCGCAGGAAACGGCTCTGGAAGCTCGACATTACGCTGCTACCTATGCCTTACATCGCATTGCGTCCGACAAAAATATCCATATGGTGCTACCGACTAATCATAAGCAGCTGTGGGCAGACTTGGAAGCCGAACGTAGGAATCTCGTCAAGCAAGACCCAGAAAAAGCCAAGCGCGAATACTGTTCAGACCCCTTTAGCATGATTCTCGAGCAGCGCAGAATGCAGGAGAAACGGCAAAAAGAGCAGGAAGCAAAGAAACAAGCGGAGCTGAAAACTAGAAAGCCGATCATCTCCATCGGAGTCAGCAAACCGCAACCGCAGGCTTCTAAATCTGAGAAATACGTTACTGATCAGATGCGGTTTCCTAGAAAAGTATGGGAGAGCACTGTTTTCATTGATCTAAAGCCAGAAGTCAGAGGCTTGGTTGAAGACTGTATCAGGCACCACATCGAATGGTCGGAAGAGCAGATCGAGGGTGAAAAACTCAAAGTTGATGCTAAGGCGTTGGAAGCATTAGGGTTCCGGAAGTTGCACGTTGAAGAAGCTCTGAAGTATACGTGTACTTTCACGGACGCTTTAGAGTGGCTTATATTCCATATTCCTGAAGACGATCTTCCGCCTCTTTTTGTCAAGGACAGCAAAGACTCGAACGTCGAGCTGACTATTAGCAAAGACTTCAGAAAGGAGAATATTGTGAAGAGACTCAGAGAGGGAGGGTTTAGCGTGAACCAGATAGAAACGGCGATTAGCGCATGTGGGTACGACGAGATTCTCTTGGGGGTGTATCTGACGTCCACGCTCATTGACTTTGAGACCGACGCTCAGGAACCGGACTCGGCGGAAATCTGGCAGGAAGAACTCGATGGACTCGTGGCAATCTACGGGAACGACAAAATCAAGCTGGTAAAGGAAAACATTGCCGAAATTTCGCTGCAACCACAGGGTATTGACGAAGGTCTGCTCGCGTTGAAAGTGTACAAAAGCCCCAACTATCCCCAGACTTTCCCCGGCCTGCATTTGGTAGTGAAGAACAGCTCCTACAAATTAGCCAACTACATCAAGATTTCGATCATCACAAGACTTCTCTTCTACATCGTAGAGAACAACGTGCTGGGCATGCCGATGATCTTCAACTGCATTGAGTGGCTGGAACAGAACATTCTTCAGATAGTCGAAAACCCAGGTCCTCTGGTGAAAGCTACCGTCAAGAGAGAGCGTCGACCGGCCGAGAGGACTTCGTCGTCCAAGACAGTCAAGAGGCAGCGCGCAAAAGTTCCCAGAGACCTGGATCGTCTCTCCAGTGACTACGCAGCTAGGATCCAGCTGTCCGAGTATAAAGAGATGGTTGGAAAGCGTGCGAAACTGCCTGCATGGCGGAAAAGAGACCAGCTTGTTTCTGTCATCAACAGCAACCGGATCTGTCTCATCACAGGTGAGACCGGCTCAGGAAAGTCCACGCAGATTGTGCAATTTATCTTGGACGAGCTCAATAGCAAAAACGACTTTTCCACCGACATCATCTGCACTCAGCCAAGAAGAATTTCCACCATTGGGCTGGCGGATAGAATTTCCGAGGAACGTGTTAGCACATGCGGCAGCGAGGTCGGGTATATGATAAGGGGTGAAAATAAAACCTCCAAAGACACTCGGATCACGTTTGTCACGACGGGAGTTCTGCTAAGAATGATTCAAGGAATTGTCGGCAACAAAGATGCCAATAACACGCTCTTTGAGAATCTGGGCTACATCTTTGTGGACGAGGTGCACGAGCGATCTGTGGACGGAGACTTTCTATTGATCATCCTGAAAAAAATCCTCAAAATGTATCCAAAGCTGAGGGTGGTGCTGATGTCTGCCACCATTGACGTATCCATGTTTGGCAAGTATTTTGAGTCTGGAGTTTGTCACGTCCACATTGAGGGGCGGACGTTTCCTATTCAGGATTATTATCTGGAGGATATCCTCGATGAGTTGCAGTTTACAGTGACGATGAGAAACGGAGACCAGATTCAGCCAAAGGCCGACTCGAAATATTTCGAGCTCGGAAATATCAATTACGACCTAATTGCCGCGTTGGTGGAGAAAGTTGACGCAGACCTGCGCGCCCAGTCAAACAACGGATCCATACTGATATTCTTGCCCGGGGTGATGGAAATCAGCAAATGTCTGGCGAAGATAAATGGTCCTTTCTGGACATTGCCTTTGCATTCTGCGCTGAGCTCCAAGGACCAGAAGCGGATCTTCAAAGCACCTCCTCCAGGGAAAAGAAAGGTTGTGGCATCCACAAACGTTGCGGAGACGTCGATCACGATTCCTGACGCTGTGGTGGTGATCGACACTGGAAGGGTGAAAAGTGTCCATTTCGACTCGGCTTCCAACTCGACGAAGCTGGTCGAGTCCTGGGCCTCGCAAGCAGAATGTGGCCAAAGACGAGGAAGAGCAGGACGTATTCAGAACGGCTTCTGCTACAAGCTCTTCACTAAGGAGACAGAGGCCAAGACGATGCGCAAACACCCTATTCCTGAAATCAAGCGCACAAGATTGGAGAATCTGTACCTGGTGGTCAAGTCCATGGGCATCAAAAACGTGTATGAGTTTCTAAAAATGGGTCTGGACCCGCCGGACGTCGAAAATGTGGAGAGCTCGAAACAGCTGCTAACCGAAATGGGGGCGTTGCACAACGATAACTTGACAAAGCTGGGGTCGTACTTATCAACATTGCCAACAGACCTCAAGTCTGGCAAGTTGCTTCTGTTCGGCGTTTTATTCAAGTGTCTGGACAGTTGTCTCACTCTTGCCGCCATCGGTGTCACAGGAAACCCATTCATGGCGAGAATGGAGAATCGCGACGAGGTGAAGAAAGTCCAGAACAAGTTCGCTAACGGCTATGGAGATTTCATTGCTATTCTGAACGCTTTCAACGAGTACCAGAATTTGGAGCCCAGAATTCAACGCCGCTGGCTGGAGGAGAACTATCTGTCCTATCTCACCATGAACGAAATACAGTCGACGAGAACGCAGTATATATCTGCTTTGCAAGACCTTGGCTTCATTCCCATGGACTATCCTAAGTCCCAGTCCTCGGCTTTTCTTAACAAAAACTCGGCTAATTACCAGATACTCAGCACACTGATATGCTCCTCGTCATACCCCCAAATCGCCAGAGTGCAATATCCTGATCCCAAATACATGGCAAGTGTTGCTGGATCCATTTCTATAGACCCCGACGCCAAGAGCATCAAGTTCTGGATCAGGAACGAAAAGTACATCAAAAACCATGACGACCAGCTTCCTGCTACCAGAGCATTTCTGCACCCCTCGTCAACGCTCTTCAATGTTAAAAAGTCAGTTGGAGCTGGTGCAGAGCCACTTGTCGAGGACGAGAACGGCAACGTCATTTTCACACCTAGAGAGTCCAATAATTTGACGTCTCATTTTGTTAGCTACGGAGCATCGCAAGTTACAACCAAGCTGTATATCAGAGATGTGACTCCTGTTTCTATTCTAGCAGTGCTGCTATTTGGAGGTTCGATATCGTACGATCTGAGTACCGTCTCCTCTGGGAAACCATCTCCAGGTATCGTGATGGGACAATGGCTACCTATAAGAACATGGTGCAAAAACGCAGTTTTGATCACGAGATTGAGACATCTTCTCGACGAGGCCCTGAATGAGCGGTTCCTGCAACCACACTATGATCAAATGAACGAGTTCAGCGACGACGTCTTAAGAACAGTGGAAAAAATCATAGCGTTGGAACTGAAATGATCACTCGTTGATTTTGTAGGTGTTTACTCCGCAGTCTTTAAGAACCCCCTGTTTCACCCAAAAGATCAATCCCTCGCTGACTAGCTTCAGCGACATTTGGAGTTTCATGCAAATCATAGCGAGTTTCACCTCACTGCCCTTCGGCATATCTAGAAATGAATATAGAATAGAAGCCTTATCGGCAGAAACTTTGAAATTTCTCACCCGATTGCCAATTTCCACATCAATATCCACATAGGTGAGAGACGGGAAGATCGTGAGTCTGCGTCCTTTCTTCTTCCGCTTGAATTCTTCCTCGTACTGTTGCAAATTGGTCTGTATCTCTTCCGGTAGCTTGAACTTCTCTTCTGGCAATTCGGGCCAGTACATATGCGAAATGATGGATGCGTGCACCTTATCTGAATTGATAAGCTTGTCCAACTTGCGACTCTGAATGATGTCCTTGAGCATAACGTCCAAGGACAAAAATTCTGAGTTGCCGAATCTCGATTTCAGCAGCTGGAGCTTGCCATAGACTTCCCGAACGTCATAGTTTGTGATACGAAGCAGCTGCTCGGAGAACACTTTGGTCAGCTCACTCATGAACACGTCTTTTGAATCGAAAATTGAAATTAGCGATTCCACCACATCTTCCACCACGCCCTTACGGAAATCGGGTAGAGCATCCACCGGATCAGGAGTCCAGTCCAGATCCCGTTCCATCTCATGAGTAAGACGTTTCTTCTTATCCGACTGACGGAGCTCAATAGCAAGCTCAATCAGTTTATTGTCGGTTGACGTATCGAGCAGCGCAAACACGATACGCTCAATCGTGTCTTCTCTATCCCTGAGATACGCTCTAATAGGTCTGCACACTTTATCCAGCAAGACGCCACGATGGTCGATTATCAGAAACGAACGGACGGTTGAAATGTAGCACTTGATGATGTCGATGGTATTCACGCCAGCATGAAGTAGCCTCTTCCTTGACAAATGGATAAATGTGTTCACCAGTTGAGCACTTTGCTCCGGAGTCGACATGCAAGCACGAAGCTCTTGAAGAGCAAACGTGGAATCCGGATAATCGACCACTATGTCAAAGCTCTCTTCGACTCTGAGTTTTACCAGCTGATTCTTGACTAACGCGTCTAAAGACGAAAGATTGCAAGACGGCAGTATATCTCCGAGCTTTGGAACGAGAATTTGGTGGGTCCAGTTCGAGAGATCTTGAAGTACAGGTCTACTCCAAACTCTTGAGCATTTGGCCTGTACATGCAGCTTGATCCGGTCCTTAAATAGTTCGATAACCATTTGAGTCAGTTCGTCCCCGAGCTCTATTTGATTGAGTATCTCCGCGGTTTCTACCAGTTGTTCATGGGAAATCAAGCCTTGTTCTGAAAAGAGCCCGTTGTCGTACCATTCACGTAAACCAAGAAAAACGACGGGATCCATTGCTGTTGCCTGAAAAATTGCGTTGATGCAGCGCGTCACGAGCCTGACCTGTTCGGCAACCAGGGCTGCGAGCGACGCAAAATAGATTGATTTTTGTCTGGCACTGACAATCCATTCGAACAAACCGGGCACATTGGATATCCTCTGAGACGACTCTGCCATTGATTGCGCAAGCTGTCTCCCCTGGTTGTTCAGATGAAATCTCAGTAGTCTCATAAGCCCGTCAAACAAGACCTCGTTGCCGGTCCCGATGTTGCGCAGTGAGTTACGTACCCTAAGCGGTGGTTCCCCCCAATCAAGACTTTGCGTGTCCAGCACTTCCGCAATCCAGTCCAAAATTTGTGAGCTGTTTGATGAAGGATCTTCCTGTTCTAGGGACGACACATTGGTTGGTGAAGGAGCAAAAACGTCCAAAAAGTTCTGCGCGCTCAAGGACAAGGGCATCAGAAAAAGACTAAATAAACACAAAAAAAAATATAGAGCTGGATCATCATGTCTGTGAGACCCGCAACAGTCAAGAAGTTTTTGGAGGTGACGGGAACCGACTCAGAGGAAGTCGCTGCTTTTTTTCTTCAGAGAAATCAACAAAAACTTACGCACGCCATCAACGACTTCTTCGTTAACCCGCAACTGGCAAAGAACCTCAAAAAGGAGAAGGTGACGGTCAAGATCGACCCCAAAGTCAAGGAGATATTTGATCAGTATAAAGAGCCATTGCCAGACGCTTTGGGGAAAGCTTACATTGGCATTGATGGCACTGTGCGGTATATCTCCGATTTGGGGTACGAGCCCGAAGACATTGCCATGCTCGCACTGGCAGAGTTTTTGGAGTGTCCGTCCGTTGGAGTGTTCAAGGAAGATCCGTTTGTGACCAACTGGTCGAGAGTGAAGTGTAATACCATTGAAAAAATGGGCGACTTTGTGAGAAACGAATTGGCCATCAAACTGGCAGAGGATGAAGAGTACTTCAAAAAGGTCTATCAATTTACCTACAAGTTTATTTTGGAGAAAAACGAACGGAACGTCCCAACAGAAACTGCTGTAGAGTACTGGAATCTCATGTTGCCACAAACCTATAAGCCAGAACTAGAAACATTTGTCAGATTTCTCCAAGAAACGGGCCACAAGGGTATAACCAAAGATCAGTGGAACATGCTGTATCCGTTTCTCAAAACCTACCATGAGGACAACAAGCTCTCGAACTATGACGAATCGCAATCGTGGCCCGTGCTCATGGACTCGTTCCACGAGTGGCTTCTGGACTCTTGATCTATCTTCCAGGTGCACGGATGTTTGTTAGATGAGGAAAAAAATTTGAAAAAAATATTGATCAGATTCAAGAATGGTGAAGTCGTATCAGCGTTACGAGCAAGCTGGCTGGATGGGTGTCATTGCCTCCCAGTCCAACACTGTGTTTATCGGCGACGATGGTTTGCGGAAATCTGTGGGTCAGGTCATTACGGGTGGATTGGAGGATATTTTGGTCTGGGATATCAAGACCGGAGAACTCATCAAAATATTACGCGACGGTGCCAATCCGGGGGCGCTAGACTCGTCAACACAATCAGCGCCCGCATCTGTGGTCAGACTTGAGCACGAGCCGCGCTCAAACATCTTGGCAGCTGGCTATAGCGACGGTACCATCAAAGTTTGGGATCTGACCTCTAGCTCTGTAATAATCAACTTTTCGGGCCACAAGTCTGCCATCTCGATGTTGCGATTCGACCGTTCGGGAACACGCCTTTTTTCTGGATCTAAAGACACCGCGATAATTGTGTGGGACCTGGTGGGAGAAACGGGTCTTTTCAAGCTGAAAGGACATAAAGATCAAATCACCGGGTTCAGTCTCTTGTATGAGCCAGAGAATACCAATATCGACGAAATGGAAGACTGGTTAATCAGTACGTCCAAGGATGGTCTAATAAAGCTATGGGATTTGAAGTCTCAGCAGTGTATAGAGACCCATGTGGCGCACACGGGCGAGTGTTGGGCTTTGGGACTCAGTACTACCAAAGAGCTTTGCGTTACAGCCGGCATGGACACGCAATTAAAGGTTTGGAAGATCGATTTGTCTCAAGAGGACAGAAAACTTATTGAGCAAGGAATTTACGACAAGCAAAGCAAGAGCAGATGCACAGAAATAGGGTTCACTTTCACCAACCAAGGAGAATTTTTCTTTGCCTCCAACACCGACAGGACGGTTGAGTTTTTCCGTCTCAGACTGGAAAAGGAGATCAGCAAAGCCTCAGCTAAGAGACAGGCCAGACTGAAGGAGAAAGGTATGAGTCCGGAGGATATCCAGCGCGCATTGGACGAAGCCAAGGTCAACATGCTGATTGCTCCTTTCACGACGATCCACACAGAGAAATCCAAAGTTCGCTCCACCACATGGGCTCTCACAAGCAGCCGAAAGCTCGATGTGGTTGTCACGCTAACAAACAACGCTGTTGTCTACTACCATATTCCTATTCCCGAGGCAGTGCGCAAACATAACCCGGTGGACAAAATAGGTGAGGCGAAGTACGCCCTGTACAACTTGGGACATAGACAAGATATCAGGGCCGTTGATATTTCTGACGATGACAAGTTGCTCGTGACTGGCTCAAATAATGAGCTCAAAGTGTGGAATATCAAAACGAGGTCCTGTATCAGAACATTTGAAAAAATTGGCTATGTCTTGTCAGCATGCTTTCTTCCAGGAGGAGCTTTGGTGGTGATAGGAACCAAAGAGGGTGCCTTGAGACTTCTGGACCTCGCCACGTCCACGGTTCTCCACTCGTTGGAAGACGTTCACGACAGCAAGGCAGTGTGGTCGATTGACCTCACTCCAGACGGAAAAACCATTATCACGGGTTCTGCCGATAAAACGGTCAAATTCTGGGAAATCCAGGTGGAGAAAGAGCTTGTTCCGGGAACTCTGAGCAAGTACGTCAACACTCTACAGCTGAATCACACCAGAACGTTGGAGGTGAGCGACGACGTGCTTAGCGTGAAGGTTTCTCCGGACTCCAAGTACCTGGCTGTTGCTCTACTCGACAACACTGTCAAGATCTTCTTCTTTGACACGCTGAAGTTCTTTCTCAGCTTGTACGGACACAAGCTTCCTGTGCTTTCCATTGATATCTCGTTTGACTCGAAACTGATTATCACGTCTTCCGCAGATAAAAATATAAGAATATGGGGACTGGACTTTGGAGATTGTCACAAGTCGATTTTTGGGCATCAAGATGCAATTATGAAAGTCAAGTTTATTCCAGAGTCCAAGAATTTCTTCAGTTGTTCCAAGGACGGAATGGTGAAGTATTGGGACGGCATCAAATTTGAAAATATCCAGAAGCTTGCTGCGCACCACTCTGAGGTCTGGAATCTTGCCGTTAGTAACTCTGGCGAGTTCATGGTGTCTGTGTCGCACGATCACAGTATCAGAATATGGGAAGAAACAGACGATCAGGTCTTCATCGAGGAAGAGCGCGAAAAGGAGATGGACGAGCAGTATGAGGGAGAGCTGCTTGACTCGTTAGAGGGTGACAAGGCGGTGGATGAGGACGAAGACGAGGTGGCCAAGGTGTCGAAACAGACGGTGGAGACGCTCAAGGCCGGTGAGAAACTGATGGAGGCTCTGGATCTGGCTACCAAGGAGTTGGAAGAAACCCAGCAGTACGAGCGAGAACTACAGGCTTTCAAGCTCAAAAGGTCGGCCAAACAGCCTGTTCAGCCAACGCGGAACCCTATATTACAGGCATTGAACGTGTCGCCAGCGCAGTACGTTTTAGACGTCCTCACCAAGATCAAGCCGTCGCAGCTTGACGACGCGCTGATTGTGCTGCCATTCTCGTACACGGTGAAATTACTTCGTTTCATTCGAGCTTGGACGGCTGGCACAAACTTCAACAAGAACCTCACCTCCATGTCGGTGATCTGTCGCACGCTCTTCTTTCTAATCCGGTCCAACTCGATGGAGCTTGTGAGCCAGAAGGACGAAGAGCTGCGCCGGGAGCTAGACGGGCTACGCAATCAGCTGAGAACCATGCTCAGACACACCAACACGGAGGTCGGCTTCAACATCAGTGGACTGAATTTCCTGAAAACGCAATGGAGCAATCACCACAGTTTCAATTTTGCTGACGAAAAAGCGTTGGATGACCAAGGTAAATCGAGGAAAAGAGTTTACACTACCTTGGCCTAAAAAGAAAAAAAACACACCATAGAATCATAAAGATCTCCTGACCGGTTCGAAAATGGCAATCGATAAGAAGTGGGGCCACGCCTCAGGGAAAGCGATGACTGCCACTCTTCCAGCACCAGGGTATATAAATAGCATGTAACAAGAAGGTTGTAATTGTACAATTTAATTAATTCTAGCAATCTATCATGGCAGTGACTCCAATGAAATTCCTAGGCGGTGTGTCCGTCGCCGCAATTCCCGTTGTGACCATAGCATACTTCGCAAGGCCAACGTTTTCCAATGCTATCAGGTCGAAGCTCGACCAGGAAAGGGTGGAATTCAAGAAGCAGCACGAGTATAAGACTGACTTCTATCAACCTAACGAAAAACAGGACAGGCTTCTGGTTAACTATCTGAAACGCACAGACAAGAAAGCCAGTGAATACACGCCAGACCTCCCCCACGTCTGATGCGAACGATGTATTCAATAATAATAAATGACTGATGATTATTATATTAAGTTTGGACCGTTGTAGACCCCGCCCCCAAACGGATTGTAGCCCGTCTGGTTCTGTGCGAATGGGTTGTATCCCGTTTGCTGCTGATTCATTCCTGTCATCTGGGCTTTATGCTGTGCAGCGGCCTGCCGTAGTTGTAACACGGCCTGTTGATGCGCCTGTTGCTGGCTGAACTCCTGCTTGGTTTCTGGGAACACAGGCACCGTTGGCAAATTCTCAAGCCCTCCCGCTGTTGGCTGGCTACGTAGCGGCTGAGCACTCACAGACGCCGACCTAAATGGATTCGTGCCAGTGTCGGTGGCCTCTAGCTTGGCGAACGGATTGTTGCTAGAACTGGTCCGCTTGAGAGCGAACGGATTGGTCGACTGTCGCTTGAGGTTTCCTTTGAGCGACGAGGTATTCTGTCTCTGAATTGGCGGCTGCGAACTGTAGCCGCCAAAACCTGTTCCTGTGAAGGACGATGTCAGCTGTGGATGGACGTTTTGCTCTGTAGGCGGCGGGAGCGCATCGATAGTTGAGCTCCGTTGCAAAGTGGTTGTTTGCTGCGGCTGGAAAGGCTGGAAAGTTGACGTCTGTTGGATCGGTTGTGTCTGCGAAATCTGAATTTGTTGCACAGGCTGAGACTCTGGGATTTGTTGCAGTGGCTGAGACTCTGGGATTTGTTGCAATGGAACTGCTGCCTGGAAAGTCTGCTGCGGAACAAACTGGGGCTGTACGGAGAAGTTGCCGTTCACAGGCTGGTTGCTAAAGCCTGTGGTCATCTGAGAGAACCCGGTAAACGGATTGTATCCTGTCTGCTGGAACACCAGGCCATCGCTAGGCACCGACTGCGCTGCAGCCGGAGGCGGAGCCGCAGTATGCTGTTGCTCTTTCGATTCCTGAGCTTTCCCGTTTTCCTTGCTCTGTTTTTCCGCCAGATACTGTCTTCTGTTGATGTCGAAGTTTGGATCGTGCAAATACTCGTCCAACGAGTCGGTGAGCCCCGTCTGCGCGTGCCTGATGACGGGCACGTGCAGCTTCGTCACGTGCTCCAGATGTTTGGCCACTCGCAGAAAAGCCACCACCTGTTCGGTTTCCTTGGTGAAGTGTTTGTAGATATCAAAGGCCCGCTCGGCGTCGTACTTGCTCAGCTCAAAGAAGTGCTCTAAAATGTTAACCACGCCCTCGTTCAAAGCCTGGTACAACGACAACAGGTCGTTGACGAGCATTCGGAAACTCAGGATGATGACGTCGTTGTTCACCTCGGCCTCCTCGAGCCGGCACCGCACTAGCGCGTCCACCTGTTTCTGGACGCTCTCAACTTCTCGGAGAAGCCCCTTATCGACGCTCAGCGACCGCAGACGGGAGCCGGTCTCCTTTGCTGACCACGAGCTCACGGGCTTCTTCATTTCCCGGATATAGTCGTGTTTCACGTTCGCAAACTCCTTTGCGCGAGTCGTGAGGTACTTTGAGTAGTTTTTGAGCGTTTTCAGGTCGCCTCCGTTGGAGATGAAGGTGCCAGACTTAGCGATGTTGCGACACTCGAGCATGTGCGGGTTTTTGGCCAGATAAGAGATCGTGACGTCCTCTTCGCCCTCGCGGATCATGATGTGGGCCACGATGAGCGCCTTGTACACAATGGACCAGGCAGTGTCGTCTAAACGAACGGCTAAAGACCGCATGATGACCCGGAAATTTTCCGACTGCTCGCCGCCTGCCGTGGCCATCAGGATGGGCTCAATGTACTTTGGCTTTGGGGGCGCCAGCTTGATTTTCGTGGCCCCCTTGACTATCTTTTCGTACGTGGTCATGCGACGGGATAAGCTTCCGGCTGGTGAATAGAAAACAATATTTTCTGGTTATGTGCCCCAGATAGGCAAGTGAAATATTATGAGCCCCAGAAGCCCTGGGAGCCACGGGGATGCTGTGAGGGCCGCAGAGCCTGACGGCCATGGAGCTAGGTGTGTGTCAGCCGCGACGTGCTGGGCCAATACGGCCGCTGGCGGTAGGTACTCTGGCAGCCGTCTGCGGGGCCGTGTTCCTGCCCCTGCTCCTCCCTCGGCTCCTCCCAGCCTGTCTGGCCGTCCGTGCACTCCCCCATGCGCTCGCGCCGCGACAGCTCACGGCTCGCGTTCATCATCAGACTCACCGTCCTCTCTGGTCGTTAGTTCCCTGGCTCCGGATTCACTTACCATGCAGTTCAGACGTGATCCTGCGCAGCTGGAGCTTTTTGGAGCCTTTCTCTGGCGTCCTGTCTGGCGTCGGAAACCCCCCGAACACGGTCCAGTCGCCGCCTGCCCATTCCAGCTCGTCTCTGCCTCTTTTCCGGTCGGCCATACGCGTGAAATAAAATAATAATTATTCTGGTGCAAAGTGTACCTGACTGTGCTTTTTTGCTAATGACCAGACCAAGCACACAAGCCTTTCTCGACGACAATATTTCCCTGGAGCAGACGCTGACTTCTGAGCTGAGAGTTGACCCCGACCAAGACATAGGCGACCTGTACAATCCGACCCGGTCGACGGGCTACATCGTGGTGCTCACGCTAATTGTGGGGGCCCTGCAGCTCGCCTGGTCCACCGAGTTCAGCGAGGCCACGCCGTTTCTGCTGTCGCTCGGCGTCTCCAAGCACGCCCTCGCCCTCATATGGCTAGCCGGCCCGCTCTCGGGCACTTTTGGCCAGCCGATCGTCGGGCTGCTGAGCGACAAGTGCAACCTCGACTGGGGCAGAAGAAGACCGTTCATCATCGGAGGCTGTCTTGCGACGGTGCTGTCGCTGCTGTATCTGTCGCACTCCGCCAACCTCGTCGGCTGGTTCCTGCCGAACAGTGACCAGGACACGGTCAACAGGTACACGGTGCCGTTTGCTGCGGCCGGCATTTACATTCTGGACTTCTCCATCGCCGTCATCCAGGCGTCCTGCCGCGCGCTGATCGTCGACGTGGTGCCCAGCGGCCAGCAGCAGATTGCCAACGCGTGGGCCGCGCGCATGATCGGCACCTTCAACATCGTCGGATTCTGGATCGGCACATGGGACCTGGCCGCGCTGTTTCCCTGGCTCGGAAGCTCGCAATTCAAGGTTCTGAGCTGGCTTGTGGCCACCATCATGCTCGTGCTGACGGCGTTCTCGTGCTGGGCCATCAAGGAGCGCAGTCCTCGCTACGACCTCGCTATCCGCATGGAGCGCAAAAAACAGGAAAAACGGCTCAAGGACATGGGCATCGACGAGGAAAACGCCACGCTGCTCGCGGTGGTGAAATCGTTCTTCTGGCAGGTGCTGCGGTCGATCGCACGGCTGCCGCGCCAGGTTAAGATCGTGTGCTACGCAGAGTTCTTCGCCTGGATCGGCTACTTCCCGATGCTCTTCTACACGTCAACCTACGTGGGGGAACTCTATCTGTACGAGAAGGGCTACAACAACCCGCTCAGTCTGCCCGCAGAGGAGCGCCAGCGGCTGCTGGACGAAGGCGTGCGACGCGGAACAACTGCGCTGCTCGCCCACGCCGTCGTCACGCTCGCCGTCGACCTCGTGTTGCCGTGCCTCGTCGACAGGTTCCGGGACAACAAGTGGATCAACATGCGCCGGCTATGGATTTACTCTCACGTCGTTTTCATTGTTGCCACGCTTTCGACCTTCTTCATCACCACCTCCGTCCAGGCCATCGTGCTATTTGCCTTCCTGGGCATCCCGTGGGGCTGTGCCGTGTGGATCCCGTTTGCCCTGATCAGCGAGGAGATTTCCCGCATCAAGGACATCAAGGCCGTGCAGATCTACGACCAGTGCAGAAAACAGACCGCCCCGTCGTCCGCCGACTCCGAAAACACGCTGCTCACGCCGGAAACGAGTTTCTATCTGTCGAAAGTCATGGTTGCAAAATACGACCACGTCGTCTACGACTCGGGCATCCTGCTGGCAATCCACAACGTCTTCGTTTCTGCGCCGCAGATGCTCTCATCGCTGGGCTCGTCGTTCCTGTTCAAGCTGCTTCAGAGCAGCGACAAGGACTCGTTCGACGACTCCCTCGGCTGGATTTTCCGCGTTGGCGGCATCATCGGGATCGGCGCGCTGGTTCTTAGCATCCAGGTGAAAACCAACGCCCAGCTGTACAAGGAGGACAAGGCCGAGGCACTCACAATGCCCGAGTAAAGAAAAAAATAACCAAGAAATTGCACTTATTTTCATTTTGGCTCCCTAAAACGAGTACTCTCCCAGCTCGTAGACGTACCCCAGACACAGCTTCACGTGCTCTGCCATGTGCAGCATGCTCAGCTTGTCAATCGTGTCCCCTGTCGTGTGCACGTACGGGTTCCAGTACTCGCGCTGGGCTTCTGCTACCATTCCTGCCGGGAACCCGTTCATGTGCGCGCTGTAATGGTCGGAACAGGGGTAGCCGCACGCAGTCTCGAAAACAGGAATCAGGCAGTACGTCTCAATAACCTGTCGCAAAAACTCGTTCAAGTACGGCGACGTGTAGTCGGTGACGAGTCCGAAATGTTCCGGTCGTCCTTGATGGAGTGATTTTGAGGCGTAGCCCGTCATGTCCTGCTGGAGCATGGCAACCACTTTTTTCTGTAGGAAATACGCGTTGAAAATGTCCAGCGAGCCAAGCATGCCGCCCTCCTCTGCTGCGTAAAAGTGGAACTCGATGTTGTTGGAGAAAGCAAGCCCGTGCTCCGTCACGATCCGCAGCGTTTCCAGCAGCGTCACGACCCCGGAACCGTCGTCGTCTGCACCCGGAGCAGGTAGAAACGATGGCAACACCAAATTTGCCGAGTCAATGTGTGCTCCAAGAACAACTGTCGGCGTCTCAGCGGAATCGTTGGTGCCCTTTATCTGCAAAATGTACGACGATTGCGGGAAATTCTCGTGGTTGACCACGGTCAGGTTGTAGTTCTCTCTGCCAAGCGCATAGCCCATGAGCTTGCCGTAAACCCATATGGAGGAGTCAAGATATTTTTCAGACTTGTAATACCGTGACTTGAACGAGCTGAGCTCTTTCAATGCTCCGTGGATCTTGGAAGGATCGATATCCGCGAAAAGCGATCTAACCTCTTTCTGGTGGAACTCGGACCCATTGGGATAACGGTATACAGTAACCGGTTTTTCAAGGGCAACGCTGACCGATTGGCCTTCTCTCATGGGTTCCAGCAAGGTGGGATACCGGACAGTGAGGTCCAGAAATTGCGCATTTTGCTGCTTCAATCTCCAGCACTCGGTCTCCGTCACCTTCGTCAGCTCATTGGGCTGCCGAGAAATCAGACGGTGCTGCTGGCCAAACAACGGCAGCGCTGTTGCCAGTCCAATAAAAAAAAGCACAAAAATCATATAGCAATTTTAGGAAATTTATGGGGTTTTTCTATTTGATTTAAATATTAGTTTTACTGATTTATTTTCTATGTACATTGAAATACATGCACAGCGTGGCATGGCGGTTTTTGATTTGCTCGGTGGCTTCGAATCGCGTTCCGCGCTTGTTGATCTCGGATTTCGGTAGCAGGATCGTCGTCGCGTCCACGTCGTCCGACAGCCTGCGCGGAGTGGTGCTGCCACTACCAACGGCGATGTTCGGATCGACGTCGTCATAGTCAACGCTAATGTCAATCTCTGACTCGGGACAGACATCGAACCAGCGTCGCAGAATCAGGAGGCCGCGCTCCTGCAAACGGGAGTCGTCCGAAAACACGAAAATCGACGAGTACGCCTGCACAAGTTGAACGTCCAGCTTCACGTTCTGCCTCTGGGCGGCCCGGAACTGTTTCTCCGCCTCGCGCACCGCTTCCGTATAGTCGTCGCTGTGACGCAGACTCGAAAAGTACTCCGTGTATGTGAAGGCGTCCGGCCGTATGTTGTAGTCCTTGAGCCTGTTGAATACCCTGATTGCGAGCTTGTGTTTTCCAGCGAGTCGCAGTGCTTTCATGGCTGTGTTAACGTGAAAAATATTAGCTACAGGCTCCCGTTTGCAAAGCTCGAGCAGCAGAAATTCGTACACGAGAACGGCCTGGTTTTCGGTTATCTTCGGCATGTTCGAGTCTGGGTATCTGGCAGTGGCAAATGCGTCAAAGAAAATTGTCAGCATACGGCCGTCTGGACGCAGGCCCCTTTTTTTGACGTGCTGGTTCAGGAGCTCCCAGATCATGTTCAGACGGCCCTCCTTTGCCAGGAACTTCATGATCGTGCCGTACGCAAAAACACCGTTTATGCCAGCCAGATGTGCTATCTCCATAGCACGCGGTAGGTCCTTTCGAAGAAGAAACTTTTCGGTTTTCTGGTTTATCACCTTTGAGTCTCTGAGCTGGACAGCATTTGTGCCCAATATATTGTACTTGAGTCTTTGAACTTTGGTCTTAAACAGTCTTTTTAGCTCTTCTGGACTGAAGGCCGTCATCGAGTTCACTTCTGGAACTTTTTCCAGCGGGATCTTGAGCATATTCGACACCATCACTCTGGCAGAATGGCCTTGTAACGGCTGTGAGTACTTGGTCCTCAGTTTCCTTCTCAGTTTGGCCTCTAGTTTCTCCGTATCGGGGATAACCACACCCTTTTTCACGGCCGCAATTAGCTTGTTCTTGGTTTTGCTGGCCTGCAAGACCGCACTTAGTCTAAACGGCCCAAACATGAAAAAATAATTCAAGCCATATTTTTTTTGAATCATGCACCTGGATCTTTATCTGGACAAATACGAAAAAGGACCGCTCTACGTCAAAAGATTGGCGTTCATATGCCTGGAATTCCCCGTCTCTGCAGACGTGGTTCACCGATTGCTGGACATGATTGTGGACCCTAAGTCTCCTTACAGATACTTTAAAGACACGCCCCGTCTGCTGAGAATCAGTGGCCAGGAGACATACATGCAACGCTACAACGAAATGCAGATGGCGATCAACTCGAAGCCGAACTTCGATCACGAGCTAGCCAAGCTTTCCAAACAGGCGCCCACACAGGCCAATTTCGAGCGCGTGGTCGATCTCTTGCATCTGCGCACAGTGCACACACTAATGACTACCGGGTCGAGCGATAACATTGGTGATAACTCGGGTTTCTACTACAACTTGGGTCCGGAGTACTCGGCCATGTTTCGAAAACGCTCATTCAGAGAATTGCAGAAGCTGATGGTCTACAAGGCCTACGATGGCAACCTGGCGTCGTCCACGGTGTTTCTGCGGCGGAAATTGCAACAGGTGCTGGAATACGAACGTGATGACGAGAGCGATGAGGACGATAGAATGGGCTCAGACGAGTACAACTTAGAAAAAGAGGAGGCCGTTGCCTACTGGACCTGTCGATGGTATTTGCTCTATGCGCTTTTTTTGAGTAATAACTACCGGGCAGTCGTTGAAGAATACTTCCAGCTCATAAAGGAGCCAGCTGTCGCCGGCTATAATGCTTTGGACGTGCTGGCAAACGATTACAGCAATGAACTCGTTTTGAGAGAGTACCTGCTGCGCACTGTGTGTTTCTCCGTCCTGGTGGCAGAGAAAATGCAGAATCTGGAAGCCAGATGGAAGGAAATGAGCGGAGAGACTTTTGCCTCGGATGCTCCATTGAGAAAGCTCATAAAGCTCTATACCGGTTGCCGTTTCTCTGATTTGAAAAACATTCTCGCAGAGTTCCAGTCGGAATTCGACTACGACGAGCAGCTTTCGCATAGTTATAGGCTCTGGAAACGGACTTTTGAGTACAAGGTATGCGTATTCTATCTATCGCTGGTTAAAAGAGTGTCTCTTGGTCATCTAGAAGAAGTTCTGGGCACTACAAGCGAGGAGATCACTAAACTGATCAGTCTATTCAAGCTACGAGTCAAAATCGATCAAAAAAACAACCTTGTCGAGTTCCAGGACACTGACAGCTACAATTCTCTGGACAACCAAATTCAGCTCCTGACCGATGCTGCCGTGGCAGAGATGAGAGCACTGGAGGTCAATAGGATGGTCAAAGAGGCCTTTGATTGACAAATCTATGTACAGCTCCAAACATCAACAACTTCATCTTCCAGTTTGGTCGTCACGCCTCGCTCTGCTATCGTCTCAATGTCTATAATTTCTTTTGCTGCCTCTGCTGTCAGAATCACATAGTTATCTTCTCCAACGGCAACGTCGTCTTCAATTCTGATTCCCATTCCACGATAATGTTTAGGCCATCTCGAATCGTCTGGCACATAGACACCAGGCTCTATAGTGATGACCTGGCCTTTCACCAAAGGCGCGGCGCGTGGCTGTGAAGGCACGTCGTGGACGTCCAGACCGAGATTATGGCCAATATAATGCGGATACAAATCGCGCATCACCTCATAACTGGTGAGCCCTTGGAATCCGCAGTTGCGCAGCTCGCTAGTCATGATACGAACGCTCTCGTCGTGTATGTCTCTGAGGGAGTACCCTTGTTTCTGTGTGCACAACTGAATACATTTTTGCTCAACGTTCAAAACGGCCTGGTATAACTCGGCCTGCGCAGAGCTGAATTTACCACTCACTGGCCACGTACGCGAGATGTCTGCACAGTATCCCCCCAACGATCCGCCAGCGTCCACAAGAACGAGCTCGTCTCCCTTGAAAACCTGGTCGTTTCTTGTGTAATGGATACACAGGGCGTTCGAGCCGCCTGCCACCACGGGGATATAGGCGCTTTTGTCGCAGCCTCCAGAGATAAAGCGGTACTCCAAAAATGCGTGGAGACCTTTTTCTGTCTTGAATCGTTTAGCGTAGGCTTGATTATAGGCTCTGCCGGATATCTTGCCAGCCATTCGCATAACTCGCAGTTCTGCATTGGACTTTATAGCTCTCAGCTTGGTCAAATAGTTCTTCAATGAGTAGACGTGACAATTTTGGCTGCGCAGCAGCGACTCGATCGACTCGCGGTTTGTCGCTTGTTTGTCTGTGGAACTGAAAACGCGACTGAATAGCGACCTTTTGGGGTCCTCAAAATCATATAGCACACTCTTATAGTCTTTCAGCAGCGTATGCAGATAGTTATGCAAGTTGCGGTTGTCAGTGGCATTGTCTGCGTTGAAGAACTCCCGGACACCGTCAACACCCGTGCGAGCACCTTCCCATAACTCAGAGTTTTCGTCTTTTGGTGGGACCACCATATGGAAGACCAGCGAGTCGGGGTCCTCGGTGGGTTTCTCCAAGACGCAGACAGAGTCTGGCTCTAGCCATCCTGTGAGATAGAACAAATCGTTATTCTGCTGGAAGTTATAGAAGACGGCCCCGGAGGCGTATTTGACTGTGTTACCTGGAATAATGGCCAGAGACTTGGCAGGCATCTGTTCAGCTAGTCGGTACCGCCTGTTGAAGTACTCCATTGCACTGATGCCGGTGGTGAGCTCCCCTGCACGAACTAGATGTGGTCTAGTTTCGTGGATCGGCTGTCCGGCCTCGAAACTGACATAGCGACGGAACAAAGCTCTTGGAAATCGGAACATAATTTTTTCAACTGCAAGTCAGAGCTGTAAATAGAAATTGCAGAAGACGGAATTAGGATTCTTGAAGATCTACGATCAACAGGTGGTTACAAGCTGCCGCAGAGGAGCGAGTCTGGCTGCTTTCGGGGTGGTATGCATTCTTTTGTTATGCCCGTTATGTCATAGTTCTCCTCCAGCCTTCCGCAAATAAAATAGCCTGGCTAGCTCAATCGGTAGAGCGTGTGACTCTTAATCACAAGGCTGCGGGTTCGAGCCCCGCGTCGGGCTTTTTTTCTCTGATCTCACTGTGCATATTTTTTCTATATTTTTTAAATTTTTTGTAAAAAATTTTGGTCCTACAATGTCTAGAACCAGAACGCAACCTGTGCGCGAGCGCAAGCGTGAGCTTGAGGCGGCCGAAGAATCGTCTTCAGAGGACGAATTACAGGTGGAGGGCCTTTTGGACGGAGCCGAGAGTGAAGAAGATAGCGAAAGCGAGCAGTTTGAGAGTGCTGATGAGGACCAGGGCCAGGACCAGGACTCGGACGCAGAGTTCAACAGGATTCTGGCCGAAGGTTCAAGCGGCGAGGAAGAGGACGAAGACGAGCCAAAGGAGCCGTCGATCACAGACAGGTTGTCAGGGATCAAGATCCGGACGCTGAGCTCGTCGAGCTCGGCCAACGGAGAGGTGCGAACCAAGTTCTCTGACGGCCGTGAGCGGATTCTGAGGCCCGAGATCGACCCGGTCTACGACTCGGACGACTCGGACAGGGAGGAGACAAACACGATCGGAAACGTGCCGCTTTCTGCCTACGACGAGTATCCACACATCGGCTACGACATCAACGGAAAGAGAATCATGCGGCCTGCCCAGGGCTCTGCGCTGGACCAGCTGTTGGAGAGCATTGATTTGCCAGAGGGCTGGACTGGTCTATTGGACAAGGAGACGGGAAGCTCGCTGAATATCAGCGCCGAGGAGCTGGAGCTGATCAGAAAAATCGAGCGCAACGAGAATCCCGACGAAAGCGTGAACCCGTACGAGCCGACGATTGAGTGGTTCACGAGCAAGACAGAGACGATGCCGCTGACGGCTGTGCCGGAGCCGAAGAGACGTTTCGTTCCGTCGAAACACGAGGCCAAGCGCATCATGAAGATCGTGAAGGCCATCCGAGAGGGCCGCATTGTGCCGCCGCACCTGAAAAAGCAGCAGGAAGAGGAGGACGAGCTGAACTTCGACCTCTGGGGCGGCGACGTCGACAACACCCAGGACCACGTGATGACGCTGCGTGCTCCAAAACTGCCTCCGCCAACCAACGAGGAGAGCTACAACCCGCCGGAGGAGTACCTGCTGAGCGAGGAGGAGCGCAAACGGTGGGAGGAGACGGACCCCAGCGAGCGCGAGCGGAATTTTGTGCCGCAGAAGTACGGTGCTCTGCGCAAAGTGCCTGGCTACCAGGAAAGCGTGCGGGAGCGCTTTGAGCGGTGTTTGGACCTGTATCTGGCTCCGCGTGTGCGGAAGCAGAAGCTGAACATCGACCCGGAGTCGCTGATCCCGGAGCTGCCGTCGCCCAAGGACCTGAAACCGTTCCCTGTGCGCACGTCGACCGTCTACGAGGGCCACACCGGCCGCGTCCGCGCGCTCTCCGTGCACCCTAGCGGCAACTGGCTGGCTACGGGCGCCGACGACGGCACCGTGCGCGTGTGGGAGGTGCTGACGGGCAGAGAGCTGTACCAGTACGCGATAGTCGAGGACGACGAGGACCACGTCGAGGCGCTCGAGTGGAACCCCAAGCCCGACGTCGCGCTGCTCGCGGTCACGTGCGGAGAGACGATTTTCCTGCTGGTGCCTCCGATCTTCGGCTATGAGCTCGAAAACCGGTCGAAGCTGCTCGTCGAGGACGGCTGGGGATACGCCAAGACGGGCCACGACACTGTGGAGGGCGAGGACGGCGAGAATTCCGGAAAGTCCTTGGCTGCGGTGTGGCACAAGCCGAGCGAGGAGCAGTACGCGCACGGTGTCTGTGCGGTAGTGCGCACCTCCAGGGGCGGCTCCGCCGCAGGGACGTTCAAAAGAGTCTCGTGGCACCGCCGCGGCGACTATTTCGTCACAGTCGCGCCCGAAGGAGGCAACAAGACGTCGGTTCTGATCCACCAGCTGTCTCGGCACGCGACGCAGTCTCCGTTCAGAAAAAGCAAGGGAATCGTCATGGACGCCAAGTTCCACCCGTCCAAGCCGGTGCTCGTTGTCATGTCGCAGCGGTACATCAGAATCTACAATTTGCAGCAGCAGCAGCTGGAGAAAAAGCTGCTACCGGGAGCCAGATGGCTCTCGTGCCTGGATATCCATCCGCGCGGCGGTGACCACATTCTCGCCGGCTCGTACGACAAAAGGGTGCTGTGGCACGACCTGGACCTGAGCGCCACGCCGTACAAGACGCTGCGGTACCACGAAAAGGCCGTCCGGGCCGTGGCCTACCACAAGGGCGGGTATCCGCTGTTCTGCTCTGCCGCAGACGACGGCTCCGTCCACGTGTTCCACGGAACCGTCTACGACGACCTCATGAGCAACCCGTTGCTCGTGCCGCTGAAAAAGCTCACTGGCCACAAGGTGGTCAACAGTTTGGGCGTCCTCAACGTGTGCTGGCACCCTGCACAGCCTTGGCTTTTCACCGCGGGGGCGGACCACACGGCCCGGCTGTGGACAGACTAAGTAATATTAGAAACTAGTTATCCGGCTACGTAGTAGCGTTAAATGAATGCATTCAGGTTCTCACGTCCGGCTCCTCCTTGCCGATGAACTCCTGCAGCTTGAGGAACTTGACAACGCTCTGGATGTCGGAGGCCAGGAATTCGGACGAGGATTTGGCCAGGTTCTCGTCAGACACGTCCGCAGAGTGTTTCTCCAGATACAGTCTGATCGTGGAGCCCGACGAGCCGGTGCCGGACAGTCTGACGACAAACCTGAGGCCAGAGTCGAGCTTCACGTACAGGCCCTGTTTGCTCGACACAGAGCCGTCCAGGTCCGTGTACGAGAAGTTGGCGGCTTCGACGACCCTGCCGCAGCTTCCTATCGCCGAGCCAATAAACCCGTGGCCCTGGTCGACCTTCTCCTGCAACAGATTGATCACCTTGGCCGCGTCTGCGCTGTCGCACTCCTCGTAGTCGTATCTCGTGAAGAAAGTTCTTCCGTATTTCTTCCAGAACGATTTCTGGATGTTGGCGATCGTTGGCTCGATTTCCGGGTGGTCCCTCTCGAAAGCAGCCAGCACGTTCAGCCAGGCCACAATGGCCCACAAACCGTCCTTCTCTCTGATATGGTCGGAGCCGGTACCGAAAGACTCCTCGCCGCAGATCGACAATTTCTTGGCGTCGAAAAGCGCACAGAAGAACTTCCATCCGGTAGGCACCTCGTAGATGTTCAGACCCTTGGCCTTGGCAACGAGGTCGAGCGCTCCGGAGGTAGGCATCGATCTGGCCAGGCCGTGGACGCCGTTCTTCTGGAAGTATGGAATGCACTCTGCGTGTTCCGCAATAATAGCAACCGAGTCTCCAGGAGAAACAAAAGCTCCGGCTCCGTAGATCATGTTCCTGTCTCCATCTCCATCAGAAGCAGCACCAAATGCAATTTTTTCCGCGTCGACTCTGTCCACCAGGGTCCGCGCGTAGGTCAAATTAGGGTCCGGGTGCAATCCGCCAAAGTCTGGCTTGGCCACGTAGTTTTGGATCGACGACTCGGGCAGCCCCAGCTCGTCCACGAAGATCGCCTTGCCGTAAGGACCCGTAACTCCGTTCAGCGCATCGAACAGAATTTTGAAGCCTTGAGGCGTCTTTTTAGCAATAAACGACCTGATGAGGTCTAAGTCGAAAATCTCCCTGATCATAGCCACATAAGCAGCGGTGGAGTCAATGATCTCCACCTCCAATGGCCCGTACGTCTTTGTTCCAATCGTGGACAGATCCACCTCCGGCAGGTCCCTCACAATCTTGTAGGACTCCAGTTTCAGAGAGGTCTCGTAGATCTTGTTGGTGACGGGCTCCGGTGCCGGTCCTCCGTTTCCCAGGTTGTACTTGATTCCGCAGTCGTTGTTTGGTCCTCCTGGATTGTGCGACGCAGTCAGAATGATACCTCCGGTCACCTCCTTGCCGTCGCCGTTAGGACCGTACGTCCTGATGACCCGGGAGGCAGCTGGCGTCGACAGAAGACCGTTCTGGCCAATGATCAGTTTCTTCACCTTGTTCGCGGCGCCGATCTTGGCAATCAGTTGCACAATGTGGTCGTTGTAGTATCTTCCGTCTCCGCCGACAACCAGAGTCGACCCGTCGGCGCCTTCTGGAATCGAGTCGAAAATGGCCTGGATGAAGTTCTCCGTGTAGTTTGGCTGCTGGAAAACCTTGACCTTCTTCCGCAATCCAGACGTTCCTGGCTTCTGGTCAGTGAATGGCTTCGTAGGCACTTCTGAAATCGCAAACGACATGATATTAAATTGCCAACAATTTGTGGGTGGGATCACTGTATTTAACCAAGGCCGGCCTCTGTGGTGCAGGGGTGCACCTGCCTGCGTTTTATTCTCTATTTTTCTATGCCAGATTTTTGTCTAGAGATGGTCGACAGCTACGGGGGGCTAGAGCCCAGCAGGGTGATATACATCGGGGGCATCCCGTTCGACCAGACAGAGGACCAGATCCTCGACATTGCGCGGTCCGTGGGGCCGGTGGTGTCGTCGAAGCTGCTGTTTGACCGCGAAACAGGAAAATCCAAGGGCTACGCTTTCATCGAGTACCAGGACATAGAAACGGCCAGGTCCGCTGTGCGGAACCTCAACAACTACGCGATCGGCAACAGGTACCTGAAATGCAATTTCTCGAGCGAGCAGGCGGTCATCAACACGATGAAGTCGCAAACGTCGAGCGAATGGGCCGAGCTGGAAAAACAGATCCCGCCGCTGCCGCCGGGGATGCTCATGGCGAACTCGAGCATGGACAGTCTGAACCAGCAGGTCAACGCGGCGCTCGCTACGCTGGATAAAAACAGATTACATAATCTGGTAAAAGACGCGAAGATAATGTCGGACAGCCACCCGCAGCTGATGGCGCTGCTGCTCGAGAAAAATCCGCAGCTGCTGTTTGCGCTGGTGCAGGCCACGATGATTCTCGGGCTGAGCGACGCGGAACAGATCAAAAACATCCTGGTGGAGCAGAAGGAGCAGAAAGAGCCAGACTCGGCTCCGGCGGCCGAGCCCGAGAACCCGCTCAACTCCTTGGACGCAGAGCAGGTGCAGGCTATCCGGACGATCTGTGCGATGAGCGAGGCAGAGATCCAGCAGGTGGCCGCGGACCAGCAGGAGCTGTATCGCGAGATCCAGAAACGGTACAAAATGTATTTGTAGAGAGTAATGGAAAAAATGTGGCCATGACAGTCACTGTGTTGCGGGTTGAGTATTTTTTTTCCTGCGGTGGACGCGCGCAAGAAGCTCCCTCGCTAAATTTTTCATCGAAAAAAAAATTTTCAAGTTCAAACAAAACCAGTGAAAGGAGTTTATAAGTCAGGGCCAGGAGGAAATGTACTATTGAGCATAACAGCTAACATTTTCCTGTACTGACATACGACGCGATTCACTAGTTAAAAAACAAAAACACATAGAGATTCTTGCCAACGCCGATATTTCTTTGCGAGGGGATCCTTGGAGGGCCAATTTGTACATACAGCGAGTCTTCACCATGTCGACCAAACCCCAACCGCAAGCCGCCAACAACAGCTCGTGCGTGCTGTACCTGGGCGCTATCCCTTACAACTGGGACGTCGAGATCATCAAGTCCGTCGTCTGCGGGTCTGGTCCTGTTGTTGATGTGCGTTGTATGATGGACAACGCTTCGAAAAACAAAGGGTTCTGTTTCGTTGAGTATGCAACGCCGGACGCGGCTGCCCACGCGCTGCAAATCCTGTCCAAGATCAAGATCGAGGGCCGCAAGAAGCTCAGAATCGAGCTGTCCAAAGAGGGCCTCAGAAACCCCGTCCCGGGCCAGAAGCCGGAGCTCCAGCTCAACCGGAACTTCCTCCCATCCAACGTCATCTTGCCGCAGGAGATGTTGACTGCAAACCCAAACCTACCGCCGCAGTACAACACCTACCAGCAGGCCGTTCCGTCGTCAGCCGCTTCCTCCAACTCGTCGGGTTCGACGCCTTCCGGCACGGCCAACAATCCGTTTGGAAGCAGGTTTGCAGGCCAGAACAGCGATATGTTGGCCACCATATCCTCCAACCCGCAGTTGCAGCAGATGGTGAGCCAGATGATCTCGAACGGAATGGACATGACCCAGATCGGGAATGTGGTCCAGCAGTTCAACAGACAACAGTCGACCGGTTCGCAGGCAAACGGGTCGTCCCAGTTCATTCCCACCAACCTGTCGATGGCATCCCAATTTTTGCCGCTTCCGCAACAGTCGCAGCAGCCAATCTACGCCAAGGACAAGGTCTCGGAGACGCTGGCTACTATTCCTCCAGGAATACTAATTGAGCTGCTGGCCAAGTTGAAACTCATTGTGTCCGGGCCTTCGCCGAACTACGCCGAAGCCGCCCAGATCCTCCACTCCAACCCAAAACTGGCTGTGGCTGCCGCCCAGTCGCTGCTCCTGATGGGCGTCGTTGATCTCGACGTGATCAACCAATCGATGTCTGCACAGCCCCAGGCTACTTCTGCAGAGCCGGCTGTCGCTCCAATAGCCGGCTCCAGCGCTGCGCCGCCTACATACTCTCCGTTCAACCCGACCTCGCACCAGTCAACCCCGTCTCCTGCGTCCACTCAACAGGCTCCTGCTACCACTCCTTCCCCTGTCAATCTCGACAACGTCAACCCTGACTGGAAGGGTTTGCCACGGGAAACCATTAACAAACTAATGCATATCAACGAGCAGGAAGCCAGTTTGATTGTCCAGGTTTTGAAGCTGACACCGCAGCAAATCGACATTCTACCTGATAACGAGCGTGTCATGGCCAACCAGATTAGAGCCCAGTACTTATAGCTTGCTCTTCGCCTCTGCCACCTGCCGATTCTTTCGCAACTATTTAGTTAATATAGCTATGGTAGGCCAGCTCGCTCTCTGTCGACGCGTCGACAGTCTCTTACTAATTATTTTTTTCTAGAAAAAGCTATCGACTAGATAAATAAAATAATTGAGCTAAAATAAAGTTTGTCAAAATGAATAACGACAATAATCAACCCCAACCCAACCAAAACACCCCGCCGGGCATTTCGTTCGCCTTTGATATCTTTCCTCTGGAGTTCAATCGCACGTCGCAGACCCAAGGCTCCTCCGACTCGCCCATTGCCCTGATGATGCGCAATTTCGTCGAGATCCTCAACCGGCCCTCCAAGCACAAGCACGCCACCAAGGACGCCATCGACTCTTTGAAGCCAATTCCGCTCGCAGAACTGCCAGAATCAGAGAAACAGTGCCCGATCTGTTTCGAGCCGTTCGAAGAGTACGCAGAGAAACATGAGTCACAGACAGAACAAAAGAAAGCCGATAATTTGCCCTCCTTCTTCGACGGCTACGAAGCCTCCGACCCCGACCTTGCATTCCCTACAGACCAAACAGCCACACGCGAAGTGACGTACAGCCCCGGCGAGGAGCTGCATGCTCAGCCGGCTGCCAAAGCCGAGGACAAATTAGAAGATGCGCATTACCCCGTGAAGCTCGATCAATGCGGCCACATATTTGGCAAGGCTTGCGTGGCCGAGTGGCTCAAGAGCAACGTTTCGTGCCCCCTCTGTCGACGTGAGATCGCGCCAGAAATGACCGAGTCGCCGAACCCGAGCTTCAGCCTGGTGTTTTACCCTGTCGCCTTGACCGAGACGTTTGTGCCTATTAGCTGGTCTGGCCCGGTCAGAACGGGCTATGCACTAAGCGACCCCCCAATCAACTTCCCTGCGCAGGGAGAAGGTTTTTCGATGGGAAGACGCACGGGCCCCGAGGCTCCTGCTCCGGAACCGCAGGAAAGAGCGCAGACTCCAGATAGAACAGGGTCTGGAGGGCCCACGCGCAACAACGCCTCGCGAACAGTAAGATCGCATCCTTACTCGCGTCCCTCGAGCAACTCGTCAGAAAGCGAAGGCTAGCTGATTTTTTTATGGTACATTATTTATTCATCATCATCTGCAGCTGTTCCAAAGTCTCTCTGTCCACCGACGCAATTAATTGCTGATACCCGTCGATACCCGCCAGTTGGTCCATCTGGTACTTGAGAAGCTGTTTGGTGCTGACTCTGTGGACGGGGTCCAGCTTGAACACGAGCTCGTTGAAGCGCAGCTGCTCTGCGGACGGAGGCAGCTTGAACTCCTGCGCGTACTCGTTTTCCTCCGGCTCGGAGTCGATCAGTGTGAGGTCGTCGTCGTCGTACGACGACGGCTTGTGGTACGCTTCGCAGTCGCCGTCGGCGTTCTCGTTGACCTCCTCGAGCAGGTGTGTGACGAGAAACATGACCCTGTTGAAGTTTTTCGAGAGCACCAAATTTATGCCCGTCTGGCTCCCAGAGTTGAGCAGCTGGTACTCCAGGTCGACGCTGGGGTCTTGAGCGCAGTACTGCGTCAAGATCGGCGGGGCATAGAGCGCCAGCAGCGCCAGCACGAAGATTTTCCTGATTTTCGCATCGTGCACCAGCTTGAGCAGGTTGATGAGCGAGTCGACCAGCTGCGCGAGCTGGACGGCGAGGCTGGAGTCCGACACGGTGCCGAGCATGCTGAGGAAGTGGACGGGGCCCGTGTGCAGCAGACGCAGCAGCGGCAGCGCCATTTTGATCTCGCAGTTGGGCGTCTGCGACTCTCTCGTCAGATACTTGACCATTTCGAAGAACAGTCCGCTTTCCGCCAAGTGCGCCACCAGCTGCGACCGGCTCGGGTCGACGACCTGCAGAAACAGCGCCTCCAGCAGCGACGACGTCACGTACACGGCGTCGTCGCGCATCGAGTTGAGGTAGCCGCCGAGGATCTTGAAGATCTCGAGCCCGGTCTCTGTTTCGTATAGCTGATAATTCAAGATACCGTAGGAGCGTGCGAGCTTGAGCACCGTAGGCAGGATTTCTGTCCAGTTCATGAGCGCCTTGACCGTCAGCGGGAACAGCCTGACCAGCTCCTCGGGAGCAGCCTGCGTCACAGGCAGGTGTTTGAGCACCGCCTCCCAGAGCTCGAGGCCGTCCTCGCACAGCAGCGTGTACACGTCGGACTTGTCGTCACAGCACAGCGCAATCAGCGGCAGCACGATCGGGTGCGCCTTGCTGCTGTTGCTGTTGAGCGCGGCGGTCAGGTCGCGGAGCACGCGCATCAGCGAGTTCTTGATGATCATCTCGTTGGCGTTGTTCGACTCGTCCCACATCGCCGGCACGATCGCCATGATGTCGAGCAGCTCTTTCTCCGACACGAGCGGGTTGGTGCGCTCCAAAATGAGCGACAGAACCTTGAGCACGAAGATCTTGGACTCGGTGAACTCGAGACTGCGCAGCAGCTCGAGCATCCGCGCCACGGCCTCCGACAAAAACGGCTGGAAGTCGTGCTTGCGGAACTCCCAGTCGTCCACGAGGTGCTGCAGCGTCTGCACGGCCGTCAGACGCACCACCTTGTCGTTGATGTCTGTGTTCTGCAGAAACCGCAGCACCAGCCGGTACACCTCGAGCCTGGTCTCTTTGGAGCACTGGATTGACAGCCACTCGCTCACGATCAGACACACGCGCCGCTTGACCAGCTTGTTCTCGACGGGAGCGTCTTTCAGCGCCTCGGGCAGGAAATAGCTGCGGAAAAGCTGGTCGAAGTTGCAGTTTTCGCTGATCGCGCTCGCGCTCAGCTGGAACACCGCCAGCACCGCGTCTTTCGTCAGAACGTCCACGGCGCCGTCCGCGAGCGTGCTCTCAATTTTGCGCAGGATGAACTCGCCCAGCTGCGGCCTGAAGCACACGGCCAGGTCCTGGAAATAGTTTTCCGCGCACGGCCGGATCTGGTACTCCCAGCTGAGCTGCAGCTCCTCGTTGACCCACTCCTCGGGCTCCAGCGTCCACGAAGCCACGTCCGCGGGCCGCAGTTTCAGGTACCACGTGATCAGCAGGTCGACAAGGCTCTGCACGAGCTGCGGCGGGAAAAACCGCTCTGTCACGGCCTTGGCCGCCGCCGCGACCTCCTGCTGGTCGTTTCTCTGCTTGAGCATCACGGCGCCCTTCTTGAACCCAAAAGCCGTCAGTCTTTTCAGCACCAGTATCATCTTGATGGCCAGCTGCTCCCAGAACTCGTTCTCCTCGCTGTTGTAGATGTCGCTGGCTTTCGACTCCAGCAGCGACAGCATCGTCATGAAGATCTCGTACGCGTTCGGCATCAGGACAAACGCAACAACGTTGTCGCTCACCAGGTTCGCGTACAGCTTGACGTACGCCTTAATATATCTCTCGAGCAGCGGCAGCTGAGAGCTCTCGTGGAGCAGCAGCAGTTTCTGCAAATGCTGCAACGACACCTCGTAGAACTCCACCACAAGACTGTCCCGGTGCGGGTACTCGTATCCGTCCACCACGGCCCGCCGCAGGTTCTTGAGACACAGATACCCGACCTCCATGCTTGCTGCGTCGAAATTCCCGTCTGCGGTCCAGTGGCTGAAGAACACGTGGTACAGGCGCACCAGGTGCGGAACCACCACCGACACTTTGTTCTGCAGCGCTGCGCGGGCTCTGCCGATCCGCACCGAGGCAAGAGCCTTGAGGACCTGGTTGGTGATGAGCAGCATGTTGTGCACTTTGACGATGTTTGCGGTGGCCGTGTCCAGCACTGCGGCGATCTCCTCGAACACGGTGCTCCATTCGCCAGGGAAGTCGAGTCTGCAAACGCGCGCGACGGCGTGGGCGTTCTGGATAGTGAGCTGGTCGTTCGACTCCTCCAGCGAGTCGAAAAAGTGCTTTCTGATCTCTGCCTTCTCCTCCTTCGAGATGGCGTGCACCCGGGTCGACCGCCAGTACCTGTCGACGCCGTTTTTGAGACAGATTATGGCGAGCCAGCGAATTTGCAGGGGATGGTCTGTGTTTAGGTACACGGACTGGAGCAGAAAATGGTAGCCCGGGACCGTCTCCCACTGCTTCAATTGGGCCTCTGCGGCCTGCTGCTCTGCGCCGCGCTGTTTTCCCGAGGCAGTGGCGAGAACGGCGGCCAAATTATCGAGGTTGAGGTCCATGGATAAACAAAAATCGAAACTAATCGAAATATTGAGAATTAAATTTTATAACTATTTAAACCTGGGTATCCACCCTCGGACCCTGAGACCCTGAGACCGAAACGGGCTGACCCAGCTGACCCAAGTAGACCTAAAGGGCGAGTGTGACCACCGCACAGCGGTTCTGTGTCCACTAGACAATGCCTGCTCGCCACGCACCGAGTGAGACCTTCTGACTGCCGAGTCCGCACAGCTGCTATTTGATGCCATAGATAGATAAAATAGATAAAATATATTTCAGAGCGCACTCTGCTGAGCCCCTGCCTCCTCGGCCCGTCCACCGCCTCCCCCCCCACTCTCCCCATGCGCACCCACCGCTAGTTCCTGTCCATACCGCACCCATGTATAGCCTATCCCCACGTTTTTCCCCCACGTAACTGGGCGTGTGGCGTAGTTGGTAGCGCGTTCGCTTAGCATGCGAAAGGTCTTGGGTTCGACTCCCAACTCGTCCATTTTTTTTGTTTTGTGAATATTTTTTTGGCGTTCTCAAACCGTTCTTTCTCAACTTTCCTCCTCGTCGTTGATGAATACCTACGCGTTCACGGCTCCTGCGCGAATCAGGACCCAGGTGGTTCCTCAGGATGGCCTCGACAGGGCTGAGTTCGCGACCTGCATGTCCTCGCTGCAGCGGGTTGCAGAGGTCAGACTGGTGGACGTGATGCCGTGCGCGGGGCTGTTCAACCCGCAGGCGTATCCCCAGGGCCACGTGACGTACGACTTTACGACGGACGACCAGGACGCCTCGCAGCTGTTTCTGCTCGACTTTGAGCCGTTTCGCAAAGTGTTCAATACCATAGGCATTATCAAGTGGACCGAGGAATTGGACGACAGAAAGCTGTTGTCTCTGAACAAGGACCTCAAATCCCGGCATGCCAGCGCATTGGGCCACTACAGCCTGGTTTTCGGGGCTCCAAAGGACTACAAAAGCGCCGTGCCGAACGTTTTCGCGGTCCGTAGCGATGCGGCCAACATCGAGACCGTGATCTGCGACGTGACGTCCAGTTTTCTCGGGAACCTTTCTGTCTACGTGTCTGCGTACCAGCACGTGACTCTGAGGTCGCCTGGGATTGCCAGCGGCAGCGTTGCAAACGGCGCTGCGAAGAAGCGGATCTCGAGCTCTTTCGAGAGCCAGGACAAAATTAGGGCCCATAGAAACAAGGGCCGGCGCCAGAAGCTGTACGCGAACTTCTACCTGCTGGCGGGCAACCTCAGGAGCGCGTTGGCCGAGTTTTGCGAGAGTATTCTGAACTTGCAGTACGCTGGAGACTATCTGTGGCTGGCGTCGGGGTTAGAAGGACTGGGCCTGTGCATGGCGCTGTTGGTGAAGCTGGAGGCACCTTTTCAGCTGCCGGCAGAGATTCTGGCCCTGCTGGATAACGTCAAGAAGACGACGCAGTCGCCGATCGTCTCGCCACGGCCGTCCTTTCAGGCAGCCAACGTTTTCCCGGCGCAGCCAACAAGTGCCGTGTACTCGGTCGAGGTGGTCGAAAGTCTGATCATCAAGGCGATCGACAAGTCCTTCGCATACTACAGGCTGAGTCTGCAGACGCCCGAGGACTACGCTCCGCAGATGGTGCTGTGCGAGAGCAATCTTCGCTACATCGACTATCTGAGCTCCGTCGACGTCCAGGACAGCGTGGAGCTTATTTGCAGCATCACGAGCGACATCTTCAACAGCCGGTTTGCGCAGCTCCCGCCTGCACAGCAGTACCAGATCTACAACTCCATGATCTATGTCTACGGGAGACTGAATATGAGAAGAAAGCGAGCGTTTTTGATCCGCGAGCTGCTGGAGCTTGTTCTCAAGCACCGGCTGATTGCGGAGGAGTCCTACGACGGACAGCTGGAGGAGCTGCTCGACTCGGTGCTGCAAGTGTACGGAATCGACCGCCACAAGCCACCGAGCCAGATCCAGAAAAAAGTGCTTGTCTCGGTGTTCCGCTTCTGCCACCACATCCGGCATCACAAGGGGCTTGCTAAGTACGGCTGTCTTCTGCTGCGCGATTTCCACGTGCTGCTGCCAGAAAACGAGCAGTCTCAGATATTCGGCATTCTGTGCCAGCTCAACGAGGCGTACCCCTACTGGGACGACCACCTCGTGCAGAACGTGAGTCTGTTTCAGAAAGACAAGCTGATCCAGGACGAGCTGTGCGAGGCGGCCATAGTGCTGCAGAACCCGTACCTCTTTGAGCTGGAGGTGAAAAACATCAAGGTTGCAACCAACGGGTTCCCCGTCAAGACACAGCTGAATCTGAAGAGCAGGGTCACGGGAACGTCCAACACGTCGGTCACGCTGAAGCCGCGCGCGCAGACCACGGTATCTGTGTTCGTGGTGCCTCTGAGCCACGGGAACATGGAAATCACTGGCATTTCGGCCGTGGTGAGCAACTGCGAGGAGCGAACGTTCGGGTGGCTGGAAAAACAGCCCACTTCGGCGAAAAACCCGGTCCCCGAGTACAGGCCCCGGTCGCTGACGGTGCCGGTGCTCTACGAACAGCCGCTGCTGAGCCTCGTGGACGTCAAGCTGCCCAATCGCTGGATCATGCTACTCGAAGGCGAGTGCAAGCGCTTTGACATCGTGATGAAGAACGCGTCGAACGTCGAGATCAACCAGCTGACGACGAAGTTCCTGGACTCGACCATCGAGCCGCTGAACCAGCTGCTCCAGAACAAAAACCTGCCGCCCAACGAGGTGTACGAGATCGAGTACTACCTGATCAAAAAAAAGCCGTTCAAAATCCTGAACAAAGACGAGGTGGCACGGGTCGGGCCGGGCCAGGAGCTCAGGCTCGAGATGGAGATCTGGGGGAAGCGGGGCGTGAAGGAGGCCAGCGTGATTTTGGAGTATTCGCACCGGAAACAGGCGTCGCCAACCAACTTCTTCCGCAAGCTCACCATCCCAGTCAACGTGACCGTCTACCCCAGCATAGAGCTCGTGGGCTGCGACATCATCCCGCTCTCGTCGTCCACGAGGATCTCGGAGTCCAACCAGGGCGCCACCTGGAAGTATCTGGAGAAAATGGTGGCCCGGGGCCACCAGATGTCTGACTTCTGTCTGCTTGCGCTCGACCTCATGAACTCCTGGACAGAGGAGATGACGGTCACGTTCCAGTGTCTTCTGGAAGGCTCGGCAGACCCCGAGTTCCAGCAGTCGAACGACGCGATCGAAGACCCGCCGGAGGACACCTACGCGACGACGATCGTGCTGCAGAGCAAGAAAAACGCGCGAACCTTGATCCCGATAAAAAGAATCAATTTCGACTACGAGTACCTCAACCGACGGGTCCCAAGCCTGCGCAACAAACAGTTCATCCTTGACACCAAAACGCCGGAGCCGGAACAGCGCTTTGTCAAGCACGCGTTCTGGTACCGGCACGAGCTGCTGCAGCGGCTGCGCGCGCGGTGGCAGATCTCAGAATCGAACAGCAATTCCATCTACGCCGGAAGAGCAGGCATCATCGACATCAGAAGCATCCGTTTCTCGTCCAAGATGGTCAACGCGCTGGAGGTCGAGAAGATTGGACTGGTTCTGGACGTGCTGGACACCGAGGACCGGGTCGTCGATCCCGAGTCCTTGGAGTTGAACCAGTTCTACAGCATCCGCCTGAGACTCACCAACAGGAACTCGTGTGCGGTGGCTGGCATGCTGCGACACGTTCCTGTGTGCCAGTCGGTATTTGCGTCAATGGACAAGAAGATCCTGTACAACGGCGTGCTGCAGTTCAGCGTTGAGCGGCCCGTGCTGCCCAACGAATCGCGGGAGTTCGTTCTCGGGGTCGCGTTTCTGGAGAAGGGCGAGTACGAGTGGGGCGCTATTTTTGACGAAATGGACGGCTACGAGGGGGGAGTCATCTCCCTAAAGCATCAGCACTTGCAAAGGGAGCAGCTGAAGATAAAAGTGGATTGATAGGGCGGGTGCGCCCAGCTAGAAAGCAGTCCCGAAATGTACTACATCTACCGCCTGGAGCAGGTGAAGGGTCAGGCAGGTCTAATGGTAAACGGATAATGTATATAACGTTTTGTAATTGTGTACCGCGGGCCTGCTTTGGCTAGGAGCGGTCGCTTCGGAACTCGGACTGCTTAGCTCGGTAGAGCTGCCCACAATACCAGAGGCCTAGTGTCACTTTGCTCGCACGGTGGACACGTCTTTCAGATCACGTGCATGAAAAACCTGTGCAACGCCCTTACATAGGCGAAAATATTTACAGACCGTTGATAAATTAGATAATTAGTAGATACTTACACACCTGCCTTTTCGTACATCAGGATGTACGCGCTCTTACCGTTGGTGGCCCCGCCGCCATGGCCGTTTTCGACAGCGTCGTCGGCGCTGATCCGTGTGACAAGGGTGTCGTCCACACGAGTCCAGCTGCCGTCTGCTCCCAGAACATCCGCAGTGTAATGGCCCTCTTCTGTGGAACGGCCATGGTGGTACACCACGGCCGTGAGCCTGTATGTCGGCTCCTCCATGACGTTCGGGGATATACAGGAGGCAGGCAACGTGAGCCTGTGCGGGTATTCGATTTTTTTGTGCAGTTTTTCAATGCGGCCGCCCGTTTCAGGGGTCTTTGTATGTGTAGGGACAGGCGGTAAAGTGTGCGATGCAGAGGTTTTGTTTCTGCGCTGTTTGGAGGAGACGATCTCGTAGTCGTCGAAGTTCTCGTTGCTGTCGTCGTTGGCCACGAACGAGAACCGTTTGAGGTGGATGATGAGCACGGTCGGTAGTTTGTCGATGAGGTTCTGTTTCTTGGCGGTCTGGTCTCCGTACGAGATCTCCTCCACCGTGGCGAACTTCTCAAATGCAGTGTACAAGTCGTTGATGTCTTTGTCGCTGATTTCGAGCTGCACGTGCATGAACGGGTCCAAGGTGATGGACGACTTTTTGTTGTTCGGCACCTGCAGAACCGAGCGGAAATGACCGCCAAACATCTGCACAACGGGCGATGGCTTGACATCGACCTGTCTTTTCACCGCCATCTTCTGGTTCGCGCCGACCTCCATCCACCCGTTGTCCTCTTTCTCTGTCGATCCGTTGACCTGGCCCGTCTTGATCATTTCCAGCGCAGATTTGAGCGTCTTGAGCGTCTGCGGGTCCTTGATGGAGGCCACCAGGTCGGCGATGTCGCTCTCGCCTAGGCGTTTGATGCTGTCCACAAACTCCTCGTGCAGCCCGTCCAGGAGATACCCCAGGAACTCCTCGGCGTCTTCCTGCCTGCCCCATTTGAGATGGCTGAACCGGGGCAGTCTGGCAATGCTGCCGTAGAATCCCGTAGGCGTGAGAACCTCCGGCGAGGGCTTGTTGAAGGCGTCGTGCAGGGCCACCAGGGCGTCCATGATCGGCGTGTGCGACTCGAGCTGGCCCAGACTCAGGTGCTGGACCGCATAGAGCATCTGGCTGAACGGCCGGCACGCAAACAGCGCCTGCAAGACCGCGTTCATGTAGCAGATGTTGCCGTTGTTGACCAGACCGTGCGGCGCCAGGCCGGCGTGCTGTGGGAGGCGTTGCGTATCGTACATGAGCCTTAGGAGAACGACGCCCAGCGGCTTGAGGGAGGCATCAGCGGCGATCGACGCCGGCACCACGCCGTTGGGCTTCTTGTTGATCTCAAGGCCCTCCTGGACCACGGCGCTCCATTTCATCGCGGCAGGCTTGACTGTGGTGGCCGCGGTGGTCCATTTGGGCTTGGGCGGTGGGGTGGTGACCGCTCGTCTGTGGGCGAACGCCCTCCATCGGAACTTGGTGAACTCCTCCTCGTCTGTGCCAAAATACCTCGGGAACTCGATTGTGTGCCATTTGCCTGAGCGCGTGGTGCATTTGAACCGGAAGCTGCTGGATCTGACAAGATGGGCCTCAAACTTTGCCTTGTCCGGCTCTGATAGGTGTGCAATGGGATCAGTATGGTGTTCGGACATTTTCTGCTATGGACATGCGAGTGAAGATGCTAATATGTGAAAGTCTGTTCTATAGATGCAATTAAATTCCAATACTTATTAGTGAGAATCAGATATTTTGCATGTTTTGGTCCAGTTCAACAAGAGATTTTTCAGTTTTCCTGGCTTGTGGTGGGTCGAAAATTTTTCAGAGTACAACACCTCTACACGCGTAAACACAGAATTGCAGGGCCGCCTACGGTGCGCCCTTGGCCATGCTCAGCACGCTCTCCGAATGTAGCCGCGCCCACTCGCCCACGTCCGACACATCCCGTTCCGCCACCAGACTCTGCGCCACCAGCTTGTCTCTGTGGATTCTGGCCAGCTCGCCGCCTACCAGATGGCTGCACCAGCCCTGCTCGAGTTTCTCCCGGCAGCAGCAGAACTGGCGCTCCAGATCGACCAGATACCGTGCCTCGCGCGAGATGACGACCAGCGTCTCGCTCCGGAACCGGCGGATCTCGCAGTCGCCGTTCTCGAGATACGACAGCGCGGCCAGCACCGTTTGCGGCGCCAGCGCCAGGCTGAGCGTCAGCGCGGCCTCCTGGTCAACGGCCAGCGCGCCGCCGTCGAGACGGAGCAGCCGCTCGAGCTGCGAGCGCACCAGAGCGGAGAGCCGAATATTCATAGAGAAGCAAAACAAACGGCGGAGGACGCGATTACATAAGCAAGCTGCAGAGGGGAAGGAGACCGTAGTTCCGAGCAGTGAGCAGACTACATGTGTTTACCAAAGATATTAATCGATTAATTAAAAACGCTTATTATGGGTACTATAGATCTTAGATGCTTAGAGCAAGAAAGCAGCAGCACCGGCAACGGCAGCCAAACCAGCAGCACCAACCTTAGCACCAGCGTTCTCAGCAGTGGAGATGACTGGAGCAGAAGAAGGAGCAACAGAGGAAACACCAGTGGAGGTGGTTGGGACGGTGGTGACGGTGGTGGTGGTGATGACCTCCTCCTTAGTGCATGGGCAGTTGGTGATGGTCAAGGTGGTGGCACTGGTGACAGTGTAGGTCTCACCGTTGGTGACGATAGTGGTGGCTTCTGGGCAGTAGGTGGTCAAAGCAGTAACAACCTCCTCAACGGTGGTCTCGTAGGTGATGGTGGAGACGGTACCGTTAGAGTAAGCAGCGAAAGCAGCGGAAGCCAAAGCAAGTGGAGCCAAAGTTCTGAATTGCATTTTTAATTAAGCGAAAGACGATTGAATTAACAAAGTTAGTTGAGAAATTGCGTAGCGGACGCTCCCATTTTATACCTCCCGAAACATTGGGTTTGGTCCCTTTCTGGAAAAAGCAAGAATTCACCTGTGCCTCTAAAGGTAAACAAAAAATCTGAGCAGTTGCTATGAATTGAGATTTGGCATTGTTGGTCTATTGTTGGTGCACAGAAAAAAAATAACGCACGATTGTACCAAACGCAATCTCAGGTTAGATTGCTGAGTTCTGCACGACAATGTACTATTATTAGTAGTTTGAAGAATTTTTTTAGAATACCAAGGGTCGGCGCCGGGTCAACTCTTATGTTTTGATGCTATTTTGGGCGACAAGAATGCTTAGTTGCAAAAATTCTTCCACTTATCCAACTACCGCATTGGGCAATGGTGCTCGAGAGATTACTTGTTCTAGACATATTTTAGATACTTCGGGGAATATACCCCCCACCTGTTCCGCAAATGACACAATCGAGCTCTATGTTTCAGGGAAAACATACGAGTTTCCCCAATCGGGCACTACTTGGGGACCCGGATTGGTCAGCACACCTCAGGGGCTCCCAGTTGTATGCTTGACAGGCAAATGCGACGACGATCAGAGCGCCACGTTGGGCCAACTAACAGAGCCGATGAGTAATATTTTACGCCCATTACAAACAAGATTTTTAATTCGCAATACGAGGTGCTCGTATGTGCGCATGGTAATTACTAGAAATCTCGCCATGGCAAGAATACACAGTGCCAGGCTTCCCGCGCCCGTGACGTGAGCTAAGTAATATGGGTTATTGTTGGCTTGGCCCACCAGGAACATAACTCCCGACACCACCTACCAATTAGCCACAATCCACATCTCGTTCCTGAATTTTCTAAATGAGTCGCATCACCACCAGCCGGACTGAAGCGTCCGCTCGCCATTGTTGGAAGCTATACATAGAAATTGCGGGCACACACGCATCTGGTTTTTCTCCATCAGCTGTATGTAGTCCACAATGGTCAGAGATTTGTCCAGACCGGCCTGGTTCCCGTCTTTGACCCAGTCTTTATAGAGCACCAAACGTTTAGCGTACTGGCCCGACCAGGGGCCGTTCAGAGGCAGTATGGGCACCATTATCTGCTGCAAGACGGAAGTGTCCTCCTCTTCCTCCTGTGTGGATGCCGGCCGCGACTTTGAGAAAAATCTCTGGCTCATGTTGACCATTTTGCCCGTGGTTATGACGATCAGGTCATGTTTTTGGCACTCGTTGCTGAGTAGAAGCAGCAAACTCTGGATCACCAGCTGGAGCTTGCGCGAGGGGCTCTGCTGGTCTTTTCTGTGTCCATTGGCGTCTCGTTTGTAGCGCTGGGTTTCGCTCCTGCGTCTGTCTCGGAGGTTTGTCAGTGCAAACTGGTATAGCGAATGGAAATCATCGAGAATCACCAGTTTATACGGGGAAAAATCCAGGTTTTGCACGAGGAAAATCAGATTGGTGAGACTGTCAACGCGGAACAGATCGATGTTGGTCTTGTCTCCCTTGAAGTTATGCCAAGGAATATGGGAATGGGCGCTGACGATGGCGGATCGTGTGCCATGATCTAGAAGACCGAATAGTATATCCCACTGCGCGATGGTGCCTGGCACGCATGCGATGTCGTACAAGTTGCCTGGCGTGAAGTCGACGACGGCGTCCACAGACTCAATTTTCGTCCTGCGCGGTTCTTTGGGATCCAGCAGGGACAACAAGGTGGTGCCCATAAAAGTAGGGAATTTTTAATTTTTTCAGTTCGCGTCGCACTAATTATTAATAGCTAGGCGTGTTATCGATTATCGAGTGTCTATAGTGCATCGTTCGGTATCTTGACGTAATAGCTCTGCAACGCGCGCCGAAGAGCCGGAACAAGCTTGCGCCATTCCAGAACCCTCACCTCCTTGTCGAACCGACGAGGCTTTCTCGTCTCATAACTCATAATTCTCTGGGCTAGTTCGTTCCGGAGGTCTGCGTTTGTCTTCCCGACAGTCTCCCCGTCCGGGTCGGAAGACGCCACCTTCTTTGAGCTGATGGGCTTCTTCGACCAGAATGGCACCAGATTCGATCTGATGCGACCTCTTTCTGCGCGACGCTCCTTCTGGCTCGTGCTCTGGCTGCCTATCAGCAGCTCTACAATCTTGATAACCTCCACGCTGGTTATGTAGAACTGGCGGCTCAGGGACTCCACTCCGTCCCGAGTCACCACCGTGGTGTCGTCGTCCTCCGAGTAATCTAGGTTCTGGTAGCACTCCAAACACGACACCTCCACAACATCGACTCCGTCCGGCGCCGGCCGTGTCTCGTGCTGATCTGCAGAGCCAAGAATGTGGAAGCTCACTATAACTTCGTTTCTGCGCTGCCGACGCTCAATGCGGATGATGCGACGCTTGTCCGCTTTCTCGTCCTCACCCCACTCGGGCAAGCACACGGCCTCCTCGTCGCCGTCCAAAATCGACAGCTTGCACTTGAGATACTGCGACCGCCCCGTTCTGTCTGGCGGAGGTGGTTTGGTCGTGGATCCACCGCTATTCAGCCCGCGAACCAGTGGATACGTCTTCGACTCGATCGCGCCCAAGTCGACCTCGCTCCGCTCCTCGCAGTCGCCGAGCTCGCTCGGAATGGCCAGCTCGTCCCTGCCAAACGCCAAGAAGTCGAACTCGCTGTCCAGGCTCTCTCTTCGCGAAATATAGTCTCCAGCTCTTTCGGGCGGAGGAGTGCATGCGCTCGCAGGCGGAAATAACGCAGTCTGAGGCCGGACGGATTCTGTCGTTACCACGGTCGACACGCTCTCCTCCTGCGACGAGTAGCCGCTGGTAAGTTCGAACGCGCCAGAGCTGTAATATTGGGGCTCGTGGTCGGCCAACGTGGCCGCCGGCAGCTGGAGAGGAAGTTGGGACACCAGGAGCTCGTCCTCAAAGGAGAACATCTCATTGGGCAGATCATACTGTGCGAGATTGGCGAACTCTTCAAACGGATTGTAGGCCACGCTCGAAGACATGATGATTACGATCCAGGGATGGGGCGTGCAGTAGATATATATAGCTAATTTAAATACGGTGAACGGACAGCCCTTGCTTTTAGTATTATGCCCTATGTGGTTAGAATGCCTATCTCTGCTGCTGGCATGCGGGAGCGATTTCTGTACATGTTCATTTGCAGGCGTGTTATTGTTGGAATTCCTTCGCAAATTATATGGCAACAGAATGCTGCGCCTGCTGTGGCTTGGCTTGTCAAGTGTTGGTTAGAGTTTAGTCCCAGCAACACTCGCAGGCGGTGGGCCCAGAAGATGGTGTTGCTCTTCTGCCTGAAACGGGGCCTGCAACCGACCGGTTGCTGCACTCCATCGACCACCGGCTGTGGCGCTTTCACGCGCTAGTTTACTGGATCCGGTTTTTCCTTGCGCACATGCAGATCGTCCGGGTGATGGGAGGCGCGGATTTACTTTATTCCCCACCGAGTTTAGCTAGCTATTGTGGGAAACACGTCTTTTGCGCGCAGCTAGATCAGGAGCGTTGATGGGTCGGGCCCGTGGGGGAGGGGCAGAGCCCAAGCTTGCCATGCACCCCGACCAGCCGTTTCGTCCCGGAGCACGGCTCTCGCTTCCAAAACCTCATACTAGCTAGGACGCCTAAACACCAATTTGGGTTCTGCTAACACCGACAACCTGCAGCTCCATTATCTTGACGGGACCTAATGTGTCGTTTCTTTTTTGCACTTGCCACATGCACATCGCCAAATAGTGAAATCCATGGAACACGGCGTCCGGTGAAAGTATGCGGTGGAAGCCTCCTTTCATCCATAAGCGCGCGCGCTGGTGACGGCCCACGACTGCCTCTTCCCAGTTCGGAAACTACTGTTGCGCGCGCATGCGTCACTCTACGGATTTTCGAATACTTCTATGGCATGCGACGATCACCATGCGCATTTCTGTGCCTTGTTTGATGGATTCTCGGCCTTTGAATATTGTTATCGCGTCCGCTATTTCTTGTCTGCCAGGCCGATATGCTCTTCCTGTCTTTGCCACGACGCTGCCAATATCGAGAAGCGCACCACCCATCGTTAGGCTCTTTTGCCGCAATTTTCGGGCCAGAGTTCCATTCATCGCTCCTCTGCCATCTTTGCGGCTGTCTGGCAAGCGCCAATCATATCTGCTGGATGCGCGCCTATTGTCCGACCGAAATTGCTGACCTCGTCTACTTGCACTGCGGAGATCCCTGGTTTCCACGCTTCGGCTACCCCGATAATCTTTCTTCACCTAAATCCTTGCACGCGGCTGACACACGTATTATATTAAACTTCGCCCGGAAAAACCCTACACCGTGGAGATCCCTCTTATCTCTTGTTCCATACCATGTCGAAAAAGGGCGCTCCGTCGCTCCGCGCGGGCAATTCGGCCATGTCACGCATCGCCGACGTGCCCATACAGTGTCTCGCCACATGCTCAGTGCTTGAAGCGGCGTGTTTGATGAACGACGGGCGCAATCACTGCATCATAATTAACGATCCCGCCACGGGCAAACTCTGCGGCCTGGTCACCGCCAAAGACCTTGCCTTCCGCGTGGTGGCGAGTCAGATGCCCTTTACTACTCCCGTGGAGCAGATTATGACTCCCAGACCGTACATCATGTCGGCGCGGGCAAGCGCAAACGAGGCCCTACGGTTGATGGTTACGAAGAAGATACGGCACCTGCCGCTGGTGGACGACAACGGCAGTGTTGTGGGGGTGCTGAACATAACCAAATGTTTCTACCATGCGATGATCAGGCTCGAAAAGATGGCCGGTGAGGCGAAAAAGCTCGAGTCCACGTTCAACGACCTGAAAGAGGCGTCGCTCGAGCTGGAAACAAGCAAGTATTTGCTGGTCCAGCGCGGGGAGGGCGAGTCGGAGACGCAGGATTCACCGGAGGCGTTTGCAAGCAACGAAAACCTGATGGACCTGGGCATCTTGCGTCGCAAACAAAAAATCGTGAAGGACCTGAAAAGGCTGATTGATGTGATGACCCAGCCGAATCTCCGGAGCGTTCTCGAGGACTCGGATCTCGAAATGTCGCCGCCGCTGCTGATTGGCACAAAAACCAGCGTTTTGGACGCCGTCAAGCTGCTCAAGGAGAAAAACGTGACGGCCCTGCTGGTTTGCGAGTCTCCGGCCGCTCCTGCCCACTGCAGCCACATCATCGGGATTCTCACGAGCAAGGACGTCGCCTTTAGGGTGCTGGCAAGCCACATCGACCCCAAGACCACGAGCATAGCACGGGTGATGACGCTCAGGCCCAACTTTGCGGACGAAACACTGGAAATCCACACCGCGTTGCGACTGATGTTCGAAGGGAAGTTTTTGAACCTGCCAATCAAGGATTCCAACGGATACATTACCGGCCTAGTGAGCGTTTTGCAGCTGACCTACGCCCTGCTCAAGACACTTGACGGGTCCACTGAAACGACCGAAGATTTACTGGAGGCAGACAACACATCGGTAAACTCTCTCGATAACGGGCCTGCATGGAATCGGTTTTGGGGATCACTGGACCAGCCGCTGAGCACGATGGAGAGCACGGAGAAGTCCTCGAGAAGAAGCTCCTACCACTTACCGCGCAAGGTGGCCCGCACCAACTCCAGCAACGATACGCCGACTCTCAGTGTGCCGTACATTGGGCCCATCAAACGCAATTTATCCGAGCAGTCTTCCTTCGAGCGGACACTGCCGCGTCCACCGGCGTTCAGCAATGTTTCCTCTGCAACTGTGTTTGAGGCGAGCGCAATAACTGATGCTCCAGAAACCTTGAAGACCAAACCAAGGGAGGTCAAATACAAGCTGAAAATTAAGGAGAACTTGGGTTTGGGCTTTAACAATAAAATATACAAGATCAGGATTGACTTGGACTCAATCAGCAGCTCTGCGGACCTCTTTCGTGCACTGACACACAGGATCTACCATAAAGTGAGTCTGAGTCCCTCGGAGTATAAATTCGACCTTGGCTACATCGACGAGGACGGAGACCTGATATCTGTCGAGAAGGAGGAGGACTTTGAAAACGCCACTGAGTCCAAACGCGTCTACTTTGTCCTGGATATTCGCAGGCGGTATCCAAACCCCTCTCCCGATGCCATGACTTTGGCGCTGGCCGCCGGGTGCGTGGTGATCGGGCTATACCTAGTGAGAAGATATAGCTGAGCTAAGAAATGGGCGACGCACTACCCCGGAGAAGTAAATGTTTCGAATATTTTTTTATAAAGCAAAAAAAATTTGCCCTTATAAACATTAAAGCATGTCGACAGCCGCACAATTACAACTGCCGGAAGAGACGTTTCAGCAGCTGAAACAGCAGCTGAGCGCCAAGCTTGCCGAGATGAACGTGACGGAAGACTCCGAGTACGTTGCAGAGTTCATTTTAGTGCTGATATCGAACGACAAAAGTCCCATGAGCATCATGGAAGAGTTGAGTGCTTTATTTGGCGATATCATCACGTTGGAGTTTATTCAGAGCGTTTTCGGTGAGATCCAGCGATTAAGAACTGGCGGAGCCGCCGCTGAAGAGCAGCCACAGCAACCAACGCAAGAACACACCGAGAGACAACAAGTGCGCTTTGACGAGGCCCCTCAGACAGAAGGCATGGAGGGCGTCAGCCGGTCGAATGCCCCGTCAGGACCACGCTCCTTTGTGGAAAGAAAGAATGGAAACGGAATCTCGAAGTCCGCCAATACAAACGCAAAGAAGAACTTTGCGTTGAAAAATCAGAAGAACTTCATGCAGGCAATGAACATGGCAATGATGAACAACGGACAGATGGCCAACTTTGCCACGCGCAAGGCGAACGGCAGGTGCAAGGACTTCCCTCACTGCCTGAACAAAAACTGTTTGTTCATGCATCCCACAAAGCCATGCTTTGCTTATCCAAACTGTCCAAATCCTCCAGGCACATGCAGCTATCTACACCCTGGTGAGGATGATGAACTGATGGCTGAGCTGGAGAAGACGAGACAGGAGAGACTGGCGAAGTTACAGAACGGCAACCAGAACAGGTTTATGAACCAAGTCTCACAGCAGATTGGCATGCAGCTGCAGAATACGGGGATCACGCTGTGCAAATTTGGCGCTGTGTGCCAAAAGGAGCTGTGTCCGTTTGGACACCCTACGCCGGCAAATAAGGATGCCAAGGTGATTGTCTTGCAATGGTGCACGGACAATAAGAATTGCGCAGACCCGGAGTGCCAGAAAGCCCACTCCTCGCCAAACTACAAGCCTTCCGAGGCGCAAAGTGCCCCTGCCGCTGGTCCAGAAAAGACGTTAGAACAATGCAAATTCGGAGCCTACTGCAAGAACTTCCGCTGTCCAAAGCGTCATGCTACGAGTCCTGTTATCTGCCGTGACGGCGCCAACTGCACGCGGATCGACTGCTACTTCACCCATCCTATCGACGAGGACTGCAAGTTCGGGGTGAACTGCAAGAATGCAAAGTGTCCGTACAAGCATCCCGAGGGACGCGAGCTGAACTCGGCGAAGAAGAATAACGTTTGGGTCAACGAGCACGTGCATACGAGCGAGCGTCCGTTTGCTGTTCCGGAAGACCAGGTGATGGAGCACGCGCAGACCTAACGAGTGTATAATAGCGTAAGAAATTTTTTTCGATGGAGCCCATCGTCTGTGAACAAGTGCGAAGAGCATGTAACGCTTTGGCTCACAGACAGAGCTGCATGGCGATCGCAATTTTTCGATTTATCTATAAAAAAAATAATTTTATTTTATCTTAATTCACTGAAGGAGCACCTGAGGACGAGTCACTGTGCCGCTTGATTGCCAAAAGCGAATGCATCTACAGATCTTTCTAGACAGCTGTATTACCCATACTTAGTATCTCTTCTTGGTAGCCAGAGCCTCATCAGCGTAGACGTCCAATGGAGAGTCCGTGAGAGCGAACTCCTTCCACAAGCTAGGAGTCAAGAAACCGTAGGTAGAACCAATGGCAGCGAAACAGGCCTTCAGGGTGTTCTCGGTCGTTCTGGTAGAACCAGAGGAGGTGGTGTAGATGTCCTCAATACCAGCGAACTGCAACATGGTCTTGACGGCTGGAGAGGCAACGATACCGGAACCTCTTGGAGCAGGAATCAGTCTGACGTTGACAGATCCACACTTTCCAGAACACTTGTTGGCAATGGAGTGAGGAGAACCAAGGTTGGAGCCCCAGTAACCTCTTCTGACCGGAATCAGGGCCAGCTTGGCAATGATGATGGCGCCTCTGATGGCAGTGGCCAACTCCTTGGCGACCTTGATACCAAGACCGACGTGGCCGTTGGAGTCACCAACGACAACGACGACCTTCATTCTGGTTCTCTGACCGGCTCTGGTCTGCTTCTGAACAGACAGAACTTTCATGACCTTGTCTTGAAGACCTGGAACAAGCTCATCGATGATTTGGTACTCCTTAACTGGCAGGGAGTGGAGGTAGATCTCCTCGATAGAGGTGATTTTCTTGGCCTTCACGAGTCTGCCGAGCTTGGTCACTGGAACCCAGCTCTTCTCGTCGTCTTGACCTCTTCTGCCTCTTCTTGGGCCTCTTCTTGGGCCGCCTTGTCTTGGTGCACCGGACATGTTTGTAAGTGTGTTGTTGACGTCGGAATGTTACGTGGAAAGCCGGGGGTAGTGGTTTTCAATCGACGTTGATGATGAAAAATGGAATGAAAATTTGAAAAAATTGCATCGGACTGCACCACCAGGCCGGGTCATGTGACAAAAATCCAGGGCTCGCGCGCCCTGCAGAAAAGAATATTTGTCTCCCGTCACATGACAACTCCTAATCGACCGGACGATCGACCGTGACTAATTACAGGAAATCGTGGATAATTAATCTTGAATAATTACCATGACGTCTCCTGTCCCGATTTCGACGCTGAGCAACTCGCTCAAGCAGACCAGCCTCACCACCTCCCCGAACGCAGTCTCCACTTCCCCAACGACCTCCTATCTCGACCAGTACCGCCCAAGAACCAAATCTATCACCAAGAGCACCAAGACTCTGAAGCCATTTTCCACTGGTGACATCAAAATCCTGCTGCTCGAAAACGTGAACCAGACAGCCATCGACATCTTCGGCGCCCAGGGCTACCAGGTCGAGTTCCACAAGACCTCGCTCGGTGAGGAAGAGCTGATCGAGAAGATCAAGGACGTGCATGCCATTGGTATTCGTTCCAAGACCAAACTGACGGCCAATGTGCTGAAACACGCCAAAAACCTGCTGGTAATCGGGTGCTTCTGTATCGGAACCAACCAGGTCGACCTTGAATACGCAGCCAAAGCCGGTATCGCCGTGTTCAACTCGCCGTTCTCCAACTCCCGTTCCGTGGCAGAGCTCGTGATCTGCGAGATCATCGCTCTCTCGAGACAGCTCGGCGACCGGTCAATGGAGCTGCACAACGGCGTCTGGAACAAGGTGAGCGCCAAATGTTGGGAAATCCGTGGAAAGACACTGGGAATTGTCGGCTATGGCCACATCGGCTCCCAGCTGTCTGTTCTGGCCGAGGCTTTCGGTATGAACGTCATCTACTACGACGTTCAGATGATCATGGCGCTCGGCACGGCCAAACAGGTCTCCTCCCTGAACGAGCTGCTTGCCAAGTCTGACTTCGTCACCCTGCACGTCCCAGAGACACCAGAGACCAAGAACATGATCTCGACTCCCCAGCTGGCCACCATGAAGGACGGTGCATACCTGCTGAACAACGCCAGAGGCACGGTGGTGGATATTCCTGCCCTCATCGACGCCCTGAAGGTCGGCAAACTGGCCGGTGCCGCTCTGGACGTGTATCCGCACGAGCCTGCCAAAAACGGCCCGCTGTTCAACAACGAGCTCAACGAGTGGACCTCGGAGCTGCAGTCTCTGAAAAACGTGATTCTCACCCCGCACATCGGCGGCTCAACAGAAGAGGCCCAAAGCGCCATTGGTGTCGAGGTGGGCACTGCGTTGACCAGCTACATCAACGAGGGCTCCTCGATCGGCGCAGTCAACTTCCCAGAGGTCTCCTTGCGCGGCCTCGACCTGGACCAGGAGAACGTCGTCAGGGTGCTGTACATCCACCAGAACGTGCCAGGCGTCCTGAGAACCGTGAACGAGATCCTGTCCTCGTACAACATCGAGAAACAGTTCTCCGACTCGCGAGGCGACATTGCGTACCTGATGGCCGATATCTCGGGCGTCAACCTGCAGGAGATCAAGTCGCTGTACGAGAAGCTGGAGAACACCCCATACAAAATTATCACCAGACTCCTGTACTGAGTGTTTATAGACCTTGGGCTAGAAAATAATCTCACTCTCAAATTTCTTATTTTTAATTTTTTCAGTGGCAAAATGACGGCCATCACTTCTGCAGCCCCATACCTCTCGCTTCTGGAAGAACACGATCCCGACCTCAAGGTGTACGCTTTGAGGTCGCTCAACACCGTGGTCGACCAATTGTGGGCCGAGATTGCGAACAACATCGCCGAAATTGAGCAGCTGTATGAGGACGAGCACTTCGCCAACAGACACCTTGCTGCGCTCGTGGCCTCGAAAGTCTACTACAACCTGGGCGACTACGACTCGTCCGTGAAGTACTCGCTGCTGGCGGGCAAGGAGTTCAACGCGGACGAAAATACAGAGTACTCTCAGACCATTGTGTCCAAGTGCATCAACCAGTACATCTCGCTGTCGCGGGCCAAGTTTTGCGACGAGAAGGTGGCCATTGACCCGCAATTGACGAGCATTTTTGAGACCATGGTGCACAAGTGCGTTGTCCAGGGCGAGTACAAGCTTGCTCTGGGAATCGCCCTCGAGAGTTACCGACAGGACATTGTCACGTCCATTATTGACACACTGGCGAAGGAAAGCAGCAGTGAAGAGACCGTTTCCAGCTTGGTCGGCTACATCCTCACCTGCTGCACGACTGTCTCCTACAACATCGATTTCCGGACGAGGATTCTCAACTCTCTGATTCTGACCCTCGTTTCCTTCAGCAATCCAGACTACACCATCATCACCAAAATCATCGTGCAACTCAACGACTTCAAGCTTGTTCACAAGATCTTCAAGGACCTGATGGGCTCGCACGAAAAGGCGCTCATTGCGTTCCAGATTGCCTTTGATCTCGTCAGCGTCGCGTCGCAGGAACTGCTCACGAAAACTGCAGAAATCATCGACTCAGACCCAGCTCTGGACAAGTCCAACAAAAACGTCGTCAAGCTCAGAAAAATCCTCTCAGGTGTGCCAACATGCGATCTGGACATCACGTTCCTCTCAGACAACAACAATACTGACATCTCCATCCTCAACACCTCGAAAAAAGTGCTGGACGGGAGAAATTCGATCTTCCACTCTGCGGTGACGTTCCAAAACGCTTTCATGCATGCTGGAACCACAGACGACTCTTTTTTCAGATCCAACTTAGAATGGCTTGGTAAGGCCAACAACTGGTCCAAGTTTTCTGCCACAGCAGCATTGGGCGTTATTCATAAAGGCAACTTGTCTCAGGGCAGAACCGTCTTACAGCCATACTTACCAGGAAGCACGCCTTCTCCATACACCAACGGAGGTTCGTTGTTTGGCTTGGGTTTCATATATGCTGGCCACGGAGCAGAGGTCATCGAGTATCTTAGAAAAATTGTTGTTGACAACAGCAACTCCGCCGACAACAAGAACACAGATATCATTTTGCATGGTGCATGTTTGGGGCTTGGAGTCGCTGCCATGGCTCTTGGGGATGAGGCTATCTACGAGGAGCTGAAAACGATATTATACACCGACTCTGCAATTTCTGGCGAGGCTGCTGCCTTTGGAATGGGTCTTGTGATGTTGGGATCCGGAAACGAGGCTGCTATTCATGATATGTTGGCATACGCTCAGGAAACTCAGCACGAAACCATCATAAGAGGTCTTTCCATTGGTATTGCTCTTCTCTGCTACGGGAAGGAGACTACTGCTGAACCGGTGATCGAGAAATTAATAGGACACCAGGACTCGATTCTTCGATACGGCGGGTGTTTCACCTTGGCATTGGCCTACTGTGGAACTGCAGACAACAACGCCATCAGAAGACTATTGCATATTGCCGTCTCTGACTCCTCTGACAACGTGAGAAGAGCTGCTGTGATGGCACTCGGTTTCATTTTGCTGCGTGATTACACCACAGTCCCCAAGATCGTCGAGCTGCTTTCCGAGTCATACAATCCTCACGTGAGATACGGTACTGCCATGGCTTTGGGGATTTCATGCGCTGGTCGCGGTCTGCAGGCAGCCATTGATGTGCTCGAGCCTCTGACCAAAGATGCTACCGATTTTGTTAGACAGGGTGCCACAATTGCAAAATCCATGATTTTAATACAGCAGAACGAAAAGACATACCCTGAAGTGAAGGAATTCAGAGAACAGCTGGTCAAGACGGTGTCCAATAAGCACGAGGATTCGCTAGCCAAGTTTGGCGCTGCACTGGCAGAAGGTATTTTAGACGCTGGCGGACGAAATGTCACCATCCAGCTTGAACATGCTCAGACCAATACGCTGAACATGAAGGCAATTGTGGGGCTGACGCTGTTCTCACAGTTCTGGTACTGGTTCCCGCTGACCCATTTCTTGTCATTGTCGTTCAGTCCTACTGCCATTATCGGTGTCACAGAGGATCTGAAGGTGCCGAAATTCAAGATCAACTGCCACACCAAGCCAGAGATCTTCAGCTATCCACCTAAGTCAGAGGCCCAAGTGGAAAAACAGTTAGACAAGATTGCAACGGCTGTTCTTTCTACCACTGCCCGTGCCAAAGCCAGAGCAGCAAAGAAGGACAAGGCTAAGAAGGATGCCAAGGATGAAGACAAGATGGATGTCGATGAAAAGAAGGAGAAGGTGAAGGAGGAGAAAGAGAAGAAGGTCGAGCCTGAGGCCACCGAGAGCACTATAGATACACAACCAGAGTCCTTCTACGTAAAAGAGCCTTACCAGTTTGAGAACATGACCAGAGTTGTGCCTGCTCAATTGAAGTACGTCACCTTCTCAAAGAACGAGCGGTTTGTGCCAGTGAGGAAGTTCAAAGGGATGGGAGGAATTGTTGTTTTGCAGGACCTGTCTCCAAACGAGCCATTTGACAGAATCAAGACTGTGAGAGAAAAAAGCAACACCGAGGCTCCTGTGCCCGAACCGTTCACCATCGATCCAGAAATCGACAAGGAGCTATTTGAAGAAAGCGAGTAAGCGATTAATTGAAGGTTTCTATTTAAATCTACCAAGGGCTCCTTCGAGAACGTCCTTCTCCGGTTGGATGCCCTTTGAGAGGTCGTGTTTCTGTTTCCTGAGAAGTTTCTCTCTCTCAAGAGCCCGTTCGATCCGCTTGGCCCTCTCGTTGATGACGTTCTGACGCAGCTTCCGCTTCGCTTTACGGATCGTGGAGTTCTTGCCCTTGACCTCGGGCTTGATCTTCTTCTCGATCTCCTGCCCAGGCTGCGAGGGTTGCAACTCCGCAAGGTCTTTAGCCGTGAGTCTTTGCGATGGAGCGCGCTTATCGACACTGCCGATCACGTTAGGGTCCAGCGTAATCATGTCAGGCTGCAATTTGTTGAGCAAAGACCTCACCTCCGTCTGCTGTCTCTGTTTTGCTGTCTCGTACGGATTGACTTCCAAAGCATCGAAGTTGGCCTCTCCGGCACCTGGCACGATAACAGAGGAGATTCCTTTATCATGTCCACAGCCCAATATATCCTCGAACGGCACAAACCTCGTGGTCTGGATCTGCGAGGAAGGAATCATGTGGTTCATGTACGGCGAGTTTTGGTGCGATTTCAAGAAGTTCCAGACCGTGATATGGGGCCCCCAGCCCACAGAAACCAGTCCCTTGTCGGAAATGTCCACTGTATTAGCTTGTGTTGGAGTGTAATACGAATCTATCTCTTTGAAGTTGCGAATGTCCCACAGTTTGAGTGTTTTGTCTGCTCCTGCGACGACCATGTGCCTCCCGTCTCTGTTGACTGCAAGGGCCCGCACGGGCCCACGGCAGGCAAGAATCTTGGCCAGCGGAGTGGGCATGCTGGGCGACCACAGGGTAACCTGTCCATTGGCGTGTCCGAGATGCATCACGGCGTTCCACGGGTTCTGTCTCATGCACTGCGTGGGGCCCAGCTTCGTGCGATGCTCGGCCACCAGCTCTCCCGTGGAAACGTCGTGGTACTTGAGGAACCCAGTGTTGCCCGCTGACGTAAGCAGGAAGTGGTAGGGGAGGAAGTCGAGGAGCGTGGAGTCGATATGCTGCTTGAGTCTGTGGAGTTCCATTCCCGTTTTGTCGTAGATGAAGACGTATTTTTTCTGCGCCACGGCAAAGTACTGGTTATTGTGCAAATATTTGACAGCGTGCACGGTCTCGTTGAGATGCAGCTCGCAGTCGAGTTTGCCCAGCCTCCAGTCAAACGAGGCCACATGGCCCTTCTTGCCTCCTATAAGCAGATCGCGGCCGTTTCTAGAGTAATCAAGAGTATAAGGGCCGAATTGTTCCAGTTTGAGCTCGAATCGCTTGTTTGCGGTTGCCTGGTCGACCTCCTGGACTATTTCGTCCTGAGTGAACTTGTAGGTTTTCTCCATTCCCTCGGCTTCCAGGAAACCTGCGTCTTCCTGGAGCAAGATTTCCGAGTCTTTGACCGACCGAACCGCATCTTTGTGCTGCTGGTCGAGCCTCTTGAGGTTTGCGTTGAGCTTTCTGTCTTTGGAGTAGACAGCCATTTTAAAGATTTTTTCTATAATAAATTTTTTTATGTTCACAGCCTTGAGCGGTTACAAGAAAAAAGGGCAGGGAATTTTTTTACAAAGCAGATATGGGTTTTCTCTTTTGGAATAAGCCCAAAAACGAAGTTATCGCTGATGAATCCACTGAAAATAAGCAAGAGGAGGCAAATGAACTTAGCCTTCAAGACTGCAGCGCTGCAGTGTCTACTAAGTCCTCCAAGTCCTCCAGAACGCTTGGAAGAAGGGGCACCTTAAGACGATTTTTTAGCATGAAGCGCAAGCCGCTGGAGGTTGAGCCTGCAGATACGATGGAGACAGTTGTGAGCTCTGTAATGGACTCTCCTGAGCTATTCAATGCATCGTACTTGTCGTTTGACGAGACAAGAGCTACCAACTTCAGCGGTATACAGAGCAGCCCAGAGCTGGACAATGCAGACGAGTATCCTCATTTGAGACGCACAGACAGTAGAAAGAAGCACAGCCGGATGTCAAGCTATCTTAAAAACAAGGAACCTGTTAACAGGATGGACAGTTCAAACACAATGGAAAAGGAACCACTCCCGATACAACAGCTATTCGAGCAGGAGTTTGAGGACATAGACAATCAAGAAAACACACTTTTGGTAAATAGGGACAATTCATCAGAGAAATCACAAAGAAACGGACTCAGAAGGTCACTCTCAAAGCTGTTTGGCAAGAAGGATAAAGTAAAGACGGAAGGAAACAAGTCCATACAAAACATTTCAGACAAGAACAAGCCTGATCCGGTTCCGAACTTCAGCTTCCGGTCTCTGAGGCTCAACGATACACTGCGCAGTATCAACAAAAGACCAGAATCGCCGAATCTGGCCAATGTGGCCGTGTTCCCTGCCGTTTCCAAAATAATTTGTGCGTTTGGGGTGGAGTCCGAAACAAGCACCCAATTCGAGGTCTTTGAGCTCCAAAGGACAAACAAGATGCATCTGAACTCTGTGTGGAACGTGTGGGGAGAGTTCGTGTCCACAAGCAATGAGGATGCCAAGCTCCGCAACAGGGTCATAGACAAGGTGTGGAAAACCAAACAGCTCAATAAGCTGGCTAGCAGGTGCAGCGAGCTGTTTCTTAACGCTCCGCAGTGTGGAACGTCTGACGAGAACCGCATTCACATTTTCAAGTTCGGCCTATCTCCACGCTACAGAAAAGAACCGCTACTGTACAACAGCGGGCGTGTCGTGATCCGCATTCCCTCGGAAAAAGTCGACAAGGTGTGGAGGTCGACACTGGAGATTGTACTTAAAGAGCAACTTCTCTGGAGCAAACTAGACAACAACGTGGTGGGGATTACCTGGAAGAGGGCCCCTAGCAGGCACGAATACAGTCTTATTCTGTGGCTCACAAAGGAAGGCCACGACCACGACAGCGTTTCGGCGCTGATGAACGAGGTGATGCTGCTGTCACCAGATGAGCTGAAGCCGCTGTTCACCTACTCAAAATACTATGTCAATGCGGATCACACCTACCACGCGATAGATTTGAACGAAAAAAATTAAGAATACTCAAATTATGTCTGAGCTGACGGCGGCCGAAAAAAGGCGTCTACTGAGGGAGAGGCGGCAAGCCAAGCTTGCAGCCACGTCTTCTGACAGACTGGGAAAAATCACTGGCACAGTGGGCTCTCATCTGCCTACAGCGTCTCCGTTGTCAGCTGAAGATCCCCCGGTGTCAGACATCAGTGAGGCGACGACTCCTGCCATCGATGGAAGCAGCGGCGACTCAGAGCCGTCGATGGACAAGATTTTAGAAAGTATGCTGAGCCAGGGCCACAACCACAATGTGCCGTCACTTCTGCCCGACGACTTCATGAAGACCATGTCGTCTATTCTCCCTTCGACGAACGACGAGTCTACAGAGCCGACGCCTGGACCAGAGAGTAATGCCTCTGAGCACGAGATGCAGCTTAATGAGTACAACAGGTACCAATTGCGAAAGTTCAGACTTGGGTTTACGGCCCTCAGATTTGTGAGTGTGCTCACGCTGGTTTATTTCAAGCTCGTGGGGTACACCTTGTTCTACCCGTCATTTGAGCGTCTGGATCACGGGTATGGCAAGATTGATCTATGGAACTGGTTTACGATCCTCGAGGTGATCTTCTCGGTGGTCTACGTGCTTGTTTACAGGTTCCTTCCGCGGACAAAAGAGAATTCCATCTTCAGCATCATCGAAGGAATTTTGCCGCAGCGCTACCGCAGCCGGTTTGAGATGATTGTCAAGTACAGAGACGTTATTGCGTTCTGGATCAACGATCTGTCGGTCCTGATTTTGGCGCTGGGCTGTCTCGCGTGGCTCAATAATTAGAAAAGCACAGAATTTAATTTTTATCTATGTCTATTTATCGTCCTCGCCAACCACTTGCATCCAGGTCTTGTTCTCCTTCTTCAGCTCCTCGGTGATCTCGTCTTTGATCTTTCTGGCGAGACCCGGGCCCCTGTAGGCAAAGGCAGTGTATAGCTGGACAAAAGTGGCTCCTGCTCTGGCGAAATCCAGAGCGTCCTTTCCGGAGCTGATTCCTCCACATCCGACGAGAACGAGGCCGCTGTCCTTGGTGTGCTTTCTAAGCAGTCTAAAGGCCTTCAGGGAGATCTCTTTTAGCGGTTTCCCCGATAATCCACCGGCCTGGTTAAGCAAGTTCTCGTCTGTGGTGAGCATTCTGTCCTTCGGTCTCTGGACCGTGGTGTTGGACATAATAATCCCGTCAACCTTGGCCTGTTTCGCAGCCTTGGCAATCGACTCAATTTCCGGCTCCGTCAGGTCTGGCGCGATCTTCACCAACACCGGCGGCTTGGTGGTCCTGTCGGTGATTTTTCCCGGTAGCAAGTTTCTTTCTGCAACCACCTGAGTGAGCAGCGTGGTCAATTTGGCCTCATTCTGCAAATCGCGCAAACCCGGGGTGTTGGGCGACGACACGTTGATCACTAGCACATCCGCGTACTCCCCAAACCGCTGCACGCCAGCCACATAGTCCTGCACCTCGTCGCCGGTCTTGTTCTTGCCGAGATTGATGCCCAGCAGCTTGTCGTCTCTAAACGAGTTGTTGGCGCAGCCAGGGTTCTTCGCAAACAGCCTTTCGTAGCGCTGGCGCAGTCTGCCGAGCACAGCCCAGTGTCCGGAGGAATTGAACCCGTATCTGTTGATCACCGCGTCGTCCTTGCCCAGCCTGAAAAAACGGGGGGCAGGGTTACCCGGCTGAGGAAATGGGGTGACCGAGCCGATCTCGACGTACGAGAAACCGAGGTCCAGCAGCGGGTCAATGGCCTCGCCCTCCTTGTCAAACCCTGCGGCCATTCCCAGAGGGTTGGACAGCGTCTGGCCGAAAACCTGCACCTGTAGCACCGGGTCGTCGACGTCGGCCAATAGCTTCGGAGAGAGGCCGTACTTGAGCATAAAGACGCCCAGTTTGTGGCCAGTCTCTGCGTCTGTGAGCAGACGGATCAGCGGACACCACACGTACTCGTTGATGGCAGACCGGGCGTCCAGAGAGTAGAGACCCAGGCCGATCGCCAGAACGATGGCTGTGTTTGGAATAAGACGGGCCTGTCGGACCTGGCGGGGCGACGCCTTGGAGCCTGCCAGTCGAAACTGGCACGCGGCTCTCCTGGAGACAGATGCTTTCACGGCGCCTGAGAAGCGGCTAAAAAGACCTGTTCGAGAAAACATTAGAGAATAATTACAGGAGGAAATATTAAATAATTGCACAGCCGGAGAAAAGCTACTTATTGGCGTTGCGCACTCTTTCCCAGGCGGAGACAGGACGAGCAGGCTGCGATTGCGGCGACGGGTCCACGAGAGGGTCGGCGTCGAACGGCGAGTCGGAGGAGTTAGTTTCTGTGCGGACTGGGGCTGGCTGCTTTGTATCTGTTTCGGCGTGTCTGAGCTTGGCCCAGGCTGAGTTCTCGTCGCCCCCGTCGGCAAGCCGGCTCTGCACGTCGCGCGGGTCCTTGATTCGCAATTCGGGGTTTTTAGCGGTCTCTGCAAAGTAGGAGGACCAGAAAAAGCTCCGGAACACTCCGTGCGGCGTGTGTTGGATAACGTTGTAGACTTTCGACTCTGAGCCGTAGTCGTCCTTGGCTTTTTGCACTTCTCGCCGGTAGAGTGCCGGCGCGCCGATCCACGTGGCGGCCATGCTGCCCAGAACGCCTCCCCATCCGACCCGCATGGCGTTGATCCTGCTCCCCTTGCGGAAGTAGACGGGCAGGCCCATGCCCGCGAGGAGGCCCGCCGTGGAGCATCCCATGACGAAAAACGCCGTTTTCTGGAAAAAGCGCTGCAACAGGCGCCGCTCGTCGACGGTCAGCTCGTGCTCCGCGTCGTAGAACTCAATGGCACGGTGCTGGGCCTCCTTGAATTCGGGCGAGTTCGTGTCGATGTTCATATGAATGTGGCAAGATAAAAAATGCAGATGTGCGGGTGCGTCGATATTTTCGCACCCGCGAGCGGAGCACATTATATAAAGCTGGCACGTACCCCTACCGCAATTAAAACATGTCATTGCCAAAAGCCGACGTTCCAGCTCTGAAACCTGCCTTCTTCTTCGACCTCGACATCGCAGAGGCTCAGCCTGTCTTCAAGAACAAGGCCAAGGCGTACACCAAGGTGGACGTTCTGGGGGGCACCGTCAGGTCGCTCGACCCCACGCTGCCCTTCGACGCCAAGGTCATCAGCGGCTTCGACAACATCAGTATCTACGAAACGGCTCCCTCGGTCGGCAACCTCGACTGCACGCTGTACCTGGACCTGGGAAACAACAACAAGGGCATTGTCCAGTACCTGGGCGTGGTGAGGTTCGAGGGCGAGACAAACAGGGTGCTCGGCAAGGAGACGACCAACATCGGGTTTTCGGACGGCTACGTCACGTGCCAGCCTCGGTTCGAGCTCGACGGCAACGCGTCGAGGGAGTCGTGGGTCAACAACCATCTTTTCGTCGGCAAGGGCCGTTTCCACAGAGACGCACACGGCGGCCTCAAGGTCCAGTACTACGTCTACACTTTTAGCGAGTAAATAATGTAGCGAAATAGTTTTCTGGTTTCTGCCATTTTTGAATCACGGGCGTTGTCGGACGTGTGACGCACACTAAAGACTCTAACGAGGTGTTTACCTTTGTTAGGTGCACAACTGTCTCCGTCTTTGTTAAATACGACGCCACCACGCTGGTCCTGGTTAAATGAACGACCAAGACTACTCGAGTCCGTCGCAGTTCGAAATGGGTCCCTACGACCACTTCCCGGAGCCGGGAGGCTTCCATGTGGAAGACCGGGATACCCTCCGGTTGCCGCCCCAGACGGCCGATACGTCGGCAGAGACAGACACAAGCAAGAACACAGACGAGAGTGGCGGCCAGACCCGGCGCTCGCGCGCCTCGGGCGAGATCCTCGCGCTGCTGGTGGCCGAATTCAACAAAAACTCCAACCCCAATACCAACGTGCGGAAAGAAATCGCCCTTCGGACAGGAATGACTGAGAGGTCTGTCAGGATCTGGTTCCAGAATCGCCGCGCAAAGGCCCGCAAGATGGAGAAGCTGCATCAGAGCAACGGGGCCGCCCGCGGGCCACAACACCCCCACCACACGTCCGAGGTGTACGGGTCGCAAAGCCGCGAGCCGTCGCTCAAGGACCTCGCCAACTACGCCAAAGTCGACACCGAGATCAACGAGAAATACAGTCTCATCGACTGCATCTCTGTGTCTGTCGGCCCGTGGCAGCGCATCAAGTCGGGCCACCTGGACCCTGACGCTTTCAAAGACGTGCCGAACCTGAGTCCGCGCGTCGTGTACAAGCTCATGGACACGACAGACCTGCTCGTCATGCTCTCGAAAAAGGACCACGAGCTCAACTACTTTTTCTCGGGCGTCTTCCAGAACGAAAAAGTGCTCTTTAGGATCTTCTTCCCGCTCGCCACGGTGGTCACGTGCTCGCTGCTCAACTACAGGACGCAGAGACCAGAGCAGGACGACGTCTCGCGCGACTCGACGGCACAGCTGCAGCTGCAGCTCGCGGCTCCGCCGAAGTTCGCGGTGCATTTCCTCAAGGATCTCAACACAGGCAAGGAAAACCACAACCAGTGGTCGGTCTGCGAGGACTTCTCGGAGGGCCAGCAGGTGGTGACGGCGTTTGTCGGTGAAGGGGGCACAGAAATCCCACACATACTCACCGGAACGCTCGAGTGCTTGCAGTACCTCAATACGTTTGTCGGCACGGCCACCAAACTGGGGCGGCCTTCGTCATTTCCGGGCCCTACCACAGAGCACCCGATTCTCATATCGCCGTCTCCGTTCAATGACGAGCCGTCGTTTGCGCCTCTACAGCAGGACGACCTGCGGCTACTCCGAATAGACGAACCGCCGCAGCTGGAGATGTTTGACGGCCACTACGACGATTCGGGCACGCCGCGGAACGATTTGTTGATCACCAAGCCGAAACCCGAGGACGACAAGGAGGAGTTCATCTACCTGGACCAGGGGAACGAATGGACAGACAATATATAGTCGAATCTTTTCGATTATGTCAGCATCGAGCACTCAAGGGCACATACCTAGTCGAAAAAATAAAATTAATGAATACGAAGATAAAGAGGGAGAAGCAGAAAGAAGACTTGTCTCCTGCGGTCACAGACGAACACGAGTCCGATGCCGACGACTCGTCGGCTTCTTCTTCGGACGAATCATCGTCTGAGTCCGTGCGGGAGTCGGCGTCGGAGTCGGAGGTGTCGAAACGCGAAATGTCGGAGCGCGAGCAGTTCGAGCTGCAGGCCAAGTACCGGCGGCTGGACCGCGCACTGGTACAGCAGCGCACGGAGGTTGCACGCGAGAATGGTATCCAGGTGGTTTCGACGTCGCTGGACATTGCGGATCAGCTTTTTTCAGAGACCAAGACGTCGATCCAGTCGAACATCGTGGCCAAGGACGCGGCCACGTTGAAGGAGATCGGTTTGCAGGCGAAGCTGGCGACGCGCAACCTGAAGCTCGGACGCTCTGAGCGCGTTTTGAACTTCGCCGAGTTCAGCAGCAATTTTCAGCGATTTTTTGCTACCGAGGACGACATGGTTGACGTAGACTCGCCGGCCGACCGCGGAATGGCCCGTTTTGACTGGATCAAGGCTGGGCTGCTCTACGCCAGCTGTTCGCGGCGCGCGCCGGGCGCCGAGTTCCTGCTGGGGCCGCTGGAGATCACGCGAAAGACACGCGCGTCGCGGCCCCGGCTCCAGGACGATTCCAAGAACAACGCCTCCAGGACGGCCAGCAAACGCAGTGCGTCGGAGCTGCTGGAGCAGGACCGCCAGGACGACACGACGGCAAACTCCGAGCGCTGTTTCCGCAAACTGCGCACGCTCAACATGGCCCGCAAAAACCTGTTCGAGTTCTTCATCGACCCGAAGTCGTTCGCCAGGTCGGTCGAAAACCTGTTCTACACAAGCTTCCTCATCAATCACGGCAAGATGATTCTGGGACGCGACGCGACGGGCGTCCCGTACGTCCAGGAGGCAAGCCCGGAAACCTTCAGGGACCTGCCGCGCTACGTCAACAGGGACGACTCCAAATCGCACATCGTATTTAGTCTTGATCACGTGACCTGGAGGGGCCTGATCGACCGGTTCAATATACAGGAAGCGTTTTTATAGACACGGCTAGACCTTGTACTCGTCGAGCTCGCACAGCGGCCACTTGCGCACGACGCTCTTCCCGATAGGCGTCCTCACGCCGCTCTCGTACAGCTCGATGCCTGCCCAGCCGATCATCGTAGCGTTGTCTGTGCACAGCCGCGGCTCTGGGAAGTAGAAGTGCCTGATTTCCGGGATCTGGGCGCGGAGCATGGTTCGGAGCATCGCGTTGGCCGCGACGCCGCCCGAGCACACAAAGCTGTCGACCTCGACGTTTCTGAGCCGCATCGCGAGCTTGATTTTGGTCACCATGTGCTGGAACACCGTCTGCACGAGACGATAGGCGACGCGGGCTTTTTGGGCGTCCGTCAGCGTCCCGTCGGGGAAATACTTCGCCATGCTGGTGCGCACCTGCGAGATGAACGAGCCAAACGAGTACGCCAGCATGTTCTTGCGGCCGGGCACGTTGAGCAGGGGCTCTTTCACGTCAAAGTCGACCGGCTGGCCCCATTCGTGGCTGTGCTGCTCCAAAAACGCTGCGAGCTCCTTGCCGATCATATTCCCGCGAAATCCCAGCTCGCGGCCGCACTTGTCGAGCGCGTCGCCCGCGGCGATGTCGATCGTGTCGACGAGGATCTCGTGGTCCACGAGGCTGCGGCTCAGCACGCACATCGTGTGTCCGCCGCTGGCCATGAGGCTGAGGAACGGGAACTGCGGCTGCTGGCCGTTCGACGCGAGCCGCGGCGTCAGCAGGTGTCCCAGCATGTGGTGGACGCCGACGAGCGGCACGTTCCATGCGATGCTGAGCCCCTGCGCCAACTGGTAGCCGCCGACGAGCGAGCCCACCATGCCGGGGCCCCGGGTCGCGCAGACGAGATCTGGCCGGCTGGGGCCTGTCCAGTCGTGCTTTTTGAGCAGCTCGCTCGTGAGCACCGCCACCTGCGTCCTGTTGTGCACTGCCGCGTCCGTGGGGATCACTCCGCCGGCGTGCGCAGAGTCCAGCGTGTGCTTGCTCTCCTCGACGACACGGGGCGGCTGCGCGCGATCCGGCCGGTCGAGCAGCGCCACGCACGCGTCATCGCACGACGTCTCGATCGCCAGCACGCGGTACGTGCGCGCCTGGCGCCAGCATCGAGACACTGTCTTCGGTCCTAGCATGGCTGTGCAAGAGATGTAAATTTTTGCAACGTCGGGTAAACCACAAATTATTTAATATATTTTATATTTCTGGTGTACACTGAGCCTCATACCTTCTTCCCGGTCGGCGCATAGTATCACGATTTGGACTGCACCTGAATGAACAACTAGCTGGTGACCTATAGAGCACATCTACACCTCATGTCCAACGTGCTGTCGACATCCAACATCGCCGTGCCGGACTTCGAGACCCACAACAGGCCGTCGTCTGCTGGAGGCCAGATTCCGCAGGACGGGCCCGGCGGGGCGCCCGAGACGTACCACCCGCGCCTTCTGCACTGCTTTCTGGCGGGCGGGATAGGCGGCATGGTGGGCGATTCGCTGATGCACTCGCTGGACACCGTCAAGACGCGGCAGCAGGGGGCCCCGAACGTGGCTCGGTACAAAAACACCATTCCGGCGTACCTGACGCTTCTGCGCGAGGAGGGTCTGCTCAGGGGGCTCTACGGCGGGTACGGAGCGGCCATGCTGGGCAGCTTTCCCAGCGCGGCGTGTTTTTTCATCACGTACGAGTCCACCAAACGAATCGCGATAGACGAGTACGGTCTGAACGAGACCTTCACGTATCTGGGCGCGGGATTCCTTGGCGACTTTGTGTCGTCGATTTTCTACGTGCCGTCGGAGGTGCTCAAGACCAGACTCCAGCTGCAGGGACGATACAACAACACGGTCTTCCGCTCCGGCTACAACTACACAGGAACTTTCAACGCCATCTCGACCATTATCCGCACAGAGGGATGGCAGACTCTTTTCTACGGATACAAGGCCACGCTGGTGCGAGATCTGCCGTTCTCGTCGCTCCAGTTTGTGTTCTACGAAAAGTTCCGACAGCTCGCATACCAACTTTCTCACCGGTCCGCGGATCACGACCCGCTCTCGCTTCCAATGGAGCTGCTCACAGGCGCTGCGGCAGGCGGCCTGGCAGGGACGCTGACCACGCCGCTCGATGTCATCAAGACGAGAATGCAGACGCAGAACAAGAACGCCACGCCGCACGACTTGCTCACTTCCAACTCCATCCTGCGCGGCCTGCTCACCGTGTACCGCAACCAGGGCGTGGTGGGGCTGTTCAGCGGCGTGGGGCCCCGTTTTATCTGGACCAGTGTCCAGAGCAGCGTGATGCTGCTGCTATACCAATTCTGTCTCCGAGCATTGTCCACAGGCGAATTCAACTTCGCATGACTTAGAATGTACATAAAATAGACCATCTAGATTCCGTTTCTAGCACCGTTCAAAAACACGGTACAGGCCCGGCAGGTTGGCGATTTCCACCACGTCCCGCGCGAGCCCTGCGTTGGGGATGAGCCGTTTCTGTAGCAGAGGGCAGATCGTCGTCTCGAGCAGCTCGGCAATCTTGCCGTCGTTTTCGCTGGCCGCTGGCACGTACAGCAATGCCAGCTGCTGCAGCAGACCACCAAGACACTTCTTCTCGTCCTCCCAGTCCAGCTTCGTGCCGCTCCTGTACAGGAAAAGGGCCAGCTTGGAAAGATCCGGCTCGTAGCCCTGCACCAGCAACGGCAGAGTTGCGATTTTCGGGTCCTGCGCGTCGCCGTCGATCTCGATGGAGAAGTATTCCTTCAACATATCCTTCATCTCGACAAAAACCTGAATTACTTCGTCCATCTGGTCCGCGAGCCCGTTTTCCAGCAGCAAGTCTGCAATGCTGACGGGCTGGGAAAGACGCAAACAGCCGAAATTGCTGAAATTGGCCAGCCCGACCTGGTAGAACAGCTCGTAGCACAGAGCCCCGTAGTCGGCGATGTACAGCTTGATGTCGTGCTGGAAACACATCAGCCGTTTCAGAGAGTCGACAACGCCGATGAACGTCATTTTCGACAACACCTCGGCGAGCCGGTCGTCTGCAGCCTGCTCGACCTCCTCTTTGAGCTCGAAAATGCTCTTCAGCTTCACTTTGGCGGGCTCTGTGCGACTCTGCGCGCTGTCGGCGCTGGCTTTCTGCCTCGCGTACGCCGTCAGTGTCGGCTGCGAGAAATCCGTCCGCACCAGCTTGTGCTCGCTCGGCCGCTTGTACTGGCTGAGCGAAGGCAGCGGCCGCATTTTTTTTGGCGTCGAAAACGCAACGTCCGCGGTTGCAGAACGTTTCGGGCTCGGAAGTAGCTGCTGGGTCAGAAAAGTGCGCGAAACGTCGGTGTTGGCAAGAACGTCCGCGATTTTCTGCGCAACATGGTCAACTATCTCGTCCTCGAACAGGAACCGCACCTCGCGCTTTGTCGGGTGAACGTTCACGTCCACGTTCACAGAGTCCAGCTCCAGCGAGAGGTATACAAACGGCTTGTGGCCCTTGGGGAGGTACGTGCTGTATGTTTGCGTAATAGCTCTGCGCAGCGGGTCGCAGCTGACCAGCCGGCCATTGATGAAGAAGATCGGCGGCGTGCTCTTCTTGTTGTCGAAGTTGACGTTGGTGATGAGTCCGGTACACTTCAAGAGACCGTACTCGGCGTGCGGCTCAACTTCAAGCCCCAGAAGCTCGCTGGCCACGGCAGAGCCGTAAATTGCGCGAACACGCTCTTTCTGGGACATGCCCGAGCGCAGGGCGATGTCGTTGGCTGCGGCTCCGTACTTCTTGCAAGTGAACCCCACGTGCGTTGCGTGGATGGCGTACTTGCTCACAATGTCGACTATTTTGGCGTACTCCTCGGCCGGTGGCCGCAACGAGTGCAGACGCGACGGGAAGTTGTAGAAAAGGTCCTCCACCACGAGCGTGGTGCCGTCGGTGCCTGCCACGGGCTGCGGCTCGGGCGTGCGCGCGTCCAGACGGCCGGCGTCGTAGCGACACTGCCACGCACACGGGCTGTCGCGGGTCTTAGTCACGAGCGACACATGCGCTATGTGGGAGATACTGGCGAGGGCTTCCCCACGGAAGCCGTATGTGGCGATGTGCTGGAGGTCCTCGAATCTGCGCAACTTCGACGTGGTGAAGCGCTCACAGACGAGCGCAAGGTCGTCTTTCGCGATGCCAACGCCGTTGTCGGTGATCTGCAGTAGCTTGAGCCCGCCCTCTTTGCACGCGACGTCGATGGAGGTGGCCTGCGCGTCGATCGAGTTCTCCAGCAGCTCCTTGAGCGCGCTATACGGAGCAAGAACAATCTCGCCCGCGGCGATCCGGTTGACGACGGCCTCCTCTAGCGGTCTGATGCGCGGAGTTGTCATAAATGCAAAATACTTAGTTTTTCACGCGAGCCCAAGTCGATCGGCTCCTATCGTCGCACGGCCCGGGTCGCCAACGGTGGCGCCCGCTGCTCACTTGGAACAGGACTAGAAGGCGCCAGATCGCTCTTTCTGTTCGCTGGCACGATAACGCAGCACCTGCATCAAAGAAACATCCCGTCGGGCCCTGGCTGCACTCGATCAAACGTCACCAAAAGTTCCGAGTTCGGTAATAGGCGCACAGTGGCCTGTTTTAAAAATTTGCAACACACTGTTGTTTACAATATTTGCTATCGGGTGCAATATCAACGCGAGCACGCCTTTTGTTTAGCCTCGAGCCTGGTTATCTGATCGGTCACTCAAAAGGACTTGAGAAATTCCATATTAGTTTGGTTGCTGTTGCTGGGTCATTACGTCATTATGACATCACTGCCAACAGAGGCCAAGGCCTCCTCTGTGGGGTCACCCACGTCCAACGGGTCCGGATCGACGTCTGGCCGAAAGACGCTCGATCTGGAGCCGAATCCTTTCGAGCAGTCGTTTGCCGGCCCCACGGAACAGGGCTCGTCGGCAAAGCCGAAGCAAGCGAACCGCAAGGATCCCAAGGACCACAAGCTCCCCACCGCCTCCTCCCCCCCGGTGCTGACGCCGGGAGGCACCCGCCGCACGACCACGTCCAACATGCTGCCTCCGCTGCCGGGGATCATGTCGCCCGGCGCGCCCTCTATTCCTGGCACTCCGGGCATGTGGTCCAGCATGTTCCAGGGCCCCTCGCAGCAAATTTTGCCCTTCGCGTACCCCGTGGGGCCCTCTGCAAGCACGGGGCCCGCTGGCGCGCCGCCCACGTCATCGCAGCAACAGCAGATGTACAGCCAGAGTATTGCTAACGCGAAAAGAACAGGCCTTACTCCTAACGAGAGCTCGTTGCGAACCGGGCTGACCCCAGGAAGCAACAATAATCTCGCACATCACAACTACGCCATGCTCATGTCGTCCGGCCCGTTCACGCCTGGCAGCCTCTCCTTCCTCAACATGCCTCCGGTCAAGACAGAGGATAAGCACGAACCGCAGGAGCCAGGCTCGCACGCGGCACCATCTGCTCCCGCACCGGCGGCGGCGGCCGCACCGCAGACGGCTGAGCCGAAACCAAAGAAACCAAAGACGAAAAAGACCAAGGAGCACGCAGAACCCGCCTCTGAAAACGGCTCCAAGAACGACAGCCAGGACGAGGAAAAGAGGAAGAGCTTTTTGGAACGAAACAGAATCGCCGCGTCCAAGTGCAGACAGCGGAAAAAACAGATGGTGCAGAAGATGCAGCAGGAGCTCAACTTCTACTCTGCCCAGTACGACACGCTGACCCAGCAGGTGGCCGCCCTGCAGGACCAGGTCAAGACGCTGCACTCCATTCTGTACGGCCACAAAGACTGTCCGTCGCTGACGGAACAGATGGGCGGCGTTGAGAACACCAACAACGTGCTCGGGGCGTTTGCGCCGGTCCACCTGGTGCCCGCGGTGCCGCAGATGATGCTTGTGCAAGATGCGTCTCGACAGCAGGGCCCCAAGTGAGAGCGACACCCGTGCACCAGCAGGCGGATAGAAAATCCCGCGTTTTCGGCAACACCGTCCACCTTGTTATCGCTGGAGATGTCGTTTAACTACGTGAAGAACGCGGGCAAGTTTTTGTGCATTGGCCGCAACTACCTTGCCCACATCAAGGAGCTGAACAATGCGAAACCGTCGGAGCCGTTCTTTTTCCTCAAACCAAAGTCGGCCGTGCTTCTTCCTAAACAGGGGCCGGTGCTGGTGCCTCGAGGCACCATTGTGCACCACGAGGTGGAGCTGGCCTGTGTCATTGGCAAGACGCTCAGAGACCTCGACCCTGCGACGTTCACGCCCTCGGACGCCCTGGATGCCATCAAGGGCTACGCCTTGGCAATTGACATGTCTGCCAGAAACGTCCAGGACGAGATGAAGAAGAAGGGACTTCCGTGGACGATTCCAAAGGGTTTTGATACGTTTTTGCCATTGTCTGGGTTCATTGGCAAGGACCAAATCGCAGACCCCTACAACGTGGAGCTGAACCTGACGGTGAACGGCCAGACCCGTCAAAAGGACATGACAAACCTGATGATATTCCCTATCCACCGCATTCTGACCACGATGTCGTCTATCATGACCATCGAGGAGGGCGACGTCATCCTCACCGGCACGCCAAAGGGCGTCGGGTCGATCGTTCCGGGAGACAAAATCGAGGCCTGGGCCGAGGTAGACGGCGAGATATTACGGGAGAGTGTTTTGGAGCTAGACGTGGCCGAGAAGCCTGGCCCGTATGTTTACCAAGCTAAATAGTGTAATCTATAGCAGCATCTAGTGTGCTAGAAAATGAAAGTCGCTGACTCCAGGGATGTCCTGGGGCTGTAGCTTGAGCAGCGTCTGGCAGCATAGTTCAAGCGACGAGATCATTGCGTCGATTTGATCTCGGGTAACCGCAAGCGGCGGACAGAACCGGACTGTCTTGTCGTGAACCTGCTTGCACGCAATGCCCATGGCGCGCATGAACATACACACGTGCCAGATGGACATGCCGTTGTGCGCGAGCAGCTCCACGCTTACGTCGACACCCGCAATCAGACCTACACCTCGCACCTGCTCGATGAGGTCGTACATGCAGCTGAGTCTGGCGAGCTCGGCCAGCATGTGGGGGCCCTGCTCGGCGACGTTCGCCCCGAGATCCTCCTCCTCGTACACTTTGAGCGCCGCCAGCGTGGCGGCGCACGCAATGGGCGAGCCGCTGAAGGTGGCTCCGTGCGAGTTGGGAGCAATCGAGTCCATGATCTCGCTGGAGCTGCACACGACAGAGCACGGGTACAGGCCGCCGGAGATGGACTTCGCGGTGATGAGCACGTCTGGCTTTGAGTTGCTCGTGTTTTCGTACCCCCACCGTTTGGGCCCGCAGCGATACGACCCCATCTGCACCTCGTCGGCACACCACAGAACGTTGTACTTATCGCATAGTGCCCTCACGCCGTCCAAATAGCCTGGACTTGGCGGGAAGACTCCGGCCTCGCCCTGGACGCTTTCGATAATTATTCCTGCAATTCTCTCTCCCTCCAGCTCGAAACACTCTTCGAGTGCTTCCAGATCGTTGAACGGTAGCAGTTTCCCGTTGCCGTACGCGGGGCCAATCTTGGGGACGAACGGCCCGTAGTTGACGCGCGCAGCCGGGTTGGTGGAGCCGGAGGTCACTCCCAGCGGTCTGCCGTGGTAGTTTCTGGCCACCATCATCACCTTGGCCTCGTCTTGAGGAATCTTCTTTCTCACGTAGCCCCATGCACGGCACAGCTTGATCGCAAACTCAACAGCCTCCCCACCCCCATTTAGCGTGAGCACGCGTTCGAAGCCAAAAGCCTTGCACACTTCCTCACAGAACTCGGAATACAGCGAGTGTGTAAAGCCGCGCCCGACCAGCGCGCATTTTTCGTACTGGGCCTTGACGGCCTCCAGTATTTTCGGGTGGTTGTGGCCGGTGTTGATGGCCGAGTACGCGCTTCCAAAGTCCAGGTACTCGTTCCCGTCGACGTCGGTGACGTGGATGCCAGAGGCAGAATCAAAGACGATCGGGACGGGAGTGTAGTTGTGGGCCGAATAGGTGCGTTCTTTCAGAAGCAGTTGGCGCGATTTTGGTGAGGCAGTGACCTTGAACGCCATTGAGTAGAAACTGAAAAAGGGCGGGCTGCAAAGACGGACGCCCGCTTATAAAGCACGGTCGCTTATCGAAAGCCACAGCCCCGCGAAGAAATTTCCGATCTAAAGCCCAAATAAGCAAGTCCCGATCTGAGATACTCACTTGGTAGGGTAAGAGAGCAAGGGCGAGAAGAAAATACACAAGTCTGGCTGTGCAGAGACTTGGTGAGCAGTAAAATTTTCTTGACAACAACGGTGTAAATTTCTTAGTCAATTGAACATGGTGGAAATCAACGAGGTGAAGGAAGGAGGCCACAGCAGAGAGCACAGAACCGCCACACACACGCACATCAAGGGGCTGGGGCTCGATGAATACGGAGCGGCAAAGAAGATCGACGGAGGGTTTGTTGGACAGAGCGAGGCCAGAGAGGCGTGCGGGATCATTGTGGACCTAATCAAGTCGAAGAAGATGAGCGGGAAGGCGATCTTGCTTGCGGGCGGGCCGGGAACGGGAAAAACTGCGCTGGCATTGGCCATATCGCAGGAACTGGGTCCTAAGGTGCCATTCTGTCCTATTGTTGGTTCAGAGTTGTTTTCCGCAGAGGTGAAGAAGACAGAGGCACTGATGGAAAATTTCCGAAAGGCCATCGGGCTGAGAATCAAAGAGACCAAGGAGGTGTACGAGGGAGAAGTGATTGATCTGACTCCAGAAGAGGCCGAGAACCCATTGGGGGGCTACGGCAAGACCATCAACCACGTGATTGTGGGACTGAAAACGTCCAAGGGAACCAAGTCGCTGAAGCTGGACCCGTCGATCTACGAGTCGATCCAAAAAGAGCGCGTAAGCATCGGAGACGTGATTTACATAGAGGCAAACACGGGATCGGTGAAAAGAGTGGGCAGATCGGACGCGTACGCCACCGAGTTCGACCTGGAGGCCGAGGAGTACGTGCCTCTGCCGAAGGGAGACGTTCACAAGAAAAAGGAGATTGTCCAGGACGTGACTTTGCACGATCTGGACATTGCCAACGCTAGACCGCAGGGAGGACAGGACATTTTGTCCATGATGGGCCAACTGCTCAAACCACGCAAGACAGAGATCACAGAAAAGCTGAGAACAGAGGTCAACAAGGTTGTTTCGAAGTACATTGACCAGGGAGTCGCCGAGCTGGTTCCTGGTGTGCTGTTTATTGACGAGGTCAACATGTTGGACATTGAGTGCTTTACGTTTCTGAATAGAGCTCTGGAGTCTTCTATTGCTCCGATCGTGATTCTGGCTTCGAACAAGGGAATGACCACTGTTCGAGGTACAGAAGATTATAAATCACCACATGGCCTGCCTGCCGACCTGATTGACAGACTGCTCATTGTCAAGACTTTGCCATACAACCACGAGGAGATCAGAACCATTGTGATGAAGCGTGCCAAGGTCGAGTCTCTCCTGCTGACGCCTCAGGCCCTTGACAGACTGGCACAAATTGCCATGTCCACCTCGCTAAGATACGTGCTGCAGCTTCTTTCTCCGGCAGGAATTCTTGCCAAGGTGAATGGCCGGAGCGAGATCACCGTTGACGAGATTGAAGAGTGCCAGGTGCTCTTCTTGGACGCTAGACGCAGCACGAAAGTCTTGGAGGACTCCAAGGGATATCTATAGGATTAGAGCTGCCTGCCCAGCTCTGAGCACTCTTTTAAGAACTTTTCTGCCGTGACGATCTCTGTAGATCCGTAGCATACCAGTTTCTGTGGCGCCCCGGAGATCCCTGCGGTTTCGTTCACGCGGCTGCACCAGTCTTGTAAGTTGGAGTATTCAAGGTAGTTGCACCCGCCAACAATGAACACCATGGCCTCGTTGTAGCTCGACCTTTTTGGAGGCTTTGAGTGCGAGCCTCTGGTGAGATTAGGATCGAAATACAGGTAGTCGTCCGTCATTTTGAGCGACTCCTGGTTGGCAGTGGTGGGACTCATGATGGACTCGACAATATTGGTCACCGGGAGATTTTTCTTCTCTGGTAGCAGATTTTTGAGCCCCGAAATCAAGCTTCCAAATCCTTCGCTCAGCTTGGACGACCCTTCGGTTAAACCCATTAATTTAGACGACAAATTGCTGAACAGGGCGCCTTTGTTTCCGCTGCTTGCCGAGGAATCGGTGTTCAGATACGCTTCGCTGAGGTTCATGGACGAGAGCTTCGAGAGTTCCTTGACCTGTTTGATATACTTCAGAGGAGCTAGGTCGCAATGAAGTTCCGCCAACGCTTTCTCACACTCGTCACCAAACGATTTTGGAAGGTCTGAAGTCAATGTGAGCATGATATAGGTCCGCAGCTTGTCTTCGTGGTTGTCACTTTTCGTCTCTGCTTTAAGAAGCTCCAGGAACCGTTTCTGCGTGGCTGGATTACCCACGTTCTGCTCAACTTCAAAGAATGCATCCAGGTTCTTCGAGTCGAGCTCCTTGATCAGTTCGGTGAGTACCGTCATATGCATATCAATGATGTTTTTGCGCTGCGTGAGCTCTGGAAGCGCCTTGATCGCCTCCTGGATATGCAGAGTGTCTCTCTGGTCGGAAGGGTCGATCTCCTTAATGGAAGAATACCCAGTCTTGGCAGTGATCTCGCGGGCCTCCTTAGTGTATTCAGATAGCTCTCTTTCGACGTTCTCGACGGCGTCGGGGAACGGAAGCGAGGCGTTATTGTTCCAGAAGAAATCCTTGGGATCTATGTCCAGGCGCTTGACCTCAGTCTTGTCCCCAGCAAGAGTTTTCCTAATCTCAATGGTATTTCTGTCCAGTTTGAACACGTCGCTCACCATGCACTGATAAATCCACGAGTGCGCAAACATAGAGGCCAGGTCTATGTTTCTGTCCAGCAACACCAGCACCATTCTATCTGCGGTCGAGTGCTGCAGCGACGTAGACGCACCCTGGCGCGTGTTTATCACGTGGTCTCGCAGTTTCTGGTCTAGTCGCTGCGCGATGAGCTCTGCGGGACCGCCTCTATTGGATCTGATGATCGGCACCGATCCCATGGTCAGCACGGCCGCAAACAGCCCGTTGGCAATTCTGTCCGCTATGGAGGTAATGTCGGACTCGGTTGTCTTTGGACTATTGAACTGGGAGTACACGTTGGGCAGATCCAGCGAAAACAGATTGGGCTCGGTCACCACAAAGTCCAGGTACTGGTCAAACACCTGCTTGATCCGGCCAGCCTTTCCGCTCAAAGCCACCTTTTTGGCAAACTCCTCCAGCAGCGACCGGCTCAGGCTCGAGGTGAAATTGACGTAGTAGTCGGCATAGTGCTCGTTTTCGAGATCGGTAATGATTCGGGCAATGTTCTCGGCCGTAGGCTCCACAAAGTAGATTACCGGCACGTCGGGCAGCGCCGCGCGTTTCTGTGTAATCAGTGAGTGCATCGTGATGCCGTACTCCAGCAAATCGTTGACTCTGAGCACCGACGAGACAATCGCCGTTGACCTCTGGTCCAGCACCAGAACCTTCCACACAAGCTCCTCCTCGTTCGTGGACGACACCAGGTCGACGTCAGACCGCACGTTCAAGTGCAGCATGCGCTTGAGGTTCGCAATCTGTCTCTCTCGGAGACTGCTGGGGGCCGTTTCCAAAGACATGGTTTGTTGTTAATTTTTAAAAAGCTTGGTGCAAGGATTAGACTCGTTTATCTATATTCTAGGGACGGGGCCACCAGGAGACTTTTTTGTGCGAGCGGTCAGAACTTCGACGCCGTCCTCTGTGACCAGCAGCGTGTGCTCAAACTGGGCGCTAGGCTTTCCGTCCGCGGTCGCAGCGGTCCAGTTGTCAGGCCACATGATGTCTCTGTACGTGCCCATGTTGATCATCGGCTCTATAGTGAATGTTATTCCCTTCTTGCACGTGCCGACAGCCTTGTTTTTGGCGTAGTGCAGCACGTCTGGCTGGCAGTGGAACAGCGTGTTGATTCCATGACCGCAGTACGTTCTCACCACCGAGAGTCCGTGCTTGGTAGCATGCTCCTCTATCACGTTTCCGATCTGTCTGAACGGCAGTCCCGGCTTCACCAGAGCAATCGCCTTGTCCAGACACTCCCTGGTGGTCTCCACCAGATTCACAAGCTCAGGGTTTGTCCTGGCTTTTTCTCCAACGTAGTAGGTTTCGTTCAGGTCGGCATGGAAGCCGTTCTTATAAAGAGAAATGTCAAGGTTGACAATATCACCGTCCTCCAACGGTCTCTTGTCGGGGATGCCGTGGCAAATGACCTCGTTCACAGACGTGCAGACCGATTTCGGGTAGTTGTAGTAGTTGTATGGCGAAGGATACGCTCTTCTCTTGAGCGTTTCCTCGTGGACAATACGGTCAATCTCGTCGGTGGTGATTCCCGGCCGGATATGAGCGGCTGCCGCGTCAAGAACCTCTCTGCCCAACTGGTTCACTATACGCATCTGTCGGATCTCATCCTCGTTCAGGACGCGGATCTGGTTTGTCTTGTCGTTCTTGATCTCGCTAATTGGCTTTCCGTTCTGGGCGTAGTCCGGTTTCTGGATCTTGTCTGGGATCCCTCTTGGCGGCGAGAGAGGGTAGGCGGGTCTTAGAGGGCCCGTGTACTCAAAGTTAGGGAATGGATCGTACACATCAACGCCCTCTTTAGGATGGATAGCTTTGTGAATATGGAAGCTTCTTCTGTAGCACCCTGAATTGCAGAAATACATGGTGAGCCCGGCCTTCAGACAGATGGGGCACTTCAAGTTCGAATTCGTCTCCTTGCCGCAGTCTGGCGCGGCACAGCGCCTGGTTTCTTGTTCAGATGGAGCGGGATTCATCGGTAAAAATATTTATTTCTACGGAAAAAAAACATGTGAAAATTTTATTTCCATGGCTCCACCGCTCCAGATCAAGGGATACACGGTTTTTCCCGTCGTTTTCGACGCCACAAAGCACACCAAGAAGACTCTGCACTACATGTTTGTGAAAAAACATGTCACAAAGTCGTTGCCAGAGTCGCAGTCCCGGTCTCTGTTCATAGTCAACCTACCCGTGGGGACCACCGTGAAGGCCGTGCGAAGTATCTTCAGCACGATCGCCATGGGTGCCATCGTGGAGTCGCTGGCCACTAACGAGCACTACAGCGAGCGGAAAATGATAAACTACGACTACGAGATCAATCTCACCAAACTCACCAACGAGGAGATGACGCACGAGGAAGAGCACCCTCAGATCCCTGTTGGGTGCGCGGTGGTGACGTTTGTGGATAAAAATGCATTGAATTTGGCCTTTGGAGCGATCAAGAAACTCGTGAATGCCTCAAATCCGAAGTATCCTGTGTGGAAGTCAGATCTCGTCACCGGCTACAAACGGTACACCGCATCTAGAAGACTGGACTCGGAGCAGCTTGCGGCCCAGGTGGCGCAGGCGATGGCTGATTTCCAGCAGCGCGAACAACAGCTCAAGGAGGAGCTCACAAACATGCAGTCGACGGTGGACGAGGACGGGTTCACGCTGGTTGTTGGATCACACAGAAAAACGAAGAACGGCATTCTCGGGTCGCTGAAGCGCGCTGCAGACCTTGAGCAGGACGAAAAGGTGGTGAAAAAGATGAAAAAGAAGGAGAAACAGGACTTCTACAAGTTCCAGATCAGAGAGCGCAAAAAGCAGGAGATGAACGAGCTGCTCAATAAATTCAAAGAGGACCAGCAGCGCGTGCGCGAGATGAAGGAAAAAGGGCAGTTCAAGCCCTTCTAGACTATGTAATAATATCGATTTAGAGCCTTCCGCCCGGAGTCTCGTAGTTCATAGAGTCGAGGTCGTCTGACTCTTCCACCTGTCGTAACATAATGGACGGGTTGAGCCCCAGCTCCTGGAGCTCCCGGTACACCACGACTGGTTTTTCATCGTATCCAAGCACTCTCTCCTGATCTCCGCCGTACACTATCACGAGAGCGTACTTCTTCCAGTCCGAGACATGCAGGTTGTGTCTTTTCATGGCTGCCTGGAGAATTTTGTGACACGGGTCTTCTGTCTTGGCACGGAGCTGTTTCAGAGGCTCAGAAGCACCGCCGGAGCTGCCCATCGACGGCAGCGTTCCCATCGACTGCGACGTCGACAGTCTGTTCGGCTTGTGGTATCTCGGCACACCTTGAGAAGAGCTAGACTTGGACGGTGAGCGCGGCGACTGGGTAAGAGAAACGTTCGGCTGCGAGGCCAGGTTTGGGTTGGATCCGGAGAACTGGTTCTGTTCTGGCAGGATCGGCGAGATGATCGGTGGAGATGTGATGGATTTGCGCAGGCCTGACGTGTTGGGGGCAGAATGCTGTTTCTTCAGAGCTGTCTGAGCTGGGATCGACTGCGGCACAATCGTGCTCTGCAACTGGTTTTGGTGATGCGAGAGCTGCGTAGGGGACATTTTGTCCGGAGTCGGCAGCGGTTTCTTGTCCTTGATCTCCTTGAGCACGGGCAGAAGATCTTCCTTGAGTTTGTTGAACTGTTCTGTTAATCTGCGGCTCGTGCCTCCGTTGGACGAAAGCAGGCCCTCCGTGACAGAGTTGGCTATTGTCGACACCAGATTCGTGGACATCACGAGAGTTTGCAGCTCTGCAGCAAGGGGATCAGTGTTGAACTTGAGCAGGTTCATGTTCTTCTTCATGAGCAGGTCGCTGATGTCGGACATCAGTTGCAGCCGAAGACTGAGCTGCTGAATGCCCATGTCGCGCAGCTCCTCAGTGTTCAAAAACGGCAGCGTCATACCCGTGATGTTGTGAAGTTTGAACAGATCAATAACATCGAACGAGTAGTCCTTGTTCCTCAGCCACAGCAGGATCTGGTCGTTGTTCCAAGAAACAATGTCGTTCGACGTGATGTCTTTATTGGAATGCGCAAGGACTATCGAAGATGGCCGCGGCCGTTGCACACTTGACATGAGAAAATAAATAAGTACACGAGAAGACAAATTATTCCCGTTTTTTTATTTTGGGCATGACATAAGCTGCCAGGAATCTATGTGTCTCTATATTTCTCGTCCACTCGGTCGTACGCCTTGAGCAGGACGTTCCAGAAAACTTCCCTGTCGACGTCGTACACCACTTTGGCGCCGTGGTCGGCCTCGGTGAACTCTAGCCTGCCGTCGTCCTCTCCTCCCAGATGAACGTCCAAATAGCCCGTTTTCCACTTGTACCCCAGATCTTCTGCCCCACAATACTGCAAAATTGCCGCTACGGCCACCGGATCGTGCACACTCGGCCCAATATAGCCCTCTCCCTGTCTGGCCTTGACCTTTTGGTAGAAGTACTGGACCAGATCGTACATCATCTTGCGGAACTCTGTAGCTGTAGCAGGGTCGCCCTGGATCCGCTGGCGGATATCTTGCGAGGCCCGAATTGTAGACGTGAGATCCAAAGGAGCAAGAATCATGCGCTCGCTCAGCACAGGGTCTGCCAGAACAGCCTTCGCCGCCTTGGGGTCGCAGAAAACATTAAACTCAGAACACCCGTTCTTGTTGAATTTCGCCAGTCCTCCGCCCATAATGCTCAAGCACCGGATCTTGCTTCTGGTCTCCGGGTACTTTTCGAAAAATAGACAGATATTGGTCAGCGGGCCGATCGCGGCAAGAGCCAGCTCACCTGGCCGAGTCTCGATGAAATTTTTCAGATAGGGGAAGAACTCCTCGGGCTTTCTGGCTGCGATCTTGGGATCTGGAAGCTTGTCGCTGCCGTTCAGACCGGTCGGACCGTGAACTTCGGGACAGTACTCCGGCTCGCGGTCCAGCGGGCGCGGTGCGCCAGGAAACACAGGCACGTCCTGTCTTTTTATCACAGTGAGAAACTTCAGCGCATTCATGGTCACGTTCTCCAGCGAAGCGTTTCCGTGCACGGTCGAAACACCAACCAGGTCAAAGTGCGGGTTATGCGCGCCGAGCGTGATTGCCACAACGTCGTCCTGGCCCGGGTCACAGTCTATCCAGAGAGGAATCATTATGTAAGTTATTCCGCGAAATCTCGGCCGAGGAAATGGAAACCAGGCGGTGCAAAACGGGGGCTCCGAGCATACACAGCCTGAGGACCCTGTCTGTACGCATGTCTTGTCACCGGGATTTGGTTGATACGGTGAGGATGTTGGTGCCTGTGTGACCTGTCACACGAAATATATATATTGTAGGTATAAAAACTCGTAAACATAATTATTTATCCCCTTTTTCATGCCCAAACAACCCATTCCCGGCGTAGGCAAGTTTAAAGTTACCGGGGACAGCAGCAAACCTCTCGCAGTACATCAGGGGTGCAAGACCATAAACGTCTTGTCAACGCCTATAAAGACGACGCCTGCAGTTCGCGATTACCCAACACCCAATACGTCCTCTGAGAACATAGAGAGAAAACCCTACAAGCCAGCAGCCACATTCCAGCTGCCAGAAGAGTTTTCAAGAGCAGAGTGCGATGCGCTGTTGTCCAGATACTCGGAAGTAATTCATCCTCTAGTTCCGCTTATAGATATCCACCACTTCTACTCTATGTATGGGAAGCCGTGGCCAAATGATAACCATTTTGTGCTTGAGTTGCTCACCATTCTTTATTCAGCTACAATAATCAGCAAAATGCCATCCCAGTCGCTGATAGACCTGATGTTCAAGTATCTGAACTCCGTGCCACCTTTACAAAAGTGTAAGTCACTGATAATTCTGCTTTTTGTTCAGCCTAAAAACCCGTTTGGATCGGTATCCACGGTGCTTAATATCTCAAATCTGCTTGAGCTACACAGAGACCCAGTTTCGCACCACCAGATACAAGATCCGGGACAGGTCCAGCTCCGCAGAACACTCTGGTGGCTGCTTGTCCAGCTGGATTGTTTTTCTGCCCTGAAAAACGATTTTCCACCTGCTACATCGAGAAATAGAGCGGACACAAAAATGCCAAGCGAAAATTGGTCCGCCGATGGAGTGTCAATTAATCCGAGCATAGCTCTACTTTGCGGCATCTCTCACTGGTGTATGTGTTGTAACGAGGTCTGGGAGCGAAAGTATAGCCTGCAACCGACAAGTTCGGGCCAAGCGGCAAAATTCAAGTCGGAAGTCGAGAACCTTGCTATCGCCTGCTCCGCTACAATCCAGAAATTAGCAAATCCCACATGTTCGCAAAACGACAATGACTTTATACAGCTTGCAATTGCCGTGATTGCTTCTTTGCCTGATAGGCTAAAACTCATTATCGAACTGGCAAGAGATAAAGTGGGATTGGTTGCATTTTATCGGACTGACCACTATCTAATACAATCTTTACTGATTCCTTCATATTCCAATTTTGCTTGGTATTCATTTTTTGAGCCACGTCAAATTAGCATCAACTTGTTCCGTTCGATCCTAAACCAGATCCGCTATCAGCGTAGCAGATCGTCGATTGTCTCGAGCGCCACTTTCAGATTATTGCAAAAAGCTATACAATGCAGCTCCCACCCACAGCTGAAAATCTTGTTCAATGAATTGTGGAGTCAATTTTTCGTTTCCCAACTAGGAAGCTTGCAAATCAACAAGCTTCAAGGGATGAAAAAAAACGTGACTGCCCTTAAACTCCGATACTTCGACCAAGAATTGCTAGCTATTACTAATCACTCAGGTGGATTCTTTTGACTTTGTGCGGCGAGGCGGCTTGCGCCACAGAAATTATCAGTCTATGAAAGTCATGTGGATGGTAGCCACATACTCTGTGGAGTAATATAAAAGCGGTGGCTGCTCTAATTCCAAACCAACATCAAAATGTCTTCTACTACTACCCTCAAGCTTCAGGCTATTCCAGTTGATAAGGAAATCGAGAATCTTATTAGATCTTCCAAGGAGATCGCAATTGGTCTCAATGCAAATGACACTCGTCACTTTGGACCTGATCCTGACGGATTGAAAATCCTTCCTGAAACTACCAGAAAGCGTCTTGTTGATGCTGGTATTGACATCTCTGAAGGCTACCCTTCGAGACCAGACAAGTCTCTTATTCCGGTCTACGTCGACGAGGCTGCTGCCATCCGCGATGACGACTACGAGTACATCGAGCGTGCCAAGAAAGCCGACCCTGAGAAGAAGGCTCTTCTTGGTGCTGCCAAGCAGGTGATTCACCTGACCAACCATATCGGTACCGAGATTGTTGGTCTGCAACTTGAGGACCTGACCGACCAGCAAAAAGACGAGCTGGCCTTGTTGGTTGCTGAGAGAGTTGTTGTCTTTTTCAGAGACCAAAAGCTTTCTCCTCAAAAGCAACTGGAGCTTGGTGAGTACTGGGGACGTGTTGAGAAGCACCCTCAAGCTTCCCAGGTGAACGGCTTGCCAGGTGTTTCTGTCATCTGGCAAGACTACTTCCAAAAGTCCCTTGGTGTTGGCCTGACTTTCAAGAACAACAACTTGGGTAACTTTGATGCTACCAAGAATGCCGTGAGAGGTACTCAGGTCTGGCACACTGACTTGGTGCATGAGAAGCGTCCAGCTGGACTGACTCACTTGCATTTGGATGCCATCCCTGAGTTCGGTGGTGACACCCTATGGGCATCTGGTTATGCTGCTTACGACAAGCTGTCTGAAGAGTTCAAGAAATTCCTTGACGGCAAGCAAGCTGTCTATGTTTCCGCCCACGGCTACTTGGACAGAAAAAACCCATTTGCTGGTCCAAAGAAGATTGAGAGAGTTCACCCAATTATCAGAACTCATCCAGCTACCGGTTGGAAGTCCTTGTTCGTGAACAGAGGAATGACCAAGAGAATAGTTGGTCTTTCTTCTGTGGAGTCTGACTTGATCTTGAACTACTTGTTTGAAGTCTTCGAGAAGAACGCAGACATCCAAGTCAGATTCAAGTGGACTCCTTCCAAGCCAGGCTACGGTACCTCTGCCATATGGGACAACAGAGTGTCTCAGCACAGATCTACTTGGGACCACGAAGGTAAAGAATCCCGTCACGGAACCAGAGTCACCTCATTGGCTGAGTTGCCATACTTTGACCCAGAGTCAAAGTCCCAGAGAGAGGCTCTTGGATTGCCATTGGACGAAAAGGATTTCTTCTAAGCTACGCACGTAGTGAAGTATGATTTATAACTTGAGAAAATTGAATGTAACCAATCCACCACACTAACTGAATTAGTAATACCTGCCAGGTGAGGCGCCTCTGATAAGGCAGTTTAGGCGGCCCATGGCGACTGCCACAGAGGTGGTTGCGTACAGATGAAGTTTTTGTCAAGCAGTGGTTCCTGTGGCTACCACTGTGGCTCACAGGCTTTGCGGCTCAGAAGCCATAACTAATTTTTCTTGCTACTAGATAAAGGGTGATTGATCTGTCTGTTGAGCCAGTATGCCCATCGAAAAAGACGACTTCATCACCACCAGCGAGTTTGACAGCGCCAGTTCTCAAAAGATTGACTTGTCTGTTGACAAGCCTCTCACCAGAAAGGACAAGATTCTGTCCCTTATTTGGGACGGCTGGAACAAAGACCCGAGGGAGCAACGCTTCTTGCTGAAGCTTGACTTCTTTCTAATGTCGAGCTCCATGCTGGGATACTTCATCAAGAATTTGAATCAGTCGAATGTCACCACCGCATACGTTAACGGTATGAAGGAATATTATACTATGGATAAAAATCAGTATAACTACATGATCACACTCTGGACCGTTGGATACACCGTTGGTGCCATTCCATCCAACATGATTCTGCACAGAGTTTCTGCCCGTTACTATCTGGGAGGACTGGAGCTTATTTGGGCTGCACTCACGCTTTTGATGGTGGCATGCGGGCCACACAGAATCAACGCTATCTACGCCTTGCGCTTTTTGATGGGATTCTTAGAGGCAGGTTACTTTCCGGGTCTGGAATATCTTCTTGGTTCGTGGTTCAGTCCTAGTGAGCTTTCGAAGAGATCGTCCTACTTTGCGTGCTCCGGTATAGCTGCAAGTATGGTTTCCGGACCTCTTCAGGAAGCCATCTTGAGAGGCTTTTCGGGCTCCAAGTTGGAGCCCTTTAAGTGGATGTTCGTCTTTGACGCTGTCATCTCGGTGCCGGTTGGAATATACACCATGTTCGTGGACCCTAACACTCCTTCCACGACAACTGCTTTTTACTTGAACGAGACAGACAAATTGGTGGCAGTGGAGAGACGCCGCAGGGTGAAGGCCGAGCTCAAAACCAGACACAAGTACAACTGGGCCCGACTCAAGGAGTTCTTTGGAACCTGGCACATCTACGTCTTTCCAGTTCTGTTCCTGTGCTACAACAACACCTGTGCTGCCATCAATCAGCCTACATTTACCACCTGGATGAAACAAGACCTCAAGCTGCCATCCAGCCAGTATAACACATACCCGTCCATCCTGTATGGTGCCGGTATCGCGATCACGCTCGTGTTCTCGCATGTCCACGATTACTTTGGTGGAACGTATAACTACATTTTGGTCGGGCTCTACTTTGTGTTAATGATCATTGGTAGTGCCATGCTGGCAGTGTGGGATATTGCACGTCCTGCTCACTGGGCAGCTTACTTCATCGTCGGTATACCGACCGCCTGGGGGCAGCCTCAAATTTTCTCGTGGGTCAACCGGCTGCTGTTTGGCAATGATATGAAGAGAAACTTCACAGTGGTGTGCACCAACACTCTGGCCTACGTGACGTCTGCTTGGGTGCCCATTCTGGTGTGGAACGCTCAGGATGCCCCAAGATACTCGATTGGCTTTAGATACAATGCCGCCCTGGCAGGTCTGGGACTTGTGATGACGGTTATTGCTTGGTTCCTCACCAGGAGAGACGCTAAGAGAAAAGCGTTGCTAGAGGCGCAGCAGAAGGAAGTTGAGGCTGGCCATATTGCCTCGTCAAGCTCTCTTTAGAAATACTATTCATCGCTATAGAGTTGACTGACTTAGATCGAGCGATATAAAAACAGATTTGCGCTATCTGATGTGCTGAAAACGTAATTGAAGGCAGTGCCCGAGGAGCTGCAATTGTCAGGTCAAAGCCGGACAACTGCTGACTAGGGTGGTGGCGTACGCTTCATCCAGTTGAGGATAGAATTAATAAGCCTGCAACGTAAGTGGCCGCCCACGGTTGTCGGTCATGCTCACGTGCAATTGCTTGTGCTTGAGGTACATAGCGCGCATGAACTTATGGAGCAATCGTGTCGCCCCGCCATGGCGCAACTGCTGCATCGCAGTTCTCATTCATACATATCACGTGACGTGAAAGATTACTGCGGGCGGTGGTAGCCACAGATCCATAGCCTGATTTGTGGAGAGCCACCGCACACATATATATGAAAGAGCTGGATTCTCGTTATCCAGCATGACAAACTCAATTAATAAAGTGGCGATCATCGGAGGAGGTGCTGGAGGACTTGTCACGTTGAACGAGTTTCTCCATACGTCGAAGTCAGGTAGATCCACAATCACAAGAGATGAGGAGCACCACGTACTACCAGACGAGCCTGCTTTTGAAGAGATTGTAGTTTTTGAGCAGAATGACTCTATTGGAGGAGTCTGGAACTATACCAAAAATGCGGACGAGGGCTTTCCCACAGATATTGAAAACTACTATACTCCTCTGGGGATCCGTCCACCCAGGGACCCTCCAACAGATCTGACAAACACGGACAGCACAGCGCCAGTGGAAGTAGAAGCCAAAAGGACTCATAGATGGAACACCAGCGGTGTTTATGACGGTCTGTACACGAATGTTCCGATCTCAGTCATGAGATTCTCCTCAGGTCCGCCGGTCAAAAGCGGTGTCGATTGCGATTTTCACCCGTTCGTGATGCACCATCATGTGTTGGATTATCTGAAGGATTTTGCCAAGAGTAACGATCTAGAGAAGTACATCAGATTCAACTCGTCGATCGAGCAGATGTACAAGGATGAGGCTTCTGGTAAGTGGGTTTTGACCGTCGTCAACACTGAGAACGGCGTGGAAAAATGGTATCAAGAAACGTTTGACGCAGTTGTCGTTGCTGTCGGCAAGTTCAACATTCCATATTTCCCTAAGATTCCCGGATTGCCTGAATACTCTAGTAGAAATGGCAATGTCAGACATGCCAAGAGCTACAGAAATGCCAGCGATTATAAAGATAAAAAGCTGTTGATAGTTGGAAGCAATGTGAGTGCCATTGACATGTTGCAATACCTTGTGCCTGTGTGCAAGGAGATACACGTAAGCATGAACGTTTCAAGGATTGAGGATTTCAATCTCGAGAAGAGTCCTGCCAAGAACTGGATAGAAGAAGTTCTCAAAAACCCGGACTTTGGCATCAAGCTCCATCCAAAAATACATCACTTTTCCCAGACTTATGTCGGGTTCCATGATGGAAAACAAGAACACTTTGATGAGGTGATTTTGGCCACAGGATACCACACCTACTATCCGTTTTTGAATGTGCCTCAGAACGAGGGAAAGGAATACGCAAAGATTCTTCCAAGCTCTGAAAAAGACAGGGAAGGACAACTGAATATTGTGAGGAACCTATACCTGTACACTTTTGCAGTTGGTGATCCCACATTATGCCATATAGGGCTTCCAATGACGCCTCTGTTCTTCCTGCTTTCTGAAGTTAGCGCAATAGCAATAGCTGGCGTGTGGACCAACGCCAAGAAACTTCCTCCGCCCGAGAAGCAAAGAGAGTGGATTGAACATTACGAGGATCTAAAAAGGAACGGTACCTCCTTACTAATGCCTGACTTTGCTCTGGATTTCTACAATGAGATTCATAGCTATGGCCCTAAAGGTAGATACAATTTTTTTGATACGAATGGCGGCGTCGACATAGCAGCCATTAAAAAGGCTTCCCGAGAGTACTTCTACAAAGTTATATCTGGAAAACTCCATCCAGAATGAGATGCAATGAAAAAGATATATAGAGGCAATACTTACAGTAGATAAAATATCATGGCCTTAGAAGAACTGTACTCCAATTTACTAGGTCGCAAAATTGTGGATCTTTATTATAATGGCGCTTTATCAGTACCGTTCGGGAAGAAATAGAGATAAGCGATATGCAATTTAATTATCTGAAAAATTACAATCTAACCGTACCAGTAGAATTTACAGCAAATGAAAATGCAAGCAACTCCATGAGCTCATGGATCAGTCTACTTTGGCAAATTGCTTGGAGTAGGAACTAAGCAACGGTAGCGAGCGGATCTGTCATTCCGCAACGACCGAGATTTCTGAGATTTCTGAGATCTCCTCAGATAGATCAGATGGAAATCCAGCCTCACAGTTTAACACTCGTGATTCTAAAAAAATGGATAGTACAACATAGTCACGCAGGGCAGCCGTGTACATTGCTACCGGATCACTTCTGAAGAACTCTGTTGTAAATGCCTCTCTGCGAGTTGTGGGTTTGTCGTTATATGGCCGGTTTTCCTAGGGAGACCATGTTCAGTACAGCAGCCCCGTGTCAGTCATAGAGCATTTAAATGATACGTTGTCATCCAAAGCTCGGCTTGTCTATTTCTCGCATTGATTTGTCTAGAGGTCTTGTTTCGACCATGTTGCGTGCATGTCTCAGACCAAACTCACTATCAATGATTTTTTCATATCCAATGTATCATCTAATGGTTTTGCGCAAAAAGCTTTTTGATCAATGTGAGAGGCACATGATATATAATTCTTTGTAGTCAGGAACGACGACGATTATCGTGCTTGTTTCGAGAAAATATTGCAATCTATCGCGCGATTCTAGCCCTAAGTTCAAGCTGAATTTCAAGAAAGGTATATGAAAATGAGTTTCAGCGGCGAAGTCCCACAATTTCATGCTCTTTAATGAGATTCAGGCTGTAGGAAACGGCAACCTAGAAAGATCAGAAAGTCTTACCCTTCAGAAGCCATAAATTTGCAAAAACATTATCTCGGCAAACTGCTTCCATGAAGCATATCCAGTGGTGTGTGGAGGTTTTATAACTATAAACTCAGTTGAATTGAGGCTTGTATAGTTTAGTGAGTGCAATCGATCTGGAAATTGCTCATTTTAATATCAGGATCTGATTACGTAGCTGAGTGGTTTAGCTTTTAGTTACACCTGTCGGAGAGATAGCTTATTTCATTTCAGGTATGGTTTGACATTCGGTAGGTAGCGTTACATAGGGCAGGTACGTGGGATGTAGGTTTAGTGAAGACATTCAGTGTTCAAAATACCTCGAGATCACACATGTACTTAATGTACGGGCTGCAAACTAAAAAACTTACCAGAGATTTGGGAGGATGTCATTATGGGAAGGAACCATTGGAAAGACCCAAGTTTTGCACTTCAGCAATAAAAGTGAAAAAACTGCCTTCCAGGATTCTTGCTTTTCAATCACTTCTAATGGAAAAGCCAGACTAAGACTTTGACCACTATTGAATCTAACAACAGATTATGCATGCTGCTTTTCAAAGTTAGAGACTTGTTGCAGCGCGGGGAAAGCACAACATGTTTATTGTCGTGCTGAGCGTTTTCGATGTACTGAAGGCATTTACTTGAGACCCATTAATTCCTAAATTTGAGCGTATTTGATGTGGGTGAGATTCTAACTAAATTACATTAGAAAGAAAGATCCAGCTACTCTCACTAAAAGATTCAGGCATACTGCAAACATATTTCGGTTAAACATTGCTTCTCTCAGACTAAGCGATGACAATTATGGTGTGAGGGGAACATAATTGTTCAGATCTGTCCTGCTTTATTTCCGTTACTGCGCTTGCTGAAACCTTATAATTTGCCGCCTCTGGAGCAATTGGTCGATTAATTGCAGAAGAAGCTCGTCACAAAGGCGCCCATGTTATTCTGCCACCATCTTGTAATATTGCGAGGGTACCTTTGGTAAGTTGCAATTGAGTCCTTCAGAAGATTTGTATCCCTCTGACATTGCAACAGCAATAGTTATCAAAGGCATAGAAACAAGGAACATTGGGCTACTCTCAAACATTTCGTATGTAGCAATCATGAGGATAAGAAACTCCGTAGACGTCTCAGATCCAGCATTGAGAGCGGTTTATTTGCTACCATTTCAATTTGCAATCGAGGCCAGTCCCAAATGTGTTATGCGCTCATACAAGAAGGTGATGCCAGAGCATGTTTCGCAGTCAAAAAAGCTTGTTAATGACACGTTTTGGGCGGAATGAGAATGGAACGGTCTTGCCATGTCTGACTGGTTTGGAGTGTATTCCATAAAGGGTGCTTTGGACCTTGGGATGGATCTTTAGTATCCCGGGTATCCTCCCATGCGCAGACAGGATGTTTTGATGAATGCGATGTTTTAAAGAGAAATTAATATAGACCTTATTGAGGATCGTGTCAGAAACGTTTTGAAGCTTGTTCAACATGCTTTAATGTGCAGTATTCCGCCAAATGCCTAGGAGGATTCTGAAAACAACGCTCCGCAGACCTCTGCCTTGTTAAGAAAAGCTTCTGAAGCCATCGTATTGCTGAAAGACGAGAACTCAATTCTGCAAATCAAGCGTTTGGATCGCGACAACTCTCACTTTTGAGACATCGGATTTAGTAGGCTCAAATTGCGGTGATCGCTTACGGTCATTATTGGGGAAAAGGTTACACATCAGAACAGAATCAAGAAAGCCATGTAGCTTGCGAAAACAGTTCACAAAATGACTCTTTATATTGGAACCTCAAATGGGTTGGATGGCGAGAGTGTCGATTAAACAAATATGTACTTGCCCAGGTCTCAAGGAATTCTTAATTGATGAAACCTTGAAGGGTTAACAGAAATTACATCCTTGTGAACTTATCAGGCACTTCTGTGACACTACCATGGATTGTTCAAATTCCAGCTGCTGTTCATGGTTGGCTCAATGGTCTGGAGTCTGGAAATGATATGATTGACGCTATCTATGGGGATGTAAACGCATCTGGTAAGCTTTCTCTATCTTCGCCAAAGCAGTGCGAGGACAACCCATCATTCATGACTTTCAAACCTGACAAGGGAAAAGACGGTTATGGAGAGGATGTCGTTGTTGGGTGCCGTTATTACGAAGAAGTTTGTCGCTAACCTCTTTTTGGATTTCGCTACGAAGTATCCTTCACAACGTTCAAGGTTGATACCCTGGAGGTAAAGATAGCAGCGGGAAACTTATTGTGCTCCTTGAAGACAGAGAATCCTGGAAAGTTTGGGAGTGTTGAAGTTGTGCAGTTGTGAATCACTCCCCCATCGACGACAACTACTGTATTTTGCCCATTCAAGGAGCTCAAAGGCTGCCAGAAGGAACTCTTAAGGCCTGATCAAACAATCACGACTACCATTCCCGTCGATATCAGGTATGCTTGCTCTTACTTTGATGTTCAAAGGCATAAATAGTCGATTGAAAAAGGAGAATATGGAGTATTTATCGGAAACTACTCTGATGCTATGGATGCTCTAATTGGAAAGTTTGTTCTTCAAGCCTTTGCTCTAAGGCGACTTGTAGGGTGAACGCTTAACAGGCATGAATCTCGGTTTTTTCTTGCTTACATCGATTACAAGTCTTCACTTAAGGCTTCGTTAGTTTCCGTGTCATTTTCAACCGAGGACAATTTTAATATTGCAGCTCCAACAACAGGCGTTGATTCTGTCTATCAACGTGCTCTGGAAAGGATAAGCACAGTGACACTTATGCAATGCTTCATGATGACGTCAAAGGTATGTTGCGTTGCATGATATGTTATTTAATCAGCTTGCCGAAATGGACATTAGACGAGCCAGATGGCGGCTCTCAGAAGCACTTGAAAAGGTATCGATGCTATTAATCGTGTGATTGGGCGGAAAAAGCTGTCTGCACATGACAGTCGCCACCTAAGACGACAAACTTCGTGGTAGTGCAAACAATACTGGGATTATGTCGAAAGAGGTTGACAATGAAGGTGCACTCGCAGAATTACCTGGCGCTCAAACACTTCCCTTTCATAGGCCTTGTTGTAGCCAGTCAGACGATTTCTTCTCATGACCTGGCAAGCGTGTTGATGCTTGTGTAGAAAAGGAAAGTAAGGCGGGTATCCACAGCTTATTCTCATGATGGGGATCTTAGAGGTGTCAGTTCCTATTTACGAACAAGGTACTTCTTCACAGGGCCTGATTTGTAGGATTTTCAATATTCGACCAGGTGAAGTTAGTACAGAACGACTCAAAAGCAGAGTCACGTAACCTACACCTTCTGTCGTGACATGGTTTCAATAAAAGCTACATCAACCTTATCAATAAGATCTTTTTTTTTCTATCTGCCAAGATCTTGCTGTCATAGAGAGTCGTGGTTTTCTTTTTTATTGTCTGATTTTTGAACGTGCGACCAGCCTCTGATAAGGAGATGCCAAGACAGTCAAATAACATCTTTCCGTATTCCTCATATAAATCAAAAGCTCGCAATGGAGGCTAACAGCAGCCCCAAAAGTAACGACTCTATGCGACGAACCCACGTATGGCAAACAACGTGTCCAAATGCTTGAACCACCTTCACATTGTAGAATGGATTGTCAAAAAGCAGCTTATTATTTATGACGATCCGGAGAAAATATTCGGAACAAGCTGAAGATCTGGTTGGCTGGGCGGTAGTAGTGGAATCACAGACGAGATAAGCCTTGACTGAAATGCATCAGACATCTGAGAATGCCGAACAGCCAAAAAGTCGTTTTATTGTTGAATATGCAAACTTTCTCCTTCCCTTTCCTAAAATGTAAGTCAAACGGCATCCGTCAGAAAATCTTCAGATAAGTGAAAAAAATGTCCTCCAGTATTCTCTATGGATCGTCTAAGAAGACTTGACCAGTTGATCTCTATCAGAGACGACTCAGAGAATGACCCGGATCAGTTACGTTCTAACCATGATTTGAAGCCTACTCCTCCAAAGGAGAGGACTTGGGAGATGTACAACTACTTCATCGTCTGGTTTCAAAATTCTCTCACAGTCACAGCATGGAACACAGGCCCCTCCTTGGTGTTGTCGACGGGACTCGATTATCGCCAGGTCATTTACGCTTCTCTGATTGCCAGCTTCTGGGCTGCTCTGATGGTCACGGCCAGTGCCTGGCCCGGAGCATCCTACCACATAGGATACCCTGTTCTGGCCAGAAGTGTGTTTGGTCCTAGACTTGCAAAGTTCTTTGTTCTGGCCCGTATGTTTGTGGCTGCTATGTGGTTCAGTGTGAATACTTACAACGGTGCGATGTGTTTTGTTGTCTGCTTCCGCTGTGTTTTCGGCCACCGCTTTGTGAACCTCCACAACGGTCTCCCTGCAAGCGCAGATATCACCACTGCCCAAATGGTCGTCTTCTTTGTCTTCTGGGTGGGCGAATTCTCTCTTATGTTTTTGCATCCACGTCAAATCAGATGGTTTTTCACCGTGAAGGGGATTTTGAGTCCCATCGCATGTTTTGGAATTTTCATTTTCTGCATGGTGAAGGCAGGCGGAGCTGGAAACTTTGACATCGAAAAAGGAACCCTCAACACGTCAACTGGAAACAAGTGGATGTATGTGTTTAATTCTGTCGCTGGTGCACTTTCTCCGATGATTGTGAATCAGCCAGATATTGCTCGTTATTCTAAAAAAAAATCCCATGTGTTAATTCCTCAGGCTGTTGGTGTGATCCTCACAACCATGATCGTTCTGATCTTGGGAATGGCCTGCAACTCTGCATTGAAAAAAGTTTACGGGCAATCTTACTGGAGTATTTGGGATATGTTTGACGCAATATTAGATCACGAGTGGTCAGCGAAAACTCGTACTGCCATCTTCCTGTGCGCTTTGGTGTTCTCGCTTTCCGCTGCTGGTACTAACGTGTTCGCCAATTCCATTCCATTTGCTGCAGACATTACCTTCTTAGTTCCTAGATACTTCACCATTGTCAGGGGGCAAGTTTTCATCGGATTGCTAACATGGGCTCTGGTTCCATGGAAAACAGTCAACTCCGCTCAGACGCTCTTAAACTTTCTGAGTTCGTATTCCATCTTCATGGGTCCGCTTCTGGGATGCATTCTCTCAGACTTTTTTGTGCTTAGAAGGGGCAACTTGCACGTTCCTTCTCTTTATTTGGCTAAGCCAGGATCTTTGTACTGGAAATGGCACGGTTGCAACATGTGGGGATTATTTGCATGGATCATTTCTCCAGTGATTGCTCTTCCTGGATTTGTCCGACTATATCACCCAAACATTCTGAATCAGACAGTGAGCGATATCTTCAACTGTGGTTGGCTGTATACTTTCCTCATCGGGTTCACAGCATACACCATTCTTGGCCTTTTTTTCAAGCCAAAAATATATCCAGACAACCATGCTGATACGCCAACCACCTTTGAATACATGGTGCCATATAATGGTTTCTTTGAGGACGATGCTCCTATAAACGGTGTCGGCAATCCTGCGGTCATATCTTCCGATGCAAGCGATATGGAGAGCGGCAGAGTGGAAGAAATCAAGAACGACCAGATCCTTCTGCGCGAGAAAACCATCGACTAGAATCTCTCTTTCTCAGTCCCCTTTTAACGTAGATCTCCGTATATGGTCTAGTGAACGAGATTTTTTTTATCTCGCTTTGAATCGCTGCGTGCTGTGCACGTCTTTTCCTGGTTTAGGTGCTATTATTTAGTTTTCAACCGTAATGTATGTATTAGGTAATCAAATGTGGGAGTTCATTTTTGTTTATCTTGAGTAAACTGCCCCCGTCTATGAGCGTAACTTATCGAGATATTGTCGGAGTTGATAAGAAACGACAGCTAGTGGATTTGGACTACGCAAGAACGGTGTGCGGTAAACCTGGCTTTTATGTATATGATGAGAAGTTTCATTCTATATTGGGCTTGTCTCCAACTTTGACCTGTCTCGAGACGCGGGATTATCGATTTGCACATGAAGCAGGAGTTTATCACAAGGAGACGAATTCCATATACTTTACTTCAAATTATAGCTCTGGCAATTCCATCAAGCTTTACAGAGTCCACTGTGAATCTTACAAGGTGGAGGAACTAGATCATTACGAAGTGATTCAAGCAAATGGTGCTTGCCAGCACAAAGGCAACATCCTCTATTGTGCTCAAGGCGACCATACACACCCCTCATCACTGATGGAAGTCAACCCAATCACAGGCGAGACTGAAACACTTATCAATAATTTCTATGGAAGAGAATTCTCTTCGATAAATGACGTTGTGGTGCATCACGAAACCGGTGATATATGGTTTACCGATCCGACTTATGGATTTGAGCAGGGATTTAGAAAAGAGCCTGCCCTTCCAAATCAAGTGTACAGATTCAATCCTGAGACTGGAGAACTCTGCGTGGTTGCAGATCAATTTGATATGTGCAACGGTCTCTGTTTTAGTCATGATTATACGAAAATGTATGTTACCGACACTGGAGCAGTCAAGATGAATAAAGAAGCAGGGTCTTTTATGCACAACCCCCAACACCCAAGCGTGATTTATGAATATGACGTTGTTGATCAAAGACGACTATTTAACAAGCGCGTCTTTGCATTCTGTGATGATGGAATTCCAGATGGCATCAAATGTGATATCCATGGAAACGTCTACTCAGGTTGTGGGCATGGTATTCATGTTTGGAATCCCGATGGGGTTCTCTTAGGAAAAATCATAACTGGAGAGGTCTGTGCTAACTTCTGTTTTTCTGCAAGCGGGATGTGGATATTTTCAGAATTCCACTTGTTTCTTTGCCACCTGGATGCCAAAGGGGCCCTAGTGAATATAGAGTGCTACTGATTGCAGAGATTTACTTATTTTTCCTCCAAGCTCGATGATGATTGCATTTCACATTCTGTCTTATGATGACCTTAAGCTGCAAGTGCTGATCCGGAAAAAGATATTTGCTCCAAAAGTTTTTGCATCTCCGCTTTGCCCTCTTCGGCTAATTGGTGAATCCCATGAGCTGAGGTCAAGGAATCATTGAGGCCCAAGCTACATATATTTGCAATGTCAGAGAATATAGACAGTCATGATGGTTGAACTCGACATTGCTGGAAACTAATTCGCTCCCTTTATCTGTCTATACTACAAGCTCGTGATTGCTTAATGAAAAGTGACCATTTCCTAAACTTGTATGCCTGATTAATTCAGGATCTTGATCTCAAGACTAGTCCGACACAATGAATTGTCCATAAGCTGCTCATTGTTAGAACGATTCTCAATCACCGAACTTGCAATACAAGGTGACAGCATTCCTATATGCTACCAACCGACTTCGGCCGTAGACGATTGAGATGACTAAGTTAGACTGAAAATTTCCAAACTCCATATCAACGATAAAGGTCGCTTGCAATAAATACTGCATATCGGATGTTACATTGGCGAAAAGGTTTTCCGCCATCAATGGCAACGTTTTAGAACGAATTTAATGGGACTCTTCAGGACGATCATATGTGAACATTCTACAGACATGACTTATTTTTCCTTGCCACCACAACCAAAAATACACTCAAAGCATGCCAGATACTTGCCACATAGCTTTATATCACCGGCAACAAATATTTGTGTTTATAGGCCTCATAGTGAGATATCTATAACTTCCTGTGTCATGCTCATTCCTTGAAGATGCCTCTTTCTCAGTGCAAATGATGGTTGTGCAAGGATTTATGAGGCGTGATTACAGAGTTGTTAAAGGCAACGTTTGATAGATTGCATGATGAAAGGGCTTCAAAGTTATTTTAACTCTCGATTGATACCTGCTTCTTCGAGTGTGTATTAGATGTCTACAGAACGTTTTGGAAATCGGGTTGATAGTAGAAACTTCTCACTCATGCAAAACCAGTACAAGTTGACGTACCGCAAATAAGTACCAAAGCATTAACTGGATTCAAGTTCGCTCAAGCGATCAGCATCGTACCGCAGGACCGATTCGAGCAGAACTTTGAATCCTAGGAATATTTCTTCCGGCTTGGTATATTCCCGGGGGTTATGACTGATGCCATTCTTGCTAGGTACAAATATCATGGCAGTTGGAATGACTTGGTTAGTATTGCAGGAATCGTGGCCTGCACCACTGACAATATTGTGAGTTGAGTTCTCCCCAACAATGCTCGAAGCAGAATCCTTGATGATTCCAAGCATTTTAGTATCAAAATGCGAAGCAGGGGAGTGGATAAGCAGGTTAGTGGAGTATTTTAGCGGTGCACCATTTCCTGCTGTATTTTTGGAAGCTTGCTCAATTATATCAAAAACTTCTAATTCCATCGCCTTGTGCACACTGTCTTCACAATGTCTAAAATCGATCACAAAGGAAACTTTTTCGGGGATAACATTGACAACATCTGGCTCTACTGAGATTTTGCCGACTGTGGCAAGTCCCCCATGGCTTTTGGCCATTTCATTAAGCTTCCAGATCACCTGTGAAGCTGCAAGCAATGAGTCTTGACGATACTCCAATGGAGTGGTTCCAGTATGTTGCGCGGTACCTTCAAAAGTCACCTCAATCCACGAAAATGCCTGAGCTCCTGTGACCACACCAATTGTTTTGTTTAAAGCCTCGAGAATAGGCCCCTGTTCAATATGAATTTCAAAGTGACATTTCAAAGGATTGGAATTATGACTGCATTCAATTTCACCAAGATATCCAATTCGCTTTAGTTCATCCTTAACAGTGATGCGGCTGTCAAAGACATCTTGTAGCTTGTAAACGGCTTCTTTCTTAGTGAGACCAGCCCAAACAGATGAGGCCATCATACTCATCGGAAAACGTGCACCTTCTTCATTGCACCAGTTGACAAGAGTGATGGGGAAATTTGGAACATAGTTGTTACTCTTTAATGTTCTCAAAACTTGCAAACCCGAAAGAACACCGTAAATACCATCGTACCTTCCTCCGGTCGGCTGCGTATCCAGATGAGACCCAATACCGGTAGCAAGATGATCATTGTGTTTTCCAGGAAAGGTCGCAAAAATATTACCGACGTTGTCAACTTTTATAGTGCATCCAAGTGACTTGGTCTCAGTGATGAACCAATCTTTTATTTTCTTGTCAAGATCCGTCAAAGCAAGTCTACAAACCCCGGTTTCTGTCGGATCATCTCCCCAAACTCCATGTGCTCCAAACTGCTGAGCGGTGGAGTGTATGGTTTCTATGAGCTCTGACTCTTGGATCTTGAAGTTTCCGGAAATCATTTTGAAGACAAATTACGCTGAAAATTACCGATCATCTAATCCTTCTTATATATATACGGTGCTCTGCATTGTTAGACCTGATAAGAAACTTGCGATAGATAAATATTAGTCGGACACGACCATCCCAAAAAAGAAAATAATCTCGGAGAAAGATTGTCGGAAACGGCTCGAGCGGCGGGGGCTATAGAAATGTATTTCGAAGATGATCCTTATCGAGAAGGACATCCCATCCTGGGCCAGGATCAGTGTCGCTACCCCAGGTGGTGAAAAGAAAGCGCATGACACTCATCAGACCACTGGATTTCTTCATGACTCCAAAAGTCCTTATCCGTTCTATCAAATAGAGTCTTTGGTCCTCCTTGATTACTGCAGAACCTGCAACAGCGAAAGGCCACGAGCACAGTCCAGATGACTGAGCATGTGGACTCAACTTTCGTAAGTTTAAAAAGAAATTGCCAATCTCCTCCTGTATTTCAGGAGCGTCAGGTCGTAGTTTTGGGTTGAGAAGCTTGGATAACATGATGGTGCAAGCCTTTGTCACAATATTGCCTATCAAACAGCTCTCCATTAGTCGCCTCTGAACAAAGTCAGATTCATGAAACCGTACGTTTTCCGGAAGTACTGGAGGGAGGTAGTACTTTGACAGAGTCAAGAGTTTTTCTGCCACCATTTTATTATTGGCATTCAAGGGAAAAAACAAAGATAGCCAGTTTGTTTTTGCTGCGAGTTCGAATGCAGACAGCGCTGCGCCCATAATGGGATTGTTCATCCACCAAGCAGGACAATGATATATTGGAGGCAGAAGATACGGTTTGAGCTCGGCGTAGACCTGGAAAGGTGACTTGATGTAGTCGACAACAGAGGCATCACATGCAAACAATGCAACTGAGTAATTATACAGAAAGCTTTCTAGGATAGTCCTTTCTAAATTAGACACATCTCCTTCTCGAAGCATGTATGAGAGCTCGTCTGTCCAGTAAGTAACATCGTTGATCTTATGATCTTTTTTAACCATGGGAAGTATTTTGACATCGATTTGGTTGAGGGCTAAAGCATCTAGTAATTGATTGAAAGACTCAAAAGATATACTCTTCTTAAGCAGCCAGCACTCTATGATTTGCAAAGAGGCTATTAGGAAAAAAGCGTTTCTGGCTGTGTTTTCACATTGATATTTCTCTCGAAGACATAAAGTGACCATGCAAATAAGCAGCCAGTCCTCGTTACCGATTACGGAATTCTCGCTCAAAAACCACCGCAATTCTTTCATGGATTGCAAGAACTTCTGCTCGGCAAACTCACGGTATTCAGGCCGCTTCCAAGACAGGTATGTCGCACCGCATGCATAAAAAACATGTCTCAAAGTCGGATTGTCAAGACCGCGGGGAATGACAACCGATGAAGGCTGCAAGTTCTCGTGAGCTAGTTGAGGCGATATGGCAACCATGAAACCCTTTACAAAGGCATCGTACAAAAGTGCGTCACTAGGGGAAAGGTCGACCCCCAACATCCATGAGGAGTATCCACCGAGATGCCATCCCAAAGTTTGGAGATATTTTCTGAAAAGTGCATCTTCTCTGGCCTCCTTGGTTGGTTCAAGCTCTAGATCAGCATCTTCAGAGAGTAACGTGATTTTCCTGCGCAAGTTGATGGAATTGGGTTCCACAAACCGGATTGGTCTGTGGGCCAACTTGTGAAGCTTGAAATTTTTTGGAATGGCTCGTACCCCGTAGACGCATTCATAAGACGATCGCAGGCAGCGTCCGCAGGCAGGTTTTAAAAGATCGCATTTAATTTTGCGTTTGCGACCTGCAGGGTTAGTGATCTACTTGCCTAAACTTACAGCAAAGGCATCCCTGTCTCCTGGGATTGGCCATTGGATCTCAAGAATTAAGATCGTCACGACCCAAAAAATTTAGAACTGTCTTCAGATTATATAATCTACTTATGATAAGAAGTCATGGATTTTAGAACACCCTCCGACAGCTGGACCTGAAGTTCGTAATCGCTGCAAAAAGATGCATAAAGGTTGGAAGAAGTGGCAGTGGCCCTGTAGGTAAAGGACGCCTCTTCGTCAAGGATGACAATTCTGTCATAAAGTCCCGAAGCGTAGACAGAGTCTGTCTTGACCTGGGTTTCACATACTTTATCCATCAGGCGCAGCAAAAAGCAGGCTTCGCCAACATTATACCCAGCAGATATGAGCCCATGATTCTGTAAGATCATGGCTCTATTGGTAGGCCCAAAAGCCTTGGCGATTTTTTCTCCTTCTTCCGTTTCCACTGCCACGCCGCCGAAGTTTCGGTAAACATCGTGGTTATTATAGAAAATACATGCGTCTTGGCTTAACATGTCTAGCTTTCGTCCTAGTGCAGAAAACGCTTTTCCCCAGACAGAATGGACATGGCATGCCACGTTTAAGTCTGGCCGCGCCTTGTGTACAGCAGAGAGAATTTTGAAGCCAGCACGATTAATCGGGGCCTTGTTGCCGTCAACATAGTTACCGTGCTCGTCAACCCTCACCATATCTTCAACAGTAAGAGTTGAAAAATGGACTCCAAGTGGAATTATCCAAAACGTTTTTGGCTCGATCGGATCCCTAACAGATAATGGCTTGCCGGACCTTCATTGAAGCCTTTGCTCGCAAAAATCCCAAAGGCACCAGCCATTTGATTTAGCAACCACCCTCTCTTGATGTACGGATATTTGATATTTGGTATGCGGTACTGATAATCAAAGTCCCCCATGGCAATGGTGGTCGAATCCTCAGATATTTGGAATTGAAGTGAAGCAGATTCCGATGAGCTCTTCGTGGTCTCGACAGTGATAGTCATTCTGAGGTCCAATTATGACCATCTGCAGTTTAAGAAGGTATTTATGTACTTCTAATGAGATAGCGAAAGGCTCAGGCTTAAATTGATTGATAAGTTGTTTAACCCATTCACATATATCAAGTTCTCCGATATTTATTTCTCTTTTCAATATCCGGTTTGAAAATAGCCAAATTTCATGCACCTCGGATAAGATGGAATGACAATCCAAGTTCACATGTTTTTGTTCTTTCAGGTACTAGCTTTGCAATTTACTGGTGGCGATGAGGTACTCTGATAAAGACTGGACGACCACTAAACTCTCGAGATGCAATTGAATGAGGAGCTTTACATAGATTTCATATGATATCACCGGATACTTTTGGGCTGGCTTCATTTGCTTGTCGTTCGCAACCCGTTCGAGATCTACAAGTCATCCGGATTGTGTCAAAAGCACTTCAAGGCCTCTCATAGTGTAGACTATGTTTTTCTTCACTAGCCCACGACAAAAGGGTGCTCATTCTTTGATGCAGTTCATCATAGTTGAAGCAATACATCGAACCTGTTCTAGCCTTCGCAGTGTAAAACCACGTCTCAAATTTTCAAGTGTTATTGCCAAGTAAGTTCAGCAGAAGATGTAATCTCTTGCACAAAGTCTAGGGCCTGAGAACTCATTCTGTTGCAACTCATTATCAGAAAAATGTCTTGACGAAACGAATATCCTCGAAAGTTTTTGACTGCAAGGCAGTAACTTTTTGATTGATTGTGAAATGCTAGACACTCTAAAGTGAACTAAATGGTTTGAAAATAAGACATTAAAGGTAATAGGTTGAAATATGGAGAAGTCGATCAGAGGAAATACACAACGAAGCTTGGCTTCCAAAAAAAGGGATCTGAGTCAAGAAGAGAACTACTTTGTCCAAAATATTCACCGCACTCGAGGTTGACGGCTCAGAGCCTGGTTGACCTGTTTCCAAATCTTATAAGCGGGAAAATACGTATTTAGCAACGCGGTGACTAATTCTGTGCCTTTTCAAAAGGACTGACGAAAAGATTACTCCCAAGAGGCTACTTGTAGACGGTCTGTCTAGATCAGATACGCAAAATAGAAATGCAATTACGTTTAGCAAAACTTGAGAAGTCTCGAACTTTGATATGTGGTCTTCTGAATTTGTCAATTGTGTTACAGCTTCCCAAATCCAATAAGGCATACCCGAGTACCAATTCGAAAGCCCTCAGTTTTGGAAAGGAGCCGATCATCCATCTAGATTATCCTTTTGAGGTGATGATCAGTGTAACATATTCTTAGTTATGGTGCTTGGCTCAGTGCTTGACGAAAAATCTCGCGTCTATTCTTTACAATGATTGGGTTTTGGTAGTGGTAATCGTGAAGTACGTGCATGCTGATACTTGGAGTCCGTGTGCTGGGAATGCAATCATGTATTATAGCGACTGGAAATCGGTCTGATCAGCAATCATGGTTTTTTTTTTGGTTTTTTTTTTTTTTTGGGTGTCTGTCATATTCGGCGAAAAGAAAAGCGGTTTCTGCACTGATGCCAAACATTGGAACTCAGCTAGCAGGAATAGCTGGAAGTTACATTTATTGCATCGATAATGCTTCAAAGTACCTTAACAGAAACCGGCTGATTAACGGACTATCATATTTACACATCACTTTTCGCACTAACAAACGCTAGTACATCAGCAGAAATAATAAATAAGGTGGAATAGGATGTCCAAATTCAAATAGGAGGAGTATTTGGCTACTCATAGAAATGCCGGAAATCGGAGAGCGGATTACCTATTATGGTGTACTAAATATGTAGAGATCCTAGATAGGCAAATTGAAAATGATATCTGATCACGTGGCATCAGCTGACTGGGGCACAAATTTATTATCGCTTTGCATATTACAACAGATCTCTTGTCACGACTAAAAATAGGCATGGTTAGCACAGGCTTAGTGATAACTGCATGCCTATGCAGTCATGTTGCATAAAGTGTCCAATGTGATTGTTGAAGGATCGGGAGTTCTGAGGTTGGCTAGAATTGAGTACGAAAACTAGCTAAGGGATTGAAAGATTGCTACGGCAAGCGAAATGCTCAAAATGAGCTCCGAAACTCCATCTCATCTGACTTATTCAATCGAAAAGGCTTGTAAAACCTTTTCCCAAATCATCGGGCACCGGAATTGTCTTTTTATAATCATCTGCTAAGGAGCAAAGGATTCAATATCCCAGCTATACTCGATGGGAAAAGGAGACATACAAAGAAAGCTTAGAGTAAATTGACGGTGGTTCCTTATCGAATCCATAGAAGAAAGTTACACTTTCAGGTAGTTACAAAAGTCCGGCATCTCACTCCTTACAAAGCGGTGGAATCAAGCTCACGAAGTCTACAGGCGAACAATTGAAGGGCCTTGCACGACTAGCTTCCGAGCGAGCTGCTGTTTAATTCAGGAGCCACAATGACCTGGACAACAGAAAATAAATTAAATTGACCTCATGCACCTGAGAGCTCCACTCCACGTCCACCATCAAAGTGGGATTATTTCCGATCATTGTTCTTGAGTGAATACCGTCTACAAAGACAAAATATCAAGTCGGAGATCTGAGACCTCAAGTTTGGCATTCAGCTGTTCCCTACGAAATAACTGGTGCTGCAATTTCCACGTTAAGATTTGATGTTTTGCTGTGCTTAGAAAATAGAGAGCCTATCGGAAAAGGTACCCTTTTTGCCGATAGGTACTTGATCTATGAGTTCTTCGGTGCCAAATTCCGGGCTTTTCAGGGAGGTCTTTCTGCTGGCAATCGTGGATCTCGGGAAAGCTGCTGTCGTTGCGGAATCAAGCTACCAAGCTGAAAGAGCTCCTATTGCAACTGTTCACCCGTTGATAAGAACCAATCTCAAAATCGGCTTAGAGCCCTTCTATGTTACTGAAAAAGAACTTCAGCACTGAAATTGTGGTCTCTAACAGTGTTTAAGCAACGACCATTCTTCGGCACTTGTTTGATCATATATGGAGATCTCTGCAATACCAATGTAGGGTGAACTGGAATGAAAACTCCGTTCCAACATGGGATATTCGTTATCATTTCCATACTTGTATCTAAGAGTACTATTGAAAACAAGACATATTACTAGAGTCATTGCACAAGCCCAAACGCCATACTTTAATCCGGACTCGAAGCTTTACAGTGAAGCTACCTTGGAAGTCTATAGTTTTTCACAATTATTTAATAACGAGCTCTGGTGAAATCTCGACTGACTCTGGAATTGCAGTTCCGTTCTTCAGTGTGTATTGTCAAATACGTGTAGGATCCTGATGGTTCTTTCAATAGATACTTTGTCAAATCAAAGTGCAAAGTTCCAATGGCGATGGTAGCAGCATTGAACTCATCCCTCCATAACGAGCTTTTTAAGCTGCTCCTACTTGCCAGCACTAGATATACGTTGCATATGACATCCTTTATGTGCGTCTAGTCTTGATGTACCCTTTATCCCACTCAATCAGTACATTTTCTTTTAGCAACCTGGTAAAATACGATCCACTTCCTAATGCAAGCAGCTGAGTAATTGCTGGACACATCGATCTCCGGGACTTCTTTGGATTCGATAGACCACGATAAGATGTTTTTCTCCACTTCTGCCTGTTTTTGATAACAAAAGGAAATCCATCCACGTGAATGTATATCTCAGATTGTCCAAAAATAATAATCCCGCTTTTAGTTTTGGATTGAAAAGCCCCCTGTGGCTGTCATATGGGCACTTTTGACTAAGATCTGCGGGAAGACGACGTATGTCTCCCAGCTTTTCATCTTCCGTAACCTCTGCCAGCTTTTTTGTAGTAGGAAGAAGCTGTGTGTAGATGCCAAGGACAACTAAGGGTCTCACTTGGTAAAACATTTTGCAGCTGGATTGCCTGCTGATGATCTATTGTACATGTATTCTCCACCAAGACGTATTTTCCAGCTTGTAGAGCTTACTTCGCTAGTTTACAGTGGAACGTATTTGAAACAATGTGTACACAATGTCATTCTGGTCGTCCTCTAAACACTTTTGGTAACAATTATAGAGTGCTGGCTGTTTGTCTGTACCATTTGGTAAGCTATCAAACTGCTCAGCTTTGGATGGTGAATTGGTCAAAACAACAGTTCTCAATTGATGTACCACTCGCTGTTCTCATGAATTGAGTCCTAATGGTAGCTCGGGAACGGAAATGGCCACCCAGTTTCCCAAAAATATTTGCTTATCTTTCTGAGGAGTCAGGGGAATGGAACATTGGCTTATTCCAGAAACAGTGATTTATTGTTCCTAGACACTTTTGCTGTATAAATGGATGGAACCTTTACAATCTCGGGGATCGTTAAATTTTGGCAGTTTCTGGAACCAATCACCCACCGTAAGACCCCTATAGACCTGTGGACTACAACGAAGTTCTCACATATGCTTGCACTCTTCTGCTCAAAAGCAAAAATATCCAATAATTAATTTCAAGAACTTCAGGCTTATCTTAATTATTGCTCAATTTGGCAACTAAGTGGAACAGCGTAACTAAAATTTTGAATTGGTTTAGTTGTCCAGCTCGACAATATAACGCTCTGCTTGGGCACCTTTGTTTTTCAAGAGATTGAGTGCATCAATAACTGATTGTATACCACCTCTAAACTCTTTGGTCCTGACAGCCTTGATTTTACCCGCTTCAAGAAGTTTTGATGTCTCTCTCACAATCTGGTGGCCGAACTCAACATCCTCATGGAATCTTTTTATTCTTACTTCTCGTTTCTCAACCAGATCTGATCCTGGCTCGTTAGATGAGACAATGGAAGAAAACTTAGCTTTTAATCTTTGGTCATTGACTTCAGATAGTATTCGAACCAGATTCTCTGTGCTTTCCTTTGAAGCACAATCAACCCCGAACTCCACATGAGCAGCCGTTCTAAAGACTTTGTCAATAATTTGTTCCAATGGCAAGTTTCTATCTATCAAAGTATGAGCCCCCAGCTCTTCCAAATAGGATTGATTTTGCGGACTTGCAATACCAATCACCTTAAATCCAAGATATCTCGCAAGCTGAGTCAGATATAAACCCACCGCAGTCGCTCCGCCCCATATAAGCAATGTTTTTCCATGCTGAGAATTCGCAGCTAAACTAAGTTCAAAAGAGTCCAGCAAAATTATTGTGGCAGTGACCAACCCCACTCCTATGCCAGCACCTTGATTGTACCCTATATGCTCTGGAAGTTTCCAGACAAGACGCGAGTCCATTGCAACATACTCCTGAAATGTACTAGTTCTATTATCACGATACATTGTGCTGACGATGAACACCTTTGAGCCTTTTTCAAATTCTTTGACATCTTCCCCTGCCTCTTCGACTACACCACTGCTTTCTCTGCCATTAATCCAAGGAAAATGATGAATCCCAAACCTGAATTGGTGGCACTTCCAGTCAACAGGATTAATTCCGATAGACCTATTTTTGATAATAACCTCATGTGGATGCGTTATTCCTGGTTTTGGATACTCGGTGAGAACCGTTAGTGGCTCATCATATCCAACAATAGCTACTGCAGTCTGATGCTTCTTATTGGCACTTATAGGTTTCACCGGAGCAAAGGTGTCTTGGATCTGTCTATCAACTAACACCTTCATCAGTGCCGCCGCTTGTTGCAAAGTGGAGATTCATCCATGTTGAAACAACATATATGGTCCAGATCTTATCTAGCTATGCGACTTGCATATGTTTGCATCTAGGCCACAATAGAGAATAGTTGAAAAACACATGCACTTGCGATTAAAAGTCAGATATAGCGAAATCATACGCTTGTATGATAAAAGCACATAAGTATGTCTATGCTGCGATGTTGACCCAGAGATTAGGTTCATGAAATTTTTGAGTCGGTCGTGATGCGATGTTACGATACAACGAAAGAGTGCGTGACTTTCTCAGCTCTAACTTTCAAAGTCAGTGGCCGGCTGAGACTTGAATTCTCAAGCCAGCAGAGTAGATAGTGGCTGAATCTTGTACTCCTCATTCAAAGGACCCAAACAACTAATAGATAATGCATATATGTCGGAGCTTTAAAGCAGCGACTTGTACAATTGTCGATAATCCATTCGAAGCACTGTTAGCCACAAAAATTTCGGAGCACGACCAACTACTAGGAGATGCTGACCAAATAAACTCGCACGCCACAATTCAATGTTTGAGAATTCGTTTTGGACGAATTTAATGCAAGCTGACTAGTAATATGAACTTCCCTACGACCAGCTCAGAGTTCTTCGCTAAAGTTGGCAAAACACCATTGGTACTACTCAAAAGCATTTCCAGCTCGGTCGGCAGAAATATTTATGTCAAATTGGAATATCAGAACCCGACGGGCTCCGTCAAAGACCGTGCGGCTGTGAAATTATTGCAAGATGCGATTGAAAAAGGGTTGAAGCCAGGGGGGACTCTAGTGGAGGCTACCGCAGGCAACACTGGCATATCACTGGGCGTGCTCAGTCGATTAGCAGGCTACAGATTGATTTTATTTGTTCCTGAAAACCTTATACAAGCCAAAATAGACAAATTGACCGGACTGGGAGCGGAAGTTCTCAAGGCAGAAAACTATCCTGAAAACCATCCAAAGCATATGAACAGTCTGGCAGCTATTTATGCGAAGGAACACGATAATTCAATCCACATCAATCAAATGAATAATCTGGTCAATCAACAGGCACATTTCGAAACGACGGGGCCTGAAATCTGGGAGCAGCTTGAAGGATCCGTTGACGCCTTTGTATCTGGTGCCGGAACAGGGGGGACGTTTTCTGGAGTTTCCAGGTATTTGAAGAAAGTCTCTGACGGAAGAGTAAAAGCTATTATTGCCGACAAGCAGAGTTCAGGTTTGCACCATTATATCCAGACCAATGGCGAATCTTTTGATGCCGAGGGTGAGTCATTTGTTGAAGGTATAGGGAAATTGGGATTGGTTGATAACATAAGAGATGTGCTCACTCTAGCTAACGATTCTTTGCAAATCTCGGATATCGAAGCTCTGAATACTATATACCGTCTTATTGAGGAAGAGGATTTGCGTGTGGGTGCCAGCGCTGGAGTCAACGTTGCGGCCGCCATCAAGGTTTCAGATTCTCTTCCTCCGGGCTCTAATGTTGTTACAATTATTCCGGATGCAGTGGACATTTATGCCAAGAAGGTGTTCTCGAAGCAGTGGCTCATTGATCAAGATCACTGGGATAAAATTCTTGAAGTATATAGAAAGTATACTACTTGAGGGAGGACTTTTATAGATCTGTATGGAGAGCTGAATGTGAATGAGCTCTAGCACAATGAAGCACATGACTTACTAGGGATTTAAGCTTTCGATAAAAGTAAGTCAGCTAGCTTTTTGCTTATTCATGTATATATCTTAAGGAAGTGCTCGTCTCTAACTTTCTGATACTCTAACTCTACGTTATGCTCTTTCACCCAATCTAAGCCTCCCAGAGTGTTAAGGAGTCGCCGTTGCCAGTCTGCATCATCTTTCGCAACGTTAAGATACTTTCTCTTCACTTCGCCGTCAATGAAGGTTTGACGCTCCACTCTCTGGAGAAAATGTTTTCTAGTCTCATTGAACAGAAATAAGGATAGCGGCAGATTATATTTTGTTTCCTCATCAGAATCGTCATTAGTGGATTTTGTAGAAGTTTCAGAAAGAGCTCGGTACAATGCCCATATATCGTCAAATCCCATGGACGATCCCACAGCATAAACCCCTGAAGTTGGGTGGGCCGCATCCCCGGCAAAAACTATTCTGTCACCAATGGTCAAGTCGTGGAGCCATGGTGCTCTTTCCAGAGGAAAAGCTAGAATGTCCGGAAGAACGTTAATGATCTTGGTAATTAATGGGTCCCACTCCTGGAAGTAGTGTAGCAGGTGTGATATTCCCCGCTGGCCAGCACTTCTATTCCAGGCCAGATCAGATGCAACATTTGGAGGCTCAGGAATCAAAGCCACAAATCCATATTTTTGAAGACCAACTTTTCCAAGGAAAACCGAGGTACCATCTCTTCCCATCCATGATGAGGTATCATCCAACACTCCGTGAACGTCCTTGAGTAGATTTTCATCAAAGACATATCTATAGGCGACCACTCCTTTGTATTCCAAGTTTTCGTTCACACGAAACTGTCTGCGGATCCTGGAATAAATTCCATCAGCTGCAACAATGAGATCTGCACGGACAGGGTCTTGATTCTCAAAGTGTAGGGTCCCTCCAGAGATGTCCACGTCAATCTTGACGACAGCATGATTATACTTTATTACGCCTTCCGGGACATGCTTCAAAACAAAATTATGAAGCGGCACCCTATGCGTTCTCGCTTGAACGAAATTCTCTGGTCTTGGAAATGACGAAGTGTCGTACTTTAAGACCTCACCAGTTTTCCAATGACGTCTTGAAAGCGGCTCCGGCTTACCTCTGTAAACAAACTCTTGCACCTCTTCAATATTGGCAATTCGTGAGAGAGTGAGAAGAGCAGCTTCCGTAAGTGCGATCCAGGCACCTGCTTCTCGCGGTCCCTCTGCCTTTTCAAACAAGCTGACTTTTGAGTTGGGGAGCCTCGAAAGGGTTGCAGCTGCAAACCCTCCAATGATTCCACCTCCCACAATGGCAATCTCCAATGGTTTCTTAACGTCGGACATTAGTTCAGTAGATCCTTGTTTCGATGCAGCCATGCTTATATAAAATTTTGTACAAGTGAGCTAATCAGCTATGGAGATTGCGCGACTACAACTATCGCATTACCTTTTTCTGATAACTCCGACATCTACATATTCCAGTCAAAAATCTAAAATACTACTTCTTCTAGATACCAACCATCCTCGGAGAATCGACTGTCTTCTGCTCGTGCGGAAATGAGCATGTTTACGCTCTTATAGGTAGATATTATTAATGTCACAAAGGACCGAATTTACAATCCAGTTTCAGATTCTCCAACACAAAAATACGACGCCCGCAATAGTTATTAAAACAGCTCATCCAGAGCTTCCTGTAGAACTATTTACTGGTAAAGTCTCTTCCGAGTCGATTTTTGACTCCAGTTTTCTTATGCTTCTCTTGTAAGCCAAGAAGTAAAACAAGACAATTCCAACAGATGAAGCTCCAGTCAACCCACAAGTAACCTTGTAGCCATACTTATATTCCGGAGCTTCATTTGCGGGCCACAAAAATAAAGGTAACCAGGCGTTATTGGCATAGACCACGGCAACCGTGACACCTGTTATGATGGCTCTTAGGTCTGGAGCTGTTGCCCAGATCTCCGGCAGGAAGGATATAAGAATCGGAGTATTTGCTCCTTGAGCAAAAAGAAGGAAATAGCTGAAGTAGTTGATACCGATGCTTTTTGGACGCGTAGCCAGTATAATGCTACCCACAAGCTGGATGATATTCTCGGCCACAAGCACAATGAGCCGAGCATTTGCAAAATCAGCCAGCTTTGAAAGAGTCACGATAGTGATCAACTGAACAGCAGAGCCAGCAATAGGAATCAAGTTAAGCTCTTCAACAGAATAGCGCGAGCTTCCATCATCGGTTTTCAGGCTTTTGAGCCATAAATTAAAGTACGCAACAGAAGTCGTCCAGACCGCAGGAACGTATGCCAGAAGGAACAGCCAAACACGGTAATCCAAAGGAATCTTTATACCCTTTTCATGTTCAACTGCCGTTTAGTTTCCCGTCCAATGCTAAACATTCTCTCGTTCGCGATAGCAAGATCATCTGCAGTCATCCATTTGGCACCGCCATTTTGGGGAGAGTCAGGAACAATATAGAATCCAAGTGAGGCAATGGCAACTGTCATCAAACCATTAATCACGAATAGCCATTTCCATCCTGCAAGACCTCCGTGCCCGTTTAATGTTTTGTAGATAGCAGCCTGCATGAATCCCGTAAACATACTTCCAGCATAGTAGGAGCCAGTAAAGAGAGCAGCACGAGTAGCAAGCTCTTTTTGTGTGTAGTAGCTGTAGAAAATTGTCATCATTCCTGGCCACGCACTGCTTTCAAAAAGCCCGATTAGGAACCGAAGCTGAAATAGAACATGAACGGACTTGACAAAAGCACAGCACAGTGTCAGGATACCCCAGATAAACTCACATGAGCTTAACCAGTAAGGCGTACTTAGTCTTGTCATTGAAATCTGAGAGGGTATTAGCCCGACAGCGTAGCCAATATTGAAATAGATACTAATCCAGTTATACTCGTTTCCGACAATATTGAGATCTTCTTTCATTCCACTAACGTACGCGTTAGAGTAGTTGCTTTGATCGATAGATTTGATCAGATACGCTATACAGCCCCAAGTAAGCAAATATAAGTCCAGTTTCTTAACAAACTTGGACTCCTCGCTGTCTCTCAAAACTGCAGTGCGGAACAGTTTTGTGAACCATTTTCTTTCATGATCATTATGCACCTCTTCAACTATTTCGGCAACCCCCTCGGCTTTATATGAGAGAGGCATGTTAGAATATATGGTTCCGATTGCCTACTCTGCTAATTATGGTGCCCTTATATATGACCCACTAGCAAGGTGGACAGTATGCGTGCAGCTCTGTAAGTGTGGAGTATCAATCGGACACATTTTTACTACTCCATAGCGTGGTTGTGGCTTGATGATGCAGGATAGGTGAGTGTTTGCGTTGTAGCAAAGCCAAGGAGCTTAAGCTGTGGTTGTGTGCGGTACCTGCGTCATTGTACTATTTCGGTAAAAATAAAAGCGGGCAATGTAAATTTCTGAGTGAGGCTGAAAATTGGTTGCAAAGAACAAGAAGTGTGGATTCCATCGGCTTTCGGTATAAAAGCCTACGACTCTGGATGATGGACTATGATCACTTACCTAAATGACTAAATCGCTTATTATCACTGCTTTTATCACTGGAGGAACCACTGAGTGGCGCTACCCTGGTGATACTTCGTATAGATTTGCTTCTAATTTGGAAGCTTGGGTAGAAATAGCAAAGCTTTTGGAGAAGGGCAAAATCTATGCTCTGTTCATTGCAGATCACTTGACTCTGTTTGATGTGTACAAGGGCCCGAACAACTACAGAGACGCAGTGAAAACTGGACTGAATGTTCCAAAGGCCGATCCCAGTCATGCAATTATCACTGCTGCAAGAGAGACAAAGAACATTTCTTTTGGAGTCACTTTCAGTACTGTCAGTGAACATCCATACTTGTTTGCTAGAAGACTTGCAACTCTTGATCATTTCACTCAGGGAAGAGTGGGATGGAATATCGTTACATCTTACCTTAACAGTATCGGTACCCAACTTTTAAATGGAGAACCATTTCCTGAACATGACGAGCGGTACAATAGAGCAACTGAGTACGTTGATGTTGTGAGTGGACTTCTCCTGTCCACCTGGAGAGATGACGCTTTAATCCGCGACATACAGAGCGGTGTGTTCATTGATCCAGACAGAGTTCGTGAGATCAACCATAATGGAAAATATTTCAAAGTTGCTGGACCTTCTATCACGCAGCCTTCAGTCCAAAGAATCCCGCTTTTGATTCAAGCAGGAACCTCAAAAAAGGGCCAGGAGTTGGCTGCCGAGTTCGCAGAGTTTGTGTACGTCTTGGGTGGAACTGAAGAGCTGGCTCCGAAGATCAACTACATCAGAACAATTGTTAAGGAGAAATTCGGCAGAAACCCAAAAAACATCAAGGTGATTTACTCCGCTAGAGTAATTTTGGGCCGCACTCATGATGAAGCTATTGAGAAAGAGGCATCTTACAAAAAGTCTGAGGTGCCAGATCGCAATGCAGTAAATTTTGGAGGCGTAACAGGTATTGACTTGAACGAGTATGATAGTGAAGAGGAAATCGAGACTAAGAATGTCAATGGTGTTAAGACTACCACTGAGGTTTACTTCAAGAACGCAAAAAAGCCGACCAAGAATGCGCTCCTAAATAAAGCTCCTGGAGCTGGACCATTGATGGGCACCTCTGAAGAGGTCGCTGATAAACTTGAGAAACTAGTTGAGGAACTTGACCTTGATGGCTTCAACTTTAACTCTGCTGTTCTTCCGGGATCTGTTGAAGACTTGGTTGAGCTGCTTATTCCTGAACTCCAAAGAAGAGGTCTATTTTGGGAGGACTATGCTGTTCCTGGGGGCACGTTCCGTGAAAACGTGTATGGGGTCAAGGGGGCAAACATTTCTTCCTCCCGATCATCCATTATATGACACACGGTGGACGCCGGACGCTAACAAGGAAAAATTTGACAAGATTTATGAGCAAAACCTGGAGAGACGTAAACAAGCTAGAACATCTCTAAATTAGAATTGGTCTTCTTCCTTTCAGTAATTGTAGAACAGTAAAGATTATAATGAAGGTAATAGTCAGCCTTGGAAAAGTGAATCGCAATTTGCCAAGCTTGAAGAAGCTTAGTTGATTAGACCAAAAAATTGTCTGACTGTCTTCCGTGTCCCATATAGTTTGCGTGTACGTGGCTGGGAGGTTCCTGTAGCTTTCAGCTGCTAAAAGCTAATTTTCACAGATGAAAAAAAATCATGTTTGGATTGAAGCGCATGTTTCACTCTAGACAACAAACCTTGAACATATACCATCTTCTTAAAAACTGGTAAAACCAATATAGGAATGAGCCGTGTACTGATATTCTTATCTCAAAGTTGTTTGCTTGTTTGGGAAAACCAACTAATGTACCTTTAGCAAACTAGAGCTTCAAATGCCTCTAGAGATCGAAACCACTTGAAATAAAGAATTGAAAATAGATCTGGCACCCGGTCACGACTGTATTGCCTTACTATGAAGTGCCGAGACAAAGAAACACTATCCCAACAAACTGAGAAAATACACGAAATAAGAATACTCATTTAAGGCTCCATTGCATACCCTTTCATGATCTCATCATAGGAATAGTTCTCATAGGTTTTCTCACCTCATTTGAAGTATATCATTTGCCTTATAGTACCCTCTTTTCTCTTCAGTGAGTTTTGAGTGTATTTGACCTCTGCAAATATGCGTTATACCGGAGTTTTGCAAAAGTAATAATGAAAAGTCGAGGATAGCTGACATTCGTTTCGATCGAATAAGTGATTGAATACGCATCTATCCAATACCATTGCATTCCTTTGTACCCACACTGAACGTTTGTTATCTGTATCCAAAATGAAAGACGGCTACTGAGTGTCTTAACCTTTCTGGTCAGTCAGTTGTCAGAACTTCCACATCTTTCAATTGAACTTCGTTACGTGAAAACCTAAGCATCAACGGCTCTAATACTTGGGCTCTGATGGCTCTCATGTATATCTGTTTCTCTGCCAAAGAAGTTGTGTGCTTCCAACAACTCACGACAATGGTTGTATACTGGTCAATAAATAAACTGGTACACGGATGAGGAAATCGGGTGTATTTTCGGCAAAACAGATATCACTGTAGAAAGACTGGACTTTGTTTGCTTTTACCTTTGCGATTGTTCACCGCTTCTGGAGACCAATGTATGTAGATTGTAGTATCTGCAGAGAAACTACGGCGTGGATCGAGAAGTACTCACAGCTATGTGATTGTGCACTTTTATGTTAACTTTGGGTACTAAAAAACTTTTAACCGTAGTAAGCGCACCACAATGACCCCTTAAATTCACAATAGTTGCCAACATTCCTTGCAGATCTTCTGGAACCAATTGGTGACCGAAAAGTCTGAATATAACACTGCAAGGATACTGTATTCAACATGAAGAAAATGATGACTAGTGCGAAATATAAAAAGATAATTTTGTTGTGATATTGAGTCCGCTGCAGTTGACCCTAACAATTTCACCACCTGGGAAACCTATACTGATGCTAGGATAGGTACTGTTTGCGCCATCAATATTTCGCCGGCGTACCGAGGTGCTTCAGAAAATCAGCTCCGTCCCCGGATTTCGATGCCACAGTGCGAGTTGTTTCTCTTGCCACAATTGATAAGAATAATGTGTTGAGCCACATTTGGCGTATATAAATCAGATGATGCTCATAAAAGCTGCCAGGTCTCAATCACCAAGAAACGATCGCCATGACAGCCGAGGAAGATGTCAAACCACTCAGGATTGCAATTATTGGCTCTGGATTGGTGGGAGCTTTTGCTGCAGTTACCTTGTCCAAGCTACCAAACGTTGCGGTTACTGCGTACGAAAAAAGCGACAAGGTTCGTGAAGTCGGAGCAGCTATCACTCTCACAGAAGGCGGCCTTGTGACTCTTGAGCAGGTCTTCGATCTAGACGAGCTAGAAAAAATACTCTACAGAACTCCAAATTATGGGCATATCACTAGACGTCATTGGAAGACCGGGGAGTACCTCAAAGACCCTCATTCGAAATCACCAAAGTATCCCAAATACAACCACGCAAAAGCACAAAGGGTTCTTCTTCTGGACTTTATTCTGAATTATGTTCCCAAAGGAACTATCAAATACGGCCAAGAGGTGAAAAGTGTCAACGTGACCCAAGATGGTGTTACCATCCATTTTGCCAATGGGAATGCGACAAAGGCTGACCTGGTGATTGCAGCTGACGGCATATATTCAAAAATCCGTCGCCAATTCACCAATGATGCAATTGTCTACAAGGGAGCAGTAGCATATAGAAATGTTTTTGACGATAAACTCGTGGAACACATTCCTGGACTACCGGATGATGTTACCGTGTGGATTGGCAAAGGGTCTGCTATGTTTATGACTCGGCTAACGCCTGGTAAATTCAACGTTGCAGCCCATTTGAGGGACCCGCCGGAAGTTGCTGCCAACCTGCGGTGGAACAAGACTACAGGTGATTGGGGTAAGAAGCGCTTGATTGAGCACTTCAAAGACTGGGATCCACTGATCGGCAAGATTCTTGAAGCTATGCCGGAGTCGCTTGCTTTCCCGCTGGAACGGGCACCTTGGCTGGAGAATCTGGCTGTTGGAGACCGAATTGCCTTTGTGGGCGATGCTGCTCATCCAACCTCTGGTGTTTATGGAGCTGGCGCAAACATGGGATTCGATGATGTTTGGGCATTGTATCGGTCCTTGTTGGAGACCAAATATAATCTGAAGAAAGCATTGTTTCTTTTCAATGAGACCAGGGCCCCGTTTTTGAAGCGTGTTGAGAAACAAATTGAGATCGATCAACAGATTGGTGCCAAATACATCGCCACTGCAGAATCTGACGACGAGTGGAAAAAAAGAATAGAGCATAGGGGTCTGTCAGCAAAGTGGATTACGGATCACAATGTGGACAATGAGTTTGAGCAGGTCAGAGACCAAAACTTTCTACAATTGTTTGTAGAAGAATAAACCAACCTTTTTTAGCCAAGAATATATTCCTAGCTTGATGAGATCATGTCACAGACCTTAGGTGTCTACAGTTTCGCCAATAAGGGATCCAAGAGACTTTCTGCCGAGAATTGTGATACCTTTGGTTTGGTTTGAGCTTACGTTGTTGAAAAACGCTCCTTTTGCAATATCCCACTCGCCCTGAGTTATGCGTTGCAAGCTCTTGTCGGCATAGATTCCCAAACGCTTGAGTTTTGGAGAGTTCAAGGAGTCAGGATCCAAATATGTCGCAGATGTTGGGGTGCAGAAATAAATTATGCTAGACCGCTTTTGGTGTTTAGGGGGCGAGGCAACTCTGTGGACACTGGACCTAAAGTAATCACCGGTCCAGAATTGAAGTGCATCTCCGACGTTCACAACTAGTGCCCCTTGTTTGTGTTTGACAAATCCCCAAGTATTGTCAGTATCCGGGAGTCTGATTTGGAGTGCCTTTACAGGATCTGACAGGATGAATGTGAGCGCACTAGCATCCGTGTGGCCTCGGAGCAGCGTGCTTCCTGTCTTCATGTTGTACGAGTCATCAGCCTCATGGTATAGCAAGAATCTACCGTAACCAGTTGCAGACTCTTTGATCTTGTTTTCAACCACCCTAAAGTGGTTGTTGTAAAGCGTTCCGTCAGGAAGCTCAAGAATGATGTCAATCAACGAGAGCAATTTGCGTAAAACGTTTTGATGAAGTTCATTAAAGTAAGTGATGATCGCAGGCAAGTTCTTCTCAACGGAAGGAGGGTAGCTTGCGGCCTTAACATATTCTGGATGTGCAAAATGGCGCAGGTTGAAAAATTCAACTCTATCCTTCTGGTCATTTATGTAAGTCCAGTAACCTCTTGGCTTGTAACCGCTGCCTCTAACAACACCGAGGTGCTTATAGCTCTCTTCTGGTAGATCATTCTCGCCGGCAATATGTCCAGCTTTCACTTCATCTGGCTCTTCAAATACCTGGCTGCCAATCGAGGCTAAGTGGTCGGTCACGAGCCCGTGATTCACAAGCTGGAAAAAACCGTGGCCAGTAAGGGCTTTTTCAAGACGCTCAGCAAGGGCCTGGCGGGCTTCTGGGCCTTCATCGAACAAGCGAAGGTCAATCTCCTCTAAGTGCACAATGGAAGTAGAGGACGACATGATGGTAGACGACAATAAGGAGACTAATATAGAGGCAAGCTGTGGCGCTAATGTGGCAGTGACAAGTGCGCCACATTGTGACGATCTATCTAAAAGGGAATCCATTGCGGGATTTCTGAGGAGGAAGCTCTCGAGAGTCATCGGTCACTTCTGGTCTCGAACAAAGTCTATAAATTGTGACTCATAGAACTGAGCAGTGGTTTCGGACCATAAATCCAGCTTTCTGCTTCATTGTTTGTTTCTGAACATAGGATCAATTCCAAATGTACTGAGTAGTATGCGTGTCAGTCATGGGTTATTTCCAGCAACTGGATGAGGTATAAGTTTTTACAATGGTTTTAATATCGGCTCTTAACCACGTATCCCCCACACAGGAGCCGCATATCTCCAACAATTAGTCATGCAGGATCCCATTGTATGGAAATCTGTATTCAACAATACTACCTACTAGCGACTAAAAGTCACGCCGATAAACGTGAATATGGTCTACTTTGGCCAAAGCACGGAATTTGGTCCTAGATGTATGCTGTCACCAATTACGGAGTCCTAAAGGATTATACTCTTTCGTCAGCCCGGTGATCGCATTTGAGTTCAAACATATTAATGATCTTTGCTCTTAGTGTTCGTGTAATTCGTGAATTACATGATACATGATCTTTTTAAATTGTCTGATAAGGAAGCCTGTTGCACCATAGATACGCGAATTGAAGTTTTTCATACATTTGTCGAAGAGAAAACTTTTATTGGACAGAAATCTTCCTAAATCATAACGTGGTAGACAATTTCGTCACTTTTCACTAAGGGAAATGGTCTCTCTGTGTACGTGAACATCCTTTTCTCCCCCTTCTGGAATTTCATCAGTTATGCTATTGTAGATATAGATGCCATTCTCAATAGCATGCTCTCGCTCTTCCTTTTTGTAAAAGAAGTAGTCAACGGCTAGCAAAAAAATGAAACCGATACTGAATACAGCACACGTTGTAAAGCCTTTTTCAAATCTTGGGCTGTCAGTAGTTGGCCAGATCAGCCTGTTAATCCACACGCTAGACTGCAAACCCATAATATAGATTATCACCCACGCAATGGCTCTGACATTGTTGTCTCTACGGAAAAGATCACTCACCAGGGGGTTGAACACAGATGATTGTGACCACGACCAGTATGCAAAACAGAAAGCAAACCATTTGGCACCGTAAGACACGTCCCATACCGCAAGGATGACATTGCCAATAAATGTCATAAGGAACGAAAAGATAATAAAGAGGTACCGCTTACCAGTAAGATCAGCACCAACACAAATAATGAAGACATACAGAATGCCAAGGGCAGGAGGGATCGTTGACCAATTATTGATCTTACCAATGTTGATGTTTAGCGATTTGAGCCACAAGGTAAATGTTCCAGCTGAAGTGTTGTTGGTATTGAATCCCATCATGTTTGCAATACTCAAAATGTAGATGTGTGGGCTTTTGAGTGCCTTGGACCAGCTTTCCCTAGAGAAGAAACTGCTGGTTTCCTGTTTTGAGTCTGTACCGTTTTCCTTCATGCGCCTACGGGCTAGCCTAATCTCATCGTCGGTTAAAAAGATTGAGTAACAGTGAGTAGGCGTGCCCGGAAGGGAGAACAGACCGAGAATAGCAACAACAAAAGAGATACATCCATCAATGATAAACATCCAACGCCATCCAGCAAGATTGCGGCTGCCATCAAGGTTATTGAAGGCAGCCGATTGAAGTAGTCCAGACGTGAGGACACCCAAAAATTGTCCTGCGTAGAATAGTGCCCCCCTCCTGCCCACTTCAGTAGGCTTGTACCAACTGGCAAGAGTGTAGTGTATACATGGGAAATAGGCGGCCTCAAAGGCTCCAACGAAAAAGCGCATAGCTTGTAAGGAGCTCACATTGTTGACTCTGTATGTTCCTAAAGTGAAGGCAGCCCAACCGAACTCCGAAATGAACAGAGAATAATTGATTGGCACTCTAGGCAGCAGATACAGCCAAGGAAGCTCCAGTAAAATGTTTCCTATGTTAAAGATTAACTGGGTATTGATAAGATCATTGCCTTTCATGCCGAGGTCCTCCTTCATGTTTGAAACGTAGGCATTGTTGAGATTTGAACTATCAACGTACTTAATCCAGTAGCCAACAAAGGAGTAGAAGGCAATGAGAATGTCCAACTTGCACAGAAGTTTTACTTCTTGTGCAGAAGTCCCTTCTGGGAACCATCTGTACCACTTGCGGCAAGAAGCTTCTTGACTGGGCTGACGATACTCAAACTCGTCGAAGAATTTCCACCATGGACGGTTGGCTTCGTCACGGTAAGTATATGTAATTTTTTCAGAGGAGGAGTCTAAAGATTCCTTTTCGTCCTTGATATGGCGAAGGCGTGGTAGAAAGCTCATAGACAAACATTGCCCATTGGTGAACTATAAGTAGTCTGTCTTAAAGCCACAACTGGCTGTGGCGGGGTGGCACTTAAAGAATAAGACCCAAAATGTGTTAAAGACTATTTAGGATTTCCGGGGCCACCAACTCTCATTCAGAATAACAACTGGGGCGTTATAATCCAGCCGAAAATCCTTATGCAACATGAGTACTACTGCTTAACGAATTTGTCCTCGTGCGCTAGGTAGAAGTGTGGAGTCAAAAACAAAAACGGTCATCGCCTCAATTTTCCACCCAAGAAACGAGGTTTTACACCCAGTACAGTATTGTCATGCAAGAAAAGTGAGGCCAAAAAGTAGCTAGGACATATCAGATACGTATCCTGATAATAGAAACAGTAGACTCTCATACATTACTGCATATTGGACAAGCTCTTAAACGTCAAGAACTGTGCTGACCCAATCTTCTGTAAGTGCGTACATACACTGAGTAGCTCCTTCTATTTCACGCGGCGAAAGGTAGGAGTTCACTCTCAGTATTTTCACAAAGAATCTCATAAGCAAATGGACCAGAAGGATGTATATGTACGACCAGCAGTCCACGGTCGCTGCCATTTTAGGCCTGACGAAGAATACGCCAGGCCAGCCAGTGTAATTCTCAAAGTAGGATTAAACTCGTTGCGAAAATATGGCAGACGTGGGGCTTTCATGGAACGATAGAAAACTAAAAAGCAACGAAAAGTAAAACCAAAACGCAGAGTAGGCATGGGTGCTTCGTAGGAGCCATGGGTAGTTGACAGTGGACGTGCTGTAGCAGCAGCAGTACGGGGCAGTGGATGTGGAAAACGGCTCACCACAGCAGCGGGAAGAAGCACAAGCACAAGAACAAGCACAAAGCGGAAGGGACCAACAACGAAGGGCCGGACGCAACACGGCAGAGATGAAGTGGTGGGAGCAGAAGGAGGATAAGGAGAGGAGACGCTGGCGGGGCAGCGGGCGGCATCTCCACAGCAGAGCGTTTCTACCTGATCATTTGCGCAGAGGTAGGCGAGCAACTACGATGGAGTGGAGATGTAGATTTCATAGAGGGCGAGCTGCCAAGATGTGGCCTCTACCCAGCTATGTCTCTAGAGGCCGGTCCAGAATTCCGCCTTGGTTAGCTCATAGCTGGCACTCAACAGCGGAGACGCCGAGCTGTTTCCGACAAGTACCATGTACTCTCCCTTTTCGACAGA